TGTCTGCGTGCTTCGAGGACTATGGAGGGCGTATATGGCAATGCTGTTTAGACGAAGAGCATAAAAGGTCATCGAGCCCATGTGAGATGGCGACAGGAAGCGCCGTCGACTTGCTAAGAGGATAGCGAAGTACATACCTGGCACTAAGAAAGCGCCATGACGAAAACGAACCATATAGGATGCTATGAAGGTGTTGGAATTGGCGCACATTCTCGTTGTCGCTGCGTTCTACGCGCCACGCAGCTCTTGCGCGTGTAGTCCATTACAAGCGACGGCCCTTAACGTCGCTTTTTTGTTTACAACGTCGAGACACTGCGGGGCATCGAACCAACCACGGCTACGTAGCATGACGAGCGACCGGTAGAATCAGGTAAGAAAAACACGAGACAACAGCGAAAAAGCCCCCCAATCACGTTGTCTTTGTTTTCTTGTAGACGAATGCGACGGTAGATGTGGACGAACAAGCGAAGCTGAAGAGACATGTAACGAGTGTAGGGCGTTGGCTATAGTCGCTTCAACGAGCGCAAAGTAGAGAAAGATAGACGTAAAGATGTAGAGAATACAGTGTCAGCAGTAGAAGACGGCTCGCAAAGTACGTCTCGTATAGACTGGCTGGGCAGAGACGGCGGCAGTGCAAATGCGAGCACGGTAGGTGGGCAAGTAACGTTTCCCTTAGCAGATACCGCGATGCTGCGATGCTGCGATGCTGGAGCAAGTAGTTGTACGCAAGAACAGCAAGCCAACCACGTGTTCTTCCTCGAGCTGGAACTGTGGCTTGCCCGTTACGAAGCCGCTATAGCTTTTACGTACCGCCTCGCGGCGCATGATGCTGTCAATCCAGCTCTGAAGATGGACGTAGGGCAGGCCGTACGGTTGGTGCAAGAAGCTCGATGCTGATGTCAAGCAAGTATAGACAAGTGAAGGACGGTGGCGAGACGAGGAAGACAGCCGGAAAGCGCAGACAGAGGGCAATGCACAGCGGGTTTGCGGCGAATGCAGCGAGAGACAATATGCGACACACAGCCGAATAGAGCTTAACCTTAATCCTATTTTCTTGCAGACAGGTGCGTTAAGAATGCAGAGCCCCGCTGAGTGAAAGCGACGTAGAGAAGGTAGGTGACGAGCGTGGCAGTTACTTCGACGACGAGTGCAAAGCGAGAAGGATTGCGCTAGAGATTGCAGTGCGAAGCGTCAACTGTACTAGGACAGCTTAGACCAACCAAATACGACGGTGTCAGCTCGCAGGTGAAACGCGTGAGGTAATACGATGCCAGTGGCTTGATTCCCAGTGTGTACCGTGGCGCTCAACGAGGGCGTAGCTGCAGCAAACGACAGTGCGACAGAAACGGATAACAGCAGAAAGCAGACGAAGCAGCGGGCAGCAGGCAGCAGGGGCAACAGACGACAGCAACAGCAAACGACATAAGCAGAAACCGGCGACCGACAGCAGCGAAGCTACTCAGCTGCCTAGCCGCTATACGGTTGGCTGTGCTGCAGATCGCCCGCAACGCAAGGATGCGCGGCGCCGGTGAATTACTACGCGCCGACAACACTCTCGCCGATGGATGTCGTAGAGCAAGTCGGCTCGTCATGCCTGCTTCCCCGCGACCACGGCGGAACAATCGTGATGCGTGTCGGTGTGCGGTTGACGCGTCGACATCAGCGAATGAAGACATAGCAGAATGACAGCAGCGACACCAGTAGGGACCTTGCTAATAGCACTCTTTGTCGTCAACATCAGCGACAGCAGCCTGTGCGCTATACACTCCAATCGCTGTAGCTCGCCCTCGACGTAAGGGTGCGAAGCCCCGACGAATTCCTACGTACCGAAGAGACCCTGGCCGATGAGTGTCGCGGGGAAGCAGGCGTGTCGAGTTGGCTTTCTCCGTGACACGTGTCGATGGTGGCGCTCGCTCAGCGATGCAGCTGACGCGACAGCAGCGATACCAGCAATACGGAGGCCGGCCTGAACACACCAACAGTGCTAGGCAGGCAACATGACACTGTGGGCTCGCGGCAAATGCAGCCAGAGACACCAACGAAACCGACAACTAACAGCAGCGAACAGCGACAGCAGCCCACGCGCTCGTACGCTGCTGCTGCTCTGCCTGCACTGCAGCCCACCCGCGACGCAAGGATGCGCAGCACCGATAGGTGTCGCGGGGTCGAGGGACCAAACGTGATGCGCGTCGCTCAGCGGTGCAGCAGCCAGCGACCGATGATAGCAGTGAACGAAGACAGTAGCAGAATGATATCAGCGACACCAGCAACAGCAGAAAACGACACTAGCAAATGTAGAGGTCGGCCTGAACAGACGGCGCTGGGCAGGCAGCATGGCACTGTGCGCTCGCGGTAAATGCAGCTAGAGACCCACTCCATCCTAGTTTCACATCAACGCAGGGTTGAAACTCAGGAGAAAATGTGCAGCAGATTGGGTGGAACTCAGTAAAAAGTCAACCCTGTCGACGCCAACTTGTCTAGGACTAGTGGCTTGGCATCCCATTGAGGAAGGTGCGACCCAATCAGCGACAGAGCGATGTGGACAACAGCCTACGCGATGCGAGCGATGAGATCTTACTCTCTACTATATAGCACAGCTATCTAGCTTACATACCAACTCCAGGTGGCGACGTGTGCACACTGCCTGTCCATCTGGCAATGTCGACCAAGTGCCGCCGCTCTCCCGCTGCCGTCGTCGGTCAGCATCGCCCATTGACAGCACCGTAGTCGCCGCCAACATGAGGCACTAGTAAGGCATCACGACGCGCACTCGCTTGGCGATGCGGGTGCTGGTATCACGGCGAACAACCTATCTGCGAATCTCTAGACTTCGATGCCTCCCCACCAAATAGAATAGACAGTCGATGGCTAGTGGGACGCCAAACCGTACTGAACGACCCAAACCCAACCTCTTTCCGTGACGAACGACCTGAACTCAACCTCTTCCGTGAAGAACGACCTGAATGCAACCTATTTCTATGACGAACGACCCAAACTCAACCTCGTCCGTGACGAATGGCCCAAACCCAACCCTTTCGTGCCGGGCCTCGTCGCCTGCACCGGCCGGCCAAGCAGCGCAGCCCTCAGCGGTCGCCGTTGTGGCGAAGCTCGCTCCCAGATCGATTTCCTGCGAGCTGTGTGCTGCAATGTGAGACATGCGCTTCTCCTCCATCGCATCGTGTACTGCATGCCATGAAGCTCCGCTGCGTTGAACACGCTGGAAACTGCTTCGCACGCCCGGGAATCAAGCCGACACACCTAAGCCGCCGCTGCATCGTGCTGCAGGATGGGTTGAAGCCCTGCTGCATCCAAACACTGGGCACACGATCAAGCTCGCCTTGCACGGTCCAAAGCCCAGCAGCGTAGGGGACCGTCGGCGACTGATTCAAGCCTGGGCCGCCGTCCAATGCGTGCTGCTGCGTTCGTTCAAGCACTCCAACGCCGGGTATGCACACCATCCCCTTCGCCTTGCTCCAGAACCCAGCAGCAGCACGGCGAGCTGCCTTCAAGTCGCAACACACCCCAACGTCAGGCACACCATCAACTTCGGCTTGCCCGCTCCAGAACCCAGTGGCAGTACGGCGAACTATCGGCGATCAATTCAAGCCTGAGCTGCCGTGCATGCGTCGGCACTCCAACGCCATCCACTCTGCCTTGCAGGTCCCGAGACGAGAGGAGCACGGCGGACCGCTGGCCATTGATTCGAGCCTGACCGCTACCGCGCACCCAGCATGTCGTCGCCTGCCGCGGGTCGATGCTGAACGCACAAGCTGCAAGCCGCAAGCACATCCACCCAAAGCGCTCTCCTGCACGCAAAGGCCATTGGCTGCTACTTAGAGATCTCTGCTGCAAGTGTCGCGTTTCCCACGGGTCGCAACACCAACACGCCACCGCCATCAACCTGCGACGATCAGGGCGGCAAGCTGCGAATCGGAGGCTCTCCACATGAACCCTGATCAGGAAGTTGCCTGATCCAGACCACAGCAACCACCGACGACGCCAAGGTGGGCAGCTCGATGCCGCTGGCGAGACGCGCGGCTGGAACTGACCGGGAAGTGCTGGCAGACGCCTCACATGCAGCGGCTGGAGTCCACACCGCTGAGGTATACTGTTCAGCGTATAGGTGGAGTCGATGCGCTACCACGTAGTCAGGACAGCCACGAGAGACTCGTAGAGCAGGGAACCCAGATTGAGCTGTCACCAAAGCACAGCGGACTTCAACGCAGACCAGTGTGCAGCCTTGGTCTTCGACCTGCTCGTAAGAGCCCACCATGAACCCCGCTCGGCTCGACAGGTGTGGCGCATCAGCCCATTTGAGATGGCCAAGACAATGCTCGACTGCAGCGTATCAATAGAGCTCTGCGCTTCCCAGCCACCCGGAGTGGGGCGCGACAACATGAGTTCGATTGCACAATCTCGCCGAAGCAGATGATGCCAGTCTCACGAGAGGTAGGCCTGCAGTCGAAGCGGGTCCTGCGGGCTGGAACCGCGGCTGTGACGCGAGCACTATCAACCGCGGCTCGCAGGCCAGCTTGAGACAAGACCGCTTCCAGCGAGAGAGTATCAGTGAGGACGGGCGAGCGCGGTTGAAGTGATCCCAAAGCGACATCGTGGCTCGTGCGGCGCTAAAAGGGGCGATCGCGAGGCCTGCGTTGTCTCGAACGTACACCACAGCATGAAACACTCCACTCTTTCTCATGCGAGCCGTGAGGGGTGGCAGTCCGGTCCTCAGACGACGTCTCAGACGACCTCAGACGCCCAAAACGCAACTTCGGCTGAGACTCGGACCATCTGACAGACCATACTGCACAACACCATAGAGATGCCCAATATGGCGCCACGGGGAGCTGCGTGTATAAGAGAGCGGGGAGCCATCCAACGGCAACAACCACAGCTCCAAGCTTCATCCACTCAAGCCTCATCCACTCAAGCCTCATCATACAAGTGCCGGTCACTTTGTCACGTTACCACATAATCCACCTCACAACAACCTCATGAAAATGTGCTACCGCTGCGCCACCACCGTCTCCAAGGCCTGCCAGGCAGTCCGGCCGACGCTCCAGGCAGCACCACGACAGCAGGCGCGCCTCATCCACAACACCTCATTCAGACCGTACAAGGGCACTCCGATGACCGTGGCGCAAGCGGCGCAGCACAACAAGGCCGGGATGGCGGGAGTGGGCGCCGTGACGGGAGCGCTGTTGGTTGCGACCGGGACAGCAAAGTTGATGAAGCAGGTCGAGGAGAACAGCATGACGGGGGGCAGGGACAGGAACGGAGTCAAGGCGTACCTGGCAAGGAAGAACGGGCAACTTGTTTGATCTCGGGCTGGAACCTGATAGAAAAATCGAATTTCTTAATGCTCGTCTATGCTTTGATTGCTCACGTAAAGACTCATCCAAGACAAGCCTACTCATCCCAGATGGTGGCGACAACAGCCCCCGAGAGCTGAACGATACCGACGGGACCACCCTCCTCAGCAGTGACAATCTTGCCAGTCTCCAGGTTACGCTCCCAGATGACAACAGTCCTGTTGTTCTGGTGACCGACGGCAACGAGATCGCCCGCCTTGTTGAGGGCGAAATGGCGCGGGGACCAGCCACCTGATGGGGCAAGCTGGAGGAGGTCAAGGGTGCCGTCGTCATTGATGGTAAAGGTGGAGAGGGTGTCCGAGGGGCCAGAGGCAGTCTTGGTGGAGTTGGCAAAGGACACATCACGGTGGGAGACGATGAGGAACTTGTTGTCCGGCTACAGAGGGTTAGCATACTGCAAGACATCTTCGGGGAGTTCTTACCGAAAGCGCAATCTCGGACAGGGGGGACGTCAGAGCGGGGACCTCATTCTCGAATCCCAGTCCGGGAATCTCAAAGATCTTGGTTCCCGTCAGGCCAGCATCGGTGTAGGTAATCTTGTACGTGTAGACGTATTGCGACAGCTCGCCGACAACGAAATAAAACAAGTCGTCAGAGGTGGGCGACTTCCAGAAAACTCCATGACGGGGACCGGATCCAGGATCGGTACGCAGAGGCTCCAACTCGGTGAGAGGGGCCAGGTTCTCGGCATCCCACTTCAGAATCCTGGTGCGATCGCCGCCAAGATCGTTCATGACGAGATACTTGCCCTGGGGGTCGACAAGCACCTGATGCATGTACGATCTGTCTTGGCGGGCGGTCACGGGACCGGTGGTCTCGAGGGTCGGATAGATGATTTGAAGGGGCTCGTCGAGGGCACCATCCTCTCCCAGGCCGATGACGGAGATCGAACTCCGGTTGCTGCGCCAGTTAGTTCAGCTCCAGACCGAGGTCCTCTCCACGTACTATGATGCGGTAGCAAAGCCACGCTTGCCAGCTTCGTTGGTAAAGACTTCGTGACTGACACCAGAGAGGGGTGCGGTGACAGAGTCGATGCTCGTCAAAACTCCATCAGCCGAAGCTGAATAAGAGTTCATGGATCCATTCGTAGAGGACGAAACTCCACGATCCAGACAGTACAGTAGCCGGGTCTTGGAGTCAAAGGTCAGCCATGACGCATTGGCGCCGCAGGCAGTCTTGCTGGAGACTGTAAGATTGTTGCCGCTGTCGCCAACGGTCAGAGAAAGAGAGGTGACGTTTCCATCCGACGTGGCTGCGTAAAGGTTGATGGCGTTGGCTCCCAGCGCAGTGGAGAGAAGTAGGGAGTTGAAGTGACGCATGGTGAAAGTGGGGCGTGGATTGGCGAATCCGAGGTCGGCAGGGGCTGTGGACAGGACGTGTTTGGAGTCAAACACCTACTAGTGATTTAGAGGTGATGCAAAGTCCATGCAAACAACAAACGGTCGCCAATGGCCTCTTATTAAAGTGCGCATTCTGTCGGTTACGGAGGCGATCCTGTATATTAGCCTGTAACTGCCAAGTCAAGAATACGGATGAGCCAAGCCCGCGTGGGGTGGACCAGATCCATTTTACGCCAGCAAACTAGTCAGGAACTCATTGCGGATAGCTGGACAGAAGTTTACTGAGGTGTTCAGGCTCGATTGCGGTCCGCGCTTTGGTCGGCCAAGCGTTTAGACGGTCCTCCTTGTAGATGGTGCAGTTCAGGTCCGTAATGTTCAAGATCCGAGCGAGATTGACCCACGGTTCCGTAAGATCCGGTTTGAGGAAAAGGCTTGTTCCACCAGTCAGATCCTCCATCATTTCCACCTTCCGCAAAGCTGTTGCCCTACGATGACTCGGGTGTCATTGAGAACACGTTGAATTAGAAATGACGACAGCTCGCTTAGTCAAGATCAGATGCAACACGTCTTTGGCTACAAACGATATGTTTAAACTCCAGTCTCTTGGAGAATTTCACGAGGGAAGCACCTCAAAGTTACCTGTTTACTGGACGTCAAAATCTGCACAGCGAGAGAAGCTGCGGAATCTGACTGAGCGGTAAGCTTGTGATCAGTGCATTAGTCATTCAGTTCCGCACAAAGAACACATCATGGAAGCGTACCAGTGGCATCATACAAGAAATATAGCTTAGGAAAACTAGGATGCGTTGATTCAACGCGGAAAAGTATCCGAACACTCCAAAGGTTTCCGTATGGGAATGTGCTGAAAGTTGGTTATCCGGCACGTAGTGTCAAATGAATAGTTAGTCAATGGTGCATTGCCTCATCATTTAAACATCTATGCCCAAGTAGCCGTACATACTGTTGTACAAACCAAATCTTTTTTTGTCGGAATGGAAATGCCACTCCATCTCACCAACCCATCATTTAACCAGTAATCTTGTAGATGCTCTCAGCAAGCCTCTTGACGTTACCACTGGTGATACCAGCAACCGAGATACGACCATCCTTGGTGGCATAGACAGAGTGCTCCTTGGCCAAAACATCCATCTGCTCGGGCTTAAGACCGGTGTAGGCAAACATGCCAATCTGGTTGGTAATGTGGCTCCAGTCATGCTTGGAACCAAGCTCCTCGAGGTGACTCTTCAGCAGAGCACGCATCTTGATGATACGGTCGGCCATGCCCTTGACCTCACCGAGCCACTGCTTGTTCAAGGCCGGGTCGTTCAACAGGGTCGAAGCGATACGGGCACCGTGAATGGGAGGGTTAGAGTACATGGGACGGACGAGGATCTTGATCTGGGAGTCGACACGCTTCTTCTCCTCGGCCGACTCGCAGACGACGGAGAAAGCGCCAACACGCTCACCGTACAGGCCCTAATTAGGCGTCAGTATGGTCCACGTGGAAAAAGGTGGAGACTTACCATGTTCTTGGCAAAGCTCTGGGCCAGAACGGGGAGGTGACCCTGCTCGACAAAGTAACGCAGGGCGTAAGCGTCCTTGTTGGTGTCACCACTGGCGAAGCCCTGGTAGGCCATGTCGAAGAAGGGAAAGTGCTCGCCAGCCTTGACGGCATCACTGATGGCGCGCCACTGCTCCTCGGTGGGGTCGACACCGGTGGGGTTGTGGGCACAGGCGTGCAGCAGAACGATGCTGTTCTTGGGCATGTTCTTAATGTCCTCGACCATACCATCAAAGTCCAGACCAATGGTGTCCTTGTTGTAGTAGCGGTACTGCTTCACCTCGAGGCCAGAGTCGGAAAAGACGGCCTTGTGGTTGGCCCACGAGGGGGTGGGGATGTAGATGGCCTTGGCATGGGGATAGTGGCGCTGGAGGAAAGCACCACCGATGCGGAGGGCGCCGGTGCCGGAGATGGACTGGGTGATGGCGATGCGGCCGTCGGCAATGGCCTTGGACTCGGCACCGTAGGCCAGCTTGGCGGCAGCGGTGGTGAAGTCGGGCACACCGGTGATGCCAGCGTACTCCTTGTCGAGGTTGGACTCGACGACCTTCTTCTCAGCCTGCTTCACCGAGGGCAGCACGTAGGGCTTGCCCTGGTCGTCGCGGTAGGCGCCAACACCTGCGAGCAGTCAGCTTCGAGTCGAACAAAATCAATTGGAGGGCGCACCCAGGTTGATCTTCTGCGGGTGGCTGTCGGCCTTGTAGGCCTCGGTGATGCCCAGAATGGCATCGGGAGGACCTTGGGGAACCTTGGCCCAGGCGGAAGCAGCGCGTGCGGCGGGAGCGACGACGATGCGGCGGGCAGCAACGTGCCTGATGGCGGAGGTGGAGGACAGCATTGTGGGATGGAGGAATTGAGTGCGGAGGGATGATCGGACGTGGAGCTGGTGGTGTGAGTCTATTTACCCCAGAGACCGCGCCGTGCTCGGACGCCGTTTTGTGCCGGGAGCTTGGACCCACCGCCCACCGGTCGGCATTTGGAAGCAACCTTCCGATCCTCTTTTTTTATTTTCCCCGCCCATCACCAGCCATGCACCGCGCCCTCCGCTCGCTGCCAATCTCGCGCGCGGAGCTATGCCGCCTCGAGGCCGCGGTTCCGCTCTTCCTCTGCCCGGCCCTACTTGATCCACCGTTGCCGCCCGTCCGGCGCCTCAAATCCATCGGAGGCTCGCGCGCCCTGTCGACATCGGCGAGAAGGCGAACCCTCTCCCGTTCGTCCGTTGCAGAGCCACTCCACCATGTCTCCACACCGCCTGCCCCGACCCTGCCGCTGTCGTGTCCGGGCTGCGGCGCCCCCAGCCAGACAGTAGATCCCGATGCCGCTGGCTACTACTCTGCGTCACGGAAGGCGGTAAAAGCCTACCTGACGCCCACAAGCGAGAGGGAAGACAGTGTCTTCCAGCAGGCCGTGCAAAACCTGGATCGCTCGTTAAAAGAGCAATTGGCCGGTCCAGAAGATCCTATCCCCCAGGCAGCGGCACCGTCGCCGATATGTGATCGCTGCCATAACCTGCTCAACCACGCCTCTGGCGTCCCCATCCACCACCCTTCCCTCGACTCCATCGAGCAGACCATCGCCGAGTCGCCGTACAAACAAAACCACATCTACCATGTCCTGGATGCCGCCGATTTCCCCATGTCTCTGGTCCCCAACCTGACCACCGCCTTGAAGCTCTCCCCGATGCGCACCCAGAACCGTCGCTCCAAGCACAAGGAATACAGCCATGGCAGGGTGGCTGAGGTAAGCTTCATCATCACCCGCTCAGACCTACTGGCCCCGACAAAGGAGCAAGTGGACAGTTTGATGCCTTATCTGGTCGAGGTTCTGCGTGACGCTTTGGGGAGAACAGGTCGAAACGTTCGCCTCGGCAATGTGCGTTGCGTGAGCGCCAAGAGGGGTTGGTGGACCAAGGAGGTGAAAGAAAAAATCTGGGAGCGTGGGGGTGCTGGCTGGATGGTCGGCAAGGTCAACGTGGGCAAAAGCAATCTCTTCGAGGTTGTCTTTCCGAAAGGCCGCAATGATTCTGTCAACTTTGACAAGATCCGGAACGCTGCCACCACCTCGCAAGCCATTACCCCAGACCAAGTCGCTAACACTCCGACTCCGGGAGAGCAGTTTGATGACGAATTAGACCCTATCGATGAAAACTCGCTTCTCCCCCCGGCCCAACCAGAAGTAGCTTATCCTGTCATGCCCGTTATTTCATCTCTCCCTGGAACTACCGCATCGCCCATCCGGGTGCCCTTTGGAAACGGAAAGGGAGAGCTCATCGATCTCCCTGGCCTTGCCCGTACATCTTTGGATACATATGTCCGACCTGAACATAGGCTCGATCTTGTTATGAAGGGTCGTGTAGTACCCGAGCGCATCAGTGTCAAACCCGGCCAATCCTTGTTACTTGGCGGTGGACTGGTGCGCATCACACCTACGACCAGTGACTTGGTGTATCTGATGCACCCCTTTGTACCACTTACTTCTCACGTCACATCAACTCAAAAGGCTCTTGCCATGGAAGCTGGTGACCGTAAATCTGGCATCGCGTCGGTTGTGGAAGAAGGTATTGGGGAGAAGATGAAGTCAGCTGGTCTATTCTCCCTACGCTGGGATGTCACCAGAGTGCAAGCTGGCCCATTAACACGCAAGGATGCCATTTCGTTGGATCCCGAACGGCTACCGTTCATTGTCTGGGCTATAGACATCCTCATAGAGGGTGTCGGATGGGTGGAAGTCGTTGCCCAGACGAGAAGAGGTCAGCAACTTTATCGCCATGCTGGGGACATTGGTGAAACCTATTCTATTGACGAGGTTGTCCCCGAGGGAACCGAGGTCCCATACCCTGAAATCGAGGTCGTTACTCCAGAGGGCAAATTCATTGGCACCAGACAGCCCATGAATGCGTGGATGTTGAACAAACCAAAGAAAAAGGCTTCGGACCTGAGGAACAGACCCAGAAGGAGCATGGTATCTGTAAAGAACCAGCGCCAAAAAGGCACCACTATGTAAACATCTTCTATCGCTAGACGCTTGATTTCCATCAAGTCCGTCTGTAGAGATAATGTCGAATCCACTCCCATCATTTTGTCTCTGTATGTCGTCCTCGACCTAGGACCTTATCCATTCGTTCTCTTCAAGATTTGACTGGGAAGACGGGACCAATGTGTGATGCTCATCACGCTCACCGTCTATACCCAAACGAGCCTCGATAGCTCTTTGCACGCTTCCTGCGTTTGACCGGAGTGAATGCTCCGACTCCACCTCAGCGTCAGCATTAGCATCTTCAACACGAATGATGGGCGTATCATGGTAACCGCCGTTTTCCGTGTCAATGTACTCTACACCACGCTGGGCGTGTCCGTTGGCACCGACATGACCATTCGATTTGGTACCATTCGCAACGCGCGTCAGCCACGATGGGCGTCGACCGGGCATGTAGAGGATGATCATCTGCAACTCGTCATCAGCCACCTCCCCTCAAGGCTTGTGTTTAAACAACTCACATCCCAGAGCCAAACACCCCCGCAGACGACGATGATCAGCACGGAAATAATCTGTTCCTGCTCCCTCCAAGCCCCAAAGCAGGATTTTTCCCGCTTATAAGTTCTCCAGCACGTACTGGGCACCGTCCTACCAGCTTCGTGCTTTGCAAAAGGCCATGCCATGTCATCGATGCTATGGAGTCCGCAGCAATTGAACGTGTCCTGTATCCTGCGTATCTCAGGGCCCTGGGTATTCCGGAATAGTTTGAGCCATTTCTTGTCCAACCCGCAGGTCAGACCATCTGCAGGTGCCAAATGGGTGCCCGCCATGGTTGCCAAGACGGTGGTAAAAATGGTTAGTGCCAAGAGAGTAAGCATGGTAATATGGTGGTGACGCGCATTGCGTGCGCCAATCGGGGGCGATGCCAGCGTCAGCGAAAATTCAGGTTGGGTAAGCCGGGTGAGGCGCTCTAGGCAGATGCCGTGAAGCGCTGGAAGAATGATGACCAAGCCGCTGAGAATGCCTGGAACCGGGACGGAGAGGAGCTGTTTCCAGTAGTGGGCGTAGCTGGGAGATGCATTAGCGACATATTCCTCACTTGCATCGAAACAACAGGCATAGTGTTGGCTTACCATGCCACGACTGCAAGAGCTACGAGGTACTGTGTGGGACGGTTAGCCTCCTGCAGGGCGACACAAGCTCACACTTACAATAATGCTGAGGACAGTGACGATTGAGCGTTTGCTGTAAGCCATTGTTGTCGCGTTTCTTCAAACCCTGGTGGATGGAAAGCGCAAGTTCAGGACAAGCCAGAAATCCACTCCTTTGGTGGGCTGGAAAAAGCACGTGAAACGGCAAGGGATGTGACGTGAAGGTTGAGTGAGGAAAGGTGTTGTCAAGTCGCAGGGCCGAAATAGGATAAACCGCAGGATGGCTGTCGAAACGGAAAACAATAGGGCACTTCTGTCGTCTCGCGGGGGTGGGCGACCTGTCCGGGAGGCTGGGCAAGAAAAAAAGGGTTGATGGGAGATGCCTCCGATGCTGCACAACGCGCACGCGATCCCTTCCCCTCCTTCCCCCGCTTCCTTCCTACCCAAAAGCAGTAGCAGAGCAACAACTTAGTCTCTCCTTCCCTTTCCACCCACGCTTGCTTGAGACGAGTCCGTAATTCGCCAACACTTGTATGCACGTATTATAGCCACTGTATCCTCAAGCCGAATTGGTCCAGTCCGTCAACTCCGATACAATTGGGTGTACAAGGGTCAAATATCTCCGAGACTGATCGTCAATGCTGAAACAACTTCATAACGCAAAGTTTGGTTGCGCTGTCCCGTGGGGCGGAATTAAGGTTTTCTGGGGAATGTGCTGCTTAACTCCGAGGCCTGTCCGGCGAAACAATGGCGAACAGGAAAAGAAGATGTGGGTGAAGGTGAATGACAATAGCATCGTGCAGCAAGAAGGTCGTCTTATGTGGCGTCTAGCCGCAATTCGCAAGCTGTCACCTGGACCCTCGGAGGTCAGGAAAAAAGATCTTGAGCGGGAACCAAGGCTTGGCTTTTTGCCGCTCCGCGATAGTGGCGTGGTCGATGAATGCAAGCTTGCCTGACGTACTTGGTCCTACGCTGACGTACGTACGCACGCGGTCGTGGTGCAGTTGCGGCTATGGTGCCAGTCGATCCCCCACTAACCGGCCAGCCGTCCATACTAGTGCCCAAGTACTGCGGGACAGAAACGGCCATGTCGTGCGCCCGAAACACCGCAGCACGGACATGAGCCATTTAGGTGGTGCACGTGGTGCCGCGGGAAAAGGCCCATCGAGACGGGCAGATGTCGGTGACAACCATCCGATCGAGGTGACGAGCGATCTGGCGGCGATCATAAGGGTCTTGCTCGATGCCATGCCTGTGCGCGGGCCCTCGCGGGGCGGGGCGAGGCCACGGGTACCCGCCTGGATGGGGCATGAGTCTCTGGGATGGTATTCGAACATGGATCGTCGATGACGACAGTGCTGCTGCCAGGGTCTCGGACTGAGTTGCACGAGCACTGCTTGCTTCTTGTGTCGACCTGCAGTCATGGAATTCTACTTGTACAACTACGGGTTACAGGTACATACATCTATACAACCATTGCACGACGTTACGAGTCGGAACACACGGTCTGGCCAGGCCTGACGGCGAACCTAGCATCTGACACTACGGAGCGTCTCCGGACGTGCATGCAGGCTGCAATTGGCTCCTGCCGAAACAGCAGCACTCTTATCTAAACCAGTGTCACCTCCTGGCCGGACTGCAGCTTGCTGATTCAGGCTTCCTCTTTGTACCGCCGTTGAGATTAGAAATCCGTCACTCTCCCGTTGAAGCTCCAGTCTCCGGATGCGCCCCACCTGAGCGGTTCGTTCTTGGGACCACCAACCTCGCCAGTCTTGGGGTTGGTGTCGCCTTCGAATTCAGGGCGGGTACCTCTTCGAATATCCGGATGTAACTCCTCGCCCTCACCATCTGCGGTGACCTTGTACACCTTCTCCTCGGCGACCGAATCGGGCGACTGGTTGATTTGCGGGCGTGACGATGGCGTTGCAGGCGAAGCCGAGTGCGGTGACTGATTGATAGCAGGAGGCTCTTGTGGTGTACTGAAGGCGCCTGTCGAGCGACGTTGAAGCTCTTCGAAGATCTTCTGTTCCTCGTCCGGCAGGCGATGCGGCGACGGCGAGACACGAAAGTTGGAAGAATAGCGGACGGTTGGTGTGAGGCGGAGCGCGAACCGCCGGGGCCTGAGGATTGCGCGCATTTCGATCTTCTGTCGCGTGTAGAGTCAACAGCGGAGTTGCAGGAAAGAAGTAGCTGGGCGAGAGTCGGGATTGCGAGATCGGTGGCGAGTCGAGCACCGAAGCCAAGCACGTGTCGGCTACAGCGGAGAAACGGATTCTCCAACCTCACCTTGACCTGAACAACTTCCAACAGCTGTGAAAAGGCTACGGCTTGCAACTTCGTCGGCACATCTGCTTACTCCTCATCTTGGCTGCTTCTCTTACAGCACACAGTGAGAGGCGCCTTGCGACATGGGGACCGAAAGCTGACTTTTCACATCTGCGGGCTTCGGCGAGCCAGATGGAAGTCTCAGTGACGTACCGCCTTGTGCACATCATGCCATCTAATTCTCTTCTCGTTTGCCTTGGCCAAGGGACTGGTGTGCAACCTAGTACGCGTTCCGGCCCCAGCTGCGGCAGCTCTCCATTTCCGAAAAGATCTCAGGGCGAGCCCGCGGTATGACCCACATGGCATGTCTGCCCCCGAACATCGTCGTCGATGACAATTTCTTCCCAAACGCCTGAAGCTGTGCCTCTCCTTTTCGACGACGAGGACTCTCCACCAGGCTAGCCGAGCCCGAAAGACTGCCGAAGCATCTCAGCTTGCGTTTTGATATCACGCAGTCAGACTCCGGATCCCGGTAACAACCAAATGTCGACTGTTGACGCGCCGGGGAAAAAGGCTGCGCCTAGGCCGGGTCTGAGGGAAGCAAAAAAAAAAAAGATGCCAGACTCGGCAATTTCAGCCGCGCTTCGCAGTGGAGCAAGAGACGACGCGCGATGACACAAGTGGGGAGCTTGGACGCACGAAATCAGCACCTGCAGGCGCGGGAGAGGTGGCTGCACACGAGGAGGTCAGGTCAGGACCAGGGAGATCGAGTTCGATCGCTGAGAGCGCTCGGGACATGTCAGCTCCGACGGGGCGGAAGCGAGCGGGTTCAGCAGGCGCAGCACGGCGGAGACACGAAGAAATGGTCAGCAGTGCGGATCGGCAGGCCGCGAATCGGGCGACAGAGCGGCGGTCAGAGAGCGCGGCCGGGTCGCATCGAACCGCAGGGCAGCTGTGGCAGGCGTTGGGATCACCAGCTCAGGGGCCCAGGGGCCAAGGCGCCGTTGGCCGGCACCCGAGCCGCAGGCTGCTGGGCGTCGGGGGGAGAGAGAGAGGCGGGGGCCGTGTGCGCGAGACAGGCTGAAAGCGCGGACCGCATCGCCTACGTCACCGGCGCTGCGCAGTGACGACAGGCCGGCGCCCACGACTGCGCCGTTCGTGGTATATCTTCTGACGGGCGCCTGGGGGCGCGAGTTCTAGACTGAACACCCCTCGGACGGCCTGGCAGCGGCACTGGGGAGGGCGCCCAAGCTCGCCCTCAGGCCAACCCCGTGCCGTCGGTCGGGCGTGAGGTCATAGGAGCCTTTTCGGCTCGCGGGCTCCATGGTGGCAGGGAGCGCACGCCCCAGGTCCAGCGAGCGCGTGCCCGGCCCGCCCGCTCAGCAGCAGCGCAGGCAGCCACGAGCAGCAGCGCGCGGTGCCGCAAGGCGCGACGAGCCCGGCGGCTAGGCTGGAGCAGCACCAGCGGGCCAGCAGCGTTTGCGGAGCGTGGTGCTGTCGTCGCTCCCTAAGCGCACTGCCGGTCTGCCCTAAAGCACTGACTCGCCGGCCAAGTAGCACGCCAAACCCCACTTCCTTTCCCCCTCCAAAGACTGATTTTTTGAGCAATCCTAACTCATCATCCTCCTTTCGTCTCGCCTCGTCGGCCCGTTGCGCGCCCTTCATCTGCCCTGCCGCCCCAACCACCGCGCTGTCTCACCACCTGCACTCCGCCAGCCCTGTGCGCCGCCCGCAGCCCGCTGTCTCGCTCCCAGTCCAGACCCAATCGCCTGCGAAGCGCCCGATCATCGCCGCTCCCTAGCCCCGCCGGCACCGCTCCGCCGTTCTCATCCAACACGCGCCACACAAAGCGACCTCGCACCTTGGATTGCTCCCGCATTGCAGAAACCATGGCTGGCGCGACCGACCACCCGGAGGACAGGGTGCGCTCCGCCTCACCGTCTCCTCACGCGCCCGCAACCACCGCTAACCGCCATGAAATCGCAGAGCGAGGAGGGCTCCACCGGCCTGCCGGACGCCGGCGACGCCATTGACACGGCCACCTTTGAGCAGATTCTCGAGATGGACGACGACGAGGACGAGCGCGAGTTCAGCAAGAGCATTGTCTTCGACTTCTTCCAGCAGGCCGAGAGCACCTTTGAGAAGATGGAGTCGAATCTGTACGCCCCCTCCCGCCGGCCTGCACGCTGACGCTGACCCCCCGCAGCGCGAAGAAGGACCTCGCCCAGCTCTCGCAGCTCGGCCACTTCCTCAAGGGCTCGTCGGCCACGCTCGGCCTGACCAAGGTGAAGGACAGCTGCGAGAAGATACAGCACTTTGGCGCAAACAAGGACGAGACGGGCACGCACGACGAGCCGGACGACGAAAAGTGCCTCGAGCGCCTGACCAAGACGATCGCGCAGGCCAAGCAGGAGTTCAAGGACGTCGAGAAGGTGCTGCGGAAATTCTACCACGACGAGCCCTCGTCCACCTCTTCTTCGTAGAAACAGTAATGGCATAGATGAGGGGATCGGCACACGGCTGCGCCGCTGGATCATGAATGACTTGACGGGTTTCGAAGTGTTCGGGTTGAAAAGCTGCGGGAGCCACGGCCTCGCAGACGTTGCATTGGCGGCATTGAGTTAACTTTAGTACTAAACGATGGGTTGATCATGGCACCTGTTTTTTTGCTTTGTGTTGATGTGCCCGCGTGTTGCTAGCGGAGGGGGGGCGTGCAGCGGTATCCTTGTCCCGCGCAGCTGCTGCTCGTCGCCGACGGCTATCTCGGTTGCGCCGCCGTTGGAGTCTATTCCGGGGAATGCAACCTTTCGTGGCCGGCGTCTGCGCTTGCGCCCGCACCCGCTGCCGCTGCAGAATCCGGCCGCTGGTCCGGCACTGGGGCTGGCCGAACCCTGATCCGCAGCGCCCAAGTTAGCCCCAACACCTCTTTCTGCCTCTCTCGAGTCATCCATGCACAGCCACCATCAACGGCTTCTCACCAGGCATCTCTGCTCGAGCCTCTGGACTCTCCGGCGCTTTGCTTCGTTGTGCCCTCACCCGCCCCGGCATCCACATCTTCGTTCGGCTGTCAAGATATTGGGCATTCCCCGGCCCTGCAGCCATCCCAAGCCCCTCATTGGGCACCCAGCTGTGTCGCAAGTTTCACCGAAACACACGGAAATTATGCCTCCCCGCGGATTCGGCAAAAGGAAAGGCGGGTACAAGGGCCCGCTCCCAGGGCCTGACAAGAACGACGCCGAGGGGGAACGGTCCGGCGTGGCGCAGAAGCCCGCCAAGAAGCCGCCTTTAACTCATTTCCTGTGCGTACCGCTGGTGACGACAGAGTCAAAGCCACAACTGCAGGCATCTCTCCAAAATTTCAAGGAGGCCGTGCTGTGCCAAGAGGACGTCGATCTGGCGGGTGATGGTGTTTCTGGCGGAATTCCCGAAAAGGCCATCCGACCTGTAGGGACACTACATCTCACCCTCGGTGTCATGAGTCTGCAGAGTCCCGAGGAAGTCGAAGAAGCAGTCTCCCTCTTGCAAAGCCTGGATCTCGTTGCGCTGCTCAGGGAGAGCCAGCCCACAAATATAGCACAAGCAACAATCCCGCCGCAGCCGGAATCCGGCAAGACGAGTGTCTTGGACGCGTCTACAACTCGCGATCAACCTCCGGTCCCAGGTCCCACCGACCCTCTTGCAATCTCCTTGAGGTCGCTAGTTTCCATGCACCCCCCTGGCAAAACGTCCATCCTCTATGCGCAGCCTGAAGATCCAACTGGTCGCCTTTATTCGTTCTGTGACGGCCTCAGGCGTCTGTTCACGGAAAAAGACCTGATGGTCGAGGACACACGGCCCCTTAAACTTCATGCAACGATCGTCAACACCATCTATGCAAAGGCAGGAGGAAGGCATGGAAAGGGCACATCAGCTGGACATGGGCCGAACGCTCGCGCGCCTGTTCGGATAGATGCAACCTCACTGCTTCCCAACTATGCGGATTACGTGTGGGCCGACAACATACATGTGGGAAAGATTGCCATCTGCAAAATGGGCGCGAAGAAGATCCTCGACGCGCAGGGGAGTGTGGTAAGCGAGGAGTATGAGCAAGTCGCTTCCGCCGAGATTAAAGTGTAAAGCTTCTCGGATGAGTATATTTTACATGGAATGGCCACTTGAAACTCAGTGCGCAAGCTAGCGAAGTAGAACTTTATCCAAGTCTCGCGTACTTCTGACACGGACGTGGGCTGTGGTTGTCGAGAGCATCCAGTTAAATGCCATGCCGCTTCAACGAATTGGAAAGATCTCGGCTAGCCACGAATTTCCAAAAACGACAACACTCGGTGTCTAACCCAAGACGGGAATAATGCAAATGAACCAACAGCGCCACGTAGGCCGATTAAGAGATCAATTTGTTGAGCTGGACACCTATACTACGCCTACTTCCTGTCGTGACCCATGGGTAGAGGGCGGAACGGAGGCTTTTTTGGTGACGAGCAACCACATCAGCCTTCTGGCTGACAGCAAACCAACGAGTATGGCTCATTACCAACAGACTGGTGAGCACACTTTCATCATCTCCCCTCAACTAATCCAGCGCTTTACTATACCGCGTACCACACCTTTCCTACACCGCGTACTCCACCTTGACCCTTTGCTACACCGCGTACCACACCTTGATCGTCGTCTTCGCATCGGCATCCACAGGCACCCAGACAATAGTAGCTCTTCTCCTCTCATCAACCTCCTCCCGTGTCCTTTCTTCACCGTCGACCTCGACGCATACATCCTCCATCCTTGTTCCATCTTCGTGCCATATCACAACCCTGTACTCCGGTCCCACGTCCCTCTTCACTTTCTCGTCCCCATACAGCTCCTCTTCTGGCACGTCTCCCGTATTCCGCGCCGCATCCCACCCCGTCGACACGGTGATGGTCCTCTGCAACGCACTACTCGCACTCTCATCGGTGGTAATCCGCTGGCCGATGTCGACGCGGCGGAAATTACTCCTCGCCTCAGCATCGTCGCCATGCGCGTGGTGATTTGGCGGGACAACGGCAGCAGCACCTCCTCCGGCGTTGTGGTGGTGGTGGCGTGGCGGCAGGGTAGCAAAGTACGTCCCCTCCGGCGCGCTGTTGCGTGAGACGCCGTCGTCGAGGTACATCCGGTATGTGTGGCTTTTGCTCTGTTTGTTTCTGGTCGTTAGATGGTGTCCTTAAGGCATACGTAGCGAGAGATTTGGTTGGTGAGGTTGGGAATGATTGCTCTTACATCAGCTCGGCCGGGGTAAATGTTGATGGTGATGGGGTTCGCTGGTTGGTCGTCTGGCTGCTCTGCTGGTGGCCGCGTGCGGTCCGGGACGGATTGGCGCACTTGGATCTGCGGGATGATGGCTCCTAGGAATGAAAGTCAGCTCGGAGTCTACGTGCAGAAGTGATGGCAGTGCTTCAGACCTTCTCGGATGTACATGGGGCACACGAACGGGAGCTGGCTTTCATCGGCGCTGATGCGGCAGTCATAGTCGACGTATGTGGCTCCCGCGACTTTGGGAAGCAAGGCTTCGCCGATGCTGTCGTGTGGCCGGAGGTTCATCGCATACCAAGAGTTTGTTGAAGGGAGGTAGATTTGGCGGCGGGTGGATTCGCTTCCTTTGTGCAGTGAAGGGGCGACGAGGATGTCGTTTCCGGCTAGGTACTGGTTCTCGGTGAATTTCTCGTTCTTGGTGAGTAGAGAGCCATCGAGGGGGTCCGTTGTGACCATCGCTCTTGCAATGGGCAGCCCTGTGATTGTGCTTTCGAACATGGCGTCGTAGAGTAGTTGAAGCAAGCTGTATCGGAGACGGACGATGTACCGGCATGCAGGAAGGACGGCCTCGAACAGCTCCCGCTCCTCGTCTGCCATCCTGTCCCTGTTCTCCCTGTAGTATTCCTCGTACCTGTACGGCTCTTGGAACAACTTCTTGTCAGCGTCTCGGACGTGGCTGGGATTGTCCTCGAAAGGCTCGTGCTTTCCGCTGTAGTGATTCCTGCGAAGCGTGAGCAGCCTGGACGTGTATCAGGGGGGATTTGCCTACCGAAACCATGGGAGAAGGCTGTTTGCGCAGTACCAGCGGATCAGCAGCTCCGGGTTGGCGAAATTCGTCTCCCCATATGCGAGCTCGAATCCGCCAACATCGGCACCTGCCATCGTCATGCCAGACATTCCAAGGGAAAGTACCTGCACGATAGAAACTCTGAGAAACTCCCAGGTAGAGGCGTTGTCACCAGTCCACAGACCCGCGTAGCGCTGCGCGCCGGCGAAGCTGCCTCTGCCGATGATGAAGTTCCGCTTTCCTTTGCGGCTGTCCAGCTTCTTCAGGCCGCTAAAGGTAGCTTTGTGCAAGTTGAGACTGTACAGAGACCAGATCTCAATGGCTGCCTTCAAGTCTTTCTTGTCGTCCAACCCCGCGTTGCTCCGTCTCCTCTGCCTTTGCTCTCCTTGCCAGCTGTCCGACTCTAGTAGGAGTCTGAATGGCCACGACTTCATGTCTCCATAAGTCTCGCCTATGCAGGGCGAGGTCATGTCCTGCCAGACAAACTCGAGACCGGCATCGAAGAGGTCCTTGTACTGCTTCCCCCACCATTCCCGAGTGGCCCGGTTGTTTAGGTTCGGATAGTGTCCCGGGGCTCCTTGGCCATCGCCGTAAGACACGCCTCCGTGGAATGGCACCGCCTTGTTGAAATGTGCAGCGAAGTCATAGTCGTCAGGATACGGCCTCCTGCCGACATCGTTCGGATTTGTAAAGTACAGGTCCGCGTTTCCGTACTGCATATATCTTTGATCCATGCAGGTCGGCGCCGACGGATCGATCAACCTGCGATCAAGCACGAAATGATCACCCGCCATACCCTCGTTCAGCGGAGCGTACTTCTCGTCCGGTGTGCATCTAATGACCGGCGTGATGTTGGTACTACATCGAACGCCTTGCTTTCGTAGTCCCAGGAACATCTGCTCTGGCTCAGGAAACCTACTCCGGTCAATGGTGAACGTCCGGTAGCCTCTCTGGATGTCTACGTCGATGTGCATGCCGTCAAGCGGGAATCCGTTTTCGCGGTACTTGCGGACGGCTTCCTCGACCTTCCATTGGCGGTCGTATCCGTAGCAACCTTGGTGGTAGCCGAGGACATACCGGGGCATCAGTCTGGGCTTCCCGACAATCGAGGTGTACAGCCTGGTTATCTCTGCCGTGTTGTTTCCGGCCATGAAGACACCCTGGAAGCTGTTGAACCTCGTTGCTATACGAAGCAAGCTGTCATCTGTCTTGCCAATGTCGAGACAGACGTGAGAATAGTTGTCGACGAAGGTTGCCACCTGCGACAGGTAGCCAGGATGTCTGTTCAGCTCTATCCAGAATGGCTCCGAATGGTACAGTGGCTCCGCGGCTTCTTCCGGCCCTTTCGCGTAGATGTTGTTGTAGCGCATGTTGTCAAAGTTAAAGTAGTTCAGGTACACCTTATCCTTGAACAAGCTCTTCCCACCCTGTCCTCCAAATCCCATATACTTTGCCTGCGGTTGTTTTTCCACGGACAAGATTGTCGAACGCTGATCGTACTGCAACGGGTTCTCGATTGTCTGCCAAATGACAGCTCTTCCGGAATGACCCGGAATATCCACCGGTATGGTAACCGGGGGGCGTCCCAGGGGCGAAGCGACTTTGATTGTGCGGACTGCGGTAATTTTGAAAGGGCTCCGCTGGATCCACAACTCAACTACAGGGAGGCGCTTCCCCTTGAGCACGACCACGGATCGAAGAATGAAGTGATTGACGTGCGTAGGGTCAAACTCGACGTCCCAGACGATATCCTCAGCGGTGTCCAGAACCCGAATCATCCTGGACAATCTTCCCTCGAGCATGGTCCGTCTGCCATCGTTAAATGATTTGGGCTGCGTGCTCTTGACTCGAGGCGGGACTCACGTATTCCACTCCGTGAAGTCCGATCCACGCCTGTAACTGGGGTTGAACTGTATCCTCCATACGAGAGGGCGGATGAACTGGACGAGCAACACAGCGTCGTCGTTCAGCCGGAAAATGCGGCCGTGAGAACTGGCTGGATTCCTCGTCTTCTCTTCCGTGAGCTGGTCGTCCGGCTTGTACGTGACGCAATTGGGTTGGCATTTCGCCGTGAAGTTCTCAAAAAAGTCATCCGCCGGTACGAAGCGGTATGGGTCGTGGTGTTTCGGGTGCGCTGCATCTCCAGAAGTTTGCGTATTGTCTCGGCCGGCCCACGGCATCGTGGAATGGAGGAAAATGAAAGAAAAACAGTGAATTGAAGTAGAAAGTGAGGATTGCTGCAAGAAGTCCCGAGAAAAGCGACGCCGACGCTTGATGCTTCAAAAACACACGCTGAAGTGAAAGTGATGTAGCAAACTGCGCGATTAAAACGGAAGCGGTGGGCAAACTCATGGATATAGCAACTTCACTGAGATAGGCTGACTCGGGCCAGGGGTCCGCTTGGAGCGCTACGAGAGCAAGCACGCACGTGTTACTATCCTTTTTCAGTTAGCTCAGCTGGGCGAGGCCGGTTACGGTCTAGAATCACGGCCACAATTGTACACAGGCAAGCCCCTGAATCATGAGTTATACCAAAGCCACAACCGCCTCTTCCGAAGTTCCATATGAATTTTCATTTGTCTTTCCGACTTCGTCTGCCGGCGAGAAAAGAAGGGAGTAGGGGTGTCGATTTCTCGTCCCATCTACCGCTACATCAGATCCGTGCGCCGCACGGATGGAGACGCCCCCGACAACCGTTCATTGCACCAGTGAACAGCAATTGACATCCAGCGTTCACATCCTGCCCAAAATATTATTCTAAGCTTTGGGCTTCCTCCTCGTGGCGAAGACAGAGGCTGGTCAAAAGAGATCCACACTCGCGTTTGGTACTGGCATGGTCCCAAACCACCACCATCGTCCGATGCTCTGGGTAAACCTTCACTGCAACATCTGAAACACAAGACGGCTGAAACAGCTAAACGTTCGCAGTGCAGTGCACCGGGGCCAATGCACAAAGTTACGTGAATACAAAGACAGACGCTAGTATCGCATTTTCCTTTTCACAGACCATTTACATATGAGCACCAAAGAGTAAAGCCAAATCCCCCAGTTTTTCCTTCAAACCTTCCTACTAACTGTCTATGCGCTACCGCCACGACCGCCAATCTTACTCAGCGCCGCCTTCTGTTCGGCGCTGAACTCGCACTTGGGCAGCGCCCTCTCGCCAGTCTTCGTCGGCGGCGGCAGGAACCCGACCGCAACCAGGAAGGCTAGGTACGCACCAACTGTCTCGACCGTGACGGCGCTACCGGCCGACACGTCCTCGCCGGTCCACTTGGCATCAGCGCGGAGCGCGGCCGCAGCCTGCGCGTCGTCGAGCTCGGGGGCGATGGTGTCGGCAGGGAGGTTGCCGGTGACGAAGTGGAACAGAGGGAGCAGAGCGTGCTCCTCCTTCTCGCCATCGATGGAAGCTGCGACATAGTCCTCCATCTTGGTGCGCCATTCGTCGTATGAGACCTGCGGAATGTCGTAGCCGTATGACTCGAGCGAGCCGACAAACTCGTTGAAGGTAAGGCGAGGGTGGCTGGTAACCTGCGTGACTCCAAGAGGCTCGACGGGCGGGTTGAGGGTCGAGGCAACGACGACGCGAGCGACGTGGGTGACGGGGACCTGGTTGACCGTGTTCTGGATATCCGGACGAGCGTTGAGCTGGAGGCAGCCCTTCAAGAGACGGACGAGGAAGTCATCGGTGATCGAGGTACCAGTGACAGGGTCACCAGTGACGTATCCAGGACGGATAACGGCACCCTTGAGACCGCGCTTACCAGCCTCGCGGACAATGTATTCACTGGCCCACTTGGACTGTCCGTATCCGGTGCCGAGACCCTTACGGCTGCCCTCCATGTCGTCGGCCTCCAGAACACCCTTGCCGCCCGCTGCCACGCTCTCCTGGGAGAGCTTGACGTAGTGCTCGCTATCCAGGGTAGAGGTAGAGCTGACAAAGCCAAGCTGCTTGGGCTTGCCGCTTGTGCACAGCGCAATGGCGTTCATCGTGGACAGCACGTTGGGGGAGCGGAGGCTGGAGTACGGTTGCATCCAGTTGACCAAGGCGCCGTTGTGGATGATGACGTCAGTCTCATTGGCAACGCGCTCCCAAGCATCCTTCTCAAGTCCGAGATTGGGCTTGGACAGGTCGCCAATGACAACCTCGAGCTGCGAGCGCCAGGCCTCGGACCAGATACCGTACGCTTGGCAGGTGGAAGCAATACGCTCAAGACCGGCGGCAGGGTCCTTGGCACGAACGTGCGCAATGACACGCAAGTTGCGGCTAAGCAAGTCCCTCAGGAGGTAAGAACCTAGGAAACCAGTGGCACCAGTGAGGAAAACGGTCTTGGACTCCGAAAAGTCAAGGGCGGCAGAGGGGATGGATTTCGGCAGTTGTTGTGCAAGCTCGCGAGCATCGGCAGAATAAGCTTCATCCGTAACGTCATCAGGAGCAGGAGCGTGCTCCAGACGCAGACCAGCTGGATCCTGAGCGCGGTCGATTTCGGTGGAGAAAGCCTCGAGAGTTTGCGACTGAAAGATGACGCTCATGGGAACGTCGATGCCCTTCCACGTTCTCCTGACCTGAAGAAGCATCTGTTGGGCCAGGATCGAGTGACCGCCCTCCTCGAAGAAGTTTGACTCGGGGGTCAACATGCGAGCCGACGTGTTCGGCAGCAGCTTACCCCAGATCTCAGCAACCTTCTTCTGGGTCTCGGTCATGGAGGCAGCGACTTGGGAAGGTCTCCTGCCGGCGGCAAGGAGAAGATCGGTAGGCTCAGGGAATGGCAGGGCCGGCTTGTCGATCTTGCCGTTGGGGTTGAGCGGCATGCGCGATAGGGGGACGAAGACGCTGGGAACTGCGTAAGATGGCACCTTGGTCTTGAGGAAGCTCCTGCAGTCATCCGACAAGGGCTTGAACTTCTTCAACATGCCAACCATGGTCTCATCCTGGGAGTCATCCGCAGCAAGACCCTTCTCTTCCAGCCACTGGAGCCAGCGCTTCATTTCGGGAACAATGTAGCTGACCAGAGTCGGCTCCTCGTCCTTGTTCCTGCGCACCAGAGTGACGTTCTCACGAATGAGCGGGTGGCGCGACAAGTGGGTGTCAATCTCGCCGAGCTCGATACGGAAACCTCTGATCTTGACCTGGTTGTCGATGCGGCCAGTACACTCGACGTTGCCGTCAGCGGTGTAACGACCCAAGTCACCAGTGCGGTAGAGACGGTCACGAGGGCCCTTGTAGAATTGCCGCCAGGGCTCCTTGACCCCGGAGGCAGCGACCTTCTCCTCATCCTGCTTAACCCACTGGGCAGGGTCGACAAACCAATTGGCGATAAACTTGGACTCGTTCAACTTGGCAGTAGTCTCGTCGTTGCCAAGGTATCCCTCCGCCAGGCCACCCGCTCTGGTAAAGATTTCTCCCTGCTCGCCGACATCGCAGATACGGTTCCTGTTCTCGCGGTCGACGACTAGCAATTGAACATCAAGCATACCCTTGCCGGCGGGAATGATATCGCCCATGGTGTCGAGGAAGTTGGGGTCGTCGTTCTTGCTCGGAACCTCAAAGTAGGACACAGCGCGCTGAGTCTCGGTGGTTCCGTACATGTTGACGATGCGAACATTGTGCGCCAGCTCCTGTAGCCTCTTGCAATCTCTCTTGATCAAAACGTCGCCGACAAAGAAGGAGTGGTGGAGCGAGGGGAATTGCGCGCTGGCGCCTCCAACGAGAATTTGACCCATGGCAGGGGTAAGGTGGGTAACGGTGGCCTTGTAGTTGCGCATCCATTCGGCGAGGAGCTCGTGTGCAATATCGTCGCGGCTGGGAACAAGGAGCTGCGCTCCAAGGAAGAGGGGCGTGAAGATATCTCTCTGCTCCGGTTAACCAAAGACGCCATTCACTGAGCCCAGAATTTACGCACCTGGATAGGGTCGTGGGCAATTCCAGACAGCATAGTAAACCTGTCATTCTCAGACAGATTGAATCTTTGTGCCATCCAGGGGAAGTAGTATGCCAGAGAGAAGTGGCGGCCCTGCACACCCTTGGGTCTACCTTCGGAGCCACTGGTAAATGAGAGGGTCGGGATCGAGTCGGGACCAACCAAGACACCAGGCAGCTGGCCCTTGACAGACTCCTGCGCCTCGAGGCAGTCCTTTCCATCGATCTCACCGCCAGCCAGAGTACCGTCGTCCCGAAGCTTGAGAGCAGGCACTTCTGCCTTGATGCTCAGGTTCTGAGTGATGAATTCTCTGACCTTGTCCGGCAGCTTGCCTGCCTCCTCGGTAGCGCGCTCGATCTGAACGAGGAACCTGGGGCTCGCGACTTCCAGGTATATGGTCTGGCGGTCGGGAGGGTACTGGGGATCGAGGACACTGACGGTGGCACCGGCCTTCAGAGCGCCCATGTATGCCACGACGAGGTCGACACTGCGGCGGGTCAGAAGCGTGCTAGGAAAACGGGTGCCGGCTGTCCACTGACCCACGGTGGGCGTAGACCATAACAACGTCCCCGCGCTCGCAGCCATGCGCTACAAAGTGGTGGGCGAGCTGGTTCGAGCTCTCATTGATCTGCTTGTAGGTGAAGACACGCTCGGGGGTGCGGGCGCTCGGGGTTTCGACAACGCATGGTCTCTCGGGGTGCTTTTCGGCATTGGCGGCGAAGATTTCGTGGATTGCTGGGCGCGGTTGAGCGATTGGCTACTTGGTGAAGTGAGATCATGTTTACCTCCGCGGTAGTCGCTCCAGTGAAGGTCGGCGGTGGGGTCCGGGAGGACCGATGCGGTGCCGTTCTGAGCCATTGCTGCTGCAGGACCAGGCCGGGGGAAGGGAAAAGGAAAGAGAAGGGAAGCAGAGCGGTGGTGAAAAAAGAGCCGGCCGTTCAGAGGTGGGACGAGGTGGGCTGCATGAGTCAACAGCAATCAGTCGCGTCGCAGAAAAACCTGGGGAATGACGTCCGGCTTCGGCGGGGCCCTGGCCGTGGCGCTGCGGCGGTCTTGGCAGGGCTTATCCGGCCCGATGAACATCATCGCGCTGATTCGCGCGCGCCGACCACTGGACGCGCAACACCAACTTTACCCAGGCGCGCCGCCCCTCGCAACTCCATCACGCCTGTTGTCACCTCCTGGCGTGCTCTCGAAGGGCGCCTCTCTCATCCCGCTCTGTTTCGTCCACGTCGCCCCGTCCGCTGTCACCATCACGCGTTCAATCGCCCTTTCGTGGCCCTTGTCGCTCCCGCCCTATATAGGGGCCGCGAGCTGCTCGTATCCCTTCCATCGCTCCGCATGTCGCTCTAGTCGTCGATCATACCCCGCTCCACAATGGCCCGCATCTTCATTCCTCCCCGCTACAAGGTCGTGCTCGCCATCGTCGTATTTTTCTTGGTGAGCTTGATGCTGTTCGGCTCGCCAACAAACATCGATCACGTTCCCACCTACCAAGAGGTTTCCGAGAAGATCAAGAACCCCAACCTACCACAAATTCCGAATTCGTACAATCCGTTTGCGCCAACAGCCCACAAGCCGCCCGTCCAAGCCAACAGCTCCAGCGGCGAGACATCATGGTTCAGTGACTGGAAGTGGCAGAATCCCTTTTCGTCTTCCATTACTCTGGACGAAAACAGGGCCGTCCTCCCGCCTTTGCGGCCTCGCCAGCCCATCTATACATTCTATGATGGCGATGCGAAGCAGGACCCGGCCATCCGCGAGGCCGAAGAGCAGCTGCTTCTGCAGTGGCGACGCGCTTGGTGGGCCCAAGGTTTCAAGCCTGTGGTTTTAGGTCGCGGCGAAGCCATGAATAACCCTTTGTATAAGACCTTGCAGCTGGCAAACCTCAAGGAGTCGCCCGAGCTACAGAAGCTGGAGCTTGAGGTTGCCCGCTGGCTGGCATGGGGAAACATGGGCACTGGAATTATGACCAACTGGCTCACTCTTCCCATGGCTCCTCACGATGATCCCTTCCTTGTCATGCTTCGCCGTGGAGAATATCCTAAGCTCACGCGTTACGAGCCTCTCCGGAACGGTCTGTTCGTCGGAGAGAAGGACGCAATCAATGCTGCAGCCAAAGCCGCTCTGAACGATCCTGTAAAATTGAAAAAGGCTTCGGATATGGTCGATGCAATTCCCCAGGACATGTGGACGATAGACAAGCAGGGTGATGCCATCGCTCTTTACGACCTCGTGACCATCAAGGACAAGTACAAAGACGTCGCCAAACTACTCGAAGGCAAGGCAAGCGCCGAAGGTCTCAAGGCTTTAGCGCAGTTGATAAATGCGCATCTCCACAACACATGGCAGAGCAACTTTGAAGAGGGCGTGATTGTCGTCAAGCCCGTGCCAACGCACATGACGGCGCTGAGCGAAGAGGCAATCGACATCGCGCGTAATCTGACGCAGTGTTCCGAATCGCCCATGCCCGCCACCAACCCGCCTAACCGCAAATACAAGGCCTGCGTCGCCTCGACGCCCATGAAGGTCACGATCCTGCCCGTTTTCCGCAACTCCAGCAAGGTCTTCAATATCGGCACCGTCCCACACCCCTACACGTTCCTCTCGCTCAACTACCAGCCCGACGTCCTCAATGCGCGCTTCCTGCGCCGCGAAGTCAAGGAGCGCGACCTCTGGCTCGCCTCGGCTACGAAGGAGATCCTCGGCGCTGGCCGCAGCGCTGGCACGCGCCTCTCGCACTTTAAGGAAGCTGTCGCTTCGGAGCGCGGCGCTTACCACTCGCTCTGGCTCACCGCCGAGCGCGAGTCGCAGAAGGATCTCAACTGGATCTTCGGCTTCAACCTGCCTAACTCGCCCCCGGACGACGGCCACTCCGAGACCCCTGTCCCCGGCCCCGAGCGCCGGCCCCCTCCCCCCAAGCCCGACGGCCCCGTCCCGACTGAGCAGGAGCTCGGCCGCGAGCGCGAGCTCATGCGCAAGGCCCGTGACGCCATCAAGAGCAAGGTCAAAGAGATGATCCGCGTCAGAGAGGCTGTCGAAGCGTGGAACATCGCGGACGCCGAGGCGTGGCGGTTCGCCCGTGCGTTCTCGGCGCGCCGGCGTATGGAGCGGCTGGTATGGGAGGAAGAGGAGAGCAAGTTCGCTGGTGCCGAGAGGAGGAAGGGAAGCAGCTGGGGAAGATGGTTCGACAAGGACAACTGAAGAATTAGACATTTTTGGCCTTCCCGTTGGTGAAAGATACAGGAAGCGGAGAGACGAAAATCCAAACACAACACGATACGGGGATAGACTTGGATTGTTTTGTTTTACATACTTTGGGGATTGTTCGGATAAGGGGGTCTTGAATGGGAAGTGTACCATCATATCCTACGGCGCAGGCGTCTTGTTTATAACATTTTTCTTTTGGTTCTGTCTCCCTGATGAGATAGAAGTGGGTGGAGTACAGGGAGAAGCCCTTCACTAAATGCTGTTCACCTTGTTGGACTTTGACATTTCCCGAAACGCTTGAAAATTTTCACTCTTAGTCGCGACGCCTCATCGTCGCCATCCGCCGCGCCGCCTTGGCCAGATCAGCACGCTTAAGCTGTCACTGTACCTCTCCACGCCAAGGTCTCCGCGCCGTCTCAGCTAGATCAACACACCTGAGCTGTCACCATACTTCTTCTTCCCCGTCTGTCGCGTCACTTTCTCTAAGCGCCTCTCGCCTGTAATCAATTACCTCGTCTTCACCTATCCCAACTTCGAGTGGACCCAGCATGGTATTCTCCGGCTGGAATCTTTTCTAAATGCCGAGGTCGCTAGCGGACGCTTGACGCGTGGACTTTGGAAGAAAAGAGAATGGGTTGGAACCGCCCTTACAGAAGGAACCCGGAGCTGGGATTGTACTATATCGCGTGTGCTGTCCCTCTCCCCTCTTACCGCGACTACTGCTCGAAGTGGCGATATCACCCGCTCTAACAGATGGACGCGGGATATTTTTTTTGCAGTGGAGGCATGTCACCATCACCATCAACGGGCTCCATATGAAGGTATAAATGCTGTTCACCTCGTTGGACTCTGACATTTCTCGAAATGCTTGGATTTTTTTCACGCAAGACCAGCTCTCAGTGCCGTGACCGACTTTCTTTTCGTAAACGCCCTCTTCGTCAAAAACATATCATACAATTGAATAGAATCCGAAATGCGCTTAGATCCCCGTCACCACAAACTCTTCGGCGTGAAGGAGGCAAGAGCAAGAGAGATGAGAACCTCTCTATTTGCAAGAGTCGCTGCCGACGATGAACTCGCCGTCCGAGTTCTCGCAACCGCACTCAGTGGTGTTAGGATCACGGATGCACCCAGTGCCCACGCCGCTAGATTCGCCGTTGTCACTATAGAAAAGCAGTCAGCAATCGCATCCTGGCAGGTTCTGCTCACGTCGAAAGAGCTATACTCACTTCCAGAAGAAGGTCCAGCCGTCGGTGTTGGCGGTGAGCTGGCTGTCGGTGGGGGCGGTGCAAGTGTAGGCCTCGCAGGTTCCGTACGAGATGCCGTTGGAGTTGGTCTTGGTGCGAGTCCAGACGGCGAAGGTCTGGGTGCCGGAGACACGCGTGTTGTGCGAGCACTCGGCGGCCTGAATGTTGGTCGACTTCTTGGTCGCCGAGCACGCCGGGCTCTTGGGCACCTTGCCCTTGGTGTTGGTTGTGCACGGGTCGAGCGTCGCCGACACGGTGGCGGCGGTTGCGAGCACGGCGGCGAAGGTGGTGAAGCGCATGGTGAGAATTGTTTTGAAATATCTTAACCGGTAAGATTTGAAACTTGAAACGAAGGACGTGAAGTCGTGCTGAAGAGAGCGGAGGGCGGTTGGGCTGGGTGGAGCTGGAGAGGGAAGATCCCAAGACTGCTTGGCTGACGGGTGTTTATATAGGACTTTCTCGTCAGGGAGCTTGGGATTCTAGAGCCGCTCAGCCGCTCGGAAGAAGGCAAGCATGGGATGATTCGCAACCGGGTTTGGGCATGTTTGAAGCTCGGCCAAGACCTCGAGCGCCATGATGATCCGTGGGTTGTGAAACCCGACACCATCTTGGTCGGCAAGGCCGCCCTACATCCGCTGTTCCTCGAACTGCCGTGCAAATGAGGACTATTGGGATGGGGCCAGCAACGTGTGGCTAGTGAGGAGATCGAACGGCCTCGAATCACCGTTGTACTTGTCAAGACGGCGCCGCGCCGGCACTCCCGTTGATTGCTCCAAATTGAACCAACCGCAAGACTCTCTAATGACGGAGATGCGGGCGAGAAGGAGGCGGGGAGCCTCAAATTGGCAAGGTGGAGTTGTTGTGGGGTCTAGGAGGTTTCATGTATAGCAGGGCTGCGGTACTGTTACAAAGTAGGTCCGCGCACGGGGCGTTCCCCTATTTCATTTCGACGTTGTGGCGTGCAGGAACTTCATTGTACGTGACACTGGCGCCTCATCAGAATACGAATTGTCGGCAGAGCCCGCAGTATTCCCGGCGGCATGCTGTTCATGGTTTGCCTTGTTTGGCAGGAACTTGGAGATCCTGATGTCCAGTTTCAGGCCCGCCAAGCTCATGAGTATGCTTGTTTGGATTAAAGGTCGTCTTCCTGGGATGATCGGCCAGTTCTATGTAGCGACGACGGAAGCAGCACCGGCGGTAACGTCGCAGCTTGACTCGGGAAGTTTCCACATCGCATCTCGTTAGGAGGGCGCAGCAATCAGTGGGTACTGCGTACACGCAGGCCCTGTGCTCTTAACTGGCCACACGCCACCAGCATCTGCTGTTTCCAGCCGTGAAACCCAATGGACAGAGACAAGCGCGACCATGGACTGTAGAGTGAACGTGGCAGTTGCTGTCTGGAAGGGTTCGAAACAGTACATGCGCCGGAGCGGGGACCTCCACAAAAGCGAGCCCGGGATGGTAGTGATCGGAGAGGCCTGAAAAGAGGAAAAGGCGCCCGCAACCCTGAGCTGGAAACAAGAAACAGAACAAAGACGAAACAAGCCAGAGAAAAGAGAAGAGAAAATGGTCCGGCACAGCGTCGTGTTCGGCGGACTCGGCAGCAAGGCCGGCAACAGCGGCGATACGAACGAGGCGTCCAACACCGACAGCGGCGAAATACTGCAAAGGCGCCGGCGGAGCTCGATCAGGGTGCCCGGCTTCATGTCGAGCTTGCGCAGGCTGTGCGACGGCGTACAGCGTCAGGCACGCAGCCGCAGCAACAGCAACGGGTCCAACGGATCGGACGTTGCGAAGAAGAGCAGCAGGTCGACGGAGAACCTCGTGGCAGCGTCAGGCGAAGGCTGCAGCGACGCGAAGAGCGTGCAATCGGTAAGTCGCACCCCGGATCTGCAGCACGATCAAGCGTGTTCCTGCATGCCAGCGTAAAGCAAGCTGCTGATGCTAGCCTGAACAGGAAGTTTCCAGACAATCGACCTCGTCGACGCGCGAGGCATGGTGATCGGCGCGGGAGGACTGGCAGGGACCGGACGGCAGAAGGATACCAACGGGTTAGAGCCAGAAGAACGAGAGAGCGAAAGCGGGGAAGAAATGGACGGGGCGGCCACGACAAAATCGTCGACAGCCGAGGATCGCGGGGATTTCCACCTCTCGAGGCTTCCCAAATTGAGAACGTACATCGTTGTCCACTCACGCGCCCACTTCGCATTCGTGATCACACACGTCCATGTCAAAGTGAGCCATGCCTGAGCTGGAGCCTAAGCGCCGTCGCTCGTCGCCACCGGCGAACACCAAGCGGAGACGGCTGGACGACGCTGCTAAGGTCCACGGCGAAGTGTGGCTACCACCCCACAACCATGAAGCCGCAGGAAGTGATCATCGCCGACTCCAGTCGCCAGCTGCGGTGCCCGGAGGCGACGACGACGGCACCAGGCACCCATTCTCGCCCTCTTCGCGCCTCGACCAGCACGCCTCGCCATCGGCATACAACATTAACCACGACGACAACCACCATCACAGCACCGCCTTCACTCAGGCCCCTACCTCTACCATGGTCTCCGAAGTATCGGTATCAGCTGCAGTGGCAGCAGCAAACTCTGCATCCTCGGTATCCGGCTTTTCCCCTGAACTGCTGATGGATCCCCTGCTTGCATCGTCTCCTGGCAGCGGCGGCGGCCACGCGCAGTGGCAGGGCAGCGCCGGGTTTCTCCCTCCGAGCCCGGACGATTACAATTGCAACCCAATGTTCTTGGCCTCGCAGGAGGAGCTGCGCAGCCTTCTCTTCAACACCGCCCAGTCAACTCATCCCACGCGGGCCTCGAGCCCTGCCGCCGCCGGCGGAGGTGGCAGGTACGCCGACGAGATTATCGACGCAGGAGGAGGCGGTGGCGGCGGTGGTGGCGGAGTAGGGGGCTCGTTGTCCTTGGCCTCGGATCGGAACCAGATGAAGCAGATCCTGAGCACCCGCAAGAGGGTCGAGTACCTGAAGAACTATCTCGCCAAAGTGGCGCCTTGGGTGAGTCCTCTCCGCTGACTTTCCCTGCACTATTTTCTGTCTGCAGCACATATTGTTTTGGGTGATGCAACGCACGTCGAGGCTATCCAGCTCGCTGCTCCAAGTTTATTAAGCAACTCAATTTATCAAGCGCCTTCAAAGAGGCGCGCGTATGCACAAATAGACTTCACCCAATGAGACATGCATCTGCCTTGTCTACATACCCTATACAAGCAACACTGGCGCTCACTGACTCCTCCAATTAGCTCGACATGTTCGACACCTCCCGGCACTTCGGCATCACCGTGCCCGCGCTCGCGCAAACCCAGCCGCCCTTACTCTACGCCATCCTCGCTCTCTCAGCCCGTCAGATGGAACGCCTCAACAGCGGCAGTGGGTCTGGGCGCCGTGGCGGCGGCGGTGTCAGTGGTGGCAGCAAGCACTACCCGGCCTCCGAGTCCTTGGAACTCTACCAGGAAGCCATCCGGCTACTAACGCCCAAACTCCCCGAGCGATCCCCGCACATCCTGACCTGCTGCGTCATCCTCTGCTGTCTCGAGATGATGTCGGCAAGCCCGCAGGACTGGCGTCGTCACCTTGAAGGCTGCGCGACGCTGTTTGACTCATTCGATGTAAACGGTTTTAGTGGTGGCTTGATGCAGGCCGTATTTTGGTGTTACTCGCGCATGGGTCAGTCTCTATCCACCTCTGCAGCCCCCTTTCAGTTCAGTCCGTCTTCATCTCTTGAGATTGTCTGCTGATCCAGTCCAGATCTTTGTGGCGCATTGATATCTGATGGCACCGAAAGCACGCTCCTTGCGCTCCGCAAATGGGTCCCTGCAAACGTGGCCGAGGACGACGTCCATGATCTCTTCGCATCCCACCGCAGCCCGGACATGCACGCCAACTACGCCGTGTATCTCTGCTCCAAAGCGTGCGAGCTACTATCGGACCGAACCAAGTACGCCGAACTTGGCGTCGACAACGGCTGTACCGGCCCTGCTTACGCTTTGCGTTGGAAGCGACTTTGGCACGAGCTGTCTCTCTGGCTCGACGAGCGCCCGGCCGAGCTGTTGCCAGCCAAAACGATACGGCAGAAGAGCGACAAGCCGTTCCCGGAAATCCTCTTTATTCACTGGGCTGCCATTAGCTCGAACCAACTGTACCATACCGCGTGCATCTTGCTCCTGAACTCCATGCCCAAGAGCCTGAAACTCGACCCGCTGCCGGTCCATAATCCGCTGTGGCACGCCAGGCGGGTATGTGGGATATCGCTGTCAAATCCCCATGAAGGATGCTTGAACAACGCGTGTCAGCCCCTATGGATAGCCGGGCGCATGCTGGGCCATCATTCCGAACATGCAGCCGTGATCGAGCTGATCCGCAACATCGAGGCTCAGACAGGATGGGGCATGTACTGGAGAATCCGAGATTTGGAAGAAGCGTGGGGCTATCGGGTCCGCTGAAGCCTGCAGAATTCTTTCCAGCTCTTCAGATGAACAAAGGATTCATCACGAGTGCTCCGCAAGACGCCAGAATTCTTGCAAATTCTGCATGTCTCCATCAATTTTCCAGCCTGTTGTTTCCCTGGCGAGCCTCAGTGTCGCCAGAACAGCTGCCTGCTGGTCTCGGTGCGTCATTTTCCGCGCCGCACGGAGGACGCAGGCAATCATGCAAAGATCCCAGTTCTCGAAACTGGCATTGCTGACTGCAATAGCACACGTCCGCTGTGCGTGCCAGTGCAGCGATGCTGCTGGAGAGTGTTGTCCCGGAACCTTTAGGGTTTTGGGCTTGCAGTCTAGCAAAGTCATGGCTGCAGTATGGTAAACCAGGTTTGCAAGTGTTGCCGCTGCTGTGCTGAAGATGATTGTTGGGAAAGCGTTCGTGTCCGCCCTATCACCTGCTGATGATGACAATTCGAGAAGTGGTTTCACGAATCTACGACGGTTGGTGTACCACGCTGATAGTTCGTTCCATTTGTTCTGCCATTGTACCAAGTGGTTCTGGGGGCGCGCTCGACCTGGGCGTTCGTCTCCTGCTTCTCTTTGGCGGTAATCTTGGAGGACACGGACAGCTTCGCCACACAAGAGTAGTGCACGTAGTGCGTACCGGTCAACGCACGCGGGATCAACGTTATCGTCAAACCCAACGTTCTCAAAGACGCCAAGCACACCATCCGGCAGCCTGTCAAGCGTGATCAAGGTATCCAGATCTGTAGTCATGTGAGTCTCATTGACCAGAGCGGCAGCCAAATCGAACCGGAAGATACACCAGAATAACGATGCTGCTAGGCCGGGTTTGTGCGCGTATGCGTGAAGCGGTGTCGAAGAGTTGACAGTTTGCCCCAGTATTGGTGTCCAGCTGCTGAAAGGGGTGGATATCAAGTCTACAATAAGCCTGATCATCCGAGCCTCCAGCGCATCCGATGCATCTGTAGCATACATGGCTTTGGTCCCCCATTTGGACATGTTGTAAAACCTCTCACTCTCGAATTGTGCCATGTCCGGTACGCCGCAAGCAAGTTCTCTGTGGCGGGCCGAGAGGGCATACAATGCGTAGATGGCGGATGGGGACTCGGCGCCAACGGTAGGGAGATACAGACCGAGATGGTGGTCCAGGTCAAGCATGTCGAGCTGTTAGATGTTAGAATATTTACGTGGAAACAAATGTCCGCGATACTCACCCATGGTGCTACGTGGTAGCGGTAGTACCGCAATAGTTCCAGGCCGCGCTCTTCAGTGATTTCATCAGTGGAAGCTGTCGAGGGCTGAGCCAGCGCATTGCTTGTCATAGCGCTGCTGGATGCTGGCGTAGGAACCCTAAGGGCTGAATCTTGCTGGGAAGAATCATCCTCAGGTCTGGATACCACCTGGCCATGGCTCAAAGAGTCGTTCTGGAAGATGAAAGGCGATTGGACCGAAGTTGCCAACGAAACGAGACTTTGTACGGCACCATGTTCCGCGCTTCCTGCTTCTAGATGACCAGTAGATGCGGGGCGGAGCGTATGAAACTGGGGATCCGGAAAGACGCGGAATTGGAAAGGGTCGGAGTAGATTGGGCTGGCGAATTCGGTGCTGTGGCGCTGCCGTTGACGTGTTGCTTCATCGCTAGAATTTTCCGGAGCATGATGAGATCCTACTGGCAGTTGACTACTCCGTGTAGACAGCTGACTGTCTGACCGGGTATGCGATGAGTCTGAGGCGTGTCGCAGAGTAATTAAGCCACTGTTGGGCTCGCGAGAATGTGTGCGCTCTTCGGGATCGCCGACAAACTATCATATGTCAATGAGCTGTCATTGACCGTGGAGGGAAACGTTGGGGCTTACCCTGATTTGCGTGTATCCTGCCGTGGGTGCTGTCTCGACTTGTGGCACCGTGCGCGTGGTGGTGGCGGGAAAGCGTAGCTGTAAGCCGTACTGGCACTCGAAGTTGCGTTCAGCGCAATTTGAGCAAACAGGCTTTCGTTCGTCGCCTATCGGTAAGCAGCAGGCTGTTAGCTCACTCAGAAGAACAGCTGGCTGTGGAGACGCAGATAAGGTCGACGGGAGGGCGAGGAATGGACTGACATTTCCGTCTCCTAATACGGCATCGCTGGCAGCCGGTGCGAACGCGCCGTCGAATCGGTCGATCTTCCGCTGCGTTGTTCTGGGTCCCTGTCGGCATTGTGCATCATGTAGCTTGGCTAGCTGTCTGGCAAGATGGGAAGCGCGGGAGGGTTGGTGGCCGGCCCGGGGTCAATTGCAGCCAAAAGTTGCCGTTTTCGTGTGGACGTGCGAGGAGGCAGCGGAAGGAAAACAGTACGAGGAATGGCTAGATGAACATCATTTTGGAGTCGAGCGTGCGTCGACTCCGCGCCATCGCAACCCGACGTTGCAGGCTTGTGTGTCACGGCTGGCTGGGGAAATGGGGAGGGTGCGAAGCTTGAGCCCGCGAGCTTCCCAGAGAGGAAAGCCGAAGCGCAACCCCGGTGGTGCTAGGCCTGTGCGCGTCTCTGCCGACGCGCCGACGTCATCCGCAAATCTCGTGTTTCCAACCGCCGTGACCGCCAGCCATCGCGCCCCCGCGAGTCAGGCTGAAGGGAGCCCGATTTAGCCGCCTTGATACGGCACTTGGCTGGTGTCCTGACTGTTGCAAACCACCTACTATGAAGCTCACATCTCGATGGCTCACACTAATCTCGCTTCTCGTTGCTGGCTCGCGCACGTTTGCCGCCGATGATGTACCGCGGTGCAGGCCATGGGAAGTGGACACCAAGCCTCGAGTTTTCATTCTATCGGACATTTGCAACGAACCGGATGACGCGCAATCCATGGTTCGACTGCTCACGCATTCCGACCAGTACGACATCCAGGGACTAGTAGCTACCACAAGCTATTGGTTGAACGATACCACCGCCCCGGACGAAATAGACAAGATTGTGCGAAGCTACGGTTTGGTTCTGGACAACCTTCAAGTCCACGGCCACGGACAATACCCAACCGAGCAGCATCTACTCTCCATCATCAAGAGTGGGCCGAGGAGCTATGGCTTGGCAGCTGTAGATGCTGTCGACGCTGGCGAGCAGATTTCGGAGGGTGCACAACTGCTCATCGATGCCGTCGACGCTTCCGGAGAGCCGCTCTACATTCAAGTATGGGGAGGAGCCAACACCATCGCCGAAGCTTTGCGGCATGTCCAATTGAAGAGATCGCGCGCTGAGCTTCTACAATTTTGTGAAAAGATGCGTGTCTACGCCATTTCTGATCAAGACAACGCTGGCTCCTGGATCCGCCACGAATTTCCCCAGATCCGGTATATCGCTTCCGTCCATTCGTGGAATGCCTATGGTTTGGCAGCGTGGTCTGGTATATCTGGCGAAAGTTTCTACGGCTTCGATGACGGCGGACCGGACAGCGACTTGACGAGCAACGAGTGGATAAAGACCAACATTCAGTTGGGCGCGCTGGGAGGATCCTATCCAGATGTCATGTTCATCATGGAGGGCGATTCGCCTGCCATGCTTTTCACCATGCAGAATGGGCTCAACGCACCAGAGCATCCTGAATGGGGTGGTTGGGGCGGTCGATACGCACCGACTTACCATGGGAGCAGGCATTTTGCAGACGCAGCTGACCACGTTGTTGGGAAGAGCAGAAAGACGTACATGAGCACTCATGCGACCATCTGGCGGTGGAGACGGGCGTATCAGAACGAATTCGCAGCACGCATGCAATGGACGCTGCACGGTAGCAGAGATACGCGGACGAGTCACCCGCCGGTTGTGGTCGTCAACGGGTCCTGTGGGAGCCAGCCACTCGAGCTGGAGGTTGAAGCAGGCTCATCGGTCGTGCTGGACGCGACAGAGTCCTACGATCCAGACTCGGGGAAGAGCGCAGCTCTGAACTTTTCGTGGTGGATGTATGGCGAGATCACGGCGACGCAGTGGCAGGTCCGGTGGGAGGTGTCCGAGCTGGCGATCCGCCGCGTCCAAGCAATTCCCGGTGGGAGCAAGGTTGTTGCTGAGGTTCCATCGGCCGACAAGAGCTGCAGAGCACCGAAGGCTCTGCACATGGCTGACGACGTGAAGCCTACGTGCCAGGCCTACCATGTCATTTTGGAAGTTTCCGGGCCGGGGACCCCACCGATGACAAGGTATCGCCGCGTGATTCTGAAAGTCAAACTGCCAGAGGAGACCAACATTCATGACTCCCCAGCACACGAAGAGCTTTGAAGCACGATACCAATGAACATATCTGGAAACCGATACAGGGTCATCCGGAATTTTTTTGGTGTTGCAAAGAATTTCGGGACAAGCAAGCGCCGGCACAGTCCACATACACTACCGGCTACACCATGCCGGTGCATTCATCCGCCCCAGGCTACGGTCTGGAGACGGGCCACTGCAACTGCCGACTGGCGCCTCATCCTCACTCGACGCTCCAGTTTTTTCTCCGCAGCGGAGGGAATCTGGTTTGGCGGCGGAACTGCCGGATGGGGAAGGCGCTGCCACCGGTTACTTTTCTCGGCGGCAAAATTGATCAACCCCTCCTTCGCGCCTGGTCTGTGCGGGTCATGACGCACTAGCCCTTAGGATAAATGCGGCTGCCCCACCGGTTCAGGTCGCGTCAGGCGCGGCGGGGAAGGCGCGAGTGGATAGGCTTGCCATTTTGCCTGAATGCGCCGCGGCGGGGCTGTTCGAGAAGACTCTGTTGGCGCGTGGACCTGTCGTGAAGAAAGGCCGGTTGACGTCTGCGAGGCGCGGCGTGACCTGACGGCGCTGTTTAACAACAAAATTTCCCCGCGACCTCGTCCAGCAACTCTACACCTCTTTCTCTCCACTACACACAAGTTCACCCCTCAATTCAACCACAATGGGTCAGGAGACTATCACTTTGGCCTCTGGCAAGCAGATGCCGCTGGTCGGCTTCGGTCTGTGGAAGGTCCCCAAGGATACTTGCGCCGAGACCGTCTACAACGTACGCTACCCCGCCACGCCGCATTGGAAGCCCATCTGCTCACTCGCTTCGAACAGGCTATCAAGACCGGCTACAGGCTGTTCGATGGCGCCTACGACTACCAGAACGAGAAGGAGGCCGGTGAGGGTATCCGGAGGGCCATCAGCGAGGGTCTGGTGAAGCGCGAGGACATCTTCGTCACCACCAAGCTCTGGAACAACTACCACCGCAAGGACATTGCCATCGACATGATGCGCAAGCAGAACGAGGTCTGGGGTCTGGGCTACATCGACCTCTTCCTCATTCACTTCCCCGTCCCGCTCAAGTACATTGAGCCCGAGAAGCGCCCCTACCCCGTGAGTAGAATTGCGTCGCTTGAACTCGGAGCGCACCGCTGACAGATGCAGGGCTGGTGGATGGACGAGGCCGGCACCATTGAGCCCGACAGGGTTCCCGCCCGCGAGACCTGGGAGGCTCTCGAGCAGATCGTCGACGAGGGCATTGCGAAGAGCATCGGCGTCAGCAACTTCTCCGCCCAGCTCATCCTCGACCTTCTGACCTACAACCGTCACCCTCTCTCGTCTCTGCAGATCGAGCACCACCCCTACCTGGTTCAGCCTGAGCTCATCAAGCTCGTCCAGGAGCACAAGATTGCCGTCACTGCCTACTCCAGCTTCGGTCCCCAGAGCTTCCTGGAGCTGAAGATGCAGCGTGCTGAGGACGCCCCTCTTCTCTTCGACCACGATGTCATCAAGAGCATCGCCTCCAAGCACAACGTGACCCCCGCCCAGGTTCTGCTCCGCTGGTCCACCCAGCGCGGCATTGCCGTCATTCCCAAGTCCAACAGCAAGGACCGTCTCAAGCAGAACCTCGAGGTCAACGGCTTCGACCTGACCAACGACGAGATTGAGAGCATCTCTGCCATCAACAAGAACCTGAGGTTCAACGACCCCGGCTACTACCTCGACAAGCCGCTCAGGATTTTCGCTTAAGCGCATGAGTGCGAACGAAAAAGAAAGTAGAATAACGATATAATGATAGACGGAAGGTTATACCAGCAATGATATACTTTTCTCAACTTCGCCTTGACTGTCTGAATTCACAATAAGCGGCGTGAGTTGACATGCGTCTACGCCACCCGCATAGGTTGTGTGGAGAAAGTCCATCACAGCAGAAAATTCAAGCTTCCTGAACAAGCTACTTCGACTGTGGCCTTTGCGTCTTGCCGCCTGGGATGGCTTTCGGTCCGCCCCTCGCTACCTCCGGCTCGGTAATCAGCCGCCCTTCCGCTGGACGCCACATGGGTCCCTGTCAGTATACAATAGCCAATGATGGTTGCCAATGGTACCAGAACCTAGAAGTTCCCTGCAGTTTCTCGCATTTATTACCAGATCAGCACGATCGGCCTTCGAGAGCAAAATATTTATAGTTCCGAGGCCAGGCCCGATTCGGCTTGCAGTATACGTGTGCTTGAACGAGCTTGCTAGAGATATTACTCTACATGCATAGGTACCAACATAATTCAAGCAGGCTTTGTCAATGTCTGGGTTTGCTAACTTATACCTACTCAAAGCAGTAGTTCAACTGCAGTGGCATAATGGATTCCCCTTTTCTGAAATGGGAAGACCACATCCCGAACCTCATGAGAGAGATACACCCTTACAGTCTATACAAATGCCCGGATGGCCCGGGCCATCGGCGGATAGCATCTACTCTCCGGTGCCGAGATAAACAGGCTTGAAGATCAAAGGATCGCCCATGTCCCGTCTCCCGAACCCCGCCGTTAGGTAGATCCGACAATGAACAACTTACAGTTCGTTGAGCTAAGCCACCTTCCGTTGATGGTATTTGGGCATGCTGCCGACCGCTTCGTCAGTCGTACTTCCGCAACCTCCACCTCATCCACTTTCCGGTTCTAACCGGCCGTAAGCGGGAGCCAACCGAAAGGGGCAAGAGGGCTTCCGGAAAATCAACCAGCCGTGCGTTCTTTCCGCCGGTTTCCGGCGTTCAGCGTACGTCTCCTCCTCAAGCACCTTTTTCACCGCAACGGACATTTGGCCCCTTTTGAGGATGGCTGAGCGGTCGCAACCTCGGCGGCGCGGGTACCGCAGGAATTACCAGGCTTGTGAAGCCTGCAAGAAGCAGAAGGGACGATGTGACCTGGGCTCACCCGACAACCCGCAGCCGCCGTGCACCCGTTGCCGTCGGGCCAGGAAAGAGTGTATCTTCGGCCCGAGCCGGTTCAGCTCGCGAGGCAACAATACGAGCACTGGCACCAGCCCTGCTGATGAAACAACCGGTATGCAGTTTGAGGCTCTCGATCTGAAATGTCTCAGCACATCTAATCCATTGTGCTAGGATCAAACAATGCAGCCCTTCCAAATATCCCAAGCTTGTCCTCAGGCACTCGCGAACATGCTTGGACAGCCGATGGAGTATCGCCTGCCAGCAGCTCGTCTGCTCGCAACAACGTCTTTCAACCAGGTTTTCTTCCGGCCTCCAGCAGCGGAAGTACAAATCAGGAAAGCGTGACGTCACAGCCATCTAATCAGGACGAGGGAAATATCCGTGATCATCTGATGAGCGCTACGCTCAGGAACCCAACCGAGGCCATGAGGCTGCTGTCCCATACTGCAAGAATGACCAATCGGCAATCGCTGGAAAGACCGTATTACACGACACCGAGCGACAAGAGGCCTGATGACGGCGACCTCTATTGCCACGACATGGAGTATGAATCCGAGTATCGTCGCAGATATCGAGCAAACGAATTCCCAGAACGTCTGGATGACAACCCTCGAGGCGATGATCAAACATTTTCAACTTGGATGCATTTCCGAATGTGTAAAGACAAGGTCATCAGCCCGAATGAAGCGCTGTTCCTAATCAACTAGTGAGTCACGCCGGGACCACTTCCACAACCTGATATTGAGAACATCACAGTTTCTTTGAGCACATGAATCCGATGAGGCCGATTGTCTCCGACTATTATCACGACCCAAAAAATCATTTGGAACTCCTCAGGGAGGAGCCGACACTAGCATGCACAATCATTGCCACCGCCGCCAGATACACTCGATTACCAGGGCATGGTGCCCTGACACGAGGCCATTTACTCCACAACAGTCTACTTCGCCATGTCCAAGCGTGCACCCAGCGAATCATCTGGGGCTTTGGAGAAGAGGAGATGGGCATTGGTAGAACCATTGGCTTCATCGAGAGCCTTTTGATTTTTGTGTGTTGGGTAAGATGTTGCCCCAAAAAAGGCATTGCACTCAAACTGACGTTACCCTCAGCACCCCAGGGCTCTGCAAATGCTGGTAGAGTCCAGCGAGCTAGCACCGCCGACCGACTTTGACACTGAAGCTCATGGCAAACATTTCTTTGAGAAAAGCATCCAAGGCAAGTGCAAAGTATTCCTCTGAAGCCGGTAGACTGACATGTCACAGGTGTACACGCACACGTCATCATAAGAATAACTAGGCAGTCTAACCGAATGGTTTGGTATGTGTATCCTCGGCCTGTTGCCGGGCGTGTATGACTGATTTCTGTGCAGGATGCTCATTGGTCTTGCCTCAACAATCGCTCACGAGATTGGATTGTGGGACGCAGACAGCATACCCAGTCGAATTACCACTGAAAATGATGAACGCAAGCTTCGAGTAAAGAAACACCTCCTCCTCGAATGCGTTGAGGCTCATTTCCGGCTTGGAAAAGCTGCCACGATGCAACAACCATTCGGCCTCTCCTTCGAAGTACAGCCACCAAATACTGTGATCGAACTCGACGAAAAGCGAAAGTGTCTCCACCGATGCTTGGACTGCGGTATCGAGTGTTCACAGCTTGTGCATATGGCGACAACCGCCCTATACCAAAGCCCCGCGCAGACGAAGGCTATGATCACATCGAAGAAATACCTCAGTGCCGTCATGCATTATGACACCTTACTCAGGAGCTGGCACGAAAGTGCAAGCAGCATTCCTTGTGAGTCTCATCAACACACCTTGGGCTGTAAGACATTCTGACGTATATCAGCGGTTCTCCCGGCCTTGACAGCTCAAGCCCAAATCATGTACCACGCCGCTCGCTCTTACATCCATCTCATTGGCATACAAGCAATCATGGAGAGATCACTCTCGTTCTCATACTCAAACATTCAGTCCGATCGTTCTAGAGTATTCGATGAACAGGGCATGGCGGAAGTCATGCGGTTGCCGGAGACTGCGCGAGATCTGGAATTGATCAAAGTGGTAAGAACTCACCAACGCTTCCATTAGCTTTGGGAAACATGCTAATTTTGGTTCGGGAAGATTGCCACTGGATGTCGTCAAGGCATGGAAAATGTAATCAAGTTGCACGAGGTGGATGCTTTCAGGAACACAACAGAACAAGTGCGCGCAAATGTCATTTCCATTGTCATTTGTGCCTTGAAGGTGAGCTACATTGATGATTGACTCCAGGTAGTGTATGTGTTAGAATGCTGACATCGAAAAGGTTGCTAGTCTTAACATAGAACCGAAGCAAGACATGATCCTCCTGCTCAAAAAAGTCGTCCACATAATCGAAGCATCTGCTATAGACGACCTCGACCTCGGTCCTATTTACGCCGAATCTCTGCGTACTCTGATCGCCAAAGTCGAAAATGCACGACCAGTCCGCGCCCCAGCCGGCGGTGAATCCACAGACCAAGGGGAGCAACAACAACATAGTCACTACTCGCCTATTCTTTCACCTGCACAGAACAGCAGTAGCAACGATACTACATCTACCCCGTCCACAGGACCCACCACTGGCTTCACGACAGGAGCATCTTCAAACAACATGACGGCTTCCGCTTCCATGGTACCGATCACAGCGTCATCTTCATCGGCGGATGGGGCCGCTCCATCGTCTTTTGCGTGCGGTACAGGAGGTGGAGAGAGCAGTATGGCTGGCGACTTTGGTGATCCGACAGCGGGGATGGGTACAGAAATGGTGGGCGGTGCGCCGGCGGATTGGAGTCAATGGCTCGCGTTCCAGTTTGACCCATCGTTTTCCGCATTCGAAATGGGTCATTCGTTTGATGCGACATATCCATTCCTTTCTTCCGGGATGGATTGACGATGATGTGTGGAAGAAGGGGGTTATTGAGGGTGAAAGTGGATGAAGATCTATGGTGAGTAGGTAATATTCTTGTTTCCTTTGTATTTTCTTTCGTTGTGCTCTGGATATCCGCATATCACACGGCAGCGTTTTCTCTTTAGGTAGATGGGTTATGCAACACTCAAGCCCCATCAGAGACAACGTCCATGTCCAGGGGGAAAGATGGTGGGATGAGATGTATGAACTCTTACAGTAATGCACGGCTATCATTTGGGTGGCTAATTGGAATAGAGAAAAAGAAATCTCAATCGCTTTATTGCCCGCTCTATCACTTCTACACCAGACGCGCTGACGCATATGCATACAACGAAGAAAAACAGAATACAGAATATCGTCCCCAGCACCATACGCCACGTACATTATAGTCTCGTAGCAATCAACGAAAACATCACAGACGCGCCGGAAGCTTGCTCGGTCTCACACTTACGTCCACCGAGCTTGGTTCCTTCGTTTCACTATCTCCTTCTCAGCCATCGACGTCCACTTTTCCTACTTTCCGATTCTCATGCGCAAACCAAAACTGAACTCACGCTTCTGTAGCCAAAGGTACCTCCACTTCGTCGACAATCTGCACCTTGATGCTGCCTTGGGTAAGGTCCGAGCACAGCTCGAGGGCCTCCTTGGACTTGGCAAGGGGGAAGACGTGCGAGATGAGCGGCTTGACGTCGAGGACTCCGCCGCTAATTGCCGAGATGCCAGCAGGCCAGGTGTCGCGGTAGCGGTTGATGAACTTGAGATTGATCTGCGTTTGGTTAAAAAACCATGTCAGCGAAGTGCTCAGGGGCAACAAGGCTTCGTATTTCCCCTCTTCCGCACCACCACGATTCACAACTCACCTCAGCCAAGCTCATGTGCATGAAGGGCAGGTTGTTCATGATATCCTTGCCGACGCCAATGACGCAGACAGTGCCACCGCGGCGCGCGGCGAAGCCGGCCGTGCAGACACTGCTCTCAACTCCGGTGCACTCGAGCACAGTGTCAGGGGCCAGATACTCACGCTCCTCCTCACTCAGCCCCTCAACCTCGGCGCCTTCTCCCAAGAACAGCCTCCGCACAGCATCGGCGTTCCCACGCGCTCCCAGGGCCGGGTCGACGCGGTATGTGCGGCAGCCAGGCACGTAGCGCTTGGCAAACTCGAGACGGCGCGGCTCGAGGTCAGTGACGACAAGGGGGTTGGCGCCACTGGCGCGGGCAGCGGCGAGAGCGAGCAAGCCGATGGGACCGGCGCCGCACACGAGGGCGGGGCGGCCGAGCGAGAGCGGAGCGGTGGCGATGCCGTGCAGCACGACCGACAACGGCTCCAGCAGGGCGGCCTCGCCGAAGCTGATGGCGGCCGGAAGCTTGTGGCACCAGCGCGCCGGGTGCGTCTTGAAGCGCTGCAGCGTGCCGTCGTAGGGGTATACTCCCGCGAAGGCCACGTCCGAGCACAGATTGTAGCGCCCCGACCGGCAAAGGAAGCAGCTCCCGCACGGCACGCCCGGCTCCAGCGCTACGCGATCACCTGGCCGCAGCGTCGTCACGGTGGGGTGCGCGCGCACGACGATGCCGGCCGCCTCGTGGCCGAGAATGCAGTCGCCGTCGACAGTAAGGGTACCGATGGCACCGCGTTTCCAAAAGTGGATGTCGGAGCTGGAGGGGCAAGTTCGGGAACGTCAGCTCAAAGTTCCCTCTTTCTTTGCAATGGAGATGATTCTAACCCGCAGACTCCTGTTGCCTTGATGTGGATGAGGACTTCGCCGGGCCCTGGCTCGTTGATTGGCGCTTCCTCCATCTTTATGCGGTGGTCGGCCGTGACCTTGAGCGAGGGGTTGCCATATTTCTGGAGTTCCGAGACGCTCGTGCTGCCGGCGTGCGATGCTTTGCCATTGAGCTGCATGCTGTCGCTGTTGTCCAGAATTACGGAGGGCGCCATGACATGCGGCGATGCGGGTGACGGGAGTAAGAAAGGTGTATAGACCAGAAAAGTGACGGGGACGGCTAAAGAGGAGAAAATGGGAAAAGTAGGGGAAAGCTCGGTGTAGAGACCGGCATGAGGAGTTTTGTTATCATCCGTTCAGCCTGGATGGAGCTTACAGAAGGTGTGGCACGGCTTGCCCAGTTGATGCTGAGTCCCCCGCGTCCGTGTGCCGGCTCGAAAAGCGGGTGGAATGTGGGGTAGACGAAAAGGGCATGTCTAAGCACCCGCTCGGCTTGCTCACAACGGCAGTCTGGCGCGCGTCCGACGCACCTGCCACTTCCTGTCTGAGTAGTCGCGCCGCCGTCTTCCCTCGCCCCCCAGCGCCGCGGATTCCAGCATTTGGCCAGCTCAGGAAAATGCACACGCCGAACACCACCAGGGAGGAAGTAAGGAGCGCCTCACTCTCAGGCCCCGCAAAGCCAATGGCTATATTTCAGCACGATCCCCTCGAATCTCAGAAGCCTCTGTCCCCCTGCCTTCCTCCTCGCTGCGTTTTTCTTCTTTCCTGTTTATTTTCTCCGTCTGTCTAGAATATACCCTCCGCAGCAATGGCGGTTACCAACGGCAGCACCGACTACGGCAAGAATGTCGTCGACGGCCTCGTCAACGAGGCAAAGCTCGAGGCCAAGTCTGTCGCAAAGCTGTCGCCCGACCATGACCACGTTCTGAAGTGCTTTCGCCTGTTGATTGCTGACCTTTGCCAGCAATTCGGCGGCGGCCACCCGGGGTAAGTAGCCCTCATCGAAACGGCGCATCCTGAACTGACTGTTTTGCGCAGAGGAGCAATTGGCATGGCGGCCATCGGCATCTCCTTGTGGAAGTACGTCATGCGCTACGCTCCGCATACCCCCGACTTCTTCAACCGCGACCGCTTCGTCCTCTCCAACGGTTTGTTTTCCGCCAGGCGATTCCGAGACAATGCTGACTCTCGGCAGGACACACGTGCCTCTTCCAGTACACGTTCAACCACCTTGTTGGCTACAAGGCCATGACTTTTGACCAGCTCAAATCCTACCACTCGGACCGCGAAGATATGCTTTGCCCCGGCCACCCCGAGATCGAGCACGAAGGTATTGAGGTCACCACCGGTCCTCTCGGACAGGGAGTCGCCAACGCCGTCGGCTTGGCCATGGCCACCAAGAACCTTGCCGCTACCTACAACAAACCCGGCTACGATGTCGTCTCGAACCACACCTGGTGCATGGTTGGCGATGCGTGTTTGCAGGAGGGTGTTGGTCTCGAGGCCATCTCGCTGGCTGGCCACTTGAAGCTGAACAACCTGACCGTCATTTACGACAACAACCAGATCACCTGCGACGGATCTGTGGATCTGACCAACAGCGAGGACGTTAACGCTAAGATGCGCGCCTGCGGCTGGGACGTTATCGACATTGAGGATGGCTGCTTCGATATCGAGGGGATCGTCCAGGCACTGGAGAAGTCAAAGAAGTCCACCGACAAGCCCACCTTCATCAACGTCAGGACCATTATTGGCATCGGCAGTGCTGTTGCCGGCACCGCTGTGGCCCATGGTGCTGCCTTCGGCAAGGATGACGTTGCAAACATGAAGAAGATCTATGGATACAATCCCGAGGAGCACTTTGTCATCACTGACACTGTCCGCGCATTTTTCGCCGAATGCCCCAGCCGTGGAGAGAAGTACGTCCAGGAGTGGAATGCGCTGGTGGATAAGTACAGCGAGGCACACCCCGAACTGGCCAATGAGTTCAAGGCACGGGTTAAGGGCGAGCTTCCTGCCAACTGGAAGGACCTGATTCCGAAGGAGTTCCCGCAGAAGCCTACTGCCTCGCGTGCGTCGTCTGGGCTGGTCTTCAACCCGATCGCCCAGAGCATCAACAACTTCATGGTCGGCACCGCCGATCTCTCGCCCTCCGTCAACATGATTTGGAAGGGCAAGGAGGACTTCCAGCACCCTGAACGCAAGACCGCCTGTGGTATCAACGGTACCTACGCTGGACGCTACATCCACTACGGTGTCCGTGAACACGCCATGTGCGCCATCTCGAACGGCCTCGCCGCTTTTGCTCCCAACACCATCATCCCCGTCACCAGCTCCTTCTTCATGTTCTACTTGTACGCCGCTCCTGCCGTCCGCATGGGTTCTCTGCAGCACCTGCAAGTCATTCACGCCGCCACTCACGACTCCATCGGCATGGGTGAGGACGGACCTACGCACCAGCCCATTGAGCTCCCTGCCCTCTACCGTGCCATGCCCAACCTCCTCTACATCCGTCCCGGTGACAGCGAGGAGGCGGCAGGTGCATGGATCGCCGCCATCGAAGCCAAGAACACATCCTCCATCATTTCGACCTCGCGACACGCCATCCCGCAGCTCAAGCAGACGCGCCGTGACGGCGTCGCCAAGGGCGCCTACGTCTTGGAGGAGGTTGAGGGAGATGCTGACGTGACGCTCATCGGTGTTGGTGCTGAGCTGAGCTTCGCGCTCGATGTTGCGGCCGCTCTCAAGGAGGAGTCGGGCATCAAGGCTCGCGTCGTCTCCTTCCCGTGCCAGCGCCTCTTTGAGCGCCAGGATTCGCAGTACAAGCGCGAGACCCTGAAGAGGCACACTGGCGTGCCCGCCGTCGTCATCGAGCCGTACGCTGCTTTTGGGTGGGAGAGGTACGCCGATGCCGCCATCTGCATGAAGACCTTCGGCAAGAGCTTGCCCGGCAAGCATGCCTATGAGTACTTTGGCTTTGGCAAGAAGACCATGACGACCAAGGTTACGGACTACCTGAAGAGGCTGAAGGAAGATGAGTTCCTGAAGTCCGAGTTTGTTGAGTTGTAAGAGCTTTTGAATGAGGTGTGGCTTTTTGTCGTATATGGCATTTTGAAGAGCGTTTTTGAAATGACTTGGATAGGCGTTTGGGTTTGTAACATTAGACGCAGGATACGATTGCATAGCTGCAGTTCATGCTACACTTGATAGATGATCTCGCTGAACTTATCTCTGACATGTTCAATTTTGCTGGATTATCTGTCGTTGATCGAATGTGGCTGTTCAGGTTGAAGTGTGGTTTGGTAGGTGTATCGCCATTGTGAAGTGGTTGAATGGTACGAATTGGTGAGCTTGCACGCTGCTGCTCCTTCTGAATGAGCCGCCTGATGGTCCGGTTGAATACATGGTGATTTGGAAGAGTGATGGGGTAGAGACTACGGAGTGAAACGCGGCGGTGATAAGCAAACATGATTGGAAGAAGTACGTCGAGGTTCTCGTATGGATGTGCTGATTGACCCGCATTCAAGTAACTCCCCGCTCCAGCGTAGAGACTTCCAAATAGTTTCCCTTGATGTACAGAGGGGTGCTGCAGCCGGATGTGGCCAGCGTGAAGAATAGCAGGGCTCTAGAACATAGCGTAACTATGTCCCAGCTCTGCCTTAGAAAAAACAACATATATGGGTAGTTGAAGCTATCGTCCGGACGAGAATGTCGAATTAAAAATTCTACATACACGTCATTAAATGAGCAAAAAACAAATCTACGCTAGCCATCGGCTGCAAGAGGGGACTGTATGTTGTTTCGACTACTGAAATCTCAGACAAGGAGGAACCGGCCGACTCGGCAGAGTAATTTACTAGCTCGCGATTGCACGCATCCGGATCCTGTACGGCCCAGGGCTTCGCGACACACCCACGGTCTTTGGGGCAGGGGCAGAAGCTCTGCGAAGGACAGAGAGGAACACGGTACTCGAGACGAAGGGATGTGAGCTGCACATAGAGATCCACGTCACAACCGGCCATCCGAGGATACGGCACTCCCGACATCGCTCGACGAAAGCGCTTCGCGAACCGAAAGGTTGAGGTAGCTATCTAGGGAAGCTGCAAGGAAGGTGACACGGCACCTTGGGATATAGACGTCGGGATTGGGCTTTTGATTTAGGTTTTCACCATGGGTTTGCTACATAGTTTGGGGGATTTTTTGCTGTATGCATGCCGCATTCTCTTGGGTTTGAAACGGCCCCGGTGCCTCTATGCAAGATTCAAAGACTCTTGATCTGGATGAGTTTATTCTGTTTCCCAAAAATTCGCTTCGCTCTTTGCGAAGTTCAAGAAATTATTTATACACGGGTTAGGCAGTTTAGGGCCGTCGACGCAACTACAAACATCATGACAATATGTTTCATAAGGTGCAAGGGTGTATGCCTTGGTCTGGGACTGTCGGAAGCAGTTCTGCTCAGCCAGTATAGGTGAGCATAAAGTACACCACCCTCATTGTTCTGGGGGTTCGATAGGTCAAAACGGGTTATTCATCGGCATGATAGGCCAGAATTCAGGTTTTTCATGAAAAAACAACTTCGTACTAGCCGTCGGATGCGGAACCCCCTGTAAAGACTGATGAAAAAATCATCCAGCGGAGGATCCAGAGAGGCTGTTCTTGTTCAGAGAGCTTAGTCAGTGCAAGATCCTGCCGAGGATCTTCCGAAGAAGATCTGATATCGTGAAAAATTCTCCCCGACCCTCCCCAGCCACCACCACCCCCCAGACTTCACCAAAACAAAAAAGATGTGGGAATTGAGCCCAACGCGGGGGTCGAACCCGCAGCCTTGAGATTAAGAGTCTCACGCTCTACCGATTGAGCTAGCCGGGCAGCTGTTGTAAGAAGAAGATCTTACAGCTGGTTGATGAAAGTGACACCATCAACACGGTATATGTACTGCTAGCGTTGCCGCACACACTTCCAGACCATCTACACGTACTGCTAGCATGTTGCTGCTTACCCTGGGTGCGTTGGCACATGATTGTGTTTGTTCGGAAACGTGGAGAGACCGACATGGTATACTTGCCCTCGGCCGAACTGTATGACTCGAATGCTCAATTTTGCTGAGAAAGAGCCTCTTCTTGAGAAGACATTCCTGCTAACGTGTCGAACGGGGTACCGGTCCAGACGGGGTAGTGGGACAACCAATCAAAAAGTGACAATCAGTCGCTTGAGATACCTTCGATGAAGGATCCGAAGAAAATCCACCCGTATGATCATAGCATATCGTTTGGCTGTCCCATTTCCCTGTTCGACACGTTACCTGGCGGTATACTCTTTGGGTCAGAGGATTGGCTCTGCCAAAAATATCATACTGCGTATTTGTTCTCCCGTCTCCACGGCAGGAAAAAGATGACAAGAAACACGTCAGTACTATGTACTTTTAGCGCTGATCTGGTGCTGCTTCCAGCCAGACCAGATTGATACACAGACCGCTTCATCTACGGCGATGATCGAATGCTGAGGACGATCTGGATCAACATTAGGTCCCGTAGTCTCCCGAATACTCGATCAGACGACTACGTACATACATTAGCGCGTGGTCCTTGGACTGAAACTCGGCATTTCACATGCTGGTTCGGCGAAAAGGGATGCTGAGAGCCGCGGTACCTTGGCGGGCGGCAAAGCTCAACAACACGAGCTGCCGCTTGCGGAATCAGGCAAAGAATGGTAAAATGATTTGACAAGGTGCTGCCTCGATCTGCAACCAGCCGACAATGTGCGGGATATCGTTGATGATGTTGGATAAGAAGAAAGGCCAGGTGGACGCACAAACCCCACTTTCAACAAGCCACATTGTCAAACATTCAGCTGCTGGCAGCTCCACATTACTCACTCAAGCACCAATCGCACGGTGGCTTTCAGATGTGGGACGGCTTCCCCGCTATTCGCCAATCGCACAGCATACGCGGATCTGCCACTTAATCGCAAAAGGGTTTCTTCTGCCGATTAGCTGTGTGTTGAGATGCATGATAATGCACGCAGTCATCGGTATTACAAAAATAGCTCAAACTATGAACATGCCGTGTTCTGCAAGAATTTTAGTTGATAATTGCTGGATGCCGTCCCACGACGGGCTGCAATGCATGCAGGAGTGTCGATCCGATCTTTCCAGATGATTGTGGAGGGCGTTCGTTAGCAAATGATATCTTCAAGTCATTCTGAGAGTGTGCAGCTCTGACATTGAGTGAAACCAAGCTGTTTGAGTTCTAACTTCAGATGCAAGGCAGGCCCACTCTGATCTAAATGCATTTGTTCACATATCGTGCATTCATGTCCGGATGGATCCTTTAAGCACCCCTCTATTTACGATACTAATAGAATCGACCTCGTACCAGTTCTTAATAGACAGCTAGAATCTGAAAATATCTCTACTTTTTGATAATGTTGAATGAACTAGTCACAATTTGGCCCGAACGTCAACCAAGTATTTTGTAGGACGTAGAACTGGAAAATCAAGCCGGGAACAAGCAAACTTCCAGTAGATTCCTCGCAAACATGCTAGTAATCAGTCAACTAGGTCTATAAAAGACCGGTGGTTAGCTGAGCACAATCACTATGCGATCTTTTCAATTGTAGACGGCCATTGTAATTACGATTCAAATTTGTCAACAGAATACTTTTCATCGCCGGAGGTTTCACTAACATGTCTATTTGATCCTCGAGATGTACGCGTTTATAGGTTGAAGGTTGAAGATACTTCACATATCGCGAATGAATGCAAGTACAATCCATCAATACCACCACACAAGCATCGGGCTTCTCGATAGACATCAAAAGCACTCTCGGCCGAGAGAAGCGCTCCCATGTCTTAAGAAGCCCCAGCTATTACTCAACCCAGCTACATGGCTCCTGTAAATATCCTCTGCACAGTCGCGTTCGCTGTTACACAACGATGATCAAAAAGCCTATATCTTCTTCCCTTGTGATCGCCCCCAGTCGAAACAAAACCTAAATCTACACATTGCCCAGCATTCTCGAACCATTCCTTCGCACTCCACCAGCATTTATGTCGGCAACGGCGGTACCTGGGCTGACACCAAAGGATACCCCGCCTTTTGCCGCCTCCATCCGGGATCCGGGAGGGACGCGCGCGCGACTCAAACCTCACGATCTCTTACTTTCATCACTTGAAACCATACACGTTCTTCCATGGAGTTTTGTTTAAGACGTCTCAGCGCCGATCAATCTTGGATTCGTCTCGTAAAATCCTCTAATGGCTTTCTTTGAACAATGGAGAAACCGCATCTCTAACCCTTTTCTGACCCCTTCCCAGTAACTTTTTTCTTTCATCCCGAGGCAGCAGCACAACACTGCACCCATAGTCTCTAAGTTCGTCTATTGTGGGATCAATCCTGCAATCTACTGTCCAACTGCCATATCCGACTCATCGCGCAGGTACTCTCCAACTCGCGAAAAGGAATCGACTCGCTTAAGCACGAAAACACCAAGAGGGAGACGCGGCGTGTGGGAGAGAGGATGCCTTTTCGGCGTCGGTCGGTTGCGGTGGTGGCGAAGGAGGTGGAGAGAGAGCTGACGAATGGTGACGAGAGTAAAGGCGGGGTTGGGGTGTTGTTGTGGTGCGCTGGCGGCCTGAGACACCCCCTCATCGACCGACAACTCCTGTTTTCATACCAGACGCCTTGAGAAAAACAAACCTCCCTCCCCTCCGGAGCAAAAGGAAAAAGAAAAACTCGGAAAATAGCAATGCCGACACGACGACGGCACGCACTCATCTACTCATCGCTTCATGCGTCGTTGTCGCTGTCGCTGCCGACAATCATGCCTGCCTTCTTCTCGGTGCCGGGCGCCGGGATGGCGACGGGCGGAACACCGAGGCCGTTCCTGTTGCGGAAGAAGAGGACGCCCTTGCCCTCGCCCTGAGCCTCGGCACTGGGCTCGACCCACTGGCACCAGCGGGCGCTCTTCCACATGGCCTTGAGGAAGCCGACGGGGCCATCCTTGACGTCGGCGCGGTAGTGGCGGCCCATGACGGGCTTGATGGCCTCGCTGGCCTCGTCGGCGTGGTAGAAGGGAATGGTCGACACGTAGTGGTGCAGGACGTGCGTCTCGATGATGCCGTGCAGGATGTGGCGGCCGATGAAGCCAAACTCGCGGTCGATGGTGGCGGCGGCGCCACGCGTAAAGGTCCAGGTGGCGGCGTCGTAGTGGGGCAGCGAGGGGTCGGTGTGCTGGAGGTAGGTAATGGCGACTATAGGGTTTCTCGTCAGCTTATCATTTGTCAGGTCATCAAACGCGTCGAAAACTTACCCAGCCAGTGGTTGACCCAGAGGTACGGCACAATGTACCAGACGAGGAGGTTGGTGAAGCCGAACTTGGAGCCGATCTGGTACAGGACGTAGCCCATGATGGCGAGGCCGAGGTCGCTCAGGAGGATGAGCTTCTCGTCCTTCTTCTCGTACAGAGGACTGCTGGGCATGAAGTGGTTGACGCCGCCGAACCAGCCGTTCTTCTTGCCGACGCCCTTGCCCTCCTTCTGCTTCTCGTGCTGGTTGTGGCCGGTGACGTTGATGAACAGGTACAGCAACCAGCCGGCGAGCTGCTGGCCGATCATGTGGGTGGCGGTAGCGATGGGCGTCTCCTCGGTCAGCTCGTGGAGCTCGTGGACGAACTTGCCGATGCGCGAAGCGTACTCCTCACGCGTCTTGGGCACGAAGACCATATCCCTGGTGAGGTGACCGGTGGCCTTGTGGTGCTTGCCGTGGGAGATCTTCCAGGAGAAGTAGGGGACGAGGAGAGCCGAGTGGCAGATCCAGCCGACGGTGTCGTTCAGCGTCTTGGAGGGAGAGAAGGCCTGGTGGCCGCACTCGTGGGCCAGGACCCAGATGCCGGTACCGAACAGACCCTGGACGACTGTGTACAGAGCCCAGAGAACAGCACGCACCGGGGTCGAGGGGATGTACTCCGGGGTGACATAGTTGTAGAAGACGTAGAAGACGGAGGCGAGGACGATGGCATCGCGGGCGACGTAGCTCAGGGAGCGGATGGCGGAGCGCTCGAAGCAGTGCTTGGGGATGGCGTCGTAGATCTGCTTGATGGTGTAGTCGGGGATCTCGAATTCGTTTCCGTACGTGTCGATGAGCTTGCCGCGGGAGTTCTTGACCTCAGGCTCGACCGAGGCCATCGACGACAGCGAAGTCGACGAGGGCGACTGGGCGGGCGAGTCGTTGGGCGAGACTGCAACCGAGGGAGCGGACGAAGAGGCAGTCGAGGCGGCCGTGACGTTCCTCCGCAGAACAGGGTTCTGAGCCATGGCGGTGGTGGCCATGATGGATGGGTGCAACGAATGGGAAAGAGAAAAAACAGGAATTGGAGGGAAGGTGAGGCTCAAGAGGGAACAAAAGGTGTGAACAGAGTTTGTTGGGCGGAGCGTTGGGACAGAGAGGGCCCGCAACGAGTGGGCAGGAAGCTCCAAGCACTGGTCGGGGTCGAGAAGGCGGGAGTGCGAGGTGTGAAGGGAGGGCAGGGAGGCAATGGCTTAAGAAGAGCTTCACTGGCGAAATTCTGGCGACACCGCCTAGCAGCGGGAGCCGAGGCGCGGCGCGTGTTCGAGATTTCAGGGGTCCAGTTTTCTAGATGGTACATCTGTCTGCCAGACTTTCGGGCATTCTCGCCGCCAACCACGCACCCCAGTTCCCGCGCGACAGCCCGCAGCACAGCTTGTCAGAACCAGCCCGAGCCGGCGCCGCTGAGCTCAGCTCGCCAGGAGCCCATGGCAGCGACACGGCTCTGCCCGCACGAAAACGAATGCCTCTCCGCCGCTGGCTGGGCGATCCCGCTGCGCCAGCCCGCTCCACATGCGCAGCACACAGGCCGCCGAGTTGGACAAGCTGATATGCGCTCGCTCGGAGTGGCTGAAGCAGACCGCCAAAGCGCAGCGTGGGGTATGGCATGCAATGCAGTCGCACATGCACCGCTGCGTGCGTGCCGGTCAGCCCTCAGGGTCTGCATGTGAAAGGCTAGGCGCAGCAAATGGCGGGCTGGGGGCGGTGCACAATGACAGAGCCTCTGCAGCGCGACAGATCGAAGCCAGCTCTGCTGCCGTCGTCCGCGCAGTCGGAGCCGCGATGAGGGCGCTCTGCCTTCGGGTCCGAGCTAGCTTATCGTGGCCACTCCGCGCCCTCGCTTCTGCAGGGCCTGCACCGATCGTCACTGCCCTCAGGTACTTTGTTGAGCGCCCGGGGAACTGCCTCAACAATTCGCGCTTCACATCAGAGTCTCCTTACCTTCACACCATTGCTGCTCTGAATGGCTAAATGCGAGTCAGTGCTCGACAATCACCGTTCGTCCTTGACGCCACTGCCCTTTGTCCAAGCGCCCACGGGGAAACGATGTGCACCAGATTTGCGCAATCTTATCTCCTCCATCTCCGCCCAGACACCGCCCGCCCTCAGTTCGCCTCCGAGGCTGATCAATGGTTGACTAACACTTTTTAGCGGGCGGTCGGCCATGTGGATGCAAGGATCTTCGCCCACCCCGCCGCCGGACCGATGTCCTGGCGGGCGAGTGGCGGCGCAAAGTCCTCCGCGCATTTTTTTCTTACTTTTTTCCCTCCATTCGCCAGCCGGTTTTTCGCCGTGCCAGCTGGCCGAAGATGCCGTGGAAAAGTCGCACCGCTGGCACTGGCGCTCGGGCCGGGTGAGGGGGGGAGGGAGTGGAGGGGCAGCGAAGAGCGCTGGCATCGTGAACTGGCCACTACCACCACCGTGACCGCCGCACAGCACACCTACACGCCACTGCCACGCTGCGCGTAGGGCTTATCGCTCTTTGCCGTTGAGCCGCGTCCGGGAGTGGGTCCCCGTCTTTCTCAATGCTGGGGGTGCACTTGGCCTTGTTCTGAGCTTTCTCCGCAATCGGATGTGTCTGTGAACAACACTTGACTGCTGTGGCACCCATCACGCTACATTCCTACGTGTTGGCCCCATTGGTCTGCATCCGGAATTGCCTTATCCATCCAAGCCAGCCCCGCGCTGCGTCACCGGTAGGAATGGAGCTCATGCAGCTCTGCTGAGGGGAAGTCCTGCACCCGTGAGGCGAAGAATTGTGGGGTTCATCAATCCGCAGCGAGCTCGTCCATTCCGTAGTCAGAGCTCCCAGGTCGTAGCTTTGAGCTCAAGCTCGACGAACACTGTCTAGAGGCGTGAGGCTCTTTTAGAAGTGGCATTGGTGTTTCAGATCTAAGGATTGACACAGTTGATCCCACCCCTGAATCTGCGCTAAGTCGAACATCAAATTTCGAGGGCACATCTCCTGCACTCCGCACTTTCGCTCCTGCTTAGCGCTCATACCCGGCGGGGTAGCGTGAAAACGTCGTACCGGTCTGAAAGGGGAATAGACCCGTCGTAGTGTCGATGACATGAGCAATGCTTACGACGTGTGAGGTGCTGAAGCACATCTCCTGCCATGGTTCGTACCTCAGCTGCATAGCCCTGTTCATTCCTTCCAAGCCATCCAGAAGGAATTTATTGAACCATTCCCGGAGTTTATGAGGCGGGCAAGATGCTCTCCACCTGGCTAGAGTGTCTCCGGAATGGCATTGTATACCCTGTAATTCCTGGGACCTAAACCATTGGGTCAGTTGTAAGACGATATTATTAGCTCTCTAGATATCTGCCCTAACACAAGCTCTTACATTTGCTGAGTCTTCCCTCATGGCTTACTCTAGACTCCCATCCGGGGTTTCATCAACAAAGTGGGGTCATACTTGAAAAAGGGATAATCAAGCACAAGCACACATCCATGTCTAGATTCCATGTTAACATTCACTGCCCGCCATAGATGACGGGGGCGGAATGTGGCGGTTGCGTACCGCCACCTTATGGACTAAACCAAATTCTTACAAGGTGCTACTTTTCGGAGAACGTCTGAAGTAATAAGCTTATCTTGCCCAGAGGCCGGGAGAAGAATTACATAAGCGCTGGGCTTTGTTGGAAGCATTGTGTTCACCACTCACAGTTTTCCCTTCCCTGAGAACGTTGATCCCCAGAAAGCTTAACTCCGGTTCCGGAGTGGCGATAGTGCCGGCTTTGGCCAAGTCTAGTATCCTAACCACTTGGCAAAAGCGGTTCACAAGGGATGTTTGCAGTAAGATATCAACAAAATAACAGAGAGATGTACAATTGACTCTGCATAGAAGCATAATTTGCTTGTAAAGTTTCTACGAAGAATTGTATTTACTGCATGGCCGACGTCGCTCCTGAAAAGTCTGTATCTACGTGGCAAATGTAGTTGGTGAGATATTTGTCTTGTATTGAGAATGTCCGTCCTGATTCATGCGAACCATTGAGCACACAGAACCAGGCTTTGATGCTTCCCTTGCTTTCTCGATTTGTTGAACAGTATGGATATCCGAACTTGTTCTTTGTTTACAAATAATGGCCCATTGACATAACTGCGTCTGAACCATGTACATCGTTATCTTTCATTATCCCAGAACCTTTCCCAATGAAATCCCGCTCCATCGATCATCGATTCTCATCTCTAGATGCAAGAATGCGAACGCCAGATGATGTACCAGGACGCTCAATGCCCTCTAAAACACCGAAATCAAACATGAAAATCCGCTCAAGAAGGTATTTTCCACATCCGAGTGAAAAGAGTTGACCGATTGAAGTGCAAGTCCGGACGAGTTGTTCAGAAATCCTCTGCACAATTGCGCACGGATGGATACAAGCGCCACCCACTGTGCCGTGAGAAATGATGCTCACATACTGTGGTAAAATCCCCATCGCCACGAACTGCGAGGTCCTCAGTTCTCGTTCCAGTTCAGCTTGAAGCGGCCCTCGGCGTTCTTGTATTCCTGCAAGCATTGGATGACCTCTTCAGCAGACAGAGCCTCGACGAGGATGCCGGCGCAGGTAGGCGAGACAAAGCCGCTAGTAACAGCGTTCTTGACCCAGCTGATCAGGCCGTCATAGTAGCCGTCGACGTTGAAGACGACAACACCGCGGTTGTGGATGCCCAGCTGGTTCCACGTCGTCACCTCCATCAGCTCCTCCATCGTGCCATATCCGCCGCTCAGCGCGACGAAGCCGCCGCCAGGCCCGCCTGCAATGACCTCCTGCGCCATCATGCTCTTGCGCGTGTGCATGTCCTTGACGATGGTCGTGCGGCCGTAGATCTTCTCGTCGATGACATTCCTCGGGCCGGGGCCGTTCAGTACCTCGCCATTGTTGTCCGCGCTGCCGTTCTGCTGCTGCTCCTCCATGACCTTCTCGTAGTTCTGTTCCAGCTTGACCAGGGCGGCCGGGATGATGCCATGCACGGCGTCGGGACCGGACAGCGAGACCAGCGTGCGCGCCACCTCGCCCATCAGGCCGACGGTGCCGCCGCCGTAGACCAGGCGCATGTTGTTGGCGTGCAGGGCTTGCGCCAGCGACCGCGCCGCCTCCAGGTGCTTCGGCGACGTTCCGCTGCTGGCGCCGCAGAAGACGCAGATCACTGGCCGCGGGTCGGCTGCCACGGCGCCGTTGAGCTGCGTCGCGGGGACCGGTTGTTCGGGTTGCACGGCGGATGACATGGTTGGTGGTGGCGGGTGGCGGTTTTTGTTTTTTGGTGGTTGGAGAATGGGTTTGAAATTGAGCGGCGGTCTGAAGCCGTCGGTTGGTGGATTTGGATTTTCTGGATTGGAGTCTGGGGTAGGGAGTCAGGAAGAGTACGAGGTTGGGAGAAGAAGGGAGCCACAGACGGCGAATGAGTCACTAATGAAATAGTAGTGAATGTGTGAGATCCACCAAAGGAGAACTAGACGGAAGGGGCGCAGGGGCCAAAGGGATTAGGCAGCTATATATCTACAGAAGGGGCGAGTGGAGGCGTCCATTCAGTCATCAACAAGTCATTTGATGCGTTGGACGCACGTTCACAGCGTCCTAGCGTGCTGCTGTGCTCTTCATCCGTCGGAGGCGGATATGGGCGGCGGGCGATTTGCATCATAGCCGTGGTCGCCGGTGCCTGGCCAATCGGAGTCGATTTTCGCCGGCTAGCCCCCGCGAAGCCTAGACCCTGTCTCCCCGACCGCCTTCGGCGCTGCGTCTGCGCGTCGTGTCGTGTTGCAACTCTGCTCAGCCTACCTTCTTCCCCACCCTACAGCGCTTCACTTTTCCGGAAGCACTTGTTGCGAGACGAGCCCAGGCACACTCGTCAAGATGCCCGAAGAACGGAGGGAAGAACAACAGAGCGTGCGTTCCTTGCTCGCGTTTAGAGACCGAAAGCTGACCCGTATCCACTTCCAGTTCTTCCGCACTGCGGCGCAGAGTGTTGGCATTTTTCTGCTCATTCAATTTGCCACGAAGCAGTTCTTCGGCGGAGGCACGCAATCGCAGCCATCGACTGCCAACGTCCCCGGCGCCAATGCCCCGGTTCCTGACTTTGCCAACCGGCCCCACGGCCTCGCCCCGGACGCCCAGTACAATGCCATTCCGCAAAACATTGCGCCTATCTGGGCCCCCGGTACCGAGCTCGACCTGAACATCTACGTCTCGCCGTCCATCGTCGTGCCGTCGCTGAAGTCGATGCCTGCCGACTCGCTGGTTGTGGACGAGAGGAAATTCGCCTATGGTGACTTCCAGGACAAGCGTGAGATCGACACGACGATCAAGGTGCCGAAGGAGGCCCAGGCTGGTGGTCCCATCTGGGCGCACTTCTTCGTTGGCCAGGCTGGCAAGGAACTGGACCCTGCCTCTCCGAGCTACGATCCCTCCAATGCCTACCATTTCGCCTACCCCCTGACTCAGCGCCTGCCCAAGAAGAAGGTCAAGAAGACGAAGAACTTGCTGGGTGGTGGTGACGATGAAGAGACTGAACCGGAGCCCGAGTTTGAGCAGCCTGGCCAGCTCGTGAACTACTACCACCCCAACTTCACCATGTCGTTCATCCCAGATTCTGGCGTGCAAAAGTACCCTCAGCTCCACCCGGCGCTGCGCAGCTACATTCAGCTTGAAGCCACGGGAGCTAGGGATGCTTCCGGTCAGAACGGGTGGTACTATCCCATTCTGTTTGTCAACACCTTCTGGCAGCTGAAGGACCACATGATGGAACTGAACTCTACTACCACCGAGATTCCTTTGCATGTTACCCTGAACCAGCAGAAGAGCTGGATCTACACCATCCTCGCCAGCGTTGATGCCAATGTCAAAGCTAACCAGGCAAACGCAGCTGCCAATCCTGGACAGATGACTGCCGGCGGCTCCGGAGAGGAGTTTGAGGACTTTAAGCGTATCCTGATTGACAGCAACGCCTACCTGCTTGCTACGACCGGTGTTGTTTCTATCCTTCACATGATCTTTGAGATGCTTGCATTCAAGAACGACGTCTCTCACTGGCGCTCGAAGAAGGATAACGTCGGCACTTCGGTCCGCACGATTCTGGCCAACGTCTTCATGCAGACGGTTATTTTCCTCTACCTGATGGACAACAACGAGAACACGTCGTGGATGATTCTTTTCGGCCAGGGCATGGGCATTCTCATCGAAGCCTGGAAGATTACCAAGACGGTTGATGTCAGGATCGCACCTGCCGGCCCAGGCTCCTTCTTGCCATACAAGATTGAGATCAAGGACAAGCACGAGCTATCTGACAAGGAGAAGGAGACGCAAGAGTATGACCGCATCGCCTTCAAGTATCTGTACTTGGTCGCCATTCCTCTTCTGCTCGCCTACGCCGGCTACTCCCTCGTCTACGAGACGCACAAGTCGTGGTACAGTTTCATCATCGCCACGCTCGTCGGCAGCGTCTACGCGTACGGCTTCCTGATGATGGTGCCGTCGCTGTACATCAACTACCGCCTCAAGTCGGTGGCGCACATGCCGCGCAAGGCCATGATGTACAAGTTCCTGAACACCTTCATCGACGACCTCTTCGCCTTCACCATCAAGATGCCCACGCTGCACCGTCTGGCTACCCTCCGTGACGATGTCATCTTCTTCATCTACCTCTACCAGGCCTGGAAGTACAGGGTCGACTACACCCGTGTCAACGAGTTCGGCCAGGGTGGTGATGATGAAGACGAGCAGGAGAAGGTCGCTGACAAGCCGGCTGATGGCGATAAGAAGGCTATCGAGCAGGCTAAGGAGGTCGAGGCCGAGGCCAAGACCACGGGTGCGGAGAAGGGCGGAAAGGGTAGGAAGAGGAAGTAAAAAGTTCTTCGTAGTTCAATTGGGCAGGATGCTCTAGGCTGGTACAGCCTGATCGTTATTCGACCGAATGATTGAAGCTAAGGGATATATATTGTTAATATAGTACACCATACAAGATGGAGGCAGGGACTGTGTCCTGGCCTTTCAATGGACGCGAATCTTGTAATTTTACAGTGTGTATAGCGTTATCTTCGAGGTTTCTGTGATTTACAAGAGGGCTGATCGGTCCGCCGAACGAAAGAAAGCATGCTGAAAATCAATTGGGCTTGTGTTCTCACGAAGTTGGCGATAGTCATACGTGGAAGGTATGCGCCAGAGCTCACCAGCCACTACGGCGCGCCGCACACACCACAACCACATCCACGCACCGGCTTCCACGCAGCTCTCTCTCAAGCTCTCCCACAACGACCATCCGCAACCCGTCTGGACAACTGCGACCTCCACGCGCCCTCTTCCTACCTCACAACCAAAGCGAAAGACGGAGCGGTCTGCCTCCGGGCGCAACCAAACACCAAACAACCAATCCCACCACATCCATCCACCAACCCGCCCACCACCACAATGCGCCTCTCAACCGCAACCACTGCCACCATCCTGGCCAGCAGCGCCTGGCTCGCCTCCGCCGCCGACCTCACCTTCGTCATCCCGCCCCACCCGGCCGCGCTGCCCGCCGGCGCGTCGTCGCTGCCGTCGTCGACGCACGCCACGCTGCACGCGCGCGGCGCCCCGCTCTCGGCGCCGCTGCGCCGCGACGGCACCTTCGTCTTCGCCGACGTCGCGCCGGGCAGCTACCTGCTCAGCGTGCACGGGCGGGACCACTTGTTCGAGAACTTGAGGGTGGATGTGGAGGAGGCGGTGGATTACGAGGGTAAGGATGGGGAGGAGAAGAAGGGAGCAGCGGGCAAGAAGGTGGAGAAGGTGAGGGCGTGGCAGACGTTTCGGGGGAACGAGTGGGCGAATCGCGGGGAGAAGAGGGGCGAGTCGTCGGCCAAGGGCGGCGAGATGCTGGCGGAGGTGCGGGTGCTGGGGAGGAAGGAGTACTATCAGGAGCGGTCCGGGTTCAGCCCGTTGGCGTTCTTGAAGAACCCGATGATCCTGATGGGCGTGTTCAGTTTGGCGTTGATTGTGGGCATGCCGTATCTGATGGATAACAGTGAGTGGATTTCTCATGTTCTTTTCCACTTCCCCGTTCCTGCCTTATTTTCCCCTCTTCTTTCTTCAGCAAGTTTTTTTCTGTTTCACGTTACTAACGTCGTGTGCTGCAGTGGACGAAGAGACTCGTGCCGAGTTCGAGGAGATGCAGAAGAGCAGCCCGCTTGCGCAGAACCCGGCAGCCCAGCTGCAGAACTTCGATCTGGCGTCTTTCTTGGCCGGCAAGACGAACGACCAGCCGCAGCAATCGTCACAGGGTGGTGGAAGCGGCTCCAAGAAGCGCGGCTAGACTTCTCTCTGAAAGAGTGGGGATTTTGCAGACCGACGGACATAGAAAAATCATTGTGGGATACGATGTGGAGTAATGATAAAAGAATTGATGAGAATTGATGTACTGAAAAGGCCCTGGGCCGTTCATTAGGAGTACTAGAAAGTTCATATTCATTTGCGTTCGTAGTTCGACGCCTTACATGCTCCATCAAGTCTAGGATTCTACCATGTACTTTATACGGACAGCATGTACCACCCATGTTCCCCTAGACAGCTACAACCAAGCTTCATTTATTCCACTGCTGCTCCAATGGGCCTCTCGGGTGCCTCTCCACCACTCCTTCCTTCTTGACCACCTCCAGATCAGGCAGCCAATGCGACTTTGTCTCGATATATTGCTCTGTCAAACAAACAAGCACAGCGGCGTTAGCAACGCATTCACATCACGCAGAATTAAGAAAAGCAGCAGCACAATGACCAGAAAGGAGATGGCAGCATTCTCACCTTTGTTCGGCCTCCACTTCACCGTCGCGTCGTCCAGCGTGCCACTGCACACGGCACGGATCTCTTCTAGCAGCGGCGATGTGATGTATAGATTACTGCCGCAGTCGCCGCAGAAGTGTCGGAACACGGGTGTCCCGGAGTCGGTGGCCGCGTCGCGGTAGGCCTTGGGTGTGCCGCTTGTGAGTGTGAATTGCTATGTAGGGGTGTTCTATTAGCCATGCCGTTCGAGGATGCGAAAGTAACGTAAGAGATGTGTTAGCCTTTTCTTTCATAAAGCAAACACAGTCCCACTGTAGCCATTGCTAAGCAAAGGAAAACAAGGCTAACTTACAGGCTCTAGAAAAATACTCGTGGTGACCATGTGCGTTCCGGTGGCTTTCTTGCAGTTTACACAGTGGCAGATGACGCTGTAGATGGGCGTGGCGGAGGCGGCAATGCTGTAGCGGATTGCGCCACAGAGGCAGCCACCGGTTGTGGGTTGGTCGGTCATTGTCGGTTTGTCCCTTTTCTTTTCCTTCCTCTGGGGTTCAAGGAGGTAGAGAAGGCTTGTGGTTGTGATGTGAGACTGTAGCAATCGGATGATCTGGGACGACAATGACCAATGAGAGTGGGGTGTGTGATGTCATGCCCGCTGCGGGGCCGGATTTAAGCAGTGTTTACGGACGGGGATATTCAAGAAGAGACCTTTGAGGCAAGCACTTGTAGTTTGGGATGGATCACTGAAGCGTACATGGCTCTGCATGTGGTACAGAATTGGGTCGCAGATTGTGTGGAATCCTAAATTCTTACTTCCCGCATCTTGGTCTACTTTTTCTGCTTATTACATCTTTCCCTTTTCGTCATTGGCAGCCACGATTCTATCCCATACTTGTCCTCAAATCTACCTCTATCCTCGAGTACGCTAAAGAAGTACTCTATGAACTCTCCCACCTTTTCTGGGACTCTAACCTTAGGCAGCAATGTCCCATCCACTCAGCACTTGCTTCGGTTGTCAGTATTTGTCAATCAGTAAGACATTGGTTACCAATAAGCTTCCAGACCTCGTTTTCTCACCCTGCCGGGGGACGGCACGAAGGACAATTTGCCGATACCCTGTCTGCGGATCCAGGCTGTTCGAGTTCATATGAGAATGGACCCAGTGTAGATCAAAACGAGATCCAAGATCTGGAGGTCATCTGGACATGGCGGTGGGAATGTCCGACTGGGAGGTAGAGTAGGAGTAGCAGCTATGACGTTGAGTGAAGGAAAAGAGTTGGCAGACCAATAAGATGCAAGGACAAGAAGAGGAGCAAGGAGGAGCTGGCTAAGCGTGGTGTACGGTGTCGATTTCTAAGCAGCAATCAACCAGTCAAAAGGTCACTTCCAACGTGTGACTATAACTCCGTACACTTACCAATTATTTGGGGGCGTCGATTACCAGCTGTGCTGCGCGAGATGCAATGTCGAGCGGTCACCGTCGCCAAAATGCCCTGCAGAGCAATATCGGCTGAAGTGAGGGCATGTGACATCCACGAGGCAGCCTGTGTATCGGCTGCGCGATGAGATCACGAAAGACAATCTTGCTGCCTGGCGTTCCGTTGTCGTACATTCGTATTGAAAAGTAGGTCCCCAGCGCCGCTGAACCAGACTCCGTAGTTATGTTGAAATTCTCGCGGCACGTAGACCAAAGGAGAGGTTCCGCAGCGAACGGCACCCCAAGTCCGACGGCGGGGAAGTGAAGGAAAATTGACAGCCAGTAAAGTGGGAAGTAGACTCAACCTCAACAGCACGCTAACCAATATCAGACCTTCATGGCCTCAGGCATCCGGGGCTGCGCCGCTCTTTCCGACATCTAGGCAACCAAGGGACGCCGCCCGTGCTACAATCCTGACACCATAAATAGTTTTTCCTGTCAGCCGCAGGACCCTATCTTTATAGGTTACCTCAAGTAAGGGGGAGATGTCAGGCAGGGATGAGCTCACAACCTTGTTATCACCGTGACATTCCCCCGAATGTTTCGAATATGCAAATCCAGGATCAAAAAGCAAAGAAAAAAACTCGTTGGTATCGTAATGCGTTGAGACAGACTTAGCTACAAATGAACAGCTGTCCGTCCCGTGTGTACCCTACATACTTCGTCTCTGTTTATCTCCGCCAACGTCAGCGGGTGCGACGAAAAGAAAAAGAGGTGCTGCAACTCATCTGTACATTTTGCAGACCGAGGATACCCGACCGAAGGAGGTACGGGAAGCAAGATTTTTTAGCCGCCGAAATATAGAAGATGATTATCGTGTATATATGGGGACTGCGTTCGAACAAGAAATTGACCGCCAATCAAGAGGAATCATGCTACAGGAATGAGAAATAAACGCCACGTGCGTGAAGTAAAGAAGAAAGTGAGAAAGCGAACAGAAGAAGAGGAGATGGAGGTAAGCAATCTTGAACATCCAACATAGAAACTCCGCAAGCATTAAGTGCGAAAGACGTCATTCAAAGCTGATGGGACTCACGCCTCACTCCCAAATATCAGCCCCGCAGCCCTCCTTAGTGCCCCAGCCGAATAGCTTCTGGAAACCAGAGCGGTTTTTGCCCCGAGTTCGAACCGGATGCCGTACGCCGCTGCCAGCTCCTCCATCAGCGTGTCCAGCTGATCCGCTCTCCTCATCGTCTCCGCCTCATCCTCGCCTACAACGAGCAACACAGTCGGGATAGATGGAGCAGACAAGGGGTCTCGGTCCTTGGAGGTGGCAGCAGCGCGGTCTCGCAGGTCTCCCGCCGCGGCAAGCGTCTGGGAGGCGAACTTGAAGAAGGGATCGGCAGGCTCGAAATGGTGACCGCGGTGGGGCGATGGGCGTGGCTCATGCTTGAATGAGGCCGGGGTGGGCGTGATCGAGGACTGACGTGGAGGGGGGAGGATGTAGGAAGAAGAGCGGTCAGGCAGTTGACGTTGGTGGTGGTGTAGCTCGAGGCTAGTGGATCCGGACGAGGGGGCCCGTTTACGGCCTTCTTCGCCATTATTGCACACGACCACCAGGACAATTGCAGAGGCGTGCTGAAGGAAGGTCTTGTGAGTGCTCGTCATGCCGACGCTCGGCACGTAGGGCACATGGCGAACGCGGGCGTGGTGCCGGGACAGGGCGCGGCCGAATGGCTCGAACGGGTCCATGGGAGCATCCGCGCTCGCACGGCCGGCGGCCTTCTTGCTATACTTGACCTCGTTTGGAGACGAAGACACGAGCTCCGGCTCCGGCTCCGGCTCCGGCGGCACGACCGGGGTGAATAAGACGAGGTTCGCGGACCTTGGTAGAGAGCGGATTGCATTCAGGGTTTGAGCGTCACGGCGCAGAAAGCCCGGAGAAGTGACCATGCTGCGGCCGCTGGAATTGGCGGTGTGATTTTGAGGGTCGGTGGTGTGGTTGTCGTGGAGTGAGGAGCGGTTCAACAGGGAACAGATGGCAGTGGTGCCTGGGGTCGCGCAGCGGCGGGCGCGGAACTTGGCCTCGCCCATTTTTGGCGAACTGCTGACGATGGGAGTTTGGGGTTGGTCGCTGATTGGGCGTGTTGGGTTTGCGACAGGCGTGAGGAATATGTGATTGGGAGGGTGATGGCACCAAACAGACGAGCGACAGATGCAAGGAAAGGCAAACGAAAGCAGGCAATAGCAATGAGCAACAAAAGACCACCCGAACGGAAGCAGTGTCAGAACATTTATACGCAGGTCGGCGGTCGTAGACGAGAGTCTGGAGGCCACGGCGCGCCGTGGTCCAACGTGGGCCGGGCGGCTTTTTTAAAGCTGGCATTAGGAATTATCGAATCGAAGGAATGGCGGGAGGTGACACGGAGCTACGCAGCGCTGGAGGTACGAGCATGCCATGGGTGGAGATCAACATTGTCGAAAAAGAAGGTTTGCGGCACTAGAGCGGGCGTCCACTGGCGATGGTCCAACACTTGGCCCGGCCGCTGGCAGCTGCACCATGCTGCACGGCAGATACGCCGAGGACAGCCGTGACGGTTACACAGAGTCGAGTTGAAAAGGGAATGCAGTGCAGGCGCTGCTGGCCTGAGATCCGGAGCAGCTCCGGCGCCGCGCATTGGCCGACGGGAAGGCGCGACCCGTGGGTTGGCTTGGGCCTAGGGAAATTCGAGGGAGTGGAGAGGAGGCTGGCCAGCGCGGCTACAGCGGCGGGCGGAGTCGGCAGCGGAGGCGCTAGGCGCGGTGCGGGAGGGTGCTGAGAGCTGGCTCACGGCTCCCGGCTTGTGTCTCGATGCCCCGGCAATATGACCAATATCTTCGGTATTGGCTGGCTTACACGGCGCCGCAGCGGGCGAATCGCGGCGCTGGCCGACGACTGCTCGAGCGAGTGTAACGTGGGACAGAGGCCGTCGTCATCGCTTCTGCAGCCATATGCACCGTGACTGCTGCGACCAGGCGGCAAACAGGCAGTTTTGTCCGTCGCGCGCGCCTTCGCACAGCCTCCGCCGCCAGCGGCTGACTAACCCGCGCTGCTCTGCCTGGGGCACACACGCTACGCCCGAACCGTCACCACGCGCCCAAGCACGCGTCGTCCAGGCCGCCGACGCGATCCAGCAGCCTTCTTTACGGCAATGCCCGCGCTGCCGCATGGTGCCCCATCCCGCGCCCCTGCCGCTGCGCTGCTGCGCGAACGCCTGTGCTGACCGTGACCTCAGATCGTAACGCTGCCATGCACGCCACCATCGACGCCCTGCGCACTGGTCAGCTCTCCACGTGTGCTTCTAGAAAAAAGTCCCGCTGACGCGCGCCTCCAGCATCCACTCTTCCCGCCAAGCAGCGCGGAGAAAAGGTCAACGCCGTCGTCGATGCCGTCTGCAGTCATGCATACCAGCATGGCCTCAGCCGCGACCACCTGCAGAGCATTGTCGCCATCGTCACGCGCCGCAACCACCTTGATCAGACCTCGTTGACCAATCTTATCAAAAACCTGTACCCTGCCGACAGAGTGTCGTCCGACATTGTACTTGCTATTGTTGGCTCCCTCGGCCACGGCCAGGCCAAACCCTCAGCCGCCACCCAGGCTGCATTGCTGAAGTGGATCATTGCTGTCATCGACGCCCTTCAAGATGCAACCGTGCTGTCCAAGCTTTATGGCGTTTTGTTCAACATGCTGGATACGATGACTCTCCGGTCAGGCCCTCCATCCATTATCTGCGAACCCACTTGCTCACTGTCGTGCAGAACTCCGCTTTGCCATTTGCTGTCCTTGATCACGCGTCGCAAGCATGTTCGCCCGTTCCGCATCCAACAACTGTAAGCTGCACAACCCTTGCTAGTCTCACATGTTCCTCCTTTCTGACCCCTTCGCTTAGGTTGGAGATGGTCCGCGGAAGTGGACAAGATCCCGCCTTGGTGGGCCTACTTCGGGTTTACAAGGACTATTACCCGGAAATTATCGTGGGCAACGCTGCCTCAGGTCGCACATCGTTTGCGAGCGCAGCCCAAGACGAGTGGCGTCAAAGACTCCAGGTTATCCAGGACGCCAACGCTGACAGCAACGAACAGCTCTATGCTCAGCAGGATGGCTTCAAGGTCATCCGACGTGGAGCGAAACGAGCCAAGGCTTCCATTCTGCCTGATGTACACACCTCCTATGCAAACGAAAAGTCTGTAACACTCGAGGAGGTTAATAGTGCCGACGGGCTGGTCAAGAATCTGGAACGAATTGAGCTGCCAAACCAGTTGCTGGCGTCCTTCAAGGATCCTCTTTTGCAGAAGTACCTCATACTTAAGCCTTCTGATACAGCTGCACGTAGGCTAGAGCTTTGGTTGGAGAGTTATCTTCGAGAGACCCTAGAGACCATTTCCAGTGGCACCAAGAATCCTGATCATTTTGATGAGTTGCTCGATGGCATGTTGAACTACACAAAAGCTACGAAGGTGTGTGGCCGCCGTGAAGTCAATTCGAAGTTGGAAGTGCTGATAAACTAGGTCCTTTTACCCACTGGCCAAGATTTTCTAAAGTCATATCTTCCATTCTGGGATGGCTGGTCGAATTCAGAGTCAATCCTTGGTCTGCTAGCTTATGTCCCTATGCAGGACTTCAAAGGTATTCTCTTTTTCACGCATCGTGCCTAGAACATGGCCTAACTTTCCACCAGAATTCAAAGCTTCATACCTCAACCCAGCCGAAGCAGCAATAGTCACAAGCGGTACGGTTGATGCCTACGACCGCCTTGTCACCTTCTACACAGCCTTAGTTCAGAACTGGAACCACGCTGCCAATACCAGTAGACCAGACTCCGGAGATGCCGCCAACGACCTAATCACATCCACCGACTTCACTGGCCTAACTACTCACATATCCAACACCATCCTGTCCCTTCTAACCTCACAATCACACACCCCTATATCAACGACAACCACCATCCTCACCTACTACACTACCCTCTCCACGCTCTCCTCTGGCCTCACCCCGCTCACCATCCCCACCGCACCCACCCTCTACACCCTCCTCTTCCAACCTTCCCTCGCCACCCTCTCCCAACTCTGCACCCTCCTCGCGACCTACAAACGCGCCTTCGAAGCCGACCTGCAAGACCACACGACCACCGCCGCCAACCTCCCGCGTGCCGTCACCAACGCCTTCAACGGCTACCTGATGGACGTAGCCAACCTGCTCTGGCGGTCGCGCGCCCTCACCTCGACCGACCCCAACGCCATGGCCTGCCTGTGCGCGCCGGGCGTCGCCGCTGCCTTGCACGCCTACATCTCGACCACGCTTCCGCCCGTGCTGATCCCGTCCGCGAACGACAACACCACCGCCCCCGCTCCCGGCACCGGCCCCGACTACACCCTCGCCGCCCTCTTCGGCCTACCGCACAACGCCCTCACCGCGCCCCTCGCCCGCGCCGCTTTCCGCGACCTAGAAGACGCGCACCACGGGACTAGTGGCAGCAGTAATGCGCCCAGACATCCCCCGGGACCCGTCACCCAGCGCACCCTCCACCGCCTCGCCCGTGCAGGCAACAATGGCAATGGTAATGGAAACGGGAACGGTGGAGGTGCCGCAGGAGGTGGTGGAGGCGGACTCGAGCTTAGCTGGAAGGCGTACCGCGTGTGCGTGCTCGAGTGGCTGGCCGAGCGCGGCGTGCGCGGGCTACGGGACTTCATGTTCGTCACCATGAAGGACCTGATGAAGGAGTCTGCTGCTGCTGCCGCCGCCGCGGCCAAGACGGGAGCTACTACTACCACGGCGACGGCGTGAGTAATTAGGAATGTCCAGATAGGCTGGCATGGGAGATTGGGGAAATCCAGAACGAAGGCGCGAAGAGAGAGGGGAAAAAAAAAGGGCGCAACGGAAGAAAGAGGGATCTGGAAATTTTCAAGTCTCAAATATGAAGAGATGTAAAACGTCCAGAGTTGTGAGTGATACCCGGACGGCCGGCCGGACGGAAGGCATAGATCACGTGCCTACGAACATGGTTAAATCCCAATCATCGGATCTTTTGGGGAAATATCGTGGGGAAAGAAGTAGAGTGGGGAAAGCTGATGTATTAGGTGATAACCTTGATTAATACGGTAGTCTTCAACATTGACTTGATACTCACCAAGCTGTGGTTACTACGTCATTTCTGCAGCAGATCTCAAGCCACGTCGCATCCACAACTTTCCGCAAAAGCAAGTACAGACACAAGGGAATGATTTCAGATGGTGCGAGGATCTTCAGCTTTAGGATTACACGCCAAGATGGCACAGGAGAAGACGCCAGATGTCTTACGTTCATCCCCTTTTCTGTACAAAAAATCAAAAATGCATTTCATGGGAAAATCTTGCCCGTGTCTTTTTCTAAACATGAGCTGAGAATGTCCCCCGATCCTTTCATCCGGCGCTTATCTCCGTGTGTGGCAGAAATTGTCGGCTCCTCCCCTTCCTCCGTGGCTCAATCCTCGCGCGTTTACGAGGACTTCTCGAGCTCGGCAAGAATCTTCTCACCCTTGGCGCGGGCAGACTCAAGGTCACCAACCATGTAGAAGGCACCTAAACGCGAAATTAGCAATTTTCGCAGCATTCACGGAATTGGTCATAACTTACCCTCGGGAAGGTCGTCACCCTCACCGTTGAGGATGGCCTTGAAGGACCTGATGGTGTCCTTCAGGTCGACCAGCTTACCCTCGATACCAGTGAAGACCTGGGCGACGGTGAAAGGCTGGGACAGGAAACGCTGGATCTTACGGGCACGCTCGACGGTAAGCTTGTCAGCTTCCGACAGCTCGTCCATACCGAGAATGGCAATGATATCCTGGAGCGACTTGTACTCCTGGAGGATCTGCTGGACGCGGGAAGCGACGTCGTAGTGCTCCTGACCGATGACACGGGGGTCAAGGATACGGGACTTGGAGTCGAGAGGGTCGACGGCGGGGTAGATACCCAACTCGGAGATACCACGGGACAGGACAGTGGTGGCGTCCAAGTGAGCGAAGGTGGTGGCGGGGGCAGGGTCAGTCAAATCGTCAGCAGGGACGTAGACGGCCTGGACGGAAGTAATGGAACCCTTCTGGGTGGTGGTGATACGCTCCTGCATGGTACCCATGTCGACGGCGAGAGTGGGCTGGTAACCGACGGCAGACGGGATACGACCAAGAAGGGCAGACACCTCGGAACCGGCCTGAGTGAAACGGAAAATGTTGTCAATGAAGAGAAGCACTGTTTCCCGGTCAGCCTCGCTCCGATTTTCGGACTCAATTGCAGCTCTTACCGTCCTGGCCCTCCTCATCACGGAAGTACTCGGCAATGGTGAGACCGGTAAGGGCGACACGGGCACGGGCACCCGGGGGCTCGTTCATCTGACCGAACACCAGGGCGACCTTGGACTCGCCCTCCAGCTGAATGACACCAGTCTCCTGCATTTCGTGGTAGAGATCGTTACCCTCACGAGTACGCTCACCGACACCGGTGAAGACGGAGAAACCACCGTGGGCCTTGGCGATGTTGTTCTGTTGCGCGGTCAGCGAAAGCTCGCGGGAATCCAGCCACGGGCATCCTCACAATCAGCTCCTGAATGAAGACAGTCTTGCCGACACCGGCACCACCGAAGAGACCAATCTTTCCACCACGAGCGTAGGGAGCGAGCAGGTCGACGACCTTGATACCAGTGACGAGAATCTCAGCAGAGGTGGACTGGTCGATGAACTCCGGGGGGTCGGCGTGGATGGAGGCGAACTTGGTGGCCTTGATGGGGCCGCGCTCGTCAATGGGATCACCAGTGACGTTGACGATACGGCCCAGGGTGCCGGCACCGACGGGGATCTTGATGGGCGAGCCGGTGTCAAGAGCCTCAGCACCACGGACGAGACCCTCCGTACCTGTTTACATCATCAGCCGCAGGCCCGAATGCCCTCGTGGCAAGGTGTACTGACCGTCCATGGCAATGCAGCGGACGACGTTCTCACCCAAGTGTTGCTGTAGACAGTTTAGCTAGGGTTCTTCGGCGCTCCGGAGCTCGGCTCGAGCTGGACGGCTGGCTTACCGCGACCTCGAGGACCAGCTTCTGGCCACCGTTCTGCGTGGTCAAGGCATTGAGAATCGGGGGGAGCTTCTCGCCCTCGAACTTGACTGGGTGCCAGGGTCAGCGATGATGGAATTGATGTCGGTGCTGTCGCGGCCGCGGGTCGACGGCGGACAGAAAAGTTTTTCGCATACCGTCGACGACGGCACCGATGACCTGGTGGATCTTGCCGCCCTGGGCGACATCAGTGCTGGCGAAGCGAGCAGACAGCGCCGGAGCGAAGTTCTTCTTGATGGGCTGGAAGGCGGCGCGAAGCGCAGGCCTGCGGAAGGCGGAGGCCCTCAGCGACCGGTTGATGCCGCTGCAATTCCATCATGTCAGCGTCCGTACGGCGCCAATGGCATCGGAAATCGGCGTCGGGCGTACCTCTTGAGCATTCTGCAAGATGTCGGAGGGCAGGGTAGATGGGGGAGTGGAGAGGTGGATGGGGAGAGAGGAAGCTCGTCTGGGAGACGGTCGAGGTGCAACTTCACTGCGAGCGAGATTCTCCGAGGCGGGCACAGGCCACGGCCGCACGCCGGCAGGTCCAGTGACCACGCCTTCCGAATGCCGGACCCCAACAACACCCGGCCCAAGCAGTCTTCACTCGCCCGCGCCCCGGCCCGCTGAGCGCTGCAGCCCTCGCAATTCGCGCGCAGTCTGCCCAGCTGCACCGTTAGGGCGCCGTTATCAATCATTCACTAGGTTCCATCGTTGCACAGCACTTGGGTTACCTGCCGTCGCTCTAGTCACGTGTCCTACGCGCGCAGCTGCATGTCATTCTGGCTATGGTACATGCTCCCCGGCCTACCCCTCACATGCAGCGGCCATTCATATCATCCCACCTCCACCCGTCCGATTCCCATCGCTACAAAGTCTCCTCGAGCGCCAAGACCTGCGATTGTTAGCCAAGTTGCCGCCAGACCGCACCTACGGAGCACACTTACGATTGCCGTCCTCGACGGAATGTACACCTGCAGGAAATTCTTCCTGTCGTTCCAAGCAAACGGCGTCGTGAAGAAACGCGTCTCTTCGCTGACGTTGCCGTGCCCTCCAAAGTCCTTCGAGTCGGTGTTGATCACAATCTTGTAGGTACCCTCCTGCTCGACGCCGACGCGGTAGTCGGTGAAGCTGCTGCTCGGGTGGAAGTTGAAGATCCACAGCAAACCACCTCTCTCGAAGACAATCACCTTGTCACTGTCATGCTTGAGGCTAATGTAGGCCTGAGGAGCGTGCAGCCAGCCGTACTTCTCCTCGGTCCATTGCATCTTGCTGTCGAATTCGTTGAGGAAGCGGTAGCGCAGAAGGTGGTCATCCACGAGGTTGAACTGCCGACGCGCGTAGTGGAAACTGTTACCGTTACCCTCGCGCGGGAAGTCCAGCCATTCAGGGTGGCCGAATTCGTTGCCCTCAAAGTTGAGGTAACCCTCACCGCCGAGACCGTGGGTGATGAGGCGGATCATCTTGTGCATGGCTATCCCACGGTCGATGACGGGAGTAAGCTCCGTCAAGACTGACATGTTGGTGTATAACTCAGCATCGCACAGCCACATCAGAATGGACTTGTCACCGACAAGCCTGGGCAGGTTAGCTCTGGTTCAATGTGGACGGGCCGCAGCAACTTACGCTTGATCGTGACTCTCGGCGTATGCGATAGTCTTCTCTCCGTGTCGACGGTTCGTCAGGGTCCAGCAAAGGCCGGCCATGTCCCAATCGATATCCTGCTTCTCCTTGAGCCACTTGATGTACAGATCCGGGATGGCCATTGCCAGTCTGTAGTCGAAGCCAATGCCACCGAGTGACAGAGCAACGCACAGACCAGGCATACCAGAGACGTCCTCTGCAATCGTGATGGCAGTGGGGTACAGCTGGTGAATCATCTCGTTGGCAATCATCAGGTACACGACACCCTCTTCATCCACGCTGTCACCGAAATACTCGTGGTAGCCACCGGAGAAGCCACTAAAAAGGTCAGCGGAAATACACGTGCGCTGAAGTTGCGTACTTACGTTCCAATTCCATGGTGGACATAGAGCATGCTTGTGACACCGTCGAAACGGAAGCCGTCAAACTGGTACTCCTCCATCCAGAAGCGAAGGTTGCTCAACAAGAACCTCAAGACTTCATGGCTACCGTAGTTGAACAGCCTGCTGTCCCACAAATCGTGGCGGCCCTTTCCGCCCTCGTGGAAGTATAGGTGATCGCTTCCGTCGAACATGTTCAGGCCATCCAGAACATTCTTGGAGGCGTGACTGTGCACAACGTCCAACAGGACGGTGATTCCCATGCCATGCGCCGTGTCAATCAGCTCCTTGAGGTCGTCGGGTGGACCGTAACGACTGCTTGCAGCGAAGAAGCTGTTGATCTGGTATCCAAAGCTAGCATAGTATGCGTGCTCCATGATTGCCATCAGCTGGATGGCATTGTATCCCAGGTGCCTGATGCGTGGGAGAACATTTGTTGTGAATTCCTTGTATGTCGCGACCTTGGGCTCCGGCGAGGAGATTCCCACGTGTGCTTCGTAGATGCGAAGGCTCTCGGGCTTCTTGGGTCGCTGGTTCTTGAAGACGTACTTGTGCGGAGGGTTCCAGAACCTGGCGTCGTAGACGGGAGACACCGACAGCTCTTGGGTCACTCGGGTGATCCATGCGGGAATACGTTCTTGCCTGGCGTGATCGTTGGGCACCACGAACGAGATCTACAAGAATGTCAGTTTTCGGCAAAGTGGCAAAGGGCGCATCCAGCAAACCTTGATTTTCGAGTCATGAGCAATGGCTGGTTGGCCATCAACGGGCGGAAGGGTGATCTCGAAGACACCAAACTCGTTCTTCGTCATCTCATGGGAATCACGGTTCCAGCCGTCTATTACGACCATCAGCCGTCAGTGTTGGCATGTGCTGCGCAGAATACGTACTGAAATCGCCAATGAAGTATGCGCGCAGCGCATTGGGAGCCCATTCCCTGTATGTGATGGATTTATCGTCGTTCACGTGAATTCCGAATCTCTCGTAACCCTACAAGCAAACAGCTCAGATATGGACGTGAGGCAGGAGGGTAGCGTTAGGAGGGATACCCTTGAAAACTTCTCCAGGCCGCCCTCGGACTCTTCAATGGTCTTGATCCATTGCTGGGCTTTGCTGTAGCGGCTTTTGAGACCAGCCTTGAAGGGCTCGAGCCACGGATCGAGAGAAACGATGCCTGGCGAGGTCAGCACACCGCAAGAATTGCGGGACGAAGGCAGCAGATACCAGTGCCGTCGGTGGGCAGGTCGCCGGCAGACTTGCCCAAGACGGAGTTGTCGGAGGCGTTATTGGTTTCCATGGTTGCAGGAATTGGGTTTACACGAGCAGACGGAACGGATGGGGGGTGGCGGTTTTAAAAGGCGTTGAGGGTGGGCGGCGGGACAGGGCAAACAGACAGCGCCTGGATGCGATAGCGAAGCGCAGGCGTGTCGCGTCACAGCGCATAGCGTGTGAAGTCAAACGGGCTAGAGCTTAAAACTCTCGGGCATGTGCGGGGCCCAGCGTGGCTCACTCTCCACTCTCCACTCATTCTTCCCCTCCTGGAGCTGCAGCATTTCGCAGCGCGCCCGCGGCGGGTGCAAACATTGCCTCAACGTCATACGCGAGCGCAAGCTAAGGCCGCATGCAGCTAGGCCCCCGCCTCAGGGAGCTTGGACGCGCGGAGAGGCGCTGAGGCCCCCGAGCTCCAGGCGCTCGCCGATGACGGACGCCGCCCTCAACACCGCTTGCCTCTACGTACACTCTCCTGAAATCCAAGCCGTCTGCCCGTGGCCAGCTCTCTGCGCCGTCCAGCATCCGTCGCTGTCGTGCTCGCCTCGCCTCCGTGCCTCCCGCCGCCCGCGCCCGCTTATCTCCGCTGCGACACCCCGCCAAGCTTGACTCAAGCCGCGCTCTGCGATGAGCTAGAGACAACACATCACGCGCGGAGACGCTCCCCAATTATTTTCAAGCAGGAACAAGCCGCTGCCCGCAGATCCAACGCTGCCTGTTTCAACATCCAAGATGACGCTTGCCACCACTTTCACCATCACGATCTCGCCACAGGCCCGCTCGTCATACCTCGCTTTGTATTCCATAAGCCGAACCTTCACGACCTCCGCGGCACAATGCTCGTCCGGTCACTACAGCCGCTCAGACTTCTCCAGCCAGGGCTTTACGGGCATCTATGAGCCAGGCCAGCCGACTGGCGGGCCGCTCGGGGGAGCCAGCATCGTCGGCGCCCCCCGGATAACCCCGAAGGCGCTCAAACATCACCTGGATCAGTTTGTGGTCGGTCAGGAGCGCGCCAAGAAGGTTCTCAGCGTCGCCGTGTACAATCACTACCAACGGATACAGGAGCTCGAGCGGCTCGAGGAGGAGGAGCAGGAGCACCTGGCCCAGCAAGCGCGGCGGGAGATGGTACATCGGCATCCAGTTGAAGGTACTCATCGAAGGAGGCGCATCCGCTCTCGCCCCCTACTGACACAGGACCTTCTAGATGAGTTCCCTGGGCAACAGCGGACCACCAATGTTTGGGACGCTGAAACCCAATATCCCCCCGACCCCCCGGCACCGCCCCCGCGTGCATCCCCCGCTTTCGGCGCTGAGCCACTCGTCGACAACAGCCCCATGACCATCGAGAAATCAAACATACTATTACTTGGGCCCTCAGGTGTGGGAAAAACGCTCATGGCGAAGACACTTGCCCGCGTGCTTGAGGTTCCCTTCAGCATGTCTGACTGCACCCCATTCACTCAAGCCGGTTACATTGGCGAAGACGCGGAGGTCTGCGTGCAGCGGTTACTGGCTGCAGCAAACTACGACGTAGCGGCTGCCGAGCGCGGCATAATAGTCTTGGACGAGATAGATAAAATCGCAACAGCAAAAGTCAGCCACGGCAAGGACGTTAGCGGGGAAGGTGTACAGCAGGCATTACTGAAGATTATTGAGGGAACAACACTACAAGTACAAGCCAAGCCGGAGCGCGGGGGCAACACTGGGAGGGGGCCAAGCAGCAACGCTTCAGGCAATTCTTACATTCCTGGAGGTAACCCAGGCGGACCAACCGGGATGAACATGGGTCATCCTCCCTCGCCCAAGGGCGAAGTTTTTAACGTCCGCACCGACAACATGCTTTTCATCTGTACGGGCGCATTCATTGGTTTGCATAAGGTAATCCTTGACCGCATATCCAAAGGCAGCATTGGATTTGGCGCACCGGTTCGAGCAGCCAGCTCCGAAACATTATCTTCCGACACAACACTGAAGGGGGACGCTGCTCTTTTCCACAAACATGTTCCTTTTTACACCCCGGAGTCCCAAACCACAGGATCCTCCAAGGCTCCTCTCAACACGCTCGATCTCGTCGAGCCCGCGGACCTCCAGAAATACGGCATGATCCCGGAGCTGGTCGGCCGCATTCCCATCACCTGCGCGCTTTCGTCGCTCGACGAAGAGGCTCTCGTAAGGGTGTTGACAGAGCCTCGCAACTCGTTGGTCAAGCAGTACGAGCAGCTCTTCTCCCTCTCCGGCATTGAACTCAAGTTCACCTCGCCGGCTCTCCGCGAGGTCGCGAAACAGGCGTCGAAGATGGAGACTGGTGCTCGTGGGCTTCGAACTGTTATGGAGCGTCTGCTGGGCGAGGCGCAATACGAGTGCCCCGGCAGTACGACGAAGCACGTCCTTGTGACCAGAGATGCGGCACAGAGGAAGAAGCCGTTGACGTACGTCAGTCGCGGACAGCAGCAGCGCTTCCAAGCACTGCTGGACCAGGAGGAGCAGGAATGGCAGAGGGAGATTAGTGGGAAGAAGGCGGAGGAAGAGCATCAGCAGAGGGTTAATAGTTTCGAGCAATATAGGAGAGCGGAGGCGGGGTATGCTTAGATAGAAGGAGGGATGGGAAGTGGGTGCATCACTATTTCCAGGTATCTTTTGGGGCATTTACCAGTTTTCGAGGACAGGTTTGAGTCAGTTTTATGAAGCAGGAAGTTTACGAACGATTAGGCTCTAGATGCATGTATGTATGTACAAATGTTTACCCAGGACATAACGCGAGGTTTGGTAGTATTAAAGGCAAGCTTCCGTGGTCCTAAGAATAACACAGTTACCGGAATCTTCGCAAACGTGCTTACATTCGCGGGAAGATTGTTTTCCCATCGTATTTTCTCCATAATACTCGCAACATCTGAAACATTCTTTGTGAATACCTTCTGACTATCCCTACAATGCCGCCTCTATCCTGCTACTATCAATTTTACGATATCCGAATGGGCATCATGACAGGAGTCACCGCAGCTGCGCCTTCCGTACCACACACTCAAACACCGGTCAGGTGCCAGCCACAGTCTCCCCACACCCACTTCTGCCGGGACGCCGCGCTCTTACGAGACTCACCAGCCCTATTTTTGCACAAGCGTGTATCCGTTCTTCACATCCAGCCCTCGGTAGAACCGGATTGTGTGGTAGTCAGGGTAGATCCACGCTCCCTCGTAGGAGCAGAAGTGCTGGCGCACGCATAAATTCTGCACCATCCCACCACGCATGTTGAGAGCACAGAGTTTGACGTTCTGGTGTGGCCGTAGCGCTGGTGGCCCGAATATTGCTCGTCATGGCTCCTTTCGACTCCGTGTTCGTCGTCCAGCCGTTTGAGATGTACTCCTAGGAAGCTTGAGCGATTCTTGGCGTACGCCGGGCGGCTGAGTATGGCGGCGTAGACGTTGTTCTTGACGCTTTCCGGACGAAAAGAGAGATCTGTCGGCTTCAGCTCGTCCTGGACAAGAGTGGGCGATGCTTGTAATCGCGGTACAACACAAAGTTGGCCGAATCAGTGAAGTGCTCGGGGGAGGTGGTGAGCAGGCTATGGAGGAAACCATCTTCTAGCAACGTGGACTTGTTCTTCCAGGCGAATAGAAGCTCGTTCTCGGAGTTTGGTGTAGTTTTGTAACCAAGACGAATCCTTTTTCCTGCCTTCGCTGTAGCACAGGTATGCTGATGTTAGAAACGCCCATCAGGCAGGATTATTTTTCTCCCTCTAGTCTTGACATTTTCGTGTTTCTCCTCTTCGGTCCGCTAGAGAGGCTACAGATGACCTGCTGCTTGCGCAGCGTTTCGCGAGCCATATTCTCTGCCTGGTAATAGAAGACTTGAACGATGTAGTAACTTTTGCGGACTTACCGAGCTCCTACTCGCAGAGAGATTGTTTAGGAAGCGTTAGTGAGCAGTACGACGAGGCGCTCCGTGCTGGCATTGCGGATCTTCTTAGCCTGGTGGAGGGCGTGGACGGTGTAGCAGATGGCGGGCACATGAAAACAGTATGGCTGCGACAACTAGATTTAAGTTCGAAAACGAGAGCCTCCAATATTTGGCATGTAAAAAGACATTTCGCGTCGCTTCACCAGATCCTCGCCGTAGATGACGGCGATATGGCAAAGAGAAGCGGCAAGAAGGCAAAAAGGAAAGCACTTTTTACACCGTTTGTAATCAAGCTGCAACGCACCACAGCGATCCGGTTACCACCCTAAGTCTTTTCAACCGGCGGATGGCTTGCTAAAAACCTTCTAACCAAGGCTACCGTCGCTTCAGGGTGATCAGTCCCGATCAGGCAACGCTTGGCGACCCCAGTGACCTCCGCAGTACACTTTGCAAGCAAAGCCTTCAGATCGATCCGACCACTGAGGATTTTGATAGCATGGGTTTTGCGGAACTAATATTTAACCCCCGGCAGAGCTTTCGAACGCGCAGTGGGAGATTTCCCGCCGTTTCTAGCGAAATGGATCGTGGGCCGCTGTGCATCACACTTTGCGACCACGCACGCCTACATGGCAACTCGCTATCCGCACTTGATGCCCGCGCTATCCAGATGGCCTTTGCTGTCGTCGCCAGGCTACGGCATGCTCAAGCTCTGGTGTTGAGCGCCCGCGCCGTCCCAATGTCGCGAACATACGCTTCGCATAATCCTCACGCTCTGCGAACAAGCACGCCCTCACCACAACCTGCCATCGGCACTTAATCACCCGCGTCACCCAGACAGTGCTATTTTCGTCGGAATACTATCGTGTTCTCATTTTTTGGTGTTGATCACCCGCTCCCGCCCCAATGCCACCAATATATTGAATGCTTCGCATGAGCTCCCCAGGCACTCTCCATCAACAACGCCAATTACTGTTGTCATCGAGAATAATCACGACCACAATAGAAACAGATACTCCACTCCCATCACGTCTCCATGCTGCGTCGCGCACCAACCACCCAAATCCCACAAACATTACTTCCTCCTTCCACCCCAACGCAGCTCGCCAGACACTTCCCCAGCATCACACCGGCCCGCCCAATTTCTCAATAACGCACACCCACCCCGATGCGCAAGCATCCACCCATTAGCGCAACGCAGTCCAACATCGCCACACCAAACCTAGCTATGTCAATGCGCCCTCCGCCGCACCGCACCTCAGCGCAAGGTCCACTTCTCTTGTCTCCACCACTCCACCACCACAACATTTCACAATAAGACACCATCATCGTACACCCGCTCATCTCCCGGCTCACACCCCGATGCACAATCCCAATTATCCCCCATCGAAAGTCGAGGTCCAAGGCTGACCGTCGATAGACCGGCTGCTCACCCCCTCTCCACCCCACTCGTGGCCACAGAACGCCAACCGGCGCCATACACATACACCGCCCGGCCCTGATGCTTCTCGAGGTGCCGCAGCACCACATGGGTGAGCTATTCGCTGTGTCCACCTTTCGCTTCGCATTGTCGAGCGGATGCACGGGTGCACCGCACAGATGACATCTAGACAAGGCTGCCTTGCGGAAGGTTTGTTTTCCATTTTCCTCCCAGCGCCAACCTCATGTAGCTTAGGATTTCATGAGCAGTACCAATGGCTACGTCCTTCTCTACAGCGGCCAGCAGCATGAAGTTGCGGGGGGCTAGAGCTTCTCGCCGATGGTCACGGATTATGCAGGGGCTCCAAAAGCCGGGCTTTTGATTGGTTTAGGATATAAGCATATGTTTACTCAGTAGTAGTGCAACACAAGAGTGGCATGTTTGCTACTACAGTTTTGCTTATCTAAAAGGCTGACAGTGTCTTCAGCTGAAGTCGTTGGACCCTGAATTTATGTGCAACGTGCGGTTAAAGATAGGTAGCCACGCCATTGGATGATTCAGCACTACATGGGCCGGTCCCAGGTATCGAACCACGCTGACACGCCTCTAATTTCCCTGCGCAACGACCCCAAAAGCAGCACACAGATTCTCGTGAAAAAGCAGTCTATAACCGACTATATGCGAGCCTCGCGAACGAAGAAAGTGAACGCTCCGGCCATTAATTATTATTACAACGATATCGTAGTCTAAACGTTTTTCATCTCCGAACTTCGTAAGTGGTGGTAGGTCTTCACCGCCGGAATTGCACCGGAACGCCGGGGGGAAAAGCAGACGGGTTTCCCATGGAAGGGATGCCCGCAGCAAAAGCCAGTTAATCCTGAAGGGACTCCGGAGCCATCACCCAAGCAAATGGGCAACACGCTCACAGCTCCATCATGCCAGCGCCGTTGGCCGGGACAGCAGCAGCAGCAGCACGGTCTTGTTGTTGGTCGGCGACGCGGGCAGCGGCGGCAGCAGCGGCCTTCGCGGTGGCCTTGACGGCAGCGACGGAGGTCTGGAATATCGTGTTGGCGCCGGCGGCATTCTCCGGGGCGCCGGCCGTCTCACCGGCAAGGTAGTAGGCGGCGCGGTTGACGAGGAAGGAGATGTGCTCGGGCAGGTAGAGCGAGGCGGCGATGACGATCATGCTGGCGAAGAGGAAGACGAACGAGTCTGTGCAGAGCAGCCTGTTAGCGGGAAAGCACAAAAAGCTTGGGGAGGGAGGCGTACTGAAGATGAACTTCTCGGTTGGGGTGAGCATGTACAGCGAGAAGGTGACCTCGTACTGGTAGCGCTTGCGCTGCAGCCAGCGCAGGACGGCGGTCGGGTACAGCATGAGGGCGAGGGCGAGGATGCTGGCCGAGGCGGCGAGGAAGGCGTAGGTGAGGGTGGAGGTGTAGTAGTAGACTTGGGCGCTGAGAGAGGTTGCGTCGGAGTAGCGCGACGACATGGGTGGCAGGATTTAGGCGGGCGGCGGAAATCTCGATCTGCGATTTGCTTTGGTAATAATCGGGCTTCCCTGGCTGGGGGCGGGTAACGGCGGGCAGGCGTGGTGTGTGTGCAATGGCAGGATCCGCGCTCGACGGGTTAGTATTATTATTGCGGAGGCAACGGGTGGTGCCTGCTGCGGGCGGAAAAGGAGCGCGTCCCGTCCCTGCGTGTTTCAGGGTCTGCGCGTTCCACATCTCCGGCCGCATCCGCCTGCTCAACACCAGGTCACGTTTCCACTCATCATCGACATGGTCCTCCGGTGCATGCGGCTCTTGCTCGCCCGGCCCACGCTCCATCGGGAGCTACGCGGCACTCTGACCTCGCGTCGATTTGCCGTTGCTGCAGTGCTCAATGGCCCAAAACCACTGCCGCCCAGACCTGTCATCAACGAAGATGACATCACCGAATCTTTCCTGAAAGGCAGTGGTCCAGGTGGTCAAAAAATTGTACAGAAGTGCACCTTCTTGTCTGAACACGGGCTTTGCCACTGACTACGTCGTACAGAATAAAACTTCATCAGCTGTCCAGCTAAAACATCATCCCACTGGCATCGTCGTCAAGTACCAAGGCACGCGGTCTCGGACTCAAAACCGCAAAACTGCCCGCAGAATGTTGGCTGAGCGGCTTGAAGAGATGGAGAAGGGTGACCAGAGCAGGACGCAGATCAAGCGTGCCGTCCAGGCCAAGAAAAAGGCCAGCAAAGCCAAAAAGTCACGGAGAAAGTACAGAGCTCTTGAAGAAGCAAAGAAAGCCGCAGGCGAGGGAGGAGCAGAAGCGGCAGCAGAGGATGCTCATGACGAGGAAGATGAAGAGTGGGAAGATATTGAAGAGGAGGATATCGAGAAGAATGAAAAAAATACAGATCAGCCCGGACGTAGGCCGGGTACCCCTTGATCTCTGCTCCGTTGATTTATCGAGACACCGTCATGCCAAAAATATGGCGGTGTTGATCCTGGCTGAGCATTCGGTGTCGCTGTTCTGAGGCGCAGTCGAAGCTGTTGCCTTAAGGCTGTAAAAGTCCCGGCCATGCTCATCCATCTCGAAGTATATCTCCGTTACAAAGGACGACGACTCGGAAACCATATCAAATTACCGCTTGAATTTGACCGCCTGTGGGCTGACCTCCCCAGCTTCGACCTGGAGAGATGCGGGAGACGTGGAACGGGCCCAAGGCCATGCTCGGCGTCGTGGCGTCGGCCGCCGACGAAGCGCGCGACCACTGGACCAACGCGAACGCCTTCTGCGCCCACTTTGTTAAATTGTACGGTGATGTGATACCGCTGATGTCCTGCTACCGCATCTACGCGCTGTGGACCATCAGCAGCGCGCTCGAGTACGGCATCCAGTCGCGGCGCGGCGAGGATCTGTGGCTGGATATCCCGGCCGCGGCGAAGTGGGTGGAGATTCTTGGTTCGGAGATGCGTGATTGGGTTGACGATTATGAGGGGTGGCCGGGTGCGGATGGTGGCACGCTGTGGAAGGCGGAGAGCATGGGTATGGGTTTTCGCCGGAGCGCTGGGCGTTTTGGAGGGAGCGGTTTCGTCGCCTCGCGACGGATAAGATGTTGGATGAGGATTCGCAGCACGTTACTGCGGAGGCGGCTGAGCGGATGGAGTAGGCCAAAGCCATGTGACTTTAACTTGTGCCTGTAGAGAATGTATGATAGTCAATCTGCAAGAGATATGAATGTGATGTAGCTGAAGAATTGCTCATTTGATCAAATACTATTTCATAGGATATAGTAAAATCTGTTCTAGTCTAGATTTACGCCTCGACTCCTGCGATACGGTCAGGAAATAGTTGCTGACCAGACTACTAAAGTAGTGGCTGGAAATAGTTGAGGATATCCAAACATTTAATGCTGCTGTTCCTTTGAATTATATGCTACTACAGTGCTGAATATGCGGCTCTAAAGCTTGCAAATGAAGGTGTTGGAGCAGCAGTGTTGTGATTGTATGCTCGGATGGGGAAGATCCAGGGGATCTGTAATGATAGTGTTGTAAAATAGTAAAAAGGCTTATGAACAACGGCAGTCGAGCCTGAGGGCCGACAATGAAGTAATTACAGCGGCGGAGAGAGTCGATAGGATCTTGTTACGAAAGGGAACAAGGGAAGATGGGCCGAAACAGTCCCAAAGCCGCGATGGTCGTGGCCACGCTTATCAAAAAGCGCTGATGACTGTATAGTTCGCCTCGTGCACTAGACATCCACGCGCGAGATCTTGAAGCCGCCCGGGATGCGCGTCTGGAACGCACCCGTGGGATCATACTTCGCAGCCACGCTCCTGATATGCTCAACATTCGCCTTGCCATAGCTCCCCAGCGCATCCTGAGACGCGTCGGCATAATTCATGAAGAGCAACTTGTTGCCGCCAGACAGCGAAGCCGCGTAGCTCCGGAGCTCCGCGAGCATGGCCATCATCCGGGTCTGCGCGAGGGCCAGGGCCTTCTGGTCGGATTTGACCATGACGGCGCCGGTCCAGACGATGGCGTTGTGCGGCTGCGCGTCGATGCCGAGCATGTTGCCGCCCCTTTTGTTGCTGAGGTCGCCGAAGAATTTGCACAGCGGCTGCAGGAAGACGATGGTGTCGAAGGTCTTGGGGCCTAGCGCGGCGATCAGGTCTTGGACGAATTTGTTGTGCAGCTCGACGGCGCGGTTGAGGATGCGCTTGTCGTTTTTGAATGAGAGGGTGGCGCCGGCGCTCCTGGGGTTTTGTTAGTGTTTTGTCTTGCGTGTAGGGGATGAGTGACGAACCATTTGTTGCCAGGGAGCTGAGAGTCTTCGGCAGCGGCAGCGAGGCTCATAGACTGAGTCTCATCAGGTACGAGAGGTGGGATCTGGTTCAGTTTCTCGAAACCGGAGCTGTTGTGGATGCCCTGAGTGTTGACGTGTATCGCGGCCATCATGACATCCAAGTCAGTTGACGAGTTGTGCTGCAAAAGCCCCACCAGCGCATCATCGTCAAATTCTTGAAAGTGATCGGTGAAGTGAGAAAGAGCATCGACCAGCTCGGAAGAGTAGTTTGCCGCCATGATGCGGATGCCGTACGCAAGTTCCTTGTCTGGGAGGGCTTCCATGTCGAATCTGGTGACGATACCAAAGTTGTTGCCACCACCCTTCAGAGCCTTCCAGAGATCCGAGTTCTCCTCGCTATTCGCGTTGACGACGGTGCCATTGGCGAGAACAACCTCGAAGTTCTTGACGGAATCGACACCGAAACCCTGACGGCCCATGAAATACGTCAAACCACCGCCCAGCAGAAACCCGCCCACTCCAACATCGCCGTCGCGGCCACCGGTCACCAACACGCCCTGCTTGTGCAGTTCGGCATAGACGTTCTTCCACCTGCCACCGGGACCGATGTTGGCGATGTTGGTCTCGTTGTCGTAGACGGCTTGGTCCATTTTGCCCAGATCGATGGTGACTCCATGGTCGATGTTGTTCGTGTATGCGAGGTGGTGGCCGCCAGAGCGCACGGCAATGTGCCAGTCTCCGGCACCATCGCCTGCGCCCAGCAACGCGGTCACGGCCGTGGACACCTCGGCTGTGTTCTCCGGCTGGACGAGACACCAGGGGTGCAGGCGCGTGTTCAGAGCCCAGTAGGTTTCGATGCGCGGCTCGTACTCTGGGTCCGTGGCGAAGAGCACACGGTTGCCTAAGCCCGCCTGGATGAGAGCGTCGCACTGTCTGTGTTCAGTGAACTGAAGGGAATCTGCGCACTCTCGCAGAAGCCGTAGAGCGGAGTGGTCATGGGTGACTTACGGGATCGTAGCCTGTCATATTGGAAGCCGCATAGCTGTGCAGCGGAAGGACTGCAGCTGCCAACAGGCGGATGACGTCCGAGACTCGCGGCATCTCGTGAACTGTTGTAGGAACGTAGTGTTTTGTGTGTCTGAAGACAATTTTAGCCACACAAAGGCCGAGAAATCCTTCACAATGTGAGAAACCTACTTTATCGAGACAATGACTGAAGGAACACAACGCAGTGAACCGAGGAATGGTGACTCTTGACGCTAGTGAAGCATTGGTGAATATATACCACTGATTCCTTCATACATCGCCACATGTTTGCTCTGCTGCCTTGGAGTGTATACGAGGATGGATCAGATTCCCAGTCTGAGATCTGGGGCAGTGTTGGGGTAGAGACGCAGTGAGAGCGCAAGTGAGGTGTTGATCAGCGTGTAGCTGAGGGATGCGCAACCACCGCGGAACGAGCGCGCAACGAGAGCGCAATCACGCACAACGGGCGCATCTTGGCTCCGCTGCGGAGAAGACCTGCCTTATGAGAGTAGAAAGTTATTTTTAACTTGTTCATTGGTAAGTCTCCGCAACTGTCGAGATACTAAAGAATATATGAAAGCGGTACTGACTCCACGTTCGGAGGTGAAAGAAATGGAAAGTAGTTGCCGCATCCCTCCGATGCTGATTACGGAAAAGTCCACAAATTTTATTCTCAACTCGCGCCTTATTTTATTCTAACTTCCTTGACAGCAGCTCTGATCTCTTCTGAATCCCTACCTCCAACATAAGAACCCATCATACAAAACGCATCTTCTTGTTCTTCCGTTCACCCCACGGCTGACTCCTCTTTACTCCTGGCCCTCCACCTCTGGCATTTGCGCCTCGCAACGACACTATGGAGGCTGGTGAGGAACCCATGCTCACGGAGCGGATGAAGTTCTGTCTGAAGCTGAGGACCGCCACCTTCAGGGCGACACCTTGAACACTACTGACCAGCGTTTCAAGGAGCCGGAAGAACTCAAGCCAAGAGTCGGCGTTCTCATCTGAAGGCTTGCCGAGAATCTCCATGTCCACTACGAGATATACTTCCGGCAGCCCGGTCAAACATTCCTTCAGTATTCCCAGCCAGTCGGCTTCGCAGCGTGCGCTTGCGACGCGTGGTGCGTTGAAGTTGGCGGAAACGTGTGCGATCATGCGCTCGTTGTTTAGCTTAACGAGTTGGTTTGTCAGCTGTCTCAGGAGATTGATATGTGTCAGCTCCTTGTTGATGGATGGAGGTTGACGGCCATTCAGCACCCAAATGACAGGTTTGTTGGCAGCTGAGATGAGGTCGACCAGCTCCGTGGCGAGGTCTTTGGTCTGAAAGCGCGTGGGCGCTGCGCCGGCGATGGCGATGAGGGAAGATGATTCCGCAGCAGACCAAGCTTGGAGCCTTGGTAACAGTGCTGTTCTGTTCAGTTCGAATTGCCCTATCCGCTTCCTGCGGACTGCCTGGCAGAAGCGCAGACTCTCAACGGGGCTTGGAAACTGTGAGTGTTCGGTACCGTTCAGGATCTGCGTTACTTGCACCTGCTGGGAAATTTGTTCAAGACCTGATATGCGAGCGACTAATACCAGATGGTGAGCTGAACATTTGTTAGTCATTTACGACGTAGTTGTATTGGTGCGCGTACCGCTCATAGTGTTTTCCATCCGCACCAAGGCCTGGTGCATGTCATTGATCTTCATTTGAGACAGCGTATTTGCCATCTCGTCCATCCGACGCGCTTTCTCGTCGACTTTATCCCGGAGATCCTGGAAACGAAGCTTGTATGGATCCTTGAATGCCTTCCAAGCGTGCTTCCACGGATTTGCTTCGTACCATTCCAGACATCTCATCAGAAGATTTATGACCTCTGCGTATAGACATTGAGTGGCGTCTTTCATCCAGTCCGTTCCAAAGGCCAACAGCTGCAATTTCGCGCGAGGTAGGACGTCTGCGATTCTGGACACAGCCTTGGCCAGCTCCGATATCATTTCCTCATGGTTCAGAACGAGCTATCGCCATTTAGCATCGAGGCTCTTCCAGCGTCCTGTTCATGCTTACCACGAAGAGAAATTTCATGGTGCCCCATGCCAGAGAGACGTATTCCGGGTGATGTTGGGACAAGACGTCGATTATTTGGCCGTAATACGTGATTCTGGTCGAGAGTCCGCCCAACCACTTGCGCACTTTGGACCCCTCGGTCCTTTGGGCATATTTCAACTGCGCCTCAGTGACAGTTTCTAGGACATCTTCGATGCCATACGCGCTTTTGAGTAATTCGAGTTTCCTCCCGTTATTGGCGTATTTCTTTTGAAGGAGATCAACAGCCTTGTCATATGCTTCTCGCGAGGCGCCCTTCGTCTGCACTACAGGGCTAAACATGGGTGTTTCCATGCTCCTATCGCCTGCGTTAATATCCCTTGAAGTGGCGCTGGATACCTTTGGATTTGGGATCGAACTTTAGAGGAGAAAGGCGGAACAGGCGCCTAGATTTCGGTAGTTGCAATGATGCAACTGGGCGCTTATATGCAGGACTGTGTCACCTCGCTCCGCCACCTCAGCTCGTAGAGCCCCGCCCCAGCCTCACCCTTCTGACTGAATCGAACTGTCTTTTTCCGATACGCACTCATCCAGTCTGGTCGTCGGTATCGACCAAAGCATATTTCGATTGAAACAGCGCAGACGGACACGAGCTCTATTGTATCATTGTGTAACCGATTACTCCGTCTTGTATTCAACTTAGACCATTTCGAAACCCGCGAATCGCAACGCCTACTAGCTCATCAGGGCACGTCTTTCTCAGTTTATAGACAGAAGCCATGCGACTAAAGACTCTATGTCTTTAGAGGTGATCGCAGCAGATATTCTGGTTGTTCTCCCTTCAGTAGCGGTGGGGATGCTCCCTTAACTGACACTTAAGCTCTCTCTCTAGTAGATACCATGCATCACCACTCGGAAGTACCCGGTGAAGCGTATCGGCAACCGCGTCCGCGTGTGTCTCCACCTCTACGTGTGTCTCCGCCTCTGCGTGTGTCTCCGCCTCCGCGTGTGTCTCCGTCTCCGCGTGTGTCTCCGTCTCCGATTGCGGAAATCGACATCACTATTTCCCAAGATCACACGGGTGGAAATTCTGAACGCAAGAAGGGTCTTCTTAGAATGGACAATCCTTGGCCTACACAGCCAACCCCACCGGAAGTGAGCCCTAAATTCCCTCCTTTTCGGCCTCCAAATCCCTCGTCTTTGAAAATAGACGGCAGGATGCAATCTCAAGTAGAAACCCGGAAAACGAAATCGTCACTGTCCAAACACACCAGCTTAACAGAGCAACGAAAGCAGATCAACAATCCAGTGCTTTCCCGGAGCACACACCCGCAAACGAAGAAGCGAAAGTTGCAGGACGCACCATTTGATGATTTTTCAGCTCCTGGCCCTTTTCAAAGCAGTTCTGGGTCTCAAGAATTGGCTGAATCACTGTGGCTCCAAGTTGAAGCACTCAAGAAGGAAAACGACTTTCTTCAGATGGGAATCACTACAGAAGCCCGAAAACCCAGAAATTCTACATCTTGTCCATGGATCCTGATTCATAGACTCGACTCCACATTCTATTTCGATGCACCGCAGTGGAAACAAATCCAAGATGGTAGCTGGGAGACAGAAAGCCGGAGGGAGATCTCAAACTTCGAGGTTTTCCTGGAAAAACAAAGGCTTAATGGAGTGGCCTTCGTGGTCACCTTAGATTATGATCATCACACTCGCCATGATGGATCATTATCGGACCATGAAAAGGACGTTGACTCCGAGGAATCATGTCAGCAAATCACCGAAACTACAGTCAGATCCACGCACGTTTCGATACGCTTCTTGTGTGAGATTCTCGCCATGGCATGGGACAGCCTCCTCAACATGGACAAGGATTTGAAGCAGATCTACCATTCAGAAAAGCAAGCCCGCTCAAACATTCCTATATCTGGGGATCTTTCCGAACATCCTGGATCTTCCGAGCCCAAATATTCTCCTCGAAAACAACGGTTTCCCAGTTACCACGGACCTCCTATGCAGGGAGACTTTCGTGAACAACAGAAGTTGCTTGAGAACCAGCGCTTTCTTGACAATCAAGACATTCTAAATGCGGAGATCTTCTTCTACCACTTTCGTGCATTGATTCAGAACACGATCGCAGACATGGAAGCAAGCAATGGAAAAAGTCGACTCATTCTACTGACGCGATTTGTCGAAGAATTTTTCGAGGAAGAATATCGGGAAGTCGACGAGCTTTTAAGCAAGAGCCTTATCAGTGGCATATACGTCAAGTATTTGTCAGCTCCAGGGACTATTCTCACAACCCGTGTAAATGGCAACGACATCGGATATCTGCAAAGGACCTTCTTCAGTGATGAGAGTCGCACAGCATGGGGCGCCAAGGTCACGAATTGGGCTTTCGATGGCACGTTCAAGATGGATGAAATGAAGATCAAGATAGATGTGAAAGACTTCAAACACATGCCAAGAGATATCACGTCTCTCGAGTTTTATCCCATACGATATGCGGAGCGCGTCCGCCAGAGATTGATGACTCGTGGCCATCAGTTTTGGAGATGCCGAAAATCCGCCTATGTCGCATACACGGGCCTGGATATGAATCAGGAAACATCTTATGTGAGTCTTTGCGCATATTTATGGAAATTTGCTGACTATTATTGACTCATAAACTGCAGGATAACACTCGCTTTCTTGTAGACGTCCGCACGTATCACACTATGCATGGCAAAGACGATTCAATGTTGATGTATTGTTCAGAATCTGCCCAACTGCCTGATGCGTTTATGGATCGTGATTTACCACCAGATGATGGGACCTTCATTTACCTGGTTCCGGCAAGCATCTACGGATTTGATATCCAAGAGAAAAAGTGGGGTAAGTGGCCTTCGATGATTGATACCCTTTAGAAGTTGTTTCTACTTTCACTACGACGTAATTTCAGGTTTCTTAAACCCATAAGTGAGAGACGAGTATGAATATAGTGCTACATCAAGAGACACCTTCGATCAAAATGAACAGATCGAATGCTTACTACTCGTTAGTGAACCTTCAAGTGGACAACATTCATCAGCTAAAATGGAACACCGAAGCGTTCGACGCTCTTGCCATTGATGAGGACAGCAAGGAGCTGATCAATGCCCTTGTTAACAACAAAATCGCTGCTGAAAAAGCCACAGACATGGTCAGAGGCAAAGGCAATGGCCTGATCATTCTCCTACACGGCGGCCCTGGTACTGGAAAGACACTTACCGCGGAAAGCGTAGCAGAAATTGCTAAGAAGCCACTCTATCGCGTTACATGTGGCGATATCGGAACGGAACCGCGAGAAGTGGAGAAGTACCTGCAGAAGATCTTCTATCTTGGGAAGATCTGGGACTGTGTCGTTCTGCTTGACGAAGCTGACGTCTTCCTCGAGCAACGTACTCTTTCAGACCTATCCCGCAACGCTCTTGTTTCTGTATTCCTGTGTACGCTTGAGTACTACGATGGCATCCTTATTCTCACAAGCAATCGTGTCGGAACCTTCGATGAGGCTTTCAAATCCCGCATCCAGCTCGCTCTCCATTACCCCAATTTGGACTTGGCCCAACGCAAACAGATTTGGAAGAACTTCACACACCGGCTGGATTCGCTTGAGGAGGACGTCGACACCGACGCCATCCTTGTGAGCATCAACAAACTTGCCAAATACGAGATGAACGGCCGCCAGATCCGCAACGCCATCACGACGGCGCGCCAGTTGGCGCTCTTCAAGGAGGAGACTCTAACCACCAAGCACCTGGAGCATTCAATCAGGGTCTCGGGAAAATTTGACCAATACCTTGAAGAAGTGCATGACCAAATCAAGGATGATGAGATGGCGAGGCAAAGTGGGTTCCGTTAAGGCAATCCTTTACTGGGATTTAAGGTGTTATTCATGCTCTTTCCCTGTCTCCTTATATATTTCTCTCCTTTAGTTAGCGCATATATTTCTTGAATGAGGCGCAAGTGTTTGATTGTCAAAATTCGCTTATTGCATATATACAAGGGCTTGTTTCTCGGATCCAGAATTCACGCCAACAACAGTAATGATGATGATAATGATGCAATACCACCACTCAGCCTCATATTTCCAAAGCAGTGATTAGAATTATGAGACCGAATACTCAGACAGATGAGCGAAGTGCAGTCCCGTAAGGCGTAAATACGAGACACTAACCACCGGCAGTGGGAGTTCATGATAGCCCATTGGAACGCCTTTCTCAGCCTCTTTGATTGGAGAGAAAGCAACGTAGACCAGATTAATAAGTAAATAAGCAGACCTTGAGACGCGTCCATTGCCGCCCAGACTCGTGACAACCCAGTGGCCCAAGTCTGGGGTCGTCGAGGAACAGGTATTTCAAAGTCGAGATTTTAGTGCTCTAAGATGTTCCATGGCTGGCAATAGGCCACATCGTGATCTTGCAGCATTCCAATTCCGTCATAAATGACCCATGCACTGCCGTTTCCCGGATTCCTGGAAACGACTACCGATCGCGTCGAACCTGTGCCCCTAAGTTGTCAAGACTATGGTACGGCTGTTGATGTACATTTTCGGAAAGGAACGGTGAGCGAATGTACTGTGCTGTCTTGAGGCTCGGCATCATTACATTCCTTTTCTCAGCATAAAAGCAGCACCAGCACGTATCGCGCTTGATAAACCTTGCAAAAGAAGAAAGCCAAGACACCGGAAAGTCATCTTCTTGACCCCGTCCTTAATGATGACTTGAATAGCTATCAGAGCTGCAAACTGTACATGCGATCCGGCTGGGGTGGCCTTAAACCATGTTGACTCCGGGCGAGCTCCCGTGCTTCACATGGAAGACAATGGCACGTTACTCTCAGCCATTCGTAACAATTCACGTGTATCCCACAAAAGTGCCCGGTGCACACCAATGGAGCCTCCTGATTTTGCACCGTGCTTGATAGACCCGTGACTCTCGGCTTCACCGAATTCGATCTCATAGAGTAGACAATGCTTCATAAATATAGGGGTTTGAGACCTTCTTGACTGTCTGCATCCCTTTCGAGCACCATTACTCGCAGCCACATATTCGATACGACGCACTGTCTGCCTCGTTCTGTTGTGGTGGTAACACACCTCCGACTGTATCGTCGGGACTACCTTTCTAATGATGCCGCCTACTGAGTTTCACCATGGTTTTTGGGGGGTGATGATGGGCATGTTTGTAATATACTGCACCTCCGTACCATCAAAACGAAAAGTTTGCGTTGTAGCTTCCGGAAATTGCCTTGCTTTGCGGGAAGATGAGGAGGCATAAGCAATCGTAGCCTCATGAGGCTCTGTTGTTTAATCTTTTGAGTCGGGCTTGGTTCGAATTTGGGCGTCGGATTTGAAGATTTGAAGTACTGTGCTTTGTTCCGGGGTGTATTGCATGCTACAAGCGAACATAATCGCCCACTCACTTTTCGCTATTATGTCAAGACTTTTCTGATAAGGCCTGCTAGTACTCCGCATTGTTTGAGCAAACGATGGCTAGCAATTCTATCAGCATGCTCCAGATCCCTAACAGAGAAAAACCGTGCTGCGGTACATCATGATTTCCAATGAAGAAATCACTGTTTCCCTAAAAATTGGCCATTCGCCATTGGAACAAGAAGCAACCTGGAGAAGAAGGAAAGACGAAAAAGGAAAGTACATCCGGTACGCCAGGCAGTGACTTGTTCTGTATCCGTCATGGTATCTGTTTGTCCAACAACTCTTGAACCTGAGCCACTGAGTTGATGTTGCCTTTATAGAAAGAGCCTGAGCCGTGTTATTCATTCCGGAGTATCAAAAGCAGATCACCGGCTATGCCCAGCAATCGCATGTGACGGGTCTCGCAGATAGTAAGATCGCTTGACCCCTCGTTTGCTTAAAGCGGATAGATTCGTCATCCATTTACAACCCTCGTGATACGCTTATGTTCTCCCGCGCACGAGTTCGAGTTAATGGCGAGGTATGAAACACCACGACCGTCTATAAAATGCGGCTTCAAGTCTATATCGAGATCTCAAAGCAGCCTCTCCGCTTCATGTCAGATTGGGGAGCGGATTAAATGTCTGCGTGAGAACGATGAACCCAATCGACTCGTGCCTTTCGTGCGGATGTCACAGCCTCTCAACGGCAGTTCCATGATTCGTGGATTTCCTTTTTGAGAAAATCAAAGACGAGCAGCATCATCTAACTCATGCGGCCACGCATCATCAACCAAAATCGCTGAGATCCATAAGCGAATAATGAAGATGCTAACCTCACACATCTGACTGCACAGAACTCTACGCAGACACCAGTTCATGTGACGTTCAACCGCCGAAACGAAACAAAAAAGTGGCGCATCTGCCCAATACCAGATAACCAGGCAAAGCGCCTCTCCTTGCCCATGCTAGAGCAGCCCAGGGAGCTGAAATTTATCGAATGGCGTCTCTTATCGATACAAAAAAACACGAATGACCAGCTCACTTGACCCTGCGCATGTTCGCAAAGCCACTTGCCCCTTAAGGCAACCACCGACGGATGTCGGGCCGACGGTCATCCACTCGCTCGCAGCCAAGAGCCAAGAAACCCCAAGAAAATCCCCTAATGCAACGCACCCATCACAGATGGATGATCCGTTTCGACCCCTGACGTGGGGGTAAAAAGAAGCAATTAAGATCGGCTGAAGAAAGCGGAGTCGAGACAAGGTAACGTGTGTACAAGAATAAGCTAAGAGAATCAAGGGTATCATCATTTCCAGCTAGGCAATAATATGTATGTCAGAGAGAGCCTCATCACTTCCAGAATCCTGCCGGACAGTCCGAGCTGTATTTTTAACTTTTTCTTTTTTTGTTCCGGGTACCAACACGGCTGCCTTGTTGCCCTGCGAAACAATGTCCGACGGGTACCCTTTGTGCGCAAGGGACCTTGAGTCAGTGTGAGTAAGCGGAAGGAAATCCTCCCGACGCCTGCTCACCACACCTGCATATCTCAAAACCTCACTTCCTCAAAATCCGACTGGGTAGGTGAATGACCGGGGGGGCACCAAAAATGGCATCTCATATAGCTCACTCATCTAAGCCGCCTCTCTCAGCGCAGCCTGGGCGTTCCTGGCGCCCTGAACGGCCAACTGATCAGCCGCTATGTTACCGGGGTCGTCGGCGTGACCCTTGAGCCAGGTGAAGATGGTCTTGGTGCCTAGCTTCTCGCGTTCCTCGATGCGGGCGACGATGGCCTCGACGAGGTCCTTGTTCTCGACGGGCTTTTTGCTGGCCGTCATCCAGTTGTTCTTGCGCCAGTTCACAAACCACACCGTCACACAGTTGATCGAGTAGCTGCTGTCTGTGAAGATGGTTGCATCGCGCTGGAGAGGCGCGATATCGAGCGCGCGCTGAATGGCTGTGAGCTCGGCGCGCTGGTTGGTCTGGCGGGCGCCAGTGAGACCTTCGGAAACGTTTCTGAGGGGATTGTTAGCTCCTCTCATTTGCAATGATGAACATGTGGTGGATACCTCTTGTCCAAGGGCCCGAAAAAGACGCCCACGCCAGCAACCGAGCCCTTCTTGCCGTTGCCTAGCGAGCTACCATCGGTGTAGATCTTAAGCATGCCGCCCTTGGAGTCACCGGTGGGCATCTGCTTCGTTGCGGCCATTTGCTCGTCCGACTTCCATTCGACTTTGCCTGTCTCAGGATTCAGTATGATGCGTGGATCAAAACCATCCTCAGCGCCGTCTGGAAGCGGGCCGGTTCCGGGCTCCAACGGACCTGAATCTCCTGTTGCTGCTTCCTCAGCCGCTGCAGCTTTCTTCTGTTTCTTCGCAGGTGGTTCCGCCTTCTTACCCTCGGACTGGGTATCGGGCTCGACGGCGACACCAGAGACGGACTCGCCGACCTTCTTGCCATCTTTTACGAAAGCCTCCGCCTCGGCACGCGTAGGAAATGCCTTGTACTTGGGGCGCGTCCAACCCGTCACTTGCTTCTGCGCCGAAGGCCAGTCCGTGTAAACGCCGGGGACACGACCGCTCTGGACGGCATAGAACTTCTCGGGCTTGTCATTCTTTGCGGTGCCCGAAATGAAGGCTTCGGCTTCGGCCGCGGTGGGGAAGGACTTGACTGTGGCGTTGAAATAGAGATTAGCAAATGAAGCATTGCGGGCAGGTTATCCGATGAAGAGGACCTGGGGATAGACGCACACACGGCACCCTTGAAGCCCTTGACCTGTTCTAGGCAATCGTTGTAGTTGGCGTAGACGCCAGGCTTGCGGCCGTCCTTGACGGCGTAGAACTTAGGCTCATTGGCCCGCTTCCTCTTGGTGCCTGACGAGGCATTGCTAGTGGCGGCAGTTGAGCGAACCTCCTCGTCCGGGACGGGTGAAACCTTATCCTTGGCCATACTGAGTTTGTATTCGAGGTTGAGCCTGATTTTCTGGTTGCGCCGCTGGGCTACGCGTGCCTGCTCAAGGATTTGGAGTGTGGTCCGTAGAGCCTTTTCGTTGCCAAGACCGCCTAGGAGCTGCTCAAGGGTACGCCTGGACGGCAGGGCCCTCAGCGCGAGGCGAAGAAGCAAAACGGCGGGGAAAGCTCGTTGGTGGCGGTGGAGACGCGAGTGCGACGCGTGCGCAGCACGTGTAGCTTTTTTTTTTTTTGCGTCGGAGGGGCCTCAATGCAGGGTTCGGGAACCAGGTATTGGAGGTGAGTGATGCGGGTGGAGCGAGCCAGTGGGGTTCACATTGCTGGCAGCGATGAAAGGGCTTTGTGGAGGAGCGTGGTTGGCGACCTTTGTCGCCGCTGGCCTCACCGGAAACATGCTCGAGAACCTTTCCAAGATTTGCCCCACAGTAGCTTGGACCCTGTGTGCCTGGCGCAGCGCAACTCAAGCAGCCGCGTCTAAGGCAGCAAGGCAGCTCAGCAAGCCGGGCAGGATGCACATCTTGTGATGGAGGGCCGAGGTGAAGCTGGCTTGGCACGAAGACAGACCGCGTGCGATGGCTGCGTTTGCAGGCTGGAGCGGCACGCGTCGATCCATTTCCCCGAGCAAGCTTCTCCAACGCTTCTCTCACAACTTCGCCCATCTCTCTCCGCCCTCTGGAATGCCTTGGGAGCGTTCCTGAAGCTGCCTTTGCGCCCGAGGTACGCCCCTTCCGTCTCATCGCGCCTCTCCGCCACCTCCACGTTCCGCACTACCGCACCGTGACGCGAGCGACAGACTCGTGGCCCGCCGTTCCGCTGCATCCGCTATTCTTGGCATTTTTTTGCGACCCGCGGCGCTCGAAGTTCGTCCGAACGTACAGAAGGTGCCGGAGCGGGTGTTGTGCGCCCGGAAAAGCAGCCAGGCAGGTACGGAGTGCGTCGCGAAGGATGGCGGGCGTCGGAGAACATGACGTCCAGTGTGGAGAAGCTGACAGAGCGTGTATCGCGACTCTAGCCTGAGAACAAGTCATAGTCACGGCACCACAGCAGCACGGGCCTGCTCTACGTGAAACTCGCACGAGAAGCCCCGTTGAGAATCTCCACCGAGGTTTGACAGACAACGCCTCAACACCACGAATAGCCACCATGTTCGAGGTATGCCCGCCCGCTCAGACCAGGACCAGGTCTCGGAGTGCTCATGTACCACACTGGCCAGGGCCGACATGCAGCAGACAGATACCGGCTGCGCCTGCACCGCGCGCGCTCCGTCATCCTGACGCCCGACGAGCTCGTTGAGATCCGGGCGGCGCAGCGAACCTTCGAGGGCGCCTACATCCGCACCGCGCTCGGCCAGTTTTCATTTGCGCTGGTGGTGCTGAAGATCTTCACCGCCGAGTTCTACTCCATCGGTGCGTTGTTCGCCGTGTACGGGGCCGGGGTGCTGTTCACCAGCCTGCTCCGGCGGCAGCACGGCAACAAGCAGTTCTTCAGCGAGGTGGGCGAGGACGGCCTGCACCGCAAGAAGTTCAGGACCAGCGGCAACGTCGTTTCAGTGCTGACGGCGCTATCAGTGGCGGCGTACGCGTCGCTGCTGGTCCTGACACTGAAGCTATCGACATGAGACCCGAATAGGGAAAACTGGGGCCTGAGGGGACGGATTTGCGCAGCCCTCAACCCTCAACAAACGCCGGCTGGCTTGGCGGCTCCCCCACGACTCCGCGGCTGACAAGAATCCCTCACGGAGCATGCTCAAACCGGCGGGGATCAGCCTGGAGGGCGGGCTACCAAGCCGCGCAGCGAAGTATGGACGACTAACGGTGGGCGTGGGCGGATGATTGGCCGCGGCGGAGTCGCGGCGCAGGCGGAGGAGCTTCCAGCGCACAGCCGCCTGCTTTCGGCGTGTCGCAAGCATAACGCGCGCGGACGAGAAATGCCACGCTCGCTGCAGCACCGGCCATCAGCTGTGTGCCGCCCCGTCTGAGCGCCCTGCGAGGCGGGCCGTCACGATAGAGTCAGTAGATATGTAAATCCACTGCCCGCTGCCTCGCTCTTCAGCTCAACGACACTTTCGACTGCTGCTGCTGCCGCTGCCACTGCCGTCACCCGCCCACGCGCCCTGTGCCGCCTGCCGCTAGACTTCTGCCTGCGCCGCCGACGCACGCAGCCGCGCGCAGACTTTTTTTTTCTCTTGTTCTCTTAACTGCACCGTCCGGCTTTGCGCCGCGGCCGCCAAACTAGCCAAACAGCACACGGTCCCCGAGGCCAGCGCACCCAGCTCAGCCTTACCGACACGCCACCCGCGCAGTCCTGCTTGACTCGCTCCTGCGCATCCTTGCGCCATGCCGCTAATCACCGATATATCTGATCACCATCTCCCTCGTCCCTCGCGCACCACCGACCCTCCCATTACTAGCAAACTTCTGCGCAAGCAGTCCACCCACAGCGAAGTCGCCAGGTCCGTACTGATGAATAACACTATCCCGCCCTACCGACTGGACGGCACCTCGCATCCTCCCGACCACCTCTCGTCACCCCGCCAGCTGCCGGTCCGTCCGCCGTCGTCGCGGACGCAGAGCCCGCGCATCCATGCCAACCCCACCAGCCGTGCCCCTGGCATTGCTCTCGACTCTCACGATGGCGAGCTGAAGCTGCCGCCGAGCGCCGCCGTTCACCAACTCCACCACGCCCTCGCCATTGGCGGCGTCGGCCATGCTCTGTCCGACACGCCTATGCCCACTGCCCCGAGCAGCCCCCGAATGTAAGTCCTGCACTCCTGACAAGAGCGATCGTCCTATTCTGTCCACAATTACATCAACGGCTACGACGTCACGGTCTGCGCCCAATGGCCGGTGGCTGGAGATCATCTGTACCCACATTTACGCTCGGTCCGATTTCGCTGCACCGCGCCCTTATCAAATATATCATTTTCAGCATCTTCCTGCTTGAGACCCTGTAACACTCTAACAATGGACAGTCCGCCCATCCGCCAGAACTCCGTCTCTGGCAGTTCTACCCCGCGCATTCGTCCCACCACCCTCGACATCCCCGGCCTGACAAAGTCCAAAGTCTCTCCAGATGGCCGCATCGCTCAGCGCGACCTGGGCGCGAAGCTGCTCATTGTCATGGTCGGCTTGCCCGCCCGTGGCAAGAGCTACATTACAAAGAAGATGGCGCGCTACTTGAATTGGCTGCAGCACGAGGCCCGTATCTTCAACGTCGGAGAGCGCCGCCGTATTGCTGCGGGAGGTGGAGGTACCCACAACCCGGCGCCGTCGCCCGGTATTGAGAAGCGCCCGCAAGACTCTGTGCGCAGACAGAGTATTACAACGACTGCGCCGCAGGGTGCGATCGAGCAGAAGCAGCTTCTGGACCCGCCAAACTTGGCCGCGAAAATTTTTGTCAACGGCGAAGCTGTGACTCAGCCGGATAAGCCGGCCGAGATTAAGGAGCCCTCTAAGGAAGAGAAGGATAAGAGGTTTTTGGAAGCGGCTTTCCCTGAACTGACCAAGGCCTCGACACCCGAGGAGTTGCCTGATACCGAAAAGATGGATCAGAGTGCGAATTTCTTCGACCCCAGTAACCGGAAGGCTGCGCTTCTGCGCGAGCAGTGCGCTATGGAAACCCTCGATGAGGCCATGGATTATCTCATTGACGGGTCTGGCTCGGTTGCCATTATGGACGCTACCAACAGCACTCTGGAACGCCGCGCAGCCATCATCCGCCGCGTCCGTGACAGGTGTGGCGACGAGCTCAACGTCATGTTCGTGGAGTCGCTCTGCAAGGACGAGCGCCTCCTCGAATCCAACATGCGCCTGAAGCTCTCCGGTCCCGACTACAAGAACAAGGACCCCATCGCTTCTCTGGAGGATTTCAAGAAGCGCGTGGCGATTTACGAAAAGGCCTACGTCCCACTCGGAGATTATGAGGAGAGAAACAACACGGCTTACGTGCAGATGATCGACGTTGGCCGAAAGGTAATTTCGCATCAAATTCGAGGCTTTATTGCCGCGCAAGCCGTGTACTACCTCCTTAACTTCAACCTGGCCCCTCGCATGATCTGGATCACGAGACATGGAGAATCCATGGACAACGTCGCGGGCAAGATCGGCGGTGACTCGGATCTTAGCCCGAACGGCCATCGTTACGGAAAGGCCGTTACCAGGTTCATCAACTACCACCGCGAGATTTGGGAGCAGCATCAGCGTGAGAAGGTTCTCAACTCGCACTTCCCGCCTCTCCCCGGAGACATGTCGCCGCCGAACCCTTACTTCTTGACGCACAATGATGTTCCGCAGAAGAGCTTCTGCGTCTGGACGTCGATGTTGAAGCGCTCCATTCAGACGGCCCAGTACTTTGACGAGGAGGAATTCGATCTCAAGCAAATGCGCATGCTAGACGAGCTCAACGCTGGCTTCATGGAAGGCATGACGTACCAGGAGATCAAGGACAAGCACGCGGACGAGTTTGCTCTGCGCAAGAAGAACAAGCTGCATTACCGCTACCCTGGTCCTGGTGGTGAGGGCTATCTCGACATCATCAACCGAGTCCGCCCGGTCATTGTCGAGCTTGAGCGCATGACGGACCACTGTCTGCTGGTCACTCATCGCAGCGTTGCGCGCGTCCTGCTTGCCTACTTCCTTGGTCTGGATCGCAAGATGGTCGCTGACATAGACTGCCCGCTCGGCATGTTGTACATGCTTGAGCCCAAGCCGTATGGTGTCGAGTTCAAGGCGTACCGGTTCAACCCGTCTACTGACTGGTTCGACGACGTGCCCAACTACAAGCCCAGCCCTGCACCTGAAGATTCTCACTAGAAAAAAGCGAAGTCTGCCGGTCAACTTTGACTCTGACTTCGCATTCAATTCACTGTTGTCGTTTTTGCTACTGCGCGCAATCGGTCAACCCATTGCTTTTTCTCTTTCGGCGGATGGCTTGGTACCACCGTGCGTCTCTACTTCTCGACTTGTTTGCATACCAAGGCGTTCTTTCTCATGCTTCTCAGATTTTTTTTTCTTTATCGGATTTTTACGTCCTCCGAGCGCTCTCCAAAGGAAAAAAGAACGGCTTATCGCTAGACTGACCTTGCTCGATCAATGGAGCTGAACCTCTCCTCAATTTTTCTGTCTCTTTTTCTTTCTTACTCTCTCGGACCTCTCGGAGTTCCCTCATCTCTTACGGGCCGTTTTGATATCTCCAGCTGCGACCCGTGCGGCTCACACTCCCATATCTCGTCTTCTTTCGTTTACTTGTACCCTTGCAAACGGGTGACGCCCGGGCTTTTCTTCGTGTGTGTGCTCTGGTGGTTCGTGGCATCGGTGGGGCGTTTCCTTGTTTTGTGGGTTTTCATGCTACACTTGGTAGTCTTTTTCTACTTTTCCTGAAGCAACGGCGCTGGCGGATATTGTACTCTGATATTTCAGTGCGGTGATATGAAGAAACGTACAAACTATCCTCTCTTCTCGCTCTCGGATGGTGGTGGGTGTTGTGTGTAGGAGCGGTCTTCGGTTTCTGTGTCTTCCTTCTCGGGTTGTTACGAAGCGGGGGGCGGTGATGGTGTTTGTGATTCAGTACGGACCGGACCGGACTTTGGTGGAAAGTCTTTGAGCAGAGCGATGACCAAAAAAACGAGATTGTTCTGAACTTGCGTGACCATTCCTTCTGTCGGTGTTGTCCGTTGTCTGTCTTGCCCTGCTGTCATTCTCAGTTTTGTTGTGGAGAGGATATCTTGTTTCCTTCTTTTCTCGTCTGGTTCGGTACCTTCGTCTTGTCGTTGCTTCTTCTCGGTCTCCTTCTCGGTTACTCTCTTTTACTGCTCGGTTCTTCTATTAGATCTGACTCTACTTCCTACTTTTGGTTTGATGACTGCTCGCTTGATCGCTCAGCTGTTGCGCGGAGTCCCTTCATTCTATTTCCTCTTCTGCGTAAGTGGGTAAAGACGAGCACGGGAAAGTGACGTTGTTTCTTGTTCCCTTGACGAAAGTAGGGCTCTGTAGAGATAGACGTTGAAGGAACAAGAAGATAGAGATTAGATCAGTAGCATAGAAGAACTTCAGTATGCGAGAGTGTTTGTCTATCAATTTCTATAAAAATTTTACTGATGAGGTTTTCAAAGTGAAGTGTGCATGTAATGATGTCGTGTAATTGCGGTGTATCCGCTTTTCGCGCCCTGAGGACAATGATGGTCAAGTAGACGCAACATGTGGAAAGAGCTACCTTCTGGAACGAACCCTGGGCTGAACTGATCCAGTAGCCAAGACAATCACGCGCTCTTGCCTCATCCGCTGCCCTGTTTGTCTGCGGTCATCAGCTGATCACGATCTGCATCTCTCCGCTACTCTCGGTGACAGCTGCCCTCCGTCCCCATATCGCCAACGACTATAAAAATACATTCAGTCATCACCTGCTTCATCTATCCCCCATTCCACTGCACGGCTAGGGATCCTTTGCGGTCTTCTTACAGTGGTCATTTCCGTACCACTCCTGCTTTCTTTCTGTACCAAGAAGAAACGATCAAGAAACTCGGCGTTCGTACGAGTCCTTTTTGACCTGCATCCATCCGTCTCGCGGGGTTACGGAGTTGGGCTGATGGTAGAGCAAGAGAGGTGTTCATCAAGCTTGTAAGACGATGAAGAGCGGCAAGAGGGCTCGATGGTTGGGTTCATGTGTTTAATGTGAAGGTGCCGGGTAGGAAATCGGCGCTGGGAGGTCCAAGAAAGGAAGCGTAGATGGGGAGATACGGGCGCACGAGAACCGGGAGTGTCAAGGTGCGGGAGTGTAGTTCTGAATCTGTTTGGGGCCTCCAAGTCTTCACAGTTGACAGTGACAAGAAGACGGGCCACACACTATCGAACAACATTTATGTAGTTGATGCTTACCCTCGAGAAGGTAGCAAGTCAAGTGGGCGCTAACATGGGAGAGCGGTGGAGTAACCAGCACATGTTTTAAAAGTACACGCGCAGGGCGGCGCATGTGTGAATGCGCCAGTATGGTCAACGCTTCACCTGTGGTTTGCGCTTGCCGGGTGATGGAGCATTTTGTGTGACCGCAGGCATACTTAAATCTGAGAAGCAACGGTTCGATGTGGTATTGGAATATCAGCATAGGCTGAGAAGCTCGTAATTGTTCGGGAACCCATCCTAGTAGACTGGAGAGTCAGTCTTACCAATTCTATCATCGACTCTTTTCGTTTTCTCCTAGTCGATTACTCATTACGAGCCTGCAGTATGTGATGAGCGGGTCTCATTATTCCTAGGAGATGATGCAGCCATTCTACTTTGAATGACGATGCTTGCCATTCCTTTGATATGTCACGATGATGAAAAATCCGAAAGTTGGTTACATTCAGAGGCAACCATCGCGGAAAGTATGATATTCCTCCACTCGCCGAAGGCCCAGTGCGGCGGCGGCGACGGCGGCTACATAGATGTAGTCGTCCGCACCGCACATGGGTACTCCTGTGCAGAACTCGCTGTGCCGTTTCGAAACAGTCTTAAGAATATGTTTTTCAATTACCTCAAGTAGCCTTGCACATGACGCGGTCAACATGAAACCGCTGCATAAGCCATGTGTTGTTGCCATTGAATCCACGGGTCGTCCGTTGCGGCGTCTTGTGGAAGTGGTGCACACGTGCTTGTATCTAAAGCCAAAGAGAATTATAAAATGCAACACTCATCACAAAGTAGAATAGAGATACTGGCTCATATCTCCATCAACTCCGACAAATCCACCGATGAATTAGATTCGGAATCGGTGGCCTATCCCTTTTAAGAGTTGTCGGGCACGCATGTTTCAATTCCGAAGTATAGACATGCCTTTCCATCATCAGTACATGCTGCTGAAGCTCAAACTTGTTGTATGTTGCGGAGTATACTTTCGATTGTGTGACAATGCCAGTGCTTGTTCCTTCAGCTAACGAATAGAGATATTCGCTTTCTTAATAAATGAAACCTCAATATGGGGGCGCAGAAGGAAAGGCCAGTGAATAGATTCGTTTGTTCTTGTTGTTTCCTTAGAGGGGGCTTTAAGTGGCTACGTTCTTGAACTCGGAGAGATGCTAGCATGTTAAATATTATCCCCGTCCGGACGTGATGGGAGTCAGGCATGTGTTAGCCCCTCAGTGCTGACAGTTGGGCGCTTTGGCCCTCAATCTTTGGCTTTAGTATAAATTTTGAAGCCATTCCAGATGTATACTATTGCGATTACAGCTCTGAGTTCTTCAGTCAATGAAATCCTTGTGAACTTAACATGACCCAGTACTCGCGGCGCGTTCCTCGGAAGCCATATGAATCCCATGCAAAGAAAGCTATCCCGATAGACGTTCTATATGATGGGGCTCACGAATATCACAAGATGCTGAAATACATCTACAGTCTAGAATGAGAACAAGATACCAAACCCAATGCTCCGGGAGTGGTATAAACCCCCACAATGGTGAGAGCGGAAATTTCGGATTCGGATCATACTTCCTTCAGTTACATACTTTGGTTGCCGGCCAATCAAGCAAAAGCGTAATGCTAACAAAGGTTGAATACGTAGGTATGCTGCTGTCATTTGATCTCTGATGTTGGCATCGACACAGAACCATAAACTTAAAACTTCTATAACAGCCTCAGCAGTGTCAAAAAGACATAATTATGCATTTTGTTCTACTCATGATAATACGGTGGACCGCAGCATTTTACCAGACCAATACAGCGTATCGTCACTGCTTAGTCCTTCGTAACGCAGGCAAGGCAAGGAGCTGGTTCGGATTTCATACCATAGACCTTAGCCTATGGGAGACGAAGTACAAGGTGATATATGGAGATTTTAAAGACGAGAAAGAAGTGAAAGCACTTTTCTATATCCTCTGTTCTCGAAGTGGAAGAGATGTCTGGTAAACTGAAGTGATACGCAAGAGCTTCTGCTTTTATGTAGAAGATTGGCTCCCACTACAACGTCAGCCTGTCACACTTCACATACGCCTGTGATTGACTATTAGTTGCAGCTGACTGCCCTGGGAATGACGTAGTGAGTGCGGAGCAGCTGGTATTTGGATCCTATAACTGAAGCGCGCCTCTTTCGTGCTTTAAGAAACTTAGATTCTGCGCTAGAGTTCTCGAGTCCGTAGAAAGCATCACCCTTGGGATGGATTTCTACTTCTATCTGTGTCTCGGTGTGCTTTATGGGAAAGGGTGTTCTTCACACTTCGGGGGTTAACGTAGGTCCCATTCGCTTCCATAGCGATGATAGATTAAGTTTCTATGAGACCATGTTTAATATTTGGACATGGTGCTGAACACCATCATAGAGTTATGAGCTGATTCAAAATTACATACTGATGGTGAGCGGCCAACAACAGATGCAGTTGAGTAGGAGCAGTAGCCGTCAGGAAAGCGGCCAAAGAGAGCCCGAGTTTGAGGAATTACAATAGCGGTAGTGAACACTGGTCCTTCGAGTATTCAGAAGGTATCAGCGCGATCTGAAAATATTCGTGAGGTAGCCTAAAGAGCGAGGGGCGGCAAGGTTAAATCTCAAATCGCGGACATACTTGCCTCTGTGCCGCACGAGATGGGTTTCCCACCTGACGAACATTCTGTTACCATGTGACAACGCTCATAAAAAAAGCATCAGCATGCCCTTGGAGGATAAAGAAACTTGACAGCTGACCTGGTTGGCGTTGTGGGCAGCAAGCAGATCGTGGTATGAACCTCAGCTCCGACTTGACCGGCGAAGTTCAACACCACCTCGTGACGACCAGACGCTTGCGGCAGAACATAGCACCCACTTCCCCTCATCTCTGCATCATCTCCTTCCCTTCGTGCAGATGGAACTCACCTTCATCATCACTTCCCCACCTCCCCACCCATCCACCCCTCTCACTTCCGCAAACGACAAACCGCAATCCCTTGCCTTAAACAAATCGCGTATTCTTCTCTAAAGCACCCACTCTCCCGGGACGCATAGCTCTAGATGTATCGCTCTCTGGCTCCAGACCCTTTTCCGAGAAGCCGGAAGTCTAGAACTCGAAACGTCCCAGAAGGGCCCAGAAGTTCCAGACCCCTGAAGAAATCTGGCCCTGTAGGGGAGATCCAGATCGTTCCCCTGTCTCATGTTCCTCGGGATAAAGAAAGCAAGTACGGTGGTCTCGTGTACGACGTCGATGTCTCAAACATTTGATCGAGTGGGCGGCTGCTGCGGCGGTGATGACGACGGCGGTACGAACTTCCACGCAAGAGCCCGAAAGCCTTGCCAAATGAAGGCGAAGAACAGCACCTCACTACAGACAGTAGGAAATACTGTCTAACAGATAAGCTTGGGATGTTGGATTTGAGCCTGTTTCAAGGTGTGACTAGGCGGCGTTCACACTGATGGAGGTGGGGTCTACGCTTTTCTCTTTGTTGAGGAGGGCAGACGCAACTCCGACGCTAATAAGATGCCGAAGTCAGGGAATTTACAGAGCCGAGAAGGCGGGGGAGACTGTGTGAGACAGGTCGAGCCCTTTTCCTTGGGTGAGACACTGTAAGGTGAGACAACCATGAAGAAAAAGTCCATGACATAGGGACGAATAGCGGTACACAGGGCAAGAGAGCCGAGTAGAACAACATCAAAGAGGTGCCGGCAAATGTTGTGATACTTCTTTTGTCTGAGCTTTCCTTCTGCATCTCACACTCATGTTTTGCTGCTACTTTTTTTCTGCCTCCGACGTCGACGAAGCGCTAGGTGAGCTGTCATCTTCCTGCCAAAGAAGGAGAAGGTTGCTTGCGGGCTTACTCTCTTTCTACCGTAATGCTGGGCCCTGCCTTTACTTGTCCCGTGTGGAGAGGATATGACGAGTTCCAGAGAAGAGAAGGCCGGACCAGGCTAGATCAGATCCTCCCGCAGAGTTCAACACCTATAGCCTAGTTTCCCGATCCAGACGTACAGCAGTAGTATAGCGATAGCGTCAAACTACCATTCTCCCTACATCGTCGATCGAGGAGGCCGCCGAGAACGCCTTCTTCATCCTTCAAGCCGCCACAGCGGGAAGCTTTCATTCAAGCGTTATCGAAGTTCCCGTCACCATCGGACAACGGTAGTGTCGACGTTTGAAGCAACGGGGAACCGATTGCCCGTTCCCCCTCACTAGCGAGCGATAAGGGTTGTCCGGGCTCATGCTCATGCTCAGGCCAAGGGGGAAGAGAGAACGGCCCCCCTCTCGGACCCCCTTCGAGCATGGACGTGTATCTATCCGAGATGGCTCAATTTCTGGAGCTCGGTGAATAACACGGGAAGGAGTGGAAGGGAAAAACGCGGCTTAACGGTTAGCTAATGGCATCAAGCATTGACCCAAGTCCAGGGTTGAGAAAATTTTAGACCATGTCCTTATGTCGACTGACCCTCATGTTACTCTTCGATCAAGGTTCCATCTTTAAATTTTTTCCCTGCAGCGCAGGGGGGAGGATAAGGAATCAGGGTCCATGTGGGGAGCAGCAGCAGGGATCATAGTGGGAACTTTAAAAAAAATGGGAACGGCAACCGTTCGGAGATGGGCGAAAACGAAACCCGAACGGCGGGCCGGGGACGGGCACTGACAGTTCCCACCCAGGTGGATACGTGCGTACCGTGGTTCGATGGGATGAGAAATGTGGGAAAGGCGGCGCCCGGGTGTCGATTGCCATGTTTAGCTTCGTTTAGTCAAGAAAATCGGAGAGCCGAGGGAACAGGAAACAGACGGTGCCGCGGGTGGCGAAGACGAAGAAAGTGTCGGTGATGAGGTGTGGTTCGATCTGCCGGTCGGACCGAAAGCTCGCCCGGTAGAGGTGGCGAAGTACGTACCAAGTTTAATTCCCAATGAGGTAATCACGCAAAACGGGAAGGATGTGGGTGTGGCTGGAGAGATTTGGCATTGTTGGAGCTACACTGCTTGTATAAACAGGATCAAAGACTATCGAGATGAGCGACCGTCCCAAGCAGTATTTCTTATTCCAAAAAGGCAAACGGGCACCGAAAAGCAAAAAGGAAACGCGAGAGCAGCAATCAGCACCAGAAAGCCTCCCAACCCCATCTAATCCCGATCTCTTTTTCGGCTTCAGAATTGCCAGACGAGTTCTATTCGCTCATTTCCCGTCCCTGAACTGAGCCCAAAGCTGCTTCATCCGCGCCTCCTGGCCGGCGGTGAAGTCCTCGTAGCACGCGTCGATGCTGTAGTCCATGTAGTTGTGGATGGGGTCGACGCCGGCGACGCCGGGGCAGGTGTTCTTGCCGATGGGGCAGCCGTCCGTCTGCTGCTTCTCGGCGCGGGTATCAGCAATGAAGTCGCCATCACCAGAGCACGAGTTGCCCTCGAACGTGTGCAGCAAGCCCATCCAGTGACCCGTCTCGTGCACGGCCGTCATGCCCTGGTTGTACCCCAGAGTGCTCCCGCCCGGCATAGTGCCGGCCTGGACGTTGCAGCCGTCCTTCTGGTACGTGGCGGGCGTCGGGTTGCTGCCGATGGAGCTTGGCATGGTGCAGACGCCGAGGATGCCGCCCTGCAGGTCCGAGTGGAAGTAGATGTTGAGCGAGCGGTACGAGCCCTTGCGCAGCGCCTTCTTCATGGCGTCCATGTCGCCGTCAGCGCCGACGGCCCACTTGTCGTTGACCGTCAGCTCCGACCCTTTCAGCGAGAAGCTGATGCCGTGCGAGTTGTACGCCTTGTTCATCACCCCCACCTGGTCCTGCGCCATCTTCTGCCAGTTCGAGTACTTGCCCTTGTTGGCGTTCGTCGTCACTACGTGGAAGTACGTGTCGACGGCGATGGGCGAGTTCTGCCGCGCCTCCAGGAACGCCCGCGCCGCCGCCGACCCGATGCGCGCCCCTGACGCCATGTCGGCGTGCGCCTTGATGATCTCGTCGTGTGCCGTTGATGAGCAGTTGAAGTGCTTGATCTCTCCGAGTGCCAGAGCACTCAGAGAGAAGAAGATGAGGAGCCGCTTGAACATGTTGAACAAGTGGGGTGCCGTGTGCCTGAGCCGAAAGTGCTGATTCGAATTTGGATCGCAGATGAGGGCGAATGCCAGTTATAAGAAGCCGGTGAGAGTGCGGATTGCTGGGAGGAGCTCTGCGTAGCTGAGTGCTGATGCCGACACTCTGGGACTCCATGATCGCGATATTTATCCTCTTTCTCTCCAAGTTCTGGATCTCCTACCATGTGCACATCTTCTGGCGGACATGATGACTGCTTCTCTAGAACGCGGCTGTGGCGCACTCTGGAGCCTTTCCACTTTGATGCAAACGGTATGCCGTGAGCGTGTCACTCTGTGACAAAGACGCCGCATGTTGTCGTCGCGTGGAGGGAGCCATCTAGTTCAGCGCGCGTGAAACCTAGGGCTCGTGAGCATATGTCTAGATCTTCTTCACCTTCGGCAAAGGGAGGTCGAGAAGAAATATTTGGTTCATCATTGAGAAAACTTGAGACTTCTAGAAGAAAAAAACCAAGATCGCCTACGCGGTATACACGATCCCTATGCCCAAACGCCGGCCCACCATCGCAAACAATCAAAGAATTCACGCGGGAAAAAAATCCTGATCGAAGTCATCAAGCTTCACCGGGTCTCATGCTTCGGCCGGTCGCGGTTGCCGTGTTGGGTCCTTCGTTATTCCAGGTGAGGTACGTGTGATCACCAAGTTTCCTGCAGATCCATGTCAGCAAGCCTACCCAAAGCTTTGTCCCGAGCGCGGTATCTTACCTCGGCTTGATCAGGTGCGTAGCCGTAAAGAGAGTTCCAAGGACGATGCAAATGCCACCAACCACGACATAAGCAATGCCCAGGAAAGGATTCTTACCGCCCATGACGGTGCGGGTTGAGATAAGGATCGACTTGGTGCCGCCGTATGCCGTGACATTGAAGTCTGCCGAACATTAGCGCCCGAGATCACGCGGTATCGGGGGTCAAACTCACTGTCTTGAATATCGATCTGGTACCTAGCCACAGTCATGGTCTCGTTGTCGTTCCTCATAGCCAACTTGCTGAAGGTGGGAAGCCCGGCCGTCCGCATCCAGACCATGAATCCCTCGTCCTGGGAAATATCGGGAATAGGGTTCTCCTCCGTGTAGCCTAGCGGATAACGAGTCTTCCAGTTGGGCGGCGGCGAGACCTGATCGTTGGTGTAGGCCGTCTTTTTGAAGAGATCCTTGTCACTGTCCCAAGCAATGCCCTTCTTCGTCATGTTGTAGTAGTCGCTCTGTCCACTCGCCGGGTTAAGCCGAGTCAGCTGCGAGAAGGTATCGTTGAAGACCGAGTTCGCAATCAGGCCGCACGGGTAGTACGCCTTTCCATTGCTGTCCAGTTTCAGCGGATCACAGTCGCTGCCGGAGATCGAAGAGTTGCTGCGGAACGTGCCCTGGAGCTGCGAGGGGTCCTCGGACTTCACGTAGCGACGGTGGTTCTGGTAGAAGTTGGTGAGGCGGTAGTACAGGAGGACGGGCGGGCCGATCTCATTCTCGATTTCGAACTGGATGGAGCAAATGGTCGCATTGTACGGTTCCTCCTGGTTCGTATCAAAGGTAACGTTTTGGAAGCTGTGCGCCCACGACGGAGCCAGCGCGCTCGGGTTGCTGGCCTTAAAATAGCTCGACACGCGGTCCGTCGGAACATCTTCAAAGGTACGGGCGGACGGCGGGAAAGTGGAATTGGACGAGTCGACGGGCGACTTGTTCAGGCAGTCTGTGTAATCGATGGAGATTTCCTCGACCTGCGCAACGTCGTCGTCAGCACCTGGGCAGCGACAGGGCTCCCTTTGTGAGGGCACGAACCTCAGCGCTCGCCCATATCAACAGGCCGCCGATTGGCGCGAATATAACGCCGACGGCGAAGAAGAGGGGGAGGACGGTCTTGGGGGTGAGGATGGGTCTGCGGGCAGTCAGCGTCAGCGGCGCAGTGGATTGCGGCAGCGGGCGGGAGCAACGTACTGCCAGGCCTTGAGACGCTGCTGGCGGAAGGCGGTGTCTGCGCAGGCAGTTAGTCATGGCGTGAGGACAGCGGGCATGGCGTGGTTATCGTACTGGCGGGTCTCTTGCTCTTCGTCTTCTTGGTGTCTTCGGCACCGTTGTCGTTGCTGCTCAGCGAGTCGGTGTGTTGCATTTCGGTCTGCGACATGTTGCGCGCGAGGACTCCTGTCCAGACAGGAGCATCCGATGGGCGCAGAGAGTTGGTCGCTGGGCGGGGAAGTGTTTGTTGAAACCGTTATGGAGAGGCGCGGGCGTTGATGGCAGTCGGTCGCTATTCTAGGAGTCCTTGGCGCGCCTGACGCCTCAGCCTCAGCCCCCCAGGATCCGCGACCTCCGATCGTCGCCGCAGCAGTTGCACCGCGACGCGCCAACAACCATTCGCGCCAACTACCCGCCCCAATGCTGCACCCAAACAATTCCCATCATCGAATTGTGTCTGTACCACCATCCAGAGCTCGTGAGCACGACGAACACCGTCGCCAAGACCTCGTCTCCATTTTCGTCTCAGGCCCGCCTGGGCAGGAGAGACCCACCTGTCAATCAACGATACAATTCAATCTCAAGTCTATCCGCACAGCTAACAAAGCTCAATTATGTCTCCTAGCTACCAAGACGTGTGAGAGAAGGTATGGTATATTTCTCACTTGAGCTGCTAACTATTCACGAACGTTCAACGCTGTGTACTTGAACGTTCAAAGTCCAAAAACAGCAGCAAAGCTACGTCCAAAATACTTCCCTTTCCATATGTACCGCCTCCATCATCATCCACAATCAAAACAAGTCAACGCCCCTCTCAATGCCCCATGTGTTTTTAAAATCCCGCAAATGCACCTGCGCTTATTGCTCCCTTTGATGCATCACCCCTATGTTGCTCACACTTTCCCATCTTCATTCTATGCCTCCGTCAATCTCCATACCACCCAACTCAGCATCGAGTCTCTCTCTCTCTAGTCCTCCCTCAACCTCCTCCTCTCCCTCCACCCACCACCGCCCGTCGCCCCAAACAAGACCAGATGCACCGGCGGCCAGCTGCAGCAGTACCGGCTCCTCTCGGGCTTGCACCTGCCACACGCCGCGCACTGCACCTTGTATGTCGCGTTGTTGCTCCGCCGCCTCTGCAGCGCCGCCATCACCATGGCCGCCGCTCCTGGTGGCATTTGTTGCTGTCTGGCCACGGCCAGCGACGCGTTCCTCCGCACCAGCGCCGCGCCGCCGCCGCCCCCTTCACCACCACCGCGACTACTATCCCCCATATATTCCCGCCTTTCGCCCGCAGCAGGATGAGAGGTGGGAGTAGTAGGAGCGGAAGCAGCAGCAGTAGCCATCGTCCTCGCCAACGTCGTCATCGTCACCGGAGTAGGAGGAGGAGCCGCGGTGCCCGCCCTCGGCTCATCCAGGAAGTCCAATAACCCCCAGTTGGATGATTCTGATGATGACAGCTGCTGCTGCTGCTGCTGTCCTCTTAGCGTCCTGACGGTGCTGGTGCTGCCATCGCTAAACTCCGACTCCGACCCCGACTCCGACGGCGGAGACGACGACGACACCGACGACGCGCGGTCGCGGTGGTATATTCCATCCGGCCGCGGCGGTGACGCTGGCGGTGAGTGGTGGTCGAAGTGTCGGTCACCCCGCCCCCCGTCACCCAGCCCCCCCGTCGTTCCGCCTCTTCCGGCTGTCTTTCCGGAAAGGCCGGTGGCGGAGGTGGCGGAGGTGGAGGAGGGGGGAGAAGAAGAAGGAGGAGTACGAGGAGGCGAGAGGGGAGGAGAGGGTTGTAGCAGGACCAGCGCCGAATGAAGTGGCGACTTGGACGTAGAAGGTGAGGTTATTGTTGCTACCGCTGATTCGACTGTTGTTGCCCCCGCCGCCGCCGCCGCCTTCGCCGCTTCTGCTGCCGTCACCGTGGTATCGGGAGATGGCGGAGGAGAAAGTTCCGGAATGGTGCCTGCGAAAGCGGCAGCCATAGCGTTGGCGCGCGTTCGTATTGGGGGTGGAGGCGGTGTTGGTGGCACCGGTGGCAATTGCGGCTGTGTCAACAACTGCGACGACGAGCTAAGCTTAGGAGGAGGAGGAGCCGTCGTGACAGGTGTCGCTCCTCCGGATGTTGCTGCGGCTACCGCATTTGATGTTGACGCCGATGTGGATGACACTGGTGTCTGCGGCTGGTGATTGGAAGAGTGAGGCGTAGGTGATTGTTGTTGCTCAGTAGAGCAGATCGTAGCTGCTTCAAGCTTCGTCGTCGTTGGATGATTGAGCGAAGGGTGCTGGAGAGGAGCCAGCCTCTGTCGATGAGCTTGTTGCTTCTGGGCGTACGATCCGCAAGATGCGGATTCTGATGTGACCGCGGCGACGCGGTGTGCATTTGCGAGTGCCATTGCTTCTTGTTCAGTGTGATGACCACAACGACGAATCGATCGAGTCGATCCCATATCCACGATAAAGAATAATTCCAGAGACTGCTTACCAGCCAGGTAGGCATGAAGAAGCAACGCTAGATAACTGGTCTCTCCGACACCTCCCAAACCGTCGACTTAAAAAGGATGTCTGGGCAGGGTCTTGTTGTCTTTGATTATGATGAAAATTAGGCAGATCACAGTGTTCAGAATCATAGCGAAGTTGTAAATGTCTAAGATCGATTTCCTACTGCCGCCTATGGGCTTCAAAGTGCTGTCTTTGATGACCCCCAATCAATCTTCGCTAACCCATCCCGAACGCTGTTGAGGCCGGAATCAATGAAACAAGACGAGCTACATGCTGGGTGCTGCTACCATATGAGTGGTGGGGGTATCAGAGTGTAAGTGCCGATGACGATGATGGAGTGCGCCGGGGAACCGAAAACACAGAACAGATGACCAAACAAAGGGAGAGAACAGCCGCACCTCAAGCCCACCTTGTGTGTTCGGCGGCGAGGGCGACATTGAGCGATACCCGAAACCAAAAAACTCCTACTCCGAAAAGAACGCCGATGTCGTGAGATGCTGTGTTCGTGACCCAGATATGTGAATGCGGGGGATCGCTCCGGCTTCACATCAACAAGGGATGGAGCCATAATCTGTAGAACCGAAAGTAACGCCAAATCCGCCGGTCAATGCCCATGTAACCGAGAGACCCAATCTGGGGGATCACGATGCAAGATGTGTGTACGGGACGAAACGATAGGAAATGGCGAGAGAGATGAAACAACGAAACATTGCGCAAGAGATGGAAAGTGCAAGCGTGCAAGTCGCGAGGCGGACCTGGCTCCGCGACAAGACCTGGGGGCGATGAGGCTGAATGACCAAGTGTGTTTCACATGATCAGCAATGCACCTGCGAATCGACGCAAGCGTCTAGTTCTCCCAGTCGTTGAAGTTGTCGAGGTGCTGCTGGAAATAGGCAGGCTTGAACCAGCCAATCTTCTCGTAGGCTGCCCACAGCTTGCTGGCCTTGTTGACGTCGATCTTGCAGGCCTGCTGAGCCTTAGTCTTGTTGAAGTCTTCGCCCCTAAGAAGGGCGCGGACGCGAGCCTGGAAGATGCGTCGCTTGTTGTAAAGGTAGGTCGCACAGGTAAGTCGGAGTGTGGAAGCGACATTAAGCTCTGAGGGGTGGAGTTCACCCCGGTCGGGATCGGCGGACAGGTCAAGGGGCTGACCCTTCCATTCCGCCTTCAAAGCTTTCCTGCCATCTTCGGGAAGCGTCTCCAGGGGCGGCGCATAGTTCGGGATCTTGTGGAAGTCGACGTCATCTCGCGACGCCGGAACCCGGGGAGCCTTGGGCGTCGGGGGCTTTGCGTCGAATGACTCGAGCAGTGCAGCCTTGGGAGTGCGCTTCGTAACTCGGGGCGCGCGCGGCAGTCTGGGGGCGGCAGGCTTGGTCTTGCGCACGCCGGCGGGAGCGGGGGCCAACGCCCGCAAGTGCGAGCGCTGGGTCGACTTCTTGGGGCCGTACATACTCCAGGTCGCGCGCTCGTTGCGCATCCACGCGACCGGGTTCTTCTGCCACTGGCTGACGGCAATTGACTTGCAGGCGATTGCCAATTGGTACTCCTCGCGGGTCGGTCGGTCGTAGACATTGGATTCAGCAATGTGCTTGGAGATGAGGGCATCGTGCTCAGGAGTCGTTCCAACGCTAGGGAACAGGGGCGCGGTTGTCGCGCCGATCTTGTCACCGCTCCACGCCGGGAACAGAGGCGGGTCCCTGCTCGTATCCTCCTCCACCGAGCACTGAGAGTCCTCCTTGTGGAGATTGTCGAAGGGCGAAACAGGCGGGGAGGGAGGCAGCCCCTTTGCGGAACTCCGGATGTTGCTGCCTAGAGAGTTGACGGTAAGGCGGTTGACGGGAGGCGTCGCATCCATTGCGCGGTCGGCGGGCGACTTGGAAAAGCTCTCCGAGCGCTTCATCTCGGGAGGCGAGAGCAGGGAAGAGACGGAGAAGCGTGCGTCGGGCTTGGAGGGGGTTGCTGTCGGGTGATGCGAAGCCATTGTCGCGTGCAGGAGTGGGATTGGGAGGCGAGGCTGAGAATTGGGGGCGTTCGCCGGTTTTGGAGGCAGCCTAGGCTGCAGGGGAAGGTGCTGGAAGGGTTGCGCTGAGGTGTCGAGAGTGTTGCGTTGTCTGGCGGCGGTCGGGCTAGGGTGGCGAGGCGGACAATAGGCTGCTTTATGAATAGATGCGAGTCTGAGCGTAAGACGTAACAAGCGCGGAGCAGCCAATGGCGGTGCACCGGGGGGCGCTGCGCCGGTCAGATTGGCAGAGCAGGCAGAACTGGGAATTTATTGCCTGGGGGCAGTCGGGCGCGCAGTGTGAGGGCAGCTTGGGACTGCCGGGCAGGAACCGTGGTTCGGAAATGGGGGGACCTCTGGGAGCGCCGTGGGGCGCGGACAAAGGCGTGCTTTATGAACCACGACCAAAGAGGGCTGTGTGAGTGACTGGAGAGGGCAGATGACTGGTTTCTAATCAGGCGGAGCGTGGGCTCGCACAATGGGACAAAGAGCCTGGCGCCGCAAGGGCGGGCTGCGACAAGGCGGCAGATCGCAGGTGTCAGTTGCTGGCAGGGCTGGTTAGCTCCGAGTATCATCAGGCACACTCGCGCGCTTCTCAGCGGCCTGAGGTGAGCGGGCTGGCTATTCGTCAGCATGATACAGGAAGGCGGGCGAACAGGAGAGAAGGGCCGGAGGTGTGGCAGTGCGTTGGGCTCTGCGCCGGCGCTGATAGGGCGGCCCTGGTGCTGGGACATGCTGCTGGCGGCTTCTGCGCCGCGCAGGTCTGGATACCTGGCGTGCTCTTGCGGGCGGCGTTTGGAGCAGGTGATGGGAGGTTCGCAGTGAGCGCGAATGAGTCAGGCCCAGGGTTCGGCGCCATGCCTATCGCGGCCAAGCGCGGACGCATATCGCGCCTGCGTGCTGCTGGCAGCGCTCGCATTTGCGCGCGCAGGTGGGGGGCCAGCCATTGTTGGCCGCGGTGACGCAGCTATTTTCGACGAGACGCCCATTGTCCGGCGCTGGCATTGACTCTGCGTACACGTGTCGCAGGACAAAGCAAGCAAGCAAGCTGCCGGCGACACGGCGCCCGCCGCGCTCAGTCCGCCGCGCGCAACGTCAATGCCTGCTGCACCCGCTTTGCGTCGGATATCGCGCCGCAGGGCAGCCATTGACGAGCCCACATCGCGCAATGTCTAGCACGCCCGACCAGCGGTGGGCTGTCATAACTCCGCCCGCTGCGGCCGGCACCGCTATCTCCAATCTCCAGCGTCCCAATGGCTGATCTGGTGACACGCTGCCCTCCTGCATCCCCGTCCGGCGCCGCCACCAGCCACGCGGCGGGCTGGGGCCTTGGGCCTGGCGCGTCCCTGGCCGCTCGAGGCTGCTTGGTCAATTGCATCATAGGCGGCGCGAAGGCTGCCATCTGACGGTCGCTAGCCAGACCGCTCCGCAACTGGGGGGGGGCCGGCCAGCGCTCCTCGTGGACACCGGGGCGCGCATGTGAAAGCGTCTGAGACAGCCGCCCGCACCTGACAGCCCGCGCACACCCTCGCGCCGCAATGGTGGTGGTGGGCAAATGCCATCCTTATCGCTATCTGCTCTATCGATACGGCCAGCCTAGCCCGCGCAGCCGTGTGGAGCGCACAGGGCCCTGGCTGACAGCCCCTCACCAGCATCATCAGCCTGAGGTCAGCGCGCCCCTTCCTCCCCCCGACAGCCGCAGCAGCGCGCTCTCTCCCTCCAGCTCCCCATCGAGCGACAGCTCCAGCTCTCCAGAGGGAAACCCACCCCAACACACCGCTCGCGCGCGCATGATCAGAGCCCACCAGCGCTACCGGCACCCGGCTCTATCTCGAGAGGTCATCTACCCGCCCGCTCCCCCACACCGCTCATCAGCCCGCAATCCCTGCCATCCGCCTGCCTCCTCCGCACCATCCCACTCCACTACAGGCAGTCACGCCGCGCCTCTGCCCTGCCATTGCTGCGCGACGGGCGGCTTGGGCGGCCGCCATGCACGCAATCGATCGACCCGCCGTCGCATCCCATCTGGCCCAGCGCGAAAAGCCACCACGCCCAGAGAGGCAGCCGATCCTTTGGGTGGGCGGATAAGCGCCGGTGATAGGCCCCGCAGCCTAACCTGGCCGGCCGCGCTACCTTTATCTTGTCACCCAGAGGGCCCTGCAGAGACGATCCATGGGGTCCATGGGACCCTGCATGCTCACTCTGCGCGTGCTGCGGCTTATTAGGCGGGGTCGCTCAGCACCTTCTCCATCAGCCGGCGTTCGTGCAGATGATCAAGGTCGGGTATCAATGTCCATTCCTCCTGTTCGTCAATTCCATGTGCGCGGCTGCGTCGGCTCCAACCCGCCCTTTCTTCACTGCCGTTTCTGTCCGAGTCGTGTCTCAAAACTTCCGTCCACTCGCTCCATCCCTCCGCTGGTTTCAGACTGTCTTCGTGTGTTGCGACCTGGATGTGCGGCGCGCCCGGCCGTTCGGCGGCTGGGGAGCACATAGCGCGACTCGTGATATCTGCAGCCACATCGTGCGTCTACGCGTCTTCCCGGCCGGCCACCTGCAGATTCTCTGCGGAGAACCACTGGACTCAACACGGTCGGCCGTTGCTGCGACCTCGATCTGGAGTTCTGGATCACGGTGCGCCGTGCCATTGGGCCGTCCCCGATGCCCTTCAAGACATTTTGTTTCATCACTTATCGTACGGGCCGCCGACTCCAAGGTGCGCTTTCCCGGGCCTCCTTGCAAGTCCGTCGCTCGCGGACGGCCGCAGATGCTTTCAGGTGATCGCTTGTGCAGCCTTCAGGTCGAGGTGGTTGAACACTCAACACCAGGCGTTGGCCTGCAGCGGCATCGACACCACACCATGCACGTCATAATAAGATTCGCAGCGGGCGCGAGGAGGCTTAAGCGACAGGAGGCCTGAGTTTGGCGCATTGTGGGGCCGCCGGCGTGGTTCTGCGCTATCGATGCGCTCCCGCTGCTCTCCCGCTGCAGCCTCAGGGAACAGCCTTTAGCCTCCAGTGCCGTCCGCATGCCGATCTGTGACTGCCAATCGCCACCGGGCCGGCACAGACGTCGTCAACGTCTTCCCAAGGGTCCTGAGCTCTTCCGCGGTCCGTAAACTGCTGCCTGGACCGCACTTAGTCTCGCACTGGGCTCTGATGATTCAGTGAAAAATTTTTCACGGTGAGTAATGATTTTTTCTACCATCTACCATCCTCTTCCTCCGGACTTAAGCCACCCGGACCATGGGTCGTCTAGGCCTCCCGGCAGCTCAGTGAGCCCGTATTGCCTCTGCAGGCCGTTAATGAGTGTCCTGCGGTGGTTCACACAAGCTGTGTTCCACCACACCAATGGCTTCTCCCGTCCTGCATGAGACTCCGGCCCGCTGCAAACCCTATCTGCTATCCGGTCATCTGCGCAGCTTTGCCTTCGAGCAACGTAATCCCCCAGCCTCTTGCAGCGGCAAAAGCCCTTTTCAGTCATCCGTCTCCCGCTGACCGGGTTGTCGGGTTTTGTACTCCTTGCGCCTTCGTCTAGTGCGAGGCGGTGCTTGATGATGGTGGGGAGACGGTGGCTGCAAGCAGGTTGATCCATTGATGCACAAGAGAGACCTCTCTTGGTCGTGAATGCCTACACATGTTTCTCCAACGGTCATTTCCGCAACCCCGCAATGTTCGCCGGCTGCCTGCATGTGGTAAAGAAAAAGGTCTCAACGCCCCATGGTCTTCGCTTAAGCGGGCAAGCCATTTTCTGCTGCTTGTCTCAGACAAATGGTCGTCTGCTGCCGTTGCTCTGCTTCATGGACCAACTCCGCGGCAGTCGCCGCTACTGACCACTCATTGATCTTCATCTCATTACCAGTTCTAACAGAACCCGGATTCCATTGCTTACCTGCGGCTACCTGCATGCGATGCGCAGATGACCGCCTCTCTTTTCCATCTGCACTTTTTGACTGCGGCACACTGCATAGCAGATCGAGATAAGTGCCAGATTGACTTTGCCTAGATGCGCCCGACAGATCGCAAAATGCAGGTCGAAACTTTGTTCCCTGCGCTCCTGACCCTTTGTAAATTCCCTCATCTGGATCAAGAAGAACATATGTTTGCACAGTCCGGCCCAGTCGGACACGTTCGCCGTCAAAATTTCCATCCCTCACGCGAACTTGACACTCAATTAATCGCCAGCCTTCCGCCCTCAAAATGCATCCCAGCATCCAAAGACACCATCTCCGCCCTGAACCACAAATAATCAGTCCGCAACGGGCGCCCGACGCACGGCGTGAGTTTAAACGAGCAAGCGCAGTGTCGCACCGCAGCAAGCAGCGTCCGTGTAGCCGTTCATCCCCCCTTCTTCCAACCCCCCATCCATGGCGCGCGCACATGCATACACTTAGACGGATGTGCATGCAACCGCGGGTTCTAGGTCTAGGTCCCCCCAAGTGTCGTCCCTCCTCCCCCTTAGCCAGGAACCGCGGTTGCGGTTCGGGTGGGGATGACACAAACAGTGCATACCCACCATCCACCAGAGCAGCAGTTTGAGAGGTGTGTGTGTGGGTGCGGGCCTGCATATGCTGTACGCTGCCCTGCCGCTTCCCCCTGTCTTACCGTGCTTATAGATGTGCACACTTGCGTGCAGTGCACGCGCGTTGGAAGTATGTATTGTACATACTTACGTACATATGATGCTCTGACGTCGGGGCAAAGAATACGGTGAGAGTGGCTTGAGGAGGCGGACTGCACGAAGCAGGTTTTTCTTTGCTCTCGATGGTAGATGATGCTTACTCATTTGTGAAGGGTTGGTAAGCTTCCAAGGGAACGGGGGGCAAAAGTTGCCTGTCTGGCTTGCTTCTTTGCCCCGGTCGAAGGCACACATCCATGTCAGAAAGCAAGGCCTCGATTTGGCATTTGCAGATCCCGTTCTATTCGTGTCCGACTAGATGCCCCCTCTGACGAACCTGCTACTGTCGCAAGGCTTTTTTTGCCATTTTGCCATCGCCCGCTTGACGGCTGCCTTGTTCGCCTGTTCCACGGCCATGCTTGCTTGCTCCTCGCCTCCGTCGAGAAGAGCCTTGGAGGATCGCAGGCTCCAACAAAAGATACAGCCCCGCTCGGTCATTCAGGAGCAAGCCAGTCAACAGCCGGATCATTCCGCCCAATCAATGGCTTGTGTTGGCTGCTGCCTCATACACCCCCAACAGTCATCATTCCCCACCCTTTCAGCCCGCTATCATCCTTTCTGCCCGACACCGTTCGGTCATCCCTGTTGTGGCTGTGCACTTCCGACGGACCGCACCGATTCCGGCCCCGTCGGCCAGATAATACCTTGCAAATGTGTCATTTGCTTTTTGGTCCCCGTGCTTCGTCCGCCCGCTCCTTTAATCAAGTACACGCTCGAATTACCCGGAAATTGCGCTGTGTTGGCAGGTGGGGAGAAGGTTTGAAACAAAACGTGCAACAGTCGAGAACAGGGGTCCTAGACCGGTGAGAATGTAACATCGGGGAACTTTTATGTGCAGATGGCGAGATTATCATCCATTCGTCGCTTTTTGTTTTTCGCCCGTGTCATTGGAGCTTGTGTCCTGCGGTTACATAACACTCTACTCTTCCCATGCACGTTCCGCCGAAGCCAATTGCACTCTTTCCTATGCAGACTTGTATAGGAATGTATCCACGTAGTCTTGAACCATTTGTGCTGCTAGGAATGTAGCATCCTGGGTGGAATGAACTCGAGAAACTTATATGACTGCACGTGGACTGAGCTGCTGTCTGAGCTTCGCACGGCCTTTGTTTCACTCCGAGACAGAGTTTGAACGTCTAAGTACGAGAGCGGATATGAAAAGCACCGGTCTAGTCGACAACGACAAGCCCGAGGCTCGGACGTCTAGTCTGAACGTACACCTACGTGGTTTCATTGAGGTGTCTCTCGCTTGCATACGCAGTGAGCATGCCACTCTGAATCGAAGACAGCAACTTCTTGTGGCATACGTGCGTCTCGTGAATGAGAAAGGCTCTGCACTTTCACGGCTGACATGGGTGAAGTACAAGAGGTCTACCGTTACACATTCCTCACGCTCCTGATTTGTCGGAGCGCGCAGGCAATAGAACTGCCCTCCACCTTCAGTTCTCACCGGCATTATCCACCAATTGGCAGGTGATGAATACGCTTGTGTAATTCTGCTGCTCCATGCCTGTCTGTCCCATGATCAATTGCACAAAAAAGGCGCTGTAGCTGATCCAACCAACCAACGACTGGTCCATACAACGAGTAGAACACTGGCATTGTCAACCACACACAAAGATGAGGCTAAACGCGTTTGCGTTCAATGCAACAAATCGGAATCTTTTAGACGTCGGGTGACGTCACAATATATACGAGCTAATTTACTTTTAGTCCAGAAGACAACGATTGTCCGCTGCAAGCGCCTCTCTTTATCATCCCGAAAAAAGCATTCACTAGCTGCCTCCGTTTGCATCTCTAAAGTCCGAACGCATGACCGTTGCATTCCATTCCGCGCATTTTTGCACGTAGCTGTCTCACTCCCAAAAGGATCACTCAACGCAGAACAGAAGTAAGACACCAAAGAAGAAACCAACGGGATAAACCTTAATGCAGACCACCATCAAATCTTCGGGAAGGGGACCCCAAACATCCATGCAATCCCGCCCCTGCATACATGAAATCATGCGCCTCCCCCATTCCTTTTGTTGGTTGGTTCTTCTTTGCTTTTTTCTCTTCGACCGCGTGGCTGCCATTCCCGAGCTTACTTCCTCTTTTCTTTTCTTTTTTCTTCCACGATTCCCGAAAGCCGAGATGGGGCGGCCACACAAGATCCCGGCAGGTACGGTGCAGCCGCGTGGCAAGAAAAAGAGAAGAGAAATGCAAGCCACAAAGCGCCTCCCTCGGTAAGCAACAGGGAGAGAAGAGAGGAGAATACAGCCCCTTCTCGCAGCTGGTGACTAGGGCGAAGAATAGCAGAGCTTGAGAACATGGCATAACTATGCCCCAGCTCTGCCTTAGTTGAAGCTATCGTCCGGACGAGAACGTGGAGTTAAAAATTCTACATACACGTCCGGACCATAGCTTCAGCTACCCATGACATGAGCAAAAAACAAATACACGCTAGCCATCGGCTGCAAGAGGAGACTGTAGAGGCTCGCGTGCGTGTTATGCAGACGCATGTAAGAGCGAAAACAAGCATGCGGAAAAGCAAACTGATCATCTCGTCGGCAGCATCTCGATTGTATGCCTACCAACAAACCCAAAACCACTTTGGGTTCGTCCTTGTATCTTTCCCCCCCTTGCCATCGAATCCAGCCAGGGAAAAGCCATCAAAAGTATGATATATTACAAGGTATCGATTTTTCTTCTTTTTTTCGCCATTCAATCTCTTTGAGTCCTTGTTTCTTCTTTTCGGCGAATGGTCGGGAGGTGGGAAACGACAACGCCAATGAAATCTGGGGTGGAGGGCGCGAGAATGAGAGGGCGCTCCAGAAACGGGAAGATGTTCGAAAAAGAGATGGGACGCCACATCCACGCTCACCCACCCACCCGCCATTGATCATCATCCACCGGACTTCGATCGACCGCTTTTCCCGAGACATACGTAAAACCCCCGTCTCCCGCGTTCACTCCTTCCCCCGCCACCAAAAGATGCGGCAAAAACTCGAGGCCCTGCAAGAAGAAGAATCGAAGACGCCATGGCCCTGCTCCACGGAGATATGCTCCAGAAGGAAAGAAACTCCCCAGCCCGCATGAAGTCGCAATTCTGCGTACGCAATCCCCGATAACCCTCCGTCGAGCTGCAGCAAAAATAAACGTGGGAAAAAACGGTTGGAAGCTGAACCGCTGCTCAGCCGCGCTTGCCACCTGCACGCCCCAGCTTGAGGCGGCGCGCGGCCTCGGTCTGGCCGACGCTCTTGACCGGTGCGGCGTTGGCGACGACGTTGCTCTTGGGCGCGACCGTGTAGGTGCGCAGCTGGCCCTCCTGCCGGGCGCGGTTCATGAAGCTCGGCGGTGCCAGCGCCTTGGCGCGGCGTTCGGCCGCCGCCTGCTGCGAGGCCACCTTGGAAGCGGTGCGGTCGGGAAGGCGCCTGCAGAGAGTAGGTCAGTTGTCTTGGTTCTTTTACTGGTAAGGGAGATGTTTCTCTCCGGGGCAAACGTACATAGGATCGTAGTGGGCTTCGGCAACCTCCTTCTTGCGGTAGTCGTCCGTACGCTTGAGGATCGGACGCGTCCACTCTCCGATAAGCTTCTCTGCTTGCCTCTTAATGGTGCTCTCGGCCCTGGGGCTCTTGGTGTAGAAGTTGATGACTTTGCCGATACCGCTGGCGACCAGCGAGTCTTTCGTGATAGGTAGCTTGCCCAGCACTGTGAAGAGTTCACGCTGAATATTGTATGCCGGCATGCTTCCGTCATTTAGGGGTTCGAGGAAGAACCGCACGGCTTGCAAGAGATTGATATCAGGATCAACGAGGTTATTCTGGAGGTTATTGCGGTTGAGGAGAGCCACGACTTCGGGAAGCAGCTTCAGCTTGTGGATGGCGGGCTCGCCGCGCTCACGACCTTCGTTGTCAGCTTGTGCAGCTTCGGTCATGCGGCGGCGCATGTCCTCAATCTCTGCGTCGGCCTGCGCTTCAAGATCCTTTCCAAGAAGTTAGTTTTTGCAAAACACTCCGACATTGAAAACAACAAACTCACAATTCCCTGCTGCTTGCGCGACTTCTTCTTGCCGCCCTTCAGCGCCTCGTCCATCTTCGCGTCCAGCGCCTTCCTCCGCCTCTCCTCGGGCGTCAAGCTCGACCAGTCCTCCTCCAACGGCTCAGGCCTGGCGCGCGGTGCCCTCCTCGATCTCCGCTCGCCGAGGACCGCGCCGCCGCTCTCCTCACCGCCGCTCATGCCGGCGTCGCCATCCTCGCCCCTCCTCTTCCGACTCTTCTTGGGCTTGTCGCGGCGGCCCTCGCGCTTCTTCTTCTTGTCGCCGCCAGCCTCGCCGTCTGCGCGCTTGCGCTTGTGCACGCCGATCAGGCCGACGTTGCTCTCGTCGACGGCGATGGCGGGACGGTCCTCGATGGCGATGGCATTGGGGTCGAAGTCCTCAAACTGCGCCTCGTCGACGTCTGACAGGACCGACTCGTTGTCCGAGAGAGGGAGATCGTCGTTGTCGCCCTTGTCCTCCGCGTCGCCCTCACCCAGCCCTTGGCCCGCCTCCGTCAGCTCCATGTCCTGCGTCGGCGCCGCCGCCGGCGGGTTTGGCGTCGAGTTCTCCTCGTCCACGTCTGGCCGCACGGGCTCGCCCGGGTCGTTGCCCGCCTCCGGCAGCGTGCTCGGGTCGGGCGGCGAGTTCGTGATCTCCGGGTCCTCCATTGTCGCGGATGTGGTTGATGTCGTGGGCCGCTCCTGTTCTCGTTCGCGTGTCTTTTTGTTGTTGCGCGGTCCCGCGGTAGGGAGATGGACAGCGTCCGGGTGACGTAAACGACCGCAGACGCGAGCTTCCGACCGAGCGACGTTCACGGAAGGGAGTTTGTTGGTGCTGGTGCGTTGGAAATGGTCGGTTTTATATGTTTGGATGGGGGACGCGCAGGTTGAGGTCAAAGGAAGGGCGGCGACGCCAGTCGCGCCAAGACTGCTGGCCCCGGCGAGAGATTTCAATCAGCTTTCGCCGCAAGCTCCGACATCATCACCAACCACCCATCCACCCACCCCAGCATACCTACTTAATACCGCCAACATGTTCGGAGGTTTGTTCTCCCTCAGTGCTGTCGCGTCAAGAAATGCCTCTGACTGAATCGTGCAGGACCGCCCCCGCCGCCTAGCAAGCAAGAACTGCGTGAGCAAGAGCTGATTGCCAAGGCTACCCTCGCCAGCGGCGTCTTCACCTGCGCTCTCCTCTACATCTGTAAGCTCGAAAAACTTGTTGGCCTCAATCGCATGACACTGATTTGCAAACTATTGTAGCTCCCTTCGCTGCCGAGTACGTTGGCCGCTTCTTCTAGACAAAAGGCCTTACGAACTACGTCATGTACACAACGGAACAATGAGACGCTAGACTGGGCGGGATAGTCTGTCTACATGGGCGTCACTTGCGGCATTGGCGTTAAGAGAGGGACTATCTCAAAAATACTTGTACATTTCCTCAATGGGGCTCGGCATAAAGCGCGGCCTGTGTATTATTCGAGAAGAGCCGCCTGGGTCACGGAGCTAATGCGCGCCTGAGAAAACGCCATGCCGCACCCCGGTCTTTTTGTATAGCACCATGTTTCCCACCGTAGAAATACACTCGCGTGGTATCTCGTGCAAAAGAAGCCTTTTGAGTCCCCAATCCAAGATGCCGAACCTCTCTCCAATGCGAGCTCCTGCACGAGCATCTCAACTTCTCGCAACTCATCTGCCGCCACCCGAGATGGGCTTGTTCGTTTCCTGCCACTCCTTCCACTCCTTCGTGACGCGGGTGAGCTCCTCGCGCAAATGGGCGAGCTGCTTGTCGAAATCGCCGAGAACCTGCAGTAGAAATGTGAGCCGGGACGAAGTCCTCCAACCAGAGACCTTGGCAGACTAACCTTCCTAATCGCCTTGACGTGCTCCTCATCCAGCTGTTCGCCATCGGGCTTGCCCGCGTTCTTACCAAGCTTCTCCAGCTCCTCCTGCAGCAACCTCGCGCGCGCCCTCACGGCGCTCATCCTAGCCCAAATCTCCTCCTGGCGGCCATTGAGCATGGGGTCGAACGCCTTCTTCTCGAGCTCCATCAGCTTCTTCCGCAGCTCCTCCTCGCGCGGGTCCATGGCGTAGCCCCTGTTCCTCAAAATCTGCGCCTTCGTCGCGAGCGCGAGGCAGCGCTTGGTGAGGGCGATGTGCTTGCGCTTGGCCTCGGTGGTGCGGACGGTGATCTCCAGGTCGTGCTTGGCCAGCATCTCGGTGAGGCTGTTGTTCATCTCGTGCAGGCGGGCCTGCAGCGCCTCGACGGCCCTGGCCTGCGTCTCCAGGCGGCCTGCGACCGAGTGGAAGCCGCGGCCCAGCACGGGGATTGCGCCCTCGTTGGGCTTCTTCGACAGCGCCTCCTCCCACGCCTTTGCGTCCTCGTCCGCCGGCGCCACGTAGTACGGCACCGTCCGCGGGTCCACCTGGTTGTAGAAGTAATGCTGGAAGACCGTGTTGCGCTGCTCCGGCAGCCACTTGGCGATCAGGTCGGCCATCTGCTCGGGGATCGACTTTTGGTCTAGCGGGATGTAGACGCCGAGGTCTTGCATTTTAGCAATCAGGAGCATCCTCGGACAGAAGTGATTGAGGGGGAGAGGCAACGCGGGAAGAACTTACGGGCTGGAGGCGGCGGGGTCCAGACATTGTTTGTCGAGGCGCCCAGGGCCGGGTTCTGGGCTGGGGGAAGAGGGTTGCCGAAGACGGTGGAGCCGCCGTAGAAGTTGTTGTTGACCGACTGCCCCGGGGGCTGGACTCCGAATGCGCCAGTGGTGGCAGGCTTGTTCAGGCTTGCGCCGAAGAAGCCAGTGTTTTGCTGTTGCTGCTGCGGCTGCTGTTGCTGGTTGGCGGTGCTGTTGCCAAAAAGGCTACTTCCCAGAGCCTGTGTGGTATGTTAGACAAGATGTTTTGGGATTTGAATTAGATTGTTTACCGGCTGGTTGTTTTGGGTGCTCGACCCAAACAAGGAGGGCTTATTCTGTGTGCTGCTGCCAAAGCCAAAGGGATTGGCGTTGGGCGTGGAGCTCCCGAACAACGACGACATTGCTGCGAGCTTTTGAAGAGAAAACCGCGCGACGGCCGGACAATGGAGGATAAAGTGTAGGCGAAGGGCGGCGTGAGCAGCGCGCGGGTGCTCAAGCAGAAGATAAAGGTGTCGCTGGCGTGCGAAGGACAAAGGGCGAAGGTCGATGAGAGCGGCGACGCAGCGCGGGACGAGTCGGCGGGTGTGGAGGGGTTTAGCGGTGGTTGTTCATGGCTTTGCGGCTGATGTTGACCTCAGGCTTGAAGGTTCGCGTGTTGCTCAAGCTTGTCGCGCGGTCGGCAAATGCCGGGGTCGCGCCGAAAGCTCAGGTCGACGTCCGCTCCAATAACCTGAACTCCATTCCGCATTACCCAGATACCCACCCCTCCGCCAACATGGCCGCCCGCGAAGCCAGGTGAGCTGGGCCCGAATCCGCGTCGCTGTCGCCCAGGCCGTTCCGTCCGCGGCCCATTGGCCTCCAGCAGCCGCGCTGACCTCGCGCTCCGCAGATTCAACCAGCAGGTGCTGGTCGACACCACCCCGCTGCCCGACCACATCCCCAAGGTCAAGGAGATCGGTGCCAGTTCCGCCCCGCTTCTGTCGGCCTCCTTCTTCATCGGCGCCCGCTGCAAGCCCTACAATGACGACTACATGATGTGCAAGACCGAGGCCCACGGCACCGGCGAGCTCGACTGCATGAAGGAGGGCCGGAAGGTGACCAGATGCGCCACCAGCGTGTAAGCGATCCGAGCCGAACGAAAACGAAACTCAGGGCTCTTCTGGACGGCTGGCTGGGCGACCGGGGGCTGACGAGCATCGTGTGTTAGGCTGGACGACATCAACAAGCACTGCCTCAACGAGTTCCGCTACCACTGGCAGTGCCTCGAGGACAACAACCAGCAGCTTTGGCAATGCCGCAAGCCCGAGCGCTCGCTAAACAAGTGTGTCTTCGACAACTTGGTGTGTTTTCTCCATCTACGCCCATCCCGACTCTGGCTCGGATTCGACTGCATTACCCGGCAACACCCGAGGACCGTTACTGACAGAGCCTGCAGAAGCTGGAGAAGACGATTCCTGACACGCCCAAGGGCGAGACGCCAGTCCACCTGCGCAAGAAGCAGATCTACGGACACAGTGCATCGCTTATGTAAAATTATTAGAGAAATGCAGGCTCCTGGTTACATGTCAACATATCTCCTTCAGTTGCGGTCCGTTGGCTGGCCGAATGGTTTCTCAAGCGCGCATTTCGACACTCACCAGGTCGAATCTACTAACACAGCATTGATATCAAAGACTCGTGACGCAAGGGATCGGAAAATGGCACAGGAAGGCTCAATCGACGGGCTTCTCTGTGTCCCTATAAACTCCTATGTAAACTATTCTTTAGCTTACCAGAGTCCGACGACCCCCATCGACGTTGTCTTGTACTGCTCAGCTTCTTTCATCCGAAGCCATGGTGAACTGTCTCGAAGGATCAAACATTGAAGCAAGCCCGTCAGCATAATATCTATTGTATGTCCGTCGTTCTTGTGAGACACGAGTCTATAATGATGCCGTAGAAAGGAAACCGCAATAACGAAGGCTGACGTCTCATAGTTCTCAGACCCAGAGCATCGATCACCGCATTCGTGTAATGTACCCAAAACTCCCTGCGAGCATCTCCTTTCGACAGTCTTGTTTCACCTGCCACAGCTGTCTGCATCGAATGCGTAGCACAGATCTCGCAGACGCAGACGTCGGCTATCGGACATTCGCAGCAGCTGTCCCCTTTGTCCCAGGTGCCCGCCTCTTATCAACCTGTACGAATATAACTCAGCAGAAGGCTGAAGCCACCCAAACCCTTTCAATAGGAAAGACAACTCGATACGTAAGAGCATCAATTTATCGTTAGTCCTGGGGGTAAGGCTCCTGCGTGTGTTTAGCGGAGACAGAAAGGGGGAAGGGACGAGCAAAGCCAAGTCCCTTGAAAGCAGAGAAAGCAAAGACGGAAACAGATGAAACGAAAAACATGAGGACGAAATCATCACTCACCCCCCAAAACAAACGAATAGTCATCCCAGGCCTTCACCCGCGCCCTGCCCATACGAAAACATGCCCGAGCCGACGCGCCACATGCCCAACTCCCTGCGCAGCTCGCGCACCTCGGCGCGCAGGCGCTCGTTCTCAGCCTCGGCACTCTCGCGGCGGCGGCGCTCGTCGGCGGCATCGCGCTCCAGCTGATGGATGTACTCGATGGCGCGCGAGATGATGCCGGCCTTGGTGGGCCGCTGCGGGGGGCGGCCGACGGCCTCGCTGCCGCCGACGCCGTCGTGCTGGAGGAAGGCGGGCATGCCCGGGTTGTCCGAGTCGTTGCCGCCGTTGTCGCCGTAGTGCGGCGTGTTGGGCAGGCCTGGAATAGCGGCGCTGAGCCGCCGGAACATGGCCTTGATGCCCTCGCGGTACTTCTTCTCGACAGCCTTGTGCGGCACGCGCGCCGACGGCGAGTCCAGCTTCACCTCGACGGCGGGAGGTGCCCCGCCGCCGCCACCACCACCCAGGCCTGATGTGCCATCGGGTTGTCTTTCCGGTTGGTGATGGTGGTGGTGGAGAAAGGTGGGGGTGCTGCCGGCGGTGGTGGTGGTGGTGGACGAGGCTGGCACGGCGTCCGAGAGGCTGCTGCGGCTGCTCTGGTTGTGACGCGAGCTGTGTGCCGGGCGGTGGTAGGGGTGCTGGCTCGTCGAGGGCGTCGTCGAGGAGCTGGTCGCGGCGGAGCTGGGCTGCTGCGTGGTGCTGCGGCGTCGGTCGGAGCGGGCGGTGGTTTGCTTGCCGCTCTTCTTGGGTTGTGGTACTTGTTGCGCAGTAGCAGTAGTCTCTATCGCAGCAGGGCGCTGGCGTTGGCTCCTCCTCTTGTTCGATGGGTGCTCGGTGGTGGTAGTGGGGCTTGGCTGGGGTGGTAGGTGCTGGGGTTGGGGGTGGTCGTGAGGATGCGGGTTGATTGCGGTCGAAGCAATTTCAGCATCGATTCGAGAGTTTCTCTTCCACACCAGAACGTCAGCAAATTGACTCGCCATCAACGCAGCAGGCGTACCTCTTGCAGACTCTGCCAATTGGTCATTGGAACATCTGAAGACGCATGCTCAGCAACCACCCCTGGGGTACCTTGTTCATCGAGCCATGTACTTCCCCAGCGAAAGTCAATGTCGAAGCCTTGGGTGTTGGACAGGGGAAGCGCCGGGAAAGAGGTGTGATGCCAGTCTTCGGGGAACCAATGGTCGTCGTCGTCGGTGGGGTTTGGATTGGGGTCCATTATGGTTTGGGTGTTTTCGCTAATGAGTAATCGCCATTCGGGGGGAAGGAAGGCGCTTGGGAGCGGCCCAAAGCTGATATTCCCCATTCTCCCGTATACTGCATAAAACCTCATTGGGTCGCGAGACGATCGCACAGCCACACCCTGGGCAAATCACCCCAGGTCATAGGACCCAGTGGTGCACGCAACCGTCGCGTGAGAAGTAGGGCCATGAGATGAACCTTTTTTTATGGCCAGCCCGGGCGCTACCTATATCGGCAGGACCCTGTGAGCCATGAGTGAGCCGTTTGAACGGCCGGTGTATTCGCTTAGCCTTAGCTGAGCCACGACCGGGGGTCGATCAGGCCGTCTGGGGTTTGCTGCACTCCACATTCCCAGAAATTCCCTTTTCCGTCGCATCTTGGCGCCGGAAAGCGTCCCAAGCTCCTGCTCATATGCATGAGCGTTGCAAAAATGGCCTCCTGGCCTAGGCGCCATTTGGGTAACGGCCGTTGTGGCCAGATGCTCTCGCTTCCTTGTGTAGCCGGATCCCGCCACATCACGAGATCTCAAGCCACACCGGGCGGGAACGGGCCTTTAGCTGCGGTCTAGATACGCGACGCTCGATCAAAGCCCGTTTTTTCAGTTTTCAGTTCAAGCCCTGTGACGTACGGGCTTTCTTCGTCCTTCCAGTCAGCGGCCTCGCCGTTACTTAGTAATGTCCCATTACGTACGCGGCTTCGACCGGTGGCGAGAGACTTCTGTTTATTTCTTTTTGTGCCTGCGCCTGTCCGCGCAGCTGCCGTTGACCGTTTTATACAAAGTTTATAGGCTGGTCAGCTGCACTCCGGCCTCAAGGATGCGTGCAGCTGACCTCTTCTCTCGTCCGCCGGAGCCGGCCGCCTGTCGTTCGAAGCTGCTGGAAAGGAGATGAATAGTATTTGTCGTGCGAGAGAAAGCCTTGGTGATGTAGTGGAAATGAGCCACATTTCATTTCCAATTGGCGTCCGAATCGGCCAGAATGCCACGTGGGCACATGAGCAGCAGATACTTGCCCGCGGCTTGAGTTGTGGCGTGGTGGGCGTGTTTAGCTCGACGGCGTTGGTCTGGGCTCAAATTTACGGCTGAGTGCAACAACAAGCACACTCTACACCAACTGGTAAAGAAACAGAATTTGGACGGCAGGAATTTACAAGCGGTGAATGGGAGTCCGAACTCGGAATTCAAAACGGGTAACAGAGTGATGCGGATCTTGGCAGATCCTCGGATCACAAGATCAAACCCCAGGCACGCAACGGACGGGATGTCAGATAAGGCACCCCATTGTAGCTAAGAAAAGCTTATTGAGGGCCCAGAGATCGCCGCAAATCTGCAGTGTTCCCGTGTACTTGGGTCCCGTCATGACTCATAGTGATGAGGGCCATTGGATCTGGAAGCTTACGTGCTGCATGCATAGATGGGGCAGATACGAGGCTATAGCGGTATTTGCCAGCATGCTTATACGACGCAACGGTGTAGAAGCATTGCGATAGGGCTGAGGCCTTCTAACGTCAATTGGACGATTCAGAGCCGCATATCACTGGTCAAGTAGAATTTATTCTTGAGCAGCTACTCTCGCACCTCAACTTCACTTTTTGTCAATGATACATATAAGTTCCTTATTTAGCTCTTTGCTTACTCATCTTATCAAGCATTTTAATTTCTTCTGTGGCGGAAGGCTGGAATTCTTTCGGGCAAGCACCAGATCAAGTGAGCAGGCCGCTTGCATTTCCGAACTTATTCGTTCAACTACCCATTCAATTGTACACGCTTTGTGCAAATTTTCTGCGAGAAAACAAGTAGCAATAACAAGCAAACTCAATTTTCCATACAATCACGACTGAGTCCCACCGAATTTAAGTACTTATAAGCGCTTTTCCATCTTATGCTCATCAGGGGGTCCAATTCAGGCGACGAATTCCTTCGGAATTTGGGAGAGCTTACAGTTTAAGTGCCGCATGGTGCGAAACTTCGGTAGCGTAGCGCTTAAGGCTTGGCTATAAGTCCAATTGGACCTTCAAGCTATAGGTAGCCACTAAGAGAGATGGCGGTTAGTTAGCGAGGCCGAAACTCCCTGTCCCTTGCGGCGCAGCACAGTCGGGCGGCTAAACCGTGGCCCCCAGACGCAATGATAGATTAATGCTGGATGAGCGCAAGGCTGGATGTCTCTTCGACCGTTTCCGCCTTTCGCAGTGATTTCCACCATCTATCTTTCTTTGATGTCGAGCCATTCTCTCTGGAGTTATGGCTATCGGCGCTAGCTATGCGATGAAGGCCTCTGATTGGCTGATATGGTCGACACTGCTCACCCTCACCACTGCCCGCTCCATCTGCGGGATTCTAGATCAAAGAAGTATGTCCAGCATCCGCAGGATCCCTCGCGTGCGAAGAAAGCGTCCGCTGACCCAACACACGGCCCAGCCGCCATCGTCGGCGACCGCCTCTTCTGGTCCAGCGGCAACTACACCTTCGACGATGGCACTTCATGGTCCAACACCTCCTCACTCTACTGGCTACGGCTGAACGACACCATCAACGTCCACGGGCCCATCGACATGTCGCTCGTCGGCAGCGTCGCCCTCCCCAGCGACGCCCTCACCGGCGGCACGAGCCCCATGTCGGGCGGCGCGGCGGGCACCTTTTTCTACGACCACACGATGCTGTACGCGTACGCGGGCATGGTGGGGCCCGAAGCCAACGGCGTCGACAACCAGCTGTGGGCGTTCAACACGACGACGGACGAGTGGAGGCTGGTGCCGGTGGCGGGCGGGCGGGCGCATCGCGTTTGGTAATAATAGTGAGAGGGCGCGCACGCGACGGACGCGCACACCGGGACGTCGTTTTACACGGGCGGGTGGGAGATGGCCTTCAACGGGTCGAATAATGGTACGGTCAAGTTCGAGTCGGACAATGGCGGCGCGGGGCGATGAGCCGCAGTGGAGCTTCATGACGGCGCAGCAGGGCGAGCAAGGGCCGAGCATCGTCAAGGGCGCCATGGTGTACGTGAGGGCGGGCCAGGCGGGCGTGCTGGTTGCGTTTGGCGGGTACAACACGGCGTACGAGGGAAGCCAGTTCGCGCAGGGCTGGGACTGGGCGCGCCTTCGACGACGTCTACGTCCTCAGCCTGCCGTCGTTCCGCTGGATCCGCATCAGCGACTTCAACAATCCAGACAAAGCTCTTCAGCCCAGCCCCGGCCGCAACAGGCACAAGTGCGACATGTGGCGCGACGCGCAGATGACCGCCATGGGCGGGCTCGCTACGCTGGGCCAATGGACGAGCCAGCATCTGAACGACGTTTGCAACGAGACGTATCCGCCCGTCCGCGTGCTGGACACTTCGACTTACACGTGGCGGACGCAGTTTGAGCCGGGGTTGGAGTACTCGGTTCCTGACGCCGTCACTACCGTCATAGGAGGGAAGTGAGTGATTTAGTCCCTGAGACTTTGACTACGGTTGCTGACGCGTTTGTTTTCTCTTTAGTTCTACAGGAGGTGCTGTGCTCTCCTCACCCGCGGCGGGCTGGGGTTTCGACGAGCTTTCGAACATCTTCTTGAAGAGGGTGCAGAGAGATACAGACGATGGAACTTCGACGGGCTCCGCTCAAACAAGCGCCACTAACACGGGTGGCTCCAATGCCTCGAGTGACGACAGCCGTGGCGGACTCTTCGGTGGAGCAGTAGCCGGCATTGTTATAGGCTCCATTGCCGCCTTTGTGGCGATTGTCGTAACAATTCTGTGGTGGAGAAGATGGAGGAGGGCACGCCTCACAAAGAAGCTAGCTGCCGAGCGAGAGGTGGTGGATGGAGGATGGCAAAAGCCGGAGCTCGAAGCACGAGAACAGCGGCGGCAGGAGCTGGACATGCGGACTCAGGTGCATGAAACGCACGGAGATGCAGTTGCCATACGGCCAGTGGAGCTTCCTGTACATACAAGACCTTCAGAGATGCCGGGCTAGAAGTCCAGAGTGCAGTGATGGATCAACGTCACTCCGGCCTACGCGCCACAAGACAACCAGCATCCATTACCTCCGCCCGGCGAATGCACTCCCCATCACCACCGCTACTTGCCCAAGCGGGCATATCCCCCAGGTAACGCCTTGGACCCTGCATATACCCTCCGCAGGTGACGCCCGGTGCGCACGGACCATCTGCCTATAAATACACTCGCACTCTTCGACCGAGCTGCCCTTTTCTCTTCATCTGCTCTCTTTGTCTTTTGGCTTAGAACGAGTGACTAGTGCTTTCACTTGGGATACCTTGTTCGAGGCGCTTCGGGCAAGGATGGCCCGCGAAACATCTATGGACCGAGCGCTGGCCTTACAGTCTCACATGGGGTCCTGGGGGCTTCAGTGGGCACCTGGGGGCTTTCGGTGCCGACTACCGTTAAAGGTTGGGGTGGAGTGGGAAACTCGGCACTTAGTGCTGGGGGTAACAGATCCTCTGGGGGCTTTTTTTTTTTCATTTTTTTCAGTCAGCCATTCTGATGGCCGGCTTCACTTTGGTGACAAGGGCGATGTTCCATCTTTGATCGGGCCTCTTCACTCGAGTACCAAGCGAGACGTTGTTGCATCTCTGATGCATTTCCTCACCTTGGCCACTGAGGAAGATTGCTACGTCTCTGACGAGCCTCTTCACTTTGGAACCAAGGGAGAAGTTGAGTCTCTGATACATTTCCTCGCTCTGGGAACCGAGGGAGGGACGCTAAATCTCTGGCGAACGACCTCGCCTTGGGCACTGGGGGCTTTGGTGGGCAACTGGGGGATTTTGGTGACGACTACCAAAAGGTCGGGGTGGGCTGGGACTCAGCACCTAGTGCTGGGGGAAAAGAAGGGTCTGGGGGTTTTATCAGTCGAGGTGTTCTGATTGCTGGCTTCACTTGGGTGGCACTGAGAGAGGCTTTGCATCTCTGATGAACTTCCTCTCCTTGGGCACAAGGGAGACGCTTTGTGTCGTTGACCTCTTCGACGGGCATGTTCCCTTCGTGTCTAAGGGAGATGGTTTCATCTCTGATGGAGTTTCTCGCATTGGGCACTAATGGAAATGGTCTAATGAGTGTCCTGGCTTGGTGACGACTACCTTAGAAAGGTCGAGGCGGGTGGGCTATAGCACCTTGTGCTGGGGAAACATGGCAGTCTAATTCTATAATGCTATGATGAAATCCAAAAATCGCTGTGATCTCCCTTGTCTTCGTAGTGCCGTGAGCCTCTGCATGCCCTAACCACCACCGCTTGTCTGTTTCCCTTTCTCTTCTCTACCACATTAACAGCGGCTGCCTGCCTCCATCAAGAGAAAAAGCTAATTCTCCCCCTCCGAATCATCCTCTCCGCTGTCTCCAACCACCACAAACTCCCCCATCTCACCATCCTCACAGACGTAAGCGAAAACTCTTGCCGCCTCGCCCTCCCGGTCATCGTCTTCATCCACAACCTCAGTTTCAATCACGTCACCATCCTCTTCCTCTCGCTGCCAGCCATCTCCATCCTCACCCTCAAACCCATTTTCAATCACATCGTCATCGTCATCGCCATCCTCATCCTCACCAACCCCAGCAGCACCCGACCAATCCTCATCCCGCCCCCTCTGCGCGCGCGCCTTCCGCACCTGCGCACGGATAGCTCTCACCAAACGGGCAGCCCAAAGCCGGCAGGAGTAGTAGTAGTAGTAGTCGTTGTCCTTCATCGTGGTGGTGGTGGTGGTGGTGGGGAATGCTGGTGACGACACTTGGGTCTGCCAGCTGCGGTCCTTCTCCTCTTCCTCCTCCTCCTGCTCCTTGGCATCGTCGTCGTCATCATCATCGTCTGTCGTGGTGGGAGATGACAGCGGTGATGGCCACCCGCCCGGCATGGGCGGGAAGAGTGCAGAAGCAGTAGGAGAAGGCGGAGGGGTGCTAGTGGTGGTGGTGGGACTGAGACGCCAGTCGTCTGGGATGGAGAGGGTGGGGGATGGCAGGTAGAGGTCGGGGATGGATATGGAAAGGGCTGAGGAGGAAGAGAATGATGATGACGAGGGAGGAGGGGTGTTGGCTGAGATGGTGGGGGAGGGCGGTAGCGGGTAGGCACCCGGCATGGCGAATGGAGAGGAGGAGGTGGTGTTGTTGATGATGGTTGTTGTTGCGTCGTAGGCCATGGTGTTAGGCGTTGTTGGATATTCTTCTTTTTTCTTTAAACGGGATGCTGGGAAGAGGTTGTGTTATTCGTGAAACTCTTGGGCATGAAAGTGACCGGGGGGTGATGATGGCTGGTCGTTTAGGTAAGCTTTATATCTGCCCTATAGTATGGGCAGACGTGGTAGATCCGTCAAAGGACAGTTGTGAGACAACACTTCCATTCCTTATGTTTGCACCCACTAGAATCACTGTCTTGTCTTAGACCTGACCCGGCCAATCACGCGTCGAGATGGACAGTTTCCTCCTTTAGCAAACTCCGAGTGGATAGCACTAGAAGATTACCACTATCATTGTACAGCAGCTCAAACACAACCGTGCAATGCCAGGACACGAGATCAAAGACAATGAACCACAAGCCGACAATCCAAAACTTCCAGAGTATTCACAGTTTTTCGCAAACTACAACAAAGCGCGTAAGGGTATAATCCCATTACCTCCAAACCACATCCCTTTCAAATTTCCAGCAAGCCAACCCTCACTTGGGTATCATAATAGAGCGGCAGCGGAAAATGAACAAAAGAAATAGACATGATATACGAAATCATTGACACGAGAACTCAAGCTTCGTCAATCCCAATTCCACCAAGACCTTCACCGGGTATTCTTCTTCCTTATTCACCATCATCCTCAACACTATTCACACGGGGATAACATTTGACACTAAGAGACAGACACATTCTGCACTTAGACGTTCATCTGCATTTCGGGCGCAGCCTGCGTGTTGTTCGTGTTGCGCGTCTTCCACACGTGGAGCGAAGCCAGCACGGTCGTAGCAGCAAAGGCAAGCCTAAAAATCGCATGCATAAGCCAAATCAGGTCCCTCTCAAACACCAAGGCGCAAAAAGGGAGACTCACCACTCAAACGCGCCAATCACGGTCGCGGCCCGGGCGCTCGCGCACACGCTGCCGAAGCACCAGCGGTCCGTCAGCCACACGGCGAGGGCGATGAAGCCGGCGAACCAGAACAGCATCGTCAGGGCCTCGACGCCGAGTATGGCGAACTTGTGCGCCGCGGCGGGGAAGCGGGCGGGGGCCACGATCAGGTAGGCCAGCGCCAGGATGGTCCAGACCGAGACGAAGATCAGGTAGTTGACCTCGGCGGGCGAGGCCGCCATCCAATGCGACGTCCACCAGTCGCAAACTAGTGTACCAGAAGCGTTAGCGGTTGTTTTTGCATGTTGCCCATTGCGTGTTCATCCTCGTGGGTTTGAAAGTGGAGAAAGAGAGAGAGCTTTAAAGAAACGTGCAGATGCGGTGCTACGATGGGGGCCGACGAGACGGAAGGAAGGGAGGATGGGAGGCTGAAGGATTCCAGGTGCCTGGCCCCACCCGGTACTCCGGGTACTGCGTGCCATTGTGAAGGATTCCAATTCGTTTTCGCGTATCTCGTGCAACGACGGTGAAGAAAAGCGGAAGGTGGGATGAATAAAAAGACTCTAAAAATACGTACCATATGCGGTGAGGCCGAGGACGATGACGGTGAAAACAGCCTGCACGATGCGCAGGGGCAGGGTAAAGTTGAAGGCCATTGTTGCGACAAGCAGCGGGAGCTCAGAGCCAAGAAATGGTGGTGATCAACGGAGGGTTTGTCGAGCGGCTTTTTATTTGTCGCAAGCGCAGCAGGGATCAAGCGCGGCGATCAGAGGAGAGAGACAAGCAGCGCTGTGTGGCTGTGTAGGCGTGACTCGTGCGGGGTGTGGATGGATGGAAGAAAGAAGAGAACAATGAAGGGTGGGGACAAAGAGTTGATGTAGGTAGGCAGGGTCTTGACGTGCGTCAGGGTGCCACACTCGCGAAACAGGATTTCCGGGCAGGAAGGGAAGGCACCGCGCCTCGTTCGTTCGTTCGGCTTATGCAATTATGCCGTGGCTTGAGGTCAAGCTGTTGCAGATCACGCCGCCCGCTTTCTTCTCGATCTTTCGCGGAAGGGTCTCGATCGCGCCGATGAGTGGAGTAAGCAGGCTTTCGGTCGTGCAGAGGCCGTGTCGAACAAGTCGGTCGCGGGGAGAAGAGATGCTAGGCCAGCCAGCAAGCGTGAAGGAGAATGTCGGAGGAAAACGAAACCCAGGGTCTGTCGACGAGCTTAAATGATGGCGCACCAAGAGTGATGGGCGGTCGGCGATTTTATTCGAGTGCAGCAGTGCGCTGTCAACCGTGGATCCTGTCCTGTGCGTGGCGCCTTCTTCTGCTTCTAGCCTTCCTTCTTAACTTAGCAACACAAGTGAGCGAAGGTCAAACAGTGAAGCGTGTGGTGAGGAGCGGCGGGTGCTCGAGATATAGCGTCCGGGTCCCTTCAGTCTTCCGCTTTGCTCTTGTTCCCTCTCTTGTCGCAGAATTCCAAAAGTCGATGCGCTTGACCGGTGGTGTACCTGGCTGGCCCGGGTGCTATATGTAGTTGCAAAGCTTATAGCCCCAGGTCCACCACAAGCCTTCACCACCCCGCTGGGCGATGCGCCGAACAGCCTCAAGCGCGACGCGTTCTCCCCAAAAGGCTGTGCAGAGAGCGAGCGGGTCACGGGCTGAGTCGCAGCGGCGCCGCTGCGCTGCCGGTCGATTCGCCCTGCGCAACCCGGAGCAGCGCGACAGGGAAGCGCCCTGCAAGCGCCCGTACCACGGCCACAAGATCGCCCTTCTCCATCCTCCATCGGATGACGGGGCCACCCCTCGCTTGATTGGCTGACGATGGCGCAGGCCGGCTGTCGGGCCCCGGGTGAAACGTGTTTCGGCATGGGTTGCCAAGTTCATGTCAATGCGGAGCGCGTGCGCTGGCATTATTGCTCTCTCTTGCCTCACCACGTGTTTGAGCTCCTGCCGCTGAAGGAAGAGACCTCTCTTCCTTCTTCCTGTCCAGAGGAATTTGGTGGACTCGGATGCTACCGTAGCAATTCGCCGGCGCCCGCCAATTGGGCCTGTGGCTGAGCAACACGTGCAGCCGCTCTCGTGTCGGTAGCTTAGGCAGAACCGCAGCCGGAAAGCGAGCTCTTCTCTTTCAGCCGCACGCATGCAGTAAGCGTACCGGCTCAAAATTAAGCCAAAAGGCAGCAACCTCGAAGAAGCAGTGCGCACTGCACACGCACTGGCACGATAATTCCCCAGAGCACGTCCCCCTTCCCGTCGTGCGACCGGGAGGAGGATGGGCCTTGTGACTCGCCGGCGGTGACGATGGAGGCGCAGGCCAATCCCGCCACGGGTAAGCTCATTCTTTCGACGACAACACCACTCACTACGCCTTTTCAAGCCTGCCAATAATTCCGCAGTAAAGAGACGGTGTACCATTTATTGCAGGACAACGCTCCGTCAAAGCGCACCGCGCTAAGATTATCACACTAGCAAATCAAACAGAAAAGCGCTGCTCATCATCTCTTTCGCCTCTTCTTGGTCATTGGGTCATTTTCCGCCACAGAGGCGGAGAAAGAGAGACCGACGACGTCATGGCTCGCTTTCTCATCTTCTTAGACCCTCTCTCACGCGCGATGGAGTTCGTGATGACGACGTTTCTCAGCACAGTGTCTTGGGAAGTCTTGTGGTTGCGTAGTCCAACATCCGATCACCCGTCTAGGCAACCGCATTCACAGTATGATGATAGGTTGGCGGCTTGTGAGGGAGCCACCAATTACCAGCTCCATGGCACCTTGCCTTCGACACCAATAAGCATCCTTCTCCGCACCTACTCCGCCTTGTCGTCGTCATCCAAAACACCTGAAGACGGAGTCGAGACTCCGCTGCGCTGCATACACAGCCCATCATCCCTCACGGTGGAACCCTCAAAGCCTCACCAAGCCGCACGCGTACCCACACATATGCTGAGCATCAATGCCAACCTTATCCGAGCTACCCGGCTCAAGGCCAAGTCCAAATCACTTCTCGTCTCATCCTAAAGTTCCGTCCCATCCGTATGCACCAAAACCATGCCGCCGACCCTCCTCAAGAAAGAAAGCAGAATTCGTGGAAACCTTAGATCCATACTCGCATCCATTCATGCTTTTAGTTCCCTGTCCAACCCATCCATCCCCAGCCATCATCGATGCTACCATATATTGAGAGCGGCATGAAGTAAATGAAAAAACAGAAGAAGAAAAAGTACTTTCTCACGCATCCACCCACCCATCCAAATATCATCCCGTAGAGAAACTTCACTCCTCCATGAGCCAAAAAGCAACCACTATATATTGTAATGCAGCGCAACGGGATGAAAGGTAAACGCCAATGGTATAACGATATTTCGCCTGCCCCTTTCCCCTCTCTCTGAAAATTGGAAAAAGGTGATACACATGATTAAGAAACGCCTCCATTCATTCCATTCCATGCCCATCCACCAACCCCCTTTCCAGTGTACTCCCCCCCAAACCACCCGCAACAATGCTCGAAGAAAACATGAAAAAGAAATTAAGAGAAAAAAAGGCGAGAAAATATCACTCTCAAGTATACCGCCACGTCTCCCTTCCACTCGCACCCCCGTTCGCCTCCGCCTCCTTCTGCGGCGGCGGAATAGCAGCCGTCTGTTGTCCATCCAAAACCGGTGCTGCAGACGGCTGCGGCGGTGGCGTCGTCGCCCCCATGCGATCCTCACCCGCATCGCTGAGCGGACTGACCGCGGGGCGCTGCGGCGTACGCCTTCCCTCCGCTTCACCACCATCATTACCACCCGCGCCATTACCTTCACGAGCACTCGACGACGACGGTCGCCTAGCCGGCGTCACTGGGGCGGGCGCGGAAACGGGAGCAGGAACGTGAGGCACGGCGCGCTGCGAAGGAGGCGTGTGGTTGAACGGCGATGGCACCTTGGTCTGCGTGTCCGGTCCGAATGCGCCGCTGTCGTAGCCGTAGCCCGGTCTGTAGCCGCGAGTGTTAGACGGTCCGGTGTAGCCACCGAGAGGTGTTGCGGTGGGTGGTGGTGGCACTTGCCGCTGGTGTGGTTGTTGGCCTTGTTGAGATGCTGCTGCTACGGCTGCCGCTGCTGCGGCCGCAGCCGCCGCCGCCGCCGCCGCCGCAGCAGCAGCTGTCGACGAACTCTGAGCTTGAGCTTGAGCCGGAGTATCCTGCTGTTGTTGGGCCTGGTGAGCCTGTGTTCGAGCTGCGAAGCGCCGGGCGGCCGTCTCGTTTGCCTGGGAAAGCTGCTTGATCAACATGTCGAACTTGGGCATATTGCTCATCTGTGTTGCTTGCGTTCTGTTTACATCAGCTCGGAAGTCCTGTGCGCTTTGGAACATCAGCCCTGGGCGGCTGCCATGTGTTGGAGGATGACCAGGGGCATAGGGCTGTTGATAGCCGTAAGGTTGGTGGCCACCGCCATGCCCATTAGTGCCCGGATAGCCCCACTGCGGCTGGGGAGCTTGACGCTGCGCCTGTCTCTCTGCTAGAATCTTGCGAGGATTGTACGCCTCAGAGAACCCGCTCGTCCCAGGGTATGGCGACTCGTACACCTTCGGTCTACGTAGATATGCGTTGAGTAGGTAAGGGAACCTCTGCAAGAATTGTATGTACTCAAGGTCGGATGATTTCGAGCTTGTCGACGAAATAGAATCCGAGCGTATTGCCGGCGAGCCGCTATGTGCAGACGGAGACATGGAAGTCGCTGAAACAGCCGAGCCAGCAGCTGGAGGAGAGGTAGCAGCTGGGCGCAATGGCTGTTGATAAGGGGTCGAAAACGAGGGTCGATGGTAGTTGGGGTAGTGGATTGGTTGATTGGCACTGTATGCGCTCGAATATGGCGAATGCGATGTCGTCTGATGGTACGGAGGCACGTAATTTGGTGGATGATGAGGTGTTTGCGATGGCGGCGAGTTTGCCGAGCCAGCTGACGACCTTCGGGCATCATGATAGGTGCTTGGAGAATAAGGGTAAGGGGGAAGTGGAGTATAGGAAAGAGGCGCATTCCTGTTGGCTGGCTGGCCATTGTACGCGTAGGGTGAATAAGCTGTTTGCGGAGCAGTGTACGCTGGGCCTGAACGTGGCTTGTACTCGTAGGGCTTCTGTCCATAGTGGGGCTGCATCGATTGCCTCTGTGCGGCCATTGCTCCGTTTAGGGCGTTGACATTTACCCCAGAGACATAAGCAGGACCAATGGCCCGAGGATGGTAAGCTTGCGCAGAGCGAGGGGGCGGCTTGACAGTGTCCAAGAAATTGCTCTTCGGGTTGTGCTGTCGCTTCCTCAGGTCCTCGGTGTACTGAGCCTTCGCTTCCGTAGATGTCTTTCCAAGATAATGCCAAAGCTGAAGAGGTTTGGCCAGGTCGATCTTGGTCTGGAAGGGGTTCTTGACTTCTGCTGCTGCGGCAGTGTGGAATTCCGCCCACTTGAACTCGGCATTCGAGTCGCAGAAGGGCGTGTCCATCTCCGGCGGGCCATCTTTCTGGTTCTTTGCGTTGAGCGTAGATGAAGCCTGGTTGAGATGCTCTGGGAGAGGTTTCGCGTTTGCAGAAGGCTTCGGGCGAAGTGACTGTGCAGGGTCAAGCACCAAAAGGTATTTCCATTCAACCTCAACCCTCTCGAAACAGGCTGGGAGCACATCGATGATGACGCTCAACTCTTCAGGCTTGTTCTCAACGACAATGCCGGCGAAGATTTCACCGCCGACATATTGTGCCTGGACAACCTGCTTCGGCTCAAGGGACTTGGCGAATTCGGTGATGAGCTTGTTGTTCTCCAGCGAATCGACGTCAGTGAACTTGGGTCGCTTAGCACGATGGAAACGGCACCGAAGATCGAAACCGTCACAGTAGTACTCTGTGCCATCCTCATCGAATGTGGGCACAGGGCCTTCGTCTATCTGCACACCAGCTGCGGCAGCACAGGTAGCATGGAAGGCCCGAATGCATTTCTTCGAGGCGCACTGGAAGCAGGCACCACGCTTCGAGCGACAGTAGTTGCATTTGAGCTCCAGGCGAGCTTTGTCGATATTGGCCACATTGCAGACGCGCTCGACGCCATTCTCCTCGACGATGTAGGTTTCTGGCGTATATAGGGCACAAAGACGGTGAGCCTTCTGCCCGTTATCGGTTGGCAAAAGGACGTCAAATGCCACGTCGTTCGGGCAGAGGACGCAGGGTTCCTCCTTCGGTACTCTAAGGCGGAGCTTGACGCGTTTAACCTTTCCTTCGGGAGCTTTCTCTCCAGCATCCCTCTTCCTCTTCCTAGATGTCTTTGGCTTGCCCTTAACGCTGGCAGGTGGGCTGGGGAGGTCGTGTCCGGTTTCTTCGGTCTCGTCTTCCTCGTCTTCCTCGTCTGTCTCTTCGATGTATTCAGGAGTCGGTTCGCCACGGAGCTTACGCTCGATTTCCTCAACATCTACCCAGACGCTGTCACTCTCGCAGTCGCACTTCTTCGCAATTCTGCCGTACTCGAGCCAAGCTTCGGTGGCAAAGTTGACTGACTCTGCGCAGTTGTACCCGATGTTGTAACCGGAGTGATATCCGTAAGGGTAGGTCAACACAAATTCGCCCTCATAGTGGACAAGTTTGTTGACCTTGATACCAAATTCACTCTCAAGACGCTGAGGTGAGATGAGGTATGTCTTATGACGTAGAAATTGGCTGCAGTTCTTCGCGTCGTTGGGCCAGACGCCTAAATAATGTTAGCTTGCAGTACTAAACAGACGATGAGTATATGCCACTTACTTCTCATGACATTCTCAAACTTCCGTGCATCCTCTTGCGAGATACTGTACCACTGCTTTGGGGCTCCAAAGTGGATATAATTGATCGAGTAGAGATCGACATCCTCCAGGTGCCACGCGAAGGTCGCCTTCCACATTCCTAGGTAGAGGTACGCGGTGTTGACACCAGGAACCTTGGTTCCAAGGACGTCAAGAAGGTTCTCTAGCTTTGCGACGTTCCAACTGGTAGTGGATTCATCGAAAAGTGACCCAGGCATGTCAGCACCATACATAGGCTGGCCGAAATTGATGGTCTTCCAATAGTTTTGTTCCAGCTCGGCGCAGCGCTCGGGAGTGAACTCGTCAACGCCTTCAAGGTGGTAGTCAAAGTCTTCGAAGGCCTTCTCGTCGACTTCGTCTGTTGTTTCTCCTCTGTTGTGCTTCCGGCGTGAAGATATTGATTTTGGTTGGCGACCTCTTGGCTTTGGTGAACCATCACCAGCCTCCTTCTGCAGAGTGGCGACTTTCTTGTTCACGGCAGTCGTTTCTTCCGGTGGTGATGACGGAGTCGGAGGAACACTACTTTGTGTTTCCACGTGCTCGACAGACTCAATCACCGACGAGTCTTCTTCGACTTCTTTTTTCACTTCTTTTGGAGGATTCTTTCGAGGTCTCCCTCGTGTTCGTTTAACACCGGGTTCAGCGGGTGTGGCAGCCGCACTAGACTCGCGGTTGCGTGGTGCTCTTGTCCTGGTAGGTGCAGGCTGATCACCACGGCGTTCGCCACGCTTTGCCGGAGGTTGGTGTTCCCATTGATTAGTTAAAGCCTTCCACTCTGGCAGATTATACGATCTTTGCTTTTCGACATTCTGCTGAGTGTATTGGCCGCGAGAACCGGAGAAGTCCTGCGTAATGGGATTCTTGACTTTAATTTTCTTGACAGCTTCGTCAAGGTTCGGAAGTGAATCGCGCCTGTTACGTCATGTTAGTAATTAATTATGAGTGTTGTGGGTGTTGTATGAATCATGGTTGCTTACCATTCCTTGGGCGGGATGACCTTGACGATACCCGACTTCATCCCGTACTTATCAATCTTATCGATGAACTTCTTGAAACTCCGGAATTGGTCCATAGTCTACAACAACAAATCAGCCACGCATTGCACGCAACGCTACGCGAGCGCCGACCCCGCGCACCTGCAGCAGGCATTGAACCGTGCAGCTTGGTGGGGTGCGACGCCGAGGTCGGCCAGATGGGAACGGTGCGCAACATACAGGCTTGAAGACGGGGATCTTTCCACCGTCCCAGTAATGGTCAGGCTCGATCTCGCCAATATCCTCGTCGTCGTCGAGCTCGAGCTCAGACAGCTCGGACGACGAGCCTTCCCTTTTGCCTCGGTCCATATCCTCGCTTGTGGGCGGTGTCAAGGCTACTTTCTGGTCCGGCTGTTTCGCAGCAGCGTCGGCGGGCGCATTCTGCGCGTCGGGCATGGGGACGTCTTCCATGGCGACGGCGGGGCGCCACAGGGCGTGGGCGGGCGGGCGGGCGGCGGGCGGGTGCGGGTGTGCTGGGAGCGCGACGTCGAGGTGCAGTATCGGAGTAGCGAGCGAGCGAACAGGCCTAGCTCGGCGGAAGCTGGCGCGGTCGGAACGAGGAGCGGCGAAGAGAGATTCGGGAGGCAGCAACGCAGCCGGTGCCAGGACAGCACAGCTACGGGCGGGTCATGGAGGGAGCGGTGGTCGTGCAAGCGTCGGCGGGGGCGGTCGCGTGCGGTAGTCGCTGGGAGAGCGTCGAAAAGGCCGGGTCAAGGAGCGGAGAGGTGCAGAGGTGCGTCGGCTGGGCCAAGATCCGCTAAACCCTGTTCTCCGCGTGTCGTACGCCGCTCACACCACCCGTGCGCCCTCCACTGCCCTTCAGCCCTGTCCGCGTCCACCGCACTGCTCAAGCAATCCGGTGGAGACGCGCTGCCGCAGCTCGCGCTATGCCGCAAACAAAAGCGCGCTTTGAAACGCGGCGCCGCCCTTGCATGCGGTGCCGGCAAACTCATCATTCCTGAGACAGGTGCAAACAGCGACACGCGCGGCGCGTGCGCGACGATGACATCGATAAATGTTTGGCGGCATGGGCAGGGGTGGGCGATCATTGCGGGGATGGACATGCAAACTCCTCCAAGATTTGCATCTCGAAATTGCCCGGCCGCCGCGGAGACGGGCACTCTGATGGACTGACATCGCACAGGCCGCGTTGCCCCGGCATGCCCCCATCGCCGCCATCACTGCAACCTCCTCACCCACAAGGACGGGCATTTGCAAGAGCATGGGATCGTACACGTCGCCGCCGCGGCCTACACGGCGCGGTCTTCATCGCCGAACCTCACGATGCGCGACAAGGGCCCTCCCAGCACCCGCCCACCTTGAAGGGCCCACGAATCACGTCAGCCAGATACGGGGCGCGGTTCCTGCATGGTGCAGCGTCGCGCCGCCCGCAACTCCGGGGTCCCGGACGGGAGCCAAGGCGTGACGGCGGGAGATCCCTTTCAGCCCTACCGCGGTCGAGGCCCCACGTGTCTGGGAAGGCGGCTCTTTTTGTGCCCATCTGCCTTGTGTGCCTCCTCCGGCCGCTGGTCCGTGAGCGGGCCGGACGCGAACCTCCCACCCCTCATTGCCCCTCTGCCGCCCAGGTTGCTGACACGACCGACCCTGAAGCGAGCAGATCTCCCGCCTCAGATTAACCCCCCCGTGTAACCCCCGATCTACCTCCCTCTGCCCGCCGTGGGCCACAATCACTGACCCGTCACTTCCGTGCGACGACCGACAGCACGCCCGGCACTGAGGTGCAGAGGCTGCTGCGGATGGTCTGACAGCTCATCCACACGATGATACCACTCAGCCGAGCTCAAGCCCCCTGCGGGACAATCCTTTGTTACCCCTTGACACTGTGAAGCTCGTTCGAAACTGCCCGTCAGACTCCGAGGTTGGGTGCGATCTCACTTCAAGTCACCAACCCGCATATCCGCAAAACCCGCCAGACAGCACTGGGGATGCAGGTCATACCACCACTTAGCAACTTGAGATGAGCTCGGCATCGCAGGTGCATCTGGCGATAACGTGTCGAATTTTGCTCATTGGTCTTGGCAGCTTTGTGCCATACGTCACTGAAGCATCGCAGAGTCCCCTCCGATGCTACATTCATGCAACGGGTATACCAACATCTACAGGTATCTCAATATGCTCCTCGAGTTCACAAAACCCCGAAACGACATCTGTTACTTGCAGTGCATTGCTCTTATCAGATGCGTTTCCTGCCACTTCAAAACACCGCCGGCGGATCGGAAACTCACTTAGTCGGAGTAAGGATCCCTGTAACTGCTGGATGTGAGCTTGTTCATACTCAGTCAATCGAAGTGTATGCACTTATGGTGTGTGGCGAAGGAAAAAAGCGAGCTCAATAAATGAAGGTCTTCCTCTTATTGTTCTGCCATATCGGGTATCGCGTCTCTCGCTTAGCTGCGTGCCCGCCTGTCGCTGCGGACAGACTTCCAAGATAACAGCTGTATCCAGAAGATCGCCATACGATAATTCCTCTTCATAGTGCAAGCTAGTAGGTTTCCTGGTTGGGAAGCAACGGGTTCTTACTAGACAACTAAACATTCCTATTAGATATGTAGCTAAAGCTTCTAGATCCGAAGAATCAGCGAGGTCAAAGCTGGTGAGAAATTAAGATGACTTCTCCGAAACCTCCTTTTCGAGATGGAGCACTTTGCTGAATTAAATCTAATATCAAGATGTATTTGTACAAATTCAAATCCTGACATTTGCATCAACTGCCTATGCAGTAAGGTACTGCGTGACGTGTATTTTTTGTATTCTACTATGTCGCAGCAATAAATAAGATAAAACTAAATACGAGAAAGAAAGTCTGTTTAGATATCCAAAAGAAATGGGGACGACTCGAAGTTTCCATCACCGGTCATTCCTTCTTCATCCTGGCAATCCTTGCAAATCTTTTCTGACCTCCATCGCTCCATGTAGCGTGTCCATCTCCTATATGCTTTCTCTTCGTCTCCTTCGAAGGGGCCATTCGGTAATCTCCCGCATTTGATTTGTTGTATCCCCAAAGTCCACACCGCATTGTTCTCACCTTCTAGTTCCCAACCCATGTACTCGTCACATACGGAGCACAGCCCCCGTCCCAGCGCAAAAATTCCTTCGAAGTCCCAATGGAAAAGGTCCAAAAGCCTTTCCTCAGCCCAGTGACCTTGCCCGTCGATGCACACATCATTGACCAAGGGAATCTCTCCTTTGACGAATTCCTCAACTGTGATCCCTGCAAGGTCCAGAAACCGCCGAAGGTTGTTCAGCAATGCTGGTGTAGCCATTGAGTGCAGGCTTAGCGGACCAACTCTACCAAACGACTCAGTGTGCACAATGAAATTAAGTGAGCCTATCTCGTTCATCCATAGCTCGGTTTCTTCCTTGGATATGCCGGAGTCCAGGCGACGCACTAATCCCAGCCTTTTATGATTTGGATTGCCGATAAAGGTGAACGCATGTCTCAAGAAATCGGTTGGCTTGGAGTCCGCATTTGGACCTCCGCCAAGGAGTTTTGCCCATGACTCTGCCACTGTTGGCTCGTCGCAGAACTGCAGGGTGAGAACGAGCTGATCCAGTAACCAGTAATAGGCACTTGCATTGGCTGTGTTCGCTGAATAGTCCGAAAACATATCGACCGTCAGGCTCGTGTCAATATCGAGCAAGTCCTGACCGGCAGCAGTGAACGCCTTCATAGTTTCCAGCTGGCGAGATTGGATGTCGGGGAGTGACGCATGGCTAATAAAGTGGAATGCAACAGCGCTATTGAGGCATTAGTAGCCCTTGAGAGAAAGGTATTTCTACCGGGAACTTACGCGGTTGGATAGCGTCTTGCTTGTGGGTCCGCACCGGATTTCAGAAGGAAGGCGCAGATATCAGGTTGAACAGATTCTGCAGCTAACTAATTTAGTTGAGCATATCAATCGCGAAAGCATTTGACAGGGGCTTACCTGCAGCAGATCATCACCACTGACATGTTTTGAATGGATACTAATCACCCTAGACGAGAGCATGTCGATGAGGCCTTGAAGGTTGCCATGTTTTATGACACTTCTGGCGCGGTCAAACAGCTCATCGGGCACGAGCTAGGGTGATGTCAGTAGCGGAACCAAAATGGCAGAATGCCGGATGCTCACATGCTCGGCCCGCAATGACATCTGCCATCCAGACCAGGAGGACCTCTGCAGCTGAGCTCCAAATAAGGTGTTGAAACCAAGTTTCTGAAGCCACCACGATGGTTGAAAAAGGATATTCACAAGCTCACTTTCTTCCTCTGAAGTGGCGCCATGTCTTCTTCGTGATTGATACTTGACAGTTCCAAGGAGACTATTAGTCCAGCTGTTGATGCATTCGTCATCGTAGGAGAACTGTGCTTGACGAGAGCGTATTTTCCGAGAAAGTGCAGCAGTTGGCTCACTAGCTGGAGTGTATGAAGTTGATGCTGGAGGGACATCTGAAAAGATAGAAACGGCAGGTTGAGCAAGAGCAGAGCAACATGAACTGCCCACAGAGCTCGTCTCTACCAAAGTTTGAATGTGCGATGTTCGTCCGTTAAGGGCCGCCATTTGTGCGTCGACTTTGGCAATAGCTATCAGCTGAGTGTGTTGAACGCGACTAAAGCCCTGATATAAGTCTAAAGTCAACCCGATCCCATATGGGCTTCGACAAACCTGCTGGAAGCCTGCAACGCCAAAGAGAGCGTTTCCTTCGCCTCGCTAATCTTTCCTCTCCACTCTTTCACCTTGTCGGCCTTGATGACAACCTTGAAAGCAGCCTGGCCACGACGCCATCTGCTGTCCTTTTCAAGTTCTTCCTTCCAGCCCGTGACCAAGTTGTCTAGGGCCCGAACTTGTCTCCGGCAGCGAAGTAAAGCCTTTGCTGTAGCATTATGTGGACCGAAGAGTTCTTCACAACGTTGTATGTCAGCGAGGACGTATGTAAGAACTTCGAGATCGTCGATGATGTCCTCGATATCTTCGGATGCATGCTTAAGTGCGGAAAGGAATTTACAGCTGTGCAGCGTTAGCGTATGACGTTAGTCCAGTTGATTCCCAGCTTCGAAACACCCCAGAGGCCTGACCTACATTTTTTGTATGCTTTCCGCCAACTGGACAGTCAACGACACGATGCCAGCCACGCTGGCGGCTCCAGACAGCCCGTCCATGGTGGAAGGAGGGAGCAATCCGCATCGAGACTGAAGGTGGTGTGCAGCAAGGCTTAAATGTCAGCAACGCACCGTTACACACGAGGCTGTGCAAAGCCACGAGCTGAAGCGATGGCGCGAGGCAGAGTTGCAGCCGTGCATGGAACAGCCCCGCGCCACTGCATAACCCTGGACAAAATCCGTGAGTTGGCCAGTTCTGAATGGACATCACCTCAGCCCTTTGCATCAGCGCGTAATTCCGAGTTCCAATTCTTACAGGCCAATCCACCTTCACTTGTCTCTTTTCTCGTGACGTTGCTCGTGACCTTAATATCCACTAGTCATATCAACACCCACAGTAAGTATATCACAGCATCTACAGAAAACTTACGGGTATGTGCAAGTCTCATTAGTCAGCCTTTTCCATTCTTCTGTTTCTACAGGACTCTGCAAACCCACCTACCATGCGCACAAACACAACCTTCGGAACGAGTGAAAGAACAAACCCCGTCCAGCTCACAGGCAAATCTGGTATACCATCAGCCTTAAACAAAGAGTCGCAAGAGCAACGAAACAAACGTGATTCGAGCAGTAAAAATCCATTCCAGCCATTTTGTGATGCGTGTTTCTCTCATAGGGTGCCTTTTCTGCGGAGAAAATTTGAAGCTTCAAGTTGAGAAAGGAGGAAACAAGGCAAGCCCCTAGTAAAAGGTGTAGAACAAGAACCAGAAAGTCAGAACAAGGACACCTCACTCAAACAAAAGCCCATTTTGTGACAGATATTCCCGTGGAACAGAAGCAAAGAGGAGTTTTTCTCATGATTTGGCCAGCAAGGTCCATTTCCTCAAGTGACTTGGGAGAAAAATTTAGAGGGAAATGTATCATCCGAGAGTCAAAAGGAAGAGAAAAACAAAGTATAACAGCAAGAAAGCCCAATCATCGAAACCCCGATGCATGTTCTTGTGCAAATAAAAAAGCAGAAATAAAACCCATGACCACAGTAGCGAGACCCTTTTCAGAGAATACGTAGGAAATTCAACACCCCCACCCATTCCCCAGGCCCATAAGAAAAGTTTGCACCGATTTTACCAGGCTCCAATGCTATGCAAGTTCTTCTCCTCATGATGACACCGATAGTGAATGATCTTTTTGTTTTTCCCTCTTTCGTCTTTTAGTTCCTTTTCCCTTTTCCTGTGTTCTCTTCTTGGTCGAGAAAATCAATCCGCGCAGAAAATAAAGCACTCCGTGGCTCAAATCGCTCAAATGCTCAGAATCGAATCACACATCAAACCATCAAGGAGAAGAATCGTCGGCAGAAGAGCGTACCAGAATCTCCCTCGTTTTCTCGTCAGCAGCCGGATCCGTCGAGGGTTCACAGTCTTTGCCCGAGTGAGAAGGCCGAAGGTGGCAATATCCGGGAATTTACTGCGAGGGTTGAGCCTGGTGGTTGTCACGGCCACGGCCGCCACGGTATCCACCACGGCCACGGTATCCATCGCCGCGGTCACCACGGTAACCGCCACGGCCACGGCCCTCGCCACGGGGGCCACCACGGCCGCGGTATCCGCCACGACGCTCACCCTGGAAGTTTCCACGGCCGCGGCCGCCGCGGGACGAAGGAACCTCTTGGAAACCATCACCGTTAGTAGCCGGAGCAGGCTCAGCGGCGGCCGGAGGGGCAGCAGCCGGAGGAGCAGCGGCAGGAGTTGCGGCAGCAGGGGTCTCCTCAGCCCAGCTTTGGGTGCTGGTAGCAGGAGCCGGCTCGGGAGCAGTCTCGACCTCAGTCGGATCGCGAGGAACCATCTCGAAGCTCTCGGCCAGCGGGTCCTCAGAACCAGGGGCCTTGGTGTCCCACCTGTCACCAGCAGCGTTTGCCGCACTATCGTCCACACTAGCAGTAGGGACGGCAGAGGTCTCGGGAGCCTCGCCATTCGTTGGGGCGACATTGGCGTCAAGCTCGGTCAAGCCGGCATGGGCGACGGTGGGATCGGTGCCGACGGTGGTCTCCTCAACAGGCGGAGCGGCGTCGGCCTGGGCGACCTGATCGACCCAGGCTTCCTCGGCGGCAAAGGGAGCATCCTCAATAGAGGCTTGCTTAACCTGAGCATCTGCGATAAGTGTTAGACGAGCGCCCTTCTCTGATCACCAGTTCACTTACAGGACACGGTAAGCTCGAGACCCTCAGTCGAGATGACGTGCTCCTCAGAACCGGAGATCAGCTTCTCAGCAGCCACGACAGCCTCCGGGTTGCCACCGTAGACGTGCAGCAAGGCACCCTCAAAAGCCTTGGACAGCTCGGTCTCCTCGTCTCCCTGCTGGCGCCTGGCGGCAGCCGAACGCAGGAACTGAGAGAAGATGAGCAGACGCTGCTTCACAATCTTGTCGGCCTCGGCCTTCTCTTCAGCCCGGATCTTGTCCTCCAGCTCCTTCAGCTCCTTCGCGTGTGTGGCCTCCAGCGACTCCTTCTGGCGGGCGAGCTTGGCGGCGAGCTCCTCCTGGACCTTCTTGAAGTTGGTGAGCTGCTCGCCGAGCTGTTCACGCTCGGCCTCAAGCGAGGGCTTCTTCAGCGCCTGGGCCTTCTGGTCGTTGTTGATCTTCTTGGAGGCAACGAGGTCGTCGAGGGAAACGTCGGGGTTCTCCTTCATCACGGAGTTGACCTTTTCCATGGCATTCTACAGAGTTCCAAGTCAGCCTGGGCGAGCCGGTGTCGCACCTTGAAAGGTGGTCGCGTGAGGTCACTTACGAGCTTCTTGTTGACGCTGCGAAGCCTCCTATGGTGATTCAATCAGTACAAAACTGCCATTGGGCGACTTGGGCCGGCGTGTTTGCTCTTTCACGTACTTCTGGAGTTCCTTGATGTACGGGTGCTCGGTGTCCTCGGCGCCGTTGACGCTGCCCTCAACGGGCGTCTGGTCATCCTTGGTCGGGGTAGCGGGCGCGGCAGCAGCTGCAGCAGCGGCGGCAGCCTCAGCCTTGGCCTTCTTCTTACGCGCGCTCTTGGACTCGGCCGGAGCTGAGCTGGGCGGGTTCGAGATGTTACCAGTCGACATGCTGGTAGGATAGCTGTGTGCAATGAGAGTTTTGGGTATGAGGTGGGGTGCGTGGAGGGGAGGGACGATGCTTGCGCCAACGAGGTAGACGGAGGTTGCGAACGAGGTGGCAGGTAGATGCTCAGCAAGGCTCTAGGTGTGGAAGCAAAGCTCCAATGTGCCCGAGAGAGAGCGCAGCGCCAAAACATCGGATTATCTGTGCGCGCGGTGCCAAGCCAACGGCCGACACCGTCATCGGGGGTCCGTGCGCCTCGTTCCGCGAAGGCAGCGACGCGGATTTTGTCCCGTCCCTCCAGCTTACGCTCACTGGTCCCTTGTCGCTTTCAGATCCGTTTCCTTGGGCATGTGACACCACGTATGCAGCTGTGTCTAGGAGCAAAACATTGTCTGCGCGTCTCAATGTCTAGGTTGAAGGAGAAGATGCACCGTCCGCATCGAGCATTTCCCCTCACCGGACCGCCGCTTTGACCTCGGACGCGGACCGCTGAGTAAACCGACATGATGTGGAGCTTGATGGAGCCCGCACCTCTGCCAGGGGATACGGGCGCCTACATTACGTCCCTGGTATAGAGCACGGAATCGCATGGTCTTTAACACGCCTATTTCTACTTCTATTTACATAATCCCCCGACCGAAGCCGTGGGCGGTCTCAATGGATGGAATCGTCTTGTGTGTTGTCGAGTGCACTGACCACTTTGTCACCCCGCTCCTCTGGCCAACTACCCCTACGAACTGCCCGGGACAGTTTCTGCCCCAAACAGGCCGTGTAGTTGAGTCCGACCGTCTCTAGGAGCATGGGTTCGGGTAGCGCCTCTCGGTGAGCGGGATAGGGATGAAGCCCTTGGTAAAAATCAATACGCATCCTGGTCCGCGACTCGAACAGAGCTCCTTACCTTTGCAACGCCTTCAATAAACCCCCAGGAGCCGGGGCCTTTGAAGTTCCAAAAGAACCATCCTCCAGCATACTCTTCATACACGTATAGCTGGGCCTCGATGTAACGACGGACCTGCTGGGTGAGCGCGTCGCCCCATTCGTCGAGCTTTATGCCTCCGTCGGTCTCACATTGGCAGCCATCGACTTTGCAGGCCTTGCCAGTCCCTGCGGGATCGGCAACAGTGGTGCCATCCGGGTTCACGCAGATGAAGGTGTTGCCACTGAATTCTCCGACGTGGATAGGCAGGCCGTTGCTCTTCGCGAGCGCAAGCTGCTCGGAGGCAAACGTACAGACCTTCTGAATATGACCGGCCTGATCGAGGTTCTTGTCTTCTTTGGTGAAGATTTGGTATTGGTGGACGTCAAGCACAAAAGAGTTGGGATCCTTGCCATTCAGTACTTTATGAACGTCGAGCCAGGACTTGGGGGTGGTCCACTGATCGTGTATAGCAATGCGCAAATCTTTGTTGCTTGCTGCGTTGCGGACAGCCTCGTAAGTAGTCTTCGCCCAGTCCTTTGTAGTCTGAAGAGTATTCGGCAGATTGTTCGTAGGTTCGTTGATGAGCTCAACTGCGACCACCGTGTTCGCAAGTTCTTTCGTCGCGTACTTCTGCGCTATGGTCGTCAGGACTTTGGTCGTGCGGTTGAGGTTCGCCTCGCCGGTCTGCCACTGCCAGTGAATATGAATAGCGTCTTTCGAGCAGAGGTCCATCATTAGACATACCTCGACCGATCCAAAGCGGCCTGAATTAACCTCTCCATTTTGTGACCCAGGAGCCCCATGAAGCTCAATCACCACCACGAGCCCAGCGTTCTTTGCCCATTGGATAGCCTTGCCCAGATAGGCATCAGCGCCGGAAAGGTAGGGAGTATCAGCGTTATCGTAAGCCCAAAAGCCGATACCAATGCGGACCCTTGAAGGCAATCAGCGTAGCAGTTTGCCGGGTAAGGTGGGGAAATGTTGCAACGCACGCATTGATTCCGTAAGAAGCGAGCTTCTTGATATCGTCCTCGGTGCAGTAGGTGTCCCAGTGCTGACGGAGAGCCTTTTCGGACCCGGCTTGGCTATCAAACCCCCATTGATCGATCGCGTTTGTGCCGTTGAAAAGTTCCGGAGTGAGGAACGGCTCGAGAACGAGCCAGCCGCCGAGGTTGACACCGCGAAGGGTGGGGAGAGCTGCGACCGGCTGTGCGAAAGTCTCACCAGTAGCGGGTGAGAAGACTTGAGCTAAGGTAATGAGAAGCGCCAAGAGGCGATGAATGAAGCGCATGCTGACGACTATCCAGTAAGGGCGCGTTCGCCTAGGTATGCCGAGGGAAATTGACTGTAGTGAGAGAAGGATGACAGTACGAGAACGAGATGGTTGCTAGGCGGCTGTCGAGCAAAGCTGGACATCGGCTGCGCCTCTGAGGATCGTCGCTTCCAAATTTGGCCACTGCCATACGGAGCTATCACACGGAAGCCATGCCAATCGCTTCACTAAGCCAATGAAATGGAATGGAAGTGATTCTTGCGTGTCTTTGGCTTTCGAAGTCCCCGTAACATGGGCTACTAGACTGATGCTGCCATTTGTCAACGCAATACAAGCGAGCGTAGCTGGTGTTGTTCCATCTGACGAACGCGACTGGCTGCCAAAGACCAATGAGAAGGTCGTCGAAGAGCATTTGCACAGGACAATGTTTTTCAGCTTGTAGACACCTACCTGTTTTCGCCTAGGTGAGATACTCATAAACCCAACGCGACCTGATACTGCAGCAGATGACATCTGGTTTCATAGGGGGCCCACTTACCGGGCACCCGTGGGGCCGGCGTTCCTGTCGGAGGCCCAGCCGGCCTGGCAAAAAGATAGGGCGAAGATTAGACTAAAGAGAGGGTTGCAGGGTGGCGAAGGTTGCCTGGTCTTGATCTCCCAGAAGGTGGCAAAAGAATTCGATCCATTTCAAACCTGTCTCAGCAGATGCTGTACCCACATACTTCTGTGGGGAGTTGTGGTCCATGTCTAAATGCTTTTGTATAATTTCAAACCCCCTACTATATCCGGATATCTGCTTCGAATTCCCGTGCAGGGAGTGTAGCGCCATCGGCGCGACATGGGGTACATCATCTGCAACTCATAGTCACTGTAACCCGGATCTCACGATAAGAGCCGTGATTGGCGAACAGCAAAGATCACCCACACACCTGCTTGGATTTGCGAGGAAAGTGAAGAAGCGCACCGAGCCGTATTGGGCAATAGCACGGCGGCGGTTAGGGCCCCATGCCAGGAGCCGCTCATCTCATTCGAGACCCGGACGATATATACGAGAGCACCGGGGAGACCTTGTGACGGCGACAGGCGGGCCTTTTATGCAAGCTTCCAGTACAAGGCGACCGGGCCGCGTCACGAAACCGGGTGACAGCATGACTCGGCGTAGGTCTGGCTCTTGGCCCGCTTACACGTGGGTTCCCAGCGGATTTGCAGGCACCAAGATTCGAGGTTGTTAGCGTCGCTGTCAGACGTTGTCGCTTGGAGAGCAGGGGAACAACAGTTTTTCCGGACAGGCGCGCGCGCCCCGGACACGGCACAGCTGCAGGGTGTGGGGGGCTGCGAGGGAGGCGGGAGCGCTTTGGGAATGAAACCTGGCGAGCACCATGGACGGCAGCCTCTGTGGCTGGCCCCGGTGTTGTTCGCTGAGGAGAGCAGCCATGGGTCCCGCCAGTCACAGGCCGGGGCGGGCGACAATCGCGACGCGCGAAAGCGGCACGTGAAGGTGCTGGACGCAGCTAGTCCCAGAACGGCACGCAGGTGTGGTGCGAAGTGGAACACGGAGGTGGTATCCAGCAGGCCAGGGCGAGGAATGGCGGTATCGAGCGGCCACGAGACCACAGGTGCATTTGCAGTGCAGATGAGAGCAGTAATCTTTGCGCTGGGGGGCTCGCAATGCTGAGGCGGGCAGACAATGCATCGCGACGCGGGTGGTTGGCGCGGGCGCCGCTCTTGCTTGCCTCGGCCATCCATGCGCCGCCGCGCCCGCGTGAGCCCTCGCTGAAGCCGCGCATAACTGGCAGGTGCGTCGCCGCCAGGCCAGATATCTCGAGCGCTCGATCGTTCTGCCGTCCTGACGCTTGCGTAGGTAGGCGCGTTCCCGACCCGCCCGGCGCCGATACGTCCCGGCACCCTCCCAAGTTGCAAGGGTTCGCTCCGCGCCCCGCCCGGCCACTCTTAGCTCGTCCTACCGCCCACGACAGTTAAAGCGCCGTCGCCCCAGATCACGCGCTTTCTCATCAACTTTGTCAGGTGACAATTTCCTATCCGCAGCATACTCGAATACCATCGAAGGACTGCTCGTTGAAGACGCAGCATTTCGACTCTGCGCCAGCTCGCCTCTCACACCCTCGCCGCCCGCCGTCCGCGCTCTCCGCTCCGTTCTGTCGCCCGTCGTCGCCTCGAACGCGTTGCGATCACGGTCTCTCGCTGGACGGACCAAGGCTGCCGTTAGTCAGCGGCCTCACGAAACATCAAAGCGGGTAAGTCTCCATCTCGTCGACACGGCCTTGGAGCTTTCCTGGTCGCGCCCTCCGAGCCCGCCGCCTGCCGCAGCTGTCGTCGCCTGCCGCTCTGTGCCCGCCACCCGCCCCGCCGTTCGAGCCATGTTGCTGCCCGCGGCCGCGAAGCTCGACGCGCATTCCTCGCAACCACCACGGCGCGTCTGCCCGCCACAGCGAGCTGCCCTCGCGCGCGGATGCACGCCGCCGCAAAGAGCCTGCCGTGTGAGTGGCAGGGGCCATGGCACAGCTGCTCTTCAAGCAATTGACAGCTCGGTCCCACAGCGACGAAGCAATCCACTCGCGCCAATCGGACGCCCGTCTGCCTTGACGTCGTACTGGGCTCTTTGCTGTAGGACACGTGCTGACATTCAACACTCACCAGGCCTCTAATAGTGCCCTTCTTCCCCTTCGAGCTCTGTGCTCTCGCTTGATTCCTCTTGCGGAGCCCCACGGTCGAACAGTCGTCACCATCCGCCGCAAAGCCCTTGTCTGTAGCTCAGCCTCCAACCACCTTGTGCCCCGGAGCTTTGCATCTGCGAACAAGCGTCTGTGCTTCCAAAAACGCCTTATCTTGGGCAAGAACACGCGGCACAGGATCCAGCCTCAATCGTCTATCCAGCTGTTCCACGCCGGCTGCCTGCATACCGTCCCTGTGCCACCGCCGCAGCATCAGCTTATAACTGCCTCTGCGCTTTGCGTACGACGCACTACTGTGCAGCCTGTGCTTTGAACTGCTGCCGACAGCTCCGCTGACGGTAGAGACCAACGTAAACCCAGAAACGTCTAAACGAACAGCACCAGCATGACCGACGTCGCCACGTACCCTGAAGCCGAGGCCAAGCCTGAGGTTCCGGACACGACTTCGATGCAGAACAACAAGAGGAAGCGTAGTTCCCTCGACCAGGGTCCTACCAGCGGCAGACCTGCTCCTACCGATGCCACCCGCACGTCATCCTTCCAACGTGTATCACCAGGCTCGGCAAACAGTACTGGAGTGAACGACCAGTCGGGCACTGCTTTCCTCACTGGCCATCATGGCACCGGAACGGGCGAAGACGACATCCACCAGCACACCAACGCTGACATCGATTTCAGCCAGCTGGCACAGCACACAAACGACCACAGCCTGCACCAGAACGGTAGCGGAAACCCCACCAACGCTAGCGACACAGCTGCAGCTGCCTTGTCTCATCATTTCCAGATGACGGTCCCGCAGGCCACTGAGCTGTCTTTCCAGAACCAAGGAGCCGGGGGCGAGGGCGATAGGACCCTTGGAAACTCTTTCGGCATGGGTGACCACGGCATGCATCAGACATCCCACGGAATGACTGATTACGGCCTGGATGCTCTAAACAAATCGAATACTCAGGGTGGTCAAGGAAACGAGTCCCCGCCGACCCAGGTCAACCAGAAGCCGGCAGTAGGCTCCGAGGAGTGGCACAAGATTCGTAGGGATAACCACAAAGAAGGTTCGTGGGCGAATATGCCGTTAACGTGGAATTAAGCTAACACGTCGTAGTGGAGAGGCGCCGCCGTGAGACGATAAACGAAGGTATCAATGAACTAGCCAAGATTGTCCCCGGTTGTGAAAAGAACAAGGGCTCCATCCTTCAGCGCGCCGTTCAGTTTATCACACAGCTCAAGGAGAACGAGTCTCAAAACATCGAGAAGTGGACGCTGGAGAAGCTTCTGACGGAGCAGGCCATCACAGAGCTCAGTGCTAGCTGTGACAAGTTCAAGGCAGAATGCCAGCGCGCCTGGGCCGAAGCCGAAATATGGAAGAAGGCCTGCCAGAACGCCGGCATTGTACCGGAGGAGTTCCAGAACCAGGGCGATAAGGCGGATCAGAACGGCGACAGTTGAGACGACTGCTGCTATACGTGTCCCAAGAAGATAGACGGCACTCGAACGAAGGAGATGTGATTGCATGTGGCCTTGCTCTCCTTAAGCGGCCTCCCACATCTCTTGCTATGGAATGACGGCATGAACGACCTTCTCATGACTGTTTTCCTGGATTCTCTCCCTTTCTTTACTCAGCCCCATGTAGGGATTCTGACATTTTTACTTCTGCACAACATTCAGTCGCGATACTATGAAACGCTTTGTGACTATTTTCTACGGTGTATTTCTGGTATGCTGCTTGGGTTTTCATGGTTCTGGAGGATTCGTCTTCGGAGTTACTGGTGGCGGAGGGTCTGAGCTTCTTTGCACATAACATGAGAGTCTTTCCTACTAGCTAATCCATGAGGGACTTTGGGTGGCTACCTGAGTCTTAGACTTCTCTCATGTACTTCTATCGCACTACTTAGCAGTTCATGTTTTGGCTATCCTTAACCTCTGTCCCAAGTATCATGCTCTGTCCCTCCAACGCTTCATTATTTTTTGAGCTTCCAATTTGACTGGCATTACAGCTGCAACAAGCCACAGTGGAGTCCCGGTGTATATTCCGCCAATCCTTGAACCTGCAAGTCAACTTTGCAGCCGCGCACATCCATCCGAGACATCTCCGGCTCATCCAACCAATGCTTTGCTCGCAAAAACAATCAAAGTTACTTCTTTTTCCTCCTCTAACTCCACTGGATGATGTCTTAAGTGCATCTACGAAAACTGACATCATGTGATAGTTAGCGCTCACAAGACCACCAGCCTCCCCCGTTCACAGGTCTCGCCCTTTCATCCAACGCGTCAGACCCGGAACGATCCGTCTACCTGATCCAAAATCCCCGGGGAAAAAAAGGTGTAGGAGGGGAACATACCTTTACTGTCATCTTTGAGATACAGACTTACCTCGAGAATCTCGAGCACAACTCTTTGCTGACGAATGATCTACACGCGCTGCGGTTTACATGGATAAAAGGCATGTAGGCGAACAGGCAGCACACGCGTCGTTGCGTCACGCCGTGTTTCTACCTGTTACACTTGATACTTCCTGTCTGCCTTCCCACACAGCCAGTCAGCCTTGGAGGCCGCACAACCATTTGCCCTCACGAATCCCCCGAGTCACCTGGGCGCAAGCCACACTTTCTGATTCTCTTGTCTTTTCCCGGTGAGACGACACTCGTCATCTTGGTGCCTTGTCCAGATCTTCACGCTCCGATTTCTCGGGGGTTCCTGGCGGGAATCTTGCATAGTGATGCCACATGATCTCTATCAATATTTTCGCATTCACGCCTTGACCTAACCGGCTCGACTACGTACTCGTATAGCACTGCATCAATACTGCTGTGGGCTAACGCCCCTGCAGTGCTGGCGCTCTATTGTTCCGAGTCCAGGTTTCCACCAGCATATGTCAAGTCAAAGACATCGATCCCCTCCATTCCTTTGACCCGACGGTCTGGGTTTGATTCGATCAGAATTCAATCGGAGATTCTTACACGCTTCTGAAACTCTGTCTGTTATTTGCATTAAACAGTCCGAATTCCCGGGTCGGACATTTCCAGGAATATGGCTTTTCTAACCCCACCTGATGGCATAGTTCAAGACAGGCCGCGTCATCCATGTGCCATTGTCTTCAGGGTCAGACATTTCCTACCCCAAGTCCTGGTTCTTAGCACATGCTTGCTGCATAGCGAAGTGTTGGTATGTACTCACTGACTTCTATCGAACCTCGAAATCGGATTAGTGGAGATGACAAGCCGTATGCCGCATTTTCATGATGGTGGTGATGAAATAGCTTACTGCGTTTGGTGTGACTTTTCGATATGTTTTGGAGTTTTTCTTTTTTTTTTCTTTTTTTGCCTTACAGCTGATCTCGCTCGGAATTCCAAAAGTTTCGCAGTATGGAGTCTTCGTACTTGCTCGCACAGAGTAACCTCAACATTGATTGCACGTGTATACTGCATTTTGAAGCTCTATGATTGAGCATTGGCGCCAGTTCTGACTCGGCGGGTCTGATTGTCTCGCCTTTGACTTCAGGACATGTGCGATTCTGCGGATTGGCTCTTGAATCTGAATGCCTCACGATCTATGCTCAAGCTTGATTTTCGTGGCTTAGGATCACGCAGTTTCTTTGTTGATAGTAGAGAATAGAATACTCCTATACGTAGGAAATTTCTATTGAAGTATTCATGTACAGCTCTGCACTTTTTAACCAATCCTGCCAAGCGCTCCTACGTGATCATTTGAAGTGTTGGTTTTTCAAGAGGTAAAATTGCGGCCCGGTAAAAAAATATACACAGAAATGAACTCTACACCATAGAAAGCAGAGATGAATGAAGGAAGCTGGCAATATGGAATTTTAGAAGCATACAGGATGGCACAGGTTTATTCAAACAAAGCGACTGACCATTGGGTGAGTGGTATGGTATTTGCCTCCTTTCAGCATGTTATTTACTACTACGTTCGATCTTTGCTAGTACTTGGCTTCTGGTAGCGTACATATTCTGCATTGCCTACAAGCATCTTATAGACTATCCTCTGCATTTTCTTCAAAGGTTTTACAAAATGTAAAACATTAGAGTGACAACAGCTATACACAAGCAACTAAGAACGTTCTTCTAAGTGCCATATGCGCGCTTCAACTCAATTCCAAAATGTAATCCACGGACGAGTCAGTCTCCAAAATGATGGCTTCTAGTAACAACAGAACGGTACCTCCCGATGGCTTTCATTGTTGAAGATCGAAGGGCCGCACATAGTATTTACCTAATTGAGAAGGGCCTAATCAGGCCTAGTTCCACTCCAGTGTACATAGTCTCTGCTAGTCGTCAAGCCCCTTAGAGGGTCAATCTATTATGGTTTTCAACTTCAACATTCATTACCTTGCTTAAAAGAAATGTGTTAGGAAGGAACAAAGGTACGGACGGAAAACCATTCCATGGCGTTCAACAAGTCAGGACGTTCCAGCTTGATGCTACATCGCCGGATCTCAACAAGGAGAACCGGCCCCCGAAAAACGTAATATTGTCAAGTAGACCTGTATTGTAAGGTCACTAGAACAGTTATCATTACCAGCCGATCCCGCGCCGACAACTGTCTCCAATTACTCGCGAGTTGTGTCCGGCGAGGTTGTCCATGTGAGAACATTGAATTAATGAGCTGGTTGGCCATAGTCATGATGTCGAAAAAGGAAAAAGAGTTCACAACAAACATCGAGTACTTAAACCTTGGCTTGCGGAGTGGCCAAAACCTAACATGACTTACTACAACACATAGGCTGCGTGAGTTTCACTTCTATCCGACAGATGACCCCCACCGGTAGTTGCAATATCACGGAGTTGTCTCAACGACTACTACAGCTACTCGCGCTTCTTGTCTTGCGCAGAGACAAATGTCGGCACCTGACTTGACACTTACGTTTTCCGATGTTGTTCGAGTCAAGAAAACTTCTCAAAATAATCAAATCTGAGACAAATGAATGATAGAGTACACTGGTGACCGGTAACAAGCCACCGTTGTCTCACTGTTTCGGACATCAACAATTCACAACCGAAAAGTCATATTTCGTTACTTTAGTAGGATTGACCTTGGTGAGCTCTCCCCCTCGCGTTTATCGTGCAGGCTCTGCAATGTTTTGTCTTAAGAGCTAGGGTAGATTACATTCAGCACTAGGCTGTCACATGAAAATATACAATCAAGGGCACATTGGTTTAGGTACAATAGAAGCATCTCATTTCGCATTTCGAAAAGCTAAACCATGCAAACTTGTTCGACTAGTCAGGGTGAGCCACTTGTTGAGAAATGCGGCTATGTTGAGATGGACCACTGTGTTGTACAGAGGACGTATTGCAGCCTACCTCAGCTTCTTTTACCCCACGAGGAACGACATCTATAGATAGTGGAAGCTATCCTCCGGTCGCGGGTATATACTTGCCAATGCCAAACTTACATCCGGGTGGTAACTACAACACTGTATGAAGTGAGTGAACAGAAAATTCATGTGGTACCATTCTGTATGGGACCTTGATGTACCTGTTGGAATGCGTTGAGGAGATTAAATGCTCAGTGGCGAGGAAGGGGCAAACCGTGGCACAACAAGCCTCGGCCCTCTCTGACTGCCATATTCATTACAACATCAATTCCTCATTTCTTCTTCCGTGAAACCGACGCCTTTCTTCTCTTCCCTTTTCCCTTCGACCGGAATGGTAATGCCAAGTATTTGGCATCTGGTAGGTTCTGCGAGCAGTGCTCTGCGGGCCGACTCTACCAGTCTTTCACATGTTTTCACTGTCAATGAGGTAAGGTAGAAGAATTCGCTATGTGACCATACTACAAGACACATACCGCCAAGATAGTGAACTCGGTCATTCTCTGGCCTCGGAAGAGTGAAGCATGATCGGAGAGAGAGAGGAAAAAAAAACCGAAATGTCCCTCACGCTACGATATCCCGGAACCAGAGAATCGAAGCAAGAGTGGAACCGGGGAATTAAAAAAAAAAGCATAGCGTCCGTGCCGGAGGCGGCACCGGTCGTCGAAGCGCTGGCGGCCATCGGGAGTGACCCCAGCGCCGCCGTTCTTCCGCATCGGCCCGGCGCCAAAAACGGGATCACGAGGGTACAATGCACGGAAAGATCACGCACGCACGTGGGCGCAATCTGTTGTGCATTACTAGGTAGGCGCCCGGGTGGACTAGCAGCTAGTGGCCGAGAAGGAACCACAGCTGACCGGTGACCCTCTTTCCCCACTACCGCGACTGGGACCGGCGTTCCTTTGGGTACTTGGTACTAGGCAACGGGTCCCCCATGGGGGAAGCGCCACGCGCCAGAGCGCATGCTTGTTCCTACGTTCGCTGTAGCGGTACCTTTGGGCACCGCGCAGAACTAGAACTGCCCGGCCCTCGATGTAGCATGCTGCTACTTCTGACCGCCTTGTAGTCAGTGGGTCTTCCAGCAGCGAAATTCTTCTCAGCCACGATCTTAGTAGAAGTTTGGGCTGATCGAGGCAGCTCCGTTGTCGGCATCGAGGTTCGGACGGTGTCGGGGATGCGTGCAAAAAGCATAGCTTGGCGCTATAGGTTGCGGAGCGTGATGTGTACCTTCAGGTGCTGACTGACCACGGCAGATGTTGGCCATGTGCCTTTCGTTAATTTAATCCAAGACCCTATTTCTTCTGTCGCATGTCGCATGTGGCGACAGGGAACAGCCAATGAGACAAGCAGTGCACTACCGAACGGTGTGGTAGGACAAACAGAAGCAAACAGACGTCATACCTTGCGAGAATCAATGCATCTGGGCCTTTACTGCTCACCACTTGTGTAATAATGCTCCTTTCGGGCCATGCAGCCACATTTGCTTTTTTTTTTTTTCCCCCTTCTCACGGCCCACGTACCGCAAGGCCGTCAGTCATCTCCTCATCCGACCAAAAAATCCACACTCCCTTTTCGTTGGGCTTTCAGCCTCCTCCTCCTCCTTCCCATCAGGCGCGCAAAAATCCTCCACCTCAGGCAAACAAGACCCCGCCGGTCAGGCGGCCGGCGGGGGGTGCGCGAAGCTAACGAAATAAGCATATAGCTTAGAGACTTCCCGCCACGCACGCGCTCCCTTCTCCCCCGCACCGCAACAAACTACAACCGTGCACGCACTTCACGACTCATTTCAAGCTTAAGCCTTGGTATATATTGCGCCATTAGCGGTGGCGCATGGACAGGGTCGGGTATAAGGCTAACAAATGTAACCCCGTCCCACGCCCCTCACATCATATGATGACTTTGCTTCATCGGACAGCTCAGCGCGCGATCCTTTTTAATTTATTTCTACACTCGGGTCTCGTGCAGGGTTGGGAAGTAGTGGTGAGTGAGTGAGGCGTGTTGTAGGGCTGGAGAGGGGGAATCGACGACCAACGCACATCACGCGGGCAAAGGAAACGTAACATTTCTTTCTTGTCTCTGTGTTGTTCGAAATTCTGGTGGCGCTTCGGCGAGTTGACTGTTTTGAGTAGTTAGCTACAATGTGGTTTGCCCACCCCTCGGGCCGGTGGCTCGTGGCGACCGGTCATTTGCTCAGGGCTACGAGTGAGAGAGGCAGGCAACAGCATCGCACAGCAGCGTGGTATATCGAAAGGAAAAATCGAAAAAAGGTGTGCGACATCATCGTACTTCCGCCTTGATTTTTAATTGTCTTTCGAAAGGCGCAACGGCGATCGGCGTCGGCAATTCCTCAACGGGAAATGAAGGCGATTCGGCGAGCAAAAAAGCAAGTAGAAGCGAAGATGTGATACTGAGATAAACTCAAACCCGAGCGAAAGGATTAACTACAGCGCATCCCCCGCCTGATCGGCGCGAAACGAGCGGCAGTTACACATCCTCACTAAGCACCCAAGCTTCGGCGATTACGCTCCAAAATGGAATGAAAAGTACGTCTCCTATGCATTCTTCTTCGCCATCACTTCAACAAGGTTGAAGTGATTGCCAAATGTATAACACTAGAAACTACAAACAAGTACGTATGCTCAAGCGACTGTCGTCGGGTATCGTCCGTACCGCGGTCATGACAAGGAAAAAAAAGTTCAAAGCAAATAAGGGGGTATCAGCATCGCCGTGCCGCTCGAAGAATAAAACCCAGGATCCCCGGACGTTCGCAGACGCGAGACGTCCGAATAAGAATGAAGAAAAGGTATAATGCCAAGAGAAGATCCTCACCGACCCAACAACCGACCCTCACATGCAAAACCCATCCCCAACCCATGCAAGAAGGATCAGAAAACAATAATGCTCCTCGCTCGTCTGAGAAAATGCTGCAAAGGTAACAGCGGAAAGGAGAAAAAGTGAAATGCACGATGTCGTCACTTCGTCAGCGCTGCGAGCCCTATTGCTGAGCAGCAGTGGTCAGCCACTGCTGCAACAGCGGAAGGATTGCAGCGTATGCGCGACCTTTGCGGAAAAGGTCCGCTCCCCCGCAAAAAGCGGCCGAATGCGGTAGGAAAGCCAGATCTCGACCCCGCTTCGAAGAAGAGTCACTTCTCTCTCCCTCCCCGGTCAGACAGGGAAGAAAAAGAGTGGGGACTTTTGTTCTAGAGTCGTTCTTTTGGGGCCGAAGCGTGGTAATAGGCCGAAGGGTAGACATCGCGCCGGATCGAAGAAGAGCCGTACCATGCGCGCATGCTACGGCTCCTTCGCGGTCATATGACCATGAACGTGTGGAAAACCAAAATGAAATGATGCCGGAAAAGGAAATTCGTGACTGCGTGATCGTGCTTCTCGTCCTCGTCTTCCCACCGCTCGCCCCTTAGGCTTCGGCGTTGGCGAAGTTGCCCTCCCACTTCAGGGTTGCGGTGTACATGGCGCGGGTGTCGGAACCACCCGGGTTGTACGAGTGGAAGACAAGGTGAGTGGCGTCACCGGCGATGCTGGCGCCACCGGGCGACCAGAAGCCGTGCTTTCCTTGAGAGACGAAGAGCGGGCCGTATTTGGTGTACGGGCCGGAAACCTCTGTTGATATCACGCGTTAATATACATAATTTCGTGGGTCTCGCCCACGCCGGTCCCAATGGACTGGCGTGTATGCAACGTGGTGGAAATTTGATATTAGAAGCATAGGGGAGAAACTTACTGTCTGCGATGGCGTACGTCACGTCGTAGTTGATCGAATAGAAGCAGTTCGAGCTGAAGAACAGCACGTACCGGCCATCGGGCAGCTTCGCGATGCTGGGAGCCTCAACGAGCGGACCATCGTTGTCGTCGCGGTCAAGGACTTGGTAAGGGCTGCCGATCTTGTCGATACCGTTGCCGGCGACCTTCTGTTGCATGATGGGCGTCGAGTGAATGGGAGGGTTAGTGTTGCCACAAACACCACCATTGCCAAGAGCGTTGCCCTGTTACACAAATAGATCAGCATAAGCCTTGATTGGAGGGGCGAGCAATTGAGGCTGAAAGTAAGATTATAAGCAACTCACGTCAATCTTGTAGGTAACGTAACGGGAGCCATCAGAGTCAAGGAAACCAGAGGCATCGATAGCGCCACCCTGGTCGAGCGGGCAGACCCAAGGGTCGGACTGAGGGGTGTAAGGACCCTCAATGTTGTCCGAGGTGGCAACACCAGTGCAGTGAAACTTGTCGTTGCGCGAGGCAGCGAAGTACATCACGAACTTGCCAGCATCCTAAACGAGCATTCGTGTCAGCATCATTTCCCAATTGGGAAGCAGGGATGAGGTGAGAGTGCATACATTCTGGATGACATCGGGGGCCCAAACGGCGGGGTTTGCGGCGTAAACCCAGCCAGGCAGGTTGGGAAGAGCATCCTTGCCCAATAATGTCCAGGAGTTGAAGTCGGAGGACTTAGCAATTTGCACATGAGTGCTGCCAGAGCCGTCGTTATTGTTCGTGGCAAACGAGTACCAGGTGTTGCCGACGCGGATGATAGAAGGGTCGGGAAAGTTTGAGCCGATGACGGGACCGGCTACAGCACGCTTCTCTACTGGAAGTCCACTGACAAGAGAGGATATCGACAGCAGTGCGGTTGCACCGAGGGCGGAAAGGGAAGGCAGCATCTTGGATGTATGTGCGAGAAAATACAAGAAGGGAAGAGATATATACTCTGCGAGCAAGGGAGTCCAGGCCGATGCGAAGGGCTTGTGGAATGAGGGACATTGACGGAGGACAGCAGGAGCTTATAAGTACTTTGACAAAGAGAGAGTGCATGCAGAACGCACCCAGTTGCGCCGCTTACGAGCGGTGGAGAGGTCAGCGTGCAAGAGGCCAACTGAACACCAAAATAGATCACGGGGCGCCAAGCATGTGGAAATTGAGCATTGTGACCGTCTTGACCGGCCTAGGGATGGAAGCGGACTCGGCGCGGTGACTTGGGCGGTGGAGGAGTCTGCACCGCGGCCGAGGCCAAGCAGCATCCTCCAGGGCAGGGCCATGTGGCAGTGACGGCCATGCCATCCTCCGTAGCACTGCCGAGCAGGCGGGCAAGGTGTTTGGCTGACGCGCAGAGGCCAACAAGGTCTTACTTGAGCGGCGGGTCCCCACTGATATTGGCTCGGCTGCTGTTGCTGCAATGCTTGGCTGTCTCAGGGATGTGGATGCTCGCCACGGCACGACATGGAGGCAAAACTTGCTGGAGGCGGTGTATGCATGTTGCTCGAGAGAGCGGGTGACGGCAAGGGCTGGCGCGCCACGCCGCCATGTGCCTGAGCAGCACGCGGGGGAAGAAGATGGTAGAGGATCCCGTGAGCAGGTGCAGGCCGACTCGAACTTAGCTAAGCTCCGCCCAACGACGAGACGCCCCGCTGATCGCCGGCAAGGCTGAGCCAGGTAAGCAGGCGGTGGCAGCGGGCGATCTAGGAATCGGGGCAGGCCTCCCGGAAAGTGGCTCCTTTTGCACGAGCGCGCATCATGCCGAAGTTTGCGCCGAGTCGACGCACCGCATGCAAAGCAGCCCATTCTGCAGGCATGTCCGGCACGAGAACCACAGGCGCCTCAGCCGCGGCCAAGCTCAGGCAGGCGCCGTCAATGCTGCTTGATGCCGGCGAAGGATCCGGGCAGCCACTCGCCGCTCCCATCAGCCACGACTGCGATCCGCGCAAGGAGATTTGAGCGAGCGGGTGGGTACCAGTGGGCGTGCGGCACAAGGATTCGGGGCGGTGCAACGTTCTTTCGCTGTCTGACAGCATCCCGGGCACCATGACATCGACCAACAGCCCTGAGCACGTCTGTGGGCGCCTCGTCGAGCGTATCACCAATGACGACGCCTCCCAAGCACCTCAGGAACAACGCATGCCAGAGCTCTGCACCACTCATGCGCTGTAAGCACGGCGCGCTCTGGTCGGAGGGGGCTCGGCCTTGGTCCAAGCAGGCAGCCATTGTCGAGAGTGAGAGGGGCACAGGGGCAAGCGGCGATTCTGACAGCGGCGATAGCCGAGAAGAATTTTGCGGTCGGCGTGGGGTCCGAAGAGATGGAGGTGAGGTGTAGTCGGTCGTTCGTCGCGGGCGGCGAAGCGAGTCATGGCCCGGTGCCTCGTCGCCTGGCGCCTGCGTCAGTCGGTCGGTGCGCGCGAGCTGCTCGAGGTGTCCCACGTCGGACAGCAGCACCCACCACCACAAACATCTCCCACACCGGCGCAAACAGGCACGCCCGACTGCGCGCCCGCCCTGCCCCTCTCACGCCTAGCCAATCCAGCCGTGTCGTCCACATGCCGCCCTAAGCCGCGCCCCAGCAGCGCGCTGGCTGTCTCGCGACCGCCTTCACTACCCTCGTCCGTACGAACGCGACCGTACCACCATGGATCCGTCTGCTGCCGACATTCCCGTCTCCGACCCAGCTGAGGCTGCGTCCGACAATGCGCCTCAGGTGCCTGTCGGTGTCGACGAGGCCGACATGATGGCCCTACCTCCGGATCCGGCCGCAGACCCGCAACTCGAAGAGACAGCCGTCAAACCGGGGCCCGACGCGCCCGAGCAGCAGAACCTGGATGGCTCCCAGCCGCAGCCCTCTGCCGACGGCGTCGCTCTGCCCAAGCGCCCCGGCCTCAAGCGCGAGAAGTCTGCTCCCGCCCCGCAGCGTCTTCCGCCGCCCGCTCCCCCCGCCCCGCCCCTCGAGCCGGGCCACCAGCCCACCGATTCCCTGTCGCTGCTGCAGCTGAAAAAGCTGGTCACCGACATGCCCAAGGTCGAGCCCACTCCCTACGCATTCGAATACGAGGACGCCGCTTCATTCGAGGTTGAAATTGAAGAATGGTTCTCCTACAGCGTCGAGGAGCAGGCAATGCTACTGAAGGCCCAGGCTTCTTTCGTCGAGGAATGGGTCGCCCTCGAGGATGGCACGCTATCAAATTTGGCTGCCTATGAACAGGGCGAGATGGACTGGGTCAAGGCCGACCCCGCGCTGAGAGACCAGCTCACACGTAAATTGATTTCCAACCTGGCGCAGACCGACAACAAGGAAATGCGGTTGCGGAGCCTGGAAGCTCTGGTGTATATTGCCCTGGGCTGCTGGCATGAGACTGCTGGGCTCGAAACGAGCACGTCTGCTGCCGAAGAAGAACAGGCCCCATCTTCACCGGCCAATGATGCCGGCAAGCCTTCAAGTTACGTCAAGTCAGAGGTGCAAATAGACTGGATTCGCAATGGAGTTCAGATGATTCATGAGTGTGACGGCATTCGACCCATTTATGATGTAGCCCGTGGCGCCTGTCTGCGCGAATTGTGAGTTGATGTCCGCCTTCTTCCTCCGCCTGCAACTAACGTGGTCCAAGCGCAACCGACGTCGTCGAGCAAGAGATCGCCCCGCAAGAGGACAAAGACTCTGACAGGAGAGAGCTGTGGTGCTCCCTTACTCTTATGCACATGTTCTACGAAGTTGCCCGCACTGAGCAGCAGCCCTCTCGTCTCTACGAAAGTCTTAGTAAGCCTCTTCAAACCACGCCATCTCCTTCATATCCATTGACTCCCCTTCGCAGCTCACTTAGATCCGAACGTCGTTGTGTTCATGATCGAGATTATCACGAGTTTACGATGGGATGATTCAATTGGTCCTCCGCTACACAAGGTAAGACCTAGTTACTGCGCCAGTATAAACCTTGCATTGACATATGACAGATTCTTCTCCTAACCTGGAAAGCCATGCTGGTGAACTTTGGCGGTCTCAAAGAAGTCGAGGAGCTAAAGGCAACTTTCCGCGATCCAAAAGAAGAGACCGCAGACAACCGCGGCCAGCCTATCATCACAGCGTCCCCCCTTGACTATCACGTTTTCCGCCAAGAAATCAGTTCCAAGTACCCGGCATACAACCCACCACAACCCCTCTTCCCGCTGGAGCCCGAGAACAACTCCATCCTGCCGCCCTTGAAGAACCACCCTAGCAAGGTCTCAGAAGCGAATTCCTTTGGCCCTGGCATCTCCAATGTGGGCAGCGGAACTTCGATCCTACATCAGCCCGTTCACATTGCAACTCCAGCACCCTCGCCACCACCGTCACCTGCTGGCCCTGGAGGCAAGGGAGGGAAGAAACAGAACTACCAGACCAACCAACTTTTCCCCTTCCTGTATCCACCCCTGGACGAATCTAGTAACAACCTCGGTGGTAAGGGCTCGACTGACCTTCAAGACATGCTCGTCGGACGAAAGTGGGAAGGGAGTGACATTCCTACATCCATCATCGAAGCTGCAGAACTGTTTGCCAAGAGGATGCGTGCCACGCGGGCAATGAAGCAGCTCTGGGAAGAGCGCGTACTTTTCATGAAGTACGAGCGTGGGTGGACAGGCTCTGACAACGACGTCGATCCGTTCGACCTCAATGGCAGGCTTGAAGGTCTCGTGCTCGAAAAAGAGAAGGTTGATGATCGAGTCGCTGCCAAGCTTGATCAAGTTGAGAAGTTTTATGTAAGTATCCCTGGTCCGACACTGGTTCATTGTTGCTAATATGGAAAAGGCGACTGTCCTTCCGCACTTGCAATCGTTAGTGATTGTCCTGCTCAGGACCTTCCTTTCTCACTTGGCAACACTTGCACTGCAGAACAGCAACCTCAACGCCATGTCCGCCGGTGGCTTTCAGGAGAATCAAAGCAGCAACCCAATGAACAAACCGGATAGTGGCCTCAACGGGACTTTGCCCGACATTTCAAAAATTCCGCTTGAGGACCTGGACAGAATGAGGATGGAGGAGATTCAAGATAAAGCTGCATCCGGCATTCTTATCCTGCTCCTGAAATGGTTCAAGCTGTCTCACGTGTTGAAGATGGAGTATCTGACACAATTGCTGGTGGACTCCAACTACATCCCTCTGACCCTCAAACTGCTCCAGTTGCAGGAGATTGAGAAGGTCATCAACTACAGATGTGATAGAGAAGACCTGAGTTTCTTCACCTTCTGCCGCACACACTCCCGTGAGGGTGCCAAGGAAGGAGGCCCCATCACCGAAGCACCACCTGCAGAAGCTGATGATGAGCCCGACGAGGCGGCACCCCCACCCATCAGGCGGCGCCACTCCGACGACATGCTCGCTGACGAGCACCAAGACCTCGCCGACGAAGCCCCTGGCGACGTCGGCGCGTCGTCCTCTCCAAACAACAACATCAACGGCAACGGTGGCGGGCTCAACAACACGACCGGCCTGCCCGAGGTCGACGAGCTGGGCATGCCGCTCAACCAGCTGCCGCTGGAACCCATCACGTCGTTCTCGTGGCGCAACTTCTTCACCAACATCAACCTGGTGCGCATCATGCAGAAGGTGTGCAAGGAAAAGGCGCACCGCAACCTCATGCTCGTGCAGTACAAGTCGTCGCAGTACCTGCGCAAGGCGCTGAAGATCCCGCAGCCGGAGCTGCGCCTCTACACGCTCAAGCTGTTCAAGAATCAGGTCCCTTACTGCGGCCGCAAGTGGCGCCAGAGCAACATGCGCGTCATCACCGCCGTCTACCTGCACTGCCGCCCCGAGTTAAGGGACGACTGGTTGGCTGGCAGCGATGTTGATGCGGATGTGGACGAGAGCGTGCCGCTCGAGCAGGCCCTGCGCGCGCTGACGCACTGGTTTAACCTGAAGAGGTATCCCGAGCGGCTGGGTGCGGAGAGGGGCGTGCTCGATCGCGAGCAGGATTTCTTCCGCAGGGAGCTGGAGAAGATGGGGTGGTCGGCCGCGGCTATGGCGGTCGATGATGGCCAGGGGGCTTGGATGGGCGACGGGCAGGATGTCGATGTCCAGTGGGAGGGCGGTCCGGTGGATGGTGGCCAGTGGCAGGGATACTGAGCTGAGCTGAGCTGAACTAAGGCTTGGTGGGGAGGACGAATGGGAGGGAGCAGGCAGGTGGTAATGGTGGGTTGTGGGTTTCGAATTGATACCCCGGGAAAAAGAAATTGTGGATGATCGTTGTACAGCGCGGGTGAGGCTCTCTCGATGGAATGCACGAGGGCGCGTTGGCCTCGGTCCTTTTCTTCTCCTTTCCGTAAGGGGGAGGTCGAGGCGGAGTGTCTTATAGGTTTCTAATGCAAGAGAAGAATGCTCGTGCTGGTTTCTTGAAAGAAATGGATTCCCGGGTTTCGGCGACGTGGTGACAAGCGGGTGTGTGACGTTACGACCCAAGGGTGGAGAAAAGTGTGGAGATTGGGTTTCCTGGGTTCGTGTGGGTGTGGTGACTAGTTTCTGCTGTTGATGTTACTAGTGTCGTGCGCTGTTGTGGAAGGCACATGATGCTGACATGGTTTGTTTGGCGCACCATCATTGCTTTAAAAGACGGACCGGGCCGTCTGTCTCCTTGCCTTCACTCTCAACTTCTGCAAGTATCGTGCGTTGTATGCTTGTAGCTAACGCAAGAGAAACAGATATCTACTGCGCGCTCGCTTCGGCGCCTCCGCAAGATATGTTGCCACTCGTATCATTGCTTGCCATACCGTTTGACTTAATGTGAAGTGTAGCTTGCCACTTTTGTTTGCTGAAGAAGACAATCATCAGTCGATCTTACTACTCTTCACCGTTCTGAGAAGATACGCCTGGGGTCAAAACCGAATCTCTGCTTCAGGACCTGTGCTCGAGCAACAAGAGCGAAAAAGTAAAAACCTTGCGCATGTGCCGAGCGCCCCAGTAACTCTTCTTCGATATTTGCTATTTTTGAAACAGAAACCAGTCTTGACAGACACCGACTTGCAAGCCGCAATGGTGCATTATATTCACATTCATCGGCTGAGGATTCTGCATCACGAGGGTCCGGGACATGGGAGATGGCGGGGCAGCTGTTCTGGAAAAATTTTCAGAGATAATGTGATCTGGGGCGCAGCTGATGAAAGAGTTTCCAGGGCACACGCATGGATGCCGTGCTGGCTTGGGAGGTGCACTGTGCCGGAGGCTTGGCCACTGAGGGGAGCTGTATAAAATTATGGTTCGAGTTCGCTTCGTAATCCTGTATTTGCACATAGGCCAATGTCACCTGCTAGTTGCAGAAGCATCACAGCGAAATTTACTACTTGGTTTGGTGTTGCGCGTGATTCCAATCGTTGCAGCTTCCAGGGCCTTTATATTCGCTTGGGCTCACATGAGCAGTCTCTGCTGGACGATATCATCTGGAAAAATTGAAACCCATCTTTATTTTCCCTTTCTCAGGGCCATTTTCTCAGGGCCATCTCCATCGAAATGGATTGATGATGAAGGTTGAATTCACTCTCATCAGGGCAAATAGAGCGTATCCACACACACACCACCCCGTGCCTGATTACTGTTTAGAACCCGAAACGCCCACAGTAGTGAACGAGGTCACTGAATTTGATCCACCAGTGTCTGAACCCCGCGATAAGACATATCAAGAATCCAGTCGAGAGCATCTTTTCTTTATATCTTTTCAAGGAAGCAATACCATGTTTGTCATCTGCACAGGGTCTCTGGGGCATTTCAGAGCACTACGTGCCTGTCAGGCGAGTGCACACCGACACTCGCGGGACAGTGAGAGTGAGTTAGGGTAGCTGGCTCGTGAGAGGAGCACTTGGTCTCGATAAGATCGTACCGACTATATCTTTAATGTAGCTCGCGGACTTGAACACAATCTTGATGAACTCGTCTGATCGCAATCGGATTACTGCGAGCTATATCCGTTCGATTCTGCGACTTTCCGGTCATAACACTTCAACGCTTCACTTGGCGGGCGCTTCGAGTATCTCATGGAATTTTTAGGGCCGAGCGGTCAATTACAACGTAAATGATCCTTAGCGGAACCTTTTCTTCACGAAGATCCTCACGAACTGCCAATGCTGCTGATCATCATTATCAGAGGGTAAAGCTCTATATCATCTAGCCGGAATCTCCACAAAGTATCCAGCAAGATGCGGCAAAGGAACAATGCGGTAGGGAGTGCCAGTATCACGCAAACGAGGCGCAGCCAAAGCAGAGAATGTGCTCTCCTTTAAGTCCTCTAGAAAAGAGTATCACCCGCCTAAAGCCAGTAATCCAGTATGGTCAAAGATGGCCTTTAAATAGGATGGTCCGCGGGGTTGGCTGATGCGCGCGTGGGCGGGTGCTGGAAAAGGGCGGCGCGGGCCCGAGGGGTAATTACTACGGTTCGGGTCGCGTGCAATGATACAGCACACGTGCGTACGTGTTGTCAGCCGCTGCCTAGACTTAGGGTGCGCTCCTCCAGTCACCAAGTCGGATGGTCTACTTGTTCTAACGAAAATATTTAACGTCCTTGGATGGAACGGAATCTTGTAGCCTTATGATCAAGAAAAATTACCGCGTGACCATGAGCAGATCGCAACGATACCAACACTTTGTCTGTTTGGTCTCCGGTTATACAATTTGCCTGCAAAATACCAATAGCGAGAGATGGGTCAATCAGCAATTTGTTCTTCTGCAGCGCCTCAACAAATCAACAACATGATGCGGATCTGCAGAACTTAATATGCTACTCACCATTGGCCATGAGGTAAAGTTCTGATTGCGACAGTTCTACTTCGGAAAAACTATTTTAACTGGGTATGTATCGGGCGTGGTAAGGTCCGATAAACAACGAGCGGAGCCAGTGTCCTCTGTAGCTACGATAGGGATGAAAGCAGCTCTGAAAATCTGAAAGCGTTGTGGTGGAGTTACATCGATTTCGCAAGCCATGAAAGCACGGATTTATCTGCCGCTTGCCTGCCTACACATGCCCGAAGCAGGGAGCTGCAGGTATCAGGAGCAGGCGGTATGATTCTCAGTTGCCCCTCGTGACTTCACAATACGGTCAATTATGTGGTCTTGTGAGAAGAGAGCGCAGATGAACCGTTCCTTCGTGGAGCTGGGTTGCTAATGTATCTAGGAGTTGATTTGCTGGGCGGTATGTTGTACCGAAAAAGCGAGAACCGACAGTGATCGATGAATTCCACGTTGCCCTCCTGAGGTAACTGGGAAATAAGCCAGGAACCTTCCCACTAGGCGCTTCTGGCGCGGTCCGTCACATTGTGGCCGGCAGGATTTCAAAGTCAGGCGCAACATTGATGCTGGTTTGGAGGAGCCGTTTATGCTAATCATCACTTTTGAGTGATGCCTCTCTTTGTCATCATCAATCACTTCTGATGCAGCCCCGCGGGCAATTCAAATACAATTCTGTCAATAGACGTGCTCGAGACGTGAATGATAGATCTGGATGAAGTGAGCAAGCCCTATCCGAAGAGAAGCCAGTGGATTCTTTGCAATCAGGTCTTAGCAGTAGATGATGGCTGGTCTACTTTCAGGATTTTCGATTAAACAAGGTTTTAAGGGGACATCCCATATATATATAGAGAAGATACGCAGCTCGCCAGAACAAAGTCTCATGCGATTGTCGTCGTTTACATGTTGATTTCGGGTTCAAGCAGCTGGCCTGGTCACGTCATCTGGCACTATACTTCTGTAGGGGCTTGCTGATCTTTTTTGTCGGCGGATATGAGGGTGAGCGTAGCCGAACGAACTGGAAATGAAGGTGGAACTGGAGATAATGGCGTTCGTGGGAGCGGTGCTGGGAATGAAGAGGGAAGAGTCACAGTGCGACTGAAAGATCTGATCCACTGGAACTAATTTCCATACGCATCCAAGCTTGTCACATAGGTAGCAGAAGCTACCATCCGGACGTAGATGTATATTTAATAATTCCACATCCACGTCCGGACAGTAGCTACTGCTGCCTACGTAAATCAAGTGCCGTTTCTCTCAAAGATAATTACGGAGGATCTTTTTTTTTTTGCACCTACGTGGAGGGACGTGAGAGAATAGATCCTGACGGTCTTTGATAGTCATGCAAGAGATCACAAACTAAATGATCATCTCTGGCGCGTTATCGGCCGTTGTAGTACACTAGTAGTACGGGGGGAGTATTACAGCTGAAGGCTAACGTGAATTGATTTTTCGCTCATGGCATGGGTAGTTGAAACTATCGTCCGGACGTGAATGTACAGTTATCAATTCTACATTCATATCTGGATGATAGCTTCAACGACCCGTGTTTGTTCATTTTCCTTTTTTTTTAAAAAAAAAAAAAACAAAGGGACAGAGACATAGTTTCGCTATGTTGTAGGGCCCTGCTATTTCTCGCGCTAGCCATCATCTGGAGCATCCCTCTGTACGGAGATTGTTGTTACGGACATGAAGGCTGGTGGAGAACACTCGGTAGTGTCGTTTGGAGGCTACTTGCGTGAGAGGGATGATGACGTAACTTCCGGGTCAGCACAAGCTATGATTATCTCAAAACTGGGGAACTTGGAGTAGCTGGAACATGAAAATATAAGTCAGTCGTAAAAGTTGAGAAACAGAAAGTTTACTACAGGATTTGTCAAAGCTGAGTTGAGTCTGCGGCTGCTTAGAAGGAGGAAGAAACGAAAGAGATGCCGAAAAGTGGAATGAAAGTCAGCTTTTTGTGATATGTGGCCTCACAGTCATCCATGGATGGGACACTCGCAACGATGGTACGAGGTGGGTTCGCTTAGCGTTTCCGGCTGTTGACGCGGTAACTGCACAACGTATATGTGGAGCAAGGGCATCCGTGAAATAGCTCCAATCACCTCGACTTTGTTACAATACCAAGAGAACCAGTCTTGGAATTTTCTATGGCGTAGATCGCATTACAGAAAGCTTCAGGGCACCAGTGTCGACCAAAGCTGTGAGTAAAATTAGACGTTTGTGGAAGAGATAACATTTGTCAGAGGCTGCAGCGATGCGAACCAACCACATGACTGTAGGCTGTGCTCAATACGCAATCCGCCCTGCAGGGTAGCGCAAAGATCTTGTTCCCGCCTTGGCCACAGATGCCTAGACATGGCAAGAACTCGCGCGCGGGCGGGAGCAACGGATCTTGGCGATTGTCGGCGGGAGGACTCGATAGATGGTTCCGCCGTACAACAAGCAATCGGGTCGACTTTGCCGATTTCTTGCTTCTCGCCCTTTCCCCGTTCTTGGAGGATTTGAGTGATAAGGTATGGCGGAAGTCTTGGTATTCTTGGCGAGGTGGTATGTGCATACGTTTGCGTATCTCAAGAATCTGGCGAGGGGGCCAGTAGAAAGCGTGGTAGGTAGCCAAGAAAGGGGAGTGTTGCACGAGCAAGACGTCAGCGAGGGAATGATGCTGGTTAGTTTCGTGAGTGAGACATTAAAAGCGGTTGAGAATAGCCAAGCAAACACAGAGTGCAAGGACAGGGCGCTTGGGGTCCGGCGGTGATAAGGGCGTTGGGGTTTTGGAGGGGGGCACAGGTGGCGGGCCAAGACCAGCTTCCGCTCAGAAGGGCAGCGACTAGGCTTGTGGGAGGAAGAGTTGGAGGTGGATATGCGAGATGGAGTGACGTGCAAGTCTTGGCTTGCGCTCCGCTGCGGAAGTGAAAGCGGGACGAAGATCCCTCGCAGATCATGGTGGGTGCGTGCTTTTCCTCCGTGCGCTAGTGACGAACCGTTGGCAACGTCCATAGCAGCCGGCCGCCCTCCTGAGACGTGTTCTGAGTGGTTGCAGGGTCTCGAGGAGCCAAGGAGAGGAAACAAGCAATATGCTACCGTGTTAATAGATAGGCAAGAGGATGGATAAGAGCCGGAGGAACGAAGACGGCGGAGGTGCTGCCAAGAAACCTTGTCGAACTCGCGGTCGATCCGCCAAGCTGCAGTCAACGTTACGCGCGGAGGTAGGGGAAATGACACGAGGCGAATTGGCGAGGCAGCCAACTCTCGATCTGAAGAATGGCTTCATTTCTGATGTTTCGCAGAGCTGAGCAGGCGAGGGGAAAAGCAAGGATAAAGGTGCGGGCGTCGATAACGGCGGCGCTATCCCCGCACGCCCGGTCGTAAGTGGATCCGCGGGAGCGTCGAGACGATTGGCCGGCATCCCTGTAGCCACAGCTCCCTCTAGCGTCATGGTTCTCTGCTTGCTGTCCACGCTGCTCGGCAGGCGCCATCTGCGGCGCTGAGCCATGGGTGGAAGCGGCGCGTCGTGCAGAGGCCGCCGGGCAAGGCGTGGCAGTCGCATTGAAATGGTTCAGTATTACAAAGACGGCGAATTCGCTCAGTCAGTCAGATGATGCAGCGCGAGGTTTGAACTGGGGTGGTGCGCTAGCGGCTAGGAGGCCCAAGCTCCTGCGGGGAGAAGCTTGCGGCATTCGAGAATCTTTACCTCTCTTGAGCTTCTGGATCCTTCCCATTTTACGGTCAATTATCTCGCGCTAGGGGACGCCTATATTGCGGCGTCCACGAGAGCTGAGCGGGGCCAGCTGCGGGCGTCGATGGAGCCTCGCTGCGGTGCATGCAGCTGCAGCTTAAGCATGAATTCCGAGGCCGTGAGGGAGCAATCGGGTGCTGCGTGTATTATCCGGTTCCAGGGTGTTCGCGGCATCGTTACAGCCAGCGAGCGGCGACACATGCTTGTTGGGCGGCACGGAGCGAGGTGAGCTGCTGCGGACTGGCTGGCCAGGTGCGGAGTACCAGAGCTGCTGATTGCGCTAGCGATCGCACGCGGGATCGAAGCTCGTCGCTGCACACGCAGGGCAGGCAGAGCGCGATAGGGCTTCGCTGGTCATGCTCCCGCTCGTCATATATGCGCCCGCCCTTTTAAACCTCGCCCGCTGCCCCTCCCACTCGTCATCCGTCGCTGCCCTTCCCTCGCTCGAGCCGTGTCGCCTCCGCCGCCCGCCTCGCTCTGTTGCGCGTCGGTTGCTGTCGACCAATTGCCCACCATTGGGCCTCGGGTGCCGCTGGTAAGTTCCTCCTGCCCTGGGTGGGCCCTTGCTACCGTGGGCGAGTGCAGCAGGCGCCACTGAAAGACCCAGTCTCAAGCCCAATGCCCAGCTCCCGTTCACAACAAATAAAGCCCCACGCTTACCAAGTGCAGAACCTGCATTCCACCTCTTTCGCTCGTCTGCGCTTCTTCCTCCCGCCTTCGCCTCGTCGCCCCAGTTTTAGCACTTCATCGCCTCCACTGCATCTTAGCTGGTGCCCACCATGGCGGACAACAGCAGCTCTGAGGGTGCTGCCCCGCGCAACACCCTGGGCAAAGAGACTGCCGCCGGCGGCTACGACGAGAAAAAGCAGCACGAAGAGAAGCCAAAGGACCTGCCCGCCTCCAAGCCCGGCGGCAACTATGACGACGACGATGATGAGGAAGAAGACATGGACGCGCTCATCGCAGAGCTCGAGTCCCAAGACGCCAACATCGACCCCGAGGAAGAGGAGACCCAGCCCGGCGGTGCACGACCCGTTCCCGAAGAGCTCTTGCAGACCAGCACTGTCTCCGGTCTCTCCAACGAAGAAGTCCTCTCCCGCAGGAAGAAGTACGGTCTGAACCAGATGAGCGAGGAAAAAGAGAATCTCATTCTGAAGTTCCTCATGTACTTCGTCGGCCCCATTCAGTTCGTCATGGAGGCAAGTACAAGCTTTTACCACCCGCGCTGCACACACTGACTCTCGTAGGCCGCCGCCATCCTCGCTGCTGGTCTCCAGGATTGGGTTGATTTCGGTGTCATCTGCGCCCTGCTTTTGCTGAACGCCACTGTCGGTTTTGTTCAGGAATTCCAGGCTGGTTCCATTGTCGACGAGCTCAAGAAGACGCTCGCTCTCAAAGCAACTGTTCTCCGCAACGGTGCCCTCACCGAAATCGAGGCGCCCGAGGTTGTGCCCGGTGACATCCTCCAGATCGAAGAGGTACGTTGTCGCGCGACACAAGGTCGCCCTAATCGCCCGTACTAATGCAGCTCTTCAGGGCACCATCATCCCCGCCGACGGCCGTGTGGTCACCGAAGATGCCTTCCTCCAAGTCGACCAGTCTGCCATTACTGGCGAGTCTCTTGCTGTCGACAAGCACAAGGGTGACACTTGCTTCGCTTCTTCTGCTATCAAGCGCGGTGAAGCCTTCATGGTCGTCACAGCTACCGGTGACAGCACCTTCGTCGGTCGCGCTGCGTCTTTGGTCGCCTCCGCTCAGGCCGGAACTGGCCATTTCACCGAGGTCCTGAATGGTATTGGTGTCGTCCTTCTGGTTCTTGTCATCTTCACCCTCCTTGTAGTCTGGGTATCTTCCTTTTACCGATCAAACCCTATCGTCACCATTTTGGAGTTTACGCTTGCCATTACCATCATTGGTGTCCCCGTTGGTCTTCCGGCTGTCGTTACCACAACCATGGCCGTCGGTGCTGCGTACCTTGCCAAGAAACAAGCCATTGTCCAAAAGCTTTCGGCCATTGAGTCGCTGGCCGGTGTCGAGATTCTCTGCTCCGACAAGACCGGCACTTTGACCAAGAACAAGCTCTCGCTGGCCGAGCCGTTTACTGTCGCTGGCGTTGAACCCGAGGACCTCATGCTCACAGCCTGCTTGGCTGCATCCCGCAAGAAGAAGGGTATTGATGCCATCGACAAAGCCTTCTTGAAATCCCTGAAGTACTATCCTCGTGCTAAGAACGTCCTGTCCAAGTACAAGGTGCTGGAATTCCATCCCTTCGACCCTGTCTCTAAAAAGGTGCAAGCCGTTGTCGAATCACCTCAGGGAGAGCGCATCGTCTGCGTCAAAGGCGCTCCACTCTTCGTCCTGAAGACCGTCGAGGAAGATCACGCCATCCCGGAAGCCATTGACGAAGCCTACAAGAACAAGGTCGCCGAGTTCGCCACCCGTGGTTTCCGCTCTCTCGGTGTCGCTCGGAAGCGTGGTGACAGCTCGTGGGAGATTCTGGGCATCATGCCCTGTTCCGATCCGCCTCGTCACGACACGGCTCGCACCATCAACGAAGCCAAGACGCTTGGTCTTTCCATCAAGATGCTGACTGGCGATGCTGTCGGTATTGCCCGTGAAACGTCCCGCCAGCTTGGTCTCGGAACCAACGTGTACAACGCCGAGCGTCTTGGTCTCGGCGGTGGCGGTGAGATGCCTGGTTCCGACATCTACGATTTCGTCGAGGCTGCAGACGGTTTCGCCGAGGTCTTCCCCCAGCACAAGTACAACGTCGTCGAGATCCTGCAACAGCGTGGCTACCTGGTGGCCATGACGGGTGATGGTGTGAACGACGCTCCCTCGTTGAAGAAGGCTGATACCGGTATCGCCGTCGAGGGTGCTTCGGATGCTGCTCGTTCTGCTGCCGATATCGTCTTCCTTGCGCCTGGTTTGTCCGCCATTATTGATGCCTTGAAGACATCCCGCCAGATCTTCCACCGCATGTACGCGTACGTTGTGTACCGTATTGCTCTGTCCCTCCACTTGGAAATTTTCCTGGGTCTCTGGATCGCCATCCTAAACACCTCTCTCAACCTTGAGCTTGTCGTCTTCATCGCCATTTTCGCCGATATTGCTACGCTCGCTATCGCCTACGACAACGCGCCTTTCTCCAAGACGCCTGTCAAGTGGAATCTGCCCAAGCTTTGGGGTATGTCGGTTCTGCTTGGCGTGGTCTTGGCTATTGGAACTTGGATTGCTCTCACTACCATGTTCCCCTACCAGGATCTTCCCAACGCAGCCGGTCAGGGTATTTCCGGCGGTATCGTCCAGAACTTTGGTGTGCGTGATGAAGTCCTCTTCCTGCAGATTTCGCTCACGGAGAACTGGCTCATCTTCATCACGCGTGCCAACGGACCTTTCTGGAGCTCGATTCCGTCATGGCAGCTCACCGGAGCCATCCTGGTTGTTGATATTATCGCGACCTTCTTTTGCTTGTTCGGTTGGTTCATTGGCGGCCAGACGTCGATCGTGGCTGTCGTTCGTATCTGGATCTACTCGTTTGGTGTCTTCTGCGTCATGGGCGGCGTCTACTACCTGCTGCAGGACAGTGTTGGTTTCGATAACCTCATGCACGGAAAGTCGCCCAAGAAAGACCAGAAGCAGAGATCGCTCGAAGATTTCGGTAAGTGCAGGAGTGGTCCTCGATGGCTTGTCCAAAGGTTGCTAACGAATCGTCAGTTGTTTCCCTCCAGCGTGTGTCCACGCAGCACGAGAAGAGCGCCTAAAAGTGAGGCTCGTTGCGTCCTGTCCTTCTACTCGTTTTTTAATACTATACCATTCGATTGCAAATTAAGTTGGCCGGTAGTCGGGGGAGACTTAGCAGGCGGTGGATAGGATAAGATGTGCATGTGGATACAAAAGAGAAGAGGGAAGTGTATAACAGCACGATCCTTTGTCTGCAACTGGGGCGATGTTCCCCCCGCCAAATCTCTCTCTCTCTAGCCTACCTTTCGGCGCAGACTTATCCTTTTCACTTTCGCGTTGGTAATCCTGAGCTTTAGTGTAATACCTCTTCAAGTTATTGATGGATAGAGGCAATGAAAGGCTTCGCTGAGCGCATCGTGTATTGCAGTGGTGATTTGGATGATTGCAGCAGCAGACCGAAAGTGGGCGTGGTGGGAGTAGAGCTGAACTCACGTCGGCCAGCCTTGTCATTGAGGTAGAGAGACAGCGGGGCTTTTGTTATTCCACATGATGCATCCAGAGGATTCGTAGCGCGACGACTAGAGTTTCATGAGTCGCATCCTCAACACCAGTTGTAGACCGCAAACGGCGAGCATTCATGCCCACTTTAGCGGTGCCTGTGGGGCCAGGACATTTTACGCTGTCAAGCACGCACAGCAAAGGTTTGGGGAGTTTGCAAGCGATCTGGTTGCTATGTAGAGTGGGAGCATAGTTGGGAGAGGAAAAGTTTGATTCCTCGGCAGCGACTCAGGTCTGGGCATGTATGGGATTACGAGCTCGACGGATGCGGCTGCAGCTTCGCCCGTCCGTCCCGGCTTTGGTCGAGGCCGAGGCCGATCTGGATCTCCGGCGAAGCTCCTTTATTCTCTGTTACATAGTCTCCTAGATAGTTTGCCATGTGCCTGCGGGCTTGGTGGCTGCCGTGATCCGATCTCGGCTACGTCATAGCGCCGACGCCCGCTTTCGCTCACGCAAGAAAGAAGGTGGGGTTCCCGAGGGGTCGCGCGAGAGTCAGCCTTCATGAGGTTAGCAGTCCTCTTCTCGTGGAAACCCACCCTTACTTCAACAAGCATAATTTAGCCGGCGCTTTGGCAATTAATCAGCTAAGGAGCTTTTGCATTGCGAATATCCGAGCATTTTGAGCAAGCGATGCATAGCGGCAGGAGTATAATAAGTCGAGCTCCAGCTGCCGCCGCGGCGATCAAAGCTCTGGCATCATCTTCCGTGCGGAGCTCCACTTCTTCTGCTACTCTTATTCTTCCTTGCCGCTCCACTACTACCGCCTTCTCTTCTTCCCCAACCCCACGGAGAGCTAGCTTCGTTCGCGCATCCTCCACCATGGCCAACATTAACACGCCCATCCCGAGCTTGAAGCTCAATGACGGCAACTCGATTCCCATGGTAAGTTGATGTCTCACAGCACTGCAGCCAAGCACAAGCCATCGGCGTCAATGAGATGCTTACACGACCTTGGCTACTACTGCGGGCTCACCGTCAGCATTTGCCTGCGACATGCTTAGCAAATGCTGACACCCGGCACACCCGACTCGCGCCCGCACTTCCCACATGTCCTGGTTCCTGGGATCTCAGCCCACGCGACCAATATGATTCCGAAACATGAGGGCTGACATTGGTATGCACCATTTGATTGTAGCTCGGCTACGGCACGGGCACAGCGTGGTACAAGACGGGCGATGAATCGCAGATCGACCGCAGCCTGGTCGAGTCGACCAAGGTGGCCATCAAGCTCGGTTACACCCACCTCGATGGCGCCGAGATGTACAAGACGGAGCCCGAGCTGGGCCTGGCCATCAAGGAGAGCGGCGTGCCCCGCGAGAAGCTGTTTGTCACGACCAAGGTCTACGGCAACCTCGCCGACATCAAGGCCGCCATCAAGCTGAGCTTGAAGAAGCTGCAGCTGGACTATGTAGACCTGTGAGTTTGGCATCCACATGGGACCCCACCTGTTGTATTTTGCTTTTTTTTCTTTTACTTTCCTGCTAACGCAAGGATGCGTGTGCTTTCCCACCCAGCTACCTCATCCATGCCCCATTCTTCGCCAAGTCAGACGAGGAGCTGCAGGCGAAGTGGAAGGAGATGGAAGAGGTGCAAGCGGCGGGCCTGGCCAAGTCGATCGGCGTGTCCAACTACCTGCCGAAGCACCTGGAGGCGACGCTGAAGACGGCCAAGGTCGTGCCCGCCATCAACCAGATCGAGTTCCACCCGTACCTGCAGCACTCGGCCCTCATCGACTTCCACAAGCAGCACGGCATCGCTACCCAGGCCTACGGCCCGCTCAGCGCCGCCACCAAGGCAAAGCCTGGCCCCATCGATGAGTTCAGCGCTGCGCTCGCTAAGAAGTACGCCGTCAGCGAGGGCGAGATCGCTCTGCGGTGGTGCATCGATCAGGACGTCATTCCGATTACGACGAGCTCCAAGGAGCAGCGCTTGTCGGATTACCTGCGCGCGGCTACGTTTAAGCTGACGCCTGCGGAGGTGAAGGAACTGAAGGAGTTGGGCGAGAAGAAACACTACCGTGGCTTCTGGAACGACATTTTCTCGCCCGAGGACAGGTCTTGAGGAGGGAACTTTGAAATTGGAGAGGAAATGATGCTGTAGAAAGTTGATGAAATAACGAATGCTGCGTAGAGAACATCAGTTGCTTCACTACGAAAAATTGACATTTGTACCTCGATCAGTATGTTGAAGACGCATAGTCATACCTGAATGTTTTTCATGAGCGCCTTCAATGAGCGCTGTTGCCTTTTTTGGTCCACCATCTATATATTTGCCTGACATTTGGAAGGGGTGAGCGACCGACCTATCCCTTCTCAAATGATGCCGGCATATGATACGGCGTGCTCTTACTATGCGATGTCAGAATGGGCCAGGGCATGACTGGATGCGGCCACGACTTTAAGTGACGCAGGGACGCGGGACGTTGTCACCCACCGCAGCACGCGCCGGCGATCCTCCGACCGACGCCAGAAAGTGTGTGCTGAGAAAACTCACAAACCTGCGGGGCAAATCCGCCATCGAGTCAACTGCAACTTTTTTGCGGGCTCACACAAGACACACAACCATGCCGCCCAAGTCGAAAAAGGACGGCCCGCAGGACGCCGCCGACGGCGCTGCTCAGGTCAGAAAATTTCCTTAGAACAAATTCATCCAATTGCGCGCGCAACTCTGACTGGGATACATACAGCCCGCCGCAAAAGCCGTGCGCAAGCCGCGCGCCGTCCCGCGCAGAAAACCCGCTGATACAACCACCGCCGCCGCCGCCGAATCGACCGCCACCGCATCTGAGACCCAAGACCAGACCGCTTCAGCTGCTGCTACCGCCGATCAGCACTCACAGAACACCGACGCCCAGGTAACGACCAGGTCCGCGCCCGCCGCGCCGCAACCACAGCAGCACAATGGCGAGGCGACTACGGCAAAGAAGCGCAAGCCGCCGCAGCGGCGGCTGGACGACGGCATGGACAGCGTGCTACAGCCCTTCTACTACGGCAAGTCGCTGACGGACCCGATCAACACGGCCGAGGACAAGTGGAACCTGCTGCCGGCATTCCTGAAGGTGAAGGGTCTGGTGAAGCAGCACATCGACTCGTTCAACTATTTCGTGGATGTGCAGCTCAAGGAGATCCTGCGCGCGAACCAGTACGTCTACTCGGACGTCGACGACAAGTTCTTCTGGCGCTACACGGACGTGCGCGTGCTGAAGCCGTGCCGTGTCGAGGAGGAGAACGTGCGCGGTATTCAGAGCACGATTACGCCGAATGAATGCAGGTTGCGGGACATGACGTACGCGGCGCCGATTGTTGTGGATGTGGAGTATAAGAAGGGAAATGTGAAGGTTAAGAGAAAGGGCATTCATATTGGCAGGATGCCGATCATGCTGCGCAGCAATAAGTGCCACCTCTGGGGCAAGTCGGAGGGGCAGATGGGCCAGCTCGGCGAGTGCTCGATTGATCCTGGTGGATATTTCATCACGAGGGGCCAGGAGAAGGTCATTTTGGTCCAGGAACAGCTGAGCAAGAACCGTGTCATTGTGGAGTCGATGAAGGGTATTATCCAGGCCTCCGTTATCAGGTATGCTGGGAGCTCCCAGAAGTCGAATTCCGGGCTTTTGCTGACCAATTTCTTAGTTTTACGGTCGACCGGAAGTCCAAGGGCTACGTTCTTTTGAAGAAGGGCCTGCTCTACCTGAAGCACAACACCTTCACCGAAGATATCCCCGTCGTTATTGCGTTCAAGGCCATGGGAATCCAGTCCGAGCACGAGATCTTGCTTTTGGTGGCTGGTGACGATAGCGCATACCAGGACGAATTCGCTGTCAACTTCGAGGCGTGCTACAACGAGAAGAACGAAAGGATAAACACGCAGCACCAGGCTCTGGAATACATTGGCCAGCGGACGCGCCAGCTCAGGAAGCCCATCGGAAACAGACAAGCCAGGAATATGCAGCAAGAGGCCATCGATGCCATCTCGAACATGATGATGAGTCACGTCCCGGTGGTTGGCATGAACTTCCGTCCGAAGGCACTCTATATCGCGTACATGACTAGGAGGGTTCTCATGGCCATTCATGACCCGAAGATGGTGGACGATAGGGATTACGTCGGAAACAAGAGACTGGAGCTGGCTGGACAGATGATGGCGCTGCTATTCGAAGACAGCTTCAAGAGCTTCAACTACCAGTTCAAGGCCGCCATCGACAAGATTCTCAAGAAGCCGAACAGGGCCGCCGAGTTCGACGCCTACGACCACATTCAGACGCACGGTTGGAGCATCACCGCAGGTATGGAACGAGCAATCGCCACCGGCAACTGGAGCTTGAAGCGTTTCCGCATGGAGAGAGCCGGTATCACACACGTTCTCAGCCGTCTCAGTTACATTTCCGCCCTTGGTATGATGACCCGTATCACTTCTCAGTTCGAGAAGACGAGAAAGGTTTCGGGTCCTCGTGCTCTTCAGCCTTCGCAGTTTGGTATGCTTTGCACTTCAGATACTCCTGAAGGTGAAGCCTGTGGTCTGGTCAAAAACTTGGCGCTTATGACGCACATTACGACCGAGGTGCCTGAGGATCCTGTGAAGCGGATAGTGTTCATTCTCGGTGCGGAGGACGTTCAGTCAGCAAGTGGCACTGAGCTGTATTCCGATGGAGCCTACATCATTTTCGTCAACGGTTCGCCCTTGGCATTAACCCGTGAGCCCAGGCAGTTCTTGAACGGCTTCCGTAAGTTCCGTCGCATGGGCCGCATCTCGGAGTTTGTCAGCATTCACATCAACCATCACCACCGCGCTGTCCAGGTTGCCACGGATGAAGGTCGTATTTGCAGACCGCTCATTGTGGTGGAGCGTGGAAAGTCCAGGGTGTCTGCACGATACCTCAGAGCTTTGCAGAAAGGAACCATGGAGTTCGACGACTTCCTTTCCCGTGGCCTTGTGGAGTACCTGGATGTTAACGAGGAGAACGACTCGAACATTTGCATCTACGAGAAGGATCTCAAGGAACACCATACGCATCTCGAAATCGAACCCTTTACGATTCTCGGCGCCGTCGCCGGTCTCATTCCCTACCCCCACCACAACCAGTCTCCTCGTAACACTTACCAATGTGCCATGGGTAAACAAGCCATTGGTGCCATTGCTTACAACCAGTTCACCCGTATCGACACTCTTCTCTACCTCATGGTCTATCCCCAGCAACCCATGGTCAAAACGAGAACGATCGAGCTTATCAAGTACGACAAACTTCCCGCCGGACAGAACGCTACTGTCGCTGTCATGTCCTACTCCGGTTACGATATTGAGGATGCCCTGGTCATCAACAAGGCTTCTTGCGACAGAGGATTTGGTCGTTGCCAGGTTTTCAAGAAGGCGACCACAACACTCAAGTCGTATGCCAACGGCTCTCAAGACAAGATCACGGGCCCTGAAAGGAACGCCGATGGACCCATCAACCCGAGGCACAAGAAGCTCGGCGAGGCTGATGGTATTGCGGAGGTCGGCATGCTCCTGGAGAAGGACGACGTCTACCTCAACAAGTTCGTGCCTGTTCAGACGAACCCTGTTGGTCTCGAGGAAGGCAGGAGGAGGCCACCGCAGGAGTTCAGACCAACAGCCATGAGCTACAAGCTGCCCGATCCCGCCTACGTCGACAAGGTCCTGCTCACCGAGAACGAGAACAACACGCCCGTCATCAAAATTCAGACCAGACAAACGCGCCGGCCCGAGCTGGGTGACAAGTTCTCGTCCCGCCACGGTCAGAAGGGTGTCGTCGGCATCATCGCCGAACAGATCGATATGCCGTTCAACGACCAGGGCATCTGCCCCGACATCATCATGAACCCTCACGGTTTCCCGTCTCGTATGACGGTCGGCAAGATGCTGGAGCTGCTGTCCGGCAAGGCAGGCGTGGTCAGCGGCGACCTGCAGTACGGCACGTGCTTCGGCGGCTCTAAGGCCGAAGACATGTCGCAGATCCTGCTCGAGGCGGGCTTCTCGTACTCGGGCAAGGACATGCTGACGTCGGGCATCACGGGCGAGTGCCTCCCGGCCTACGTCTTCTTCGGCCCCATCTACTACCAGAAGCTTAAGCACATGGTCCAGGACAAGATGCACAGCCGTGCGCGCGGCCCGCGCGCCATCCTCACGCGCCAGCCGACGGAAGGTCGTTCGAGGGACGGTGGTTTACGTCTCGGAGAGATGGAGCGCGATTGCCTTATCGCGTACGGCGCCAGTCAGCTCCTCCTCGAGCGCCTCATGCTGAGCTCTGACGCGCACGAGTGCGATGTGTGCGAGCGGTGCGGTATGATGGGGTACCAGGGCTGGTGCCAGAGTTGCCGGAGCAGCAAGGGCGTTGTGCGCATGACGATTCCGTATGCGGCGAAGTTGCTGATTCAGGAGTTGTTGAGTATGAATGTTAAGGCGAGTTTGAGGTTGGGTGATGAGTTTCCGGTGGAGGAGTGAGTGAGTGGGTGGGTGAGTTGGGTTGGAAGCGGATGGTTGGGAGGGAAGGGGTGAGTGAGTGAGGGAGAGTGGGGGTGATGGTGGAGGTGGAGAGTGGGGTAGGGTCGAGATGCGAAGTGAAGGGCGGCGGTGGTGGGATGAGAGTGACCTCGCGCTGGCCCTTCCTTTTTCTTCTTTTACTTCGATATGGTGGAGGGTTTCTTCATGATTTCAGGGTCTATGCATAGCGTGGGGTTGGCATTTGGGTGGCGTTTATTTTTCTTTACTTCCAAGTTGCTGGATGGTAGTCCTATCACAGAACAAAGATATCGACGAAGTATGAAACTGATTGCAAGTATTGTGGATAAATGTTTTCACCCCTTTGCGAGGTTCCACACTTCACTAATGCAACTCAGGGCTCGGTGGACGAAAGCATTTGTTGTTTCTGATGTTGTTCAACATCGTTGCGGGATGCTGTGTGCTGATTACTGATTACGGGAACACAGAAGGTGATGTGTATTCCCCAGTAGGAACGGCCGAAAAAGGCACAAAGACCAAGCGAAAAGTTCTCGTGAAATTCGTCCACGACGGATCTCACCCAGTGAGAGCATTGTGGAAGCTGTGCTGGGATCGTGAATCTTCCGAACAATCCCTCGGCTGAATATAAGCGTAGGGCGGCGAGCCGTGCTTCACTTCACTGCTGGAGGTCACCCGCTGTCATGTATCATGTCAGAGCGGCACATGCTGCTTCTTCACCCCGCGGAAGACTGCACTTGCCGGTCATGGGTTCGAGGTCTACGCTTTTGCGGCGCACGGGACCGCTAGGCGCATTTCGGATCCTCGAACCTATTTAAGCAGCGCGGATGCAGAGTCGTATTGTGGCTCGTGGCGACCTCTCAGAAGAGAATTATGAAAATCGAAAAACCTCGATAAGTACTTTCTGGGTTCCGTGGGGCTCAGGGATACTCATCTTTGCAACACTTCGTCTTTTCCGGAGGGTTATTCTATTAGACTGCCAGTAGCTCAACATCATGCTATAGTGGAGACGATTACCATCATTTCCACATCAGTATCATCATTGATGCTTGATGGCGCTGTGTATCAAGTTGTGCAGCCACGCGGTTCTCAATCTTAGTATTGGAGGCGAAGAAAGGACCAACTCCGAAGTTGGTGACGTGACCAGCGTGTAGGAAAGGCCGGGGCCAGTAAAAGAGCATACCATGCCTCTTATGGCTCGGTGGCTGGAAAATAATCTACGGAGTGATTGTGGTCCTATGCTTATCTTTTATACTTCTTAATGGCTGTGGCCCGTGAGGCTATGAGCCGTTGCACCAGGTGATCTGCGAGACATGCAGTCATCCGCTGCGCCAACCGCATAGCACAAGCATAGCTTCGACTAAGCCACATGGTATGAGCTGGCTTGCCGCCCTCTCAGGTGAGCACTCCCATGGCATATGAAACTGGCCTCTTTGGCGGATAGGCCGTCGACATGAGCACCCAGCGGCGACAAAGTCAGTAGCATCTTGGGTCATACTCACGCGCCCCTGGCTGGAAATGCCAATCAGGAACTCCGACAGGTCAGTTGAAGAGAGTCAGGTGTCACAGATTCCGGCGCGCACATGTGACATGGGTGGCCAAATCCCGTATGTTGTTTTCATATTTAAACAGGCTTCTAGCGGGTCTATTGCTTGACCGCAGGTCTGAGGCCACGAACTGGCTGAACAGAGGGATGACGTGACCCGTACACTTGTTTTCTGCAAGAGAGAGGCACGCCTTTTACCTGAATGGTGTGTGAGGGTGGCGCTCGGAGCTGGTTCACCCGCTAAGAACTTTGCGGAAGGACAAGCAGCGTCAGAGGTCTCCAAATTTCATCATCTTATTTTGATGAGGCTGTGCCATGGCACTCCTCATACTCTTCATAATTGCGCAATTGTGCATGCCTTTATCGTTAATCTGGGACTCTAAATTTCGTCAAGCGGTGTTCGCATTTGTGCTTCAATGCGGGCCTCAGTTAGGTTCTCACCCACCCGCCTGAGGAGGTGAATCTGCTCTGGCTGAGCTTGTCTGGCTGAGGTGCTGAGTCGGCTCAACATGGGTAGGCAACGAAGTTGGAAAGTCTCCAACAAAACACAGACTCATCATGTATTTCTGCGAATGAGCCACCTATGTTGCCATGATGCGGAATTCTGAGTAGATCTATTCTTGGAGACAGTTTCGTTTTCCTCAGCAGCAGTAACACCATATCGGAATGCGATTCAGAGCACATAGCGCTCTTTTCTTGAGCCACAAGATAAAGGCAAAGCATATGCTCCCATCGAAGACAAGTAGAATTGATGATCGTCATTAATTGCTATTTCAGCCCTGTGAGTACATCTCATTCATGGAGTATGTCACTAAGGCGTATGCACCGCAGCTTCAGCTCCTTTCAGGAGATTCAACATCTTTGGCAAAAGAGAAGAAGAGGACACAGGAAGGAGCACAGTATCTTGTTGTTATTGTTCTTTTTCCTTTTCCCCCTTCTCCCCTTCAGCGAAAACTCGACAATGATGGCTTAGATAATTCGGGCGCTATTTTATAAGACCTTAGTTCAAGCACGAGCAATGCAGCCACGTGAAACAGGGACCTAGAAGTCAGGTTACTTACCACGGGATGTAGTCAATATGGCTGCTTGTTAAAGGCACTGCCGAGCTTCAAGATTGAATCAGCCCAGTCCCTTGAGGACGCAATAAGACAACTACTTTTCACTTCCGAAGTGAAAAGTATCGAGTCGCATTTCACTGTTGTGTCCCTTTTTTCTTTCTTCTTCGTTATAAATTCGCGAGATAAAAACCACACCAACACCTCCCGAGGCGTCCTCAAGATGACCAATCATCAGATAGCATGTCTGATGGCGAGACTTGGAAAGCTATAGCAATGATTTCATACAGTAAATACTATTGATTCTGTGTGTACATCATTGATGAAAACTGGTGGACTTGGTATAATGAACTCATAGAGAGAACTCTTTCCATAGCAACAGGCACACTGGACGTCACACAACAATCAACTCATGAAACCAGCTCGGACCCATTTTATCATCTACATCGTGATTTTATGCTTTGAACATATATGATGATTGCAGCATTAAAGCCCCATGATTATATATCGTTCGTATAACCCGTGGTTATCTGGACATTTACTGAAAAGGGGAGAGAAGAAAGTGTGTATGTCGGTCAGGTCCGTGACATATCCGCGAGGTGCCACAGGGAAGTATCTTGCATCTCCGACTGAGGTCCTCCATGATTGTTAGAACAGTCAAATATAAAGCAGCGGTATGGGTAGTCTGACGGCTTGCCGGCGTGTGATTGACTTGCATGAGGCTTGACCACCAAAGACACATGACACGCTCGCCATGCCATCATATTTCTGCCAGCGTTCTTAAAAGGAACTTCGATTTCAGGTTTGTTTTCTCTGCTAATAACCACTGATTGGGAGGTATTTAATAAGCTGGCACCGAGAGCAGTTTCAACTTTTTCGTTTGTGCTGGTGGCTTGAGGCTCCAAACGGAAGCGGAGCCGGACTGCAGATTGTCTATTATTTAACATCCTCTTCACATTGAATTAATGCAATGCATCAATATTTCGAAATTATGATGAGCTTCATAGCCGTCTCAATGATCCTCAACAACGCCATTAAGTTGAACGGACTATTGCGCGGCCTCAAGATGACCCATCAGACTGACCACGCTGCCTTGAGACACGTTAGGTGAGAAGACAAGACCCAACAACAAGCGAAAGTGGGTGGACAAGAATCTGCGTGCTGGAAAGAGTAGAAGAAAATGAATCAGTGCTCTATCGGAGACACTACTCAACCTTCGGGATCAGATCAGATATTGAAATAATGTCGTATTTTTGGGTTCTACTTTTTTTTAAAAAAAAAATCGATAGGGCATCCGAAAGTGTACAAAGTGCACGGGGCCCAGCGGATCGTGACGCAGGGAATTCAGCGCGAACAGGCATGCAGCTAGCGAATGATGGATATACTGATGCTGGAATGTGCACATGAATGAACATGTGGGTCTGTTTCCGGTATTGGCTTTACTGTATAAGGCTCACGTGCGAGGTTTCCGGGAGCGTGTCACACTACAGAAAGATCCTGGCATTTAATAGCAGTCGAAGAGATTTAAAAGCTCACATTCATTGCGTGGAATATCACGTATATTCAAGTGCTCAGTGTTTTGAGTTTGTAACTCAACCCGATCCCATTTACACTTTTTCTGCCGGGTGTTGGATTGACCCAGTGTGGGTGTCCCCTCGTATTCTCTCAGCCTATGTCAGTCAATTGCGACGAGGAATACATCGCGATGATTAGATCACTATTTTCAATAAATGATGAAAGCTTGCAGAAAATTTTGTTGTGGCTGCAGCCAGGACATGATGAGTTGATGCGTATCCTTTTGGATGTTTCTCTCGGTGAATTCAGTGTCTCTAAGCAGACTGTTGCATTCAATGCCCCCAATCACGCCATCCCAGCGAGGGGTAGTCATACTTACGTCTGTGAGACTGAATTGGGGGTTGAATGAAGAAGAGGTGAGGAGACATGCACGCTTAAATATGTGACGCTGGCCCCTCTCCAAAGAGTGAGTGACGGTAGAGGGACTGAACGAATGGCGGTACTGTCCGGCTTGACAACATGATGATCCAAGGCATAAAAGAATATTAGGCGGTGTATGTGCTGTCTGTCGAAAGTTTCCGAGTTCTACACGGTGATGCTTTCCGGGGCAATGTGGGTTGCCGAGGAAAGGAACCTATCTTAGCTATTGTGTCACTCTCTGCGATCGTGCAAACGCGCCCTACACTTATGAGCCAACCCAATCTTACAGCAGTAATTGAAAGAAGAAAAAGGAGTGCATGGGCATATCTATCGTTATTCACTTCTACATGCATATTTACATGGCAGACGGCCACTCCGAAATCTTCCCAGACGATGGTCCTCGTTCCACACCGCCTCGCAAACGGGAGATTATGAGAAAGCGGACATTGAAGTGACAGGGCGGGAACCTACATCCCCTCGCGCTCAGGAAACTCCGTTTTGGGACATACTAGCCGCACTGCAAACATGTATCCGGCACAGCGGGTGCCGAAAGATTCGAGCCTTCCGAATCAATTTCCATGTAAGCTCATTAAGTAGTCATTTGAAGCTACCATCCGGATGTAGATGTATGTTTAAAAATTCCGCATCTGTGTCGGGATAGTAGCCTCAACTACCTACGCAAATCGGGGATCGTTGCTCTCGAAGATCATAGCGATGAACAATTTCTTTTGGCACCTACGTGGCTCTTCCCCAGGAAGCCTCGGAACAGCGAAGGCAACCGAGTATATGGCCGCCAGACCACTCCGGAGACAGCGATTGTTCGGCGGGTGAGAAAGCCGAATGGTGGAAGCAGAACTGGTGTAGGTGATCGGCATCTGTCTCTCCTTCCCACTTCGAGTTTAATTGAAGCGTTGAGACAACTTGACAAGTACTCAGGCGCCCGGCATCAGCAAACACCGTGCAGATATGTTTCGGTATTGGCGGCCCGCGGAAACATGCATTTTCTTTTGGCCACGGATGCTTCCTGATGATTCATCTATGTTCGGCCCAGGACGGAGGCATCGTTCACGCGAGGACGGAATCAGTCTTTTACTTAACGCTGCTGCTCTCCAGCAGGGTGAAGTCATTTCTGTGTGATGACCACAACGTTGCCTCCTGAGCATCCGTGCCTCTCACTACAGGCTACTCTCACACAGTGTAAAAGAAACGCCATCGTTTGCTACATATTTTGCACATGATCAAGTGAGTCTTATATGCCGTCTTGGCTTTTATGACGAACTTACCAGCATATTCCGAATTAAAGCATGAATTGCAATGCTACAATGTATAGACGTAATTCAATTTCGGAGGCCCAGGAATGTTTGGTGAATAGATAGTTGAGATTTGATATAGTACAGGGTGGAGTTTGCTTCGTGTAGCCGAAATAATTCGCCCTCGATGGGAAACTATCTAGGCTGCTGTGGATGACTGAGCCAAAGATAGGTTGCATGAGATGTAAATCATTGTTAGAGAGAGGAAGAGCATAGAAGCACGTCTTGCCTGCATATTTGTTAATTCTAAGTTGAAGGTTGATAGATAAAACACTTTCACGCAGGAAATGCCGTAAAGCTTTGTGTGCCTGGAGGATCACCTGAGACAAGACGTTGATGTCTCATCCAGAACACATACCTCATTGTTCAATGAGCAAGAAATCACTCATGGCTTCTCTTCTTAAAGGGAAACTTTCAACTTGCAACTGTTACCACGCAGATCTACGACCTTTCCTGCAATCCTCTCATCACCAATAGCGTCTTACAAGCCTATCACCACCAACAACACATCACAGCCATGGACTGGATCCTAAACATCTTCAACTTCCGCCGCAACACCCACCTCCAGCGCCTAATTCCCCGAGAATGCGACGGCCTCATGCGAGCTCCGCGCCCGACCAACCCACAACTCTCCCAACCATCTCCACTCCGCCACGTCGAACTCATCGAACCCGCCCCGCTCTCTCCACCCCTCCCGCCTCCACCCAACTCACACCCTACCCCATCACCGCCGCTGCTGACAATCCTCCCCCTCATCGCCCGCCTGCCACTCTCACCAGTAGTCTCACGACCAGACATCTACCACTTCTCACATTCCACCACCACCACCTCCTTCTCCTCCTCCTCACCATCATCCTCACCACCACCACAGTACACCCCGCCGCCCGCCTACACACCCACCACCGCTTCGGACCCCCTCTACCCAGGCGTTTCCACCGCGCCCTCCGATCCACCACCCGGCTATTCCACCACCACCACCTCGTCCGCCGCCCTGGCCTCTCTCCGCGCCGCCCTCATCCAGCTGGACACGGCCATCTACCTGCACCACGTAGCCAGCACGGGCAGGGACGACGACATGGCGCCGACGAGCCAGCGGGCGGATGGAGCCGCAGCTGCAGCAGCCGTCGACGGGACTATCACTGCCATAGATGGACAGGAGCAGCAGCTCCATCACGTCGGCCGGACGGTCCGTTCAGGGGGCAGTAGTAGTAGGAGTAGTATCAGCTCGGACGAGAGCGGCGGCAGCAGTAGCAGCAGCAGTGCCGCCGAGCTGATCGACTTGCTGCCCTTCCTGCTCGAAGTTGTGTGGACGGAGGTGCACGCGCTTGCGGGGGAAGGCTTTGTTTGAGAGAGGAGGAGAGACAGCTGGCGATGGTGGCGCGAGAGAGGGGAGCGAAAAGAGGGGAAGAAAAAGGAAGAGGCGATGAAGTGATGAGATGTATATGTTTGTTCTTGTGTTCTCAAAAATAGCAGGGCTGGAATGGCCAGTGACAGGAATCAGGGAGATGAGAGAGAAAAAGTGTAGATACGAGTGCCATCATTATTCTCCGCACGTAGCGAATCGGAACTCACGTGTCCATGAAGAAGCCGGACATGCTTTGAATTTTTGATATTCTTTCATTGATTTCATCAAGGCCTATGCAGCTTGTCTCATATCAAGCTATCTTGCTTGCTACAACATAGACCTGCCTTTCTGCCGCTATACATTGTAGCATGCAGGAAAAATAAAATAAAAAAAGACACAAATATATCGCACAGCACCCCTTATTTGACACGCGCCGCTCAAAGCGTCAAACAGCTCTGAGTGTTCCCCATGAAAACGCGCTGCGCCGTTCCCTTGACCACTTTTGGCCCCCCCGCTAAATAGAAACTCAAAAGAGATGGCAGCAAATACACACATACGCAGACCGCAGCGGCAAATAAACCAGAGTGAAGGTCTCATCCCTCCCCCCAGCACCGTGAACCCATCTCTCGAGAAGGAGGCCGTAAACTTGAACAAAAAAGAAGAAATGAGAGGATAGCAGCGGGGTATCCCGGGGGTATCGTTTAGAAAACCGCACACACTTCACGGATGCGTGGTCCCAGAACTGAAGGTAATAAAAATAGGCCAGTCCGCCAAAAGAAATGAAAAGGGAGCAGCCGTGACAAACGCGCCTGAAGGATCGACTAAACACGCAGACCACGCCATGGATCAATGCGGGTAGTGTGCTCTTTGAACAAGAGCCGATAGGAAGGAAAAATTGGAGCAGTGTCCGGAGATAACCCATGCATCATCCCTCTCGAGTGCTCTGTGAGCTCGTGTGTTGCCGTGAGAAGGGTAATTGTTTTTTTTTCCTTTGCAATCCTGACGCCGAAACGCTGCAAAACGCCTCCAGATTTCCGTTCAAAAGACGGAAGCCCAAATGCTCACAATTTGATTTGCAACTTGTAATCGACATTTTCCCTATTCATCCATTCGTTGAGGAAAATGATTCCCATTCGCACGGCTTGAATGGGGGACGTATCTGGCCCAAGCGGGAGGTTGTAGTTGCCCTCTAAGCTGCCGAGCTCCAACTTCTCCCAGCTTCTAGGATCGCTCTCGACATCAACACCCCTCGCCCGGCCATTCCATGTCTTGGGATAGTTGGAGATGAGATCCTCGAAGGGCAGCTTCGATCGAGACTCGGCAACCAATGTCGTCATGTTTTGGATGTACTCGCTCATCGTTGAGAGGGCTTTTTCGGTTGTGAAGGCGTTCTTGTCGCCGCTATCTCCCGGCTGAGGAGGACGCTGCGCAACTAACGTGGTAATGCGGGCGCAAATGATGGCCCCAAGCTGAAGGCGCAGCCCTTCGAGATGCGGGAATTCTTGGCAGTTGTTCTTGAAGAAGCGGAAGAGAGGGAAGAGAGTTCGCCAGCTAGCATTGAGATCGGTTGGGTGATGGGAAAGGTGGGATTTGTAGTCCGAGGCATAATATGCCGCCATATATGAGCTGTCAAAATCAGTCAAGACGCCGCGCTGTTTGTGACCTTCAGGGATACTTACAGGATGCACTCTACGCTCATCACCGCACCTCGCTTACGGTCCTTAAGCGAAGGTTGGTTCCTGGGATCACATAATGATTGTGATTCGTGCTTGAGGCGCCGACCAAGCTCGTTGAGCTTGCGAGAGTGTGTTGTCCAAATCTGAGCCTCACCAGGCCTGCCGTTGATACTAGATGTCGGGCCTTTCGCATCACTCGGCGTATCGGCTGTCTGGGCTGGAGTGCTTGTCACACCGTTGCTATCGTTTGAGACGGTACGTATCATGCCAATCGACTTGGCCTCTTTTCGTGGTGTGAGGTACTGAGATTTCTGGCTGGGCTTGTTGGGAAGAGACGGTGATTGAGTTGATGGTGGTACCGGTGTCCGTGGCTTTTTGTCCAGATCCAGATTGGAAGGTGCTCGCGGTCTCTTTGGAGGAGGGGCGTCTACAGAAGAATCCTCTGCAGCGCGGGGGCGCTTTTCTGCTACGTGCCGCGCTTTGTTATCCTTTCCATCCATGGCGCTTAGCAGACCCGATTTCCGCGAGCCATCCTTGCTTGGCAATTCTTTGTTCCTGGAAGAACTATCCACTTTCCGTATTCTTTCCGGCTCCTGCGAGTCTTCATGTGGTAATTCTGGTTCCTTCTGGCGCGCTTTCCGCCCAGGTGGTAGTTTGAGGCAACGCTCAACATCTTGTCTCCGTTTCCTGCCATACTTAAGCTTCACAATAAGCTTCCGCGGCTTGTCCTGGGGTGGCTTGGCCATGCTGGCACTTGTCTGCGAAGGTACTCGTGCATGCTTGGTAGGTAATTTGTGATCGGGCTCGTCCGCTTTGGAATTCGGAGGTCTCTTCTCTGCTGCCCGAGAAGTTGTTTTCGAAGGGGTGGAGGACTGGTTCGCCTTGATTTCAGGACCTAGCAATGGCGTGCCAGACTTGTGTTCTGATGAGATAGATGTGCTGGAACTATTCCTTTTGTGTCGTTCGGCGAGCTTCTCGAGTTCGGCTTCAATGACGTCGGGAAGTGTTGGGGAAAGCAACGGTGGTAAGCCCGTCGTATTCGGAGATGTAATAGGGGAGATAAGGGGCGGCAGGCCATTGTTGTCGGCGTTTCGCGAGTTCTTTGTCGGTGGCGGGGTAGACCGGTTTTTCTTCACCGTCAAGGGTTTTTCTTCCTCTGTCTCGGACATGGCACTTGTCATGCTGTGAGCGGTGAGAGTTCAAAATGTGTAGCAGATCAACTCACAAGCTAAGATCATCCCTCTTCGCAGACTTGTGCGCACCGACAGGCTTGTCTGGCAAGCCCCTCGACTCGTTGACGGCGGTATCCTTCTTCGACTGCTCCTGGCTCGAGCCTGGTTTTGGCGGCAGACCATTTGCCTGCTTACTTTTGCTGTAGGCTGCCAGCGAAATCTTCTTCTTGGGCACATCACTGCGCGGTGTGCTCGTGCCGCTCGGAGCGCTCTTGGTCTTCATGGCGGCGCGGCGATCCCTCTCCTCATCGACTTCGGTACGGCACACGAAACAGCTGTCGGCGTGGTCACGGTATAGGAAGCTCATGTACTGGAGGCGCTCCTCACTCGGATCGAACGGGGTGTTCCGACACCAGCTCTCGGCCTGCTCCCGCGACCAGTGGTGGTAGCGCGGCTCAGCACACGGGACGGTGATGATGTACGGGGCGTCGGGGATGTTGGTGCGGATGCGTTTGAAGACTTGGTCTAACTTGCGCAGCTCCTCTTCATCCTCGGCCGCCAGAGAGGTCGAGGACACGGTAGTCTTGGCTGCTTGGGTTGTGGGCGGTGTCGTGTCTGATATGGACATTGCTTGTGAAGCGGGCGGGTTGTGCGACGTTCGGACGGGACGTGGAGAGGCGCGGTCAGGGCGGAGCTGGCGCGTGTCGGCGTGTTCCTGCGCGAAAGTCAGCGATTGAGCGCGCGGGAGCATGCGACGCGGTTGCAGCGCGCTCACTTTCACTTCGGCCACTCCTCCGCGGACTCGGTCACGGGCTGGCGCTGAGCAGCATTCTGTCGGGCACCGCGGAGCTGGGCCAGATGGGCGCCGTGGGGAGCGCGAGGACGGCGGCGGGCGCAAGGAGCGGAGAGCGAGCGGCGAGAGGGGGTCGTGATGGGTGCGTCGCGGGGGTCGCGAAGGTATCGTGAAGCTGATGCACGGCGGTGACGAGGTGGACGCCAGGCCCCAGGGTGCTCGCGGTCTTGGCGGGCGGATCCAGGACGGACACGCGATGTTGCTCGCCCGTCGCCCGCTCGCACCCGCAAGCGCGCCTTTGTTTTCCGCGTCACATTGCCCTGGAGCGGCCTCGAAAACCCCCAAAACGCGAGCGCATCTCTGTCGACGCGTGCCTGCAGCTTTCTTGTCGCGTCCTCAAGAACCTAGGCTGCACGTTGCCGCCGTCATGATGGCCCTGACCCTCGTCCCGCATCCCGCCTGCTGCCCATCAAACGCTTGCGCCGATCCTTCACGTTGCTGCGATCACATGCTGCAACCCGCGGTTTGTGCAGTTTGTCGAAACCAAACTAATTGATCTAACTAGCTACTCTCCGCATCCAATGCGCGAGTAATTGTCCGGAGACTCTGCGAACGCCGGGCTCGTGCTGCCGGATGCCCGTGCGACGTTACCTACGTTAATCAAACAACCAAGTCCACTTTTGCCGCGACTGAGTGCAGGTAATAGGATTCAAGAGCCCTTAATATGGCTCTGTTTGACCTAAAGGCATGTGTGACGCCCCTCCAAGCCTGAATCATGCCGGTGCGGAGACCGCACGCCCGCCGAATCACCCGTGCCTAAACGGGCGCTACGCGAGCTAGTGAGTTAGTTACTCTGGGGAGACTCGTCACTTCACGACATCTCATGCTTCTCTGCTGAGCTCTCCCCAGATAGCATGCTCTCGGCCTCTTCGGTTAACGCCGCAGCTATGGACCGTTGTAAAGCCGGAAGACCTTGAAGCATTCCGAAAGGTGGGACATGGAAGTGATCGTACAATGTTTGAGTATTTTGCTAGACAACACCAATTTTAGAGTTCGTCATCGTCCGTCGTACTCTCGTCGTCATCTTGTACTACCGTCCGGGTAGCCGGCGCCTTCTTGACGGGTTCGTTACGCGGCTGCTTGCTCTGATTCCTGGGGAAGGGCAGTTCCCGGCGTGGCGGGAGTGCTTCCGGGCTTTTCTGGCGGTGAGAGCTTTGGTTCGGTGTCGCTGTCTCAATTGCTTTGCCTCTAGACCCTTCGCTGGTTTTAGACGGACGGGAGGCAGGCATTGCGTCAAGGTCGTCGTCGTCATCATCTTCGTCTTCGGTCGTCTCGAGGTCAGACTGCTCGGTGGCAGGCTCCGCGATCTCCTCTTTCACTTCCAACTTGGCTCTGGCGTCGTCATCATCCACGTCCATGCGTGAATCGAGCTCAGAATCGGAGTCATGGACAGGTGTCTTCGCGATCGCTTTGCGCTTAGAGGCCCGGGAGGGCCCGGCCTTGCGGGGCCGGGTGGTATGCCTCGTGGTGCCCCTGGCCTGCTCAACCGCGGCCGCTGTTCCGCCGTTAGCATTTTTCCAAATTGGAGCGTCCAGGGACGGCGCACCTGCGGCGGGATCCACCTTTGCTCCTGCAAGCAGACGTTGCTGATCCCGGATTTTTAGCTTCTTCGCATTGAGAAGGTCCTGGAACTTTGCAAGGAGCGCGCCCTCATGATCCTGCTTGGCCTGGATCAGGTCGTCAAGCTGCGATTTGAGTTTGTTAATTGTGACCTGCTGCGCCTCGCACTTGTTTTGGAGGTCGCGAGCGTCGCCACGAGCGACAGAGGCGGCGTTGACGGCGATCGCGGTCCATTCGAAGAATTCAATTTCCGTGTTGCGATCCTCCGGCAGTGGGATCACACCTAGCCGTTGCTGTGGGCGGCGTCAGGTCATGTAAACAAATGACGTCAGCGCCCCAACTCACCGTGATACCCTCGATATTCTTTCGCACTGTGAGCTTCAGCTGCTGATCAATCACGGACGCGACGATCTCCAGGTTCTCCAGCAGCTTCGCGTCATCCCCATCCGCTGGGTGTTGTAGGAGGCCGGAGCGCAGTATTACTTCCCACTCATGATCGTCGCTGGCTCTGGATTTGAAATTCCTGATTTGAGCCTCGCGAACTGAGCATTTTCGGGCCAGGTCGTCAGCGTGAAACGCGCGCAGACGTCAGAAGCGGGTGATTTGGCTACTTACCTGAAGCGGCGAAGACGTTCTCGCCCTCGGTGCCCACGAGCTTGACGTCGAGCGGCTCGGGCCCGGCGGATTCGACGGAGAGCAGTGCGTAAGCGGGAGTGGCTTCATCGACATCGGTCCTTCGCACGCGTAATATCCTCTTCGCAGCCATGGCGTCGCGGCGTGACGGAGGTGGAATTGGCAGTACGAGCCGGGGCGCACGGGAACGAAGCCGCCAAATTTTTTTTTTCGTGTCGGGATGCGTGCTCTTATGAAACCGGAACGGTTCGAGGGTCGCAGGCCGAGGATGCCTGGAGGATCCTTGCGGCTTTGGTGTTGGCGGCCTGCTGCCTGCCTGCGGCCTTTCCTGCGGCCAGACGCTCGGTGCACGGCCGCCAGGAACAGCGGAAGCGTGGGGTTGTGAGGTCGGCGGCACGCGGGCTTTGCCAGTACGAGAGATGCTCCGGGCGCGGAAGCGCGCATGGGATGCGGCACGCCAGGCCGACGCGAGCGGGCGCAGCGCGCGCCTCGCAACCGGGCCAGCTCGCGTCAATGGCAACTACAACAAACAGCACGCCAGGCATCATAGAAGGGCCGCGGCGTCCACATGCACCTGCAGCGGCGGGCCGGATTCGTGATCGCCGGTGCCTGGCCCGGGCGTGTTGACAAAGTGGAGCCCTGAGCAAACGACGACGACTCGCTCAAGCCGGTTGGGTTGGGCAGGCCTGACGGCGAGGCTTTGCACACTTCCCAGTCGCGCGCAGGCGACGTGCACGCGCGGACCACCCAGCTTGGCGCAAGACCCTTGTGGGCGTAACGCCCGACCTGGCGACCTGCCACCGCAGTCGATCGCAGCACTTCCAACCTCAAATCCTCCACCCTCCCGGGCTGCGCGCCCCAGACCTAAGCATGGCCTCGCTCCACCGAGGCAGCTTTCGCGAGCGCGCCGACCAAATGTCGCCACACATCGAGAACTGGGACGACGACGACGACTTCCACGGCGATCTCTTCGCCCAGAGCGCTTCGTCGCACGCCAACCTCTCGCGCTCGTCGCGCGCCCCGTCGCTTCGCTCCGAGTCAGCCGCAGGCGAGGAGGACTGGCAGGTCCTGCTCGCGCCCAACGACGAGGCCTCCACCAAAGATGCCATTTCCTCTGCCAAACATGCCGGAATCCCCATTCCCACCACTGTGCCGTCCTCGGCTCTTCTCGGTGGTACCATTAAGCGTCTGGGAAAGAAGCCATCCCGGCAGAAGATCCACCAGGACGATGACTGGGCCGACGACCTCGAGCTGCCCGGTCCAAGCTCGGGCACCCTCAAATTAAAGACTCTCCAGCCGCCTGCTACGCCTTCCCAAGACGACGATGACTTCGACGATTGGGCTGAAGGTGGTTCCCTAGGCATTCGCTTTGGTGGCACGCGGCGCGACACACGCACCCGTGGCTCCTCCGTTTCAGCCGCCATGAGCCCCAGCATGGGTAGTTGCATGACCCTCGAGAGCGAGGATGACGACTTTGGCGGCTTGCTGCTTCCCAAAGAGCCCATCGACTTCAATGCCATTCTGCGCAAGCGCCAGGACGTCGAGACCGACGATGAAAAGACGCCCCAGCCCGAGCCGCGCCCTCCGCAGGAAGGCGCTACCGAGCCCGAGCGACAGGAAGAGCATGAGGAAGCTGCAGAGGCCGCTGCGCCGCTTCCAGATGGAGAGACCGCGCCGCAGTCCGAGAACGAGACCCTACCTGATCCGCAAGGCGAGCCGCCGGCTGAGCCAGAGCCACAATCTGCACCGCACCCAGAGCCGGAGCAACCCTTGCCACCTGCGACCCTGAAGTCTGTTCCCGAGGACGACGACTTCTTCGCTGATTTAGACATGGGTTCTGGCGATATATTGGATCCCGCAAAACTAACTGTTAACCGCAACGTCAAGGTCAATTCAAACAAGCCTCAACCCACGGCGAGCGTTCGCGCGACCACGACTCTAACCTTCACCGACAAGCCGTCCGTCTCCTCTACCTCTCGCATCCCGAGGCCAATGGTCCCTGTGGCTCCTCGGTCCCGTCTTGATCCCGTCTACGAGCCGGGCGCATTCCATCAAAACCGTCACGGTCGCATAGGTCCCACTACAACTAGCGCCCAATTGTTGAGAGCCAAGCGGTCTGCCCCAGTGCTTCGCAGTGACTACAAACCAAGCAGCAAACAGCCGACCAAGCCTTTTCTTCCTGCTGGCGTATCGACAAGGCAGTCGCAACACATCACCGCCAAGTCGTCTACCGGTCAGCTTCGTCGCGATTCTGATCCCCGCGCTCTGTCGCCCACCCCGCGAACATATTCTCGCCTCTCGCGCCAGGTGGAGACACCAAGTCGGACCGGAAACAGAAAGGACATTGCTCCTGCTTCGCTCGTCCGCGAAGCTGCAACCAAGCGCATGTTCACGAAGCCCGCGCGGAAGCGCAATTTTGGTGACGGCTCCGAGCTTGATGCGTTTGATGATCTACCAACTTCTGTAACCAAGGAAAGCAAATACGTCAAACAACCTTCCAACCGTCAGCCATCGAAGATGATCAGACAAGTCAGCCACAGCAAGCTGCCAGTCAACCCCGAGCGATCGCAGCAAAGCCCTCAGCCTCCGCCGACGCCGAAGAGAACGCTCAAACGCGAGAACACACCCAGCTTCGCACGTGACACCGCGTCAAGTCGCATAGCCAGGGAGGAACGACTAGGTGGGCCCAAGCGACGACCGGATTCCGGGCCATTGATGCCGATCAACACTAACTGGAAAGCTCAAGTCGCCTCACGCAACCCGAGTCCCCAAGCGCATAGAAAGAAGGGGACGGGGCAGAAGCCCTACCTCATCAAGCAGATGAACACGCCTGCAGTCAAGAGTATGTGAAACTTTTACCGTTGATTACGGATTCGGATACTGACTCATATGCAGACGAGAAGGGCATGACGTACAACCCCGTTCTCCATCGTTGGGAGGGTAACGAAGCCGCACTCCACCGATTTTCTTCACCTGTGCAGGAGATTAAGCGTCCGCGTATCGCCTCTCACCACTCATACTCGCATTCTCAACCTCAGGCTCAAATCTCGAGTCATCAGCACACGCGTTCGACGCCATCATTCCCGACTCCGGCGGCTGCACCGCACGCGAGCTCGCCACCGCGGCCAGCTCTTATCTCTCACATCTCATCCTCTCGTGGCGTTCAGATCGAGAAAGGCATGGTCTTCGATCCTCGCAAGATGTGCTGGCTTAAGCTTGACCCACGCCATACTGGCCCACTGTCTCCTGCCGCCTCGATTGGCGACGAATCTGATCCTTTCGCCGACATCGAGGACCTCAAGGATGACATCGACGTCGGTGCTGGTGCTGGTGGATACTTCTCCATCCAAGGCGGCCCTAGCGTTGCTCAGACTCCTATGGATACCTTTGTGTCTGAGGAGTTCGACCTTGGACCCGGCTTCATCCGACGCCAGCGCGAAGAGGAAGAAGTGTGGCGAAGGAGAGTTGAGGGCTGGGTTGGCGGGAGGAGAGAATATCTTGGCGAAGATTGGCGATGGTCAATCAGGGACTTGTCCATTGAAATGGCCGAGCATCTCCCAAGGTAGATATATGACGCCACCACATCTGGTTCTGACCATTTTCACGTCTTAACGGCCACCTCGATCACCCGAATACCCTCACGACATTGCATGGGGTCTCGCGACCTCCTCATACCCAAGAGAAGAAAAAGAAATCATGGTATTCGGGAATCTACATGTGTTCCCCGGTGGCGTTATTGAGTTTGTTGCTTTTTTTCCAATTTGCTTTTTCTGTTCGAGTGCCACGAGTTCCCTTTTTCGAGTTACGAATCTCATTTCAGGTCTTGGATGGGATTTGGGATGCGGTTCTTTCTGTCATCAAGGGAGGGGCGTGGGAAAAAAAGGAATTCGATGACCCGGAACTTTAACGACCTGTTCACGACCGCGATACACCTATACAAAGCCTTAACGACCGGATACGACCTTGCGAGAGTTTATGATGATGACGGAGAATTTCTGGGTTTCTTTTTTCCGCTTTGTCTCATTGTCCTGATTTCAGTGCTTCTACCTTTCTGAGGCCGAGTCGATTTTGATTTCTTCATTTCGTCGAACTCGAGTATAATGGAGGAGGCCGACCTGTGTTATTTTTAAGATTCTTGGGGTGCATGCTTTCATCGTGGGGAAGAGTAAGGATGATCGAGAAGTCTGGGAAGTGGAATGGCATTTACTGAAGGGATTATGTGGGCTTGAGGGGGGTTAGAGCTGTATTGGAAAGGCGGATTGAGGAGGGAGCCGTAAGAGAACTTGCATCGGTATTTGTTTGATGATCTCATTTTGGATTGTTCACTGATGGAACGGGACGGGAATGGCTGGAGCCGGAAGAGCATATTTTCCTCTGCATCTTGCTACTTTTCGTTTTGTTCTTTCCATTCATGCCGGGTTGCTCGAGATACCTCTAGGCTATTTTATGAACTGCTTTCTGCTTTGGGTAATGTCTACTTGGGTCAAGGTGATGGGCTTGCACGGAACTGTAATATTCTCTTGACTACGTAGGTAAGGAACATAGGATCCTTCGCACCATTGTAGCTAATTTCTGTCGTTACTTAGGTAGCTTCCGCTCCATCCGTAAGTCGGGTGCCTTTGCTCGCGAATATAATTACGGAAGATCACTTCTTTTGGCAGCTCCGTTTCACTGACTCAATTTTTGGACCCCAGGATTTCCAGATCGTCAGAAGTTAACGAGGAATTGAGTTTGGGAGCTATGCTAGGAACAGGAGCGAAATCGACACATCACCACCCGAACTATGGCGCAGTTTGATCGCCCTGGCAGACCCTTTCGTCCGCATTTACGATACCGCAGCCGACACCATGCCGCTTCCTTCAGCCGAGGGATCTCTAGTTCGGGCATCAAAAAGCCACGTACTATGCACGCCGGCGCCTGGTCACGGACCACCACGCTAGATCGCCCGGGGCGGGCGAAGACGCCATGAGGCGGCGAGGCGACGGATCAATAGGAAGCGGGAATTTTTGGGAAAAGGAAAAAAAAAGTAAAAAAAAAAAACAGGAGGTGGCAATGACGAGAGTGTCCACCAGGCAACGGCGCAGGGGCCATGAAAGGTGTGCGATGGTGGTTTCATTGAGCGAGGCGGTCGTAATGTGACAGCTAGTAGAGCGTTCGCCTTATTGGGCTCTCTCTCTTTGTCTTGGTTTTTGGCTCTCGTTTTACCCCGCGAGTTTGCCTTTTTCGAAACTCTCTGGAAACCCGTTTGGCATTTCAGAGTATGCGTCGCAGAAGCGTATGCGACATCGTTATCTGCGTTTTCCCATTGGAGCGGGGCTGCAGCTTTCTGGAACGTGGGGAGGGGGGGGCATGCATATCTGCAATGGCGATTGCGAGAGTGGGTGCCAGCAGCAGCCATCTTCCGCCCCGCTGATCCCGACGACCAGGATGGCCTGCAGGACACATCCCCTCTCCACTTTCCAAGCTTTGTCTAGTGCCGACATGACACGCGTGTGTGCCGGTTGAGGGGGGGGACGCTGCTCCTCTGGCATTTCCACGTGGCAGTGCGAGTCGGCCCATGTGATTGGACGCCCCACCGCCAGCATATCAACGGCCGACACCTGGTATTCCTGATACAAAGCAAGACCATCTGCCCGTGTCGCCCGACTTGGGGTGACCTGCTGGATGCCTCTCGTCCGAGGGGCCCGGACGTGGTGCCACTGCGCCGCTCCATCGCGGATATGATCGTGTTTCCACATGAGGCAGCTTCCTGCCTCCTGCTTTTGCTGACCGCCCGTTGGCTTGGAGTGTACGAGACGATGCGTCGGGCATCCGCGAGCACCTGTCTGACGAGCTCACGTTTTGGGATGTCCGCTTCATGCTGCAGGCTTCAATGTCAGTGGCAGTAATATCTCAGGATGAGACGGGGCTGAACTTTGCTCACATATTCACATCGTTCTACTCGCAGCCACTGAATGCGTTTACTACAGGTCTTCTACCACGGTAGACTACGGGAATCTCACATTTCTACAAAGAGGCATTGCAGCCGACGACTAGCGTGGATTTATTTTTCGCTCATGGCATGGGTAAACTACATTTACATCCGGATGGTAGCTTCAACTACCCATACATGTTCTTTCTCATTGTTGAAAAAAAAAAAAAAAAAAGAACTGAGGCATACTTACGCCATGTTCGAAGGCTCTACTGTCCTTCGCGCTAGCCATCGGCTACAGCACCTCTCTGTATGTCCTGTGAAGTACGAATACCCTGGCGGTTCAGGCAGTCAGAACCTAGTCAGGATATTTGCGTGGCACGTGGTTCTATGAATCACATTCACACAAGTGATTGTCCAAGTAGGCAGGTATAATTATATATTTCGAGTGCCGTTCTCCCAGAGAGCAATTCTACGCACAACCTGCTATGGTATAGCTATGATTCATGGTAATGCTTCCGCAACTGTGTTTTCGTCTTGTGCTGAGGTAGTTTGCGGAGGAGAAAAGGGCGATTTCCGTGTAGGTGACCAAGCAAAGTCCTGAGATACCTTCGATGCCGAACATCACCATTCATAGCATCATCTTCTCAGCATCATAGATATCGAAATGTGAAGGCGGCGTCGATCCGTTGGAGGTGGGCCTTGTCTCAACTTATCGAAGGTCAAACCAGCCGCTGCACACCAACACCAGTAAGATATGTAGAATTCGCTGGACCCCTCGCGGGACACCCCAGTTTGAAGCATCTGCTCCGCCTGCGCCCTGAAGGCAACCGAAACACTTGTCATAAAAACTTTCGAATAACATTGAAAGTGAAACTTATAGATTCCCAATTCGCTTGAAAGTGAATATTAAGCCCCGATCTCGAGGCAAAATCAATATTTCTTCACTCGTCACGTTGAGCTTTGAGAAGAAGCAAGCACATGTCCTGCCACAGATCTGCTGCTGAGGGTTCATGATATACAGAGTTGGGTTTACTGGAGGTCCCTTTCCCTGGTAGTACAACACTTTGATGACCTTTGGGCGCAGAGATGGCAGCATTATACTTCAATCACGCACATAATTAACAGTTCAAGATGATGTATTGCAACAGCAAGATGTATGAATCCTCACCAGCATTTTTCTCCGGGTACGGTGCGGCAATTTCCCAGCTGATACTACAAAACAGAGGGCTGAAAGTCCCGCCCACACAGACGACACAGTGACCTCTTTCTTGAGATCAGTTGCCAAATCCTCGTAGACTGCCACACAGGAATGGATGACGGACGAATAACCGATTTTCAGACTCCATTTGCATTATTTATCCTTACAAACAGAGCCTCCTCCACCAAGCACCCGCTGACCCATGTTCTCAACAGACCCTTCACGAAAAGCACACACACCTTCATCACCCGTGTGATGCGTCAGAATGCAGCTCAACATCACAGGCGCCTCGTCACAAGCCCCAGTCCATTCCCATCACGCGCTGCTACCTGGAGCCTCAGCACAAGAATCCCATGCATGTACTTTTGCTTATTGAAGTGTCAACATCATATAAACCGTATTATATGAGAGCGTCAACTTAGCCCACCAGCCAATTTTCTACTCTTGTAGCAGTCCTTTATGGAAGCACAGTGCACTGGCTCCGTGCTCGTTCTCCTCCGTTCATACACCAGCCCGGCCGAGTCGGGGAAGCGAAGTCGAGAAAAAGCTGCACCACTGCACCATGACCGTGTTCTTCAGCAATGGTGATGGATGCTGAGCCCCAACATTCAAGTTACACGATGTATTATCGTCCTTTAGCTACGGCGCCGCGCTGCATCATTGTACAAAACTGAATGCTGCATGTTCGAGATCAGAATTGCATTCCGAGACGTGACCATAGAACGACTTGAGGTCCCCGCCAGAGAGCGGACAGTAATGGGCGCGTCGATGCTTCCAATCAGTGGAGTATTCGGCTTCGGTTTGGAATCCTGACGGCAGAGCCGAGCGTCGAAGGAAAGGTTTATTTCTCAGGTAAGAACCCTTTTTATACTCTGCCTGCACCCTCACCAAGCGACCATTTGCCCAGATGACCACAATAATACACCTCGCATGTGCGGACCGGCGCACAACAGCAGCAGACAGGGCATCAATCACGCAGATCACAGCCATCTTCACACGTACCTGAAACTGACTCCAAAACAAACATTGCATACCAAGGCCAAAAAAAAAAGCGCCGCCCAGCCCTCTCACCAAACTCCATAAAAATGGTACTGAACACGATGATTTCCACCTTCCACTTCCATCCATCCACCCAACCACCCACTCAGCCCCCATCACACCACTATCCCCAAAACCTACAAGCCCCACCCGAGCACGAGCCCCACCGTCGCCGCAACAACCGCACTCCTCCTCACCACCACCCCCAGCCCCCTCCGCAAACTCGCACCACCATCGTTGACGTAATAAACGGCCCCCAAATAACTACACGTAACGGTCCCGTCCCCATTGCCCAGGCGATTGCCATAGCTCCTTTCCAGCCCCTTCCCCATGACCGGACACGCGAAGCCGAAGCTGGCAGGACAACTCTGAATCAGGCTGTAGCACAGGTCCTCGCAAGGCAGGACCTCCTTGTAAGGCCCCGGCTGGACGAGCTCGTCGATCATGGCGTTGCGGCTGCTGTTGGCGTAGGTGCGGTCCATGAGGGTGGCGTTGCTGAGGGGGTCGCGGCCGTAGTCGGTGTCGGCGAGGCGGGTGCCGTTGACGAAGGACTGGGCGATGTTGCGCGGCTGCAGCCAGTCGTCCTGGGCGCTGAAGTCCTCGCAGCGCGGGATCGTCACGGCGCACAGCCAGTTCTTGTAGTCGTGCGCGCAGTCGTCGCACGTCTTGGCCAGCGAGTACTGCGCCGTGTTGGTCGTGTTGCACGGGATCTGCTGCAGCGAGTAGTTGAAGTTCTGGTAGTGGCTCTTGGCGTAGTCGTCGTACAGCGTCGTGAGGTTCGTCACGTTGTACTTGTTCTGGTTCGACGGCACTGCGTATGCCACCTCGCTGCAGAACGTCAGGTTGAAGATGACCTGGCAATTGCCGTCTTTGAAGGCATGGAAAGTCAGCGCCCCCCGTCATTATCCGCTAGGGTTGAAAGCATATCACTTACCGGCTTTAGTCGTGAAGTTCACTGGCGACCAGACCTGCCCACCACCGCCGACTACACCAGACCCAGCAGCCGTTGAGTTTCCGTACATGACTGGGAATGCATGATATCGAGTGCTCCCATTCAGGCCCTGGACGTAAAATTGCTCCTTCGGCTTGCTTCCCAAGCCTCTGGTGGTCATGCCACTAATTTGGCTTGTCGGTTCGTCGTTCCAAGCGTTCAACAACCCGCAGTACGACCTTTCCATGCCCTTGATAGAGGACATATTGTAGCTGTAAGCGAACAACTGGAAAGGATTTCCTGCCTTCATCCAACGCTCATAGTCTTCTTCGCCCGGGTCGGCTGTCGTGAGATTGTCCGTAACAAAGAGCGCAGATTGAGTGTCCGTGTCGACGAGATAGACGAAACTGTTGGTAGGATCGTGGTAGTTGAACTGGTGGAAGGACTGGTCGATTGAAGCCGCGACCTGAAACTGCCAATCGCCGGTGAAGCCGCTGGGTAGAGGCGAAGGAGCAGATACGCCAATGTACACGTTCGAGGTCGCGTTGACCGTTGCGCTGGCGAAACCGCTAGTCAGAGTATGCGTACTTTGCAGGTTGCTATCCGCGTCCGGCCCGGGAGATGTGTTCCTGTCGGACGTTGAAACATACAGCGTCAACTGTGGAGGGGCTTCTTCCGTCGTCGTTCCATTGATGTCCGGCTGATTGCACGTATTCATCGACACGTAAACCTCCCTCGTCTTCGCGCTCTGCCGCTTCCTCAGCACAACCTTCCCATCCTCACCCTCCTCTTCCACCTCCTCTACTTCCTCCAATTCCCTCTTCTTCAGCTCCCTCTCCATATTCTCCCTCGACAGCAACTTCTTCCCATTGATCTCTGGCAACCCCGGCGTGGATTCCGAAAAATTGCCCCAAACCGACGAGTTCTCAAACTTGAAATACAGCGTGTTCCCAGCCGTGAGCGATTTGGTGGCGACCTCGTTATTCGTCAGCGTCACGGCCTCCGAGTCCTGCCTGCCGATGATATCCCTGCTGACGCCCACGAACGCCGGTTCGTACTGCGCCTCTGCCTCCTCCCCCTCGCCCACTTGTTCCGCCTTCTCCCTCGCTGCCCTAGCGTCCAGCTCGACGCCCATGAACCCGATGTTCTCTGCTAATCTCATGTGATTGTGGTCTGCATCCTCCAACGACGAGGGCACCTCGGCCGCGTAAGCTAGATGCGACGGGCCGAGCGAGAGGAAGACGAGGACGAGGAGGACGAGCGCCGACAGCGACGCGGCCAGCCGCGACTGCAGCGGCGTGGGGTTGGAACAGCTCATCAAGGGCTACTGCTTCTTCGTACGCCCCTGCGCCGCTTCGCTCTCTCACACACACGCGCGTGGGTTTCTCTGGTCCCTCTCGCCTCCAGGGGGGGCAGACTGCCGAAATATGTCTTTGAAACCCTCGATTAAGCAGCGCTCCTTCCCTTCCCCTCAGACTATGGTGTTCGCCGGGAATCAATTGTAATTTGGGGCGCCGAAAGTGCTCGGGGAGGGTTTCGTTGGCGCGGCGGCGGGCGATTCGAGAGCGAGCGTTTGCGAAAGCGATCGGTCGTGAGGGCGAGTCGCGCTTGAAGGTACGACCAGGCCGGCCGGTAGGTATGAAATGGCGCGACGAAAGTCCGTAAGGGCAGTTGCCGTGCAAGCAAGTTGGTACAGCTAGTAGTCGAGCTGGCTAGCTTGCGCTGTCCCCGCGGGGATGAACCGTGCAACGTAGATCGGAGAGAGCGTGCGCGTCTGTTCTCCGGCCGGTGCGTGTGGAGGAGGCTCTTTTCTCTTGCGATTCGAATCTGCTTTCTTAGAATTCTAGCGTCAGAAGGGGACCCGGCGTTTGGAAATGCGCGCGGGACCGCGGCGCGGGCGTGCCAACGGCCGGTACCTACAAGCCAAGCCGAACCACTGGGGTCGTCGGCGGACCGGCACCGCGTGGTTTCTTGGGTCGTTCGGAAAACGAGTGCAGATGGATTCGGCCGGCCGATCGAGAAGGACGAAAATCCTCCCAAAAACGGATAAACAAGAGAAAGAGAGTAGCAAGACGGCCGGGCGAAAGTACGAGAACGAGAGGATGCAATTTCGTCCTTGGGAGGAGCAGAGAGGAAGCTCAAGAAAAGTAGCTGATGATCCTTGATGAGACGCTGAAGTAGCAAGGGTGCCCGCTTGCTGCGAACACAGCATGACACGAACCTCCCGCCCATCGCATCCTAAAACTAAATAATACTCTCCCGTGAAACCTTCTACCTAGTGAATCCTTCCGCTTTTCCCGTCGCGCACACGAAATCGCCCCGCCAAAGGCATTCAGCCCTACGAGAAGCACGGATTTGCTTGCCGCTTTTCCCGGTGGCATTGCTCACGATCTGAACCAGACAGCGGGAATAATATTATTAGTGGAGGCAGGTAATTCACGGGCAGAAGCGGCCCGACAGGAGTGTGGGTGTTGCTATTTTTTGCAACAAAAGCGTTCCCCATACCCTCGCCATCGGCGGGGTCGCGCTTGCGTCGTGCGATTCTTCTTCATTCTCTCACAAACTCCCGCTGTTGTGCGCCCCGTCTGTTTCTCTCTCCCGGCTCTATCGGCATCTACTTCATGTTTCAGCAACCGAGTGTCACACCCTCCCACGTGCAAAGCAAGAGAAAGGGAGCTACGGTAACTCAAAAGCTTGTTGTCGCCGTCGTCGCAAGCTCGGCAGTTCCCGAAGGATATTTCAATGTCGCTTTCCCTGGCTCACGGATATTGACAGATTCAATCGAGAAACGAAAGTCAAATATAGACAAGAATCCCATATATACCTTATACTCAGACAATGCTCATGCCCATGTTCCTTCCTCTACCCTCCGACCTTCTTTCCGGGTCCTTTGCTAGCCGTTAAAACTTGAGATGCCTCCCATCTCATCGCGCCCACCTAGCCTCTATTTCGAAACATGTACAATCGGGCATTGGCCACTAATATGACCAATACGATAGCCCTATATGCTCATCGAATCACACGTATACGCCCAGTAGATCAATCGACGCGCAAGGCTGGCGTCCGGAAACCCAGCACCATCAAAGGATACACAATCCCCAACATCGAAGAGAAAAAGGCTGACTCGAATTTACAGCTTCGCCTTCGGAGGCTCCGCCAGAGCCTCCTCGTAGCACGCATCGATGAGGTCGCGATACTTCTTCGCCGTCTGCGGACGCTTGAGCTTGAGCCTGTTCGATCATTAGCACGACCCATTATCCATCATTTCTCCATCGGAGCACTTACGTCGGCGTCAAAAGCTCGTTCTCAATCGTAAACGGATCAATCAGCAGCCGGATCGCCTTGACCTTCTCGTAGCTGTTGAACTTGGCCTTCTTGCCCGCCTTGTCCAGCTCCTTCAGCGCCGCGGCGCGCACCTTCGGGTTCTCGGCCGCCTCCTTGAGCGCCGCGACGTCTGTCTGCCCGATGCTCTTGCCGAGGACCTTTCCGGCGAAGGTGGCGAACTGGTCGGGCTGGATGCCGAACAGGCCGACCAGGCAGGCCTGGTGCGAGTCGCCGTGGACGTAGGCCGTGGCCAGCCAGTTGCAGCTGGCCAGGTAGACGTTCTCGATGCGCTCGGGCGAGATGTACTCGCCCTGCGCCAGCTTGAGCACGTTCTTGCGGCGGTCGATGATCTTGAGCCGGCCCAGCTCGTCGATCTCGCCGATGTCGCCCGTGTGGAACCACCCATCCTCGTCGATCGTCTTGGCCGTCTCCTCCGGGTTGCGGAAGTACTCGCGGAAACGCGTGGGACCGCGCAACAGGATCTCGCCGCGCGGCCTGGGCGTGTCCGTGACGAGGTATTCCATATCCGGGACGGATTCCAGGCAGAATTCGGTAGACGGGGTGGCGGCACCGCAGTTTCCTGAAGAGTGATCGCCGGAAAGCTGCGCAACAGAAGCAGCGTAGGTCTCGGTCAAGCCATAACCTTGGACGAAGTCATTCGCACAGACAACGCGCAGGAAATCCTGCAGCGAGGGATCAATTGGTGCTGAGCCAGTGACCATGGTCTTCGTCCTGTCCAAACCAAGCGCTGCGGCAGCCTTCTTCGACCAAATGCGGTCATAGAAGAAGTGCTGGGTGGTGGGGTTGGGGCCCTGCAGCGCAGCCAATTTGGTGCTCACAACATGCCTTGACAGCGCTCCCCTGACACCAGGCGCCTGGACAGTTGCAGCCTTGACGGCGCCGCCAAAACGGTTGTACAGGCGAGGAACTCCACTGAAGACGGTGGGCCGCAAAAGCTTCAAGTCATCAACCAGCTCCTGGATGTTTCCGTGGAAATAACCGATGGCACAACCACCCCAGAGCGCAGCATGCTCACCAACACGCTCAAAAATGTGGGCAAGAGGCAAGAACGAGCACATAACATCATTACCAGTCTGGTTCGTGATGGTCATGGACGAACTGGTGGCTCCCATTGCATTCCTGTGCGTCAAGACAACACCCTTGGGGTTTCCAGTCGTTCCAGAGGTGTAATTGATGGTGATGATGTCATCCGGAGTAGGAGGGTTGTAGGCGCGCGGGTTCTGCTCTCCAAGCGCCTCGACATCCCTCAGGTAGAAAATACGGACTCCGAGATCAGCGGCAATCGCATTGAGAAGGTCGCCCTTGGACTCGCCCGGTCTCTCGCCCGCGTCAAGAGGATCCAAGCAGATGATCACCTTCAACGTGGGCAGGCGGGGCTTGAGCTTCAGAAGAGACGCAATATGGTTGAGCGAGGTCGCGACGCACGGCAGCTCCGCGTGGTTTATGATGTACTCGGTGGTGTCCGGGCCCAGAGTGTCGTAAATGGAGACGGTGTACATTCCCTGCGACATTGCCGCCAGATCTGGACCGTCATCAGTCGCGCCGGAATACTGGTCCCTCGAGAGCAATCACGTACCGGTTATCTGCCATTCCGGCCTGTTCTGGCACCACAGGCCAATACCCGTACCGCGCACCGGTGACACGCCAGCTTCCTCGAACAGCTTGACCAGACCAGCACCGAAGTTCCTCCTCCTCGTCTGAACCGTCGCGTAGTCTTCCCACACGTATGCTCCGTACGTTTTCGTCACAGGATCGTAGGGACGGTGGCCAAGGCAGCGGCTTCCAGGGTTGTTGTTCGCTGCGGAGACGTCAGTGTGGCTGTCGAGCAGGTGCCGTACTTTCCAAAGGGCTTACCGGACTGCTCGAATGCATCGTGCAGCGTTTGGACCTACAAGAAAAAAAGTTAGTGATGAGTGATCAGTGGGTTCGCTCCACATGGGCCGACTCACCGTCTCGTCCAGCGTCTCCAGCGGCCGGTCGACGAAGCGCCAATGTCTGTAGGTGCCTGTCCTATTCTCAGTGGCAGTGCCGGGGACGGGCACGCTGTGAGGCTGGCGGTTCGGCGGCAGTCCTTGCAATTCAGCTGCGCGCTGGACTGCGAGCAACTTGGGAGCCATGGCGGAGTGGTGACGAGGGGCAAGACGCGAGCGCAGGAGCTAGAATCTGGGGGAACACAGCTGGTCAGCGGGCGGAGAGCGTACAAATTGGTCGGTAAGGCCGGAGGGGCTGAGGGAACTCACGCGTCGTGGCTGGAGGGCGGAGCAGGCGGGCCAAGAAATGCAAGCGGAAAAGTGATGTCAGGCGGGCCAGGAATTAAAAGGACGAGAGGTGTGGTCTATGGCTCTATATCTAAAAGCTAAGGAAATGCGGGAAAGAAGAGCCGTCACACGTCCGGGGAGAGGGGATCACACAGGGGAGAGCAGAGGAGCAAAAGCTGAGGTGCGGCGGACGGCGGTTGATACAGCGCATCGCCGGCGGATGTGCCTCGGCATCTGCCCATCTTGGGGCAACGGAACGGGCTGCGAGAATGTCGGCCGTAGCGCACGGACCTGGCGCGTCCGCCGACCGACCTGTCTTTAAGGAGCCGCCATCTCCGGCACGCAACTCACACCCCAGAACAGCAGCGTCTGCGGGCTGCTAACGGCCGGACACCCCGCTCACGAGCCCACCGCCTCGCGCAGGGGGGCGCGACCGGCTGACCGAAAAACCCAGCGCCTCCTCGCTCAGAAACACACGCCCGCTGACCTCTCCCCCCAGCAGCGCAACTGGCGCTAGACGCCCGGCAGGAATTCCGGGGTAAGCCACATGCACGCCATCCAGATCGCCTTGCATCAACCTGCGCGCCGCACGTGATGTCTTCACATGCAAAATGGAAAAACCTCCGCTCCCTTCGTCCTTGGCGTTGACACATGTCGACTTTGGACTTTGAAACGAGCCAACAGCCCCGAAGCCATTTGACAGCCACGCGGGGGAGAGGTCGCTTTTGATGGCCTGGTAGCGAAGCTCCCCCGCACATCTGCCCGCGCTGCTGCTCCATTTTCTGGGGATGCACCGGCCTTGCCGCTTCAGGCAATCTGGTTACAGGAAGGTCAAAACAGGCTCAGAACTGTGCCGAATAAATCATAGCATGACCATATTTCCACGGTGTGATTCATTCATACGAAAGCCATTGCCAAACACACCAGTTCGGTTATATCCAAAGCCTCGCCATTCATAATGCCGTGTACATAGCACTCCCCGACTAAGCGAAAATACTTATGGCACTTTCTCCGAACGACAAACGGTACATGGCTTCCCAACAGAACACAAACAAGGTCACCGGCCCGGGAATGTTCAGGGAACAGTCCGATATAGCCTTTTCCAGTCTTCCCGAAACGCCGGTTATGCATGGCTGCACTCACCGCCGTACGAAGCTCTTGAAACGTTTTTGCTGGCCTTCTGACTCGGAGATTCCCCAGCTCCAATTTCCCTCTTCCCTTTGGCTTCATCTGTCGCTGTGAATACGTTTGATCTGGAAATGTCGGCTGCATCCCCGTTGTTTCGTCCAGAATCAGACTAAACACTTCCTCGAAACTGTCCGGACATGGCTGTGTCCCGTCCGCATCCTTGCCGGCAACGAGTGTTTGACAAAAGGCGCTGAAGACCATGCCTCCGGTAGGGTACGGATAGCATCCCCGTGAAATCTCGATCCACTCACGAAGTTCAGTATTGATCAATGCCGGGTTCTCGAAGCTGATCTGCGAGTTGGTGCAGCGGCGGCTTGGCCCACCAAGCTGGTCGAATATCTTCCCCTTGATGGTGAGAATAGACGGATTGATCCTGTCGAATGCGATTTCCGGGTTCAGTTGACTTGCTGCAGCGTAGATGGAGGCGGTGCAGTGAAGGTATCCCAAGGGAATAGTTCGCCGAGGCTGTCTCCAGTCGGGCACCCATGACGGCAGGCCCAGAAGGTCCGAATCGTGGTCGACGCTGACTAGCGACCTGAATATCGAATGCCGATTCAACGCATCTGCCTGGTCATTGTGTTTTGACTTGGTGCGTTGGAAGTTGTTGATCACTCGCATCATGTATTCGCGGGTTACATCGCGATAGAGATGCGCCGCGCTCTGCGAGTAGTCGATCTTGACGCAGTCTTGGCCACAGATGCCTAGAAGTCCGTAAACCTTATCGTGAGGTACGAACGCACGAGAATACCGAGTGGTAGTCATGGCCTCAAACAGCTGGTAATGACCTCTTCGAACCCTGAACACTTCGGCTATCCCGTATCTCAGTTGCTCCAACACCTCGGCCCCGCCGCTCGTTCTTGAGTTGGTATGTCCGTCGCACCGCACCAACTTATTAAGGCCGCTCCGCTGTAAAATACCGCAAGCTGTTTTGAACTCGTCTGCATTGAACAATCTTGTGCCACAAAGTTCCCAAAAGTCATCGGACAGGACATTTTCTTGGATAACCCACAATCTCCTAAAGTATGGCCGGGCGAGGAGTCTCCAGAGCGCTTGCCAACACTCGGAGGATGGACCGGGAATTGAAAAGGTGTCGAAGTCCTCAGGCGTGAGAGTTCTTTCTACAAGCGACAAATTGGTCCGAATGGTTCTTAGGAGATCGAATGCTTGGTCGCTTTCATCTGCTTCACCGAGCCAGCCCACGGTATTGAACGCATGTCGATAAATCCTCCCCATGAGTGGTATTTGTCGCGCCTTTTCTCCTTCGTCGTTTTGATTAATGCAGATCTGATCAATCCAAATGACGACAGAATAGTTTAGTTGACGAAAGTAGCGTAATGCAGTCTCCAAGGGCTTGGTGATGGCTAAGCTTTGATCACCACAGCTTATTTTACCTTTCAGAATGGAGCTTCCCCAAGTATAACTTAGCGCCGTATACTATATAGGCTTAGTAAAATCTGCTGAATGCAAAACATGTTTGGTAGGAACTAACAGGTTTGAATTCTTCTTGTCCAAATTTCCATACTCAAACTCAATGGAACAGTGATGTAAAGTCCCTGCCAGGTGATCATCAAGTGCCCCGGGGTGAAGTTCGAGCAGTCTTATATCCCAGGCACCAGTCAAGGGGCGATAACGACTTTGGAGGAGCGATATACTGCAATCAACTTGGTCGTATATTAACTTTTGATACTCGACTTCCCCTTTGGCCCATGAATGGACGGCTTCCTTATAGAATGTTTTCGCGTATGTCTCAAAGCCGTTGAGTCTGGCGAATTGAAATGTGTGGAGTTCATTGTTGTCGAGGCTGTATATATATTGCATGGTACCATATTCTGTGGCCTGAAGCCAGGGTAGTAGCCTGAATAATATTGAGAGAGGTAAATGGTGGTATTCCAAGTAAAAAGTGGACATAAACTATAGGAAAATTCAGCGAAGATAAGTCTGCTGGCAAGTAAAAGACCCCAGGCTACCAGGGTCAAGGGCGACCTCTCTCACGGCGGACGAGACTAACAACCATGACTCCCCCACACGAAAATCATTTGCAAGAGGACTGAATGTGTATGAGATCAGCCAATATGCAATATCTATGGGAACTTGTTCCATCTAGTAGCACATCCAAGCCAGAGTCATGATGGTTCAGCAAGTTGTTCCGGGGTACTTTATTAAAACGGTGCTCAAATAGAAACAGACACACACACACTTTCCCCGGTATATTCGTGTTGGCTCACGTCTTGGCATGGAGGCCCCACGATACTGCAGGTCACATAGCGGTTATGTGCTGACATGCAGTAGCGCCTTTGCAGTGCATATATTACGCACCCATAGCATTGTTTCAATACGAAGCAGTCTCGCTTAGTTGTAAATGGAACAGGACAGTGTTCCAGCTGCAATATCGACATTTCCCAACGGCTCCAGATCCTTGGGTTGCTGCCTAGGGGAGAAGTCAGTTTTTATAGCCGGAAACGAATCTCCCTTGCACTTCTAACCGTGTTGCTGTTCTATTTCTAGGTGGAGGGACAGGGGCGGTGCACCGGCTTCATTGAAAACTACCAGCAGAGAACGAACCGGAGTCCCTAGCACACCGTTCCCGGCTAAGAACAGTCTTTCAGACACAATGGCAAATCACTCCAATGACCTCAAACAGGACCGAGACGGTATCTCATTCCGAAAGGGATATAATCGCATTTGAAGTTCGCTAAACCATAATTTTGAAGGAAACCACAGGATATATATAAGTAAGACTGACATCTTTCTTCTCTTTTCAAACCTCTCTAGACCGTCTTTCCACCACATTCTCTCTAGGTAGAACCGCTCAACTTGGCATCGACCGCAACGTCACCAGTCTTGGCAGCGTTCGCCGCATTACCAGAAGCGTCCGGGTGGGTCGAGGATTGTGCGAAGGACTGCTCGAAGTCGGCAATAATGTCGTCAATATGTTCGGTGCCGACGGAGATACGGATGAGGTCCTGTAAAAGAAGAGATCAGTAATCCGCCCTATTGTTTTGACCCGACCATTGGATGATTACTAACCTCGGTGACACCGCTGCTGATCTTCTCCTCGTCGGTGAGCTGCTCGTGAGTGGTGCTCCAGGGATGGATGGCCAGAGACTTTGAGTCACCGACGCTGTGTATATACCGTTAGTAATCTTCTAGCAGGACGGATTGCTAAAGCATCTGCGGAAACTCACTTGGCAAGGTTGGAGATGAGCTTCAAGTTATCGACAACCTGGCTACCAGCCTGAGCGTCGCCCTTGACACCGAAAGACAGGACGCCACCGAAGCCCCTGGGGAGGTACTTCTTGGCAAGCTCGTGACTGGGGTGGCTCTCAAGGCCGGGATACGAGACCCAAGCAACGTTGGGGTTCTTCTGGAGCCACCTGGCGAGCTTGATGGCGTTCTCGGCGTGCCTCTCGCAGCGCAGGGAGAGTGTCTCGAGGCCGAGCAGGAGCTGCTGGGCGGCGAAGGGGTTCAGGGCCGGGCCGATGTCGCGGAGGAGCTCGACGCGGACGCGGATGGCGAAGGTGATGGGGCCGAATGTCTCCCAGAACTTGAGGCCGTGGTAGCCTGGCGATGGCTCGACCATGGTTGGGAAGCGCTTCGCGTTCTTGCCCCAGTCGAACTTGCCGCTGTCAATGACAACGCCGCCGATGGTGGTGCCGTGGCCGCCGATCCACTTGGTCGCGGAGTGGACAACGATGTCGGCGCCGTGGTCGATGGGGCGGCAGAAGAAGCCACCAGCACCGAAGGTGTTGTCGACCTGCAAGTTTTCCAATAATGTTAGCGCTTGGAGTCGCTGCGAGCTGCCCTGAGTGGAATTGAGAAATTACATACAACAACAGGCACACCGGCATCATGCGCAATCTTGCAGATAGCCTCAAAGTCCGGGATGTTATACTTGGGGTTTCCAATGCTTTCCAGATAGATGGCCTTGGTCTTGTCGTCGATCAAGTCCTTGAAGTCCTCAGGCTTGTCGCCATTGACGAATTTCGTGTTGATTCCCAGGCGCGGGAAGGCAACTTTGAATTGGTTGTAGGTACCGCCGTACAGGTTCGAGGTCGAGATGATGTTGTCTCCGGCCTCAGCGAGCGCTGCGATGGCCAGGAATTGAGCAGCCTGGCCTGAAGAGGCGGCAACGGCGGCAACACCGTTTTCGAGAGCTGCCATACGCTTCTCAAAGACATCGACCGTGGGCTATGACGCAGTCTCCGCTCAGCTTATGCGCCCGCCAAAAACTTCCACTGGGGCTGGATCGCTTACGTTCATAATGCGACTGTAGATATTGCCAAACTCCTTGAGGCCGAACAGCCTCGCGCCGTGTGCGGAGTCATTGAACACGTAAGACTGCGGAGGTCAGTTTCTGAAGCCATTGCGCAAGAAGAAGTCGTGAGAACCCACAGTGGTCGCGTAGATGGGTGTCGCGCGAGACCGCGTCGCCGAGTCAGGCTCCTGGCTGTGAGTATCTTGTCAGCACAGTCATGAAAGCCCATCGCGCTGAGTAGCACATACCCAGCGTGAAGCTGGAGGGTCTCGAATCTCTGGGGAAGCTCGCCGCTCATTTTTCCGGTCGCAATCTGGGGTTATTTGCAGGCGTTACTCTGGTCGTATGACACGACCGGGTATCTGAAAGTCACAATGTGGAAGCTGCACTGAAGGAGAGGAGGAGAGAAACGAAAGAGAGCGGGAAGGAGCTGGAATATTTGAGTCCCGAAATCGGTCGCTGGGATGACTGTCTTTGCGGGGACTTGGGATGGCGTCAAGCACGCCATTGCTCTTAACGCGTGAGCATCACTTGTCCCGCCCCAATTCGTGCGACCCTCTGGATCGCAGAAACGCCCATGCTCAGATAGGTGTGGTCGTGGGGGATCTCAACTACAAATGGCTATTGTCATGTGTTTTGCGCAAGAAAGTCAATATATGAGCCTGTCGATCGGCGTTGTTTGGACGCGCTGGGGGTGCGCGAATGCTGCTGGAAATTGTCGGTGCGCTGCGGGGTAATCCTTATCGATAGAAAAGATCCTTTCCCGCGGACCGCGCAGCTGGCGCCAGGAACAGTCTTCCTCCCCACCATTGTGAGGTCATGTTGCGTACGCGTGGCTCCGTCTCCTGCCATGTGGAAATGCCGTTACTTAACTACTAGGTCCCATTGATCCACGATTCTAAATTAAGGAGCGCTGCCTCAGTACCTACATGAGATCGCCGAAGCGAGTGGACCAATGACAAGCTTGCTGAACCTAAGCAGTAATCAACGCGCATTGACGCTGCCAGGCTAGTCGTGAGACGTTTCAAGGGAAAATGCATACAACAGCGTGAAGTATGAGATTTGGAATCCAGAGCGGTTGGAGCAACTACACAAACATGAAAGTCTAAAGAGTTGCGTTTGATGTTTGCTTCGAATGCTTGTGTCCCTCGTTCGTCTTTTATCTCGTGTCGCATTAACTTCTAAACTCCACGGGGTAATTATCCCGCTATCCGTCGCATGCTTCCATTTGTATGACAAGCACGACAGTTCATGAGGGTAATTGGTCCTACCGTCAATAGTTTTGTCGTATGATGTGACTAGCCAGTCGGATTGCGTCCGAGCTCACTGTCTGACTAAAGCTCCCGTCATTGATCCAGCACCGAGGCCTGTATCACCATTTATAGATGATTCCTTGAAAATCCGGGCGCCCTTGTTGGTCGATATTTTTAGACCCCAATACCATCTGCGAACTTATGCCGGACCTGTAGACCATGTTCCTTTCCATAACGCCACCTAAGATGCAAAACCGCTTTTTGAAACGAAATCAAGCCGACCTTTACGACTGAGACTTGGGAATGACAAATAGGCTGGGCTTCATGTTGATTTTGCACAAACGTGCAACGCATCCGGACAGCTGCAGGAAAGTTTGCACGCCTTCGAGAATGCGCATATGTGTGAAGCCGATTTCTTTGATGAACTCGAGCTTCGCGTGCTCAGACAGGGTAGGAATCGTTTTGGTGACCTTGAACATAGTGCTGATGATGTCGTGACAAGAGTAACCGAGGTCCCTGCATCAGACGTCAGCGATACTGGCACGTGGAAGTAACGGAGACGGAACGTACCAAAGTTCACGGAGTGTATCGAGAGCTACATCAACCTTCTGCTCGTGGCAAGCCTTGATCATTGCTTGAACCTTGATGGGATGCGGACTGTCAACGACCTTGAAGACATTGTCACCGTTGACGAATCCGAAACCTGCGTGTGTGCTCTGCAAGTTGTTGATTGCCTGACGCATATCTCCCTCGGCCGAGAACACAAGAGCTGCAAGGCCGTCTTCGGAGTATTCGACCTTCTCCGCGTCACATATCAGCATCAGTCGCTTGACCAGCTGCGCGTCGGTCAATCGGGAATAGCGCAAGATGGCGCAGCGGGACTGAAGCGGTTCGATGATCTTATTCGATTGGTTGCAGGCGAACGCAAACCGGGTCGTCGAGGAATAGATTTCCATAGTTCGTCGTAGGGCCTGTTGCGCACCGGACGTCATGCTGTTGCCCGGTCAGCATCGTACGAGATGGCAATTTAGCGTGACGTACCTGTCTGCCTCATCCAGGATGACAATCTTCTGGCGGCCTGCCGGCAGCGTGACTTTCTTCTGCGCGAAACCCTTGATACGGTTCCTCACCACATCGATGCCACGCTCGTCACTGGCGTTGAGCTCCAAGACCGCTTCCTTGTACGCATCTCCGAGCAGCTGGCGAGCCAGGCACAATATCGACGTCGTCTTTCCAATACCGGGCATGCCCGAGATGATAACATGCGGCATGTTGCCATCCTTGGCAATGATTTTGAGGCGCTCGATTGTCTCAGTGTTGCCAACGATGTCGTCCAAGAACACGGGACGGTACTTCTCAACCCTGTATGCAATCAGTGTGGGAAGCGGCGGGGTGGAGCGCAGGAGCGGACCATGGCAGCTCGTAGCCGGCGGCTGCGCCGCTTGGCTGTGCCTTCAGGCCGTTGCGAGCGGCAACGCTGGAAGATTCGGCTGTCACCATGGTGGCGAGCGATACCGTTGTCGTGGTGGGCTTGCGCAATGCTGGGCTTGACGATATCGCGCAGTCGCGTAGACGCGTGCTCGAACGCGCCTGGAAAACGGTGGCCCGTGCCCTGCCAGGCTCCAGGGTCAGGGCTCAGCCCTTCCAGGCTTCGGCTCGCCACAGACCGGGCGCTTCGATCTCCGTCAGCCTCATTAGTGCTCTCACACACTCCCCGCACCACAACATCCCTCCTGTCATGCAGGGCCCGGGGCCTGGACGGCTGCTGTCGCACTCCCAATTCCTCGAGCCGCCCTGATGCGCTCGCGCCTCTGGTTCCCCAGCGCCCTCGCCAAATCTGCCAAAAGCCGACGGAGCGCCGGAGACAGCCGCGTCTCGGGCCACACGACCGCAGCCTTACGCGTCACACCCGCCCTCAGCGAAGTCTCAGCTTGGCGCCCCATGCGGTACGGCGCAGCGGCGGCAGCTGGCCAGCTGGCAGCACGCAATCCAATATGTATGGCCTGACGAGCACCTTGGCCAACAGCGCCCAGGTGCTGAGCGCGGCTCGGGGCATGGCAGATCTCGGGCACAGCGGCTTCCGGCGCATCGCGGCTGTTCCTGTCGCAGATGCTGTGGGTTGCGGGTGCTCGCCTTGCATCCTATCATTCTCCAACACGGCGCTTACCAACAGCCTCCCGGCCCCCAGAGCCGCTCTGATCCTGACATGGTCAGCGTATTGAGCAATAATGCCCTGCACAGCCTGGCTGATCGCGTCGGCCAAGCAATGCTTAGCCGTCAGCTGTCGAAACCGCCCGTTGCAATTGCACGTATTTCTCAGGACGGCCCCGCGCTGTCTGCGCACCAGTGCCAGCCTCGTCTTCCCTTTCTGTTGATCGTCTTTTTCGCCGGTGGCGCGTGAGGTAAGCTTGGTCCGTCGTTGCCGACCACCGCCACACTACTTCTGGAGAGTCGTCGTCATCACCGTACGTCGTACGTACACGCCGCCGGGGCTCATAATAATCCCTGATCGCACAGCCGTCGCAGGCTCTGCGCGGCCCACTACCCGAGTGCCTCTTGCCTTCTTGAAAAGTTATATCCCGGACGGCATCCTGCCTTGCTCTGCATTCCTGTTTTGTACATCTCGCCAACCTCTCGTTCAATCGGAATCATGAGGTGTACTGCCGCACTGACGCTCGCTGCGGCGTTAATATCCTTAACCGACGGCCTCCAATTGGCCCCGAGATCAGTATGTCGCTACCTCCTTGCCACAGCATCCATCCCCTAACTTTGAGTTTAGAACTCCGAACCTAAAGTTGTCGGCGCCGAAATCCAGAGGAGAGAAGTCATAAATCCCATTGCACGCGACCAAGCGAGGAGAAGAAGAAAGCGGGACAGCCTACAGGCTACTCTTGACAATTTGGAAACGCTCTACTTCCTGAATGCTACCATTGGAACACCCGCACAATCACTCCGTCTCCACTTGGACACCGGCTCGAGCGATCTCTGGGTGAATACCGATGAATCCAGCCTCTGTTCCTCCTCCAGAAACGACTGCTCAAGCGCTGGCACCTACAGCGCAAACGACTCGTCGACATACGAATATGTAAACAGCGTGTTTAACATTTCCTACGTTGACGGCTCTGGTGCGTCCGGCGATTATGTCAAAGACACGTTCAGCTTCGGTGGTACCAACATCACCGAGCTGCAATTTGGCATTGGCTACACATCGACCTCATCAGAGGGTGTTTTGGGCATCGGCTATACTTCGAACGAAGTCGCCGTCAATCGAGCAGGTCTCGATGCCTATTCCAACCTGCCCCAGCTTATGGTGGACAAGGGACTTATCGAGTCCAACGCTTACAGCCTGTGGCTGAACGATCTGGATGCGAGCAGAGGAAACATTCTTTTCGGCGGCGTGGACACCGAAAAGTATCATGGCACTCTCGCGACCCTTCCCATCCTCAAGGAGGGCAACCAATACAGGGAACTCATCATTGCGCTGACTGGCATTGGCGCTAATGGCGAGAGCGGCACCTACTTGAGCGCCAACAGCAGCAGCGATGCCGTTCCTGTGCTCCTCGACACGGGCAGCAGTCTCACCTATCTGCCGGATTCCATCGTCAGCAGCATTTACTCGGATTTCAACGCCGTTTACGACAGCAGCGAGGGCGCCGCTTTCATCGACTGCGACTCAGCGGATAGCGACGACACGCTGGAGTTCACCTTCAGTTCCCCGACAATTAGCGTCCCGATGAACGAGCTGGTCCTCTTGGCCGGTTATTCACGTGGCCAAGCCGTCTGCATCCTTGGCATCAGCCCAGCCGGAGACTCGACTGCCGTGCTTGGTGACACCTTCCTGCGGTCCGCTTACGTCGTCTATGACCTTGCCAACAACGAGATCTCGCTTGCCCAGACCAACTACAACGCTACGGACTCCAACATCAAGGAGATCACCACTGGCACCGATTCCGTGCCCGATGCGACTGGCGTCGCCAATGCCGTGTCGGCCCTTGTGGCTGCGACGGGAGGCGCGAGGAATGACGGCTTGGGTGTCTCCGGCAACGCTGCCATGCCGATGAAGACCGCCATGCCAATAGCTCCCGTCGCCGCCGCGGCTGCCGCGGGTCTTCTGTTTGCGCTGTAGTCCCGCCAATCTTCATTGGGGCACGGTGATCTTCATGCGATCCCGGCCCGCTTTTGCTTTTGCGTCACGACCGTATGGGGCATCATGAGCGTTTCATCTTTTAGCTGTTGCATTAGGTTTTGGAGTTAACTTTGGCGGGAGTTTCACATATTCTAGACGATACCTCTAGGCTATTTTTCAATCGTTTTATGACATAGGGATAGCGATGAAGCGGGATTGGGAGTATATATCACTTGAACATTATGTGGACAATACAGAGATGATTAGGTAAAGAAGAAACCTAAAGAAGAAACTATTGGCTGTGCGCACGTTTCGTGAGTTCACGAAAAGTGCTTCACACGATAACTCGGAGAGGGCTGTGCGAGTACGAAGTGGGTTTAGTTTTTCAGGTGGCTGATCCTCATACTATCTTGGGCGCCTGGCCAGAAGAAATCTATTGGCGCCAGATGGCGCCATCGTCTTATGCTCTCTGCCACAAATAATGAAATGTGGAAAGTGTAACAGGTGTGTGAGAGATTAAGATTGTCAAATGCCAACCCCAGACCCCGGTCTCTCCGCCTATAATGCGGGCGCCACTATATGACCCTGTTGATGCACCCTTTTGGCATGTGGGCCGTCTGCTCGCGGGGGAACTGCAGAACGGGAAAGATCCCTCCCAGCAGAGATATCGAGCGGCAATAAGAAGTCTGTGAACCCCCAACAAGGGAAGGATTCCGAGGCATTGAATCTAAATACAAATTCACCCGCTTCGAGACGAGCACGTAAGATGCCCAAATCATTTGGCGTTTCGGTTTCTTTAGAATTTCCGGCTAAACCACGCGTGATTCGTTTTCCTGCGACTTGTTCTGGGCGCGGACGACACACTCTGAAGAGCTGGGGGCTTTCACAAAAGCGGTAGGTCGGCTAGAGTCAGTTGCTGATCGAAGGAGCGAGCCCATCAAGTCTCGCGTGAGAGCTCTTGTGATGGATACGGAGGCTACAGAAGCTCATTCTTCATCTGATCAGATAAGATCCATATTGTTCAGCCCTGCCCCTCAACGCTGCCCATCAGACCACAATCATGTGTTTCCATCTATCCAGTATTTTCCCAATTGCAAAATATCCGTTGACGCCGATTATTGTGCCGCCCTCAATCACGGATCTTTAGTCTCGTCTTTTAACGCCACACCCGCTCAAATGCAAATAAGATGTCGAAAAAGATTCGGTTTGGGTAGCTGTTCCGTTTTTTCTTCATGCATCGCCGAAGTCCTCCTGCTCGCTTCCGTCGCGCCTGTAGGGTATTGGTCAATTGCTGCCAATCAAGTCATGCGCGGCAACTGAATCACTTACGGAATGTACTTCACGCCCGCAGCCTCACATGCAGCTAACTGCTCCTCACCAAGCTGCATAGAAAGGACATCACATTAGCAGAGGTTCTTCCCTTTCAAATCCAGCAAAGACTGGCACTCCTCCACCGTCGGGCTCCTACACCAAGTAGACCAACCTCGCGCGGACAAAAAAAAGAGAAAAGACAGGGAGAGAGAGCAGAGGACTTACAATGCCGGAGACCTTGGTGGCGTACATTCCGGGCACGTAGCCGTCGAGGCGTTGCCACTTGGCGACCCAGCTCTGGCTAGGGTCAGCGAGAGCGATCAGGCCCTCGAAGACAGCCGACGTGCAGTCGGCAATGTGCGCCTCGTCGGCGCCCTGCATCTCCAGGAACTCGCAGTTGGGGCAGCCCAGTTGCCGGAACTTGTTGGCCGGCTGCACGAAGCTGCACACCATGCACGCGCGCAGGTGCCGATGCTGCGATGGCGTCACGTACGAGCGGGACATGGCTGTGGCGAAAGGCTTTTCTTGGTGTTGGTTATTTGGTAGGCGGTTGCTGCTGGCGTTTGCGCGGCGGGACGCGTGGCGGTTCGATGAGGGGAAACGGTTGAGGCGCGCAAGCGGTGGCTCTGGGGCCGAGTATAGGGACGGTGACCGGAGAGGAGCGCGCGAGAGCTCAAGGGATTCGTGGTTTGGTTGTTGAAAGAGACGGCGGCGGAGCACAATGGGGGAACACAGCAGCTCGGAGGAGCCGCGCATTGGAAGCGGGAGGGCTGCACGGACCGCGCCTCGGCCTTCTCGTGCTTTCCGCCGCCGTCATCGCATTCCAGAGCCCGTTACTCGAATTTGACGAGTTCTCTCTTTTTCCCTCCTCCGCCCGCTTGCCCTCTACCCTTGCGATCTTCAGCTCAGTTGCATTCTGCCCGGCTGCGCCCAGCTCCCGCGCACTCTCGCCTCCCTTCGTGCCTCGCCACTGCGCGTGCATCTGCTTGCGCCTTTAGACTTCCACCCCACGCGTGCTCTTACTTAGCTAGGCGCACGCCCCGAGCGTCAGCGGCGATTCGGTGATAGCAACAGTAACTGTCTCTGCCCACCAACCATGGGTGCACAGGAAGACGCCATTGCCCTCAAGGAGAAGGGCAACAAGGCCTTCAAGGAGCATGACTGGCCCACTGCCATCGACTTCTACACCAAGGCCATTGAGGTGTACGACAAGGAGCCCTCGTTCTACACCAACCGCGCCCAGGTATGCCTGTTCACCCCGCTTGCAGCAACCGCGCACGCGACAAGGAGCTGACGGATCCCTGTGCAGGCCAACATTAAGCTTGAGGCATACGGTTTCGCTGTTGCCGACGCGACCAAGGCGATCGAGATCGACCCGAATAATGTCAAGGTGCGTGGATATTACCAAGGGAAGGGTTGTTTAAATGCATTGCTGAACAAGCCTCGGACAGGCCTACTACCGTCGCGCCGTTGCCAACACGGCCATCTTGAAGCATAACGATGCGCTCCGCGACTGGAAGATCGTCGTGAAGAAGAACCCCGGCGACAAGAATGCGAAGCTGCAGCATGCAGAATGCGAGAAGATTGTCAAGCGCGATGCTTTCCTCAAGGCTATTGAGGTCGCCGATGCGCCCTCGGCTATCGAGGGCCTGGACCTGGACAACATGGTGGTGGAAGATGGCTACGACGGCGCAAGGATGGAGGATTCGAAGATGACCAAGGAATTCATCGAGGACATGATCCAGCGGTTCAAGGATGGCAAGAAGATCCACAGGAAATACGTCTACCAGATCATCATCGCCGTGAAGGAGCTAGTGTACAACGAGCCCACCATGGTCGAGTATGACGTTCCTGAGGGCACCAAGATCACCGTCTGCGGTGACACTCACGGTAAGTTGCACAATTCGCTCTGTTCCTGCATTAGCTGACCATGTTGCAGGCCAATTCTTCGATCTTCTGGAGATCTTCCGCCTCAACGGCTTCCCGTCGGAAACGCACGCATATCTCTTCAACGGCGACTTCGTTGACCGTGGATCGTGGTCGACTGAAGTTGCGCTTACGCTGTACGCCTACAAGATGCTGTACCCCAAGCTCTTCTTCCTCAACCGTGGCAACCACGAGACGGATGACATGAACCGCATGTATGGTTTCGAGGGCGAGTGCCGCGCCAAGTACACGGAGCGCGTCTTCAAGATCTTCTCCGAGTCTTTCTCCGCATTACCGCTGGCGACGCTCATTGGCAAGAAGTTCTTTGTCCTGCACGGCGGACTGTTCTCGAATGATGATATCAGCTTGGACGATGTGAGGAAGTTGAACAGGCACAAGCAGAGACAACCTGGCCAGAGCGGCTTGATGATGGAGATGCTGTGGACAGACCCTCAGACTGCACCGGGCCGTGGCCCCAGCAAGAGAGGTGTCGGCCTGCAGTTTGGACCTGACGTCACGAAGAGGTTCTGCGAGAAGAATGGTTTGGAGGCTGTCATCAGAAGTCACGAAGTCCGTATGGAGGGTTACGAAGTCGAGCACGACGGAAAGTGCATCACTGGTAAGTGCTCTTTACATGAAAGCTGCTCCAGGCTAATCAGATGGAAACAGTCTTCTCGGCACCCAGGTACTGCGACAGCACGGAAAACAAGGGTGCTTACATCAACGTTGGCCCCGAGTACAAGCTCGAGTTCCACAAGTTCGAGGCGGTGCCGCACCCGCCGATCAAGCCAATGGCGTACGCGCACAACGGCCTCATGTCGATGATGTAGATGGGTTATTGTGTGTAACGATTTGATGGCCTTTTTCTCCAGTTGATGTCTCGACAGCGGAGTTCTCGCATGTGGCAGCATTTGCTCGCTGCCATTCCGAATCTGGATTCCAAAAGCTCATTTTTCGGTTCGTACTTGCATCCGGTCTAAAGAGAGCAGAGGGATTTGGATGGGCGTTCTTGATCTATCATGAGATCACTGTTTTTCGTATCCTGGGGATTGCTAGGGAAAGGCTTTTCTTGCATAGCGTTGCGAGGAAAAAGTTTGTGGTGAGCCAAAGGGAGCTACATTCGGATGACTGGAAAGAGAGTCTTGATTCTCATACAATCTCTTCCATTTCTTTCGCTCGTCTTCTCTTCTTGATGTGTTTTTCAGAGATCCATTGGCTGATTTTGGAACGTTTCTGGCCCCTGGCGTAGGCGCAGAAACGGTTTTTCCTTTGTCCACTTTTCAGGGCCTTATCAGAGGCGCTGGTCTCCAACTGGTTGGCTGGCTACATGAGTTGGCTGATAGACGAGCATTACGGGTTGCTCTGGAGGCGTCAGGACTGGTGCTTGGTGGAAAGTCGTTTTCTACGCAACGCTGTTTCCCTTCGTAGTTGCGAGTTCGGAGGCGCCGTGTGCATGGTGCTCTCTTAAGTATAGGCATGTGAAAGATGAATATAAGCAATCGAAATGGCTATATACACCCCTCCTGACCGGCGGCAATCGACCTGGACATTGTCTTTGTATCGTACGCGGCGACCACATCAGACGTCATGGCATGATGAAGAAGGTGGTGAGGGCAGCGGAGCCTCTCGGTGCAACCGCGGCGCGCGCCGCCTCACCTTCTTGTTTGCTGAGTGGGCTGGGCCACAGACACACACACACAAGCAAAAAGTCAAACGACGTCAGAGCCCCAGTGGGAACTTTTTGCGGGTCAACGAGGACAGGAGAGGGAAGGCAGGCCGGCGGCCGGGCAACCCGAGTTGTGGGTCTTGCAAGCCTTAGCTCACAGCTTACTAGTTAGCTCGAGCCCTTTTAATTGCTTGCCTTGCCCCTCCATTTACCCCTCCTTCGTCCTTGCTCATCCACACCAACTTTCCCATCACTTCACAAGGTAGGTTCGGCTTTTCGGATTTTTCGTCAATGTGTCTGTTTCTTTTCCATCGTGGCGAGCGAGCGAGCTCGGTGCCGCACGGTGTCTCTGGGTTGCCTTGAAGCGGCGGAGGGGCAAGACGTGAGATCAGACCACGAGCTTTAGGGGCGCCATTGAGTCTCGCTGCTTGGACTATTCTTATCCTCCTCTCTTGAACCCAGGAGAAAGAGGGAAGTGTGGGTGAGGGGCGGGAATGCGGTTCACTCCACAGCTCCCCTTGAGGGCCGGGGGGTGCCGGGCTGTCCGCTGCGAAAGCGGCGCATTGGCTGCTTTTCCAGCATCGCCGTCACCCTTTCCAAAGACGGGGAGAGCTCAGCGGCCTTCCCCTCTGCATCCGGACTGCCAGGCGTTCGATCTCGGGGTCGCTATTTCCTAGAGTTCCCAAGCGTCCAAGCCTTAAACCTTCGTATGCGTTGTTTGGAGCGGAGCTGACGATCATCTGCACCAGCAAAACCAACCACCTCAGCAAAAATGGTCTACACCATCGTCGTTCACCTTTACGCCAAGGAGGGCAAGGAGGTCGAGGAGAAGCTCCGCAACAAGCTGATCGAGGCCTCGCAAGTCTACTCCAAGGACAAGGAGACCATCGGCTGGCACGTCATGCAGGACCACAAGGACCCCCGCAAGTGGTGCATCGTCGAGCGCTACGAGCACGAGAGCGTACGTTGTCCAAGACCAGCTGAAGTTGTGCCCCCCTGCGAATTGTGTCTAATCGTTCCGAACAGAGCCAGAAGTACCACCTGGAGAACCCCTACTGGAAGACCTTCGACCCTTATGTCATCCCCCTCCTGGACAAGGAGATGGACCTCCGCCGCTTCCACGAGCTGGACACCAGCAAGCCCGTCACCGTTGTTTAAACGGGGTGTGGAAGAAGTTTGAAACGCCTGGAACGGATGACCTGTATTAAACGAATGTAAATATCATGAAATCAACCCAGGGTAAATCCCTGTTGTCGGCTCCTCATTGCTCATTGACACGTGCTCTTTTGATGGCTCCTGCTTTGCCGGTTGGGGAAGCAGTCATGTGCACCTGGAGGGAGGTGGTCGACTGAGGAAGTTGGAACTCGATTATTTAAATGCCCTGGCTTTCTTGTCGTCAGCCAGTGTCGTTGCAACTAAGATTTCGCAAGGACTGCGATATCTGCAAAGAAACTTGTGGAAGCTGCCAACGGGAGCGCCACGGTGACTGCGTCTTTCGGTGCGTTCGGAGAGCCTGCTCGCCTTCTCTCGAATGCGGAGAGTTTGTACGTGATAGTATGACAGATCATGATGCACTTCATCAACTCATGTTAATGCTAAGCCACTGCACACTGACAGCTACTTGATGTTGGACTTGGTTTGATTTTATTGACGAGATCTGAAATGATTGACAAAAGCTAGATTGTACGGGAAGCCTCTGTCGAAGTTCTCTTTTTCCTCCGCACTATAACACTCCGCCAATCCACAGTAGAAGTTGTTGCGCCAACCGTTTTGTATACTTTCCTCTTGGTCCTCTCCATGGTAGATTCGAGTGCAGTACCGAATTACAAAACCCTAACGTATTATTTATAGGGAAAGGATGCCATAGCTTCAGCAGCTTAATATTGTAGCGATAACCGGTGGAAAGGGAAACCGCGTAGAGCTTGGATAATTTGGCAGCGAACGGTCCGGGAGAGTCCCGTGCAAACGCACCTTTAGCACAAGGCGGGCGGGATTTTAAAGAAATATAAAGTTCGGCTAATACACCTCAACGCATTTACTTCACCTTCTCGCCAAGCGAACAGAGCAGCGTCGTCACTTGTAACGAAATACTGGACTAGTCACCCTTGTACTTTTGTGGCTACATAAGCGCTTCAAAGACGATTCATAGCTCAGTGTTTCCAGCATCAAATATTCTATAAGTCAACTCCAACACCAGCATTAAGTAATGATAATCATATAATTCATTAGATGTTCTTGTCCTATTGCCTTATTATCGAATAATGAAGTGAACGAAGCAATCTAAATTCTATGCCCCAAGGAAAAGCGCCCAATAGATGGGTGCAGTAGCGAGTCTGGAATTGCACATGTCACCGCACGACGATGGAAGTAACCGTAATATCTAAACCTCACTGGACGCTGGCAAAGAATCCCACATTTCCCCGACATTTATAATTAGAGATATTTACCCCACTTACTTGGGTAGTTGAAGCGTACGTCTGGATGCATTTGTATAATTTAGAGTACAAATGCTTACTCAGATGTCTGGCCTCATTGTCCAGGCGGGAATTTGGAGGGTTTTCACAGACATGAGACGCGATCGTGGTGAAGCTCTGGAGGATGTTCTCCGCATCACACCCAAGACATCATCATCTGCAAGATCCATCTTTCTCATCGTTCTTGGCCCAATTCCTTGTGCCGTGCTTTAAACAAGAAGTACTGTGACTTACGGTGACTACGCCAGCACATCTGTCATCGTGCTATGTTGTTGAGAAGGAAGCTGCCTAATCCGGAAGATGAGGTATCGTGAATTCCCAGAGTAAAGTGTCGAGAGATAGTACGCCTGCTATACTCTGAGCCTCCTTGTTGATTGTCTGCTTTTAGCGACGAAAGAGAAAAGAAACAGACATGCTGGGCACTACTAGTGATAGAGGAGATCGTCGACACCGCCCGGAGCACAGTGCTCCGAAGACGTCAGCTCGGACTTCTCTCGTCCGGAAGTCTAGACACGAAATTTGTGGGCGACAGCTCCAGACAGGACTGGATGATTAGCACTGCACGTCTGATTGGACCGCCAAACACTGTCCCATGCGTCGATTGCCTGCTGTCACCAGCAACCAAAGGGCGTTCGTGCACCGGCGCCACCGGTGCCGACATGGGCCGGTCTCCGGAGCCGTCTTCGCTCCCCCGCAATCTTTCGCCTGACCTGCCCCACCATGCCCCTCTCTCAAAACGTCGACGGCTTGCTGACGTTTACTTTTCCTTCGCCCGCATTCCAATCATGCCAGCACGATCGGCGGGAGGGGGAGCCATCTGCTGCAGGGCCATCTCATCCCGGATTACAGAAACACGACGGCCCGCAATTTATCTAGCTTGGCCCGGCCGGCAGGACAGCTCCGGGGGAATTTGAGGCTGCGATTCCCCGCCAGCTATAAAAGATAAACAAACGGCCGCGCTGCCCACGATGTCGTGATCTCGCTATCGGGCCATTCCGTCGAGCACGCAATCCGCCAGCCATTGACCGTTCCGGCAAAAGAAAAATAAGACGCAAATAAAGGCATTGAGCCAGCCCCTCATCCGAAAAAATATTACTGGAGTTCCCTGGAATTCGGTCAACACCACCACCGCACAACCGTCGTCATGGGTAGCAACGGCGTCTGGCCCGCGGAGTCGGAGAAGGTGTGTACGTCTGAAGCTCTTCTTCTCACCCTACCATTATTCTTCTCCATTATCTTTTACCGGCCATAGTGCTGCAATTGAAAGCATGCCTGCCACCCAAAAAACACAACCCAGCTAACCGCACCCCCAGAACCCCTCCCTCCTCCTCCACAACCCGCACGACTTGCGCCCCTCAAACCGCCCCGTCCCCCAACCCACGACCCCTCACGACGTCCTCGTCCGCATCGCCTACGTCGGCTGCTGTGGCAGCGACGTGCACTTCTGGCACCACGGCGGCATGTCGCGCAAAGTGTCTCCCACCAACCCCATCGTCATGGGCCACGAGGCGTCCGGCACCATCGTCGCCGTCGGCGCCTCCGTCACCTCGCTCCGCCCCGGCGACGCCGTCGCCATCGAGCCCGGCTACCCGTGCCGCCGCTGCCGGCCGTGCAAGGAAGGAAGGTACAACTTGTGCAAGCTCATGCGCTTCGCCGCGGCCCCCGGCGGTATCGCGGCCGGCGTCGAGAAGATCGCGACGCATGGGACGTTGTGCAAGTATTTCCGGATTCCGGAGGACTTTTGTTATAAGTTGGGGGAAGGGGTCGGGTTGGACGAGGCGGTGCTGGTCGAGCCGCTGGCTGTGGCCGTGCATGCGAATCGCCTGGCGGATGTGAAGTCGGGCCAGCAGGTTGTTGTGATGGGCAGCGGGACGATCGGGCTGTTCTGCGCGGCTGTCGCGCGCGCGTTTGGGGCCGCGAAGGTCGTCGTCGTCGATGTGTTGGAGCGGAAGCTAGCCTTTGCTGAGAGCTTCGTGCCGGGCGTGCGGACCTTCGTACCTCCTACCGGTAAGCCGGAGGAGGGCGTCGATCCCGACGACGTCAGCCAGGCGACCGCCGCGCGCATGGTCGACGAGCTCGACCTCGGCGACGGCGCGGACGTCGTGCTCGAGGCGACGGGCGCGGAACCATGTATCCAAACCGGCATCCACGTGCTCAAGTCGGGCGGCACGCTCGTGCAGGCGGGCCTGGGCAAGGCGCGGACGTCGTTCCCTGTGGTGCGCATGAGCGAGAAGGAGTTGACCGTCAAGGGCTGCTTCCGCTACGGCGCCGGCGATTTTGAGCTCGCGCTGCAGCTGATGCGCGAAGGGAAAGTGTCGGTCAAGCCGCTCATCAGCTCGGAGGTGCCCTTCGAGCAGGCGAGCGAGGCGTGGGAGAGGACGGGGAGGGGCGAGGGGATCAAGAATTTGATCAGGGGCGTGCAGGATTGAAGGGGGGGAGGGGGGAGACACTTTTCGAGGTTTGAAAAAGATTGACGTGAAATGATATGACGTTTTCGACTGTGTACAATTGCGAGCTTGCAGGATCCGAAAGCTGTATGTACAATGTAGTTTCAGAAGAAGAAAATTTACCCCATCGAAACCGTGTCTTACGAGCCATTACACTCTCTACTTACGTTGGTGAACCCGCTGTCCCGACGTTTTGTACTATTCTGTGAAGTCAATTTTCCGGTCCGGATGTGCTGTAACTCCCCCCGCCAAACGAGCCTGTACGATTTTGAACACTGTAAAATCCTTTGTAACTCCCTTGTGTGTACCATCTATTTCTTCCTTGTCCTTCACGTCTCTAGCAACACAGCAGGTGTCGACAGATCTTGGAAGTCAAATTCTGCTCCTTCTCCTAAAATCCCTCCGAGATCCCCTTTTCGAGCGGCAACGGTCGCCGGCGCGGCAGAAGAAGCAGGAGCGGTAGACTGAATAGCGGCGGGGCCCATGCTGTTATAGACGCCCGGTGCCGCTGCTTTCTCCGGGTTGGCATGCAGCAGATGCACCCACGGCTGCAACCGCTGCGCCCAGAGGTGCAACGCGTCATCAATGTCGAGGGCCGAATACTGCAGATCGAAGAACTGGGATGGCAGCGAGCTGATCGAGAGCGGGATCTTGTGTTCCGAGAGGGCGGTACGGATGACCTTTTCACGTCGGTCTATCTGGGGTGTCAGCATACAAATGAATACTTGGTAAGAAGAAAACATACGAGATACCGGCCAGCGTTGACCGGAAGTCTTGAGGGCGTAGACTAGGAGATCGAGGTTGCGGGGGGTTTCGAGGTTGAAGTGTTTTGCATGAACTATATCGAATAAATGCGTCAGTTCTCGAGAATGCCTCAGACGATTCTGGTTGCTTAATTAATAGTCATACCGAGGAGGAATCGCGCTGCGACGAAGATGCAGAAGCTAAGTTGTGGATTCGTGGTCTCGATATCAACATCGTCCACTGAGCGCACAGCTGCGGTGATGTCGTCGCAGCTTTCAAGGCAGCGTTGAATGGCGTGGTACCACGGTTCAAAGAGGTGATCGAGACCGTGTGGCGGAACGGTGAGCCGTTGGTGTATGAGAATAATTGCACTTTGCCTGAGGTTAAATTAAGGGTACACCATTCGCTTGTGGGCTGTCACTTACGCATTGAACATGCATCGGGTCATGAGGATGTTGGGGTCAAAGGGGGTGAGAGTATTGCCGGAGGTAAATGCAAGAGCGCCGGAGCCAGCCCGCCACTGTAGAAGCCGAGTATCCACTGCCTCGCAGTCTGATTGTGCCTTTGGACGGTCTTCTGCTGATCTCATGTCGTACGATTGCTGTAGGAAATTGTGGACATGCCAAAGCTCGTTTGTGAAGAGACTGACGTAAAGAGACAAGGATGAGGAGAACTCGAGGTCATCAAGCGACCATATACCCATGGCTGCCTCGGAAAAGGACCACACAGCATTATTGCAGGGTAATAATGCGTTTTCAATAGGTTGAGGTAAACCAAGGTTCCAGGCTACACCAAGAGTGGAAGAGGAATCCAGGACTTCAGTCATCCAGTATGCGCGGACATTCTCCTCTTGCGATACCAAAGTACTGGGCAGTGGTAGCATGCGCGGCGGAAGAGTGGAAAGTTGGTTGAAGTTGGAGCATTTGTTAACCACGAGATCCCGGAGGCCTAGAAGTGTGGATATTCGCTTGCAAAGGGCTATGAGGTTCCAGTAATCCGTCAGCTTGCCGGCAGCTGAATCAAGGAGGGTGATGATCAGGATGGACTGAAGGCATTTTAAGGACAAAGTGCCCATTGCTTCCATGACAACCTCATTGCGTAGAGATTTGCAGATGCGTTGTCTTTCGTCAAGAGATGGAGCCCCGGAGAATGAGGAATGTGCAATAGTCACAGCAGCGATAGCCTTGAAAACAATATTCAAGTGGGAATCGGACGGGGGGACATTGGTCTGTAAGACATCCAAAACGGAGGGTTGATGCAGGATTGAAAACCAAGGATGGTAGTCGCGAAACCACAAGTCGCATAACTCATTTAGGACTGGAGGGCTAAGAGGGTCGAATGAGTGCGAATTAGGCGGAGTGGGAGATTGACTTGGCGAAAGGCGCGGGCTTTCACTTGAGGAGGCGGCGCTGGCGTTGCCGGAATCCGAAGAGGATGGCGGTGGGGGTTGCTGAGTTTTGAGATCGCGAACTTCTCTCTCAAGAATGGCTAGAGATTATCAGCCTTATGCTAGACTGGCAGGGCGACAAGACCCACAGAGCCTCTTTTCCAGCTCCGAAACATAGCCGGCGCGAAGGCCGGGCTGCTTCGCAGTGACCCAGCGACATTCCAGATTGCTTTGGGTGCAGAAGTTGCAGGCAGGGAGGCGGCGATCACACTTCTGCTTGCGCGTCCGGCACACTATACAGCTACCAATAGCTTAGCAGTTGATTACGGGCAGTCGGCAGCAGGGGGAACGTACACTGTCTTGCTAAGGCGACGGGAGTCTTCCATGTTGGGTGGTGATTGCTGAGTCGGAGGAGATGGCCCGGTGGAGCAGTGAAAGGCTTTCCGGCGAGCAGGCGGCGATATGACGCCCTACGGCGGGTAAGACTTCTGGGGCGCCAGGGTGCGAGGGCGAGGCAAACACTGCTGGCGGCGGGCCGTGTCTCGCCGAAGGATGGCGAGCAGTGGGGACGCGGGGCAGGGCAGCGGAGGTCTCGGCCCACCTTCCTTCCCCACGATCTCGGAGATTTGTCATGGCCGCTATGTATAGGTATCTTGCTATTGTAAGCGGCAACAACAATCATGCATCGCTCTCTCCGCATTTCCTGCCCCGCGATGCATCCACGTCACCCGCGATTTGCTGTCGTCGGAAGCAGCTGCCCTCGGGCCACATTCCCCGAGCATGCTGTGTCACCGCGGGGCCAGATCACCGCTCAGCTTCTGTCTCACGAAAATTCCCAATCTGCAGGATCAGGAGTATATAAGAACTAGTCCAATCCTTGGCTTCCTTCCCAACACTCTCTCTTCTCTACTCTTCAATTGACATCCCTTCGCCCGAAATGCTGGCCACCGACTCCCTACACACCATCAAGTTCCCAACCTTCACCAAGCCGGAGCCAGCACTCGCCTCGAAGACGCCCTCGCCGCCGGCAAACCCCAGCGAAGTCGCCTCCAAATGGCTCACCTCGTTCGCCGGCGCGCTGTCGGCGGCTGACCTGAGCGCCAGCCTGCCGACGGTGCTGCACGCCGACTGCTGGTGGCGCGACCACCTGGCGCTGGGGTGGGACCTGCGCACCGTCCGCGGCCTCGACGCGCTGAAGACGTACGTGGGGGCCGGGCAGCCGCGCTTCCAGCTGCAGCCGACCAAGCTCGCCGACCCCTCCAACAGGTTCGCCCCGGCCGTCAAGTCGCCGGTCGAGGGGCTCGAGTGGGTCGAGAGCATGTTCGAGTGGGAGACTAGCGTCGGCCGCGGCAAGGGCATGCTGAGGCTGGTGCTGGATGGCGGCGAGTGGAAGGCGTATATGCTGTACACGGCGCTGCAGGAGCTCAAGGGGTTTGAGGACAAGGTTGGCGTTAGGAGGCCGCATGGCGGCAACAATTCGCTGGTTGGAGGTGTCATGAATGGTGGTAATTGGACGGAGCGGAGAGAAAGACAGCGTGAATTTGTTGATGAGGAGCCGCAGGTTGTCTGTGTGGGGGCTGGTGAGTGCGGGCCGAGTCAATTCGTTTGCGAGTGGGAACTGACGCACTACCAGGCCAATCCGGTCTCAACATTGCCGCAAGGTTGCAGGCCATGGGCGTGTCATGCTTGTTGATTGACAGGAACAAGCGTGTGGGCGACAACTGGCGGTGCAGATACAGGGTAAGCCCCAAAGATACTCCCACATACCTCATCCAACCCCTGACATACGGCGTAGACTCTCGTCACCCATGACCCCGTCAACTACACCCACATGGCATACATGCCTTTCCCGAGCACGTGGCCGCTCTTCACGCCCAAGGACAAGCTCGGCGACTGGTTCGAAGCCTACGCCACGCTCCTCGAGCTCAACGTCTGGCTCTCCACCACCATCACCTCCAGCTCCTACTCGGACGCCACCCACACCTGGACCATCACCGTCAACCGCGGCAACACCGGCCAAGCCCGCACCCTCCACCCGCACCACGTCATCTTCTGCACCGGCCACTCCGGCGAACCCAAAATCCCCACCTTCCCCGGCCAATCCGACTTCGCCGGCACCGTCTACCACGGCAGCCAGCACGCCGACGCGACATCCAGCGGCGCCGACCTCTCCACCAAAAAGGTCGTCGTCGTCGGCACGGGCAACAGCGGCCACGACATCGCCCAGAACTACCACGAGGCCGGCGCCGCCAGCGTGACGATGGTCCAGCGCCGCGGCACCTACGTCATCTCGGCCGCCGAGGGGAAAGGCATCTTCGCCATGCACCAGGGCCTGTACGACGAGTTCGGCCCGCCCACCGAGGACGCAGACGTCTTCGCGCAGAGCTTGCCCGCCGCCGTGCAGTTCGCGCTGCACGTCCCGTTCACGACGATGGTGAGGGAGGAGCTCGAGCGCGAGACGGTTGAGGGGCTTACGCGGAATGGCTTCGTGCTGGACTGGGGCCCAGATGGTAGTGGGCTTTTCAGGAAGTACATCACCCGTGGTGGTGGGTACTATATTGATGTCGGCTGCTCGAAGCTCATCTGCGATGGCAAGGTTAAGGTTGCCAACAGCCCGGATGGTATCAAGGGCTTTGAGAAGGACGCGCTGGTCCTCGCTGATGGAAGGAGGCTGGAGGCTGATATCGTCGTGCTGGCGACCGGCTACGATAATATGCGGACGAGCGTGGCGAAGGCGCTCGGCAAGGAGCAGGCGGATAGGTGTCAGGACGTGTGGGATTTGGATCGGGAGGGTGAGATTAATGCGGTAAGTCATTCCTTTCGGAACGTAGTGCTTGAGACTGTTTTTGCTGATCTGCGTGCTTGACAGATGTGGCGCCCCAGTGGCCATCCTGGATTGTGGTTCATGGGCGGGAACTTGGCGCTGTGTAGGATCTACTCGAAGTTCCTGGCGTTGCAGATCAAGGCTGTTGAGGAGGGCTTGAACGCTTGATGGAGTTGTAGTTCTGGGTGATAACGAGAAGAAACAAGAGGTAGAAGACTGTCTAGAGAGTGACTGCTGAGAAGCCATGTATCGAACTGAAAGTATCTCAATTGTTGCCACGTTTGCCGTCGGAATGCGGAAAAAGAGTTGTATGAACAGTTTCTTAGCAGCCGAAGTGGGTCCCAAAGACAGCAGCTTCCTCACGTGGATAGTCAGGGCAAACTTCTGGATGACGATTCCAGAGCGCCCAGCCGAAGCTTTCAGCCCCCTCACCGAAGATAGTATACCAGGTTGTTGTATCACTTGATCGTTAGGATAAACTCATTGCCGGAGTCTGTCCTCTCCAGCCCTAAGCGCTCGTGGGATTCTGGAGGTAGAGGAGTCCCAGGTAGAAGTAACCGCCACTCTTGTAAGAACATAGGCCAATCATGGCCAATTCCAGGATCCACTCTGATATAGAAAAACCCGCAGCGATTGAAGTGTTGAGCATTTTCAGCAGGTTCAAGGACGAGTCCGAGGATAGTGAAAGAACCACCGAATCGTATATCGCCCTTCTCAAATGTCGCGACCGCTACAGGCAAAACGTAGCACGCCTTTAATGATAAGAGATCCGGATTATCCAAGTGGCGTCGCACTTCGTAAACCCACCTCTTGTGCATGATTTTTAAAGGACGATGCTGCTGTTCGTATAGGTGACGACGCGTGCTCTCGTGTAAAATTCCCTGAAGTTTGAGATAGCCATCGGCGATCTGTCCAAATGGCTCGTGAACGGGTGTAGTTTCTGCGGCTATAATCCTCACAAGGTCCCGCCTAGCTTGCGGAGGGTAGGGGGGATAAACTAACCACTCCATGTCCACCGACGCCCAAGACCAAGAAGGCGCACGGTAACTTGTCGACCGAACCGCAGTGCCAATATCATGCCAAAGGAGTTGCCACGCCAAATCGGCTTTCCACAACCCGGCCAAATAGGCAGCTTGCGCGCCAAACTCTTTCGCAACGCCGCTGAACGCGACGAGCTTATCCTCTTCGAATGTCACCCTGCAACTGCTGTATTTCTTAACCAGTTCGAACCAGTCTGAAAGTGTGCGGGTTTCCCTGATGTGACTCTTGTATGCCGACCTTCCAGAACGAACGGGGATGAAACCATCAAGTTCCGGGTACATTTCGCAAGCAACGGCTTCGCATTCCCAATGCAGTTGTTCCCCGAAAGATATCGTGCGTGGTGATAGGACCTGCTCCTGGAAGACCCATCCCCCGCGGCCGAGAGCATTTTCCTCGTGGTTGTTAGGATGATGACTGTTAACGAATGCGTAAAAACCGTTCTCTAGGGGTTGCCTGTCTGCGCTGGGTGCGGTCCAGGTTGTCCTCGCCAGGAAAGGGGTCCACCAGGTTTGTTTACGATCCACAAAAAAGCCATCCGGTCCATCAGCAGCTGCAGTTGCCGCAAAGTTACAAAACCCATGTTTGTATACACGACCCATGGCCGCACTTTCCATCTCCCAATCTTCGTTTGAATCTTGAATGATACACAGACAGTCTATCCAGACTTAATCTATGCCAAGAACCCTTGCCATTTCAAATGCGTCAAGGAAGGTTCTAGATAGCTCCTGTACGGGGATGGCATCTTTGAAAGCTTCAAGCTTGTCTGTTGTAAGTTTCACGAGGTCTCCTTTCCACCGATGGCTCAAGGTGGTGTATGCTGTCTGTGATGGAATTGCTGATCCCTTCACTAATCGTGGCGGTGATGTTGTGACATTGACTAGTCGTGTTGGTATCCATCCTTCGCTGTCAAATCGTTTGCAGTGTGTATGATTTTGAAAACAATGCTCGATCCATTGCTTTGCGAGGGTTATGCACGACTCGCTTCCCGTATTCGTCGGCAGACGGCGGTGGGGGTAGAACTGGATTATATCCTGAGAGAGCCTGGACAGGTCGGGATTTCCTCGTGGCAAATTTAAGGCAAAGTCTGTGAAGACGCAACGTTCAACTTCGAATAAGAGTGTCCTCGCTGTGGTGGGGCCCCAAAGGCTAAAACAAATGGTTGGGTTTTCGTTTTCTTTCAAAGTGAGTCCCAAAGCCCTAGGGCGAAACTCAAGGTAATCAGAGATAAGCATGCAAAACCGGCATCCATCTTTAGCTGATTGTCTAAGGTCGGCAAGGCTGAGGTGTTTGTAGAATATTCCGTCTTCGCAAGGGCCGGTGAAAATGGCTGGGCAACGATCACAGAGCATGGTTTCGTCGAATGGAATAGGGACAACAGTGGTTGCCCCAAGGGAAGACAAAATGGCAATGAACGACTTGTGAGGTTGAGATTACGAGACCAGCCTGCATGCGCATCATTGCGGGGATGTAAGAATGCCAAGGAACACGTGAGCAGGATGTATTACAGGTTACACAATATGCTATTGGAGGGGTTATTTAGAGAAAAGAACTAAGGTCTAGGTTGGAGACCGAATGCGTTTTTGCCAAATAATGTTAATAGAAGCAATATTGAGATATTGAGTTCTTATTCGCGTGCTCTAGGAAGCAAAACAGTGGCTCAAGTATGATTGACCTCAGCGGAGTCTTGGCCAGGATCAGGACTGTTGCCTGTGTCCGGAGGGATTGAGAACTAAAGGCAGACCGAGCAGGTGGCTTGATGTATTTTTCTTCTGGTGTTCTGTGTAATATTAAGTTGGCTTGGCTATTATCAGCATCTTTCCTACAGACACACATGGAATTCGCCGAGAAGGAGTTGGCGAGTAATACTACGCCCGTATCAGAAATCACCCGTATCTTCAGGGGAGTTGCGATAAGCTATTTGCAATGGACATTCAAGCCTTTTAGAAAAGCCCGAATCTTCGACGGCGAAGCCTTATTACAGCGATCACAACGGTCGGACGAAGCTCGCAAGACTCAAGTTCAGTGGCTGGCTAGACCAGGAGCAAGGTTATCTGTGGAGAGAGAGTGCAAGGCAGCACTCAAGCACCGAGCCAAGCTCGGGTGAGGCTCCGCATTTGCGGGTCGGGGTCTGATAGGCATGGAACCAGGGCTACCGCGGACGAAGATCCAAGGGGCCGCATGGCGGATGACGCAGCTGGGCTGCGACGAAATGAGAGCTGGGCGTGGGAGCGGTGATATGTCCGCTGCATGATATTGCCGTTTGGAGCAAGGACAGGTTGATAAGGAAGGCTGCAGGGACCATAGATATGGCAGATGAAACAGGAATTCTGGTAAGCGCGAGAGATTGCAAGTCATGGGCGGGCGCAAAGAGCGCTTCGCGGGCTGGTGTCTGGGGCAAGAGCTGCCGGCTCAGCCCGGTTGGGGGCTCCGATGACCGGGTTTTGCTCGTCAAGGCGTTATGTCACTCTTATCGCGCTGCGCGCCTGGTGCCGCTAACCCACACGGCAATCGACGCCCACACAGTCCCGTTGCCGACGCTATCGCGGGGCCTGGCCCAGTAGTCGTGTGCGCAGGGCTGAGGGCGAGGACATCATAATGGCGGCTCTGCGCCCGTCTGCGCCGCTCACACACCGAACGCTTTCCCTCCCACTGGTGGCGCGTCGCGCAGAAAAGTGAGTTCACCACACACCTCCACCCCGGAAAAACCGCCGTCTGTGCGGTGCGGAGCAACCCTCAGATCGCGGATTTGGCGCCCCCAGCTCTGCGCCATTCCGACCGCTGTCCGCCCGCGCTGGGCGGCGCGAGTGGGTACGCGCGGTGTCATGGCCCACGAGACCGCTTGCTGACAGATTTCCCCATAGGACGACCTCCGTTCTCTTCCTCGTCGCCCAAGCCTCAATCGCCGCCCGAAAACGCTTCGGTGCTCAACCACCATGCGCCAGAACTCGGTCGCCAGCAGCCGCCATGGCTCCGTCGACGCCAACGCCAACGCCGCGCTGGCGAAGATGGGCTACAAGGCCGAATTGCCCCGGAATCTGAGCATGTTCTCCGTTTTGGGCCTGTCGTTCGCCATCATGGCTGTTCCCTTCGGTCTCTCCACCACCTTTTACGTACGTTGCGATTGCGCCCTCGAGACACACAATTGGCTGATTTCAGAAAGATTACCCTTGCCGATGGACAATCCGTGACTATCCTCTGGGGCTGGGTCCTGGTTTCGCTCATTTCCCTCGGTATCGCCGCGTCTTTGGCCGAAATCTGCGCCGTGTATCCGACCGCCGGCGGTGTCTACTACTGGGCTGCCATGCTTTCGACCAAGAAATACGCACCAATTGCTTCGTGGATCGTGGGCTGGCTCACACTCGTCGGAAACTGGCTGGTCACTTGCAGTATCAACTTTTCCGGCGGCCAGCTGATCCTTAGCGCCATCAGCCTGTGGAACGAGGATTTTGTCGCCAACGAGTGGCAAACCATCCTGATGTTCTGGGCCGTCATGTTCGTCTGTTTCTCGGTCAATGTCTTCGGCGCCAAGTATCTGGACTTGATCAACAAGATTTGCGTCTACTGGACCGCCGCCAGCGTTGTCATCATCTTGGTGACGGTTCTGGCCATGGCCCCTTCGAAGCGTAGCGGCGAATTTGTCTTCGCTCACTTCGACGCCTCCGGAAGTGGATGGTAAGCTCAGACTGCTCATGCCCCGATTTTTGCAATTCCTAACTCGTTTCGTCTAGGCCGTCCGGCTGGGCTTTCTTCGTCGGCCTTCTCCAGGCTGCCTACACCTTGACCGGCTACGGTATGGTTGCCGCCATGTGCGAGGAGGTCCAAAACCCGGAGCGTGAAGTTCCCAAGGCCATTGTCCTCTCGGTCGCTGCCGCTGGCGTCACGGGTGTCGTGTATCTCATCCCCATTCTTTTCGTGCTGCCTGATGTGCAGATGCTTCTGAATGTGGCTAGCGGCCAGCCCATTGGTACCCTTTTCAAGGAGGTGACTGGTAGCGCGGGCGGTGGCTTTGGCCTTCTCTTCTTGATCCTCGGCATCCTGTTCTTCGCTGGTACCGGTGCTCTCACTGCCGCCAGTCGATGCACGTATGCCTTTGCCCGTGACGGTGCCATCCCCGGTAGCCGGCTGTGGTCTCGTGTCGATAAGCGCTTCGACATCCCCCTCTGGGGTCTGGTTCTCTCGACCGTTGTCGACTGTCTCTTGGGTCTCATCTTCTTCGGATCCAGTGCGGCTTTCAACTCCTTCACTGGATGCGCCACCATCTGCCTAAGCGCCTCGTATGGTGGGCCCATTCTTGTCAGCGTCCTGCGTGGTCGTAAGCTGGTCCGCCACTCGACTTTCTCTCTCGGCAAATTCGGTCTTGCTATCAACATCTTGACAATCATCTGGATCGCCTTGGCCGTAGTGCTTTTCTGCATGCCGGTAAGCTTGCCTGTGGATGCGACGACGATGAACTACGCTTCAGTTGTGTTTGTCGGATTTGGCACCATCTCGTTGGTGTGGTACATCATCAGGGGACGCAAGGACTTCAAGGGCCCGCCTGTCATGCAGACCGAGAACCCCGAGGATATCGGAGTCGTTGCTGGAATGCCGGTCGTGCCAGATTCATCGAGCGCAGATGGGACCGAGGGAAAAGAGGAGCTAGCGAAGGCTTGAAGGAGAGGAATGTGTTCTTGTAGATCATTGTAGCTTTGTCAATACCACTGTGATTTCTGGCTCCCATTTATCCGTGCATAATGCTTGCGTGTAGCTGTGTTTGGGAATATAAATAGCGAAATATCACAAGCATGCCGTGCAGTGTTGTTGAACGGAAGTCGGAGCACTGGTGTCTTGTGTTTAGAGAAGACGAGGGAACGGAGTGGAACAGGTTCCCCAGCGACAGCGAGAACCAGGAGAAAGCTTGACTCAGCAAGGCTCCTCTGCAATCGGCTGATTCTGGTAGAGTGGAGCTTCCAGACGAAGGCGTTCAAGCAGTCGGGGCGAATAGCGTGCTGGGCCATTCTGCAGCCTGTGACCGCCCAGGGTGAGCGGTCTTGGCGCATCATCACCGGCGTTGAAGCTCTGAGCTCAACCCGGCCGCCTCCAGCTCCAACATCACACATCCATCCGCCCCTCCATCTCCACCAACCCCGCCTCTCGCGCCTGCCGTCCACTCCAACTCGGGCCATCGCACCTTCGGCCCTCCTCCGCACCCACTTTCCGCCTCTCCAGCCGCACCGCCCAGCCTGCCCGCCATGCCCGCCACAACAGCAGAGACGCTGTCGCTGGTGACGCGGAACGTGTCCGTCGCCCCGCTCGTCCTCCTCTCCGCCGCAGACCACTACGGCCGCACCGCCAAGGGCACCAAGAAGCGTGTCGTCGGTGTGCTTCTGGGCCAGAATGACGGCAAGAACGTCCGGGTATCAAACAGCTTCGCCGGTAAGCTTGGCCACGCGACACTCTCCCCCGGCGCCAGCGCCGCCACAACCGCAATCGCTGATGAAACATTCGCTGTGCAGTGCCCTTCGAGGAGGACGAGAAGGACCCGTCAGTATGGTTCCTGGACCACAACTACGTCGAGTCGATGAACGACATGTTCAAGAAGGTCAACGCCCGCGAGAAGCTGATCGGCTGGTACCATTCGGGCCCCAAGCTGCGCGCGTCGGATCTGGAGATCAACGAGCTGTTCAAGAGATACACACCCAACCCGTTGCTCGTCATCATCGACGTTCAGCCCAAGGAGGTCGGCGTGCCGACGGACGCATACTTCGCCGTGGAGGAGATCAAGGATGTATGCCATCATCGCCGCCCACAACGCATTCGTCGGGATAAATGACTAACGCTGGAGGATAACAGGACGGCACCACCACCACCAAGACGTTCGTTCACACGCCCAGCATAATCGAGGCGGAAGAGGCAGAGGAGATTGGCGTCGAGCACCTGCTGCGCGACATCCGCGACGTGGCCGTGGGCACGCTGTCGACGCGCATAACGTCGCAGCTGCAGTCGCTGCAGGGCCTGCACCTGCGCCTACGAGACATCGGTACCTACCTGCAGAAGGTGCTGGACGGCGACCTGCCCGTCAACCACGCCATCCTCGGCAACCTGCAGGACGTCTTCAACCTGCTGCCCAACCTTACCACCCCCAAGCCCGTGCCCGCCGCAGCCACTGCCGACAGCAACGGCGCGGCCGTCCCGGCCGTCGGCGACAGCGACCTCGCCCGCGCCATGAGCGTCAAGACCAACGACCAGCTCATGACCATCTACCTCAGCAGCTTGATCCGCGCCATCACCGCTTTCCACGACCTCATCGAGAACAAGATTCAGAACAAGCAGCAGCAGGAAGACAAGGAGAACGGTGGCGCCAAGAAGGAGGGCGCCGAGAAGCAGGCCAACGGCTCCGCGGCAAACGGCGGCTCCAACACCGCCGCAAATGGGGAGAACAAGGACGCGAAGGGCGGCGATAAGGGGAAGGACAAGGCGCCGGAAAAGAAGAAATAAATGGGAGAGAGATTGGGGGGGAAGACAAGGGAGAGTTTTCCGTAGGAAAGAGATTAATGCCGAGAGAGCATATGAGCATGACAACTTTTTTTGAAGCCTTTTGTTTTAAGACGTATACTTGGCGGAGGTGGTGATGACGGTGGGGAAAGTAGTAGACGGAGACGGAGACGGAGATGGAGAGACTTTTTGTTTTGCTTGCATGACCGAAGCTCTGGCATGGGGTGTCTTTTCTACTTGTGTGTGTTGCAAAACGGGGCATGTTTGTCTCATTGGCGCTGCTTTCTCTTTGCTCCTACCGCTGCTGCTGCTCCTGCCGTTGCAGCCGCTGCCGCTGCCGAGCGAGGGTCTCTGCTATACACTGACTGCATAGCTGCTCTGGATGGGGTGATTGTTCAGGGCGTTGTAATGAATACTATAGAGCGCTTGTTTGGAAGTCGGTTCTGCTTCCTGTGACTCGTGTGTGGGCTGGAATAATTGTTTTCTGGCAGTTCCGTGTCACGGTGCTGGATGTACAGGCACTTCCAAGAAGCCCGAGGACTACAATGGAAATCCTCTCCGGATTGTCTTGGCCTTGATGTACACCGCCTGGAAGACCTCTCCAGTAGGCAAGACCAGAGCGGAGATTCAAGCCGAATCTGGTCATGCCTGGCTTCTGGTCACCATTCGGGATCCTCACAAGTATGGGCAAGAAATTTGTGGTCTTCTGCTCGGATATGCGCAACTCGAGCGACTATAGCAAGGCTAGAGAAAGGGATTCGCTTTTTCGAGCGCGTAGAAGGCATTTCATCGCCCACCTCAAGATTGATGACTCGCCCTAATGCCGAGGTTTGCACACTGAACTAGCTACGGTCCTGTCGGTGGACACTCTGATGAACGCCCATGGGTAGTGGAGAGGCTCCCCTCTGGACAAGATCGCGCTACGAGCACGGGGTTCCCATCAAGAGGTATCTCGTCAAATGGGAAGGCTGGGGACCTGCCCACAACGTCTGCCGATCTGAAGCGGAGCTCGACGGCGCTCAAGAGCTCATGGACGACTACGACGCACTCCACCCGCTGCCAGAAGGAGACCTAGAGCCCAGAAGGACCCGGGTCGCCACGACAAGACGAAGGCGCAGGAGGATGTGAGCCAAATGGGGCCCAAGCTGTGAGAGAAGGAGGAGACTCGGACGACGACGAACGCCCTTGGGCTGTAGAGAGACTCCTCTCCCGGCAAATAAAATACGAGCACGGTTTCCCTATCAAGCGCTACCTGGTGAACTGGGAAGGGTGTGGGGCTCCGCTCACAACATGTGGCCCTCCGCAGCGGAACTCGATGGCGCCCAGGAACTCATGGAGGAGTATGACGCTCAACACCCCCTGCCCCAAGAACACATGAAATCCAGAAGGGACCCGAAGCACCGCGACGAGGAGAAGACAGAGGAGAACTTAAGCTCCAGCACTCGGCTTTCTGGAGCGACCCGGGCACGATTCGCGCAAACTACACCAAACCCCACAGAACGAGCGAAAAAAAACAAATTCACGCTAGTCGTCGGCCGTAATACCCCCCTCTGTAGATGGAGGTTGGGTGGTCGAGGTAAATGGTGAAGCCTTCCGTGCTACAGTTTGGAAATTGGGAACAGCTGTGGCGGGATCTTCGCGTGATGACTAGAGATGGTGGTGAAAAGTTATTGAGACCTCAAATTTTCGTGATGATAGATGGGCTTTCTAAGAGCTTAGTGGAGTTGGGTGAATAATTGGTGAAGAGTATGATTGAAGGGAGTGGACTGGTTGAATCACGCAATAGTCTATTCAGAGTGAGATGACGTATTGGAATAACTTTCATAACCAAGTGAAGTCTGTGAATGAGCACCTTTATCACCTTTTGATGGTGGATTTCCGCCTTCATGCTTTACGTACTATTTTCACCTCATTCGCACACTTGCTTTTCTGCAAACAGCGTCCTCTCGTTTTGTGTTTCCTCTTGAGACTACTTTGCTACATCTCATGGAGAATTTGGAGCACATTTGGAGAATGTAAGCGCAAGTCCAAATTCATACAGACGCATCTGAATATGAACTTCACTTATGTATGCACACAAATGGGGGTGCAGTATCTTGTGGTAAGTATGTATCGACTATCGTGGTTTCGTGGCGACTCGAGTGTCCAGTTGAGACTTACTTTGCTATTTCATCCGCGAAGTGAGCTGCCGCTTACTGGAGAAGGGCATATCCAAAAGCCATCATCGTCTAATGTCCTCGTCATGTTCTATATCGGTGTTGATGAAGAACCCGTATGAATCAAGATCATCTAGCACGGCGTCTGTGGTGTAGCTTGCAGAGTGCTCTCGGCGTCCTGGCTTTGTAGGAGTTCGAGATTCAACCGGTGATGCTCGGCAAAAGCTCTGAGTTGGCTCGCACAGGTTGCGACCCCTCTGATCCGTTGCTTTTCGGGGCTCTTGAGTTTTCGCCAAAAGATCGTTTGCCAAAAAGTGGAGTCGGTTGACTGATCCAGCTTGACGAAATTCGGCTCCGGCTGAGAGCCGGCGCCACGGTTGCACGTAGGAGTGAGATCAAGGTATGCAGAGCGGATGGGGTGGGCCGTGGGACGGTGATTTATTTACTACCTTATGAAGGCTCAGGGAGGAAGAAGATTGAGGCTCCGGTAATTATGTCGATTAGTTGTCTGCAGTGATCTCATTGCTATTTGTTAATGAAGTTGTTCTCTTACTACTCGTGTAGCCCTACCATATGGGTAGTTGAAGCTATCATCCGGATGTAAATGTGGAATTGATAATTATATATCCACGTCCGGACGATAGCTTCAGCCAACCATATATGAGCGAGAGGTGAAGGGCGTCGTAAGGATGAATCAGTTGATGCTCCAGATGCACAAGGTCGTGGAGAAGCCGTAGATATTGACGAGCCATTGCATGATGAGTGGGGGGACGACACCAGAGAGGCAGGTGCCAGCCTGGAAGACGTTTTAGAATGGGATTGTAAAGGGGTATGTGGTATACTACTTACCACATGATGCCAGGAATAGATGAATAAGAATATCACCTGCTCGCTATAGAAAAGAAGTGAATGTGGGAAAGCCCAAGACGAGTTCGACATTCCCTGTGTCCATCTTTACCTTCCAATACGTTGCGGCCAAATAATTTGCCTTTTAGAAGGTCCTTTTATTATCAATCTATGGCTTAAGACCGTAGTGAAAATGTAGCTTGGAATCGCGGGGCGAGAAGAACAGCCCGCCATTTCTTTATTGGCTTTAAATACACATATGGACGTGAAGAGCTCTTTTTACAGGAGATTGGTGTGCACTACTCTGGTTAAGTGGAGCGGGAGTGGAGCGCAAGCGGAGCGCAGAGCTATTCAAGAAGCTTATACCGGATCTCCGAACGAAGTTGGAGGATTCTGTCCGTACGGAGAGCGATATTTACATCTCCACGCGGACAATTGCTCCTACTCTCCACAAGAACGTAGGATATCAAGGCTATTTTTCTACGCGTTACTTGTTAGTATAGCTGCAAAACATTATCACGTCCGTTGTTGCTGCGCTGCACTACTACGCGAATCAAAGGCATTCGATGAGGTCTTGTTAAACTAAAACTAAACCAAACTACTTTCCACGGAGGTTAAAGCACTCGTACTAACGCAAACCCCAAAAGTCAGACTACTATACTTGTATCAGATGTCTTCATTCTCTTCGAGCACTGGGAGATGCTAACTAACTTCACTGCCATAAGGTTATACCCTACTTTGTGAGCACGTCTTAGTTGAATCTATCGGCTGGCTTAAGTGTCTTCTGCAAAATAGCTCTCGCTGCGAATTTGGCGTCTTTGGCATTGCTACCTAGTCCTCTATGTCCTTTTCTTTCGAATCTGCCAATATGTAAAGTGCCAGCATTTACTACGTAGCACCCAGCTATGAAGTATAGCTCTTATTTTTATGCTTATATATACTTCTGACGATTCTGCACATAGAATCAACAGCATTCCGCCTCCATCAGCCCACGCCCTACCCACCCCAACCCGCCGCCCACGCAGCCGCCTCCTCAACACTAACAACCTTCTCCTCCACGCTTCCTGCAAACAGCCCCGGCGCCCTCTCGACCAGCAAGCACGCCAGCAGGTGCTTGCACACGGGCGGCACGTGCCCGGTCTCGCCAGTACCCCTCCTCAGCCCCCCGAAACCAAACCGCTCCCAAACGCCTTCGCCTCCATCACCTCCCACACCACCCTCCTCCTCCTCCCCTGCCGCAACGCCTCCTTTTTCCTGCTCCCCCTTCGCTTCTTCCTTCCACCCATCTTCCTCCATCCCGGCGGCGGACCCCTCCATCAGACCAGGCCCAGGGCTCGGGCTCGGCTCAGCCAGGTTCGCCGGAAACGACGCGAACGCGAACGCGGGGCACGAGCAGTTCCACGCGGCGAGTCGGACCTCGTACCAGTTCCCGGCGGCAGCGCCAGCGGGCTCGGCGGCAGATGATGCTACTGTATCATCCTCGTCTCCAAGAAGGGCGCCATGGCCGCCGTGGTGGTGACCGTGGCGCGATCGATGGCGGTAGTGGTGAAACTGGTGCCGATGCTGCTGTTGGGCGGAATGGACGTAGTACAGGGGAAGAGGGGGAGGAAGTCGATTTGTGGTGGTGTGCTCGGCATCTCCTTGTTGGTGCTCGGCGTTGTCGTGTGAAGAAGAAGCATCCGCCGGTGCCGATGCTGGGCGAGCGGGGTCGACGACGTCGTCGTTGCGATCGCCGCCAATGATGCCGGCGTTGTCGTCGTCTGCGGCTGGCCGACCAATGGTTTCTGCTGCTGCTCCCTCATCACATCCAGCATCACCGCCCCTGCGCGCCGCTGGAATGGTAGTAGCCGTCGTCTGCGCCCCGTCACCACCACCCACGATGAATCGCGTCACCAACCGGCGATCCAGCAGGTCCAGCGCCGGCAGCAGCTCGTTCGGGAATAGGACGTGTAGGGTTAGAAAGACGTTCCGATCGTTGCCCTGCAGGCCGCGGAGAGGGTTGGCGCTCGTCGTCGATATTGGCGCTGCTGCTGCTGCTGCTGCTCCTGCGACACGTGCCCTATTGCCGGCGGCGGCGCCATCGTCTCGCCCATCGTAGGGAGTAGTAGCAGGGGTCGTCCGTCCTGGAAGCGAGCCAAACAGGTCCGTCAGGAAGGCTCGCGGCGTGGGGAGATGATGCGGCGTCGGCGGCGGCGGCTGCGCTTGTTCGTGTTGGAGCTTCTTCTGGAACGGCTCGTCGGCGGTCTCATGAGACATTATGGCGGGGGTGGCGGTGGCATGACGCGGTTGATTGCGTGATAGCTAGTTGCTGCGTTGCGGGTTTCATGGTGATGGAGGATTGGGCGAATGGGCTGTTGTCGGAGAAAGCGCGTTTGGTGGAGAGGCGTTTTTCGGCGCGATGACACGTGATTGGCTCTGCTATGCTCGACTGATTAGGCATCTACGCTTTAGACTTCACCACTTGCTTGATAGCTCTATGGCAGTTTGGAATATGTGTCTACATCTATGTGAGGCTGCTGGATTGTCTATCGTTCGTGGTCTGGGACAACTACACGGCGACATCTCCAGCTCACCCATATTGCCTGAATGGTCGCGAGTCACGGCGTGAGTCTCTGAAGCAAGTGTCCAAATCAATTTATCTTTTGATTTGCATGGGCTTGTGTCAAAGAAGCTCTGTATGACTAGCTGTGGCCTCTATGGAAGTAGCTTTTTGACTATTACCTTTCTTGTTCGGTCACCACATATTAGCCGGAAAGCAAGACTGAAACTCCCAGAGCTAACGTCAGCCACGCCAATTGATGCAATCCACGGCTGCCATGTCGTGTGACTGAAGCTGCTCAAGCCTTTTCCACGAGTGGAATGTCCTTGAAGCTCGTGTGAACAGTAAAAGCCTCGCGATCGTCGTCCGAAAGTGGCTCATTGCCTGGACGGTCGATGACGAAGGACTTCATGCCGGCCTCAAGTGCGGCCCTGACCTCTGTAGTGTGGAGCGGTTAGATCTCCCATTCGCCCCAATTGCGCGCGGCCACATACCTTTTACGTTGTCACTAAGGAAGAGGATCTCATTGCACGGCTTCCCCAGCGCCCCCGCAATCTTCGTGTAGCTGGCGGCTTCCTGTTTGGGGCCGGCGTTTTGCGTGTCGAAGTAGTCGACGATCAGGTCGTTGATGTCCTCACCGAGATAAGGGCGGTGGAGCTTCTTGTGCTTGCGCTCCTGGACGCCGGGCAGCCTAGCTGGGGGATCCACCAGCGGCTCGGTGGCCTTGGGCTTCTTGGCCGCCGGCTCCTCAACGCTTTCCTCCTCGGGCTCATCAGCTTCGTCCGGCTTGCGCTTCTTCTCGGAGCTCTCGGCAACGTCGTCGTTGGCGGCCACTTGGGCGCCGTTGGCATCAGCGGTGCCGACGTGGCCGAACAACAACTTCTGAGCAGGCACGCTCCCGGACGAGAAGATGGCGATCTGTTTACCCTTGGCATGCCAGTCGCGTAGCTGGGGCAAGACGTCAGGGTACAGTGGCGCGACGAAGGCGCCGGTATTCCAGCCGTTCTTCCAGAGATAACCTGCAGACCATTGCCGCGTGAGCTGTGCGATCCACCAGTGGTCCCCTCTGTGGCTGCCGATCTGTGCGTGGGTGCGGGGGATACGCTGAAGGCATTGCCAAACCGGGCGGCGGCTTGGGGGGTCACGTTGGAAACGGACCGATGTCGCAGCCGCCGCTAGTCCGCAAGCTCAGGCCGCCTGCCACGTATCCGCTCTATGCGCGTGTGACGGCATCTGGTGGTGACCGAGTTACGTACCTTGCAACTTCTTCAGATACGGCACCTTGGAGTCCTGTTTCATGAGATTGATCGCATAGTCGGAGAATGTTTTGGCCGACTTCTGCGCAAGCTCAGGGAAGGCCTCCACGTAGCTCTTGAACTCGGCGTCGTCCCATTTGGCCGCCGCCGTCTCAGGGAGCACCTCGATTGCGTACGGAAACTGCTCAATCGCGTAAGCGTTATGTCAAAGCAAACATGCTATCAGCGCTCGTGCAACGCATCTGCCCCAATTGCGTGCACTCATGAACCTCGAGCCCTAGAACGATCCCAACGGGCGCCCGCATCCAAAGCGACCGGTGAACTCCACCAGCTCCGCATTATCTGTGCAACGACGACATTCGCTAACGATATGGGAAATGAGCCACCGGGGCTCTCTCTCTGCACGGCATTGATGCTCTGACGTCTCGCGACGGGATAATTAGGAGATGGGTGCTGGAAACGGAGAAACTGGCAACATCATTGCCCGGACGAGTAAGGGGCTATGACATGCCCGCGTTGTGAAGCGACATGTGCCGGATCATGGACGCCACAACATTGACAGGATCTATCTCCAGCCCGTCTTACGTCGGCAGAGACCGCAAATCCGATAGAAGTGTTGAGGACACGAGTCGTTTCAACAAGGGGGAGGCGCTTCGCGCGAACCGAGCCCGAGGTGCTCGCGATCGTCAACGATATCGTCCGCGGGCAGCTATGACCGTGTTCCTTTGCGCACCGGGTTCTTGGCATTGCTTGACTGGAGCAAGGGAGGGGAAATGTGAAGAAGTTCGTGCTCAATATGCCAAGCAATATGCGGAAATGAGGCAGTGACTCGGACGTCTGACTGGACCAGCAGAGCAGACAAACCCATCGCGGTCAAGCGTTTTACTCCACGTGTGTTTGCTCCAGCAGCTCAACAGTTGCACGGGAAGGCGAGCCTTGACCAGCGGCGACGTGCCTCAACGAGGCCTGTCCGGTCCGCGGGTGCCCTTGCTGGAGATTGATTCAGTTGCAAGATCTCTGGCTGGCTTGAGCAAGCCCGGACGAAACAGATCTGAGAAACTGTCAAACACGCGCTTCGCTCCAGCGCAGCAACGCGCGTCTTACCTGGCAGCCAGGTAGCCAGGTGGAGTTTCGCTACACCTCCTCTTTTGCCGCTCGCGGACGTGGACTCCCAAACAGAGCGGTGGACACGCGTAGGTGAGAATGTGATCCGGATGGGTCTGCCATGTCTTTGTCCGGGTGATGTTGCCCACGTGTTGGAACAAGTCGAGGGCGCCGGTGGCGCAGGAGGAGCCTCGCGCCATACGGCGGTGTGCAGTTTTCGCCGGAATGGGAGTACAAAGGTGGTGTGGTGAACACGTTCGCGGAAACTTGGCTTCTTACACGTGGGCAGGAAAAAAAGAAAGCAGGTGGAGAGTCCCGGACGAAAAAGAAAGAGGCGGTTGAGATAGGATGGAGCAAGGAAAAAAAGCTTACCAGGACCTCTCTGACGAATGAGATGGAGCACACGGTGCCCTCTGCAACAACCCGGGTCAGCGACTATCACCAAGACGAACAGCACCTGCAGGTCGGATCAATGCGAGCGAGGCGGAGGAGCCGCACACGGCAGGCGCTCGCATGCGGCACGCAGTAGTGTCGTCGACAGTCGGTGAGCAGCCGAAGTCGGGCGCGCAGGAAAAATTTTGCTGCTGAGACAAAGAACATACCGATGTCGAGCAGGAGGGTGGTGACGGGCTGCAGGTCGGCCGCCATGATGGAACAAAGGTGTAGCTAGTCAATTGAGGATCCTCCGGAACCAACCGAGCAGTGAAAGAGTAGTGGGCTGCTTCTATGGAGCCTCAGCAGAAACTCGCATCGACTCCACACCAACGATCTACGCGACAACGCCGCAGACCCTCTGCGGGCCGACACGAGGCCGATCCGCAATCGGCTGCTGCTCCACGCTCCACCACGAGCAGCGTGCTGCTGTGGCTGACTCTTGGTCTCCGCTACTGCATAAGTGGCCGGCAGTCACAGATAGTGTTCACAAAGTCGGTGTACCATCACCCGCAGCCGTTATACCAGCGCGACCAATGTAGATGTGCAACTGCTATCGCTTGGGGCCAGAACGGCGCCCGCATGCACCCGCCTGCATTAGCCGGCTCGCGCGGTGGCGAGACATGGGCGGCATAAGCGGGCGCGCTTGTGCCTGCGTCCAGCGAACGGCAGCGCGCGCAGCATCGGCCAAGCCCAGCTCGTCGCATGCGCGAGCTTCATTCCTCTGCCTTGGTGCTGACCGACTTTTGGCCGTGCAGAAAACGGGCAAGCGGCCATGGCCGAAATTAACAGCAGCGCGTCCTTGCGGGAGCTTGACGCCTCCACATCCCGCAGCGCGCGTCCCGAGCAGACGGCAATGGGAGGCACGACTCGCGGAGCTCTGACGCTATCGCAGCGTGTGCAGGTCGAGGCCGGAGATGCGCTCGTCTCCTGGCTGCAAGCGAGAGGCTGGCCAGAGCGGTTGATCAAACTCGCGGGGCGGCACAGCAGGCGCTCGCGGGCGAGTGCAGCAATTGCCGCGCCGAACATGGTCGCCTGAGGCCCGCCGGCCACTCGAGACCGCGCCGGGCAGCGTTATTGTGCGACATGTGCCACACGGCGGCATTGGGGCGGCGCTGTTACGAGAGCAGCGATGGCATGACCGTCAGGGCCGTCGTCACCGAGACAAAGGTGGGCGCGTCTGACGTCGATCACGGCGCTTTGCGGACCCTTCAGTGTTATTTCGGGTGGAGCCTTCGGGACATCGTTATTTACGGGCCAGGCAAGGAGACGGCGGGCGAGGGCGTTTCATCAGCAGGGGTGTGCCCTCTGTCGGTTTCAGGGCGCCGGAGGGCGACTTGTGCGAAAGCGGGGAGCCCAGCGAGCGACGAGCGAGCGGCACACGTAATCGCGACAAAGCGCTCGCTGGACGCAGGCGGGCGCGCGTTGCCATGGCGGCCGGGCGAGAAAGCGTGGAATCGGATCGAACCAGTTCGCCACCCAACGCTGCGAGGGTGGGCGGCCGGGCGCGCCGGCTGTTGGCTGGATGTGAGCAAGGGCCGCGCTTTCCTTGCACTAGAGCTGCCACGTTCGCGTGACGGTAAACCCTGGACGCGCTTTCCCCAAAGCGACGGCGCTGGGGGCGGCCGGGGGGTCCCGGCGGCGCGGCCAATCGAGGCCGGGCGCGCGCGTTGCGGATGGCTGTGCCCTGTATTAACGCTCGTCGTCCCTACAACAGCCAGCCCTCTCCTATCTGCCTCGTCCCCAGACTTCCAGCCCTCCTCGCCATGTCCTAACCTCTCGAGCCAAGCTTCGCTCACGTCGTTGCATCCCGCCAAAAGCTGCAGCATTCCTCTCCCTCCGTCCGTTGCCCCCTGCGACTCGCACCTCGTTCCATCATCTGCGCGCCTGCCTGCCGCCTGCCTGCAACACTGCTGCACCAGCCTCGACGAGCGACCACAACACACACGGCTCATCTCTCTCCCGCTCCCCCCAAACTTCTCTTTCGCACCGGAATCCTCTTTCGCACCTCTCGTCTCCACCCCCGAGTGACTCATTGCATTGGGCACTGCCGCCATCCGGACCCACGACCGACTCATACCGAGCTTTGACCTCCTGCCTCGCGTCATCGCAAACCGGATGCTCTGAGCCACGCCGACGACAGCCCAGCCGCTCATCACATCATCCCCACCAGCACCAACGCCTTTAAGCTCCCAGAGTCCGCCCTTTGATGGTACACGCGATCAAAGAACACTCGACAGCCACACCTCTCGCCTAAGGCAGTATCGTCGCCTCCGTCGATCCCGCTGCTACAGCCCTCCCCGAGACCCGGCTCTCGTCTCGACCACCTCTCTGCCGATAGACAACCGCACTCTCCTGGTCAATTCCCCGAGTGTTGGGTGGATCTTCGGGTCTTTCCCTACGTGCCACGACTTCTTCTCTTCTTCCCTTACGCAGCGAGCTCTTGCGATTCCTTCGGCTTACACCATCGGTTCCGGCCTCGGCTTCCGACAATCTTCACACCTATCGACCCTCACCGGCGACCTCAACCGATACTTTTCCTACACTCGTTGATTCGGGTTACACCATACTCTGATCTAATCTCTCAAATGCCAACAACCACACTCCTTCCATTTCCTTGCCTCTAACCTTTCGCGGTTCCTCCACCCACTCGACTCGACCTCTCCTCCTCTGTGCATATATTCCGATTACGACACTATACCACCTGAGCGATACGGTGTTTTTGCTTTGAAGCGCCTAACGAAACTTACAACTACTGTTACTGCAAAAAAAGTCTCTCGACTCTCGGACTTTCCTATCTCCCATTATCTATTCTGTATCATTCTTACCAGGTCCATTTCGCTTTCGCACTAAAAGCACCATAGAACTGGCCTTTTTTTGCTTCCGGAGCGGATTGTCGGCTTGTTCTTTTACGACTCGATTCTTCTTTACGGCGCTTTCTCATTCTTCTGACGCCGGTTTCTTGCTGTACGACCCACCTCGTCGGCCAAACTCCTCGTCCTAATACTTTTGGAAATGGAGTGTATGCGCAATCAGTTCAAGGATGGCGCACTTCTCGACGGACGTTTCGAGACCCTCTCCGCTCTCAATCATGGCTCCTTCGGCATGGTCTTCATGGCCAAGGACCACCACACCGGAGAGACGGTCGCCGTCAAGTGCTTGACCAAGACCACAGATGCCAGCGGATGCCCGTCGGCCTTCGCGATTGATGATCGCTCCGAGGAGCTGACCATTCACCGCAAGCTTAGCTCGCACCCGAACATCGTTAACCTTGTCCATACTTTCGAGACTGAGCACCATGTCTACCTCGTCCTCGAGCTCTGCCCGAATGGCGACCTGTACGAAGCCATTCGCCTCGGCCGCGGCCCCTTGGAGACGGAGCACGTTCGTGAGTTCATGCTCCAGCTGATCTCCGCTGTTGAGTTTATGCACTCCAAGGGTATCTACCACCGCGACGTCAAGCCTGAGAACATCTTCCTCACCCAGGACGGCGACATGAAGCTTGGTGACTTTGGCCTTGCGACTACTGACGAATGGTCTTACGAGTCTGCTGTCGGCAGTGACCGCTACATGGCTCCCGAGCAGTACGACTGCGGGACCAACGGTTACTCGCCTGCCAAGGCTGACGTCTGGGCGGTCGGCATTTGCCTGCTCAACATCCTGTTCTCCCGCAACCCCTTCGCTACGCCTACAACCTCGGACCCCCTGTTCCGCGATTTCGCCAGCGATCGCCAGTCTCTGTTCGATGTCTTCCCCAACATGTCTCAGGACACCTTTGAGGTCCTGATTCACTGCCTTGCCATCGACCCGGAGAACCGTTCGCTTAGCGCAGTCCGCAAGGCCCTCGACCGCGTCATCTCTTTCACCACCGATGACGAGTCGCTCGATGAGTTCTGCAACGAGGACCGCGACGTCATTGGAGCCACCGCCAACCGCGAGCCCCTTCGCACCCCTTCGGTCAGCACTGCCAACCTCGGCCAAGATGGTGCTTTCCCTTGGGCCAGGGCTCTTGCAATGACGCCTCCTCAGCCAGTCCGCCAGCTTTCGACCATTCACGACATGGACAGGTACTCGGAGGATTTGTTCCCCGAGTCGGAGCGCACCGAGGGCGATTGGTGCTCGTTCAAGCCTGAGCGTTCGTCGGTCGTCTCGTTCGTCGACTCTGGCCTTGGCATCTCTTTGCAGTCCAACGAGGGCACGCAGCCTCGTCCCATCCAAAAGGGCTCGTCGAGGCCCTTGGCTATTCCTGGCTCCATGCCCATGCGGCCCATGCCCAGCCTTGCGTCTGCGTTTGGAGCTAAGACCGACATGGTCTCTAAGAGTTGGAGCGACCTTTGGGAGGAAGAAGAGGAGGAGAACCTCGGAGGAATTGAGTACTCCTTCCAGGACAAGCTGGGTTTCAAGGAGCGTGTGTGGAGCAACGAGACTGGCTCTGGCCGCACTACACCTCGCGCTGGCCTGACGGAGATGAAGGACCCTGCTAGCATCCACAACAGCAGGAACCGTAGCCCGCCGGCGGCACCTCGCAGTGTCATCAGCGAGCAAACGGGCTTCATCTTTGAAGACCTGCAGCACCAGTCAAGTGAAAACAAGGAGCAGCGCAAGCCTATTGTTGTGCAAGTACAGCACAAGCCGACCGCTGCTAATCAGCTGACTGGACCCCGCTACTCGCCGCCGAAGAAGCGTTCGGGCTTCGACATGACGGAGAAGTGGGCGGCGCTGGGTGATCGCAGGCGAGCTCAGCCAAGTCCGGAGAAGACCAAGTCGCCGCAGATGGCGCACTCTTTGGGTTCTAAGCAACAGAAGAGCAACAAGACTTTGAATTGGAAGAAGGGTATGGGGTTTGGACATCACAACTTTCATGGATTTGATTTCGGCGTTGGAAAGGGACATCACCAGGGACATCAGGAGTGGAGTTTGAGTAAAGATTGGCGCCAACACGCAACTACCGGCGACGACATCGGCGATCTTGAGTGGGTTGGGGGCTGGAATGACCTTCACTTGTAGTTCGGCTTTCTACACGTGCATTGGGGCAGTAGCGATTGGAGCTACGGCATGCATGGTTAAGAAAGACTAGGAGCTGAACTCGTATCTTCGCATTGGTAGTAGGCCGCTGCGACGACTAGAATGCAAGATTTACCCGCTCAACAAACTGTCTCATGTGTGCTGTGAGGTTTGGATTTCCGAGTGCGGACCTTCGAGTCCCTGAACTGACAGACACTAGGCACAGTTCAACGTCAAGCTGACATGTTACAGGAGCTTTCGGCAGTTCTCGAACGAGACGAGAGCGTCTGCTCTCTTCCACCGGCTCATCCAGGGTCTGACAACACGTGTTGTGGGATCTGGTCGGCTGTCACGGAAGCAATTGGAGCGTCTCGAAGTGCCACTTCGTTCTTGTCTGGCCCCATCCCTACCCTCGAAGTGTTGGCATCAGATCTATGGAACCAACGGGCGGCCAATGACAGCTAGCAGATAACAAGATTTACCTTCCGCGGTTAGGGAACGGTTCGTCGTAGCGCACTCCTTCGTTACCGTAGTTTGTTGCACCTTGTCCCGGCCGGCCCCAGCCACCGAGCCGCCGTCCGTCTTGGTAATTCGCATCGTCGGCCGCCCCTACCGCCGCCGTCGCTATAACTATGGCCCGCGGCCGCCTCGGCCGCCATCAATTCCTCCGGCGAGCCGCGAGGCATTAACCACGGATTTCATCATCGCTCGGAGGCGGGCGTGCTCCGCGCGCGCGCCGGCCGAGCTATCGCATGATTTCTTTTCGATTGGAAATATTGGGCGAGGAAAGGGTGCCAGTAAGTTTAGTGCCGGTTCGGGTCAGAGGTGCATTGGTCCATGGGCCCTGTTTTGAGAGAGAAGCTCCAAGCATTCTGATTGGTGATTGCGCAATGCAATCATCCCTTTACTGGTCTTCTTGCTCTCGTCTTCCCGCCTGCATATCATCATCTGACGATGGGTGCTGGGTTGAGGGATGTTGTTTGTTTGTTTGGTATGTGGAACTCACATCAGCGCGCACATAGCCCACTCCAGTCAGCCTTGCGGGGCGGCGCGGCGGGGGGAAGGGAAGGCTGGGGCATGCTGCAAGAAGGAGGGGCTTTGTGGCAGGGTCGCACGCGCACACTCTCTCACAAACACTGTAGCACCGATCTCCTGTCACGCTCTTCTTGGTGTTGTTGTGCGCGCTTATGCGGTCAGCCATCGTCGGAATGGTTCTCCTCTGTTTCGTCTCACCATCATCACCCTACTAACTGCTAACTTGTTTATTTTTCTCCGCCCCTCCTGCCTTGCTACTCCTCCCCCCCTTCCCCGCTTTCTTGTCTCGTCGCACCACCAGCCTGACCTGTTCATCCCTTGCAGACGTACATACATACGCGTACCTGACAAAACAAAACCTCGCAAGGCTGCTTTCCTTGGGTAAGTAAGTGGGTCCAGGCCTAGGGCCAAGAGCCGGCTGCCACGCTATTATGTCTCCTGTCCGCCTCATAAACAGGAAAGGGATCATTAGGCAGAGGTGATCGTCTCTCATTCCTCCGGCCGCTACGCATTTTTAGGTTCAAGGCTGGGCGGGCGTACGGGGCGTGTGCGGCGGATCCGCGGCAGACATAATTATTATTTCGTTCAAACCCGTCTGTTCGTCGCCCGGCACAGCCCCTCCGGCGGCGGCAGGGCGCCAAAGAAAGTGTAAAACCTGACACTACTTTTACCCAACCCCCTCCCCCCGTTCCCCATGTTTTGGTTCGCTCCACACTTTCCCTGGGCGCTAAGAATGGCAAGGTGTCTCGGAGTCGCTCCCGTGGATCGAAGGCTTATCATTTCACGAACCGTTTCCCCGGCGCGTCCTCCGAGCAGGCTGAGTGGGCGTTTTTTTCTGCGCTTGGCTGCTGTCATACGTGTGATCTGGTGAGCGAGTGTTGTCCAATCGCTTCACTCTTATTTCCTCCAGCCTTTCCCGCTATTCTGGGCTCTAATTATGCAATAACGGTCATGAGCGGGCTGTAATTCGGCCGAATCTTGGAGCAAAGGAAAAGGCAGGGCAGATCACTTGCAGCGGCGGCGGCCAGTAGTCAAGATTGGTAGGCTTGCTCTGCAGCTAGGCTACTAGGTGTTCATCATTACTCGTATCCGCGTCCCCGCCGTCGTTCGTTAATCCTTCGAGACGGGGCGCGGCCCACCGTGGCGCCCAGCGGCCGCCCCCGTCCCCACGGGTGCGCGCGTTGTTTTTAAATCTGGGGTACGCTAGGGTTACGCAAACGTAAAGCGCACGGTTCGCCACGAAAGCCGCTGACGGCTTTTTTGGCGGTGATCAACCAACCCCACTAGCACTTCCCTCCAGGCCCAGCTGGTGAAACTCGCCGCGTGGGGTTGAGTGGCTTTTTGCTTAACTTTTGATGAGAGGTTTTTTTTTCTCCCGAACGGATGATGGCTGGAGTCTGGCTGCTGAGTGGCAGCTCGTGGTGGCGCGGGGAGGGGGAGTTCTGGCTTTGGTACAATATTTCGCCTTTTATCTTCCGTTTTCGGCAGTGAGAAGATGGTCGAGGGGAACGGTTCGCACAGAGCACACCCTCGTTCCTGGCCTTAGACAATAGTGCGAGTCCGAGCTTTTCCAGAGAGCTTCATTCTTTGCCTTTATCGGCTCAATATTGGTCCACCCGCCACGAAGTCAATGCGACGATGGCCCGTTTGGGAAACGAAGCAAATAAACGACCGATTGATCGTTTCCTGCTGCAGTTGTGTCTGGACCCGGGGCGGCCTCCCGCGGAGCCCAAGGCAGATAGATGACCCACGCCCGTCCGGTAGATGCCGTGGGCGTTGTACCTGTACCTGGTGACCATGGTGGAGGGGGGGGCCTGTGTACCTACACACATGAACCCCCCGCTAAACTTGAAACGGGGGCCGTACCCCTCTCTCGCGTACTATGTACCCTGCGCAGGATCACCAGCTCCTGCCAGGTACACACGCGCCCCAAAATAGGCGAGGGCAGCCATGATGAGACAAATCGAACAACCACTGTATTCTAGTCAGGAACAAGAAAACTTGATAATAATAGTAATTATGTTTTATACGTACCTCTCTTCTTTCTGTCTAGTGCGTTCCTGAGCCGCGTCGTGTTTTGTTTTCTCATGTTTCGATTCTCATACAACACAAGTTGGTCTCTGACTTTTGCTGTTTTGGCTGTGGGGTAGAATGCAATCTATCCACGACCAACGAGAGACGGCATTGCGCGCGCTCTTCCCTGCAACGAACTGCGCGTCCGTGCTGGCTGGGCCACGTATCTATCCGCTTCCGTCCGTCCGACCCGCGCCCCGGCCCGTGGCTGCCTGATGCGGGTGCTGTTTGGTTTCTTTTTCCGTTCCCTTTTTTCTTTTTCCTTTGCGGTGTTTCAAGCGAGAGGGAGAGAGCCTAGAACAGAGCTTATACCCGGTAAACACCATACACCCATCACATGATGGCTAAGTCTGTGGAGGGTGGGGAGGGGGATCCCTGATTGAGACAGGCTGGCTGGCTGCCACGTGCCAATGGGCCACTTTGAATCAGTTTCATCAGAACTCATTCCTTCGCCTTCCTCCTTCGTGCATTCTCAGGTAGAGTTCCGATTGGAGGATCACATGTCCAATCTCGTTTGAGTTTCGCAGGGGAAAAGTGAAGTGACGTAAGGGCATTTGGCTGGAATTGGTAGCTCCCCGAAATTAAAGCGAAGAGATAACGACCAGTGTCCGCGTGCGTGTGGGTAAACAGAGGGGTCGAGGCCGATAAGGAAGATTGTCAAGTGAAACCTTATCGCAAGAGGGGTGGGCCGCTGCAGCATGTGATAGAGAAGAAACCGGGGGGAAGCACTGATCGCCAAGCCAGCCAGGTACGTACCCTGCCAGATAAGCATGTGTGTTTTTGGAACTTTGAGCTAAGGGGCTTGTAGGTAGAGAAGCGCAATGACGGCAAGCTCCAAATCCTTCGTGGCGTGACGTGAGTCCCGCTAATTTCTGCCGAAATGCACAATCTGACAGGGTCCTGGTCCTCGGGAAATGCGTCGTCAGCCGAAGGTTGTTCGTTTGCTTGCGTTATCATGACTACTACTGCTTACGCCTTTTTTCGGCTCCTGTAGTTCGTACGAAGCCTACCCTTCGGGATTTGTTTCGGGAATCCTTAGGGGCACCGGATGAATGCTGATCCATGCCTGCCTCTTCTACTACATGATCAAACAGCTGGGCAGTGAGCGTGTAAGGTGGGGCCGATGTGCGGAAAAGAAACGTACGCCACACCCTTCCTGACTAGCCTAAACAGGTAATAGAGGCCGAAGTCTGAATACACGTCCAACCTACTTTGAATGTATCTTTGGTGGAGTTAGTCTTTATTGAATTCAATTGAATTGTTTAAAGAAAGCCAGACCTTCCGTAGGTTGCGTCGAACTGTCGTCCCAGCGACTTTTGATTGAAAATGGTAACGGGAATCCATATTCGAGAAACTATGGCAACCATTCTACCACTTTATGCCTATATAAAGCACCAGACGTGCATGACTATAAAACGACTTTTAAGTACCTGTGTGTCCGCGCCCTCGGCGATACTCTGCTGGGTGAATATGCTTCAGTGTTTGCAAGATGATCAAGTTATATGCTAGGGAAAGAAAGGAAAACAGAAAGCCGATGAGGTAGTACCCTATCCCCCCTAGAGCCGAAACGATCTCTCAGTCTACCAGAGTCGAGATATCCTTATATGTAATGCAAAATTGTCCAACATAAGGAACTCCGTAACCGACAAGTTTCGCAACATAGCGACGGTACCCTAGAAACAAAGCAAAAAGAAAGAGAGAGAGAAAGAAAGAACCACTAAAAACCAGTACTACTCCCTCGGCACATTCTCCTCCCTCCGCCTAAACTCAATCTTAACTGCCGGATCAACAAAGAACTCGGCATCCTTCCCAAACGTCGGGGGCCGCTCAGTAACACCACCGGGCAAGCGGATGTCGTACATGAGCAGCAGGTAGGCGAGGGCGATCTTGGCCTCGTTGGAGGCGAAGAAGCGCCCCGGGCAGGCGTGGGTGCCGTGGCCGAAGCCGAGGTGCTCGGGGCTGGTCGTCACGAACTGCCAGCTGTTCTCCTGGCCGGGCTGCTCGCGCATGCGCAGGAAGCGGCGGGCGTCGAACTTTTCCGGGTCCGGGTAGATGGCCGGGTTGCTCAGGTTGTCCATGGAGCACGAGACGACGGCGCCTTTTGGGATGTGGGTGCCGTCGCTGAGGGTGACGGCTTCTTCGGCGACGCGGTTCATGACGACTGGTGAGGTTGTGTGTTAGCATGATGAGAGAGAGTGAGGAGAGAATGGTGGAAAACTTACGCAGGCCGGGCGGATTCACGCGCTGCGACTCCTTCAGGAAGCTGTCCATCAGCCTCATCTTGTACAAGCTCGTCTTCTTCCAGCCCTCCTCCTTCAGCACCTGGCGCACCTCGGCGCGCAGGTCCTCGATCACGTCCGGGTGCGAAACAAGGTCGAGGACGGCCTGCGTTATCAGCCCGCTCGTCGTGTGCAGCGCGGCGACGGAGAAGAACAGCTGGTTGAGCACGGGGTCGAAGGGGCGGCCCTTTGCGACCTCGTCCATCCACGACACCGTGTCCTTGCCCTTGACCTTCTCGCCGCGCGCCGCCGCCTCGGCCACGGCCTTCCTGCGCTTCTCGATCTCGGGCACGATCAGCTTGCGCGCCTGGGCGATGGAGGCGCGCACCTTGCGCGGGCCCGGCAGGTACGCGTTGACCACCGGCCGCAGCCACGCAGGGTAGTGGCGCAGCTGCTGCACTGCGACGAAAGCCTCGACCGTGTAGTTGACGAAGACGTCGAGCCACTCGCGGTTGCGGCACAGCGACTCGCCCAGGAAGACGCGCGTCGAGAGGCGCGCCACGTAGTCGAGCGTGAAGGGCTTCAGCACCAGTGAGGTCCATTCTTTCGGCTCCCCAAGGCTGTCCAGCAGCGTCAGTTCGCTTTCTTGGCACAAGTCGTCGGTCAGTGTGCCTGGTAATCCGTGTCAGCCAACTTTACAGGCCTGAATATCTTCAGGGGAATCTTACCGAGTGCCTGCGTGAGCTTAGTCCGGACAGTTTCGGTGAAGACTGGCGTTTCAAACACTTTTCCGAAGCCCTCAAAGCCGTCTAGGTGAGACAAAAACTCCTACAATTTGCGCCGTCAGCGATTGCCCGTCTCCTTTCCTGGCCCCTTTTCTTGAATATGTCCTTTGTGGAAAGCGTTCGCAGGGAGGGTTTCTTCAACGCACATTCGCAGTCCACTTCCCGAAGCTGAACCTTTTATCGCTCTTGATCTCATTCACGTACGAGTTCGGCAGGATGATCTTGGGTCCGATGGGGCTGACGACCTGGAACGGCTTCCGGAACTGTATATCTCCACATGTCAGCATCATCTGCTAACAATAAAGAAGCAGAATCAAGGGAAGAACGCACAATGTTCAAACCGTGTTCGACCACTTCTTTCGCGCTTGTGCCCCAGTCCTTCTTCGCCTTCTCATAGTCCTTTTCATTTTGTAGGAAGGCGACTGGGAGCACGGGATATAGTCTTTCGCGGCGGACGTGGATGGCGGCGAGGAGGAGGACAACGGCGGTGGCGACGAGTTGAAGGTAGAAGGTCGTGCTTTGGTTTGCTAGGAGCATGGTGGTTGCAGGAGCGCCGGTGGCAGCTCCTGCCGCAGCTTGTGCTGGCATGGGATCGTCCATCTTCGGTGGAGTTCGTCGGCTATCTGTGAATGCAAACTGTCAAAGGAGAGACGATGATCGTGTATCGTTAGTTCAACCGATCATCTTTGTTGATCGTTTATATATGAACGACTGTTATTCTATAAGATATCTGGTTACTAAGCACCGAATTAGCAACGGAGTGGCCAGTGTCCTCTTCCTCCTTTAGAAATATCGGCCACCCGGATTCCCGCTACCCGAGTTCCCGAAGCCGATGGCCATTGCGGCAGGATCGAGCCAGTCAAAACGCAACGAATGTCATTTGATTGGTTGGTGTGGATCCAAATCCAAACGTCTTTGGTATTTCCTAGGGCCTGCTAGATCGGCTTACTTCACCTCCGCCTCCCGCGTGGCGCCGCAGATGGCGCCGTACTGCAAGCCCTCCGATAGGCTCCTCGTACTTTTTGCATGTCGATCAGCAGCAGAAGGGCATAGCCTCATCTCGTGTTACTTTTTGTGGTTAGTTTTGACGTAGAGAAGCTCGTCATGGCTAGTCACGATGCATTGCCCGTCTCCTGGCGGCCGAGTGAAGCCCGTGAAGACGTGTGACGACCTCTCATATTGGCTTAGGCTTCTGCATCTGAGGCAGCCACTTGCGCAGATCGACTGTCTTCTTCGCCTATCGGGACTTTTCGAGCCCTTCAGACCCGAGACAAGTTGCGTACGACGTGCCGGCGTAGAAGAGGATCCGTGCCGGTTACGAAGCTGCTTTGTCCTATCCGACGGAGATGGAGAGTGGGGATGGATGACGGTAGATTGCGAGTTTAACACTTCTTCTCTATGCAAGAAAATGTGTTATTACAAGTCCACAAAAGGAGATTCTTCTGGTGCTCTATGTACTGAATTCGCAAATGCCACTTCCAGAACTACCGCCCATGGTGTGGGTATCTCATAATGCAATCATGAAAAAAAGAAAAGGCAAGATGTCTCCCTGCCAAATCGAGGAACACCTGGTGTGCCGCTTGTACGCCGAAAAGACGTTCGACCAAAGGAAACTTTAACCTTGCAACCAAGCCATTAATGATCCCTGACGTACGTCAGGATGTAGGGTGTGCCGCCTCCGCTGTCAATAGGGCGCAGAAGTTCCTGAACCGATATGTGCGGCTTAACGTGCATGTCGCTGATGTGCTCAATACCCTTAGGTGAGACAACGTTGGCAACGTAGTGGCCGCTGCTGCGGCTGTCTCCCTGGTGGATGACTGTCGATCTGAGCTTGTATCGCAGCGTTCCAGACTGCTGCAGCCTCTTGCCGTTTTCGTCGTCGTCGCAGTAATCGGATAAGTCCAGGTAGAGGGGGAACTTCACCGGGTCGGATATCTTGTGAAATACCTGTTTTACGTCGCCAAACCTGGTCGGCTTGAATTTTGAGTTGAACCGCACCAGCTGGATCGGCAGGATTTCCGGCGCGCTCAAGATGAAATGCTTCCGGGTGTGCTTCCTCTTTTTGCACCCCTCGCAATCGATGGCTACTTCATCTTGAAAGTTGGCGTCGAGGTACCGCTTGAAGCCCAGTCCTTTTCCTGGTTCGCGCAGGTTGATTTGGGTATTCGTCCAGACCCAGGGTCCTGAAGTCTCTTGGTGTCCGCAGTTGTGGCAGGTACGCCTCGCGGAGCACTTCAGCCCGAATAGAGCCTCAAACTCGTCACGAGGCATGTATACCTTCTTGTCATGCAGAGTGTCGGAGAGGTTGTTTAAGATGAAAATCATGAACTCATGCGCGTCCTGCTGTTGATATTTGGCGCTCCCTGTACCAGGGCAGTTCGGCAGCCTGCTGATTGCTTTGTCGAAGTTTCTGACCGCTTCATTAACATACTTCTGGCTCTGTTTATTGCCACCAGTTGGCCAGTATTGATCTGCAAGCTTGCGGAGAGCACACGCCAGACAGCCGGATTGCGGGCAACGGTATTTTTGGCTTGTGCCGTGGCGCTTGATCCACTGGACGAAGACGGGGAGGTTCATGAGAGCTTGAAGGCAGCTCCTCCGGTAACACTGCACGCCGGTGTCGTTGGGAAGTCCAATGGCGCCAAGGTCCTTGCGCGAGAAGTCGCTGTCGAGGTTAGCGACGATGTGGCTTCGACCGGTTGGCTCTTGGGTGTGTAAGCGACGGCGCTTGTGGGTGGGTTCGGTGCTCATGGTGGCCTTGGTCGCCGGAACGAAGTTGATGGGGTCGTTGAGTAGCTCATCGAGCCTGCGTTTAGCGGTGGACTTGAAGTGCATGGCTTCGTCAGATGCCGTGGCAGGAACGCAAGGAATCTGGAGCCTCTGGACGGATGCTCCAATGGTGTCATGGTATAAGAGCTGATGGTCCGGTTCGGGACAATGGGGGGGATCCTCTTTGTTGCTGGGTTCCTTGAGCTTGATGGCGATTTTCGGCCTCGACTCAGGCAAGGCGTGCTTGTCGAGCGGCATTGTCTTCAAAGATGGCCGGGTGCGATGAGACAAAGGTTGGAGGTGACGAGAAGAAAGGACGACCAGGCGGCGACGACGGGTTTTGGCCTTCAGGTGGGCCTGGGCCAGCACCCTGCTGCTCACCCGGGACAGAGCCATTGTGAATGAAAATGGACCCAGAAAAGTGTTAACCGTAAGAATGATGCAGACTACAATAGACAAGAAGGAAAACGCTCCTGGCAGAGCAGCAGCGGTATTTACAGGCCGGTCCGGAAGAGGCGAGGACGGGAGACATGGAGCGAGCACGTGCCTATGCTGCCGGAGGGGTGACGGAGGCAGCCCGCAGCAACGCGCAGGCAATGGGACGACGCGCAGCAGAGCAGGCGCAGAGGCGAGGGGGAAAAAGTCGAAGTCAGCGATGCGCGCTCGGGGAAGGATGCGGCTCTACTTTTCCGCTATTTTTTTTCCTGGCCGGCGCCACTTCCGCCGAGAGATTGGAGAGCCCCGCCCGCTCCGCTCCCGCTGCGCTGCAAGTCATTGCTCTCCGCCCATGGCCTTGGATCAGCCCTGCCCGCTTGCAGCCATGCCTGTCGACAAAGGCCCTGCCTACGAGGACGAGCACGTCCACCAGGTCTACGAGCAGATCGCGAGCCACTTCTCCGAGACCCGCTACAAGGTAAGCCAATTCCATCGCGTCTGCGCCCTAAGCTCATCGCGCCTCTAGTAGCCATGGCCCATCGTCGAGCGCTTCCTGAACGGCCTCCCTGCAGGCGCCGTCGGCCTTGACATTGGTTGCGGAAATGGCAAGTACCTTGCCGTCAATCCCAACGTCTACATTGTCGCTTCCGACCGGTACGTTGGCCCGACGCATCGGCTGCCAGGTCTGACTGACGATTCAGATCCACCAACCTCGCCAAGATAGCCGCGAGACACCAGCCACACAGTGCCCTTGTCGCCGACACCTTAAGCCTACCTCATCCTCCCGCTGCCTTCGACTTCGCCATCTCCATCGCAGTCATCCATCACCTTTCGACTCCCGAGCGACGCGTTGAAGCAACTAGAGCCATATTGGACCATCTGAAACCCGAGGGGACGGCATTGGTGTATGTCTGGGCGCTCGAGCAGAAGGACAGCCGAAGGGGTTGGGATGAAGGTCACGAGCAGGATGTCATGGTGCCCTGGGTCATGAACAAGAATCAGCCAAAGAAAACAAAGAAGAAGGATGCCGCGCCGGAGGAGCCGACGGATGCCGCACCGACCGAAGGTCCAAAAACGTTCCACCGATATTACCATCTCTACCGGAAAGGCGAATTAGAGCACGACATTGAGCTGGCCGGAGGGGAGGTCGTCGAAGCTGGGTATGAGAAAGACAATTGGTGGGCCATCATGAAGCCCAAGGCTTAACCTCTGCTCTTTGTGGCACTGGAACGCACACACATCAGATGCGGCGCGAAACTCGGATCACGTTTGTACTTCACTCACGTGAGTAGTTGTGAAGTCTCCATCTACTTAAAATTAACATTATGTCCGGACAATGTTTCTCGCTGATCTTGCCTGGCGAGGTTAAAATCTTTTACCTCTCACTGACCACAAGTCACATCGAGAGCACTTGATGTGAGCCAGCAATTAATCAGGTTCAGGTTATTAGCATCCAGTCTCTCTCTCAGACTTCTCCCGCATAGAGCTTGTCCATCTCAATATCAGCCATAGGACGCGAGCTTGTCCCTGCATGGCAAGTCGGTCCCGAGACCTTGTGTCCCCAATACAGAACCGGACTCCACTCGTCGATGAGGTTCGCCAATGTCTGTATATGGCCGTACGCCGCCGGCTGAGGACCTTTTGGCCTCCACAAGCTCAAGCCCGTAATGTAGGCGGCCAACGCGGCCACGGCTCCAGCGAGGTAAAAGAAGGGGGTGCCCTTGATGTACACCCAGCGGTCCTCGACGGTCACAGCCAAACCAAAAACCCAATGGATGGCCGGCTTGGCTAGGAAGAGGACGAAGGCCTGCCAGCTGGAGACGGCTTTCCAGACGGCGTTGTAGCTCTCGAGGCGGTAGCCGTTCTTGGAGGCGGCGCGGCGCCAGGCGCGCTCGTCGCGGACGAGGTTGACGAGCAGCTCTGCGCAGTGCAGGGCCAGCGTGACGCCGGCCTGCAGCAGGCTGAAGACGAGCGTCTTGAGCAGCATGCCACCGGCCTCGACGCCCAGCTCGCCGCCGACGCTGACACCGGGCGCGCCGTCCTTGCGCGCGACCAGCGACACGGGCACGGCGCCCACCAGCGTCAGCGCCGCCAGCCCCCACAGCATCAGCACCACGACGCGCACCTCGCGGGCCGCCGCCCAGCTCGACGACTGCCGCGCCCGCGGCCGCACCGGCTCCGACCCGTGCGTCTTGTCAGTGACGCTGAGCAGGCACCGGTTCGGATGGTACCGCACGCTCCTCTCGGCCGCCGTCTCCCGCTGGCACGCGATGACGGCGTCGAAGGGGCTGGAGCTCCAGGTGGGGTTGTGCGTGAAGACGAGCGCGCACGTCGCGACGAAGGCCTGGGCCAGCAGCGCGGCGCCGAGGCACACGGTACTCGTGCTCGAGACGCTGACGGACACGTTCTCGACGCTCCACAGGCGGCGCAGGCGGTCCACATCGAGCGTCTTATTCTCTCCGTCATGCCAGTTGACGAGGATGAGCGACGACGACGAATACGCGACGACCATGGCGACGAACAGCAACAGGTTCGCGTACCACGCGTTGGGCACGCTGCTGCGCGCCGCCGTGAACAGCCGCAGGTTGCTGTTGAAGCCCAGCCGCCCTTCGCGCGCCAGCGCCCACTTCAGCGTCGTCGCGTGCACGTAGCCGACCCCGTCCAGCAGAAGCGTCAGCCACAGGTTGAGTGCTAGCGGCGCCAGCTGCTTGACGATTTCCGGCAGCTGGATGATGGTCGGCGCGCTCTCGGTCCAGGCGTGTGACGATAGCACCCAGAGGCCGCCGCCGAGCGCGGCGAGGCCGGTCGCCCAGGCGAGGACGACGAAGATGACGCAGACGTTGCGGGTCGAGAGATCGCGGTTGAGAGAGGGGAGGGGGCGACGGTGTGGTGGTGTTGTTGGGGGGTAGGGCGCCGCGCTTTTGCGGGTTGAGTTTTGGCTCTTGCGCGTGCTGTTGGAGTCGGTGAGGGTGAGGGTGCTGGTTGTCGTCTTGGGGGTTGCGTTGAGGGACGAGTAGTAGTAGCGGCCGTTCATGGTGGAGGAATAGGGGGCTTCGTTTAGACGGAACCGGGTTCTTTTCTCTGGGATGCTGTTTTTGGGATATATGTTTTCATGCCAGCAGTGCGGACTTTTTGGTCGCTACTGCTGCTGCTGCTGTTGTCGTCGTTGTCGTTATCGTTTCGTCGTTATGGGATAGGCTGATCTTCGAAGGGGGACCTCGAAGCAGGTACTGGTGTCCTCAGTGCATCTGCGGTCGCTTCGGATGGTGGTTACGGGGTACAACCAGGTCCCATCAGGCCACGAGGTCACCGAGACCTGTTCTCTTTAAGCTTTACTGCCTCGTGTGTGTACGGCTGAGTATTAGCTGACGCCAAGAACGTCGCAATAAACATTCTCTAAACCTTCCCCTCCACAAACCACTGCGTTTCCTCCCCCTTCACAGCCTTGCGGCGGGCAAGGTAGCAGCAAGCCAATCCCGAACAAGCGGGTTGTCGCTGCGAGAATGGCTTACTACATGCAAGCCACACAATGCCGTGTTTCGTCGAATCCCGCGCTAATCCTGAAAATAAGACTGAGGCCCTGCTTACTTTCTCGGTCTAGGCTCGAATGCTTTTCAGGGTAGGTCGTGGCTGGCGGAATACGCGCTGAGAATAGTAATACTAGTAGGAACGTGCGTTTTGTGACGTCGCACAGCCCGGGACCGCAGTTCGTCTCTCTTTTCTCTTTACCCTCTTTCGTCCCGTAAGGCTGACGATTGGATGAGGCTCTTCGCTCGTTTTTTTTTTTTTTTTTGCGGCATGTGCGGCGGTGCGCCTGGCAGGAACAACACGGTTGGGGACGTACGATTGTCATGCGGAGAAGTCTCGGGCTGGCTTGACTTGAGGGAGGGCCTGTTTAGAGATGGAACAACATCTTCATTGGGGGCTGTTTTGATTTTTTTTTCTCTGTGTGGGGCGTGGTCGCTCGCGTTCACCTATTGTGGAATCAGTTATACCACATACATGTCACGGCTGCAGAAGAAACTGCATATATGCAGACAGCCGCCGTCGACGCGATTTGTTCGGCCGAGATGTGATGGGCGCTTTGCAAAGGCGTTGTGGCGCACGAGGCTGAGTTGGTACGCTTATGGGGCGGCTCGAACCTTTACTTATTTTTGTTTTCCAATGCATGTATGACTCCTTTCATTGGCTGCGCTGACACTTCGACGTATGGTTCCTTTTTGGTTCCTGAACGGAAGGCTTGATTCGCGAGAATGGTTGTAGTTGACGTGCCGAATTTTGATGTATTATTTTTAAACCAACACCAACGCCTCAATTCCTCATTCGACTGCCGAGAGCGCCGGCTTATACATGTAAAAGAAATGTTCAGAGTGTTCAGGAAGCACGTACTTTTCCAAGACTTCTGTATAGAGTAGGAGAAAATTCTCACCTTATAGCCCTAAGCAATCACACCGATAGCCTCATTTGGTAAAACTCCTAAACGCAAGTACGAGAGTGGGGTCACAGCGATAGCCGGGGGTAGCTCTCCGGAGGGAAGCGGGGAAGGTGGATACACATCAGCCCATGATTGCGAGAAGTTTAAGAGCAATCCAAACCCAACGAAAAATTTGAAGAGCCGAACAACTTCTCAAGACATTCATCCAATTCTGAACATGGTTGACTGGCGCGCCGTTGCGAAAGAAAGACGAGCCGTGCAGGCCGCGCTCATCCCGCCCGCGCTTCGCCTCGAGAGCATCCCTGAAGGTCTCGTCAACGCCGTTGAATACGTCGAGTCCTGTGGACTGCTGTCAGAGGAAGAGCTGCAACTAACGAGCATCACCGACGCGCGCGTCTTGATTGACAAGCTTACGTCCGGCTCCGTCTCGAGCGTGAGGCTCACGACTGCCTTTATTAAGCGGACGGCAATCTTGCAGCAGCTGACTGGCTGCTGCACCGAAATCTTTTTCGACGAAGCGCTCAAGCGGGCGGAAGCGCTCGACAAGCACCTGGCTGAGACCGGCAAGTTCATTGGGCCTTTACACGGAGTTCCAGTCTCGGTGAAAGATGGGTTCGATGTCAAGGGCGTGGACACCACTGTCGGTACGCAAATCCAACAAACCCAGTGTACTGTAACATAGATCTGATTATGCTAGGCTGGGTCGGACTCGTGGGCAAACCAGCCCCAGAGAACGGCCCCGAAGTCGAGGCCCTGCTCAAGCTCGGAGCAGTCATCTACTGCAAGACCAACATCCCGCAGTCACTGATGGTGAGCAAATCAACAAACCCGGCACGTTCAGAGCAACCACAGCTGAGATGGCTCAGATGGCAGACTCGTACAACCACGTCTTCGGACAGTGCGTCAACCCCTTCAACCGCAACCTCATCTCGGGCGGCAGCTCCGGCGGCGAAGGCGCCCTCGTCGGCGGCCGCGGCAGCGTGCTCGGCATGGGGACGGACATCGGCGGCTCCATCCGCATCCCGGCCTGCCTCCAAGGCCTCTACGGCCTCTGCCCGACCATCGGCCGCATCACATTCCTCAAGTCGGCGTAAGCTTTGCGGTTTCCATCTTTTACTTCCTTATCCCCCCATCCCCTGATCCCCCGACCCCATCCTTTCGTCCTCCTAGCATTCAGAGAAGCTCATGTTTTCCCTCCCTCCTCTTTCCTCCTTGCAGGTGGGACCAGGAATACATCGTCCCCCCAGTCGCCGGCCCGCTCACCCACAGTCTCGACACGCTGGAGTACTACATGGATAGCTGGCTGGGCACGAGTCCGTGGAACGCCGACCCCCGCATCTTCCCGATCCCGTGGCGCAAGGAGCTGGCAGCGCCGCCGCAGCGCCCGTTGAAATTGGCTTTCATCTTCGACGACGGGTTCGTCAAGCCGCAGCCGCCCGTGGCGAGGGCGATTCGAGAGGCTGCCGATAAGCTGAAAGCTGCGGGCCATGAAGGTAAGTGTTCACGAGAAGTAGTAAAGAGGGGGTGTAGATTTGAAGCACGTCACATCTGCTGACCGAGATTGTGATTCAGTCGTCGAGTGGGACACCAAGCTGCACGAAGAAGGCTTGCGGCTGTGGGTCAAGGCCATCGTGGCGGACGGCGGGAAGAGTTGCAGAGACCACTGCACGATCATCGGCGAGCCGCTGATCGAGGGCATGGTCGTCGGCCAGGAAAAAGACTTTCTCGAGATTCCGGAGCGGCAGCAGGTACGTGTGTGCTGGCTCTCTCTCCCTCTCCCTCTCCATCTCTCCTCCTCTTTCCCTTTTTGGGACTGCATGTGCTGCAAGACAAGAAACATTGACAGGCAATCCAGCTCTCCGCCGAAAAGCTGAAGTACGAAAAGGCCTTCCTCGCGCAGTGGAACGCCGAGGGCATCGACGCCATCGTCCTGCCCGTCCTCCCTTGGGTCAATTACCGCCCGAAGACCTGGGTCAAGAGCAACCCGTGGCTCGGGTTCACGGCGCTGTGGAACCTGCTGAACTACACGGCGCTGGTCGTCCCCGGCTCGCGTGCTGATGCCGCGCTCGATCAGCCCGGGGATGATTGGAAGAACCACGTGCCGCGTAACGAATCGGACAAGTTCAATCATGAGCAATGTGAGTGTTGTTTGAGAGATCCTTGTTATGCTGGAAAGTGTTGCTGATGAAGGTGGGACAGACGATATCAACTTGGTGAATGGGATGCCTGTCGGGCTGCAGCTCGTTACGGGCAGATTCGGGGAGGAGAAGGCTGTTTCCATTGCGAAGGTTATTGCGAGCCTGAAGTAAACGAGGGGTCATGTTTTGCTGGTTCGCTTGATATGATCACTTTTGTAGAGAGTGACAATCCACGACAATGGCTTACCACCAGCCAATGGTTGATAGAAGCTACCTAAGACAGTTTTATGAGTAGGTGCATTCATACATTTATGTCCGAACAATGGCTTCAACTACGTACGTCTATGCTTCATGGTAACTCCTCAGTGACCCACTGTGGCGTTCTGACTCGGCCAGCCGATCACCTGCGGGTATCCGAGAGATTTGAAAGCATGATACGATTTCGGCGCTGACTCATGAAGAGGTGCACAGGGCGCGCGGCTTTTTCATTTACGGTGGCTATACATGGAAGGGCGGGGTACGGCTGCGGGGTTTTTAGCAGCCGAAGATCGGAATGTGAGTCAACGTCATGGTCTTATCGCGCTAGTGCAGGGACTATAAAGTCTGCGAAGAAATCTCCGTATAGCTAAACAAGACCAGTGGTATTCAATGGCAGACATGAGATCTGAACAGGAACGCGGACTGCTGTCTGCCCGAGGCAGCAAATTGATTGACGAGGCCGGTCATCGCAGCTTCCATGACGTCTTGGAGGACATCTACCAACCAGAGCACAACCCTGATGGCATTGTAAGCTTGGGATTAGCAGAGAATGTAAGTTGATGTCTTCTCCTGAATCCTAAAAGCGTACTGACGGCAATCTCGCAGTCATTGATGCACAATGAGCTCCTGGAATTTATCAACAACACGGTGAGTCACCCATCTACTCCAGGAATTCCGCAGGGCTGATGCGTCCAATGCAGCCGCAGTTCAAAATGTCAAGCCACTTCCTTATGTACGGCGATGGCTCTCACGGATCTAAGAAGCTTCGCGCGGCGGTGGCTAGCTTCGTGAACGAGCACTTCAACCCTGCGCTACCGGTCGAGAGCAAACATGTGCGTGTCTCGCTCGGAGTATCGAATGCCAATGAAGTGATGGCCTTTGTTTTGGCCAACGAAGGCGATGGCTTCCTCCTCGGCAGGCCGTACTATGGAGCTTTCGTGGGAGACTTTTGGGCACGTGCGAAGTATGCCCTTCTCCCGCCCCATCTTTGGCACTCCATACTAAGCTCGCACACAGAGTGAAGACCGTCGGCGTTGCCTTTGGCTCCACTGACCCATTCAGTCTTGAAGCCGTCGCAAAGTACGAAGAGGCGCTGCTGCGGTCCAATAACGAGGGAGTTCCGATCAAGGCCTTGGTCCTTTGCACGCCGAATAACCCACTTGGTTGTCCATTCCTTCCCCCAGCTTCGATAGGACCTGCGCTGACAGTTGCTAACAGGCCGGTGCTACTCCCGCGAGGTCATCGTCGAGCTGATGAAGCTCTGCCAGAAATACCAAATCCACCTCGTCAGCGACGAGATCTACGCCCTGTCCGTCTGGGACAACCCGGAAGCGCGAGACGCGCCACCCTTCACCTCGGTGCTGTCCATCGACACAGCCGGCATCATCGACCCCTCCCTCGTGCACGCCATGTGGGGCATGAGCAAGGTGAGTCACAACGACTCAAGCCCACCAAAACAAAGACACCATGCTGACGACCGCACTCCCCACCAAGGACTTCGGCGCCAACGGCCTGCGCATCGGCTACATCATCGACCAGCACAACCCCTCCTTCCGCGAGTCCGTCCGGCAGATCTCGTACGTCTCCAACCAACCCCTTCTTCCCATACTAAAATATTAACCCCGTCAACACCAGCCTCTTAAACTACCCCGCCGCCCCCTCGGACCTCCTCGCCACCGCCATCCTCTCCACACCCCCCTTCACAACGCCCTACATCGCCACCAACCGCACCCGCATCGCCGCCGCCTACGCCTTCGCCACGGACTGGCTGCGCGCGCGCGACATCGCGTTCGCGCCGGGGAGCAACGCCGGGTTTTTCCTGTGGATCGACGTCGGGCGCGCACTCTCTCGAGCCACTGGGAACAAGCCGTACGATCATGAGTTGTTTAAGAAGTTGTTGGCTGAGGCGAAGCTGAGCGTGGCGGATGCGCTGGCGTTTGGGGGCGAGGAGGTGGGGTGGTTTAGGGTGGTGTTTACGCATGGGCGGGGGTTCATGGAGATGGCGTTGGGGAGGTTGGAAGGGGTGATGGGGAGGTATGTTGGGGAGGTGGGGAGGTGAGGGGGGTGAGAGGCGGGAGGAGGTGGAGTGAAGGATACATAGAAAGAAGGGACAGTATGGATGAGGATGAGGGGAAGCGTAGAGGGTTGTAAGCTCTGTCGCATTTTGCAAGTAAACGGACAGCAGTAGTGAGTCACGTGACGTCATTGTGATGATGGTGGCCGCCGAGCGCGTAAGGCCCGAGCCTTGTAGACGCAGTCGCTTCATGACTTGTTTTTCTCGTGTGCGTGCATGAGTGAGTGACCTGCGGACGGCGGTAAGCAAAGGCTGTGTGTTTATATATTCGAGTCTTCGACCCTCACTTCATAGACCCGGCCAAGAATACCAGTAACGAGTGGGGAGTTGATGCAGACGCCCTCCCTGCTTAAGCTGTGACTTGGCCGCCACACGCAAGGGTGGGGTACGGTCGGAGGGTGTAACGGGAAAAAACAGGCGGTCCTTGAAGAGCCTGTTTCTGTGCCGACAGGCATAGTTTTTTGTCTTTTTTTTCTCTTGGTCCGGCAAGGTTGGTTAGTCTCAAAGGAAGAGAGAATAGAAGTATCATCACGGTATACCGGGCTGCATTTTATTCATGGTTCATTAAACTAAATCCTCGCGCATACTACTACTATTAGACCCGAAACGAATCAACTTATGGAAACTGAGTAACAACGACCCGTAGCTTCGAGTCGCCAATGCAGTTGACAGTCTCTGCTACTATTAAACCTTATAGAAACCCAACTTCTTAGTATTTCTCGTTGTGGACTCTCTGTTCCTGTACATCCGAGTTGTCGGCTTTCTGCTCCTGTTCGTGGCGGTGGTGCACCATTTCGTCGTGGAACTGGTACAGCGGGGGGTACGGCTCGACGTCCTTCCTCAGAATGTACTTGTTGAGGTACCAAGGCAGCTTCCGGGCGTAGTACTGCGCGTGCTCTCTGTTGCCGACCGAGAAGACCGTGTCCAGCTCTTCGAGAGTGAGGTTCTGTTAAAACTCAAGTCAGCTTCGATCACTTCAACCCGCAAAAGCAATGGCGGAGAAAAACTCACCTTCGTCTCCGGCAGGAAGAAGTAACAATATATCCACCCCACAAAATTCCACCCGGCGTACCACCCAAACGCGCCCTGAGGCTGGAAGGCCTCGACGAGGGCGGGCCAGGTCAGGCTGAGGATGAAGTTGAAGCCCCAGGTGGTGGCCGTGGCGAACGACATGCCCGTGTCGCGGATGTACAGCGGGAACGCCTCGGCGCTGTACGTGAACGGGACGGGGCCCTCGCCCGGCGAGTAGACCATCATGAACAGGAAGATGGCCGTCGCCACGCACGCCACGCGCGAGTCCGACACGCCGCCGTTCGGGTCGTCTGGGATGTAGAAGGAGAAGCCGCAGAAGAGGAGGAAGATGCCCATGAGCGGGAACGTCGTCAGCAGCAGGTTGCGACGCCCGAAGGTGTCGATTGTGTACACGGCCTGTGGGTTTTGTGTCAGTTTGCTTTTCCACGACGAGAGATGCGAAAAGAATAGGTGGACTAAGATCATGGTGACTTACTGGCAACGCAAACAGCCAGTTAGTGACGCCAGTTCCGAAAGATACAAGCAGGGCATTCGACCGCGAGAAGCCAGCCTGCTCAAAAATTTCGGACGAGTAGTAGGCAATCACGTTTACGCCGCAGAACTGCTGCATGAACATGACGAAGAAAGACGACTGAGCGGCGCGGCGGTTGCGCTTGACCATGAAGAACTCCTTGAAGAGGTTCTTGCCTTCACGCTCGGCGGCTTCGATCTCCAGGAGTTTGTATGCGTAGTACATATCACGCGCGGCCTGGATCTCATTCTTTCGCAGCCTCTTGAGGGCGTTGAAAGCTTTGTCGTACTTGCCCTTCTCCATATACCTGTGATGAATCAGCATTGATAGTTCGTCAGGGAAGGTAAGCCGTAGATCAACACTCACCATCTCGGACTCTCCGGGCAGAAGTAGACTTGGACCATGACAATGAAAGGCGGGATGGACGTCGACGCGAGCATCCAGCGCCACTGCGAATACTGGCCGAGGAAGTCGACGTTCTCAAAGGCGACCGAGACGACGAAGCCCAGCATGATGCCGAAGGCGGTCCACATCTGCCACATCATGGTCAGGGCGCCGCGGATGGTCTTGGGGGCCGACTCGGCGGCGTAGACGGGCGTGGTGCTGGACTTGGCGCCGACGGCGAAGCCGAGGGCGAAGCGGGCGATGAGCAGGTTGTACCACGAGTCGGCGGCGGCCATCCAGAAGCCGGTGACGAAGGAGATGAAGCACGAGATGAAGATGGTGCCGCGGCGGCCGAAGGCCTTGTTGAGCGGGGCGTTGGTCCAGCACCCAATCAGGGCCGAGGCGAGATAAGGAGCGCCGTTGAGCAGTCCTCGTTGCCACACGTTGGTGATTCCGTACTCTTCGAGGTAGTAGAGCTGTTGGGGGTTAGCTATGCGACTGAATCATTCGGGGAAGTAAGTCATCGAACCTGAGCTCCGTTGACGGCTGTCTGGTCCATGCCTTGCACGATGGCAGAACCGGCGCAAAGGATGACCAGGAAGTAAAGCATGAAAGGCTGGCTCCATCGGTGCTTGATCTCGTGCCGCAACAGCTCTTTCTCGGCTTCACTCAGGGCAGAGACACTCTCGAAGCCATCGTCCCTTTGCTGGACGCGGGCAAGTAGGGCTCCCTTGCGGAAAGCCTCTCTCGAGTCCTGGAGGCCCTTCTCCTCAACCCAAGCGTCGACCTCGGCGAGGACATCCTCTTCAGTCCGGCCTGCCAGAGGGTTGCGCAAAAGAGCGGCAACACTGGGCCGTCTTTGGCCATCTGCGTGTTCAGTGTTGCGGGCCCCGTCTTCAGCCGACTTGCTGCCCGTGGATGAGGCAGAACTGAAGGGGGCATTCGGCTCTGTCGCCTCCGTCGCCTCGATGTCCACGTGAGGCGGAGGCATGGTGTTCCGGGGATCCTATGGATTAGCCAAAGAAGAGTAACACGCGCGATCAGGGCAGCAGATCTGCAGAATAGTGACAACGACGGAGCAACGGATCGCTGCGCGCGTCGAACGGAAAATCGGGTCTCATCTCGCATTTAATACGTGCCCATGGGGCCGTGAGCTGAGCAGAAGCTGTGGGGAACCCAAGGCCGACAAGAAATCCTCGCCGTGGGCCGCATATAGGCCGCACCTGGGCATACATCATCGGCGATGCCGAGGCGGGCAGAAAGAAGCTCGAGGCGGAAGAGAGCACGGGCGCGGACAGGCTCGGCGAAAGCCCTGGGCGCGAGTGAGACGCACCAAGAACAGTCCGGGGAAGTGACATGTTGCGTGGCGGAGCAGAGTGGAAGTGGTCTTGGGAGTGCGCAAGCGGAGTCTTGGCTCGGCTCGCGGCTTCCGTCTGGGGCGTCTTGTTAAGCTCCCGCAAACGTCGCGCGCCGCTCATCTACCCGACGCCTCTGCCGCCCAGCCGCTGCCCGCCCCCCGGAGTGCTTGGCTCCGTCACTCCACCCGCCCATCGTGACCTTGCTGCTTGCAAATTATTGTGGGTCCGTCACTCACCTCCAGCCTCTTGGCACCAAGCCATTGACGCGGAGGCTCCGTGGGGTTCTCCATCACATCAGGCCTGGGAAGTGATTGACACATACATGTTGGATCCGTGGACCAACTTTCGCGCCCCCCTTGACCCGCCCGGCGGAAATGCTACCTTGGACCTCGTGAGGCAAGATGAAATGGGAATTTCAGTCCGAGACCGGAGTCTTTTCCACGTCGGAGATTTTGTGTTCCCCCAATCCAACACCTCCCTGAGACAGGCCATCCCCGTCGACCAAAAGAGGCCGTCTTGCGCGTCCTCGCCGCAATCCTCGTGCTGACGGCCAAGGCTCCTCGATGCGGGCGAGGCTGAGGTTCCATCCACCAAGAGGCTGACTGAAACGAGACGAAAGGGGCTGGACGAATCATCACTTCTATAATAAACTCCCTTGACAAGCTCGTTCAAGCAAATGTAAAAGCTGGAACGTGGGGAATCTTGAACAGATCGTGCAGCCAGACTTTTGGACGCCGGGCATAAGAAATCGACAAGCCACTTGGCGACAGCATGCAAACAGGAAGCAAAACGAAACACAGCATATCTCGGCGTGTAAGCGGCATACTTGGCATTATAAGCGGGGCTCTCCGGCTACCAGGAAACGGGATGCCCTGGTTTCGAGGTGGAGAAGTCTCGGTGGTACAATCCTCGTCTCGAGATCCTAGATGCTACTGGAAGTGAGTACAGAGGGCCATTTCAGGCCCGCGCGAAGAATAGTAGGGCTGTATGTCTACCTCCCTCAAACAGACGATCAAGTGCTTAGAAACCGTATAGCAAAAAGCCACCCTTGCATTTTTTTTTCTGTAATACTTTTTTCTTTTTAGAGAAGCCGGGACGGAGAATAAGGAATTTTAGCGGCAACAAGCCCATTCACGATCGACTCCCCACCGTAGCAGCCACACTTGAGTCATCTTCTTCGCAGTCATACCACTCATCTTCCTCATTCTCCACCACGTTTTTGTGTTTCGGCCGCAGCAGGTTTCTCCTTGCCTTTCTTTCCAAAGCCTGGCGACGAGTCTCCAGACTCTGTTTCAAGCGCTTCCGCTTCTCCTCTTCCTCCCTCAATTTCCTTTGCTCTGCAAACAAGTCAGTTTTCTGACCTAAAAAGAGAAATAAAAAAGAACAATAGGGAAAGCAACAAACCTTTCGTCAACGCCAACGCCGACAGCCCCAACGCGCGCAACGTCTCATTAGGCAGCAAAAACGCCCGCTCGACGACGACCTCGGCCCCGAGTATAACATCGCGCGGCATGTTCTCGAGCACGACGAACTCGTCCGTCCAGATGAAGCCGCCGCCCTTGCCCTTGCGCGCGTTGAACCGCCACCGTCCGTTGGCGATGTATTTGGGTTTCACGATGGACCCGTCGCCTGCCCAGAAGTTCAGGTGTGTGCACAGTCGTAGCTCTAAGCCGGCCTCGAGCGCTCTGTCTAGCCGGATGAAGTTGCGGTCTGCGCTCGTGTCGAGGAGGGCGCGGAGGGGCGTTTTGTCTGAGTGCGCGTTGTAGAAGTAGACTTCTTTTTCGAGTTGCGAGGTCGAGGAGGTGGTGGGTGGGGAGGAGGTGGTTGAGGAGGTCGACGACGAAGAGCAGGTCACGTCGCTGGGCTCGGGAGTCGTGGATTGGCGGGGCTGTTCGATGGTGTGGTGGATGTGATAGTTCTGTGGTTGTGGTTGCTGGTATTGTAGCTGGTGCTGTTGCTGGTGCTGCTGCTGTTGTTGTTGCTGCTGCTGCTGGCGGTAGGGGTCGCTGCGGGTTGAGTATGTTGGGTTGTAAGGAGTTGGTGCGTAGATATTGGGGCCAGGTGCTTGGCGGGCAAAGTAGGTAGGATTTGGTGTTACGGGATTCGGGGGTGCTGGGTACATCGGTGGTGTCTGTTGGTATGCCGCGTAGTAGTTGCCGTACATCGAGGGTCCTGGGGCTTCGGGGAAAGGCCCGGGAATGGGAACGGCGGGTTGCGGGGAATTGTAAAATTGTTGCGGAGGCGAAAAAGAGTATCTTGGTCGAGGAGGCTTTGGTCTATTCTGTGGTGTAGAGCTGTCTTTCTCCTGCTCTTGAGCTCTCTCATGTATCGTGTTTCGACGCGGAAGCACACGCCTAGGCTCGGGAGGACACGATCGTGGTGGCATCGGAGTCGGAGAGACTTTTGGTGAAGGGCCTGGGGATGGAGCCGGAGATGGCGGGAGGTTGAAGGATGGATGTGGTGCCGTGGCTAAAGTCGAGCTTGGGGAAGATGGAAGGCTGTGTTGAGCTGGCACCGACGAAGATCTGCCAAGCTCGTGAGCATGCACGACCTGGTCGTTGCTGTCCGAGTTGAATGGAGTTGCGCTCCTGAGCGGGGTCACGATATCAGATGCTGCGACTTCGATTTTGTCTGTCTCTTCGCAAGCCTCGTTTGCTGATACCATCTCGAACTCTGCCGCTGGTGTGTGGTATGAAGATGTAGGACCGGTAGATGCGTTGAGGTCGGTTGATTCAGGTGTCAATGGTCCCTCCGATTTGTCATCGGTAGCAATCGTGTGAACAGACTCACTGCGTTCTGGAGTCGTTCCTCGACCACACACACAAGCTCTGATTTCGTGAGGAGTAAGTTGCAACCAGTCGTCCAACCAGTCAGGCTTTAGATCCACTACTGGTGACACTGATGGTGTAGATTCGGTATCAATGCTGTATGTGGATTCGTTGATACTCTCATACAGAACTTCGAAAGGCTCCGGTGTCGACTGATAGTTCGAAAGATCGATTGGTGTTGCTTCTCTTGTGAGTTCTGCAGACTCGGAGTCTTCAGCATCCTCCACGGTAGGATAGACATAGTTGGAGAACCTGTTGACTTCTTCTAAAAGAGAGTCGACCTGGAAAGCGAATACGTCAAGGATTGGATCTGGTTCACACTGTACCGGTGATGAGTCTGGGAGCTCATCAAGGAGGTCTACAGGGTCGTCAAGGTCTTTTTGGCCAGTAGAATCCAGAGCAAGGTTATGCTTGTCATCCAGATCCTGATCCGCCTCATGATCAGGGTTATCCTTTTCAAGAGCTGAGGCTTCGGCAACTTTGCTAGTGTCTGGAGGCTCGGGTTCGGCAGGGGTAATTTCAATGGTGACCGGAAGGCTTTCTTGTTCAACGGGATCCTCTTGTGCTGCAGTATGATTCTGACTTTCATCCTTCTCTTCATGCCATTCTATGAGGAGAGGAGCTTTGTCTTCAGCAGATCCCGCCTGTTGATGCGGAGAACCGGGCTCCTGACTGTCACTAGGGATGCCGTTTTTGATGTCTCCTACATCAGGGCGTTCCATCTGGTTGTCAATAGACTGGGTGGGCCCTTCTTCATCGGACTCGACAGTGGCAGAACAGTATATGGGCTCAGGGACACCCGAAGGCTCAACAGCACCCGAAGATTCAGTGGCAGCCGCGGGTTCAGCGGCAGGCGTAGGTTCAGTGACAACCGTAGGCTCAGTGGCAACAATAGTTTCAGTGACATCCGAAGGTCCAGTGGCACCAGAAGAGCCAGAGACAGCCGAAGCTTCGTCCGGGAACGGCAGGACCTTGAGGGCGTTGAGGGCCTTGTCCGCTTCCTCTCGAGGATCCGGAGGCAAGACATCTGGTGGATCCGTCACCATGGTGTCCACCAGCATGTCGTGTGATTGTTCCACGGGCGGTGCGGGCCTTGGCTGAGGCGGAGACGATATGACTTTGCGCTCCGCGGGTTTCCCCTGGACTTTGAGGTATTCTTCAACGAAAAAGGAGAGGTCCCGCTCGAGAACATGTCCCAGAGGACACACGGGGTGTGAGTGAGCCACTTCAAAGTCCTGACCGTAGTTGAGTCGTGTTTTCGGGGAGAAGGGTTGGGCTCCTTTGTCTGCTCTTGCGCCGATAGGCTGACGTAGCTTTTCTTCTCCGCGAAGAGGTCTTGGAGGTTGGGCGACTGTATAGATAATAGCATGTTCGTGCTGCTTGCCTCGAACGTCTGACCGAGTCGTGGCCCGACCTTGGTAAGTCTTGATCATCCTGCAACGCAACTTAGCCACGACTTCTTACATCTGGTACAGAAAAAGGCTAGCTTACAAGCATCTTGACGACTCCTCGCCGGGCTCGACTACGACGTAGACACGAAGTGTACAATCCCAGTGCTTTATGCGGAAAATCTGCGCATCGTCAGTGGCCTGCGAGGGGGTTCAAGGGGCGGGAACGACGGGTCTTACCTGTCCAGTAGTGAAGAAATCAGACCATAGCTCTCGCGGCACGCAGTTGTAACCTGAACGAGAAGTCAGTAGAGGATCAAGCGATCAGTCGCAGCGCATGGCGGGGCAGCGAGACTGGGCGGTCGCGTGCGCGAAAGCCATGTTGACTTACTTGACGCGTCGGACCGCTTCTGAGCGACCGTTGCCCTATCGGTGCGTCCCCTGTATTGAGCCTTCCCCGACATTGACGCGAGTGATGCGGGCATCGAAAAGAATGATGGAAGTGATACGGCGTTGGATGGAGGTGCGTGACGACACACACTTCGGCGACGGACTTGCCTCCCTCGGCCGCTCTGTCTGGTAAGAAGAGGCTCTGCCTGACTCCGTCATTGATGGGCTGGGTGCATGTGCTCGAGCGGCCCGACGGCTTGGGACTGCAGAGCGTCGCATGTGGGCGCCCCAGTCGGTGGCCTACGATTGAAACGCGGCCACGTTCGCAGCAGTGCATGCAGCACACATACGAGGCGCACCACTTGGGCTCATGCATCAAGCCGTAAGGCCGGCAGAAACCCGCAGACGTCGAGCTCGTACTGCTTACTGCCGGAGGGTGCGAGGACTCAACTTTTCTCAAATTCGAAGGGAGACGACGACATGCGAGTGGCCGAATAAGGAGATAGAAAAATATTGCGGTTGTGCGGGGTCGATACCAACTGGTGTGGCATCCCAGTCAACACCAAAGGCGCTTACCTGCCTGCAAATGGGACGGCGTGGTGCAAGGCATTTCGGCTCAGCCCTGCATTACGCATGCTTTGGGCATGAACCCGGCGGTTAGGGCGTAAATCACCCTGTCCTTTGCATGACAACCCCCAGTCGGGGCCCATTTCTCCCAACCAATCACTGTTGAACCCATCCGAAAATAGACTCCTCATTAAATTCTCATTTCCAGGACGAAAATCTATGGTTCGACCTCGCCTTCAATCTAGCCAATGTATCTGAGTAAGTCTATATTTTGGCTCGGTGGCACCTTGCAACCGCGTAGCGGGAGGAGAACAGGATCCCCCTTCTGCGTATCAGGATGCACCTCGAACGTAGGATGTGGCTCAGCCGTACCGAACCGTACCGCCTCGACTGCGGCCAAGAGGTCAAACTCATCATCCGAGGGTACGTTGGACTGCTGCGAAAGCTGTACATCACTCTGGGTATTGACGCCAATTGCTGATGCAGATCCAGCATTCCTCGATGCACTCCTAAAACCGAAAATGCTGCGTAGCGACGCTACTAAGCCTGCATATAGGTGGCGCATCCATCTTGTCGGCAGACAATACTCAATGCCAACCCACAGTTTGAAGACCAGCTGGTCGGGGACAAGACGGATCAAACTACCCAAAGGAATCGTCAAGAAGCCGAACAGGATCGACCACCCCCATTGCGCGCCTGTGAGCGGGACCGTGTGGAATGCCTGTCCGCCCACGAAAACGATGATGATTTGGCCGGCGAGCGTAACTGCTTGGACGAATATGAACCACGGGTTTTGCATCACCCCCTCGAGGATGTTGAGTTTGTTGTCGGCGCGTCGAGAACTGTTCAATCGGATTAGGATACGTGGAAGCAAGAGGACTGGGTCTACATACTTGGCTTGGTTGAAGAACTGCATCAACACGTATGTATTGAACGTCATGGTCTGCAGCTGCCCTCGCTGGTCATCAAGGGGGGAGTTGAATATTGATTCGCCAGCGTAATAGAAGACGAAGATAACGGCCAGTTGGTATATCGACTGCCCGGTGATCATCTTCCACATTGTCGTGTTCAAGACTGATGTCCCATTCACTTCCGGTTTTCGTGAAAATAAGTCCCGGGTAGGGAAGTCTGTAGCCAAAGCGAGGGCAGCGAACGTGTCCATGATAAGATTGATCCATAGAAGCTGGACGACACTGAATACCGAAGCATCTGTGCCGCCGACGAGGGCGGATATGACAGTGAGAAGCCCGGCGGTGATGTTGATGGTGAATTGAAACTACATCACGTCAGTTCAGAAAGGGAGAAATAGCGAAGGGAAACGTACCTGTAGAAACTTCTTAGCGGCGTCATTGACAGCCCTTCCCCAGCCAATAGCCTTCACAATAGAAGCAAAGTTATCATCCATGAGAATAATGTCGGATGCCTCCCTCGCGACTTCTGTACCAGAGATGCCCATGGATAACCCAACATTGGCCGCCTTCAAAGCCAGGGCATCATTCGTGCCATCACCAGTGACGGCAACAATCTCGCCCATGGACCTCAGGTGCGACACAAGCAGCATCTTGTCATCTGGACTGGAGCGGGCAAGAACCTGTAGACGCGGCACAACGAGGTCCAGCTGCTCGGGCGTCAACTGTCGGAATGTTGGGCCATCCATGGCAATTCCGCCGGCCGTGTAGATGCCGCATTCCGAGGCGATCGCCTTAGCTGTGAAGAAGTTATCGCCAGTCACCATTCGTACGAACACACCGGCGGATCGACAGCGCTGTACCGAGTCAACGATCTCGGGGCGCAGGGGATCGCGGATGCCAAAGGCTCCAAGGAAGACTAGGTCTGAGATGTTCGCTGCCAGTTGCTCTTCCGGAACTACGCCATCCTGGAGAGCAGAAGCCGGCAAGTCACGATATGCAACGGCAACGACACGGAGTGACCGTCCAGCGTATTGGTGCATCGTGGTTTCTAAACCGTGGATTTCGTCGACCGATAGGATCTTGGTGGACATGTCGACGCTGGGATCTTGAAGAGTCTGGGTGCACCTGCCGAGGACGACTTCGGCGGCTCCCTTTACCAGTATTCTGCAACTCTCAGGGCCAGTTTTCATAAACGTGGCCATCCATTTTCTCTTTGAGTCGAATGGAAGCAACTGGACTACGTTCCCATTTGCCCTTTCTTCGCTCAGTGCAGCCATTCCAAGGTGATCAGAAGCGAATTTCAGGAGAGCTGTCTCTGTGCTTGACCCAACAAACTGATTGGAATCGCTGGTTTCGATAGCGGTCGAATTAAGGCAAAAGCTTGCTTTGAGGAGGTTCCGAACATTTGCAGAGAGAGATTGGATAAGTCTGCCTGCTGTAGGCAGAGTTTTCGGTTCTTCGCTAAGCGCATTGGAAGGCGTGCTGGTATCGAATCGTCCAAATGCACCCAAAATGCCAGACACCACTGTCATCTTGCTCTGCGTCAAGGTTCCCGTCTTGTCCGAGCAAACAGTTGTCGCATTTCCCATAATCTCGCAGGACCGTAGATGCCGAACCAGGTTGTTGTCCTTTAGCATCCTCGTGGTGGCGAATGCAAGCGCCAGAGTGACGGTCAGCGGCAGACCCCCGGGCACGGCAATCACGACGACGGTAATGGAGAGGATAAGGACGTTCAGGAATTCCTCTGCCTTAGCTCGTGGACCACGCTGAATATCGTCGAGCTGGACAAGAAAGCGGATGAAGATTATGGTGAAGAAGATAAGACCAGCTGCCAAGCCGAATCTGACAATGTGGTTTGCAAGAACACCAAGCTTTTGTTGAAGAGGCGTCTCTCCCACATCGTCTTGCAATGACGACGTAATCTTCCCGTACGTTGAGTTCACACCTACGGAAAGGGCAAGGTAGTTACCCACGCCGGTCACAACTTTTGTTCCGCTGAAAACGAATGGGTCGCCAGGCTGCTGGGTATGGGGTGAGATCTTGACTACCAGCTCTGACTCGCCTGTTAGGGCCGACTCATCGCATTGAATGTCGAATCCCTCGATCATGACTCCGTCCGCTGGTACGACGTCACCGGCTTCAATGTGTAAGACATCTCCGACAAGTATGTCAAAGATGGAGATGGACTGGTGCATTCCAGAGCGGGTGACCGTTACCATGCGCTCTTCTTTCTTCTGGTTGAGTTTCTGGAACTTGAAGCTCTTCTGGTAATCGTTGATTGCAGTGACAAATACAATGACGATGACAGCGACGATAATTGAAACACCTTCGACCCATTCGATGCCTCCCTCTTCAGTGTCGTCAACAGATTGGTATATGCCAAGAGCTAGGGAGACGATTGCAGAGGCAGTAAGGAGGAACATCAACTTGTGGTTGAACGCAAGCCAAAGGTACTGTACGAAGGTGGTCGGTTTCCTCTTAGGTACGCGATTCTCGCCGTAGATGTGTCGGCGATCCGTGAACTTTCCGGGGTCAGATTGGACGACAACACCGGATCCATCTTGCCTCAGCGGCCGGTTTCCGGCTTCCAGAACGTCCTTGCGAGTGATGATGCCATCCACAATGTCTTCATCTGCACCAAGACCGGCCTTGGTGTCCGTTCGGAGACCCTTTGACAGACCTGGTAGACCTCCAAAGTATCGTAGCGCGGCGAAACTACGAGAAGTAACCAACTGTTGTAAATGGCTCGGTGGAAACGCGAATTTGTTGCCGGGGACTGCGTCGGCCTCGGTTGCGGGATTGAGTGAGAATGTTGCTTCATCAAGGGCTTGAGTAGTAGTCTGTAACGTGTATTCCGTTGGTGCGGCTGGTGTAATCTCGTCTTCCATAATGACAACAATCCTGAATTTGCCAACGCAGAAGTCGGAGAAGGCAAGGAGTAAAGTGGAACGCGACGAATTCCTATCACGTTATGCAAAATGCTCTGCTAGCTGAGCCGTGTTTTCCGTCTTGGCATTCATTTCAGCATCCTCTTATACATCAGACCTACCGACCGAACCTACTAATTGAAGTTAGCAACGATTAATCTAGTCATTTAGTCACTTTAGTCATGCATACAGTCCCCTCTTAAAGCCGATCGCCGGCGTGGATTCTTTCTTTTTTTTTTTTTGCTCATGTCATTGGTAGCTGAAGCTATCGTCCGGGCGTGTGTGTAGAATTTTCATTGTCGTCCGGACGATAGCTTCAGCTACACGCATATGTTATTTTTCTAAGGTAGAGCTGGGGCGTGGTTACGCTTTGTTGCTATTCTACGCGCTAGCCATCGGCTGTAGCACCCCTCTGTAGTTATTACTGCGCTTTTAATCTCAGTACTTATCGTCCCACGCTGTACCTTATCGTTGATACTGCTCTACGATAACCGAGCTAAATGTGGACCCTCGGCGGCCCGTGCCTAGGTAGTACTGTGTACAAAAATCTACAGCTCTCCCAAGACTTGAGCAAACCTACCTACATTTATAGTCCCGGAAGCGTTGCGTGATACGAAACATGAGAAATACTAAGAAGCTGCCTGCTACCTACGAGGTCAGTCTACTAATAAACAAAGTTTAGGTACATGGTTTTGCTCTTGCCAGGATGCATTTCTTCACATGCATATAGTGTATTGGTGTGCACACAGGAGCCTCTAACTTTATGTACAGTGAACTGATCTCGTATCTACACTTTGATAGTCTTTGTTCCTCGGCCCAATCAGATGTCGTTCCCCGCTCGCGCTACAGCCGCCCCACCCGCCGCCCGACCAAAAAAATTTCCGCACACCAACCCAACACCCCCAAGGCGCTCTGGATAGCTCCAACGAAGAGCAAAAAGATAATTCCGTCGCCGGGAATCGAACCCGGGCCTTGCCGGCACTTGTAAGTGAGATGACTCTCGAAACTGAGAGCGGCAAATCCTAGCCCCTAGACCACAACGGATGTGATGGTCTACTCGGAAACCCGAGTAACTCTCTCAGCTGGTGAGAGATGCACCAAAGAAGATTCTATATATACAATTTTACTTGATTCCATTCTCGACCTCCGAAGAGTGATGGCTGGTTTAGGGGCCACGAAAGATAACAGCTAGGCTGAGAAACGTGCAGTAGTCTCTCCGTTTCGTTTCCAGTTGGGCTGAAACCCCTTAGCTCTTAGCGTCTTACTAGTCTGTTAGCATGAAACGAAGTTCGCTACATTGCAAGAGTGAAGTGATGAGATACTACACTATGTTATTCCTTCCCGGAATTAGTATTATGGACAGATATGATCAGTTCCCAAACATTCGAGCAGTTGCTAACTCGCTAATGGGAATATGAAGCACTTCCATAATCATATACAAGGCCAAACTTGTGACAGTGAAATCCGAAAAAGCACTGGGCGCGTCCAAATTACAGGATCGCCTGTCCGTTGACATGGCTGCTCACACCACCTGAAATCTCGTCAGAAGACACATCGTGATGATTTCGAGGAAGAAAACTTACCACGGCAGTTGGCCGGTGCACTTGAGAAGAAGAAGGTCCACTTGTTGTGCTCTCTGCACTTCTGTGCCAGCTTCTCCAGATCCAGCATCTCTCCAATCGGCATTCCCCACAAGGCTAGAAGGTATTCATGAAGGTAGTGTGCTACATAAAGTTAACTCGGCCTGTAACCGTGATGAAACAAATCTTCAGACTGACCTTCGTGCGACGGCCAAGCCTCGAATGCGGGAGCATCTCCAGCAGCGGTGGCGAAGTAGCAGTCGTGCAGCCAATCGATCATCCGCTCTTCCTGGCTCAGTCCGGCCCATCTCTGCCCGTCGTTGAGGCCGAATTGGTGTGGGCGCACGGCGAGGGCATTGCGCTCGTCAGGAGACTTCGAGTGGTACGCCTCGACCCAGCCGCTGCGGATGAAGAGCATGTCGCCGATCTTGATATCTCCGCCCTGGGCGGCGGGACGGATGTCAATACCTTGGTCTAAGCCGCATTGGTAGAGCTCCTAGTACTGGTCAGTGTGAAAGTAGTGAATGCAGGGACAGGAGCGACTCACCTCGTAGCTGATTGGGTAGTAGTCGTACGGATCGTACTCTATGCCCTTCTTCTTTGCATAGCCTCTGTAATCGAGCAGGACGCCACGACCCGCAATGCCGTGCTCGGCCCAATGGTGGATACTGCATTTGTGGCTCGCATTGGCCCCGCTGGGTGTGATGATGTCGGTGCCCTTGGTCTACAGGCGATAAGCTCGGGCATCCGGAAAGGAGGAGTAGCATCTTACGTTGTTGTAGAAGGTACCTGTCTCGACCCACGAGAACTGCAAGCCGTAAGTAGAGGAGCGGGGAAGGCACATAACCTGAACTTACATGACGGAAGCCGTCCCATTGGGTCCCTGATTGTGTGTTCAGCTCGTATACATCGTCGTAGGCAATGTTTTCGGCGAGGGTTTTGAGCTCATGCTTGAACTGCTGGCGATGGAATGCCGGAACTTCGGGAACATCAAGGGGTAAGCTTGTATCCGAGGTCAGCGTGTAGTCCGCCACCTTACTCAATGTTGTCTTACTTCACTGGAACAATCTCGCCGGATCGAATTTCTTTTGAGGCCGCAGCTACGCGGGCCGGAGTGAGGAGGTTCAGCCGACCGATCTAGTGGCTGAGAGTTAGCGCGCTGATGTACCACAGCTGGTAGACTAACAAAGTCATTCTCTCCCCAAACCCAGGCGGCGTCCTTGGGCGCACCCTCGATCCTGGGAAGTTCCTTTCGCGTGGGGAACTTAGTCGAGTTCGGGTCGAAGGGGATGGTAGTCGCCGTCTTGTTCATGGTGAGGAAGTCTTTGATCTGGGTCAGTCGCCGACCCGTTTGGCTTTGCTGGTCCGCCATTCTGGTGAGCTTCGTGGATGTGAGGAGGAAGCGGTCAATTGGAGAAGTGCGGAGAAACGCTCTCCACGACTGCGACCCATTCTTATTAGATCAGCGTTCCTGGGAAAGGGCGGAAGCCGGCATCCGGCAAGGCTCCCCGCATTTAGGATGCAGGCAGCGGCGGGGTGTAATTAGCGGGTGGAGCCACACAAGACTAATCGTCATAACAATGGCCGAGGTCCACGATGCAGCGGAACCTGCAGCGGAACCATCAACGAACTGGCACTCGACACTCTAATTCTCAAAACGGTAATCCCTTGGTGTGATAGTTTGGAATCCCTGAAATAAGCAAATAAGCTTATTCATTGAAAGCTGTTCCGTATGAGGATAGCGGCCAAGCGAATTGCGTTGGCATTAAGATCTGAAGCTCAGACCCTGGTCGGTAGTTGTGTGGGGGGGAGATGCCCCTCGCGCTCAAGACGTCATCGCAAGCCCGATGACTCGCCCGTCCGTGCCCCTCACTGGAGCCTAGCTACCACCACAGTACCGCGTGGTCGCACCTCTACCAAGTCTCTACCAAAATAAAAAAAATTATCCCCAGCCCTCGCCCACCATGTTCAAGAAGAAGCCAAACGTACGCCAGTCCCATTCGCGCCACCACACACCTCTCAGCTAAACCTACCCCAGATCAAACCGCTCTCGCCGATCAAAAACTCGGAGCGCCGCAAGCTCGCCGACCAGATCATCGCAGACCTAGGCCTCGAAGTGCCGCCACCGCCCGCCGATGTCGACCCTGCCGACAAGGCCGCCGCGACGGCCGGCCTGACGAACCTGCGCAACGCCCTGCTGCCCGACGGCTCGCTGTCGGCGCGCTTCACCACCACCGCCGGCCCGGACCTCAAGCAGGTGTCGGGCACCGTCTACGTCGGCGCGCCCGCCGGCAGCACCGACAACCGCGTGCTGTGGGTGCGCCTGGACGACAAGATGCACCCGACCGTCTACACGCTCTGGCGCAACCCGGGCATCGTGCCGCTGCTGCACACGCCCGGCTTCGTCGTCGAGAAGATCCAGGGCGGCGCCGACCTGATGACGCCCGGCCTGCAGAACGGCCCGCCGTTCCCGCAGAAGGCGAAGAAGGGCGCCGTCGTGGCTGTCGCGAGCTTGGAGAATCCGACGGTGCCGGTTGCGGTGGGTGTGTGCGAGATCGATGTCAGCGCGCTGCAGCAGGTGCAGGGGTTGAAGGGCCACGCCGTGAGGTCTGTGCATTGGGCGGGCGATGAGATATGGGCGTGGAGCACATCCGGAAAGGAGGGCACATCACCACCAGAGCATCTGGATGGGTGGTACAGTGAGGATGCAGAAGTTGAGGCGGTGGCGGACCAACTAGAAGGCACGGATTTGAAGGACGTCGAAGATGGTGGCGTGCAGCTGGATCCTCAGGTACCAGCCGAAGGTGCGGACGGCGAGGCCGTCTCGAAGGAAGAGAAGTTCGAGTATGCGGAGGATCAGGAGTTGACCACCAAAGGTAGTCCAGCCTTCTACCAGTCTTCCGCAGAACATGAGCTAATCATGCGCAGAAATCGACGAGGCTTTCAAGAAGGCCTTCATATATGGAGTTTACCAACACATGGAGACCAACAAGAGCGAGCCCAATCATGGTCTCTCCTTTCCGCTTTCTCAATCCTTCGTCATGGCCAACCTCGTCCAACCTTTCCTCCCCGCATTCACACCCAAGCAAACCGCCTCTCTCCAAATAAAGAAAACGTCCTTCAAAAACATCAAAAAGTTCATCAAGTCTCTAGACAAGTCACAATTGATCAAATCTAAAGACCGGGACGGCAACGAGGTCGTCATCCTCGACATCGACTTCAAAGATGCAGCAATCCGAGAATTCAAGCCGTACCGCCTCCCTAAGAAGGACACAGCGGGAGGCGGCAGCGCAGGTCGAGGCACCACAGCCACAGCAACGGCCGGCCCTGGCGGCGAGGACTCGTCCATCGGACAGAAGCTCAAGAAAGTCGAGCTTTTCCGGCCAAAGGAGAAGCTGGCGCCGCTCTTCACAGCGGCCAGCGCCGACCCGCGCGGCCTCTACACGGCCGCCGAGCTGCGGCCCGTCGTCACGGCGTACATCGAAGCCGAGAAGCTCGTCTCGCCGACCAACAAGCGCATGGTCACGCTCGACCCCGTCCTCGCCAACGCCGTCTTCGACGGCTCCGCGCGCACCGACAAGGAGGTCCTGGCCAAGGGCGCGGCGCCGCGCGACGCGCTCGTCGACCGCGTGCTGGCGTCCTGCGCGCCCTTCTACGCCATCCTCCGCAACGACGAGACGGTCGCGACGGCGAAGCAGCCCAAGGCCGGCGCCGCGCCCAAGGTCAACATCACGCTCGAGACGCGCAGCGGCAACAAGACGGTCACCAAGACCAGCGGCGTCGAGCCGTACTTCATCAACCCCCAGGCGCTGGCCGACGAGCTGCGCAAGGCGTGCGCCAGCAGCACCAGCGTCGAGCACAAGGTCGGCAGCTCGCCCAAGAACCCCGTCATGGAGGTCATGGTGCAGGGCCCGCAGAAGGACGCGGTGCTGAAGGCGCTGGAGAAGAGGGGCGTGGCGAAGGGGTGGGTCGAGATCGTGGATAAGACGAAGAAGAAGAAATGAGGCTGAGAAAAGGGGGAGGAGAGAGATAATTTGGCCACATTGATGTCGGGTGATGGATGCTCACTCTCACATTTGCATCAGGGCATGGTAGGGTAGACAAAAAGAAATGACACGAGCATGAATGGATGACCAGTCATGAAACTGTTCTGGCTTCAGGCACTGTGGATTTCATGGCTATTTTTCAAGGCACCTCGCTTGCAAACAGAGTATGTGGAAGATCAAATGCCTCGAGACTTTTGCGACTCCTGCCATGAGCATGGCGGACGCCGTCTTTAATTGCTATTTCTCTAGTTGATTTAAAATTGGAAATATAATCATTACAATGCAAATACTCGTGTGCGCCGTTCGTGACAAAAACGACGTGAGGGGGAGGTGCGTGCGCGCAAGCGCAACGACATGAACAACTCGAAACCACCAAACCAACCAGCAGAGGCCTCGGAATACGAGGGCCAATGTTGAACTTTCTCTTTCCCCGAGACAAGAAGGGTGTAAGACATGCAAATGCAGATAAATGATGCAGGAAAGAGTCGTGACAGCCGTGATAGCGGAAAACAACACCACCCCCAACCGCGCCGCCGTCGAACCATCTCCGCCGTTCACACCTCGTCCTTCCACAGCCGATTGATACCGCTACTACCGCCGCCACCGTTGCCGAGCCCGCCGTAGTTTTTATTATTATTGTTCTTCTTTTCGTTGTTGTGGTTTTGGAATTGACCGGTCTGCTTGTCGTCCGTTGTGGCGTCGATTTCTTCCTTTTCCGTCGTCACCGCCCCGGTGGGAGCCCCACCATCCGCTGACTCTGCTGATGCTGTTGCTCCACCACTGCTGACGCTAAGGACAATGTCGTTGTCGTTGCCGGAGCCCCTGCCCATCTCTTGCCTTTTCGGGCCGTGACCGCCTTTGCTGCCGCCGCTGTCGCCATTGTCGCCGAGCTCCAGAAATTGCTGGAACGCGTGTTGACGGTTCTGAGGAGTGTCTTCGATTAAGGCGCCCAGCTTGCTGTTGTAGAGCGGTTGCGATGATGTGGCTTGCGTGTTCTCTTGGCTGTCATTTTCGTCCGCGTTGGCGAATGGATTTTTCGTAGGAGCAGCGGTGGCAACAGCAGCGGTGGAATCCAGCAAAAGCGTCTCCTCGGGCATTGGCAGCATCAGCAGCGTCGGCGGCAACACCGGCCGCGGCAATTCCTTTTCATTGCTTTTTTCTTTTTCCTCCTTCTCCTCCCTTCCCTTTCCAATTTCCTCAACAGATGTGATGGTAACGACGGCGGCAGTAGTAGTGGTAGCAGTAGCGGTAGTAAAGTCGGCGACGGCGATGACAGGCAGCGTGATGGTGCGCGTGCGGCGTAGCGTCGTCGTCGCGGCGATTACGCGACGGCCTGGGCCTCCGGCTGGGCCTTGGGCTGCACCGGTTGCTCGTGCATGGCCAGCAGCAGCGGCGACATCAGCAGCGTCAGGAAGAAGCCCATCAGCGCCAGCGGGACCAGGATGCCCGAACGGAAGAGCGACTTGTTTTGCTTGGTGGCGGACGGGGAAGACATTTTCGTCGGTGGGTTGTGTTGTTGGTGGGAGGGTGATTAGTGTTGGGGTGGTTGATGATCGCGGCACAGGGAGGGCGTGAGTGAGATCAAGTTGGAAGAGGAGCGCGGAGGCTATGAGCAGGAGAGTGGTGGTGGAAGAGGGTGTGGAGCGGGGATGCGGTGGCATTTGAATGTTTTAATTGTGGAGATTATGCGAGCCCTCTCACTGGAGAAGGCGGTGGGCGCCGAGAAGAGGGTCTTGTGGCTACTTGTTCAAGATTATGATATGCAGGATTCACGCCCGGGATGTCAGCAGCGTGCTTGCGCTCTGGGCCGCTTGTGTTCTGGAGAATTCAGGGGTGTGGGCTCAATGCTCGAACCAGCTAGGAACATCGCTTTCTAGTTATTATAACCTAGCCATGGCTGCCGCCGGTGGCTTCAACAGAATGAGCAGGCGTTGTTGGAATGGAGCCCGCGTACCGCAAAACGCGTGTTTTAGTGCGACGGGAGACTGGAGCTTGGCCCCGCGGGGGCTGGCGGCGGAACACGACGAGGGATGGAATGAGCTCTAGGCATTGGCGCTTGTACAATTTGCGCACTGTGTGGAGAAGGGCGCCGTTGCCCTTGCCTTTGGTGCAGCACGGTTCTCCTGACCAAAGGCCATTGCAGCCGCGTACCTTGCTCGAAGCAGCACAGCAGAAGCCGTCGGGAAATTGTACCGAGCCTGCGCCCAATCACGCACGCCTTCTGGAATGCGTCGAGAAAGCCGCGCGCTGATCTGCCGCCCACAGGCGTTTTTAAGGCACCGCCCAAGCTTCATTGACGCCCGTGCGTTCCTGCGTCACGCGGCTGCAACTCCGGTCCGGGAGAACTCTGTCTTAGCTGCGGCTGTAAACACACGGTTGCTGACCGGCCTCTATTTGCACACAACGCCCCGTGCGAGCTCACGTCACGCGCCTGCAGCTGCGCGCCGCTTAAGCCATGCTGTCGCTCCCTCTTATCGTCCCGCACGACGTACGGCGCTCTCTCAGTTAGCATTGTCAGCGCTCGCTAACATGAGCACTCGCGCAGGACCATTCGATATGGCACTACTCCTCGCCGCACTTACGGCCCAATCCTCCCTCGCCGACCAATGCCTCCGCTCCGAACCAGCCGCCTGACGGCAGCATGAATGGCGCCGCGCATCACCACATGCACCGCCGAAGCAACCAGGGACCGCGCTCCTCTGCGCTGGCTGCGCTGTTGCACGACGAGAACATGATCGAGCAGCGCAAGCTGAACGTGCGCCGCTTCGGCGCCGGCTGGATACGCCCACCGGGCATCGCCAAGACGTATCAGGCGGCCATGGACGAGGCGGCGGAACGCGAGGAGCAGGAGCTGTTGGCGAGGCGGGAAGCGGCCATGATGGAGCTCGCGAACGCCCAGGAGCAGGAGGAAGAAGAGGCACGACGGAGGGAAATGATAGAAAGAGGGTTGGCCGAGGAGAGAGGAGAGGCTGCTGAGGGCGAAGACGAGGAGGGCGAGGCCGACCTGGATGCTGAAGTGCCTGACTTGGACGCTGATATACCAGAGGGCAGTTTGGGCGACGGCAGTGAGGAGGAAGAAGACGAAGACGAAGAAGATGAGGATGAAGACGACGACGAAGAGGTCGACGAGGACGACGAAGACGAAGAGGAGGCAGTAACCGAGGAGGAAGTAACCGGCGACGTAACACACGACGTGACTTTCAACGAGGAGAGCATGTACGGAGACGCCAGTCTACTTGGCGAAGAACACAACGAGGACGTGGAGAATGCGCAGCAATGGGTCGCACGGGAAGAGGCCGAAATGGCTGGAGATCTCCAGGACGAGCGTGACCTGGATGATGATATCCCGGAGGCTGGCGAATATGAGCACACCGACACGGAGATCGAAGACATTACAGAGGAAGACTTGCACAACAGCAGCTTCAACGCAAGCAGTCGTAGCACCCGATTAAGGTCAAGGTCAAGCAGACGTGGGGTTGCAGCCATGAGCCGCTTCGAGAATACCGGTCCATTTGGAAGTGGTGCAGGAGGAGCACGGCAAGCTACCGGCGTGCCCGCCTTCAATATAAACCGCCGGTCACTGAGGGGCAGCTTCCACAGCGATGGTCCAAGCTCCCTTTTAGGAGACGAGTCGTCATTCCTCGAGAGCAGTCCTAATGCAGGGAGGGGTCTCGGACGGGGCGCTCCCTCCTGGATGCAGCCACCACCTCGACCGAACTGGCGAAGGGGTCCTCGATAGTTTATCGTGCGCCAAGCAAGACGGTCTGTGCTCCTAGCAAGGCGTTGGAGGCTTATGTCAACGAAGGTATGAGTATATGTAATTACAACGACTATTCTAGAGTAAATACTATTAAGTGAGCTGCCTATCCTGCATGCTCTGAAGGTTCTTTTCATGCAACAATATGCTCCCCAACGCCATGCTTTTGTATAATGTGACCACCACCATACGGACCATAGTCATGATATGCTTTCCGTAAGCCATGCACATCAACAAGAGTATCCACGAGAGGCCCAACCTGCCCAACCCATCCAAACGTTGTCCCATGCACGTTCAAAACAGCCAGACATACCAGAACAGGAAGATAACAGCAGCGAAGAAGGCCACCCAGACCTTCCAGCCGACGCCGGTGCGCTCCGCCATGCGGAGCATGCGGTTCATGGTACCGCGCAGGCGCACACGAGTGCTATCGAACGAGTCGTTCATCTTCTCGGCGAGCGCGGTCGAATCACGGATTTCGTCGCCGATGGCCAATGTGATCTGCGTTGAGCCCGGACGTCAGCTCTCACGTACAAAGAACCCAGGTTCGTGTTCGTATGCGCTGTTTCTCTTTAGCGGTCAGAACTCACATCTTTCAGCATCTTGACCTTGGCGCTCATGCCATTCAGCTGCTCGTCATTCTGGCTTTCCAGCTCGCTCAGCACTGCATCGCTGTATTGACCGCGCGTATTGGGCGTTGCGCTCCGGTAACTGCTCTGACTCGGCGGGGGGTTGGATGCGCCAGGATAGGCCGAAAAGGCGGGGCCCGGATTAGCGGCGCCCGGGAAGCCGTAGCCGGCGCCAGAAGCTGGTCTACTCGCGGGGCGCGAGTGCGGCGATGGCGAGGCTTTGCGCTGCTCGTAGGGAGAGAAGAGCTGGGAACGGGCGTCGCGCTGGTGGAGATTCGAGCTAAACCTGCGGGATTTACAGCCACGGTCAGCCCAGGAGCGTCAGGGGTTGCGCAGCGTGCAGACGCACCTTGAAGACATTGTGGAGATGGGTGGTGGAGCCTGTGAAAGGAGTCGAAGGGTAGAAGCTGAAAGTTGAAGCGGCAACGATCTGTCTGGGGAAAGTTTGTGCGGCGGGCGACAGGGACCAGGGGTGCAGCTGCCAGTCACAACGGCGCGAGATCAGCCGAGTCACGTGATCGGGTGTGACGTGAATGGCGGCCAAAGAGGAAAGCTTGACGACCGGCGTGGCTGGTCCGTCCTGCCAACTCAATAGCTCCACCGCAGGCCCACACCCGCGCTTGCACCGTGAGACTTCGAGCGCAAGGTCCTTTACGAACGCACCGACAACCCCCTCCGCCTCTCCGCGGCCGATAAATATGCTTGCGAACCAGCTCTAATTTGAGCTTACCAGAACTTCATGAGCAGCGTTTCGAGGCTAGGCCTGGGTCTCAGGCTGCAGCCCTCGAGCTTCGGCTGCGCTGCCGCAGTCCCGCGGCGATGCATATCCTACTCCCCCAATAAACGCGTCAAATCCACTCTCGAAGCCGGCGAGGACAAATCCGGCCATATCAACCAAGACCAGAACCAGGCAGTTCTCTTCTTTGACCGTAAGTCGACTTTCTCTACGTCGATTCGCTCGGTATTGCAACGTGATTGGATGATGAAGCTTTTTCCTGGGCGTGTTTGTTTACATGTCCATCAAACTGTCACGTCCTCATCAACCCTGCAATATCGAGTGAACTGACCTTGTCCTGCACGTTACTCTCCCGTCTGCTCGAGGGAACATCCATGTCATGAGCCCCGCATTCCCGCGTAGCTTTCCTCCCGACTATTTCCCGCTTGATACATCTCGGCACATGCTAACGCCGCTCAGATGTATTCCCTCTCAAGCTGCAATGGCTGCTCCGCTTCCCCTTCTCCACCGAGAAGCAGTTTCCTGAATTGATGAAGCGGCTGAAAAGTCCTACCGTCGCCGCTGCTGATCCTGTTATTGTCTTGAAAAACTCTCCAATCCTGAGCAAAGCCAAAATCACCGTCGAAGAAGTGCTTCCCCGGCTCAAAGAGGGTGGCGCTTTTGTGAAGATTAGGCATGACCCGAACATCGACCCGAAGAACATCGAGTCTGAGATCCGAAACCACTTGAAGCAAACCCAGATCAAGCCATGGTGGAACCCTTTCCAGCGCATGCGTGCGAGGCTTGTCCGTGGCCGCCCGTGGGTCGAGGATCTGTACCGCCTGCCCAGCCAACGTTTAAAGGTCGAGTTTCTGCCTGCTGAGGTGGGCACCGAGCCTACCGAGTTGTCTCCAGAGCAGCTCTACAGCATCTTCAGACCCTACGGAAAGCTCAAGGACATCGCCACTCAGCCGCCGGACTCGAAAATTCTTCCTAAATTTGCATACCTGGACTTCACTCTAGCTCGTCGGGCCATCATGGCCAAGAACTGTCTGCATGGTGTCAAGGTGCCAGAAGCTGAAGGGGGTGGGAAGGCCGGGACGCTCCTGCGTCTCACGTACGAGGCCAAGGGAAAGGGCCATTGGTTCCGTGATTGGATTCTCGGTCATCCTAGGATCGTGATTCCCGCGGTGATTGCCGTCATTGGTACCATCACCGTCACCGTCTTTGATCCCATTCGAACATTCTTTATCAAAGCTCACGTGAACCGGTCCTTCAGCTTCGAGGACAACAAGATCTACAACTGGTTCCGATCTCAGGCAACAGACATCTTGTCCTTCCGTCGCAAACATGAAGATGAAGCAGGCATGGAAGCCATCTGGGACGATCGCAAGGGCAACATCGAACAGCTGCAGGCATGGTTGATGGAGTCAACCGACACGTTCATCATCGTGCAAGGCCCTCGCGGATCTGGAAAGAAGGAACTCGTCTTGGACCAAGCGCTCAAGGGCAGGAAACACAAACTAATTATCGACTGCAAGCCTATCCAAGAAGCCCGCAGTGACAGCGCCACCATCAACGCCGCGGCTGCAGAGGTTGGATATCGGCCTGTGTTCTCCTGGATGAACAGCATCAGCGGAATGATTGACCTTGCAGCACAAGGAGCTGCTGGTGTCAAGACTGGTTTCTCAGAAACACTCGATGGTCAGCTCACTAAAATCCTCAACAACACGGCCACAGCTCTGAAGCAAATTGCGCTCGACCACCGCGAGAGTAGCGACAAGGATGCAAGCCTCAGCGATGACGATTGGCTTGAGGTACATCCGGAGAAGCGGCCAGTTGTGGTGGTGGACAACTACCTTCACAAGAGCCAGGACGACACCCTCGTGTACGACAAGATTGCTGATTGGGCTGCCAGTCTGACAACGGCTAATGTTGCCCATGTCATCTTCTTGACACACGATGTGTCGTTTTCCAAATCGTTGAGCAAGGCTCTGCCGGACCGTGTTTTCAGGCTTATCTCCCTCAGTGATTGCTCGCCTGAAGTTGCGAAGCGCTTCGTCATCAAACATCTCGATGCAGATGACGATGATGGCAAGGGCCACTTTAGGAAGAAGAAGGATGAGCAGGAGGAGAAGCTGACTCCGTCTCAACGCCGTAAAGACATCGCAGAGCTAGACGACTGCATTGGCGCCCTTGGTGGTCGCCTCACAGATCTCGAGTTCCTTGCACGACGAATCAAGACGGGCGAGAGCCCGAGAAACGCGGTCCAGCAAATCATTGAGCAGTCTGCGTCTGAGATCCTCAAAATGTACCTGTTCGGTCAAGACGATGGAGACCGGAAATGGACGCCTGAGCAGGCTTGGCTTTTGATCAAGCAGCTTGCCACACAGGAGACGCTCCGCTACAACGGCATCTTGCTGGCAGACACATTCAAGACTGGTGGCGAACGCGTTCTTCAGGCACTGGAGCAGGCTGAGCTCATCACGATCGTCTCGAACAACGGGCGCCCACAGAGCATCAAACCTGGAAAACCCGTCTACCAGTCCGCATTCAAGATGCTCACTGCAGATCGCGTTCTCAAAGCCAAGTTGGATCTTGCAATCCTGGCGCAGCAGACCAAACTCGAGACTCAGAATATCGATAAGTACGAGGCCGAGCTCAAGCTGCTAGGATCGCTTCCAAAGCAGCCATGGGAGCTCGGATCCAGAATCAAGTGGCTGTTAGACAAAGTGCACACCAGCCAAACAAAGGTGGAAAAGTATGAGATGGAGAGTGCAGAATTGAAGAAGATACTGCAGCGTGACTTTTAAAAAAATTGCGGCACGGTTACAAACCAATGAGGAAGAGGGGAAACGAAAATCACCATGACACGGAACCCAAACCAAATGATCGTACACTCTTATTTCTTTTTTTTTCTGACGAACCGACAACACTACTCCGACCTCCACTCACCTATCAAAGCGAAACGAAACGGAATTTCAACCTCACACACGCGGAACTACCAGGCACCAGCACTGATGCAAGGATGGATATCCTCTCGCCCACTTGCCGACTGAAGTTCTCCACATCCATTTTTCACAAGCTTGAGGCTCAAACTCTCCACGGAACTCTCTGGCTCTCCTTTTCGCCACGGATGGATCGAAATGGATCGAGACTTTCATTGACGGACTCTCCTGACTCTCCCGCGCCTACCTAGGGATCGAGTCGGATCGAGACTGACTTTGATTGACTCTCCGTCTCTCCACACGGCTGAAGAGGATTGAGGCGGATCGAGGCTGTGGATCTGACGTCTGAGACTCGCGGAAGAATGTCGATGCGGGGTCGACTCGTTGGTCAATGACAAGCTTAAGTGGCTGAGTTATATAGCTGCTGGGGACTGGTTGGGATGATGATGATGAGAGGTTGAATCGACAGGATGTATATAGTGCGATGTACCATGTATGGCACGTGTATGACGGGTAGAAGCAATGACCACTCTATTATGGCGGTAAAAGTCTGGATTGTTATGTGATAAACGGGAACGTGACCGGCTCGAAGATTCCGGATCATTGCGAATGCCAATCTTGTAAGGAGGCACAGATTCCTTGGGGCGGCGCTTGCAATCAAGAATTCGGTTACACTAGCCTCGTGTTGACGCTGTGAAACCTGACTGGTCGTTTTGCTTTGACTAAGATTCCGGATCGCGAATCGAGGTGAGAAAACGACCAATGGCGGCAAAAGCGAATTGGACTCGAATTAGAGTAGAGAAGATAGACACTAGGTAGGTATCTGCCAATTGCCAACACACCCGCCACAAAGAAGAAAATCGACAGCTACTAAAGGCGTGGCGCGAACTGCTTGCCTCGTTCGATGTTCTAGGCCAGCCACACTAATGCGGGCCGGGTGCCGGAAGGGGACGATCGCGAAAGAGCAGAGGTCTCGGAGTGGCTGGAAAAGCATGTGCAGAGGCCATAGCTTCTTGCTTCGATGCGGTTTCACACGCGCGGCCAGATGCATGCAGGGAATGAAGAAAGACTTGAAGGCCTTGTGATGCACTAGCAGGGACAGGCGCTGTAGAGAGGATGATGAGAGACGAGAAGAGTCTGCCTAATAGTGGGTAGCAGCTGCGTGCTCAAAGTGGATATCGGCACGAGGCTGGCCACTGACATTGCGTTGTCCAGAAAAGCTCCGCGACGACGGCTGCATGTGGATGCACCACGCACCGTTTCGAGCCTGGCCCAAAAGGGCGATGGACGGATGGTGAGAGAGCTGTATGGGGATCCCATGTCTCCCACCACGCGCGAAGCCGGGGGCGGTTCGGCGCACGGACACGATCGATGACGCAAGAGCGGACGGACTCCACAAGCGCAACGGCATCTTCCCATGACGCCGTTGTAACTTCATCAACACCAATCTGCCGGGACCAGCTCGTGGGGTGCGTCGACAATCCCCATCTCAGCTGCTGCGCGTCAGAATAAGACTCCTTTAGGATGACGGCCGGTCATCCGGCACCCAAAGCCCTTCGCCAATGGCTGCTTTGCCGGGCGCTGGAACCCAGACGGCACGGCTTTTCCCTACCCATCCCAGTAGTCTGCTGTGGCTTGCATGCAGGCGAGCTGCTGCGGCGGCCGCTCCGGGGTCCTCTGCGTGCGTACGACGAGATGACATCCCGGCAAAACAAGGCAGAGTCCTTTCCCCATCCAAGCCCCAAAAATGCCCTGCATCACCACTGTCGTCATCCTCACACCAGCACCAACTTGATGTATGAGACACACACACACACGCACAAAAACTCTGCCCTCCCAAGCCTCTCTCCCTTGCTAGCTAGCCTCCTTTAAACCTTCGACTCTGCGCCACTTTCGTTCCTCTCCCTTTGAGTGACTCTTGACCACTTCCTCCTCTAATCCCAGCGAGTCGATTCGTCTCCCTACCGCATCAAGCGGCCTCTCGTCCTCCCCGACGACCTTCCCTCTAGCCACACCCAGCCCCCACACAGGCCCTTTGTCCAACAACACCCAAATGCCCACCGGCGCCATGTCCCCCACCGCCCGCTCGCCCTCGCCGCCCAAGGGCGACCGGCCGCTGCACGAGCTGCTCTCGCACTCGCTGGTCGACATATACGTGGGGCCCGAAAACACGCACTGGATCCTGCACGAGAAGCTGCTCTGCGCGCGCTCGCGCTTCTTCCAACGCATCTTCTACTCGAAGGACCACTCGCAGCAATCCTACGGGCTCCCCGACGACGAGGACGACGCCTTCGGCGCCTTCGTCGCGTGGCTGTACAGCGGGCACATCGCGCCGCCGCGCGAAGAAAAGGACCTAACAACACTGATCGACCTGTACCTGATGGGCGAGAAGTGGCAGGCGGCGCAGCTGGTGCGCGACGCGCTGCGCGCGGTGCGCGAGTGGTACGCGCGCACCGACACGTACCCGGGGCTCCGCAGGGTCCAGTACGTCTACGCCAACACGGACGAGGACAGCGAGATGCGCCGCCTGATGGTGTCGAGCGTCGCGCGCATGATGGCGCTCAACGAGAGCATCCCGCCGCACTGGGACAAGGCGCTGCGCAAGAACGGCCAGCTCGCCGTCGACCTCATCAAGAGCATCCAGAGCTGGCGCATCGACCCGGACAAGGTGCCCGACATGCGCCGCGTCGTCGAGGAAAAGGCCGACGAGTACGGCCTCGACGGCAGGAAGAAGAAGGAGCTCGAGGACAAGCTGGCTGGCGCCGTCAATGCCAACGCCGTCCCCCCGGACGTCGAAGGTGGTGTGAACAAGTTGGCCGAGGGTTTCCTCAAGAACGGCCTTGGCGGCGACAACAACAATGTGCAGCAGGCCAACGACGTTAAGGGCCGCGCTAAGAAGAGGGTCGATAGCGTGGCTGGCAGCGAGTCCGAGAAGGTGAAGCAGGAGCTCGACGAGAACCTGCCCAACGGCATTGGCCTGCCTACCGAGGCGCTCGACTAAAGCTTTTGCTTTATTTCTCTCCTCCACTGAGCTTTCTTTCCGCAAAAGTTATCTTATGACGTCACTGATGCTGCATACGGTCTTACTGTCACTCGGGATGGGACTTTGGCGCTTGGGAAACGTACATTGAAAGCCTTTTTAACCTTCTTCTTCTTATTGGCGGCCGATGGTCTTTTATCATTAGTTTGATTCTTGTCTTCACTTTTTGTTGTTTGGAGATTCTTACGATTTGGTTGGTAATCCTGGACTTCGCTTCGCTTCTCGAGCTACTCCTTTCGCCGTTCGTAGTCTGCGTAATATACCAGATTGGCTTTCTCTTCAGTGCCGTACTTTCCCAGAAGAAAGACACCTTGGATTGAAGTCTAAGCATTGCGCGTATCTTAATGAACCCCTGAAGCATTTTATCTCTCAGGAGGTACTCCGAGCTTTCCGATAGAGCTTCTGGATCGAGGAACCAGTTATTCCAAACATGTAGGCGTGAAAACACGCATTAAAAGGTGGTCTTGTCCTATGAAAGGTTAGTACACATGCTCCACAATAAACCACGAATCAACAATGCATTGGAAGTCCAAAATATGATCATCATAACGAGTGTCGTAGGATTAGCTCATTAGAGCTCCCGTAGTAGGAGTCTTTTTTGTGACGTCGTCACGTCGTAGTCGTAGTCTATGCTATCGTTACAGTTTTCTCAGCCGTGTGAGTGTGAATACAGTTGGTCGTACAGTCATGCCTGAGTACCCATCGCCGGGGCCTATCGGGACCGTGTTGTTAAACAATCAAAACCCGCCAGAAGATTACCGAGATAAAACGCCATGTACCCATGTAGACCGCTCAAGTGCCTTTTTCTCTCCAAGGTCACAAGCTCGGATAATTAGGATTCCGCAATGCAGAACCAAGGTAAAATTACAACGACTCCTTGACGAGGTAGACCTCGGCGCAGCTGGTCGGCAGCGAGCTGTTGGAGTAGGCCACGTCGGTCTTCCAGAAGAGCTGGGGGACGGTGTGCCACCAGTCGCAGACTGTTTCGTTCGTTAGCAATGCAGCCCTTGCTGAGAAAGTTTGAAGGTAGGACAAGACTTACCAAGCCAGCCGTCGAACTGGGTCACGTTCCAGACCAGACCGGACGGGGTGAAGGTGAAGAAGCCGTTGCCGGCATCGGCAAGACCGGCGTTGATGGTGACGGGAGCCCAAGCAGTGTAGGGCTCGTAGCCGATCTCCAGACTCCAGGGGAACCTACGTCACTTATCGTCAGCAACTCATTCCTCGGAAATTGCGTTCCAAACGGTGAACTTACTCAGTGCCGAAGTCGAATTCCTGGAACGAGCCGTCGGCGGTCTCATTGAGGAAGCCGGTGGCAGCGCTGTCCTTGGAGGTAGTGAAGACGGCGTCGTTGGTGCCGGCGCCGGTGTGGAAGGCAGTCAGGTAGAGGTTGTTGAACTTGGCCTTGGAGGTGTCGTTGTTGCTGACGAGCTGGGTCTTGAGGAGGTACTCCTCGCCGGTGGGCTCGAACGAGGCGGCGGCATCGCGCTTAGCCAGGAATTCGTCGCGGTTGTAGAAGCCAATGGGCAGGGCAAGGCCCATGACAGTCGCAGGCAGAGCGAGGGCAACCAGAGAGAACTTCATCTTGGTGGTGTAGGGTGGAGGTGACTGAGGGAGGACCGGAGGGAAGAGTGTAGGTTAAGTCTGCAGGTGGCGGAGGAATTGAGGTGACGTGACGAGCGAAGGCAGTCAGGGATGGTGCAGACGGAAGGAATAAATACGGCAGGCACAGCAGGGTCACGGTTTCCTAGCTCGGCAGCGAAGTGGCTGGTGGAGGCCGATCGGCTGTTGCTGGGCGATCGTCGGTGGAGTGCATGTGGAATAGTAATGTGGAGAGACGGCTAGTGACTCCCTGTTCCTCTCGAGCCTCCCTAGCTCTTCCGTGCTTGCCGTCCGTTGGAAGTATCGCTGTCCGTTGTAGGTATTGTGCCGTCGGAGGACGCACCGAATAACCACATTGCCGGTGCGCCGTGTGCGAGGAGCGCCTCGACCCGTCCCCATCCAGACCCAATATCTAGCTTTGACGTCGTGACACGCTGACAACAGGCGCGGAGGGCGCGGTACCACGGGCTGTGCGGCGTCCAGAGCTCGTGTACCTGATGGTCCCTGCCCCCTTCGGTGAGCCGCTCGCCCTACCAGTCGAACCACCCGCCGCGACCGACACTCTGCGCAAGTCGCACTGCCTGCCCAACCTCGCCCAGCGCTTCCGTCATCCGCTCTGCCACCAGCCCGCCGCCGCCCCAAGCGTATCACCAGCGAACACTGCTATCGTCAAGCGAGCGTCCGACCGCGCCCCATCTGTGCTCGGGCGCCGAGTGCGGTGAGGTGCTGTTGAGAGTGGGCAGCTCTCGTGTTCGCTGAAGCCTCTTTTGCCGCGCCAAGCCCCAGCCTCTATCGATCGACAGCCCTGCTAACTGCTTCAAGCCGGCGCCATGGCTGCTCCGAGGTAAGCACCGACGATGGATGCAGGGCCTCGCCCGAACAAACCCAACTCTCGCCGGGAGTCCGGCGGTCGACAGCCACCCGTTGTCGCCGCATGCTCCGGTTGCGACGCCGCTGCTCACCACCACAGTCCGGTGGAGATCCTCATATGCCAATTCGTAGGTGGCTGTCGTGCTGCCATGCCCCTGTCTCAGCCTTACAAGAAAAAGCTTGCCGATTCTTGAACTTGAGCCCGCATCCACTCATCTCCCCGCCATGGTCAAAGCCTGAGTACGGTAGCTGTGTTGCATTGTGCTTGGTCGCAACCTATAGAATACTTGATATCTCTTCTGTAGAACGTTTTGACAGGTCAAAAAAATGAAATGCTGAGAAAACCCCCCATCGAAACTGCCAGGTATATGCATTATGAGCCTGCTCCTCGACGCCCATGTTGCACCATAACGCCTTTTCCCCATCCACAAAAACGCGTGGCTTGCCCAGAGCATGACGTGTGGGCGGATTAGCCTTGAGACGGTGCGCCTTTGGCGCCCGCTATGTACTTTGGAACCCTCTTCTCTCGTGGCTGCTGGTGCACCCAGGATTTCTCTTCCGCCCGACCAACTCGATGAGTAGTAGCTCAAAGTTACTACGGCTTGGCCGTCTTTTTCTGTCTCTCATGACTCGCAGTCATCACAGCGCCAGTTCGGTACCCTCCGTTCGAGACCGACACAATCCAGGTGGAACTCTCTTCGCCGACAGTCCTGTGATTTGTAAGTACTCGTGCCGCATGTGATACAGAACATCATGCAACTCACCAGATTGGCGCACGAAATCGCCTCAAAGTCGTCGTCGACGACCCTGCCACATGTGCACCCACTCTGGACCGCCATTGTCGGCTGCTGTGGAGTCTCTTCCGGCAGAGGTGGCTTTGTTGAACTGTCCAGTCCTGCCCAGATGAATTCTCCATCAGTATTCTGCGGTGTTGGCAGAGAAGACACACTCATTTGGCTCGAGTGCTGTGAATTCTCCCTGTTGATGGTCGGCTTGGCCTTCTTACTTCTCCTCTTCTTGTCATCATCCACCACGTCGAACCATTTGCCTCCGCCACCTGGCCCTCCAGGGATGTACTTCCGCTTCATCTTAGGATCACTCTGCCGGGACAAAGTTCCGTTAGTCTCGGGAGCAATTGGCGTTGACTGATGCCTTTTGATTTCCGCAGATACTGCCAAGGCATCCATCATGCTACCGTCGCCCTCAATGAGGTCAACACAAGCTCTGAAAACCTCAGTGCATATGATGTTGTCGCTATGCAGTTCAGACGTCTTCCTGAGAAATTCATTGCCCATTCTTTCCTGAGTCCTCAGCCAAGCGCGATATTTTCGACCGAATCGCACAACAGCATCTCCCACGTGCGTATCCCCGGAAAGTTGTTCGTCCTGCATGTAGTCGTCCCATTTCATCATGAAGAGCTTGGCTACAGTGGGAACCCCAGTATCCTTCGTTGCCAGATTGCGTCGTAGCTTGAGCCAATCTTCTGAGATCTCATCATCGCTTTCGCTGAGGTATTCTCCTTCCACGAGCGGTCTTTTTGAGTCGGTTCTATAGAACCGTAACCCTTTTGGAGCTTTCGGGACCCGATGTCTCTTCTTCTCCACTCGGGGCATGTCTGGGACTTCGGTTGGCTTTTTCGGTTCGACGGCTCCTTGTGGAAGTGGCGGGATCCTGTGAGCTAGAGAGAGCTTTTTCTTCAATCCTAACCCGTCCGTTATCCAAGATTCATCGCCCTTGAGGTACGCCTTCAAGTCAAAAGGCTTCAAAGGAGCGACCCATTGGAATTCTCGCGAATCGGCGCCGCCATGGTTTGCTCGACAATCACTGTACTTGTCTGAGATGTCGACCTCAATCTTGAAATCGCACTGGAGGCATGCAGGCGCCTCACTTCCCAGCTTGCGAATTTTGAAAGTGAACATGTCGTGTTCAGTCTTGAAATGATGGTGCAGTCTGTCCAGTGAGTGTAGGTCGCGTCCACGGCAGAAAAGGCACAGAAACCCTTCCACAGATGTCGCTTTTGGTCGTACTTGATCCTTGAACCAATAGGCTAGGCGAGCGATTCCGGCAGGTGTCGATGGTTCCGAGATAGGCGATAATAGCTGTTCTCCTCGGACGCAGCGTAACGTTCGGTTATAATACTGCATTGGCGTTTCCCGGGGGACTTCCCAGCCAGCATGAACAGCCATGTCATAGGCTAAGGGGTAAGATTTGCCACCCGTTGTGAAATGCAACGGACAGCGACTTGCTTCTGATTCACTTTGAATAAGCGTGGTCATTTTCGCATGTATCTTGCCGGCTTTCTTTGGGAGAGAATTCCTCTTTGCGTCGAGGAACGGGAGAATGAATCTATCATCTCTGTCTTGTATGTATTCCTCTCTGTCGTGTGGGAATTCCATGTGGATAGTCATGTGGTAGGAATTCCCCATTAGCAGCCTGTACGCTTTTCCTTGGGAAATAGGCGTCTGAATTTTCAATTGATCTGCCGTGAAACAAACCGGCTTGTCCAAAGTCACGGAGACGAATTCTTCGCCAGTAGTATTATTGCGCCACGCTTGAAGCCAGCCATGGACATTTTCGGTGTGGAGATCTTCCAAGGCTTTGTCAGCCCCGGGCCGTAGCCTCGTAGTGTGGTAGACTCTGAAAATAAGGCGACATTGGGCGGCCCACTGCCGTGTTTTTATCTTTGATTGGGCCAGGTTGCTGTTTGTTCCTTTGGGGTCGTTTGGGAAGAGGTATTTGACGTCCACCTTTAGCACTGGTTTGTTCTTTTCGCTCAAAGCCGCCATGGTCGCATCATCAGGCAAACTCCAGGCCTTTCCCGATGCATCTTGGTACATGCCGTCGTCGGTTCCTGATTGGGAAGTGTGCAAGGCCTGATGGTGTTGATCGAGCGCTTGCTTAATGTTTCTCCGTAGAAAGGTCCCCTGGCGATATTTGCCAATCGTCAGGTACAAAGCCCCGTTCCCGCCGTACTTTTTGAAATCGGTCGAAGAGTTCATGCTCTTGACTTGGCGATGTGGCCGGAGGGGATAGTACCGGCAATGGACTCACCAACCCGCAGAGAAAAGGAACCAAGCGTAAAATGCAAAGCTGCTGACGCGGAAAAGCGCATGACGCGTGAGTAGAGGCAAAGGAAAGGCGTCGGGAAGGAAGCAGAGCAGCGCGACCCGGGGTGGCAGGCTGCGAGTCCCAGGCGGCGCTGGGGCAGAGAGAAGAGCTGCGCGTGCCGCTGGACGGACTGGGTGGATGCGCACCTCGGGGCGAGGAGCCGCGAGTGGGCGCGGATGCGAAAGGGTGTGAACCGCGTCGAGGTTGGGAGTGGTAGGTGCGCGCAGAGTTCGCGTTGCTGAGGCCTAGGAGATCGCGTCCGCGGCGCCACGCGCCCGAAGGAGAGGAAAAGAGAGGAAGGGTCGGTGCGACACCACGAGATGGGACCAACGTCGGCTTGCGGCTCAGTTACAGGCAGCCGCGACAGGCACGAGGATGTCTCTGCTCAATGCAGCGCGGTAGTCGGTATGGCCCCCAGCGCGGATTCGGCAAGAACGCGCAGTAGATGACACGCAAGCAGCGCCTGCACACGGGCGATGCGCAATAAGCAGGTGAGCAGGAGAGTGTGCATCAATTGTGCTGGTCTCACTTCACCTGGAGGAGCGAGCATCCACCTGCCCAGAGCGCGCGCCTGCGCCACGAGATCCCGTTGCACCGCTGCGCCAATGCCTAAGGCAAAAAGTGGCCCGGGCGTCCGGAGAAGCTGCGGGCCGGATGCCAATCGATAAGGCAGCGCGCGGCGATCGGCCATTCATCGTCATCGCTCCCTCCTCTCTGTACCTCCCTGCAGGGACTTGCACTTTTTCCCACGCCTGTGCTGCCCCGACCGTCCCCGGCCCTGAGAAGGACTACCTGCTCGCGAACCCGCTCTACAATTTGGCCCCCGCTGTCGCACACCCATCGCTTTCGCGCCTCGACAGCGAACATGGCCGCCGCTACTCGTGCGACGGCGGTCCGCGCCGGGCGTAAGAGAAGCCGCATTTCCTACCGCGAACCCAGCACCGACGAAGAAGAAGACCTCATCACAGGCGACGATGAGGAGGAGGCAATCGGTAGTGCGCGCAAACGCAGGCGCCGAAGTGCAGGTGTTCCCCAATCGCAACCGCAAGATTCAACCGGCCGCCGCCGCGGTAGGCGCGCAACTCACGAAGACCATCCTGCACGAAGCGGCTCTACCCCGCCCCCACCACGTAGTCGTAGCCACGGCCTGCTCTCAGCAAGTCCCGAAGTCCCAACAAAATTACGCCGCCTACCGGAGAAGTCATACCACCTACCCAGCGCTGGAGAGTCGGAGGACGATACAAATGAGAATGAGGATTCAAGAGGGGAGGGTGCTGGGCCGTCGAGGCCGAGGCGCACAGGGCGACTCCGAATACAAAGGTCGCAAAGCGGAGCTCATCTTCGGCGTGAACTCGCGCCTGCGTACACTGAGACCAATAGTGAGGACACAGGTGACGTCTCAGAGCGCCGAGGCCGACGAGCTCGCAAGCCAAGGCGTCTTGGAACAAAACGCGTAACCAGATCGTCGACAGCGAAGCACCCACGGAAGAATGCACAGTCCAAGAAGCGTAGGTCTTGCTCGGCTCAATTGCTTTGCGAGCTAACCTGACTCTTTTCGCACAGCTACCGATCCTTTCCCAGCCGCGACCAAGAAACTTGCCGTTCTGGAGAGCGATGGGGTCGTACCGGACTGGGCAAGTCTACCATACGAGGTTCTGCTACAGATCTTCATATTCGCAAGTGACCCTCTGCATGATGAGGATTTCCGTCCGACAACTAATGTTCCCTGGCTGGCGAGTACTGCACGCGTCTGCAAATCATTCATGGAACCAGCACTGACGGCACTCTACCGACGCCCGCCTCTGCTGACCATCGACAAGCCTCACAAGCTTCTTGAACTGCTCTCAGACACGACAGCGAAGCACTGTATCAACTACAATGTCAAAGTCCGCCGTCTGGAGTTTGATGCTCCCAGCACTCTTGCATACACTTGGTCTGGAAAACAATTCGAGATCGGTGACCTGATACCATTTGTCCCCCAGTTGACTGAGATTTCGATCGTCCACCCGCAGGATCGTCCACCGTTTCGAACTTTGAACAGGTCTGGACGGTGGCATTATAGCCAAGCCCTATTCACATCTCTTGCCGCCAGCAAGATTCGGTTGAAATCATGGAACTGGAACTCGAACTTCCGTTCCAGAGATCATGATCTCTTTTGGATGGGCGGTATTCACCAGCTGGATGCTTTTCAGCGATTGGAGCACCTTTCCCTGTTCAATTTCGGACCAGAGTCCTTCGCCGTGGTGACAAACGATGAAGGCCCTGAGCACTCAGGGCGCTCCAGTAAACAAGTCCTTGCGGATAATTTGGCGCTTTTGCCGGAGCTTAAAAGTCTGAGTTTCGAGTGCTGCCAGGTGCTCGATGCAGACTTCCTCCCTCTTCTGAAGGAAAATTTGCATCATCTTACGATCGTCAATTGTCACCATGTGACTTCTGAAATTCTTCGCGATTTTCTCATTTCACACGGAAGCCAGTTGGAGAGCTTGACTCTCAATCATAACCAGACTCTCGATATCTCCTTTCTCCCGGATTTGAAACGGGCATGTCCAAAGCTTCAAGCTTTGAAGATGGACTTGAACTACTTTGACTCTCACGACACTTTCAGAGATTCTGAACCAAAGTATTTCGACCTACTAAAGGATGACGAGGTACCGAGCTGGCCCACGACACTGCAAGTTATCGAAATGAACCAGCTTAGGCAATGGACTTCTGCGGCTGCGGAAAACTTCTTCTCTTCGCTCCTCGACTCTGCAGAAGAGCTACCTGACCTCCGCATACTTGTTCTCAAGGCGATCCTCAACATCGGATGGCGCGATCGGGCCTCCTTCCGTGACAAGTGGATTGGCAGGCTCCAGCGCGTCTTTTTGAGGAAGTCATCTCCACCTAACCCCCACCTCATGTCTGGTAAGCGTTGGCGGATGTTGAAAGACTCAACGCTACCCACACCTGACGATTCACCCCCAAAAGGGCCCACTGGACGGCTGCGACACGTTGCTGTCACTCCGCGTGCCAAGGACAAAGCACCTTTCTGGACTGCCGGAGAAGACGCCCATAGCGCGGATGAAAATCCCGACGACTCATCCGCACCAGCTCGTCGCCTTCGCCCACGCAGGGCTGTGGCAACTACTTCCGCCGCCGACGACACATCAGCAAGCTCCTCATCTTCCTCGTCCGAAGCGGAACCCTCGTCCGCAGAAGATGAGGATGACCACCACCGCTCTTCTGACGAAAACGGTGGCTCCAAAGACTGGAAGCACACCCGGGAGAAGTTCATACAGGGTATGTGCGAGATCGTCGACATCCGCATCGACAACCTCCGCCCCCGCGAGGAGCAGTTCAACGAAAACGACTTCCTCGACTCGGAGGTCAGCGGCGACGAGGACTGGAACGGTGAGGACAATTTCGTCGCGGATGATGGATATGCGTGGTGAGGGGGCTGTTGCCTTGAACTGGGTCGATTGCTTAGAGGGCAAACGACTGTCTGTTCGTTCCAATTGCCTCCTGCGTGTTTCCGATTTGTTTTTTTTTCTGTACTGTGCTTTGTATTTTCTTTCTTCTAAAGTCTGTGCGGTGGTCTGGCCCTGCACTTCATCATTCAAGATATCCATGTGGGAATACTGTCCGGTTATAATGGAGGCGCTAAAACTGGTTGCATGGGGCGAATTGGCGGGCGTTCGCACCCCTGAAGATACGAAAGACAGAAGGGGAAAGCGGGACTATGGGATAATCGAAGAATGGCTTCTTCAAACATTGCTGGCTGGGTCATTGGGTTTGCTTATTAAGCTTGAATAGTTGCTGGCTGATGGACGCTTTAATGCTGTATGAGTATTGATTGATAAACCATGTACTTTTGGTTTTGCATTTAATTAGACAATTCCTCTCTTTATTCCCCCCCTCCCTCCAGCCAGGTTCTTTCTTTGCATGCTACATCTTCCTACATCATCACATTTAAACCATTCTTTCTCTTCCCCAAAATCTAATCATCCTCATCCATCAACTCCGCCAACTCCCTCTCCTCGTCCTCGGTCAACAAGCTCTCCTTCTTCCCCTCCGCGTCCTCGTCCACGACGCCCTTCCTCGCCTTCTCCGCCTCCTCCCGCGCCTTCTTGACGTCTGCGCGCTTCAAGCTCCACCGGCGAACAGTGCCATCGATGCTGACGCTAACCAGCTTCTGGCCGGGCAGCAGGCATAAGCCGGTGACCTCCTCGTAGTGGCCCTCGAAGACGTGGGCGCACTCGGCAGCGCCCTTGTCCCAGACGCGCACGTTCTCGTCGCGGCAGGCGGTGGCGACCCAGCCGCCCTCGTCGTCGACTGCGACGTCGCGCACAAAGTCCGGATGCGGCAGGCTGGTGTCTGCGTGGGCGAAGGCGCGGGAGCGCGCAAGACACTTTGAGCTGCGGTCGGCCGACGCCGTCCACAGGTCGTCGGCCGAGTCGAAGACGAGCGCGTCGACCGACGTGTCGTGCGCGATCAGCGGCGTCACGACCGGGTCGCCGGTCCCTGCTGGTGCTTGCTCAAGCTCTTGCTCTTCCCCCTCCTTTCCGACGCTTCCCACATGGATCTGGTACCCGCGGTCCGCGCGGATGCGCCACGCGCGGATCTCCCGGTCGCTGCCGGCCGAGAGGATGGTGACGGCGGGCGCCTGGCGCGCGAGGCGCGTCGTGTGGCTGGCCGGGTCGACGGCGAGGGCGAGCACGCCGCGCGTGTGGCCCTTGAGCTTGTACAGCTGCTGCCCGCTCTCGACGTCCCACACGATGATGCACGCATCAGCGCCGCCCGACACCAGCAGATCCTTGCCGCCCAGCGAGAAGGCGAGCAGGCACTTCACGAAGTCGGTGTGGCCGTTGCTGAAGCGCGGCGTGCCCTTTATCGCTGCGGATTTTGTGGAGGAGGGCTCGGAGGAGGAGGATGACGACGGAAGCGGCCATGTCCAGATGTTCTTGTCCCAGCAGCCGGCGAAGAGGGTCGACGTCTTTGGCGATACGGCGATCGAGGTCAAGGGCGCAGTTGGACCGGTGAAGGTATGTGTTGTTTCACTTGCCTAAAGAATGCTTTCATGTCAGCCATCATTGCTCTGGTTTCGTGTTCTCGATTCATTTTTCATTGGCACACATAAGGGGTGTCGCCACTGGTATGGAATCGGGGGGACAATTTAGAAGAAGATCGTACAGACTTCAAGCGCTATCCTCCGCACGTTTCCCGCCGCCTCGGCTACGTAGATGCCATTGTCGTCCAGCGGATCCGCCGTCACGGCGAGCAGCTTCGAGGTGAGCTTGATCGGGTCGCCGAGCTTGTTCTTGGACTTCTCCGCTTTGCGCGCCTCCTCCGAGAGCGCGGAGCTGTTGAGTTGCGATTGGTGTTAGCTGACAGCTTCTTTTGGGGGTTTAGAATGGCTTTTCGAGCCAGAGAGACTACACATACCTCGTTTGGAAGAAATGGCCTGGATCGTTGGAGCGAGACATGGTTGTGTGGAGAGCGAGGGGTCGGAGGAGCTGGGGGTTCCGGTGTTTGGCGGGGCTCGCCAGCTTGGACGTGGGGCGGGCGGTAGACGCGTTTGAACGTGATCATGGAAATGTCAATTAATAATACAGCTTTGCGCCCAGAGTTGGTCCGTTCGGGATCGACTTCATTCGACCAAGATGGTGTCACGGCATCAACGCCGCGCCGCATTTGATATACGATTACAGACTGCGGCAAAGAAAGTGAACGTTATCCACGAATCGACCTCCACGTCTCCCTTTCTCCACTCAAGAGAGGTATATCCTAACAAACAGAATTCTCAAAAATACCACCTAATGCCATATCGCTTTTACAGTCGCCGTTCACCGCGCGTATGCCCTTTCCATGATCCACCTCCTATGCAAATTTCGATCATACTGCATCTTACACGCTCCAATTATAAATTTAGGAAAAATCAGTTACCACCCAGGTTGCGACGGTGCTCCGCTACCGTGGTATCCAGTCTGATGCTGCCCCTGCCCGTATGCATTGTGCTGCCCGTTCGGCGCTTGAGCGCTAAAACCTCCGCTGTAGCCACCCTGCTGATGCTGCACCGGCGATTGACCAAACCCTGCATGAGGGGACGGTTGCCCGTAAGGCACAGCGGTATAGTTGCCCTGAGGATAACTTCCCGCAGGGGGTGGCGGCGGGTGTTGGTTGTTGCTGTAGCCTCCATGCTGCCCATGTTGCCCGTAAGCACCCTGCGGAACCGCCTGGTTGAAGTACCCGCCGTGAGTCTGAGATGCGTCGTGCGGTGTAGAGCCATAACTGCCCTGGTGGTGCTGTTGCGGTTGAGCAGGAGGAGGTGGTGGGAAAGACGGGGTACCTTGCGCCTGCGGCCCCCACGATGACGAACTTTGCGGGCCAAATGAGGGCGCATGCTGCGGCGGCTGACCGAACGACGAGGTGTGTGCAGGAGGCGCATATTGGTTGTGACCGCTTTGCGGGTTGGGGCTGGAATATTGGTTGTTATAACCAGGTTGTCCAGGGTACGACGGGACAGAGCTGGGTGTGTGGGAGGCGGAGCCAGCAGGGTTATACTGGGCAGGCGGAGCCGTGCCAGAGTAACCACCAGAGGATGGCGCTCCAGAAGAATAACCGTAATTACTGTTTTGCTGGCCGTGCTGGACTTCATCAGTAAAAAGAAGCGGGACCTAGAGTTCACCATCGCCTTACCGAGCCATGGCTTCCACCGCCTAGGATGCCGCCCAAAACACTACCCAACCCGCTACTTTGATGCGAGCTAGAAGAACCGCTGTGGCTCCCTTGTTGTTGTTGTCCATGAGGCTTGCTCCCTCCAAGCAAGTTACTGGCAAGCGACCCAACGAGTCCGGCGGTGCCACTACTGTGTCCGCCAGAATGAGAGTTGCTGCTGTGCGAGCTGCTGCTGTTCAGGAGGGATGTAGCCAGGCTCCCGATTCCTGACGACTGTTTCCCGCCACCATGCTGTGATGCTAGAAGGTTGAAGGCCGTGCTCTGGATCAATGTCCATCAGCGACATGTACAAATGCCAGTCTCGGGCTCGCGCTTACACCAAGGCCTCTGTCGCCGCTGTATTCCTCGGGCTTGCCGTTCGGCGCACTCGCCGGGTCGGGAATGCCCGCATTTTCGCATGCGCTTGCGGGAATCTGCTCGGGTCGTCGTGAAGGGCCGGCAGGGGCTTCACTGGTCGGCAGATCCCACTGGGAGACGCCGGTGCTTATCTGGACGTAGTAGTACTTGCGAGAGCTGCAAGGATAGCGAGCGTCAGCGGCGGAGCTGCGAGATTCCTCAAGGCGGAGGGCGGGCGAATTGGCTCGTCATGCGGACACCCGGAAGACTGGGGTATCGAGCGCCTTTCAGAGCGGCGGCGCGGGGTAACGCACCTGCTGTCCCACTGCGCTATCCAGCCGGACGGCAGTTTGGGGAGGTGAGGATCGGTCGGGCCTGCGTCTGGCGACAGCGGCGCTCCCGGCGTGCCCGCCATGGTTGCCGAGGGAGGAGAGGTTTGTTGACCAGGTAGCGGGGGTCTGACCGAAGCGGACGGCAAGCAGATGTCTCGAGGGGTGGACTGGTGGGAAAGGAGAGCGGGCGCAGGAGTATCTTTGGGACCAGCGCTTGCGTGGAAATTGGGATAGAACGGGCGGCAGGGATGCGGGCAGTCGCGCGCGTCGGGCTTCAGGTCATATAGGCGTGGAGGGCTGTGCTCTGGAGCTCGCTGCCCATGATGCAACCCAAAGGGTCCAGCGGGCATTTGCTGGCACACCCGCAGGCCGGCGCTGCGCCACGTCGTTCAGCCACAGCGCAGGCAAAAAAAGACCGCCCAGCATCCCGAATTATCCCACGCGCGCGCCTTCTCTCGCCGGACGCGCCGTATTTAGTATTCCTGGTGCCGCTGCGGCCGCCGCAGGAACACGCCAGCCACCGCCGCGTAGGCGTCAGCAGTGCGCGCTCACCGATTGCGTGTGCGGCCTGATGCGCCCGTCTCCGCAGGCGGCGGCATACGGTAGGTCCGGCGCCCTGCGTTCCCACTTCGCCCGTCCCCGACGACCTCGCCGGACCAGCTGACATGTCCACCTGCGGTCTTGAAGTCCAAGCTAATCTGCATACACCGGTGTATGTGATGAAAAGGAGGGTTCTAACAGTGCAGAGATCCAGGGGAGGAGATGCTGCCGAAGGAAAAAGAGGCACAGGAGCAGCAGAGATATGTGGAATCCCTCATCGTCCGTACGATTGTTGAGAGCCGGTTGTGATTACCCGTACAGCAATGCAGTACTTCGTATCGTGCTCGGATAATGCAAGCCGAAAGACCGTGTCTGAATAGAATGCTGCGCTGTCGTGAGAAAGGCACCGCAACGCACGTAGCTGTAAATATACCAACGAAAGGCTTGACACACACGAACAAGGAATAGCTCTCTGACATACGTTGAAGTGTCCTCCACCAGGATCGTGAAACCCTTTGTTCTTCTTGCGCCGAAGTCTGGGCATTGTTCGAACTAGCAACAGATGCTGTGATGAGAGTCTTTGCAGGACACTTGTCATGGAGCCTGCCGGGTAGCCGTTTCGTGAGTTTTATTTGGAAGTACGTTGACTCCACAGGACTATCTCGGTCCTCATAGGGGTCCCTATCCCCGGGTCGATCATTCTGTAGCACCAGGCACCATCACTTTTCGGGCTGTAGGGGACGCGCAGGGCTGGGCTGCTGCGGAGAGCGGTTGTACGAAGTTTGATATCGCATTAAGAAAAAGCAGGAAAAAGAACAGACCCTCGCAACATCCATAAACCCGGCAAAAAGAAAAGATAGAAGCGTCTGCAAGAAAGGGGGGAAGGAAAAAGAATCCACAACTCTCACACCATGATCGCCGTAGAGCCTTATTCACCACGGATCCTCGATGGCAATCTGACGTTCCGATTCTCATCCCGCAGAGGCTAACCCGCGGGGACCGTATTATAAGTGACCAGAAAACCCGCGCGAATCCAAAGGACTGCCTGCCCGCCATCTACCATGCAACAGGACGCACTGAAACGTGAGGGACATCTCTGAATAGGACGTGATGCCCGGGTTCGTAGAGGGCATCCGGCTTCGCAAATCGCTCCGTCATGACCGACATAAAACCATCTAGCAGCATCCGCCACCCGAGCCCGACTGGACGCCCTGGCCCTGTCCGATCGGGACCGTGGGCTTGTTGTTGACCTGCGTCGTGCCCATGCGCTCCTTGATCTGCCTGGCCATTGTCAAGAAAGCCTGCTCGACGTTGGACGCGTTCTTGGCCGAAGTCTCGAGGAAGGGGATGCCAAGGCTGTCGGCAAATTCCTGCGCTATGGTGTCAGAATGCTTCCAGGCGGGTTGAAGAGCCTGGGCCTACCTTTGCAACGGTGTACTCGACCACCTTCTTGTCTGCCATATCGGACTTGTTGCCCACCAGCAGCTTGTTCACGCCCTCGGTGGCGTAGCGGTCGATCTCCTGGAGCCACTGCTTGACGTTGTTGAACGAGTCCATGTCGGTGACATCGTAGACGACGCAGATGCCGTGGGCGCCACGGTAGTAGGACGACGTGATGGTGCGGAAGCGCTCCTGACCGGCGGTGTCCCACTGCAGATCAGTTAGCCCCGCCTCTCTCCGCGCAGCTTGGAGGGGAACCCACAATCTGAAGCTTCACGGTCTTGCCATCCAGCTCGATAGTCCTGATCTTCTGTACGGTTGTCAGCTCTGTGGCCAGGCTGGCCGGCGGCGAGTGTGGGCGGACGCACGAAGTCGACACCGATGGTGGAGATGTAGCTCTCGGTGTAGGTGTCATCGGCGAACCGGAGCAGCAAGCAAGACTTGCCCACACCGGAGTCTCCGATGAGGAGCAGCTTAAAGAGGTAGTCGTATCTGAAGGTGGTGCGCGGTTAGCGTGGCCTGCAGGCGCGGCTGCCTGGGCTCTTCAGTAGCTTTGGCATCCGGGCGGGAGAGAAGACGACTCTGCAAAAACAGCTGTTAGCTTCTGGGCGGATCTTCGCGCGCCGCGGCGGTTGGTACGGGCGGCGGCGACAAAGGCGCACCGCGGCGGAGATACCATGGGGGTTACGTACTACTCGGGGTTCATCGTGGCTGCGAGATCTGAGCGGGCGGCTTTTCCGAAGAGAGCGAAAAGTGAGTCGTGGAAAGCAGCTTGCTGCGAGGGGAGGAAGGCAGAGTCGACAGTGTAGGGAGGGGGGAGCGTCGAAGGCGTCGTGAGCTAGATGTCGTATAGGGCACCCCAGGACCTCACCGTTCGCCCTGCAGGCGATCACGTGCGCGAAGGGTCAGTGTTTCACCGATGGCTACGCGCCCGCACGCCGCCTGGCCTTGAGCACCTTGGTACCTGACCCTCGCGGCCACATGTGTTTCGCTGCATCTGACCCGCCAGCGCACTTGATCTCACGAGCGCGTCATAGTGCCAAGCCGCGTGCAGAAGGAGCCGAGTTATCTTTTTCCGATCTCTAGGTACGCTGTCTAAGGCACCCTGCTTCTGCGGGCGTGCCACGTCCCGTCTAGACAGGGAGGTATAAGTAAAGTACAAAAAAAAACATCGCCGGGCTTCTCGCTCGCGATTCTAGCAGTCGTGAGAAATAAAAGACGCCCGCATTTACAAAGCCCGTAACACCGTATCATTTTTCCAGATCATTCGTAGCCTCCGCCACACGCTGGTCACCTGCGCAATGACTTCACATGAGTTTGTCGAACACCGGGATCAGCGTTTGCGCCAACCAGAACGAGAAGACGAGCTTGGGTCCAGTCATCAGGAGCTTGGGCGTCAAACCCTTAAAGAAGCTAGTGAAACCCTCGTTCTTCATCATGTTCGACACGATGCGGAATCCGCTCTCCGGGTTCTCGAAGTTGCGGTTCTGAATGCGCGTCTTGATCACATCGAGAGGGGCCGAGACAACGAGAGATGCGCTGGCACCGGCAATCGACGCGACAAAGTTCTGTCCCCAGGTGGCCTTGTTGTAGTCCGTGAGCTTGTAGATGTACTCCTTGGCAAAGGCAGATCCTCCGAAAAGCTAGCACATCGTCAGCAGTTGCGTTTCTGAGCTAGTACGAGGGCTGCTTACCGCGAACGAGCCGGGCGCGTTACGAGCAGCAGTCCAACCCCAACCCCTGTAAAGACCGAAACCCTCGTCCTTGATGATACGGATGAGACCGCGTCCCCTGAAAGCCTCGGGGTTCGTCTGGCGCTTGATCTTGAGGACATCGAGCGGAAGAATACAGATCTCACCAATACCAATCAAACTGCGCACTGTTAGAACCCGATTTTTGACAGTTTCACGTTAGAGTACCCACCTGCCCGCAGTGGCGTGCATGATAGCCTTGCCGGTACCCTTACCGAAGGCGTTGTCGAACTTGTCGCCGTGGTTCTTGGCCAGGTAGTCCCTAACGAAGGGCTGACCGCCGTACTTGTACACCCTTTGAAGGACCTAACGTATGTAAGCATCCGGGTAGCTTTCCAATCCATCTTCACGTACCTTGTAGGCAGCCGCATATCCGAGACCGGGGAACAGAGAGAAAAGACGGGTGGGAAGAGCGGCGCCAGCCTTGTCCTTGAAGACGACGGCGTTGAGCTGCGAGGCAGAGCTGATCTGAAGTGCAAGTCAGAATACGCTCATTTCTAGGGGTGACGGAGGCTACGAACCTTGCCCTGGTTGCTCATCAATCTCTTCGCGGTGGTGTCAACCTGTTGGGGAATGTCAGAATTGCGCGCAGAACACAAGGCGACAAGTTCAAGCGTACGGGGTGGAAGACGGCCAACTCGGCGATACCAGCGCATCCTAAGAGAGTCAATTGAAGCCTATGCGAAGCTCTCTGGTCGTCTTACCTGCTCCCGTCAATCTTGCCGCGGTTGACTCTTTCTTGAACTCCTTCGAGGCGGAGCCGCCGGATGCAAGTGCCGGTGACATTGTAAATAATAGTGCTCAGGAGTTTCCGGGAGCGAGGAGCGGGCGGGGATGGTGGTAGGGCGCGAACGAGACGTGAGGACGAGCGGAAGGTCGAGATCGGAGGAGGTTGAGCGATACTTTTTTTCGGGCGCATTGGATTCGCGCCGGGTTGCTTGAGCGGAGCCACAAAACGCCTCCGAGGCCGCTGGGCCGTACCTCGCCCGCTCCCCGCCTCAGCCGTTGCTCGACCACGGAAATGCACGTAGCCGTCTCCGCTTTTACGGAGGATATGCAGCGAGAGCCTCATTGCGCAATTAGGAGCCGGCATTTGGTTATTCTGCGTGCAGAACTCACAAAATTCGCACCTGACGGCTTGCCTTGAAAGACCAAGCAGAACCAATTATCAGCCATGACTTGCAAATGCGTGCACGCACCTGCCGGAGGAAGGTGCTTGGCCTCTTCATAGACAGTCTCTTCTCAGCTGCGCCATCTATATTCTAGAGTGGCTAGCATGTCTCGTTCACCATTCATCCAACGCGACTAGTTTGGATGTTGACCGGTGAAAGCTATGCGATGGACTCATACAACAAGCCATAGCCTTGTGACAGTGTGTCTATTAGCACACAGTTCTCAGAATTGATCAAAATCTAAGAATGATGATCATGATCAGGACGCCATTGTACCTCGAAACCACACGACTGCATATTTATATTTAATCTCACACTTGCATATGCAATTACTAAACGATGCACCGTCTAGGTAAGACCCGGAAGTTTGTATTTGCTTTTTGGGATATGGTATACTAGTGGTATTGCAGCCGAAGGATAGCGCGAAGAACAGTAGGATGGCGCAAGCTTTTTTTTTTTCTAAAAAAAAATCAAAACAGCGTTCAAGGTGGTTGAAGCTATCGTCCAGACGACTACATACACGTCCTCACGATAGCTTCAACTGCCCACGACATGAGCGAAATCAAATTGACGCTAGCTTTCGGATGCAATACCCCTCTGTATGAGTTTTTACGTCAGGACTAAACTTGACTATGCACTACTGTTGCAGGTTTGATTCATGTTTGACCGTTAGATGGTGAGAACACATCATTAGCTTGTAGGCAGATGATTGTCCCGGGGAAAAAAAAATACAAAGGCGCTGTAGGCACGCCTAAGTTCGGTGCGAAGCACTGCGCAACGTCATCATGTCAAACCAGCGCATATTGCATTGCTGCTTGCTGCAGGGTTCTTTGCATGCTGGCCGCAGACAATGCCCTGTGGAATCTCAACACCAGATCCGCCGGGCACACAAAAGGGTCGGACTAGAATGGGATTGTGCTCTCCGTGGTAACATTGTTGGCATGTGCAAGCCGCGAAAGGGCTGCTCTGAGTTTGACGATCTCAGCCTTGCACTCGTTGCTGTGGCGGATGTTTGCGCTAGGCCCTGGAGCGCATTTGCTGTGATGATTGGCCGGCGCGGGGAAGCGCGCAGCGTCGCGCTCATCGTTGCACGTCTTCTAGGCGAGCGCATCTCAGCGCGACAATATCTGCATCGCAATTTCACATCTGCAATCCCTTCCGCCCTCCACCCAAACAAAAGCAAGGCCAGCTCGCACTCTCCTGGTCCATCGACGATCGCCAGCCAACGCAACCACCCCCGCACATTCTTCACGCAGCCCGACTCAGAGCATCCAATACGCCAACATGAGCGCCCAGAACACTGACACCGCTATGAGTGGCGGCGATGCTACCCTTGACAAGGGCAAGGGCAAGGCCGCCGAGCCCACCCGTGAGGACGTCACCATGGGTGAGGAGGACAGTTCCGACGAGGAGTCTGGTGTCGAAGACCAGGTACGTCTGCACCGTCTACCCTTGCAGCCAATGCGCGACTGCTAACATTTATTCACCCAGGCCCCCGAACGTATGCGCCGCCCGCCCCATTCCGCCATTCGCATTTTCCGCTGACCGTGTGCATAGCTGAGGAGGTCGACGAGGATAACATGGAGGAGATCGATCCCGACAACATCATCCAGGATGGCAGGCGCACGCGCGGCAAGACGATCGACTTCAGCAAGGCTGCCGAAGAGGCCGGTCCGGACGACTACGACGAGGATGATGATGAGGACTTCGAGGACCCCGACGAGTCCATGGAGCACTAGGCGTACGTGCCTCCGTTGCTCCGTCGGAGCGTGCGCCCCACGCCGCACGACATCGGAACACTAGAGTGGGAGGCTGACAAGCGGGCAGGACCGTACGGATCGCAGACGCCTCAAGCTCCCTCCCAACCTTCGGTCAAAAACGGATTTCGAGTCCTGGAGTAAGCCGTGCCAAATCCGCACGGAAACATGATGATTGGAGATGATTTCAGTTTTCAAGAGAATCAACGAAAATAAAAGGAACCTGGTGCGGGGTATGAAATGGTATCAAAGGCTACGCATTGGCACGATGATGGTTCTAGCGTGGCAAAGACCCATTGGCATACCCGGGAGTAGGTAGCATTGGCATACAGAAATACCCCAATTACGATGCTTCCGACTGCTCCCGCTGGCATGCATTTGATTGACTGTGGTCGGGACGTTTTTACTTCTGTTTGATGTAAATCCGGTCATACGGACGGCGGGTACCGCAGCAGACTGGACGCATGCGTCCAATGGGGTCACACGCGTTTGGGGGATCTTCGTAGGTACATGGTGCATGGGACAGCTGTACATGGCAGAGACAGCTACGCAACGGGGTCGATGATGCCGTGGTCGGCCGTGCTTCGTGGATGCACAGTTGCAAACCTAATTAGGAAATCCTGCCCACTTCCTGGCATCCATGCTATCCCACGCGGCACCAATTCCGCCCATCACCGCAATTTCTATTTGAGGCCTCGGTGACTTGCGTCCGCAGCTCTAGCGCACTTGCTTTAATCTCCGCCGGCTGTACGTGTCCTGGATGCCAGTGCGCGCGTGGGAGGGTTGCATGATGCACACACGGGATTGGTTTCTTCGCAGACCCTGAGCCGCCTCGCCGCCGGACATCAGGCTGCCGGCAAAAAGCACACTACCGCAGGAAGACCCTTCCCGACTTCACGTGGAAAGAGAGATTGCGGGTGATGGCGCAACCTGGTTCCCTGGTTCCAAGATGAGCAGCATACCCCAAGATGCCGATGCATCCACCAAGACGCTACCGCCAGCATCGAGCCGGCGGATGCGGATGCAGGAGAAGGTTCAACGGCGTATCGGGGCAGCGGGCGCGGTTTCGTCCGCCCAGGCAGGAGACAACGGCGCAAGACCCTGATAGGATCCTCGCGGCGCAGGCAAATGCCCGCTTGCAGAGGCAGCCGTCGCGGCGGCATCCCAGCCCAGTTCGGCCGTAGGGATGGTGTGGTCGTGTACGACGTCTCGCGGAAAGTCAGCAGCGATATCGGCGCTTGGCCTGGCTGGAGGCTTTGGCGAGCAGCTGCTGGGGTGACTCATGGGGAGTGCATCCGCCTGAGGGTGGCGGAGGAGTGGGCAGAGGCAGCGGCCATAGAGGTGTTCCGTTTAATTCCGAGGCGCTTCGGCCTGCTCCGCGTCCAGTGGGTGGATATTTTGTCGCTGTTAGGGGAATGGTGCCATGGGGCCTGGGTTCCAGACGGCCAGTTGGGCGCCCCGACGGCCACGCGGGTTGCGCTCCCCGTTTCGTCAAGCAAATCACCGCCGACGGTCGGCGGCGCGGGCGAGCGACGCACAGCTGGGCAAGCGGGGAGTTTTAGCAGTCTATCAAGCCTGCCGCTTCCGGCTGCACGCTTGCTGATGTGCGCCTTCGGGATGGTCGCGATAAGGACAGGGCGGCGTCATGACGAGCTTGAATTACCCTCAGGGAAACTCGAGCAGCCAATGGCGGCCAATAAGCGCCGCGGAAACACAAGCTCGAAACGTGTACGCGGGCTGATTTGCGGCCGCCGTCTCCCCCTCGAAGCTTGGACGGCGCTCAAGCCGCATGCGAGCTGCAGCGGGCTGCCTTCGCCATGTCATCGAGCAGCGATCCGGCGAATCACAGACGCTGCTTAGCTACACCTGCTTCCACCGCCCTGGGAGGCTGGCGAGATCTAAGCAACTTTCGGCTGCGCGCCGTGGCAGAAACCGTGGGGTAGCAGGGAATTTTTCACGACCGACGTATGCAGATAAATAAACATGCGCGGAGCACCAGGCCCTGCCAAGCGGCCGCTGCGATTGCGGAGGGCGCGCGCGCAACCGTCAGGCGAGCGCCTCGGTGGCGGGCGCAGCGAGGGCGCGCGATGAAGTCGCGATGGGGGCGACGGTGAGAGACATCTCGCGGGCGACGGGGCGGACGACGGTGTCGCGGTCGTGTTCTCGGTGTAGCATGCGTAGAGCAGTGACGAAGTCAGCTCAGACTGCGGCGCGAGGCCAACCAGGCCATTGCCATTGGTAAAACAATTCAGTACGTGCCAATGAAAAATATCATAATGGTAATCTGGCTCTGGCTCTAGCGCTTTCGTCGCCTTCCCCACCTTCAGGGCAGGAGGCGCCTTCATAAGCTGCCTCCCCGTCCGCCTCCGGCACACTCCTGCCTTTCGCTCTCCCTCTCCCTCAGTTGTCACTCTGGTAGCGTTGCGCACGCAGTGACCCAGCCGTGCTCCCAAATTCCATACCATCCAGCGCGTGAGTGCATCTCCATCCACCTGCCCTTGCCACATCCACATGCAGCAAAATTCCTGCCGAGCAGGGCTAGTAGCGTGCGCCCCACCCGTCCTGTGATTCGCCCAAGCTCTTATCGTCAGCGTCTGGGGGACGACACAAGAGGCGCAAGTGAGCTACATCATCCGCCTGGAGATCGTCGCGACGTGGTCGACCAGCTTGCGCACCAGACGACAGCTCGCCCGTCCGCAACGCCCGATCGCCACCGCCGGCCTGCTCTTTTTTCCATTCCTCTGCCCGCTTGTTTGCTGGCAACCCACAGCCAAAATTTCTCTTCCGCTACACCTCACTCCTCCACCTCTCCCCATCGACCGACGTCACTCCGCCCACGCCGCACGCCCGAAACCAAGTGCTTCCGGGCCGTTCGCTAACCATTGACCCTTCAGGCGGCAACACTACCAGACAGCACACGGCACACTACCACAGCCGCGACCAGCGCTCCTGCAGTTCACTCTCCATCGCAGAAAGATTCGGCCTGTCGCCGAAGCTATGGGTCGGGTCTCGTTCGCTGAAGATACCAAACAATGCGACAGTATTGAAGCAGAGTACACGCCCAGTGTCTACGAGTACGAAAACACTCCGGACAACAAGTCATGGGCGGGTGCGCTCCCTAAGAAGCAGGGTCTCTATGACCCGGAGTTGGAGAAGGATGCGTGTGGTGTCGGTTTCGCTGCGTAAGTTACCTCCACTCGTTCACCGCCGGGCCCGTGACTAACTGTAGCACAGCAACATCAAGGGCATTGCGAGCCACAAGATCGTCAGCGATGGTAAACTTCGTACCCCCCACACTTCAGAAGCAGACGCTGACTCGTGAACCTCTTAGCTCGAAACCTTCTGTGCAACATGACCCACCGCGGTGCGGTCGGCTCGGACGCCAGAGATGGTGACGGTGCGGGTGTCATGACCTCCATCCCTCACAAGTTCTTCATCAAGAACTTCGAGCGGGACCAGGGCATCAAGCTGCCCCCTCAGGGCCAGTATGCCGCAGGCAACTTGTTCTTCAAGCCGGACACGGAGATATTGAAGGAGACGATTGCTACATTTGAGGAGATTGCGGATTCTCTTGGGTTGCGGGTTCTTGGGTGGCGAGAGGTTCCCAAGGATTCGACGCTGCTGGGACCGGCGGCGCTCTCGAGGGAGCCCATCATCCTGCAGCCGTTCGTCGTTGCTAGGGATGCCTATGGCCCCAGCAATGCGCCGAAGGAGACGTACTCCAAGGAGTTTGACGAGCCGTGGTTTGAGAGGCAGCTGTATGTGCTGCGCAAGAGGGCGACGCACGTCATTGGTCTTCACAACTGGTTTTACCTTTGCTCTTTGAGCAACAAGAACATCGTCTACAAGGGACAACTTGCCCCCGTCCAAGTATACGAATATTACCACGATTTGGTCAATGTTGACTACGAGGGCCACTTTGCTCTCGTTCACTCCCGTTTCTCGACCAACACTTTCCCTAGCTGGGACCGTGCTCAGCCTCTGCGGTGGGCGGCCCACAATGGTGAAATCAACACCCTGCGCGGCAACAAGAACTGGATGAGGGCCCGTGAGGGTAACCTGAAGTCCGATCTCTTCGGCGATGAGCTCGAACTGCTGTTCCCCATCATCGAGGATGGCGGTTCCGACTCTGCCGCCTTCGACAACGTGCTCGAACTTCTCACGATCAACGGTGTTCTCTCTCTCCCTGAGGCTGTTATGCTCATGGTTCCTGAAGCATGGCAGGGCAACCAGGCCGTGGACCCTGCGAAGCAGGCTTTCTACGAATGGGCTGGCTGCATGATGGAGCCTTGGGATGGACCCGCTCTTTTCACTTTCGCTGACGGCAGGTACTGCGGTGCGAACCTTGACCGCAACGGTCTGCGTCCTTGCCGTTACTACGTCACGGACGACGACCGCATCATCTGCGCGTCTGAAGTCGGTACCATCGGCATTGACCCGGAGCGCGTTGTCCAGAAGGGCAGGCTGCAGCCCGGAAGGATGCTTCTCGTCGACACCGTTGCAGGACGCATCGTCGATGACGCCGAGTTGAAGGCCACTGTCGCCAACAGGCACGACTTCAGGGCATGGATTGACAAGCACCTGCTCACCATGCAAGGCATCTACGGCGCTCTCACTCAGAAGGGCGAGGATCTCTCGCACACCATCACCGAGACCAAGATTCAGGAGGACCCCCGCCTAAAGGCTTTCGGCTACTCGCTGGAGCAAGTCAGCCTGCTCCTTGGCCCCATGGCTGCCGACTCTAAGGAAGCCCTTGGATCCATGGGTAACGATGCTCCGCTTGCCTGCTTGGCTGGTCAGCCTCGCCTACTCTACGAGTACTTCCGCCAGCTCTTCGCTCAGGTTACCAACCCCCCGATCGATCCCATCCGCGAGGCCATCGTCATGTCTTTGGAGGCATATGTTGGTCCCCAGGGTAACCTGCTCGAGATGGACGAGACCCAGGCACACCGTCTCCTCCTTCCCTCTCCTATTCTCTCGGTCGAGGAGTTCAACGCACTGAACAACATGCATATCGTTCAGCCCGAGTGGACCAGCAAAGTGATTGATATTACTTTCCCCAAGAAGGCCGGCGTTCAGGGCTATCTCGATGCTCTGGACAGCATCTGCAACGCTGCGACGGCGTGCATCGAGGAAGGCCACAGCATCCTGGTCCTTTCTGACCGCGCCGTCTCTGCTGACCGCGTTCCGGTGTCTGCTCTGCTGGCTACCGGTATGGTTCACCACCACCTTGTGAGGAACAGGTGGCGGTCCCAGGTTGCGCTTGTTGTCGAGACTGCTGAAGCTCGTGAGGTTCACCACATGTGCGTTCTCGTTGGTTATGGCGCCGATGCGATCTGCCCGTACCTCGCTATCGAGTGTATTCTCAAGATGCACCGCGAGAAGCTCATCCGCAAGAAGCTTGAGCCCAAGCAGCTTATTGACAACTACAAGCACTCTTGCGACGGTGGTATCCTGAAGGTCATGTCCAAGATGGGTATCTCGACCCTGCAGAGTTACAAGGGTGCTCAGATCTTCGAGGCTCTTGGTATCGACGACGCCGTTGTCGACCGCTGCTTTACCGGCACTGCCAGCCGTATCAAGGGTATGACCTTTGAGCTTATTGCCCAGGATGCCTTCGCGCTTCACGAGAAGGGTTTCCCCAGCCGCCCGATTGTCGAGGTGCCCGGTCTTTCTGAGACCGGCGAGTACCACTGGAGAGACGGTGGTGAGCCCCACGTCAACGATCCGACTGCTATCGCCAACATCCAGGATGCCGTTCGTTCCAAGAACGACAAGTCTTACGAGGCCTACTCTAAGGTCGAGTACGAGCGCATCAAGGACTGCACTCTCCGTGGTCTTCTGGACTTCAACTTCGAGGAGTGTACTCCTGTGCCCATCGAGCAGGTTGAGCCTTGGACTGAAATCGTCAGACGCTGCGTCACTGGTGCCATGTCTTACGGCTCCATCTCCATGGAGTCTCACTCGACTATCGCTGTCGCCATGAACCGCCTCGGTGGTAAGTCCAACACTGGCGAGGGTGGTGAGGATGCCGAGCGTAGCGCGATCATGGAGAACGGAGACACCATGAGGTCCGCTATTAAGCAGATTGCCTCTGGTCGTTTCGGTGTCACTAGCCACTACCTAGCCGATGCCGACGAACTCCAGATCAAGATGGCTCAGGGCGCTAAGCCCGGTGAGGGTGGTGAGCTGCCTGGCCACAAGGTCTCTGGCCCCATTGCGAAGACCCGCCACTCCACCCCTGGTGTTGGTCTGATCTCGCCTCCTCCTCACCACGACATCTACTCCATTGAGGATCTCAAGCAGCTCATCTACGACCTGAAGTGCTCCAACCCTCGCGCTCGCGTCTCCGTCAAGCTCGTGTCTGAGACTGGTGTGGGTATCGTTGCCTCCGGTGTCGCCAAGGCCAAGGCTGACCACATTCTGATCTCCGGCCACGACGGTGGTACCGGTGCCTCCAGGTGGACTGGTATCAAGTACGCCGGTCTGCCCTGGGAGCTGGGTCTTGCCGAGACTCACCAGACTCTGGTCCTGAACGATCTCCGTGGTCGTGTCATCGTCCAGACCGATGGCCAGATCCGTACCGGTCGCGACGTCGCCATTGCTACCCTGCTTGGTGCCGAGGAGTGGGGCTTCGCTACTACCCCTCTGATCGCCATGGGCTGTATCATGATGAGGAAGTGCCATTTGAATACTTGCCCTGTCGGTATTGCCACCCAGGATCCTGAGCTCCGGAAGAAGTTCACGGGTACCCCCGAGCACGTCATCAACTTCTTCTACTACATCGCCAACGAGCTGCGTGCCATCATGGCCAAGCTTGGTTTCCGCACCATCAACGAAATGGTTGGACGTTGCGATGTCCTCAAGATCCGTGATGACCTCCGCACTGCCAAGACGGAGAACATTGACCTCTCGCTCATCCTTACTCCGGCTCACACCCTCCGTCCTGGCGTTGCTACCTACAACGTCCGCAAGCAGGATCACCGCCTCCACGTCCGCCTGGATAACAAGCTCATTGCCGAGTCTGAGCTTGCTCTCGAGAAGGGTCTGCCCACTCGCATTGAGTGCGACATTGTCAACACTGACCGTGCCATGGGTGCCTCTCTGTCCTACCAGATCAGCAAGAGGTACGGCGAGGCCGGTCTCCCGCAGGATACCATCCACGTCAACATCAAGGGTTCTGCTGGTCAGTCGTTCGGTGCCTACCTGGCTCCTGGTGTTACTCTCGAGCTTGAGGGTGATGCCAACGACTACGTCGGCAAGGGTCTTTCTGGTGGCCGTCTCATCGTCTACCCTCCCAGGTCGGCTGTCTTCAAGGCTGAGGAGAACGTTCTCATCGGTAACGTCTGCTTGTACGGTGGTACTCGCGGCACTTGCTTCTTCCGCGGTGTCGCCGCTGAGCGTTTCGCCGTCCGTAACTCTGGTGTCACTGCCGTTGTTGAGGGTGTCGGTGACCACGGTTGCGAGTACATGACCGGTGGTCGCATTCTCATTCTCGGCTCCACTGGCCGTAACTTCGCTGCCGGTATGTCTGGTGGTATTGCCTACGTCCTCGACAAGCACAACGACTTCGAGAGCAAGGTCAACCAGGAGATGGTTGAGCTCTCCGGTCTGGAGGATCCGACCGAGATTGCCTTCGTCCGCGGTCTCATCGAGGACCACCACCACTACACTGGTTCCGAGCTGGCTGCCCGCATCCTGCTTGACTTCAACCGCGCTCTGCCCCGTTTCGTCAAGGTTCTCCCCACCGACTACAAGCGCGTCCTTCAGGAGGAGGCTGCCAAGGCCGCCGAGGCCAAGAAGCAGCAGTACCCTCTGCCCATCCTCCCTGGCAACCCCATGCGCACTGCTCACGAGGAGTCCAAGAAGAAGGAAGCTGAGAAGGAGAAGAAGAAGAGCGACCTTCTTGACATCGAGGAGAGTATCAGCGATGCCAAGGCCGAGAAGAAGCGTTCTGCTCTTGTCCTGGACAAGACCAAGGGCTTCATGAAGTACCAGCGCCGTTCTGAGAAGTACCGTAACCCCAAGACTCGCACCCGTGATTGGCAGGAGCTGTCTTCGCGTCTCACCGAGGACGAGCTCAAGTACCAGACTGCTCGCTGCATGGACTGCGGTGTCCCCTTCTGCCAGTCTGACAGCGGTTGCCCGATCTCCAACATCATTCCCAAGTGGAACGAGTTGGTCTTCCAGAACCAGTGGCAGGATGCGCTTAGGCGTCTGCTGATGACCAACAACTTCCCCGAGTTCACCGGTCGTGTCTGCCCCGCTCCTTGCGAGGGTGCTTGCGTTCTGGGCATCAACGAAGACCCTGTTGGCATCAAGTCTATTGAGTGCGCCATCATTGACCGTGGTTTCGAGATGGGCTGGATGGTCCCTTCGCCGCCCAAGAACCGTACCGGCAAGAACGTCGCCATCATCGGCTCCGGTCCTGCCGGTCTTGCCGCCGCCGACCAGCTGAACAAGGCTGGCCACACCGTCACCGTCTACGAGCGTGCTGACCGTATTGGTGGTCTTCTCATGTACGGTATCCCCAACATGAAGCTCGACAAGAAGGTTGTTCAGCGCCGTGTCGACTTCATGGCGGCTGAGGGCATCATCTTCAAGCCTGGTGTTGCTGTTGGCGAGGGTGACGTCACCCTTGACTCTTTGAGGGCTAAGAACGATGCGGTCATTCTGGCCACTGGTGCCACCGTCGCCCGTGACCTGCCCATTACCAACCGCAAGCTCGAGGGCATCCACTTCGCCATGGAGTTCCTCCACAAGAACACGAAGTCCCTCCTCGACTCCAACCTGGCTGATAACGCTTACATCTCGGCCAAGGACAAGCACGTTGTTGTCATTGGTGGTGGCGATACTGGTAACGATTGTATCGGTACTTCTCTCCGTCACGGCGCCAAGTCGGTCACCAACTTTGAGCTGCTGCCTCAGCCCCCGCCGGAGCGTGCCCGTGACAACCCATGGCCTCAGTGGCCCCGTATCTACCGTGTGGACTACGGTCACTCTGAGGTCAAGACCCACCACGGTAAGGACCCGCGTGAGTACTGCGTCATGTCTAAGGAGTTCGTCGACGACGGCAGTGGACGCGTCAAGGGTATCAACACCATCCGTGTCGAGTGGACCAAGAACGCCACTGGCGGCTGGGACATGAAGCAGGTCGAGGGCAGCGAGCAGTACTTCCCTGCTGACCTTGTCCTTCTCTCTATGGGTTTCTTGGGTCCTGAGGACCGTGTTCTTGGCAGCGGCATCGAGAAGGATGCGCGCAAGAACGTCAAGACTCCTCCCGGCAAGTACAACACCAACATCCCCGGCGTCTACGCCGCTGGTGATTGCCGTCGTGGCCAGTCCCTCATCGTCTGGGGCATCAACGAGGGCCGCATGTGCGCTCGCGACGTCGACACCTTCCTGACGGGCGTTGGCACTCAGCTACCCGTCACTGGCGGTATTGTCAAGCGTCCTCCGTATGAGCTCATGACCCAGAAGACTGCTCCCAAGGAGCTCATCACCGCCTCCGCTTAAATGCCGATCAAACACGGATAGTCTTCCCCCCGCTACTGAACGGCATTCGACCACGTTCTTTCCTTGCGATACCCAAATCAATTTCCACGAAAAGGATGACTGTACAGCGAGTAGCGGTAGAGGGTTGGCGAGGCTATTTTCCTTCTTTCGACGAAACGAACCCCCAAGGAGTTCGAAAAAAATCTTTTCATGGTATGAACGATAACGCTTTGTACGATGACGGACGGGAGATACGGGATAAGGAACAAAGAAAGGAGCAAATGGAGAACAGGGTATAAAGGGAACGATTCATTCCAGCTAAACAAAAAAACTTTGGGCGGCATGGATTTGGGCTTCTTAGGGGTTTTTTCTCTCTCCTTCCCGTTCACTCTTGTACAATTTTCTGCTTTTTCTCCTTTCCGATCTCTCTTTTCGCTTTGAGTTATGCCTTTTTGACATGTTTTTATTGCGACGGATAGGAAAGGCGTTTCTGCTTATAAATACTTGCGCTTCTCCTGATATTTGTGTTCTGCTTTTCTCGAAATTGACACTCAATCGCGATCCATGAGCTGGCTACAATCACTTCAGAGTTAGCGTTAGAGGCAATGGATTCGTATCTCTAAAACTATGATTTGCTTGTGACGATAATGTGGTAGAGCAGTGAAGCTACATCGAGACGAACAGATGGCTTAAGTAAGCTACTATTCTATGATGTATGAAGAATTAAGACTTGAGAGTCGGTCCTGAATTCCAAGACTCCTTCTTTTGATGCTCAACATGGAGACAAGACTAAAGCTTTTTAGTGAACCCAAACGTACTGGCTTGGTTGCTCAATCTTAGGAGGTGTTTGATTTAGAGAGGCGAGGTGCATCTATATTCAAATGAATCGAGTGAAATTTGCCTAAAAAATGAAGCAGATAATCAGAAGAACATAGAAACACGTTATATGGCTAGCCCCCGGTAAAATTACAGTCCCCTCTCGCAGCCAATGGCTAGCATGGATTTGTTTTTTACTCATGTCATGGGTAGTTGAAGCTATGGTCCGGACGAGAATGTAGAATTAAAAGTTCTACATACACGTCCGGACGATAGTTTCAACTACCCACATATGTCAATTTTTCTAAGGCAGCTCTGAGTCAAGTCCGGACCTCGGACAGTCAAGGCCTCGGTCGGGGTCTCATTCTTCCATGAGCTCAGAGGGAGAGAGGGGAGCACAACCAGTGTCAACAATCAAGGTTTATCACAAAGGCAACTTCTACGAAGACTGGTGGGTTTTGGAAGTCTCAGGTGTCGCTCTGAGTCTCCTCTTTATGGGCGGCATAGTGATTATGCTGTCTCAAATCGACGGCAAGCGGCTCGACAAGTGGAACTTCTTTTTCCAGCCTAACGCCATCGTTTCAACATTCGTCGTTGTTGCCAAGACTACCATGCTGGTGGCCGTCAGTGAGAGCCTCAATCAGCTGAAATGGCTGTACTTTTCTGGAGGAAGACGCTCACTTGGGGATTTCGAGGCCTTCGATGGAGCAAGCCGTGGTCCGTGGGGTGCTCTCAGCTTCTTCTGGCGCATGAGGTTGAAGGTTCCGTTTGCGCTTGTTGGATCAGTGGTCATGATTTTATCCCTCGCCATGGGCCCTTTCGCTCAACAGATCATCTCGTTTCCAGTCCGTTACGTTCAAAGTGTACATGAAGTTGCCGCGATCAATGTTACCAGCCACTTCACGAGAGGTAATCCATTTTTATTGTGGAAATGCAGCATTACTCCAAGCTAACGTGATCATGAAGCGGCGTATAAGCAAGAGAAAATCGGCCTGGCCGCAGCACTTTACGATGGTCTTTTCAACAAAAGCACACCCCTCGACTTTGTGTGTCCATCGGCAAATTGTACATGGGACCTGTTCTACACCCTCGGATTATGCAACGAGTGCAACGCCATTACTGTTAGTCCTGAGTGGCGCAAAGTCAATTGTTCGGACTCTGACGCAGCCCCTCTCTTGGATGGTCAAAACTGTACCAAGTACATGATAATCACTCCGAGTAACATGTCACTTCCGGTCATATTTGGCCGTTCGAATACTGGGGCCGCTGATGTCAGCACATACCTGACTGCGAACACAACTACCAGGAGCCTTAATCGTTGGTTTGACAATAGCTTTCCCAGTCAATCGATGGATACTCTTGCACTGTTAGCATTTGCACGCCTACCTCTAGAGCTTATCAAGAACTACGCGCCACATCTCACAGATATCAGCCAATCCACAGAAATTTTGGAATGTCGCATCACATGGTGCGCAAAACGCTACAAAGACGTCAAAGTTGTGCGTATCTCCACTTACACTCATTTCCTCTACTTATGCTCACAATATTCGCTTAGCTTAACGGAGAGATTCAACCGGGGTTTGTGGTTGAAGACGTTCCTCTAATCCCAGAACGTGACAATTTCGAATATACCGAGGAAATGTATCCACTGGCCATGACAACACCTTTCGACACACAATCTTTCTCTATAGGATGTGACGACGAACAAAATGCTGCCGATATTCTTAGCGATGGGCTTACCTTCAACTGGACATCTGCTGTCGCCGCAATCTTGTCAAACTTGAGTGCCATGATTTTTTCCAACAACACCAACGCAAGCGGAGTCTTCGACGACATTGTGGCATGCATGACCGACAGCCTTTGGCACAGCACGAACAGCACGATAGCAAAAGGGCACACTCTACGCCCTGTGGCTTTGATCCAGGTCAGCTGGATCTGGATCATCCTTCCAATCTCGCTCGTCCTCCTCAGCGCCATTTTCTTCGGTTGGACGCTCTGGTATAACTCGCACTACCGCGCTCCGCTTTGAAAATCCGGCCTCCTTCCGTTGCTTTTCCACGGCCTGGAGGGTTTCGATGATGCTGATCTCAGTGCTGAGAGAAGGCGTCTAATCAATGAGGTTGCGAGAGATATGCGCGTAAGGTTGACGGCGAATGAGGATGGCGTTACCAAGTTTTTGAAGAGCGACTTTGAAGGAGATATTGGATGATTGCACCTTCGTCTGGTATATGACGAGAACAGAGTATGGCACCGCGGTACAGTTCGTACAGCTCTACACAAATAAGGTCTCCGTATCTAGTCTGTTCACAAAATCCGGCTCAAGCACACTTTGATATTGCGGCCTACTACTGTGCACGATGAGCATTTATGGGCCAAGTCTTTCATGGTTCATTCAAGAAAATAGTTCCAGCATGCACATGTTTCATGGTATCTCGGGCGAACACTACGTAAAACCTTGCAACTGCAACCCTTTCTATACTCTTTTTAAAGTTCAATATTCCAAAAAACAAAGCTCCGTCTTTCACTTGAGCTACGCATACTGCTGCTTCGTTTGTCTAGACCGAAGTATCCGAAGATTAAGAATTGTTCAGATCATCGCAATTCAGTTTTATTCTGTGTGCTTCACCCTCCAAGGGTTCCTTGCATTGACCCGAATTCAGCCTTGGAGGGATTCGGTTACACAACCAATAGCCTTTGTCCGCAATGGCCAGGCAAACAGCCATGAGCAGGCTACACTTTGGTATCAGCCTTGCAGCTGCAATTGAGCTTGGCGCATCTGCATGCGTTACATAGCTCCGGTGTGGCGATACTCCATGTACTTTTAGTGGCGCTTCAGAATCTCAATGCAGCTGCAAACGAACAAGGCTGTATGTATGCATATCTTATCCAATCGGCCAATCGTGAAACATTGTTGTGCAAGGCTGCTGGCAGCACTGCTTTCGTATATGCAGTAAGTGTGACCCACACGCTCGCCACTAAGTTTATGGTCGTTGCCTAAATAGTCATGTGAATCGAGCCACTTATTACATAACATAGCCATATATCTAAGCGCTTAGGTCACTACTTCTGTCATCTAATACTTCATCTCTAATCATTTACTGCTACCCCTCCCCAGCGAAGGTAAATCGTCGTCAACAGTAAATTTATCATAAAACGCAATATACCCAGCGCCAAGATCAATCCAACGGTACTCACTCATACCTTTGCTCATAATGCCGATTCAACAAAGTAGGTTGTCTCTTATCTCACTCTCTGTGGCCTTTCTCCACCGACCGCCGCTGTCTATCAATACTGGAAAGGCTTTTGCTTTTCTCCCTCTTCGCTTTTCTTGATCGTCGACTGACATGATTAAGCTCCATCTCCATCAAACGACTCTTCAGATGTCAAATATGAGGAACATAGTCGGGAAAGGGAAAGAAGACGCGCCGTTTGTAAAACGATAAAGGCCCAGAAAAAAAAGGAAGACATTAGCGAAGTTGACACCAGCGAAGGCGATGGAGAGTTGAAGATCGGGGAGAGCTGTACTGTACAGATTGATGACAAGAATCAAGACGAGGACGGGCAGATGGGAGTGAAAGAGGAGGGAATAGTGGAGAAGATCAATGAAGAGCTGCAGGAAGAAGTAGACTGGTCACCAGTGCTAACCCGCTGGATGGGGAAAGCTCAGAAGGAACAACATCATTCCGCCGAAGACGATGCCCAGAGCGAGGCTTTCTCAGGATCCACTTTAGTAGACGAGTGGCAAAGTGAAGTCGCGGGCATGGCAGATTTCAATGAAGAACAGCAGGAAGAGGTAGACTGGTCACAAGTGCTAACCTCGATGGGGGAAGCTGAGAAGGAACAAAATCATTCCACCGAAGATGATACTCAGAGCCAGTGGCCATCAGAGAGCATTTTGATAGATTCATTGGAAAACGAAACTGAACCATACGAAGCTGCCTCAGTTGCAGAACTATACGAAGCTGCCTCAGTTGCAGCACCAGGGCCATACCAAGCAGCGCGGGAGGAATATGTGTTCTTGATCAAGGATGAGAAAAGGTTAAAAATTTTGCGCGATGACATCGAGAAGCTGTTGCGACCGGAAATTTTTGAAGAGAGCTTCAGAAACATGCTGGTGGTGTTTGCAACCCAGCTTCGCGCAGAAGCACGCCACTCAGAAGAGAAAGATGCAGCGAGAACTGTTCGCATCAACAGTATCTACATCGCAAACTGCATTACCGAAGGAATCTTCAAGATGGTCGAATTCCAGCGTCTCCCGGGAAGGAGAAATGTCCTGGAATCTTACTTGCTCAAGTATGGCCAAAAGGCCGGTGTTGGCAACGGTGTTCAGATTTTCGAGAGAGGAGAAGATGACGAATTAGATCAATTTGAAGAGAATGAACCCGAGGGCCCAATCAACTTGCTCAAGATGGAGGCGTTCATCAAGTCCAGCAGAGCTTGGTCCAAGCTTTTCGACAACCTTGAAAGCTGGATAAGAGACACGGAGAAAGCCAAGGGACTGTGGAGAAAGAAGCAGAAAATCGACAGCAATAACCAGAACCCGCCAGAACAAGATGCACAGAGCCAACAAACCAGCTCTGATGATACCTCATCATTGACTTCTTCGTTTAAACGAACGAGCTTTATGCATTGGAGCTCGTATTCCATTGGCAGTTCAACAACCAGGATTGAAAACTCCCCAGAAGTTTGCAGTACAGTGGCTACACTCCAAGTGGCTTTGCTCTGGGCATGGGCTATCGTAAGCTAGACATTCTTAGTAAATATCAAAACTATACTAATAAACCTGAAGAAAACATCAACCCAGCTCTACGGAAAATCGAATGTCGTCATGCAGGTTGTTCTCGAAGGTTTCGCGATCTTCCTTCCCATGTATGCCACGATTCTGCTACCACGGGAGCCGATATTCAAGTGCTACATACTCTGTTTGCTCATCCCGAAAGCCTACATGGTTTATGTAAATGCTTTAGGGTTTGGAATACTTGCCAGCCGCACTTACATTGCTATCCAACTGATGAGAACTGAGCAATTCTTCGTATGGCTGTGGGGGAGCTTGATCAGTGAAGAAGAAACGCCGCATGCTCGGGTAAAATTGCAATGCGTAAGTTTCTAAGAATCACGGTCCAAAGGAGAGCCACTAATAAAATGTATTCTCAGACCTGTGGTGACGAGTTCTTTGAGGATTTTGCAGAGTCACGAGAGAGAGATGCTATCTCTCTGTTCGAATACCTTTGCTATACTGGAAATCGCTCGCAACTTCAGATCTCCCCGAGAGATGGTATCAGTGCTACTAGAGTCTTCAACGATGGCTTACCTGGAATTGCTGTTGAACTAACTTCGCATGATAACTCGTGCGAGGACAACAATAAACAACGTCCATCTACAACAGATGCCTCAGACTTGGCCAATAGGACCGATAATGAGTCTCCAGTGAGTTCATCGGCCGATAATGGTACAGCGCAGAATGTCACTTCAGGACAGCCAGAAAGTGCCACTGAGGTAACTCAATCTTTGTTTACGGCTAATAGTAGAGATCAACGCGACGAATGGTTTCTTCTTTGTCACGATCATTACAAGGACGCTGGAAAAGCGTTGAATATCAGAGTCCCTGATTTTCTCGATGACTTATCCTTAATGCGTCACCTGCGACGTCAATATGTTGCGTCAAGAGGAGGTTTCGGGAGACATTTCAAGTGGAGTAAGATCAGAAATTTCAACTTCGTGCGAGTAAGTTATTGGAATGCACTCTCCAGTCTGAGCGTATGAAGCTCATTGAGCCACAGTTCCAAGCCCATCTTGATCCCCTGGCTGCTGAAGAGTTGGTATTCAAAGACAAGGAGTGGAGCGTGCCTCTTAATTGCTGTGACTCTAACTGGTCCCCCTGGCCCCTTAAGGAACGACCGCCTGTACTCGTGGAAAAGATGCTACGTCATTACTGGCATTATCCCCACGATAGCATATCCTTCCGTTTCTCAAACGCCTGCAAACATCTTACTCGGAACATCTGGTATAATTGTCAATCAGGATACGCCAGTGTGCTCAATTTTCTGTCTCACCAGCCCGCTCCATCATCGCTATGGACGGCCATGCGTGATGCTTCGAAACGATTTTATAGGAGTGCAAGGAACTGGATACAGAAGATCTGGAGCAACCACAAGCCAAACAAGGAAACCACTCTGCCACAATCGAACCGCGATGTAAACCTTACGTCTCAAGCTCCTCAAGGAAACAGTCAGCAGCAGCAACACTCAAGAACACCACCGGCCACCCCTTACACTCACTTTCATCAAGGAACCAATCCCAGCGCAGTTACACAACCAATACCTCAGCAGCGCCTTCCCTACACAATCTCAAGCGTCTACCCCCGCCGCCTCCACACAGAGCTGCACCCCAACCCGACCTGCTACGGCTGGGGTCTTTACCTCGACGAAGGCTTCGCAGTCCCCACCCAACTGATCGCCTTACTGCTGATCCTCCTGTTTGCAGTGCTCATTAGCACACTGACGGTCGCGCTTGTCGACTTCCACCGCGGCGATCGGTACGACGCGTTCAGCCTGCCGAGCTGGGCGGTCAGTGTGGCGAGCCTGGTGGGGTTCATTTTATTCTGGTGCTGTGACAGGTGGAGATGAGAACATATGGCTCCTGGAGGAAAGAATGTTTTCAATTTCATTTCACTCGATTTGTTTGGACGGGAGGAAAAACGATCAAGGAAAGAAATGAGGGCAGGATTAGTGACATCTTTCATCATGCATTTCATGTCAAGTATATGCTTCAATCAAACTTCCATTCGTTCCATCTCGGTCACCATCCTACAAAGCAAAAAAGAGCGCAAGAGAGACATGGGAAAAGAACGCCGCTCGTCTTTACCAACGCAGTCATTACGCCATTACCCCAACCGAAAAAAAAAAGAAAAGAAAACACCTTCGCCCCTTATCCACCAATCCGATCTCCGCAGGTAAAACGACTCCGCCTCAACACTCAAAAGGCTGGGAAAGAAGAAGGAAAAAAAAAAAAGAAGAAAAGGAAAGGAACTGCTTTCCCCTTATATCCAGCCTTTAACCCCACCTCCATCGTTAGACTATGCGGATAGTACAATAAAAGTCAAACTTTCGTCACCGTGTCCCCTCCCCTTCCTTTTCACCACCACCACCAGCATCATCATCATCATGATCTCCCCTCACCAATTTTCCAAAAAAGAGAAAGTGGGAAAGTGTGAAAATAAAGCAACACAGTGACTCGCTTTTTTTTTTGTCTCCCTTCCTTACCTCTCCTGATTCCACGGCCTATGCGACCCCGACGACGCGCCCAGCCCCGCCATGAACCCCGCAGCCATGGCGCTACCGATGCCGCCGCCGCCGCCACTCCCACCGGCACCACCCCCAGGCGTCCCGCTACCACTTCCGCTGCCACTCCCACTCCCGCCGCTCCCAGCACCACCACTGCCCGAACCACCACCACCAGCACCGCCACCGCCACCGCTGCCGGCACCACCGCCTCCACCACCAACCCCGCTCTGCCCACCCCCGTGCCCCAAACCGTGGCCATGGCTATGATTGTCAATCAGCTTGCCGACCTGCTCCATGGCCGTCTTGGCGCGCTCGCGGACGTCGAGCTCGGCGTCGCTCAGGCACAGGCGGACGCGCGCCTCGACGCCGAGGCCGCGCAGCTCGAGTGCGCGCTGGCGCGCCGCCGCGTGGTCCGACGCGTCCTCGATCCACGTCAGGTTGTTGACCAGCCACACGCACGCCACGCGGATGCGCCGGTCCGGGTGCGAGAAGAGGGGCAGCAGCTCGCGCATCAGGCCCGTTTGGGCGATGACCAGCTGCCGGTGCGCCGGCTTGCCGTTCGCCACGTGTACCACGATGAACGTCGTCGCTAGTAAGATCTCGGGCGGCGCCAGGTGCGCCAGGTCCGACGGCGCTGACGTGCTGCCGCCCGAATTGTTTCGGGTCGTAGCCGCGGCGCCTTCTGGGTTGGGGGATGATGTGGACGAGTGTTGTTGGTAGGGACTTGGGTGTTGGCTCGAAGAAGAGGGAGCTGCACCTGTAGAGCGAGGCCGCAATTTGGCGGTTAGGATTTCGAAGAAGCGGTCCCGGCCAAACGTCTGCAGGACGTGGTCAATCATATCGCCAGGGCTGGAGCCGGCGTCTGTCATGATCAGGTTGCGGATGAAATCAAGCGCCTGCTCCTGAATCCGTAGGTCTTCCTTCTGGGCACGGATTATAGGGTTGGTCTCTGCATCTTTTATTGCCCGCAGCTTCGCCTTGTTCTTGGCGACTGTGCTGTTTGCGTTGGCGCTGCGGTTCCGCAGAAGCCCGATGCTGTCTGCCATGACATCGTCCTCATCTCCTGAGGCTCCCGTGTCATTGTCGATATCCATACTTGGCTCCTCAACAGCATTGAGCAGATCAACTTGCTCGCCAGCGGCATTGGGGGTTCCCATGCCCAGTGATGGGGTGGCTGGTCTTGAGTGCTGGAAATGTCCCTTAGGCATCTGCACCTGTCGAGCCTCTCCACTGACAGTGTTGATCAGCCAGCCAGTACCAAGCTCTTCCAGACACTGTATCTTGATCTCGTTGTCTGCCTGCAAGACGAGATGCTTCAGAGCCCAGAGCGAGATCAGACGTATCCTTGAATCAGCCGAATGTGCGTGTTCGCATAAGGTCTTGACAACACCTGCCTCAATCAAGTCCTGAACGGTATTAGCAACCAAATCTCTCAATCAGAAAACCAAGCACTAACCTCTCTCATCGGCGAGAACTGCAAGAGCAGGTTGCATAGAACGTCCGTCGTCGCAATCTGCACGTCGATGACGGAATGCTTGAGAAGACCATAGATCGGCTTGGCGATGCCATAGTCCATCATACTTGTTCTCAGCACGCTGACCGATCTCGACATTGCCCTGGCCGCATTGCAGGCAGCAATCAGCACAGGTATAGGATTGCCATCCTTCGCGCCAGTCGAGATGGTGCCGCGTGACATTTCCTCATCCTCTCGCTCGTACGGAATAAGGGAATCGGCAATGCAAGCCACAGCACCGCTCTCGATGATCGTCTTTCGGTGAGGATCTTCCTTGTGTGCAATAGCCGCAAGCGCAAGCAACGAACACTCCCGACTCTTCAGGAGAATGTGTACCTCAGGTGATACTCCAGGGCTACCGAGCACGTCCGCTCTTTCCACGCCCTCCAGGCTGTCCATTTCATCCGGCGATGACGGAATAGGTGACCAGCGCTTCGGTTGATCGCCAACCACGGCGTCAAACGACTTCTTGAGAACATAACAGACCTTCCTGATGATGCCCGAGTCTGCAGCAGCGTTTTGCAGAATCGGATCGTACTCTAGCAACGCTGCCATTAATCTCATCGCCTTCGTGGAGCGCTCGGAGCGGCCACCTGCCTCGCCTTCGTCGGCCATCTTCGCGAGCAGCGGGACAATGAGAACAGCCAACAAGCGACGCTGACCCTCCTTTGCGTACTCAGATCGGTTATCAATAGGGTTGGTTTCCGCAAACTTGACCAGCTCCGCAAGTAGCTCGACAAAGATAAGCCTCTCGTCGTCGAGATGTTCCCTGGACATGCGAATGCACCACGCGTATATCGCAGTCTCGTATTCCTGTCCTGTCACGTGCTTCCCGGATTGCGAGTTCGGATCAGCGAAGCTCGATATCCTGGTTCCATCTCCTGGTGCGCTGAGGGACCCCAGAGCCGGGAATGCTTTCGAGAAGTTGCTCTCCTTGGTCTGCGTTACCTGCAGTTGAGGCAGAATGTATTCGTAAGGAGAGACGTTCTGCGTATTGTACGAATCGTTTGGCCGCGGCTGGACCATGAATCCGTACTTCTCAAAAGCGGAAATCTGCTTGGCTGCGGGGAAAATGGCCACCACAGGCTGGGAGTACAGGAACCGCGCCGTCCTGTAGCTCGACTCCGTAATGATACTCGAAATTGCCGAGACGATGTGGAGGAAGTGCGATTTCGACGGCGCGGGCGGGAACGAAGCTATGGCGGAGACCTCCACGACCGGTGACACCAACGAGGATGCCGACACGTGCGCTGCAAAGTGCGACGCGAGCAGGTCCAATGCCCCAGACTTGACCAAGAAATTGCGGTGATCGTCTTTCCGGCAAGTCTTCGAGATCAATTCGGCAGCCAGACCGATCTGCTCCTGTATCGTACGCATGGCCGACCGCTGAGCCAAAATCTCGGTCAAAGCGTCTCCATCGGGCTTCTGGTATATTTCGTTTGCTATCCGTTCCCGGTAGGCGCTGGGAAAGAGGTCAGACCCGGTGGCCGAGGCTAGAGAAATGAGCGTGCGCAAGGTAGCTATGACGAGCTTCGGCGGAGCGTCGCTCGGAGACAGTGCGGCGAGAAGCGGTTGAAGGAGGCCTCCGGCGAGGATTGGTGCAACGAAAGGTGGTCCACCTAAATTTCAACGTAACAGCCGTGTGAGCGTGGCTCTCCAAAATGCAACAAGAAAGGCCTCGTCTTCCCAGCGACGAGCAATTGACGTACCAACAGCCAAACTGCCCACGATCAACGTGGCCTGCAAGCGCTCCTCATCTTCCTGCGTCCAGCTCTCAACGTCTTCGGCAGCAGGCGCTGAGGTGGAAGCTCCTCCCGCCCCGCCATTGAGGTGGCGCTGCCGTCGCTTGCCCGCTGTCTTGACGTTCGCCTGCAGCACGCGCGCCAGCTCTGGTATTATGCCTCTGCGGACCACAAGCTCCTTTCTCTGGTCGTGCCCCACGATAAAGTTCTTGAGCTGCTTGAGAGCGTTGACCTGGACGGCGGGCGAGCTGGGATTGCGCAGCTCCCCCAAAGCCGGGGGCGAGGGTGCGCGCGTCATTCTCGCGGAGTGGTGTTCGTCGACGAAGTTCGGTAACGTGGCTGCGCTGGGCGGAGGATGCCGGAGGCTGCTCGGATGCGAGGGCGATGGCGGGGAACAAGCTCGAGGCTGAGGTATGCGGACAGCGGAGGTCGGAGGGCGGAGAGCGGAGGAGTGATGGTGCAGCCTCAGTGGAGATGTGGACGGAAAGAATATTTTGCCATCGAACGATCGAGGAATACACGAGTGCAAGCGGGCGGCCCTGTGGTCGTTTCGTGTCAAGAGCGGTGCGATGTGCGGCGGCGCGCGAGTTGTCAGAGGTGCTCAAGTCGAAGGCTCTTGCTTCGGACGGACGTGACGTTGATGCTCGGGGTGCCGAGCGCGTCAAGCTCCCGTCCCCGCCGCCGTTCGTCGCCGCTCCAGCCCGGTTCACATCTCACTATGCATGAATAATGTCACCACTATAACAAAGTCAAATCCAATTCGTGCAACGCCAGCTGCTTGCCCGATGCTTCGGGAGACCCAAAAATGCCGAAATCCATGTACCTAACCCCACACGCCCAACTGAGTTGCAGACCGCCGCCATGCCGTCATGCTATGCCCGATTATTGCCCTCGTTATCTAGCAGACCTGGTATCATTCGTAAACTCGTGCAGAATTTCCATCAAAGTACGTGCCACCCATGGTTTAGTCCTCATCCTTTTCAGTCACCCTGCCTCCTTCTGTCAAGATCACCACACTGATGCAAGACGCATATGCCTCTCTGATTGCGCAGGCCATGCACGTCTTTTTGATGTTTGCGACAATTGCGTGATGGCCTGTCTGCGCGCACCACGACCGGGCAAACACTTCATTGTCGCTGACGCCAAGCGCTTCGATGACGAGCACGCAATCCAGATGCGTGGATACCGGTTCCTGCATCGAAGCAAGCGTGGTTCGAGAGGTGTTGCGTGAAGCCATTTGCGAAGAATCCGAATGTGACAGGCCAGAGCCTTGGCTCCATTCCGTGATGTCGACAAGACCATCGTCCACTCGAATTGCCTTAAATTTGTAGTCGAAGAAGAGCACTACAGAAGCACCGTCAGGACGTCTGAGAAGGCAAAAAGGTGCACATGCGTATTGACTTACCATGCGGTCCCTGACGACAGGGATATGCCGCGACAAAATCCACGTCGTAGACTAGCCGCATCGGCCAGCTATCCCCGCCACAAGCAAACATTATTGATGCATCAAACAACAATGGCGCTCCTTCCCCTCCGTGCTTGAGCATTGGCTGCTCCTTGACGGGGTGGAAGCTCAGCTTCTGCACCCGTATGTCGTCCGTAATGTCTTCCATCTCGGGCATGACCAAGTCGTAGTCGCCAAGCGGATACTCGTCCTCTTCCGGACCAAGAGGATCTGTGCGCACCTTCACAGACTCCACATCCGATGGTGTTAGCCGGATCTTGGGAGGCGATATCTGGTTGATCTTGACGCATTCTGTGCGCTTGAGATCCGGGCTGTAGTAGCAAGGGCCAATCCAACCCGTTACCTGCTTGACTCCTCTTGATGCGCCAATGACCTTTCCCACAATGCATTTGTAGGACCAGTATGTATTAGCCCTGTACTGGAACCCGGAAGCCGGTGCAACGTGTGTGAGGTATTTGAGAGATGGACCAGTCTCCTTGTCACAGTCGATCAGAGAGTTCATGAGGAGCCACGGTAAAGTTGGGCCGGGAAGTATCACGCCCGCGAACCAGGACATGGCGTCTGCCGAACGGTCCTCAAGCGGTACCTCGTAGCGGTTTTGTTCCTCAAGGACGTAATCGAGTTCCTGCATGTTTGGCCATTTTAGCGTCTTTGCGAAGAGCCGCAATGCCTCCTTTTGCTTCTTTTTGTTCGTCAACTGGAAGCTGAACACGCTCTCATTCGATGATGTGCGCGACTTCTTGATCGTCATATTTTCCAACCAACGTTCCGCTAATGCAAGGTCCCATAACACCTTGGGAGGAAGCGCACCGATCAGAGTTCTCTTCGCTTGAGCGAGGTGCATATCGTGGTGCACCCGGAGGTACAGTTCGACGGCGAGCAGGAGCTGGTGGAAGAATTTCGTTTTTCTGGCGCCATCTTTGCTGTCGAAGAATTTGGCAACCACATGATTCTTCGGTTGGCTGAAATCAATCCACTCTGGGTTCGTAAGAACGGTGAACAGGGCAACGATCTGCTGCTCCAGCCCAGTGTTGTCATCAGCATTCGAGCTGTCCAGCAGAGTGTCGTACAAATCATGATGGAGTTCCTCAGGATCCTATGGTAGTCACGTCAGATATCAAGTAACCGAACTCCTTCACGAATCGAACAGAGCCGGGGTAAAACGAACATCGTCCTGGAATCCCTTCTCCAAATTGCGCAGCCGATCCAGTATGTGGCCCAACTTTATCTTGCGTGGCTGAATAGACCCGCCGCCGTACTTAAGCTTTGGCTTCAAGCTTCCCGACAGGCTGACTTTGTAATTGAGCGTCGTGGTCCCGGGCATCCAACCAAATGCATAGGCCATACAAGGTTGCTCCAGTGCGAGCCACGGATACGCGCTGCCGGATGACGTGGTTTGCGACATGGTTATGTCTTTGTATGCCTCGTGCTGGTACTGGGCGCGGTCATTCCGCTCGGCGTCATCTCCCTCCATTATGGCAAAAAAGCGGTAGTAGCCCGCGGGCGCACCGGGCGCGTCCTCGACGCGGCCCTTGAAAATGCTCGTGCCGGCGCTTATGAGCTCATCGGCCTGAGCTTGGTCCAGCATGGACTCGAGCGTGTAGCCGCGGGGTGGCCATTGTCGGCCAGCGGCTGGGCGGAATTCTTCGAGCAACGAGCTTCCGCGCCGGTGCTGGGCAGGCGATGCGGGCTTTTTCAGCGGATATTCGGGGGAGCTTGCTTTGCGGTGACGGATGGGCATGTCCAGCGCCCACTCGTCGTCGACCATCAAGGGCTGGATGGGATCGGAGACGTGACGTTGGGCGCGTGGACGGTGCGCGGGCGGGGCGGTGTGTGGGGTTGTGGTGAGTGCTCTGGAAGCTTTCCGCACCTGGCACAGACAGTGAGAAACGGCCTCTACTTTAGCGGGCGTGGAGGGGAAAGGGCCGGCCCGAAAAGATCAGGTTTGGGTTTACCTACCGGTGTGTATGAAGGTGAAACTGCCCATTGCGGCTCCGGTGAAGCTGAATATCGCGGCCTCCACCGCTCGCTGGAAAACCGCTCGTCAATGCTGGACGCATTGACCGACGACAGCCGCGAAAGGCTGTCCGTCGTCAACGCTGTTGTGGCCATGATTTTTTTTTTCTTTTTCACGGGAACTATGCAGCGGGCGGGAACTCGTGTGACTATCAAAGTCGCGCGGCTTAGCTTCAAGCTATGTATGCAGGAGACTTCAAAAAAACTCGCAGTAAAGTCCGCGCAGAAATTGAGCGGCAGAGACAGACCACGTAGACTCACGTTCATTTCACAGTTCGCCTGGCTCTTGAGACATGCGGCGGCTATGCGTGCATATGGGGTACCAATGCGCCTGCGGTGCTGCCAACAGGCGTTTGCGCGGCGGCCCTGGATGGACAAAGACAGCGAATCGGCCTGCGGCTGGACATGCAGCGTGATGCGCGAGTCTGCAGGGCCCACGGGGCGGAGCGTTGGGGGGCTGGAAAGGCGGGAGACGAGGGAGCAAGCCGTCTCAGAGCCGGGTACACGAGCGACGCGGCTGGGCGGCTGTGGAGATGCGTAGGGCAGCAGCGCGACGGCAGGTACTTGATTCTCTGCCGGTGCTGGGCGGATCTTCGATAGCGATGCTGATGCAGCAGCCCGAGACCGCGCCATGCGACTGCCCTCATCCTGCAGAGATCGCACGTCGAAGACGGGTGTGCGTCGTAGGTCGCCTCCCTGTCGTGGGCACAGCGATTCGACACCTTGTAAGGCTGTTGGCCGACCAGCGAGGTTGCCGGGGATGGCGCACCTCAAGCTTATTGGACCAGCGCAGCACCCGCCGCCCCTGTTCTCTCGTGAAGGCTCCGCTTCCTATCGCTATGACGAGAGCAAAGAGCATCGTGACTCGGTTTCGGCCGCTCGCTACGTTCCAATTGAGAGCAGCTTGCAGCCGCCCTCGTTCAATCAAGAAGGTTGATAGTCGCGGCACGCGACATCCGGGCCAATTGCACCCGCGCTGCCGGCATCACTTCTAGCGTGCTGTCAGCCTTGATAGAGGTGCTCGGAAGCTTCCATAGACGAACTATTCTGGTCCTCCATTCTAGAAAAGTCAAGAAAAAAAAGCCAGGCAAAAGCGCTGGCCGCAAATCCTGCATAACACCCTTGGTGGTATCCGCTATGCAATGCAATGCAATGCTGTCCCCCAACGCCGACTTTCGATATGCTCCACCCTTTCCCTTGCTCCGGTCCGTTCGCCGCGATTCCTCGTGCCACGTTCAGCTCAGGATCTCCGCCGGGATAAAATCATCTCCAAGGCCACACAGTTCCTTGCGTCGCCGGGACATCTCTATCCAATCCAAGCAGACCATTATCAGAAGCAACCGCCTATACACCGGTTTCCATCAATCACTCCGAATCCTCTGGATCTTGCGCCATCACGTAGCCATCGCCCCGCTCCACCAGGCTCCTGTAGTAGTCTACCAGAACCTCCGGTTTTGGCACGATCCGCCATTGCAGGCGCGTAAGGAACTCCAGCTCGAGCAGGGCCAGTTCGCGCGTGCTGACGCCTCCTACTCTTGCGTAGGTATTATTTGTCCAGAAGCTGTCGCTGAGGCCCTTGGAAGCTACCGTGGCGGCAGCGATGAGGAAACGATGGACGGTCAGACTGCTGATGGTGAAGGCAGGATAGAGAAGGCAGAGCCGGTCGATGTAATACACCATGGAAAGGAGAATTGGCGGCGAGAGAGTGGCATGTACAATGAGACGGTTGAGGTAATCGCGGACGGAAATGCTCGGCGGGGCACTAAAGCTGGGTTAGGATCGCGGTTGACGCGTGCCAGAGCTCGCCCGGAGGGACCCACAACCAGGGCTATGGAGCTTGCTGGGCCGCTGGCACGGGCAGGGCGGGTACGTACCGGGAGTGGAAGCGCGTCAGTTGGCCGTCCTGCAGCGGGAGGGCGTCGTTCAGCCGCACCAGCTCCATGAGCATGTCGGAGATCAGAACGCCCAGGTCCTTGACATCGCACGTCTCATAGCGGACGGGCATGACTTTGGCGTCTGGGTGGAGCGCATCTTGCTGGTGTTCCTGCTGCTCTCCGTCGCGCTGGGCGGCGCTCGAGACAGTGGCAGGCTGCGGGGTCACCCGCGGCTGCGGCTCTTGAGGGCCTTCCGTGGTGGCTACGTCGGCGGCGTCGGCGAAGGTCTCCCTCCGCTTGGCTGCCCTCGGGCTCTGGTGTAGTGGGTCGGCGCTGGCGCTGGACTGCCTCTTGCCCTGGGTCGGGCGGAACGTAGGCGGGTAGTCGTTGGGCGTGTACTGGGTTGCGGCATCAGAGGTCTGCCGCTTGGGTATCGGTGATCGGGCGTGTTGGACAGAGGCGGAGGTTGTGGGTACCAGCGATGGGGAGGCATCTATGCGCCGGGACGAAGGAGGCGCCGCGGCAGCTGCAGGGGTGAAGACGCGCGGGGAGGCAGCGCTGGAGGTGGACGAGCGGCACGAGGCATTGTACGGCCGCGACGGGGTGTGGAAGGGAGCGCTCGGCGAGTTGGAGGCGGAGAAGGTTGGCGAGGGAGAGTGCAACATGGCCATCGTCAGGCGCTCACGAAGTTTTTGCAGCAGGAGTGGGTAGCCGGCCGACGCATGTTCTTGCCTTCGCTCTCTCCGCGGGCAGCTCAGCGTTCGGCGGCGCGATGCGGGCGAGACCAGCGAGCGAGCAACGAGCAGGAGGAGCGCCGCCAGACCAGAAGTAGGGATCCAGGCTTGCGGAGGGCCGGCCGCCGTTATTTATCTCGACTATGCAGGCGTGCGGGTGGCTGCCAAGTATCCACGAGGGGCGACAATTGGCTGTCATTTCATCACGGATCACGGTGCCGGCAGCGCGAACGAGGATCAGCCAGCGTGCGCTTCGTCGATGTGCCGGCCCGTCCACCAGCGCCAGGCTGTCGTAGGGCTGCAACGCCGCCGCCTGTTCGCGACCTGAGAAACGGCCCGTCAAAACTCTGCGCTCCTAACCTCTTTCGCCCGCTTGTGTCATGCTCAAGGACCTTGATGGCATAGTCACGTTGCCTCGGAGCGTTTACCGGCGCTATCTTAGGGCCCCCCGCTCCGCACTTCTGCAACCGGTCGAACAAAAAGGGTATATTGCCAGCAGCTGTCCCGCTGCACTACGGAATTAATAACAATACAAGAAACGAACAAATCCATGCCTGTCTAAACACCGAACGCCGTGTTCCCGAGCTCGTTTGCTGCCGGCCTCAGCCCGCCATCTCGTGCACTTGAGGCTTCTTGGGGACCGGGGACGGCAGAGGTGGGGGTGGAGACGACGCCGGCGGCGGTGGGCTGCCCGTATTGGACGATCTCGAGACGCTGCGTCCTTGCATCAGCCTTGCGAAATAAGCGTTCGGACTCGACGAAAGCTGTACGAACCCGTCTGACACCATGGCATTGTGGTGCGGATACATGCCAACCTCGGTGAAGTACGACCGCGGATGGCCCCCGGACTGCCCTGTGCTGTACTCATCGCCGGCCGGCGAGTACGATGGCGGGCCGCCGCCGCCCATGTTAGACCGCTGGAGGTAGGGGCTGTTCTGCGGGAACATGCCGACTGGCGACTGGAACATGGGCGGGCTGCCCGCCGCTGCGTGGGGACTCATTGAAATCGATTGACGCTTCACCTTCTCTTTCAAAGACTTGGTGCGGCCAACGTAAAAGAACAAAGCAGCCATGATGGCAATCACCGCGAAGGCCCCGATAACAATACCAGCGATGGCCCCTCCAGAGAGGCTGCTCGAGTGACCGCCAGCCGCTGCCGCTGTTGATTTCGAGCTCGCAGTTGCCGATGCTGCTCCCGACAGAACTGATGATGAAGCCGCTTCGTCCGGGAACTTTTCACCGGGACTCAACGAAAAGGAGCTGTCGCCAGCCTTTTGCTTCTGAACCTCCAGCGATGTGGATTTGTTCTATACAAGTCAGCGTCTTTCACTTTGTCTTCCTTTCTCTGTGTGGACTCACCGGGTTTATCACCCCAACCATTTCATAGTTGATGCATGACCCAGGAGCAGAGCAGTAAAAGAAGATTGGATCAGTGTCATTGATCCGAACTGTATAGGATGGCGGCTGCAGGACATGTCAATTTCGACGACATATCAGCTTCGGGAAAGATACTCACGTCGTCCAGTATTACATCCACTGGCTTAAACCCAGAGTAAAACCCAGCCTTTCCCACGCCAGTCATCTCATAAGGAATACATGGATACCCGTACTCGGCGCGAACGACAGAGTGATTATTTGGGTAAAATTGGAACTTGACAAAGTCGCCCACCAGCGCCTGTGTAACGTCCGGTTCAAACTTATGATCTGCTTTCCCCACAAGAACCGTATGAGTAGTGGCGGCCGAGCTGGTAGCTGAAGACGCTGTTTGAGTTGTAGGAGAGCCGCTGCTCTGAGCAGAGGCGCCCATGCCGAGAAGAGCAAGGCCGCAAGCCACCGCTCTGAGTAATCGATGTGACTGATGCATCAGGTCTGTTGGGACGAATAATGTCGCAGAAGTTGAGAGACTCTTGAACGGAGGCAAAGAGGTGGGGACGATCCAACAATATGAGAATGAGAATAAGGCAACAAAGGAATCGGCAGGCGGAGCTATGAACGCCGGCCAAGAGAGCCTGGATGTAGAACGCAAGCCACAAAGCGTGCCACTGATCGGCTCTCAAAGAGCTAGTGTTGCTCGATACGCCTGTTTTGTGGTCTCGGTCCTCGGGCTGTGTCCAAGTAACACGGTGGTAAAACCAGCGTTCCTCGTCACCCCGCTGCACACGCCCCCTCATATATCTCAGTCGCTCTGAATTCATCGTAAATATACGCAAAAGTAGACTGTGCCTCGTTTCTGTGGGAGTTAGACCCTTGAAAAATCAAACCCTCATGTGCATAGAGTGTTCATGAGTAGTGCTTCCCTCAGAGCCAAGGTGGGTACCACGGCTGGGGGCAAGCCTCACAAAGACAGGCGGGAATTGGAGTGACCAGGAGAACAAAGTCTTTCCCCGAATTGGCATAAAGGCAGAATAACGGGGTTCGGGGGCCTTGTGGAAAGGTGTTGGACATCGTTACCAAACGGTAGTGCAAGATCCCGCCTCTGACAGCCTAACAATAGAACAAATGGGGTACAAATGTTATTGCTTCCAGTTACGCAGCAAGTATACCAACTTTGCATAGCCACGACTTGTGCGTGAGGACGGCGTGGGAAAGAAATGATTCCATTGCGAATGTCGAAACACTGACAAAATGCATGCGGGCTTTGATTCATGGTTTCGTTTTCCATATTCAAGGCTTTATTTGAGGAATCTGCAAAGTCAGTCTCAGCTTGTCTCCACGCGTCCAGGGTCAGACACAATTCATTCCAATGCCGGAGGCTCAGCTGGAACGCTCAATGATCGTCTAGATCACATTTATCCTTGGAAATAGCATATCGCACCCCTGGTTTAGCGTGCGTTTTCAGGGCAGTATCCCCAAAGCCGTTATGATATTAGGCATTTAAGGCTTTTGCGATCAGTCGTGAGCCATACCAGCAGCAATGTCGTCCGACTGCGTGACGATGAGGAATATTTGCCCTTCTCGTCGGCAATGCGATGGAGCATCTTGATTTGAGAATCCTCCTCTCAGTAAGGGTATTGGTCCTCGGCATGATTGGCAGGCGCCATAACACTCTGCGTTGTTCCAACAAAAAGCGCCGGAAATTGCCTTGCCCTCCATTTGCATTCGGGTTGCTCCAACCGTTGCATCCAGTCGTACTGTCCCATAATCACTCGCCTGTTGTCCTTCTCGCATCGGGCATGTTCTTCCTCTCCTTGGCGGTAGCCTTCTTGCGCCTCCTCTCGATGAGTCTTTCTCTCTGCTTGCCCTTCATGTTGGAGAACTGGTCCACGAGAGCTCGCTTCTTGACCTCGGCTATAGCATCAAAGTGTCAGTACATTGTTCACCAAATGAAGTAACGCCTGAACAAGTGGAACAACTTACACTTCTTCAAGAAGTACGGCGTCTTGCCCTCCTTCACTGCCTCCTTCTCTTGCTTCTTGTGCTCGCGGATAACCTTTTCCCGTCGCTCCTTAGACTCCTTGGCCTTCTTCTGACTTTCCATGCTCAATAGCTTCCGTTTCAGAATCTCCTTGTCTTCTTCGCTCTTCGTCTTCTTGATGGATGCCTTCAATTCAGCCATTTCGGAGTCACGGTACTGATCAAGGAAGGCGTAATTGTGCTTGAGCTTGTTCGAATCGAGAGGACCAGAAAGCGTATCGAAGCGCGGGTCGCGGGCAGCACGCTTCTTGGAAGCAAGAACCTCCCTCTTGCGGCTGACCGGCCTCTTGCTGGACATGACGGCGGGCGCATGCTTGGACGAGCGGGATTTTGCCTTCTTGCCGGAATCTTCCTGGTCGGAGTTGGACGATTCCGAGTCATCATCGGACGAGCCTTCGTCGTCGGGTTCCGGCGCCTTTGCCTTCTTCGAAGGGTTCTTGGTGTTGCTCCCCGCCGCCTTGGCTTCCTTCAGCTCTCTCAAGCGCTCGCGCAGAGCCTGCAACTTGTCCTCTTGGTCCGCTGTATGATCCGAACCCCGCTTCCGTTTCCTACTGCTGTCCTTCTGCTTCGAGAGTGAATCCTGGGCCTTCGCGAGCGCGCCAAACGAGACTTTGCTAAGTTGTTCCTGGACGTCTCCGCCGTTGTCTGACTATATTCCGGCGGGAAAGTAAGCATTTGGCGTCGCAAACCAAGAAAATTACTGAGAGCGTACCTCGGCATCATCCATATCCTCATCCTGGTCACCGTCGGACTCGGGTTCTGAGCTTTCAATCTCTCCACCATCGCCGGTTGCTAGCACGGAGGGCGAGCTGGCCTCGAGCTCGTCGGAGTATGGTTCGTCATCGGAGTCGTCCTCGCGCGCGCGCAGCGAGCGGCTTAGATTCCGCGATAGCACCATTTTCGCGCAGAGGTGTGGTTGTTGTTACTGCAGTGTCGCACCTCCACAGCCGGGAAGTTTTCAGCGGGTTCCGCACAGACCACTCGCGCATATCCCCGGCCCACTTGCAAACCCCGGCCGGTGACGACCGGCATGGTAGCAAGCCCGCTCTCCACAAAAAGCAATTGTGTCGGGACAGCTGCAAGCATGGACAGCCGAGGCTGCTCACCTACGCTTCATCAATCACCACGCACTGCGAAAATCATGAAGGATGCGTAAGATTGACTCCGTAGTCAAGAGCTCAAAGACCTCGTTCTTGGGAATGTAGTCGAGTATGTAGAGCCTACCGCTTTTTCTTGGACCCTGATTTTTCCTTTGATCTGTGCCTGGTAGTAGTTTAGTCGTTTAGACAGCTTGTCCAAAGGCGAGAGTGCGAAAGACTGCCGAAACGCTGTAAAAGACGGGATGTTGATGCAGGACGTTGGTGCAAAGCCTCTTTTCGGGGTGCTACCCGAATCCTACGACGTGTGGGTACTGTAAAGCAAAAAGGCATCTGCTGATTTGTTCGGCTCGCATAACATCAATCGCGAGGATCGGCATTGAGCTTTCAGCCCTACCGTATCGTGGAGTCGGTTTCGGAAGCTTGCCGCAGAGCTCCGCCGCTAGTCCCACACGATTCCTGCGAAACTCAAACCTCATCTCATCCCTTGTTCACTGGCCCATCATCCATCGTCATACCATGCCACGCCAAGGGCAACAGTTTGAAACCAGCTGGCGTGCTGGCGACTCTGTCTCACTTCAGAAAACTGTCCAATTCCCTTCATCGACCTACAGGGACCAGGCCCGGTGCGAGAATGCGAAAACTTTCGAGATTGTGGGACACGCAATATTTCATTCGAGTGACTGACGCGAGAAACACGACCAGGAAACTGCTGTTGTAGAGAATTGGCCGTGCTGGTGTTACAGAAATTGAGCCTTGGTCGTCTGGTATAAGAACGAAGCGATAGGTACGAATACCCTGGGCATTGCCTCCAGTGAGACCGTTCGGAAGAAGAAAGAGGATGTAGGGAATATACGAAGAGAGCCCGTGCTGTGGTGCAGGTGATTGCACGTGTGAGATGAGTTCACATGGTGCTGCGCTGTCTTTTTGCTCTCCGTTTCGTTCGCTGGTGTGTTGCGTTAGGTGTACATCACCATGAACAATTCTTGCCGCGGGGGTGCAATGTTAACACACGCGTGGTGATGGACAAAGAGCGTCGATGTTCCGCTGGGTGGACATCAAGGATGCACTGGTGAATGGTCAGCGCAGCTTTAGCGGCCATGTTGAGTTAGTCGCAAGACGTTGAGGTAGCCTTGTTGGGAGAGCGCCACTACGGACCCCGGTATATGAAGCTATTAGCCGGTCTACACGGGTATAGTCAGGTGTATCCATGGTCTACTTGTCACAGGCAACTACCACCAGATACAGCTCGTGGGCAAGGGCCACGGGTGCAGCAACCCTAAGTTCGATCCTGACTCCAAAACAGACGGTCCCTGAAGAGTCTGTTTATTATCGGGCACCACCCCCAGTCGCCTAACAAGAGTTGACGTAAACCTGAACCCTTTCCTCTGTGTTAGTTGAATACGGCTGATGGCGTGCTAGGCTCTGTGAGTCTGCTGGTGAGACGGGGAAATTCCTCACACAGATAACAGCTCGGGAGCCGTCGATATTTTTTTAACCTTTTTTTATTTAAAAAAAAAATCCTCTTTTCTATGTATACGTCTCTTCTCTAAGGATAAAGTACGAGTAACGAGAAGTATATATAACAGCACTTTTTGTAACCCCTAGTATTATAATGTCTATAGAGCGGTGAAGCACTGAGAAGGTCGGTGCACTTCTGAAGACTAAGATCAACATTACATATCATGGAAGTCTCCGTCTCTGAAGAGGATACGTGGATTCGATGGCACGGTTGTTTCTCTTTGGGTGAAAGGGGCAGCGCGTCCGTCGAAGAGCGGTGACGCATTCAGGGACATCGGCCAAGCGGATTCATACTAAAATCACCGACTGTGACGCAACATTCGTTTGCACTGAATCATGTGTTGCACGGTTCTAATGCACTCAATAAAAAAATAACCCAGTACCGCATTCGAGTTCGTGGTCGTAGTCATCGCGTCATGAACATACGACCATAAAGGCTTATAATCTGCAATAATAGAGCAACGAGAAATCCTCATGCCGAATCCCCCAAGCATATTACGTTAATAAAGAAATAGCGGGATGCCGCAGAACTGCAATCTTCCTCTGTAAAAATCGGGACACCAAAGCTAAGCCGCTCAACTCATCGAGACGCCAGGCCGCCCTCCAGATCCCTCGGTAAAGTCCGGCGTGTAAGGTATGCAGTGAAGAGGAGAATTGGGAAATCTCTCTAGCAGCACTTGCCCTGCTTCGCCTCGGTCTCAGCCGAGTTCGTGATCTCGATAACTCTGCGCTCGCCACCAATGGCGTTTTGTGCGGAGTCGCCCTGGTCCAGTGCCTTCTGCGAGACAATGCGGTAGATCTCTGTATTTTGCTCCTATTAGTATGAGATACGCGAGAAAATAGGGATGGGTGGAAATCAAGTATTTGGTTGGTTCAGCCCTGGCGCATTGTTGCTGCCTGATGACCGATACTCCCGAGAACGGTACCCAAACACTTGAACGCCAAAGGCTCGCCGCAAACAAAGCGGTGTGCGCATGGGAGAGGGATTTCGTACCGGTCAGGATGTTCTGGAAAGCAAGCTCGACGTTGCTGGCGTCCAGAGCGGACGTCTCGATGAAGGAAAGGTTGTTCTCGCCTGCGACGAACCGCGTCAGTATCCGGCAGGCGGAAACAAGAAAGCCGGCATCTACGTACTTGCGAATTGCTTGGCCTCCTCGGTGGGCACAGCTCTCAGATGCCGCAGATCGCTCTTGTTTCCAACCAGCATGATGACGATGTTCGAGTCGGCATGGTCCCTCAACTCCTTCAACCACCTGGTGACGTTCTCGTACGTCTGGTGCTTGCTGATGTCGTAGACGAGCAGCGCACCGACGGCGCCTCTGTAGTATGCGGAGGTGATGGCGCGGTAGCGCTCCTGACCAGCAGTGTCCCAAATCTGGGCCTTGATCGTCTTGGCATCAACCTGGATGGAGCGCGTGGCGAATTCGACACCGATGGTAGACTTGGAGTCGAGGTTGAACTCGTTGCGCGTGAAACGGCTCAAAAGGTTGGATTTACCAACGCCGGAATCTCCTATGAGGACAACTGTGAGGGGAAGCGGTGAGCGTACGTCGGGCACGACACAATCTCTGGACGCGGGTACCTTTGAAGAGGAACTGGAAGCAGGGCGGGTTAGCTCTATATCACATCGCAAGGCGCGAAACGAGGGCGGGGGTCGCTCACATCATACTCGTCGTTTGCCATTGTTGCGGAGGGAAGCTAGAACAGCCTAGAGGGTGCGGGCGACTGGGTAGATGGTGCGCGAATTGGGCGAAGGTTGCGGACCGAGGCTGGAGAGCGAAGGCGCAAAGGGGAAGGAGAGGTGCGGTCGCGAGGGAGAGTGTCAGGGTGGTGGAGCAGCTTGTGGATGTTCGGTGGCCTCCTCGCTGGCTGATGCGGCGCCCGGTATCTGCACGTGACGCAAACCCGCCGCCAAAAGTGGTGGCCGCGCGTTGACCGCCCAATGATATAGGGGAGCGCATGCGCCGCGGCGGGCCTGGCACCAGCGAGAACCGCCCATGGGCGGGAAGCAGCATGGCTAGCGGCCGCCACTTAGACCTTCGTAGAGAGCTGCGACAGCTGCTGCCCGAGCGCATTCCCGCTGTTCTATCAAGCGCAACTTTCATGTACGGGCCTGGATGGCCTCCTCAACGAGGGGGAGCAGGCGGGCAGCTCATTTGCTGTTGGGGAAGTACATTCGGATAACACCGTCGTTTTCTTGGCTGTAATAATCCGCATTCGGGCGGCAGCGTCATCTCCTCACGGCGTGCATCTTTCCAGCTGTCGCTGCCTGACGGCGTCATCGCGCCTGTTGGAAAAGGTGGCCGCTAGCGCTAACAAGGTCCGTGCGTAGCGAGCGGCAGCAAGACCCTACTGTCATGCCCCGCCGCCCCGCCATTTAAATTCCGCCCCGCGTTTGCTTCCCTTTCCGCTCCGCCATCTTCTGACAACCAACCACCGTCCATCGCTACACTTGCGCAACCGAAGAGCACCGCGACAAGCCCTATATCTTTGCTTGTGGCGAGCTCAAATTTCCAGCTTCGCCGAAGTGGCGCATGCCCAGATACTTTAAACCTGAGCATCTCTCAGCAAAGTTGGCCGTACACCTTCCAAGTACAGCATCTGACAAGATGTCCGTACTTATCCCTTCCCCCATATTTGGCAGTTATGGCTACACTTATGCGTTCAAAACTTAGTGGCCCCGTCAAATCTCAGTACCCAGTCCAATGCTATAGCAAACCTTGCCATGGCGCGTAGTCAAGAGCGTCTCAGGAAGAGACCCAGACCTTTGTCTGAATCTCCCAAGCGGCGGGAAAACCCAATACTCACGACAGATACCGTGATTGCCCGAAGAGCCTATCGTCCTCCTACCCCTCCGGAACGCTTCCGCCAAGGACCAGCTAATCGTCATGAATTCCTCGCCACATTCGCTCAGAAGAACAACCAAAATGACAGGCACACGAGGAAGAGGAGGCAGCAGTCTACTCCACCCCGCGACTCACATGAGAATCAGCTCAATGCCCAAGGCATACTACGGCCAAAGTTCCGCAGCCCCGCTCTGACTTGCCCACACTGGCTACGTCACCATCTCGGATGGGAGACGAAAGGATGCAGGGAGACCGAGAGGGACTGTGATAGTGCGCACTACTACACAGGCCACGTGCTAGACCAGCCCGGCATGCACAAGGTGATACATTCATCCAACGTAGGCTTCCTCTATCCCAAGCAGTTCAGATGCAAGGTCGATCTCGACGCCCAAAGGGGCCATGGTCGTCCTTGTAAGAACCGGGCAAAGTGCAAGTACAGGCATCGTGGAGAGATGAACCCTGTGCCGGATGGAGCCTACGTCTTCATCCAGGCGCATCAGGACCAATTCAACAAGTTCTTCAAGGAATTCTCAGATGGCTCAGAGAAGACAAAGTGGATCAATATCTTCATTGGAGCGCGTAGGGCTGAGTTCGACAAGTTCCTCAAGGAAAAGGGCATTCTCCACAAGAGCAATGATGATAGCGACGTTGATGAGAAGACAGATGTGAAGGAGGAGCCGGAGAACTCTGATTGAGGACAAAAGTCTCTTAGGTTTGGGGGTTTGGTGGAGTGGTGGAAATGCTAAAAGATCAATTGTGTTTCAAGAGATACCCATCGACGGCATCGGGTTTTGCGAGATTTGCGATGATTCCAGATTAGAATAGTATGGCCCTAGACGTAACTATTCAGACTTTTCTTTTCTTTGCTTCCTTTTTCTTAGAAAAACATACGTGGATAGTTGAAGCTATCATTTGGAGGAGGATGTGGAATTAAAAATCCTACATGCACGTCTGGACGATAACTCCAGCTACCCATGACATGAGCGAAAATCAAATTCACTTCAGCCTTCAGCTGCGATACCCCTCTGTAGCTCCCAACGATCCTTGTGTTACGAAGAGTCATCTTTGAAGAGTTTAGCCCTCCAAAATTCTTCATTCATAGGCAGTTGGCTCCATTGTCCAGACGAATTTGTACGTTTTGTTAAGAATTCATGTCTGCGTCCGGACACTCCAGTCAAGTATCTAGGTGAGTAGGGTTATTTTAGTGAAAGTGTCAATCGGTGTTTTCTGGTCACCGGCTGTGATAGTAGTGTGTGCACTTTCCTCATCTCAAACGTGGTTTTTGGCCAATGATCGAATATACTCTATCAGATAGATGCAGATGAACGAATATAAACCTTAAAGAGTAAGTAATTATGGACTGAATTAAAGCATGACCCAGAAAGAGAAATCTCCGAAAACGCCTCGCGCCATTGTATGCATATATCATACAGCCTGGCGAGCCATCCATCATCATAACCAAAAAGTGCCGTATCGTCAGTCATATCAACAGCATCCACCGCCGTTTTGCCCTCTCCTCGCTGCGGCAACATCATTCATTCCCAAGTTCACAGTCCTGGCGGTATTGCCGCCGCCCGCATTCGGCCCTTTGACGCCAGATCGCCTGTCGTTCAAGTCGTACTTTCCAGCCTCAATGTTCTGATATATGCGCTCGGCGACCTCAAGGAAAGCGCGCTCAACATTTTCTCCTGATTTCGCAGACGTCTCAACATACTGCATGACTTTGTTCTGGCGACACCACTCTTCCGCCTCTTCCCGCGTGACCTGGCGCTTGTTGTCGGCGTTGGCATGGGGATGTTCCGAGTCGTTGGAGGAAGCGACAAGCGAAGAAGGTGCTAGGTCAGCCTTGTTGCCGACTAATATGACGACAATTCCCTCCTCGGCGATCTGGCGCAGATCATGGAGCCATTCCGTGACACTCTCGAAGGTAGCGCGCCGGCTGATATCGAAAACCAGCAGCGCACCACTGGCACCCCGGAAATAGCTGCGCGTAATGCTCTTGTACGTCTCCTGGCCGGCAGTGTCCCAGATGGACAGCTTCATGTGCTTCTGGTCCTGTTCGGTAAGAGCGGTGACGTCCTTCGCGCCGCCGTCGGCGTTGGGATTGTTGATTCCGAGCTCGAGCGAGGCAGGAGGGCCGACAGGTACGATGCGCGAGCCGAACTCGACGCCAATGGTCACGTCATGGTGCGGAGAGAAGCGGCCTTCGCAGAGCCGGACTGTTAGCTGGAGGAAGCGAACGGATCAAATCAGCGGGCGTTTTTGGTGAAGAGCAGGCGAGAGAAGAAGTGTCGTACACTAGATTTGCCGCAACCGGAGTCGCCTAAAGACACTATTTTCGCGATGTAGTTCCTTTGAGGTGTGTGAGCCGCCTTGCCCCCATACGGCTCAACAATACGGAAGAGCTTACCATGGTTGCGCCGGGTGCGCCATTTGGGGCGGTTGCTCCCGAGGCCGGATGAGTGTGTGGGTGTGCGGCCGGTCGACGAGGGAGGGACCGCAGGAGGCGACAGCGGCGATTAAGGCGAAGGCGCGATGGAGTCGGGTGGTGCGCGGCGGATGACTCTGCGGGCTGGGTCGACTGACTGTTGCGGCGAGCGGAAGTGGCTGAAAAGCGGAGATGACGCAGACAAAGCGCGGCAGGCAGCAGGCGCTGGGCGGAAAGGCGGCGGCTCTTTGATGTGCTGTCGGAGGAGGCTGGTATATCTGTTGTATTCGCGGTTGCGCTTCTGACTGGGTGTGCGGCAGCGAATGACGTTTTCAGCGAGGGTCAGGGTTGTGCTGCATGAGCTCCACCCACCACCGGCGACCGCAGAGGCTTGACGGCCGCCTACCGCCCAGGCACCGCTGCAGCTGCCGTCCACGCCAGTCCCGGCTCCGACGCCGCGAGCCTCACTCTTCGCCTGCGGCCTCCCGATCCTCTTCACCTCCTCCTCCCTAGGACTGCCACATTTCTATCCGCCGCATCCCCGTTTGCCCAGGCGCCCGCCCCAGGCAGCTGATCGCCAGCCGGAGCGGAGCTCGACCTCACTGCTACCACTGCGCTCCAACCCGAACTCACCGACTCGCCGGCCTCTCCTCCGCTAGCAACGTCCTCAGCGCTCCCACGCGCTTGCTTTGCACCTGCATCCACCGCGGCCAGCTGCACCGCGCCACACTAGCAGCTGCCCGTGCATAAGACATCATGTTCTCCGAATGTAGGTTGCCGTAGCCCTTATCGCCAGGCAGATGATCGAGGCTGTCTCACATGGCCACGACCACGTTCGCGTGACTGACATGTGCGCTCCGCCGCCAAAATAGATGCCTCGCGCTTCCTCGCGCAGTCGCAGTCGCGTCTGCTCGGTGGACAAGAGAACGGTGAACCCTCGCAACATTCATCCCGCCCTAGTCGGCACCGCGGCCCCAACCAAGCCTCCTCCCGGTACCAGCCTTCGCGGTCCTATCTGCAGCGCCCAAACATGCCCAACCCGTACGGGCCCAGCGCCTCGCAAGTCTCGCGCTTCCCTTTTGCCTCGCGCACCTCCGGCCCCGCTCCGCTTTTCTACTCGGCAACCGACGACTTCCGGGAAGAGGATGACGGCGAGGAGCACGAGCGCGAGGTCGCCGACTTTTACGCCCTTCAAAAATCGCGCCGTCAGTTTGGGGGGAGTCATTTGACCGACTCCTCTGATATGGATGACCATGAGCGCGCCTCCAAGTCGGAGCACAGCAACGGCGGTGAAGATGATGACGAAGGGGCTCCTTTTGCTAGAGGAATCAGAAGCTCATGGAGAGGGAGTAGGGCGACAGTACGAGGCAGAGAGCCTACTGTGCAGCCTATTCAGGAAGACGAAGGTAGAGAACGGAGCGTCAGTGTTTCCGAGGCGAGTGCGCCGAGCAGCAAGGGGAAGGGTAAACTTGTGGATGTGGAGTTGGCCTCAACAGCGAAGGACAGCGGAGATGAGTTCCAAGACGATTACTCAGACGACGACCAAGACGCTCCGCCGGCGTACCAGCATCTCCCTCGAGCGCAAGGGATCAATCCGCCCCGTAACCCGCTACGCAATACGCTACCGATACCCCTGGAGACGGATGAGGAGGCTCTCTTGCAGCACCCAAGACCAGCAAGTCCAGACCGCGAAACGGTCGTCACTATCGTACCGGAGGAGCAGGAGGAGCGATACGACAGCTTCTGGTCGTATTTGTATCTCATTTGCCTCGCCGCGTTCTTGGGGACGGCATTCCTCGTGTGGCTACATACCTCCGCTCCCGGCAAGAAGCTTCCGTTGGGAGACACCATCTATTCGACATTACATTCGTCATTTCACCTGCTCTCGGTCTACACGCTTGTATCTATGATCGTGGCAGGGCTTTGGCTAGCTTGCTTGTCCTACTTTGCCCAACCGCTGGTGCAGCTAATCACTTTGGGTGTGCCGATCATTCTTACATCTTTCTTCCTATACCCTTTCATCTCAAGTTTCAAAGGGTCAGAAACCACTTTCCAGGATAAGGCCATGCGCTGGACATCCTTTATTCCCGGTATCTGCGCAGTTCTCTGGATTCACATGGTATACCAAGGGCGGCGCTCGATTGATAAAGCAACTCGTATACTACAGCTTGCGAGCCGGGTACTCGCGGAATGCTCGGCCCTGGTTCTTGTTGGCTTAGCCGTGCTTGCGTTTACCGTCCTATGGACGTGGACGTGGATAGGACTTTTCACCCGGCTGTTCCTCGAGGGTCATAGGAGTGATGGAAAGATCACTCTTTGGGTCATCGATTTCAGTACCTGGTGGCTTGGGGCTTTCTACATCCTGTTCTTCCTGTGGACCTCTTCAATCATCGCAGGAATTCAACGATCGTTGACCGCCGCCACCGTAAGTCAGTGGTACTTCCACCGCTACGCGACGCCAAAGCCTACAAGCCGTCAAGTTGCTCAAGCATCGTTCTGGCATGCCGTTGGTCCGATGTTTGGCTCCGTTTGCCTTTCGACTTTCCTGACAATCGCCCTCCGACTCCCTCTGATGGTTCTCCCCCGTCGCTTTGCTGCCTTTGTGAGCCTTTGCCTGTACCAATTCATCCCAACTTCAGCGGTAATGCTCACAAACCCGCTCACGCTTACTTACGCCTCAATCCACTCCATGGACCTCCGTCGCGCAGCTCACGGGCTCCGCCAGCTCTCCTTCGTCTCGCACTCGCGACCCACGACCACGCTGACGCCGCGCTCATTCTCGTCGCCCTCGGGCCATGAACTCGTCCCGTATCGTCTGGCGAAGCTGTTGCTGCACGCAACACGTTTCGTCATGTGTATGGCTCTGGGGTTCGGCGGCTGGGCCGGCACCGCCCATTCGCTGGAGCTCGCCGGCGCGAAGCACCACGGTAGTTACTACGCATACGTCGTCGGCATGATCGCCGCTGCAATCGGCTGGAGCGTGCTCGGCGCGTTCGAGGGCGTGCTGGGATTCATCCTGGACGGCCTGATCGTCTGCTGGGGTAGCGAGGTGGGCTCGCAGGGCACGGGCCAGAGTAGGTACTGCCCCGACGCTGGCCAGCTCTTCGGCGAGGAGTCTCGTAGGTATTAGTATGCGCAACGGCGGCGACGTTCGGTTCCGTCCATCCCACCGTTTTTTTAAAACACTCTCGGGATCATCATGTGATCATGCGCGTGCTTCCAATGGCCGGTCTGCTTTCTCTTTTCGGTATTGGCGAATCGGAAGGCTATTCTCGGACATATTTGTTTTAACTGGAGTTCTTTTGAACATGATGGTATAGATTGCAAAGCCGGATGCGGAGTTTTTACGTCTGCTTGTCTTTTTTTTCTTCCGTTCTTTTTTTTGTTTCTCGCGAGGCGTTTCATCCAGAGATGGACGGAGCAAACGGATTCGATTACCTGAGATGATGGGGTGGTGGTGGAAAGAGAGGCACGCACACTCTTTAACCGCCGCCCCCCTTTCTGGGAAACCCCGAGGGAAACCGGTTTATTTTTTTTGGGATATCAACCGTAGACCTTTTTCGTCCACGGCTGGAAGGAGAAGGGAGTCTTTTTTTGGAATTTCTAGGGAAATGGATCATGACAGCTTATGAATCCATAGGAAGGAGGTGGGAACTTGGGAATTGTGGGCTCCAGCAGGGTGTTTTTCTCGGTGTAACCCAGTCGTCTGCTTCTTTTTTTCCTGCCAGCCATGGTCATCATCATCCAGTCGATCGCGATATTCGCGAAGGAGGGCTCTTGGGGGAATTGCAGCGAAGATCGTTTTCTATTGCTTTCCTCATTGGCCTGGTTAAGTCATCGATGGATCTGAGATTGTCTGGTAGAAATAGAACAGACGGTTATTTTAAGCCTCAGATTTTGACGTAAAGCTATTTTAGTTGCTTATGGCGGAAGTTAGCACTGTGGCTGTAGATGAGTTCGTATTTTCTAATCAAAGGCACTCTCGATTTCCCGCTATCGCCTATTGTTAAATACCAAGTCACAATGTGTAGAGATAAGCAATTCTTCTACAGGTGAACATATATGCAGCATCATAAAGGAGAGCTATCCAATGCATGTTGTAAGAAACATCAGTCGAATCACTGACGCAAAAGTCGCCGGGCTACAAGGGGGAAAAGGACTTTCTACACCGAGGTATCATATCTAAAAACGTTCTTCCGTCTACTACGCATACTCCGGGCCTGCCTCAGACCAGAATTGTCCACAAGGGGAAGTCTAGAAAACAAAACGTGTAGGGGGGAGGGGATCTCATTTCACCAAAAGGGCGTAAGCATGTCATTGTACTCTCCCAAGACACCGTCGGCGCCACCAGTAAACTCATTGTGGGCATCATCCAGCCCGGCGAACAGCTCCGCCAGCTTCAACCCGCGCTGCCGCTCAGCCTCGATCTCGGCCCACGTCAGCTCGCCATCCTCGCCCTCCTTACCGTCACGAGGCGGGAAGGCAGGCAGGACGTACGAGCCGTCCACATCGGCCGAAGCACCAGATGTAAGAGGTGGAGGAGCGGAAGCGCTGCCATTGGACTCGAGCGAGCCCAGCTCGGCGGGGCGCGGGCCGGGCAGGACGCCCGAGTTGAGGAGCACGCGCTCGGCCGGCACCGTCCAGCGGCCCTTCTTGACGACGTACTTGGTGATGCTGGTGGCGTAGACGGCGCCCTTGAGCTTCTCGCGGAGCTTGGCGGCGTCCTCGGGCGTCATTCCGTCGTCGATGATGCCGTTCTTCTTCTTGCCGCCCTTCCGCCACGGCTGCAGCGTGTATGCCGCCGGTTTGGCGACGCCGGGCCGCACGATGTGCGAGACGAGGTACAGCCACTTGCGGTCCCAGCACAGCAGGCGCGTCCAGATCTCGTATCGGGCGTACGGCGGGACCTCGCGCTTGAAGTGGCAGGTGATGCCGCCGAGGGCGATGGCGAAGCTGCCCGGAGCGTCGCCGCCGAGCTCCTTCGTCGGGGATTCCTTGTGTTTGGTGGGGTCGTGGCGCTGGCGGATGCCCTGGCGGAGGAGGGCGCTGAGGAGGTGCATGCGGGAGACGTCGAGGTCGGAGAAGTAGGTCGAGTTGGACTTGTGCAGGTTGTAGTCGCACTCGACGAGCGGCGAGCGGGTCGACGTGATGATGGGCTGGAAGAGGGCGCGCGGCGGCAGAGGCGTCGGCTGCAGGTAGAGGTGGTAGAGGAGGCCGCGGAAGAGGCGGATCTGGAGGAGCTGGTGAGTACGGAGGTGCTTCTGGCGGAGGAGTGCGGAGGGTGGTTCCTTACGTGCCACATAAATGGTAGGTTCTTGAAGTTGATGGCGGCCAGAATCAGGGCAATCAGCCTCCACACGCCGCCCGGTGCGCTGATTCCCAGGACGCGCGACAGAAAGGCACGCAAAGTGGTGGACGAGGCCATGGCTGCGAGAGATGCGCCGGCTCCTGCAATGGCAGCAATGACGGGCAGCTTCGTGGAAGCTGACATGGAGGGTGGGAAGCGTCGCTATAATAAGAATGACAATTGGCGGTGGTTGACTCGCTTCCTTGTGACCTTGGGGGCCATTACGGTAGGAGATGGACGCGGTTGCGCGTGCTGGCACACATGGGCGCGTTGAGCCGAGGCCCTAGGCACCAGGGCGAAAATCCTCCGGCCATCGGGGATTTCACAGGTCGGGGATTCGCAAGAAAAAGAAAGCGCGCCTCGGGCAGGAGCGGTCGAGTCAAGCGTTTTGTCCAAGAGGCGAAGAATGTTGTTGCAGCCGTCAAGCTTCGCCGCGGCCAGACCCCGCGTCTTGCCATGACGGCTCCGTCCGCTCTACGCGAATGCCCCATGCAACTCCCTGGTCACCAACAATTTATCGACGCGTCGCTGACGCCAGATCCTCTCGTCATTGCTCTTCGGCCATGGCCGCCGTTTGTCGTATCAATCGGTCAGGACTCTCGTCTCTCAGTGGGCCGGGCCATCCTTCATGCTGGTATCAAGAAGGCCCTTGCGTTCGTCCCCCGCTCACACCCCAGCTTATCTAGCTGTTCTTGCATGAGAGACTTCTCGAACGCCCATCCGGCTGCATCTCATAACTGCGATCCATCAATAGCAATCAACGGAAGATTCCTGGCAGGCACGCTGTTCTCTTCTCTGGGCTTCGTCTGCCTCACGCTCCCAAGCTTCCACACCACTGTCGAATCCGGCAGGTGGCAGATAAGTCCAGGCGCCCGCCAAGCTCTTCTTCTATCTCCTGCATCTTGGCCTTTCTTGGCTTCCTCCATTCCTCTATCAGTCCGCTCTATCACGCAACCGAACTCGCAGCCCCTCCTCAGCCCATTCCCGCTCCTTCTTGGCGTTTATCGCCTCTCTTCGCCTCCGTTGGCTCCTCCAAACAAATCTCCTACCCAATGAAGCCAAACTGCCGTTTCGTGGATTATTCTCCCGTCGGATGAGGCTTGCCTAGGCAGTGCTGCCGCCGCCTATCCACACAGCTGCGTATAATCCGGGTTCTCGGATGCATGTCACATCAATCTATCCAAATCGTGCTTTAGCCAGGGGAAACACGGGCCGCAAGAGTCAGTGTACATGTATAAAAGGCGGCGTACAGTTGTTTGTTGCTGTCGTGTGCGTGGGACCGTCAATTGCCTTCTCTCCCTCATTCCTCCACTCGTTGTCTTCACAAGATGCGGTCCGCCTTCCGTTCTGCTGCCGCTGTCGGCGCGTTGGCACACATCGCCGTTGCTGCCCCCAACCCGTATACATGGAAGCCGGCGCCCAAGCCTCGCGATGTCTGGCGCCCGGCCGTGAGCTCTGTGCGTACCTCTGGCGCCCCTCCAAAGAAAAAAAAAATAAGACATCCAATTCGTCCCCAGTTTCCTAACATGCAACCCTCTTAGGACGAGCTCCAAGCCGCCATCACGGGCGACGCACTGTTCGCACATGAGGAGCAGCTGCAGAACTTCGCGTATGCCTACCCGGAGCGTAACCGCATCATGGGCGGGCAGGCCCACAACGACACTGTCACGTACATCTACGAGACGCTCACGGCGCTGGGCGACTACTACGATGTGACGCTGCAGCCGTGGTCGTCGGTTGTGCAGGTCAGCGGCGAGGCCTCCCTCGCCATTGACGGCACCAACATCACCGAGGCCACCCTGATGGAGTACTCTGCCAGTGGTGACGTCTCGGCGCCCCTCGTGCCTGTTTCGAACTTTGGTTGTGATCAGGTGTGTATTGATTTTGCCTCCAATTTCCACCCCAAGAGGAGAAAAGAGGAAGTGAAGGAGAGAAAACACCAAAAGGCTAACATGCTCATCCCAATAGTCCGACTACCCCTCTGAGGTCTCGGGCAACGTCGCCCTCATCTCTCGCGGCAGCTGCGAGTTCGGCCTCAAGTCCGTCTACGCAGGCCTCGCCGGTGCCGTCGGCGCCGTCATCTACAACAACATCGAGGGCAACCTGTCCGGCACGCTGGGCACGCCGCGCGAAGAGGGCCCCTACGTGCCCACCGTCGGCATCTCCAACTCCCTCGGTCTCGAGCTCGTTGACGAGATCGCGGGCGGCGCATCGCCCGTTGCCGATCTTTTCGTCGCCACCGTTATTGAGAACGCTACGACGTAAGTAAAAGTCCCCTGACATTCCCCTGAAAAGAACAAGAGGGCAAAACAGCCCTCGATACCCTACAAACAGACGGCATGGAAACCAAAAAGAACAATGCTAAAACCCCACCCTCCCACAGCTTCAACGTCCTCGCCCAAACCAAAGGCGGCGACCAAAACAACACGCTCATCCTCTCGGGCCACTCCGACTCCGTCGCCGCGGGTCCCGGCATCAACGACGACGGCAGCGGCAGCACCGGCATCCTCGAAGTCGCCATCCAACTCTCCAACTACACGACCACCAACTCGGTCCGCTTCGCCTGGTGGTCCGGCGAGGAAGAGGGCCTGCTCGGCTCGACCTACTACGTCGAAACGCTGCCCGAATCCGAGCTCGCGAAGCTGCGTCTCATGCTCGACTTCGACATGATCGCGTCGCCCAACTACATCTACGCCGTCTACGACGGCGACGGCTCCGCCTACAACATCTCCGGCCCCGCCGGCTCCGCCGAGGCTGAAGCGCTGTTCGTCGACTACTACGCTTCCCGCGGCGTCAACAGCACCGCCGCCGAGTTCGACGGCCGGTCTGATTACGGCCCGTTCTTGGATGCGGGCGTGGCGTGCGGCGGCGTCTTCACCGGCGCCGAGGGCATCAAGACGGAGGAGGAGGCGGTGCTGTTTGGCGGCGAGGCGGGCGTCGCGTACGACGTCAACTACCACGGCGCCGGCGACACGACGGATAACCTCGACATGGAGGCCTTCGTGCTCAACACGCAGGCTATCGCGCACGCTGTTGCCACGTACGCTACTAGCTTCGATAGCTTGAACCAGGCTGCGGCCGTGGCGCGCAGGGGCGTGCAGTGGCGGAAGCCGGTGCTGGAGGGCAAGGAGGCCCCGAGGGTGGCGAGGAGCAAGAGGAATGCGTTCAAGAGCAAGAAGACTGGCAAGCTGTTTGGTTGAAGTAAAATGATGCCCAGGTAGCTGGTCTCAGTTCTGTTGATAGCGTAGGTGGTAGGTTCATCAAAATATCAGGCATAGTAAGCCATAGCAACCGATAAAAAGACCGAATGTTTTGCACCGGAGTGAGCACTTGCGTAAGAAGCTTCTGCGAATTGCCATGTCTGATGTCTTGTTCTAATTCGTTCTCAACACTTTGGCTAACTGCCTGGACAACCTTACAAGTGTCTTGACAAAACATATAGCCTGTGCAAAGTCATGCGTTGACAAAAGACCATCGTCGCTACTCCCATATCCGCTATTTGGATTGCGGATCGCCGCAGACTTCAGCCAGACTGTCTGAAGCGGTCAATAATCATCATAGTATTGATCCTTTCAGAGGTTTGTAGATACAAATTGACAGTAGTGGATGAGCTGCGGCATGGGGTATCAAAACGTGCGGATGCAGCTCAACTGCTTGCGAAAAATTCGCCGATAGCTTCGTCCAACAGAACAAGAGCTGGATGCCACGGAGAGCAGCTTGGGTCGCACCATGTAGCAAGCCGATCCGGGATGGCTTGCAAGGCGAGCAGCGCAGGGAAGCGGACCAGAGCGCTGTGCCTGTACTGAAAATTTTCCGTCGCACTGCAGAAGCTTGCTGACTGCATCTCAAGCTCTAGTATTTTGGCTTTGCCGTATTCAGCCTCGCACAGCGTTCAAGAGCAGCAAAGCCGCAGCCCGCGCTGGAATCAGACGTACTCGCTCCATCCACCATTCTCGATGGAGCAAGACCGACAGGAACCTCGAAGGTGCCATTAAAGCTCTCGGTGCGGGCAGCAGCGGCTCAGAAGACCTCCTCAGTAACACGCCTGCCGAACCAATTGGACAGCTCGTCGCCGCCCTGGTGGTCGTCCCCCTGCAAGCCTGAAAAGTACGACGAGATGTTGGCGCCTTCGTCGTCGTCCTCGACCGGCCAGTCAACCTTGACCCCGTTGCTCTTCTTGTCCTCCAGCATGTCCTTGGCCGTGCCCCAACTGAAGCGGCACTCGGCGCCCCAGCCGAAGACGGGGTCCATATTGCGCTTCAACCATCCCGAGCACCTCGCGTCCGACGGGTACCCAGAGCCCCAGCCGGCGGCGGAGGCGGGCGTCTCGTCTGCGCTCGAAGCATACGTCTCGTAGCAGACGTCCAAGGCGGCGTCTCGCGTGACCTTGGCGCAGACAGAGGCGGCCGAGACGCAGGGGTAGAGCGAGTCGGCCTTCTTCGCGACGGTGATGTGGACGGTGGGGAAGATGCGCTCGAGCTTCTTCTGGTAGGCGGCGGGCTGGCCGATGGTGTCGATGTAGATCTCCTTGACGTTGACGCCCATGGCGAAGACGCGTTTGATAAGCTCAACAGTGGCATCCATGGCCTGCGCGTTGAGGTTGTACGTGCCGCCGGCCTTGAGCATGCCGGCCGAGATGTCGCGCGCCGACATGACCTTGGTCGCCCAGCCGCAGCGCTGGTACAGGTCCGTGTCGGCCGTGCACAGCGTCTCCATCAGCGACGAGCGCACCGCCGGCTGCAGCACCTTGGAGTCGTCGAAGTGGTGCGTCTCGGCTAGCAGGGAGCGGTGCTCCGAGAGCGGCAGGTAGAGCAGCGCGTATACCATGGGGCCTGCGGATGTTTAGAGACGGCTTGGAGGGATGCTTGAGGAGGTTATAGCTTACCGAGAACAGGCCCTCTTCCGGCTTCATCAACACCGAGCACACACTCAGTGGTCATGTCATTGGCGATGACCTCTGGAATGGGAGAGTAGTGAGCGTAGGAAGCGCCCTTCAGGATTTGCTCGGTGTTGATCGAAGGTGCGCGGAAGACATCGTCGGCGGGAGTCTCTTGCGCAACGTCCTGCACGTCAACCATAGGCTCGTCCATTGTTTCCCGCGGTGCAATTGAACGTGGTGTTGTTGATTGAAGGTTGAGGCCGGAGCGCGTCTGGGAGACGCGACGGAACGCGAGTGCAAGGATCGCGTGCACCAGCCACACTGCACCGCCTCGCCCACCACCATTTCCCTAGTACAGAACGTAGCCTTGACCTCACCGTAGCGCCTATGCCGCCAGCTGGCATTAGACTTACCCACCAGCGCACACTTAAACTCAACAGACCGTGAGCAGACTGATGATTGGCACGTTGCAGTCCGTCCACCATCATCACCCTAGCCCGTCAGCCCCCACCCAAGCTTCCGCCAATTGCCTCCAGTCGCACAGCCAGAAAAGCTTGCTTAGCCATGCCCGCCAAGCACGTTCTGCCCGGGAAATCGAGACTAATCCAGCAAGTCAAGCTCACTGGCTCGAGATCCTTTCGTACGTCGTGGCAGCACAGCCCCCGCGTCATACTTTCTTCACCGACCTTGCTTTTCCTCCTTCTGCCTGCTCTCCGAACTGCTATAAAGACCTCTGCTGCTGTGCTCGCTATATATTAGAAGACAACAAAAAAAAAGAAAAAACACCGCACTTGATATAACCACAACCACATCCTTTAACCAACCTCTATCTCCGTGCAACCGGGGAACTCAAAACCACCAATCATGTCCTCCTCCACCACCACCACCACCCGCACGACATTCCTCACCACCCTCCTCGCCCTCATCTTCATCAGCCAAATCGTGCTGCAACTCGTCGCCGCCGACCCCGTTCCCGTCCCCGCTCCCGAAGCCGCACCCGCACCCGCGCCTGAGCCCGAACCGAAAAAGGGCGGCAGTGCTGGCGCCGCCGCCGCGGGCAATCGCAGTGCCGGCACCTCGATCATGTTGTCTCCGGAAGATGGCGCCGTGATGATGATGACGGCCGTTGGGACGAGCGTCTTTACGTTCCTTGTGTCTCAGCTTCTCTGAAGAGAAGGAAGGAAAGTAGGGGGAATGAAAGGAGCTATGCAGCATTCAGACGACTGCGAGTAGCGAGTAAAAAGGGGGGGTTGGTTTTTGGGGTGTTGGAAAGTAGCTTATGAGACATGATATGAACGGCCTGTAATTTGGAATATACCCTACGAGTCTCGATTTGCATTTGCGGACGAGTAGATGAGCACCAGGTGGAGGGTGTGAGTAGTTTTTCTTCAAACATTGAGAGCGGTTCTACTTTGCACATACCGAGAATGACGTTGGCAAGTAAAAACATTGGTTAAATCAGACGATTTGATTTCATGTCCTTTATTACCACATACGCTCTAAAATACTGAGGTAGCAAACCCGTTCATCCGCTCCCCAACTCCCTGCACACCAAAATAACCTATACTGATCCCAAGTGTATACACAAGAATCGAATGCCAGCATCATCCCAAACCCCATCCCTCATCACTCTCAAAGTAATGCAATCATACCCACCGCACTAACCGCAACCCCCATCCCCGCAACCCAAAACCCACCCCTACCAACCATGACCGTAGCAGCCGAGCGCGACGACGTCCCGTCCATCACCGCACTCCTCACTAACCTTCAAGACGAGTAAGACGTCGCCTCCGGGCAGCCGACGTCGCTGCACAGGTCCGCGTACGCCTGGTTGGGCACGAACGTCTTGAGCGGCGAGCTGCGGCTCAGCACGTTACCAGCCGCATCCAGCGCCTCGACGGAAATGTACTGGCTGAATCCCTGCGCGCTGAAGCCCGTCTCGAAGCCCTGCTTCTCCGCGGTGCCGAGCTCCTGTGTAACTGCATCAGCAGCATCACCGCCGTAGAACTTCCAGCTAGCGGCCTCTGTCGCGCCGTTCCACGACACGTATACGGCCGTCGTCGCGGCGTCGGTGGCGTTACGGGCGAAAGCGTAGACGGCCGGCTCGGTTTTGGGCGTGGAAGTCCAGTTGAAGGTCCAGGCGCGGTAGTTCATGACCGGGTACGCGCCCCAGGTGGCGTAGAGGAGCGGGGTGCCGTCAGCGGCGTGCTCGGAGAGTGCGTCGATGCTGCCCCAGCCGTTGAAGAAGTTGCCGTTGGCCAGCAGCTGCGTGTTGCCCTGCGACGTCGACAGGATGCCGCCGGCCGCCGCGGGCGCCGTGATGCGTGACAGCATGGTCGCCTTGTTGGTCGTGTGGTCGAGCGCCACCACCATGGCAGAGGACTCGGGCGACGTCTGGTTGAAGCCGTTGGACGCGTTGTCGTAGAACGAGAGGACCGTGTGCGTCGAGTTCTCCGACACGAAGCGCGCGTCGTGCTGGTACGAGAAGTTGAAGTTGGTACAGTCGAAGTCGGTGTACTGGCCGCCGGCGCTGAGTGTCCAGATGATGCTGCCGTCGGTCGAGTTGAGGTTGTAGATCGAGGACACGCTGCGGGCCGAGATCAGGTAAGTGTCCGAGTACGAAGACTTGTCAACCGAGTTGATGTGGCTGTTGGATTTCAGTTAGCATGACTTTCGAATTTTGCTTCCTGCACTGAAGCAAAATAGTGGTAAATACGTACAACCAGTCCCAGGGCGAGCTCGTCGAGAGACCCGTGCCAGAAGTATCTGAAGCATTCGGCAACACATACGAGGCGGCCAGCGGCACATGGTCAATGGCACGCCATTCAAACAGCACGTTGCCGGTATCGACCTCGACTTCCTGGAAAACGCCGTCCTGGAGGTATCCGACGCCGGTAGTGATGCCGTAGTCGACCAAATCGTACGGAATCGTCATGTACGCAGTGACCAGCGCCGACTTTCCGTCGTCGATCATGTTGAATTCGTGCATGTCGACCGACGGAACGCCGCTGCCGCCAACCTCGATGGACTTGACGATCGTGTAGGACTTGTCGAGGATCAAGCCGTGGCCGCGGGCGTAACCCTTCATCTGGTTGCCCTGCATGAAACACAGGTGGTCTTCGCCCTTGTACGTGCAGACCTGGACGTCGTGCGAGGTCTCGGGGCCGGCGAAGCCAAATCCGGACCAAACAAGGTTCTGTTCGCGATCTTAGCATGCAGCCCCGGATTGCGTGCTCGGGAGATCGTCAGGCACTGACGCAAGACTTATCGTATATGTAAGGACCGGACTGCGTGGCGCCGTATGGCGCAATGAAGATATAACCTTAACAATTAACTTTAGCATGAGTCGATCATTGTGGGGAGGCGCCTGCCATCTCACCTGGCGCAACGCCATCTTCCTGGATTGAGCAGTCGAGAGCGGGAGGCGTCAAGTCCGGGCGCTGTGCGGAACGTTAGCATCAGCCCTCAAGCCATTTTGGCAAAGAAGACGTACGGAATAGAAAGTCGAAAGTGGTTCGGTGGTGTTGTCCTGTGCGGCGGCCAAAGTGAAAAAGGAAAAGGCCAGGGCGGCGAGAGCGTCGCGGGCCCTGGGCGCGGTGGTAGAAGCGAGCATGGCTCAAGAATCAAGACTACTGGATGAAGAGAGAATCACGACAAAGAGCGACGGTATGGCGACAGAGGCCAAAAAGAGCGAATACAGAGTAGTGGCGAGCCTGGGCGTATCCGCTGTTTTAACGAGCAGGAGCAGAAATAAGGATCCGCGGCGGCAGGCATCAAAGTAGATAAACATATGAAGAAAGCCCGCAAGCCGGATCAGCAAGGCAGGCAGGCGCACACATCATTGCCTGTTAACGCCGATGGTGCTCGGGTCCGCCATCGGCAGCGCCTGTCTGTAATCACAGCGCGATTGACAGGCGCACAGGTCTTCTTCACGCCGCATCAGGAAGGCGATGACGCCGAGCCACCTATGTAGGCGGGAATGGCGGACGGGGCTGACGGCGAAGGATCTGCTTCGCTGCGCTTGATTGCGCGTTATCGGTGTCATTGTGGCAGTCATGATGGGGAGACCTTGGTATTGGAGGTGGCACTTTTGCTAGGCTCTCCGATTGAAGGCTGTGCCACGCGGATACCTACCAGCCAGGGGTTTGATCCTGGTTGCGGGTAAAGTGCGTCGATTCATGAGCAGACAAGGCAGGTCGGGCGTGCGTTTCGAAACTACGTCGGCCTTAAGATCGTCATGGTCGGACTACCGTTTCGGCATAAAGTGACACGCGGCCGGTTTCCCGGCAGGGAAGGCAGAGGGGGAAAACCACTTAACTTTTGCCTGTTTCATGTCTCAGAGCTTCTTATTTTCTCGTTCGCCCTCGCCATCTTGATCTGCTCCACTGTCACCGCCGTCAGCATCTCCGCCAAGGCTTCATTCGCCGTGTTCCACTCAGCCGCAGGCGTCAGCCTCATCCTACCAAGGCCATAACGGTGCAAAGTGGCCGATTCCCGATGGATGGCACACGCAATCGCCGCCGTTTCCTGCAGTTGCTGCCCCAGAACGCATCATCTTCAGCCCAAGTTGGGGAAGCCGAAACGGATGTGGCGAGCCGGGCCGTGGCAATTAACGTGAGGTCATGCCCGCAAGCATCAGATAGAATATTGCCGCCGGCATTCGCGGAGCGGGGGAGCGGACACGATTGATGCTAGCTGCCGTCGCCGTTGAAAGCTGTAAGTTGTCTTGGCCGTCGTTCGTTAGCTCGGAGCTAATCGGATTTTGCGAACGAGCCGCGCCTTGCACGTGTATCACGACGCTTCCATTGAGGTATCTTCGTCTCTGCTTGTGGAGGCTTTTTACCCGCAATCCGATCAATTGGAACCCACCCCTGCTGGTACCAGGATAGATGACGGCAGCCTGGCTTACCCCTCCTCATCTCTTCGCGGGGTGTGGATCTGCCCTGTGCGATGGAGGGGAGACCACTTAGGTGCTCCCGTGACGCACGAAGCAAGCGAACCTGGATCTTACCGCTTGTGATCTGCCAGGTGCTGACCCCCGACGACAGAGCTGCAGACGCCGTCGAGGTTCGGGTCAGCTTGTGGCAGACGGCGGCAGCAGAAAGGGGTCTTTGTGACTGGCAGGACAGGCGCTGGTCCGCCGCGCTGCCACCTCTCAATTGACAATTGCCGCCGTACCAGTACCCATGGTCGAGTTTATGCCAAGCTCTCTGTCGACGATCGACGCGAGCCATCGCTGGGATCCGTCTTCTTCTTTTGGTTCGGAGAACAGCCGACGGACCGAAGCGAAAGGAGTCATGCGGTGCTGGAGGAGAGGGTGGTGGAAGGACAGCGAAGCCGCGATCACCGCTAAAGCCCGCCAGCGACCCACGTGTTGCGCCAACATGGTGCATTTCTCGTCATCGCAGTTAGCTCGCGTGCACGCACACATATAAAAGCCCTGCCCACGTTGATCTGTTCTTTTGCTTACTACTCGCAACTGCTTCTTTTTGTGACTAGGAAATATGACGCCTAGTTCCCCATGCTCGCTGCTATTCCGCGCAAGATGAGTGTCTCCAGACCTCCAACTCAGAACCTGCACCCGCAGGCGCCCACCTCGAAAAGTAATCCTTTTTTCCCCTACCATCGTTTTTTGTCCTTGTCCCGGAGTTCCAATCTGTCCCTGGATCGTTGATCCACCGTCGCAGCAATGATGATTAAAAGGAAAAAGAAGAACTCGCTCATGCTGCATGCAAGGAGCTGACGATCCATGGCTGCAAGATCTTACAAGAAAGAGAAGGAAAGGGTCGTAATCATGAATGCAGCTCCACTTCGCCAAACGAAGCTCACCGCCGTCGAATCCAACTACAAGCCACCCTCTTCTCGGCAGCCAGCCTCAAACTTGCGCCATCAAGGACATGACTGGCTTAGTTGGGGCAGGCAGCCTGGACGTGGCCGGGCTGCTTGCACTTGTAGCAGACACGCTCGTTGGACGTCTCGGACGGGCAGTCGCGGGACAGGTGGCCAACCTCGCCGCCTACAACACAGTTAGAGCCGTTGCGTGTGCCATCAGTGGGAAGGGTACTTACAGTTGTAGCACTTCTGGCCCTGGGTGCAGTCACGGGACATGTGGCCGTAGCCGCCGCAGGAGTAGCAGGTCTGGCCACGAGGACCGCCGCCAAAGCCGCTGCCACCGCCGTAGCCGCCGCCGAAACCACCGCCGTACGTGTTGCAGTTGCGAGCAATGTGGCCGACCTTGCCGCACTTGTAGCACTCCTGGCCAGCGCCCATGCCGGGAGCACCGCCCTCGGGGCACTCGCGGGACAGGTGACCGACCTTGCCGCAGCGGTAGCAGGGCTTCTCAGCCTGGGGCTGGGGGCATTCCCTGCTCAGGTGGCCCTGCTCGCCGCAGTTGTAGCAGGTGGGGTTGCCCTTGGTCGGGCAGTCCCTGGCCTGGTGCGAGGTGTCGCCGCCTTCTCCTCGATTAGCTCAGATTCCCCTCGGCGTTGGCGCAGAGAGCGACGAAACATGCCCGACGTTGAAGCTGGGGCGCGGTAACCAGACAACGTGGACAAGTAAAATACACAGGGTGGTGGGAGAGGTGGGCGCTTCACAAAAGGTCACATCGCAGTGCGGTCATCTCGGTCGGTCGCCGTGTGCCGAGCTGGGCACGCGAGCGATGGCCGACCAAGACTGCTCGTTGTGGGCGTCGCAAGGACTCCACTCGGATCTACAGCTCAACGAACCGTCCCCGCTGTGTGTGAGAGCTTAATGCGAATTTTGTATGCAGTGTGTGCGAGAAGCAGGTGGGCGGAGCGGCGCCGCAGGCATCGCGTGTGCGCTAGAGGAAAGGGCAGGACGTACAGTTGTAGCAGCCGCGGGCGGGGGGAGCCGAGAAGTCCATGGTGAGGTGGGTGGTGGGCTGTGACGTTGGAAGTCTGGGCGGCGTCAGTGAGGCAAGCAGTGGGAGGCGGGTGGGGAGCAGCAGGGCGCTGGGCTGGCGTACCGAAGAGCTGGACTTTGGGTCGTCAAAGAGGACGGAGATGGTGCTAGTGCGGAAAGACGTGTGTCGTGCGCAGAGTGGACCTTGGGGCGATTGAAGGGCAGCCGGACGCTTTATAAAGGCTGGAGGCAGAGAGGCGAAAACAAGAACGGTGGGTGCGATGCGCTAGCGCCCCGCGGGTACGGAAAGACGTCGGGCCTTTAGCGAGTAGTATCAGTCTTCGGTTTGCACACCCAAAAGAAACTGCAGCGCCGTGTGCGCAGCTGCGAGAGTGTTTGATGTAGACAGCCTCTGGCTCACCTACGACCCGCTGCCCGTTGGTGGAGTCTCCGATTTGCCAGATCTGCCCACCCCGCCGCAAGCTTTGATGCCCGCGCAGCAAGTGGAGCCGCCCGCTCGAGCAAATGTTGTGCAGGGCAGGCGCACCGGCGGTTGAGGCTCGTGACGGTGATGGTCGCACAGCAGCTGTCAGCCCCGTTGGATGCACGTGCTGAGGGGTCCGCCACCGCCAGGCTCTCCGCGCGGTGAAGCTCACGTCTCGATCGCTGCCAAACAACCCAAATCAAGCAAGACCAAGCCACCGGAAGGGCAGAATAGTGTGCGCCGCAGCTGGGCTGAGCAGCAACACTGCTGATCGAAGACCGAAGATCCTTCACAGTCCTAGGTCACCACGCCGTCTCGGCTGAGAAGATCCAGATGTTGTTGACCTTGGCGGTTGAGCCAAATGCGAAGCGGTCAAGGCGCATGAAACGTATCGAATATGGCCAGGACAGCGGGAGCTTGTCGCATGCGCGTCTCATTCCTGTGGTGGTCACCAACAGCGTGCCTTGTGTTCTGCCGCCCATTGCTGTCGGAAAAATCTTGCTTTGCCACCGACTGAATCCTGGAACCTGGGGGCATAGGGCTCATAACGTCCTGGAAGTGGTTGGATCACTCCTGAGGGCAGATTCGATACCGTCTTGGGCGGAAGTGCCGATACTCCAAAGTCGATTGCGGCGTTTCGATGCATCTCAACACAACTCACTGCCTAGGAAAGGCGATCTTCTTCACGGAACAGCGGCTTGTAAGGCCGCACACACACTCATTGTCCTGCCAACCCGGAGACTTTGTCTCTAGGTGAAATCATACACGACTAACGCTTGACTCCCCTCACTCCGTTCTCGCAACACAATCACTTTCTCCTCGTCAAATCCAATCCAACCTTTTGTTACAGCTGTCTCATCAAGACTGTGGTCTAGGGCGAGTCCGAGGTCAGAGCTGTGGCCGGCTTCATTGTCAGAGGGGTGATCCAAGTCCGACCGGAGAGGGGTCCGTTTTTCGGGTTTGATCCGGATACTCAGCTCCCCGGCAGGATTGCGCCTTCTAGTTGCCGAAGAAACCATGCCTCCCTCTAGCTCCCAAACGCGCAATTCATCGCCGCGTGAAGTGACGGAGACTGCCTTTCCTCTGCCCCCCACGTGCGCCCCAGACACTGATGACGTATGGCCCCATAACCTTGTGCCTGGTCCAATGTTCAACGAGGATGTCGTTGAGGTGACCATGTAAAGAGTAAGGGTGTTGTCTGGGTGTGAGCTGAGGAGATAAGGATGCGAGTATGAAAGAGACGTTGGCTTAGAGCAGATCGGAACTGATGTCGCCGGTGTGCCTGGATCCGAACGCCCACCAGGAGAAGGTGGTAGGCTCAAGTTTGAAACTAGCGATTGGAAACCCGGCTGGTCGGCTGACGCGAGCCGTGAATCCACAAGCTTTCCTTCTGGGGTAATGTGCATCTCTTGGATACCAACGGTCCATCCGGAGAAATATGTGGGCAAGGCATATGCGATTGATGCCACAACACTTTGCGAGGAATGTCGGATGGAAAGCGATAACGGCGGCCAGACGGTATGTGACCTCAGCGAGTATAGTAACCGAGGTGGGTCCAAGATATCTTGCCTTCGTAAATCTTGTGGCTCCTTGGGAAAACTGTAAAGTGATAATAGCTGCATGCCAGTCATTGTTAATATGTAAGGGGAAGCAAATGCCAGAGCTGAGAGCATGCCATTGGAGGAGGCAGGATGGCTGTATAAAAGAGAGAATATCATGCTGTTTTTAATTAGTTGATAGATAGAGAAGCTCCCATCTTCAAACCCCACGGCAACGTGTTGATGGGAGAGATTCTTTGTGTCTGTGTCGACGGTCAAGGACGTCGGTGCAGGACGTGCGCGGTCGTCATTATTCCCCAAAGCGATGCTTGCGAGGAGGGCTCGGTCTTTCTGAGTCGACCAGGCACGCAGTCCGGCGATCGCATCTGCAGTGTAGATGGTGCCGTCGTGCAGGTGGACCAAAATCGGCGGTACGGGTGGCGCCTCTGACAGCGGTATCTCATCCACATCACAACTTCCCCGCGACCAGTTGTGACGAAGTTTATACTGCTTCTTCCAGTTGGTCTCCTTGCCTTTCTTCACCAAAGTTGCCTCATCAAGCCATTTCGAAAGTTTGGAGGAGAAGTGGAGATGATCGGGTGTGTTCGCGTCCTTGATCCCGGGTAATCTCGATGCGCGAGGCCGGACGAAACGATTGTAATAGGCAGCTTTCCAAAGTTGACGATCGCTGGCGACGGCGTGTAACCGTTTCGATACCCTAATGGAATGTCAGTGCCTGGTCTCTTGCGGGCACGAAAGAATGCTTACCTCTGACATATATTCAACGTAGCGACTGGTACGTATGAAAGGATGCGCAACAGTAGCTCATCACTCAACTGAGACAGCTTGTCGGAGATGGGCTTTCTCGCTCGCTTTGCTGGAGGCAGCGCATGTTGGTCGCTATCTTCAGCGCAACGCTTAGGCATCGTAGCGACGGAGCGGCGGCGCGCGCGAGTGTCGGAGGAGAAGGCGGGAGTCACTGTCGGGGTTCGCGGCAAGCGCGAGTCGGTTCGTTATCGATTGCGATAATGAAATTAGCGCGCACGTGCGGCGCGTCACCGCGGTGGCGGCGTAGCTAATGGAACGCGCCACGTCTCTAGGCAACCACGCGTAGCGCATCCTTCATGACTACCTTGTGGTCGTGCAGCTCTCCTGGAATGTACCCTATACCATCTCGCATTGCAAACCGTCCGTCTTTACCTTCGCTTTTGACCCCGCTTGACGCAGCGACTGAACAGCAATCGCGAAAGTGACGCGTAGAGACGCGTCCGCATTCTTATTCGAGTCATGGAGAAGCAAGATGAAGTTGCCTTACCATGGCCAGAGATAGATGACACGGACGACGCGATCGAAAGGCACTCCAGGATTCTGCAGCAAAATATCAGAAATAACAATATTCGCCGTACGCATATCTATTGCTATTGCCTGCCCAAGCTTTTGCTGACCACGTCTAGATCAAAACGAAAAGCGAGCGCTAGAACGCAGCAACACAAAGCTCCTTGTTCGTATTGAGGAGTTAGAACGAGAACATGAGGAGTTGAAGCGTCAGCTTGAGGCTGCCATCCAGGCTTCTACGTCCACCGTACCGCAAATCGAACCCTTGTCGACGCCCAACACACACGCTCTTCCACGCAGTTCCGCAACCGTCGCGACCCAGGAGGCAACAGTCCCTTTTCATGAATACAAAGAGCTCGAGCGCATGTACAAGGTCATCCTCCGGGAGAACGATGGGCTGAGACTGAACTCGGAAATGATGGCCAAGCAGAATGCCTCGATGAAAAGCCGGGTCAAGGAGTGGAACACATGGGCCTCTAAGGAGCGCGAAAAAAGGCGTAAGAGCCGTCGAGACAGTACAGCAGGGAAGTCTGCCAAAGATTCTCTAGTCGACATGGACAGGCCACCATCACCCGCAAGCATCGCATCGCCGTCGTTGAAAGCACAACACACGCCAGGACCTTGTCTGGACGCGGAAAATATGCGTCAAAAAATAACAGAACAGGCAGTTCAGTTTCTGGAAACCGACGTTAACCCCCTTAAAGCTGTCTCAGCTGCTGCAGACCTCCCGGAAATCATTTCATCCGACATTCCGGAGGAGCTCCCACAGATCACTGATGTATCAGCAACACTTCCTCATTCAAAAGATGAGGAAGGTTTGTCTGAACAGCAAAAGTGCCAGTCTGATCAGCGAAATCAGGCCGATGCATCATCGCCCTCCCATCGCGGTTCTTTGGGACTCACATCCAGCCAAACAACTCAGGATGTTGATGACCGTAACGAAAACATGCAGGTTGCAGAGAAGCCTGCTAACCAGCATCATTCTTCTGATGACGAGCCAATAGTTGTCTCCGAAAGGTCCTTGAAACGAAAGCATCCTAGCCATGTCCCAGTGTATCAAGACCCTCGAGGCCGACGCTCGGAACCACCACCCCCTGTCAAAGCGGAGCCTGCTGATACTCAGGTCACGGCACCACCTGTCCCTGCGCTTCTCAACAGAGTCAGCACCCTTGATCTCGATGATATGGGAATTCGGATACAAACACCAAGGAAGCGTCGTCGTATGCAGGATGCCATCCGCAAATCGCAGCTGCAGAACGATGTATGGACAAAGTCTCGTCCAGCACTACTTCGCGAACGGTCTTCAAGCCTCCCGCTAGACTTTTCTCGAGGGACAGGGCTTACCGAAGAACCGAAACTAGAGGCGCAAGACGAAAATGTTGTGTTTGAAGTTTCTGATTCAGATCCCAGCCCTGCAGATGAAGAGCAAGATGACTTGCGGGAGTCTGCAAAAGCTATCTTAACGAGAAGCCCCAATAATCCGCGTAAAGCCAGAGTGCTGCGTTCTCGAGATGTCAACATACAACCACAGCCTCAGCTCGGGACTCTTCCTGCTCTTCGACCACGACGAGGCGGCGATGAGGGGCGAGGGGCAAAGGCTGTGCCGCTGCTCTCAGAGGACGGAGAAGGCACAGAGATACGAGAGCTCTCCCCAGCCAAGATGGAAGAGTCACGCCGGCGCTTTGCCGAATTGTACGATAATCCACCGCCAGAGCGAAAGCCACTCAGATCCCCGAGGACTCCAGCAACCAACCGTGCAGCCCGATCAGCCCCAAGGTCGACTGTGACGAAGAGTCGGGACGCCACAACGCCTAAATCCCGAAAATCAATCCCTGCTAAAAAGTCCCTGGCCTCTCAACTCCTGACACCGCAAACGGGATCTCGCACATCAAACAACAGTAGCTCGCTACGCCAACGGAATCGCCTACAAGCTCCCTCAGCTCCTCTCCGTACTAAATCGTTCTCTGATCTTAACCTCTCCGACTTCAAAATCAACCCCAACGCCAACGCTGGGCTTGAATTTGCTTTCACAGAAGTCGTCCGCAACCGTGATGCGCGACGCTGCCTTCCTGGCTGTACTAAGTCCGACTGCTGCGGCCGCGACTTTCGTGCAATGATCGAAGCCGGCCTGAATCCCCCGCTTCCGCACAGCTTCTGGGACGACTCGCAATCTCAGCAAGAGCCGCCGTTCAAAACAGAGCAGGAAGCAAATGATCACAGGTATCTCCGGTGGTTCATGGGCAATGGCTACTCGCGCGACCGCGTAGATGCCATGCCTGTTGTTCAACGTGAGGACCTCGTTGTCCAAGCGAAGATCAAGCTCCTAGCCAATCAAGCAGGTCGTCATAGGCATGCGCATCAGCGCGCGCGTACGCCACCAGGATTTTGGCGCGCTGATTTCCCAGGGACGCAGGAGATAGAGAAGGACAGAGAAGAAGCTCGAAAGAGGGAGAGAGAGGTGGTGGAGGAAAGATGGAGAGAGGCGATGACAGAGGGCGGACGTTGGATATTCAGAGACGAGTAAGCTGCTACTCTACAAGACTGGTTTCAATTACAATGTATTGCTTGGTATGAAGCTTTCGATGCTGGATTATCTTGATTCAAGCTGGCTTGTTTGCTCACCCATAGGCTAAAATGGGACGGAGGAGAGAGTGTTCTGTCTTACCATAGCGCTTGGCTACTCAGAGTTCTTCGGCTGCATATTTGGGTGAAAAGCACTAGAGATATTATTGCTTCTACTCTACAAATAAATTACTAGATGTTTCGATTGCATGGCAAAAAAAAAAAAAAAAATAAAGGCCCTCTGCCTTTATCTCTGAAAACTCATCTCCTCCGAGCCCCTTTATGATTGACGCGCAGCAGAAAAAAAACGTAGCTGAAGCCAAGAACAAAGGCCACCAGAGACCCGGCCCCACTTCCAGACGTTTGAAACATGTTGCACGCTACGGTGTCAGGACATTCTCTTTTGGGGATGTACGCATCGAGTCAATACGAGGTGTGGGGTCGACAGAATGCAACCACTCGGCGAAATTGTACAATTGTGTCAATCTGTAGGTACATTTATGCTCAGCTGCGAATATGCAAGCCTCGGAGATAAGAAACTCGGCTGCTCAAGGTGTAGTACGTCTGACCCAGTGCGAATGACGGTTCGCGTCTGAATGGAGCACTAGTTCGAAAGGTACCACATTCTCACATGCTACTTTCGGGCTTAGTGACGTCTGCTACCAAGGAATCAATCAAACGAGGCGTCACGATGGAAGAGGGCGCCATCTAGATTGAGACAAGTGGTGCCTCTGGGCATATCCGAGCTAAGCGACGCATGAGAGGCAGGTCGACAGCGACGGAGTCATGCCCTGGTCCAATGCAGTGATCACAGCAGGGTGTCAAGCGACTGGAGGAGGCGATGGACCAGGATGGCGGTACTACGTCAGGATTCAGTTTAGGCGGCGGGCGGAGAGCGGGCGGAATGGCGCTTAGGCTGCATTGTCCACGCGGACGCCTGAGGCTGACAGCGAGCGGCGGGCGGCGCGGAAGGCGGCCCAACGAGGCGGGCGGTGCCTGCAGCTGTGGGAGGACGAAAGTGCGTCGTTGCGACTCAGCAGACAGAGGAGGGTGGGCGTCGAGCTGCACGTTCCAGAGGCACGCGAGGACGGCCCTGCAAAAGGTTTCTGCGCACTAGCGAGCAATAGGGAAGGCTGCCGCTTCTTACCCCAGGTTTTCCAAGGTTCTGCGAAGACTCGGACGACCTCTGCGCCTGCCCAACGCTCTGCTTGCGCTCCCAAACCGAAGAAATGCTGCCACCGCCCGCGCGCCGCTTCTGATGACGCCTGGTCGGCTTCGGATGTCGCCGACTGCCCTCATGGACTTTTCGCTATCGCCCGCCCTCATCGTCCTTACGCCGCGCCACAACCTGTCAGCTGTGCCGCGCCCATCCATACGAGGGCGCGCCCTCTTTGCCTCAGCTCTGCTCTCGCTGCCTTTTTCTAGGAAGTGAGCAGGGCGGGCGCCGCATGAGACACTTCCTGTGAGTTCGCGACCAGTCCCTTCGTTCCGCATTTCGTGTATCTCCTGCCGCAGCCCCGCTGTCTAACCATGCTTTTTCCCCCAGAACATAGCTTGCCTACCAGCGACCGCCCTCATGTCCTCGTCGCCGCCGCCCGAGGCGCTGCCTCAGGTGCCGCCGACCTCCATGCGCAACTCGTCCTCGACCAGCTCAATCTCGAATTTGTTCAAAGACCTCATTGGCCGCTCACGCAACTCGACCTCCGACATCCCCTCCGCTTCTACCAATATCGCCCCGGTGCAAGGAATTTTTGCGAGAAGACCGAGCGTGTCGACGCTTCCGCGACACATTCACACCTCGTCTCCAGACAATGCAGACTTTGCGAACATACGTCATTCGCTCCGTATTCGGCCGAGCCATTATGACGGCGACATTCAAATTCCACCCGTCCTCGGAGGTCCTCCGGAGTTGGAGGAATTGCTGGAACGGCTTAGTCCGAAGGCATCACTATCGGCTCGCATCGATGCTGCCCACCGGCTATGCCCCATACTCGAGCAATATCCGGTGAAAGGCGTTTGGGCAGTATGGGTGCTTGCCCAAGAATCGCTATTAAAGAGCAAGGATCCGGAGGCTATTCAGGCAGCATGCCGCCTGCTTTCACGATTAGTGCAGCTGCCCGACCTCTCCTCTGCTGAGAGAAGCAACTTCTTCTCTTTCATATCTGGAGTGGAGCAGGAACAGGTCACGGAGATACGATTGCAGCTGCTCGGCTGCCTTACGCATGGCGGCCGGTCCATTGATGCTTTCGAGAGTAAGATCGCACCTCTCCTGACGCGAATGCTCGACAGGTGCTACGAAGCTGCGCGGAAGGCGAGGAGTGCCCACAGGGACTCAAGATCAGATCTTGAGCTTCCTGAAGACGCCAACCTACAGCAAGTATTCCGTTTTATTATCGATGTATTCAAGTTCAACTCTCAGCTCCTGGCGGACAAGCATATCGAAGAGCTCCTAGAAAAGGTTCTGTATGTCTCAAGACGGACAACAAGGAAACCGGATCTCAAGGGCGGAATCACTGTCATCGAAACACTGATCACGTATGCCGAGTTACCGCAGCCGCTTCTCAAACCGTGCTTGGAGCTGTTGTGTTCTGTCTGCAACAGGATGCTTCTGCTCGATGACCTCCGAGACCAGGCCGAACGGGTGATCACGCACTTATTTTATTCCCACGTGGCCCCGGCTGCTATCTATGAATTCATTGAGATCCTTTATGGCGAACTTGGCTCCTCCAAACAGAGGACGAATGTTGTTCGTGGGGCCGTCAAGGTCTTGGAAGACATGCTCTTCCACCCAAGAGCTGCGCATCTCCAGGAACTGCAACTTTCGCTCTTCTTGCCTGCACTGAACAACTTGATCTCGGTCGAGTATGCCAACCGGCGGGCGTCTGAGACGAATTCAGACGCGGACAATCACACTCTGAAGAAGATCAAAGCCGACAACTTCCACCTGGAATCGGACATCTGCAACATCATGTGGAAACTGCTCATCTCCGGAGATGCGGACAACAAGTACACCCGGCAGCTGCTTCAAGAATATGACTGGTCAACATTCCTGGAGATAATCGTCAAATGCGCCAACGACGTTTCTGACAATGAAGTCCGAGACTTCACGCACTTGGCCTCGGAGACTTTCTCAAGTCCCACTGATGATGGAGAGGATGAAGAAGAAGAACAAGAAAACACGCACCCCTCTATTCCTCTCCGCGGCGTCCTCTTGAAGCTTTTCGAAATTCGTAATGAACTTGATATCATTCAGAGGCAAGAGACTATGGCTATGCTTGTCCGCGTTGGCCCAAAACTCCCGGACGACATCGCCAAAGGAGTCATCCAATACTACGAGGATGAACGCCTTCTTCAGCCACCAAGCGAGGATTGGAAGGCCGCATGGGAACAGCTGCTTATTCCGTTCTTTAGGGACAAGCGCCGGTCATCCGACTTGCGGAAATATGCCATGGGCACAATTATCAGGACATATGATTACATTTCCTTCATGCTGTCGCCGGATGTCCAGGTTACTTGCGCGAAATTTATCCTTGAGCATATTCACGAGGAACTGGATCCAGATGTTCTCACCATTCTTGCTGATGCAGCTGTCAGCATTGCTGTCGAAGCATCAGATGAGCTGTTCGAATACGTGATAGATCTGTTCCGCGTCTATCTCTGGGAGTTCATTGGAGACATACATGAGCATCATGCAGCCGGAGACTTAATGTACGAGGACAATCCAGTTTCTCCAAGCAAGGTCATCACCAAGGCATTGATCCGTATCTTCATCCGCACCTACATTCATTCGGGTTGGAAGGCATCAAAGGCATACGAGCTGATTCTGTACGTGGCGGGAACCAACAAATGCAACATGGATGCCCGGATCGCCGCAATCAGATTCCTTGCTCGCCTCCGCAGTGATGCGAATTTCGCGCTGCGCGTCAATGCGGCCCCCGAAGGCGAGAACATAGCTGCGCTCTTAAACAGGACGGCGGATACTCTTGTTCCCATCCCGAAGGAAGAAGCTTCCTCGGAGGCGACGAGCCCTACAAGCATGGAAGAAAAGAGCCTAACACGGCGCTCGCTTGTGGGTTCGGTCCAGTTTCCTCAATCTCGGAATCCGTCTCGAGTCTCCAGCGGCGTAGTGAAGGCCAAACCCGTACAACCTCTCTGGACGTACCCAGATCAAGAAGGCCTCCCAGAGCAACCGCCAGGGATACCCAGCCTTGTACTCTTCACTGATCTTGGAGGCACGAGGGTTCAGAGCGACACAGAAAACGAAGCGACAGAGGAGAATGGCGATGCCACTGACACCGTTCACCGCGAACTGTTTCCGACAAGTCGGTGGCTGGAGATTGCTATTTCTCTCTTCCAAAATTGCAATGATTGGGAGGTTCTCAGCTACTTGTTCGTACATTTTGGAGCACAGCTTTGCAACCACGCACTTTGGAAAAATTGTATCCCACAGCTACGGCTTCTTCGCAGCGTCCTGAGTGACCAGATCAGAAACGGCAGTGTGCCAGAGCCGCCTCCGTACTCGGCCGTCAAGAAAGCTGACGTAGCTGTCTGCTACTTCCACATCCTCACTATGTTGGTTAGCTATCACCAGCATTTTGAGAAGAGTGAGGAGGACGATCTTGTCAAAACGTTCTATTTGGGAATTGGCTCTTGGGATAGGACATCGAAGTGGTGCATCCATGCTCTGACTGTTTGCTGCCACGAAATACCTGATTCGACGACGAAGCACCTTCAAAACATCGTGCAGAAGATGTCTCAGATCATCACGCAACCGCAAATTGCAATTCACATCTTGGAATTCCTTACCCACATGGTTCGGCTACCCGACTTGTACGTCAACTTCCGCGACGACGAGTTCAAGATGGTCTTTGGCGTCTGCTTCCGCTACCTGCAGTATGTGCGCGACCAGCAGGAGAAAGCCGCGAGTCCGGCGCCTGCTCGTCTCAGCGGGGCTGGCTTGAGACACACGGCTCCATCCCGCGACCTTCGGGACTCGAAAATGATCGACCAGAACACTGGCAAGGCGAGGCAAGCGGATGACCTTCCTCAATACGTTCACGCTTTGGCCTATCATGTCATTACTTTCTGGTTCATGGCCATCAAACTTGAAGACCGTGAAAAGTTTGTCCCATGGATCATCAAGAAACTGGTCCACACTGATCGCTTTGGGCGTGAGAGTCTCGAAGAGCAAGCTCTAATCACCATCGACATGTTGTACAGTCGTGCCTATACCGATCGAGATGAGACTGGGTACCAAGAGTCTTTCGCGAAGGAGGCCGATGGAGAGGTCACCAAGCGATCGTGGGTCATCGGTGGAGAAATGATTCTGACGCTTGAGACGGCCGCACGGACTGGCATTACTCAAATCATCAAGCGTCGACCATCGTACACAGGCTACGGCATCTATCACCCACATCTGATTCCCCCACCTCGTCATCAAGTTCCGCTGCTCACAGGCCTGGCCGCGGACGCCTTCTACACTTCTTCTTATGTCGGCGTTTTGCCCGAAGATATCTTCCAGGGCCTGTTCACCCCAATAACGCTTTTCGATCCCGGTGCGATCGAGAGATCTCCGTGGGTCAAATTGCCGGAGGATGATGCCACCCGTCGTTCCATCGGCGTGTTGGACCGCGCATCGACTGTCGATAGTCACAGGGTCGGCGTGATATTCATCGGCGAGGGTCAGACCAACGAGCAAGAGATTCTTGCTAACGTCATGGGCTCTGCAGACTACACGGTATTTGTCGAGTCTCTTGGAGAAGGCAAGCTTGTCCGCCTCAAAGGATCAAAGATGAACACGCAAGGACTGGATCGAGAGTTCGACAGTGATGGCACGCATGCAGTCTGCTGGCGCGACCGTGCTGTGGAGATGGTCTTCCACGTCATCACCATGATGCCCACGGATCTGGAAGTCGATCCTTACTGCATCAACAAGAAGAAGCACATCGGCAATGATTTCGTCAACATTGTCTTCAACAACTCGGGTCTGCCTTTCCGTTTTGACACGTTCCCTTCGCAGTTCAACTACGTTTATATTGTAATCACTCCCGAAGCTCGTACGACATTCGTTGACACGCGAGAAAACGACGGACTCGACCAGTTCTACAAGGTACAAGTCCTCACGCAGCCCGGGTTTCCGGAGGTATCGCCGGCGTCGGAGACGAAGGTCATCAGCGGGAAGGGCCTTCCTGCCTACATCCGTATGCTCGCGCTCAACGCGAGCGTGTTCTGTCAGGTGTGGTCCAGTCGCGATGCAGGCGAGTACGTGTCGTCGTGGCGCAGTCGTCTTCGGGAGATCAAGAAACTCTGGGACAAACACTTGCCTGGCGGGCCGACGCCACCGCCCAGTGCCGCAGGCCTCGGCATGAATAGCGGCGGCGGCGGCCTCTTCCATCGTCAGAGCATCGTGACGTACAATAGCGAGGGCAATAGATCCAGCATCATGAGCGGCACCAGCGCGGAGATGGAGCGGCAGAACTCGAGCGGGTCGCGTGGTTGAGTTTTTCCCTAATTCTTTAGTCCCTTTTTCCTTCCTCTCTTGCTCTTGTTGCTGCTTCTTTGCTCGACTGATACCCCCCGTTGTGGCGTTCGGGAACACTCTCACATCATCATCATCGACGGCGACCAAAACAAAAAATGACAAAATAAAGGAATAATAATGAGCATTACGGTAAGCGGAGGTCATTGTGTTTTTGCGCTGTAAGAAAAAAAAGTTGAAGGGTTCTTTTCTCTTCCTCATGGATTGCACACAGACAAAAGATAGACCGAATGGGTGGACACTGTTGACATTTCTGGGCGTTGTTTTCGTTGATGTTGACAATGTTTGCATGGCGGAATGATGGAGCTTTCTATCTATGGCTGGAAGGTCCCGGTGGGAAGAGGAAAAAGTACCTTTGTTTGCGGAATACCTCAATCTTCTACGGATGCCTTTAAATGTGAATTATGAAGGCTGACTTCAGCCGTCTTCGTAAGAAACGAAAAGGGCTGGTGATTCATGGAAAGCTGAGAGAAGCGCAGGGTGAGAAGGAACTGCACAAGAAGAAGCTTGGTTCAGATACAGAGCGTAGGACTTGATGACTTGATGGTACATAGAAGCTGTAGCTTAGGTAGGTCTTCCAGCTTCTAGAATGGCGTGTAGATTTGGTAATGACATCACGACACTATGCCTATTGCGCGCTAGTGCGAGAGCGGGGAGACCTCGGGGCTCTTGGTTGCGCGGCGGGATCAGAAAGTCTTGGAGCTGCCTTTCCACTCGACTGCACATCCACCTCCACCCTCCTTCCTCCGTTTCTTGGGCCAATCTTTGTGCAAGTCTTCCACGATGGCCGGAAACACTCAGGCTATCGCTCAGCTCCTGCAGCAGAGTCTGGATCCTCGTCACGCCAAAGAAGGTGCGTCTGTTTACACTGTTTGCTTTCCAAACTGATGCCCGCACCTCCGCCTACACACCCTCCGCTCCCCGCCCCCACGCCCTCCCGCTGCATGCCCGCACGCGACCGAGTGCCTATGAAGGAGCTGCCGTACTGACAGTCATTTGCGCAGCCGAGGCCGCCATTAAGCAACAAGAGGGCACGCCAGGCTTCTCGATTGCCTTACTCCACATCGTCGCCGATGCCTCCATACCCCAGACTTCGAGACTCGCCGCCGCCCTCTACTTCAAGAACTTCGTTAGGCGCAACTGGACCGTATGTATCCGGCCAAGCGCTTGCAGACAACATGGGTGGTAATCGATTTGCAGGACGTGGAAGGCAACTATAAGCTGCCGCAAAATGAGGTCGTCACGGTCAAGCAGGAGCTCATTGGCCTCATGATCTCTCAGCCGCCGTCCATACAGCCTCAGCTCGGCGAAGCCATCAGCACAATTGCCGAAAGTGATTTTTACGAGCGGTGGGAGAGCCTTGTTGACGTACGTTCTCATGCGCCCGAACCCCGCGCCCGACGTTTGCTTATACGCTTGCCAGGATCTCGTGTCGCGCTTGACGGCCGACAACCCTGTCACCAACAACGGCGTGCTACAGGTCGCCCACTCGGTCTTCAAGCGCTGGAGGCCGCTTTTCAGGTCCGACGACCTCTACACCGAGATCAACTTCGTGCTGGGCAAGTTTGCCGACCCCTTCCTCCAGCTCTTCCAGGTGCGTGTGATCGCGTGAATAAAACTGCGGAATAGCTGCCTGACAGTCTTCTAGAACACCGATGCGCAAATTACCGCCAATGCAGGCAACAAGGAAGCTCTGCAGAGCTGGGTCGCTTCCCTGAACCTTATTCTCAAGCTCGTCGTCGATCTCTCTTGCCAGGACCTGCCCCCGCAGTTTGACGAAAATATCAAGGGCCTGAGTGGGCTCCTCCACAAGTACCTTACCTACGACAACCCCGCGCTACACACCGATGATGACACAGAGGCTGGCCCTCTCGAGTTTGTCAAGGCTGGCATTTTCGAGGTCTTGATTCTCTACACCCAGAAGTACGAGGATGAGTTTGGACAGTACCTTGGAAGCTTCATTGAGAGCTCTTGGAGCCTCCTGACCAACATTGGCGCCGAGACAAAGTACGATATCCTTGTCAGCAAGGCATTGCAGTTCCTGACCTCGGTCACCTCCAACAACGCGCATGCTCAGCTTTTCAACAATGAGGCAACCCTCAACCAGGTGGTCGAGAAGGTCATCCTGCCCAACCTGTCCCTTCGCGAATCCGACGTTGAGATGTTCGAAGATGAGCCCATTGAGTTCATTCGTAGGGATCTGGAGGGCTCGGACAGCGATACCAGGAGACGTGCTGCTACCGACTTCCTGCGCCAGTTGATGACCCAGTTCGAGGGTTTGGTGACGGGCGTTGTGAACCAGTACATTGACAGGTACCTCCAACACTACGCGCAGAACAAGGCGGAAAACTGGAAATCCAAGGATACGGCCGTCTACCTCTTCTGCTCCATCGCTGCCAAGGGAACTTCTACCGCCCAGTTTGGTGTGAAGACCGTCAACTCTCATGTCAACATTCTGGACTTTTTCCAGAGGAACATCGCAGAGGACCTTACTGGTGACAGCGTCGAGCCCATCCTCAAGGTCGACGCTATCAAGTACGTCTATCTCTTCCGTAGTCAGCTCACCCAGGAGTACTGGCAAGCCGCTTTCCCCCTCCTTGTCAGACATCTCGGCGTTTCCAACTTTGTCATCTACTCTTACGCTGCTATTGCGGTTGAGAGGGCGCTGTATCTCACTGGCGATAACCGGCAACCGGTTATCCCGAGGGACACTGTTGCACCCTTGGCAAAGGATCTGCTGGTACACCTCTTCGGTCTGATCCAGAAAGAGTCGGCTCCGGAAAAGATCCAGGAGAACGAGTTCTTGATGAAGTGCGTTATGAGAGTTCTCATCGTCATCAAGGAAGGTGTTCTGCCTATCGCAGATGCCGTTCTCAAGAACTTCATCAACATCACCATGGTCATTCGCCACAACCCGAGCAACCCTCGCTTCTACTACTACCATTTCGAGGGTATCGGTGCACTCATCAGGGGTGCAGCGCCTTCGGAGCCTCAGAAGCTGGAGCAAGCCCTCTACGATCCTTTCTCGACGATTCTCCGTACCGAGGTTGAGGAATTTACGCCTTACGTTTTCCAGCTTTTCGCAGCTCTGCTCGAGTCAAACCCCTCTGGTGTCCTGCCCGAGTACTATAAGTCGCTGATTCCTCCGCTCTTGATGCCCGTTGTTTGGGAGAACAAGGGTAACATCCCGGCGCTGGTCCGCCTGCTGTCCGCCATGGTCAGCCGTGACCCCGGTAGCATCGTCCAGAACAACCAGCTCGAGCCCATGCTTGGTATTTTCCAGAAGCTCGTGTCCACCAAGACGAACGAGGCTCATGGCTTCGATCTGCTGGAGGCTATTGTGGCTGCAGTTCCAGCCGATAACCTGAAGCAGTACTTCGTGCCCATGCTCACCATCATGCTCACACGGTTGTCGAACTCAAAGACCGAGACTTTCGCTTCTCGCTTTGTGCGCTTCTACCACTTTGTTGCTGCGCGTGATGACAAGGGCCTGGGCTCGGACTTCTTCATCGGCGCTGCCGACAGTGTCCAGCAAGAGTAAGCTCTGCCCTAATCATGATTCATTGGGATGAGTTGACTAATGCCTTGACCAGCGTGTTCCGCCCTATCTATCCTCAAATCATCCTGCCTGACACTCAAAAGCTCACGCGTCCCTTCGACCGCAAGACGGCCGTTGTCTCCCTCACCAAAACCCTCACCGACGGTCAGGCCTTCGTCGAGCGCTACAAGAAGGGATGGGCTCTCACCTGTGAGGCTCTCCTCAAGCTCCTCATCAACCCGCCCGTCGCACCCAGCAGCGACGACATCATCCCGGAGCAGGACGTCGACGACCTGGGCTTCGGCGTCGGCTTCACGCAGCTCAACACGTGCCGCAAGGCCGCCGTCGACCCTTTCCCAGAGATCACCGATGTCAAGAGATGGGTTGGTGAGTACCTGAGGCAGGCCGACCAGAGGAACGGTGGCAGGGTGAGCGCGTTTGTGCAGGAGAGGTTGAGCGCCGAGGCTAAGCAGGCGTTGATGGCGACTATGCAGGGTTAGAGTAGAGTTTTTTTCTTTTGGGCGGCGGTGCGGTTGAGGTAGAAAACGGATGATGCGATTGATACCAATGATAGGGAGGAAAAGCAGAATGTAAAAGAGGGCGCGCTCAGCAGGGGTGGTGGCTTCATTTGAAAGAGTAGAATGGTACATTTGGTGGTCGACAGCTAGTCGGATCAAGCAAAATAAGATATTATTATTCATTTGCGACAACCGTTCTGGTCAATACTGTGTTGTTGTTGACTAATTTTGCAAACATGGGGGAGTGATGAGCGTAGGATAAATTTTCGTGTGTTGCGAGAGTTGAGGCTCTACACAGGAAAAATTAGAGTCTTCGGATGCTTCTGGAAAGAGAGAAGCAATTGGGGAATCCGTAGATGCAGTTCGATCTAAGTTCAAAAGACAAGTACGATTGATTGTGTGATAGCTAGCTGACTTCTATTGGCATCTATGGTACAGATTAGAAGAAAGCTCGAGGTGAAAAAAAGCGCATCGCCATTACTAAACGTGTCAACCTCTCACTGCTGTCTGCTTGACACTTCGTTCCCCTCTTTCCCCTCTTTCCCCTCTTTCCCCTTCTTCCTTCTACTTCCCACACGACTCCCTCTAACCTCCTACACAACTACTACAACTCAAATCCACCCCACTCAATGACACTTTCCCCCCGCCCAACAAGACAAACACCGCCATTCTCTCTCTCTCTCACAGCACGACCTGCACCCAACACAGACTCCCGATATGGCTGGCGGGGAATGGGCCCTCGGCGACCTCGAGGCCGAGCTCGATGACGAAGCCGGCCTGGCTGACGCCAAAGGGGCAGACGAGCTCGCTCTCGAGCTTGGCCTCGGCGCGGGGCTCGAGGCGCACGCGGCGGGCCCAGCCGAGCAGCTGCTGGGCGACGCGCGAGCGCACGCTGTCGTCCGGGTCGGCGAGGGGCGCGCCGCGCACGCGCACGACGGGGGCGACGGTGAAGCTGTGCGGCGTGTCGGGCGACGTGTTGAGGAGGGTGGCGGTGAGCTTGGCCGTGTCGCCGCGGCGGAGGGAGTAGAGTGGGGGAGGGGTCGTTGTGGTGGTGGATGATGACAGGGGGTTGGGGACGCGGAGTTCTGGGGGCAAGGTCATACTGATGGATAGGATGGACATGATGTAGCCGACGGTTTCGGGTGTGAGTTTGAGCGCGGCGCAGTTGACGAGGCCGTGGCGGGAGCCGGAGCGGTCGCGCCAGCGGCAGCGCAGGCTCTGCAGCAGCTTCTGCCGGTACCAGAAGCACATGCGCTCCTCGCGCGACAGCGGCTGCGTGTCCGTCAGCACGAACTGCCGGTCCTGCGCCGCGGGGATGGCGTCGTTGGAGTGCGGCAGGTGGATCTTGGGCACCAGCACCGCCATGCTGCTGGCCTGGCCCGGCTTGAGGAAGTCGGACCGGCTGGCGAGGTCGTTCGGCGGTTGTTGTTTGGTGGGGGAGGAGGCGGCGGCGGCGACCGTGGTGGCGGGGATGTCGTCGTACCAGGCCTCGACGCTGAGCTCGCGGTCTGAGATGTTGAGGAATTCGAAGATCAGCATGAAGTGCTCGTTCAAGTCGACCTGCGGGAATTTGGCCGCGATGTGCTCGCTCGCCTCGCGGCCGGGAAGCACGGAGAAGTGCGAGGCCGTGATGGATGGCTGGACCGTGACTGCGATTTCCTGGGAGACTCTGCTAGTCACCCAGTATTCTCCAGGTTCGGGTTTGTCCGCTGCAGCGTACTCGACGCCAACAATGCCCTTGTTCAGACCTGTGACGCCGAAAACATCGACGGTGAAGGTCATGGGTTTGTGTGGGTCTAGCTGCGACGAGGGTTTGAAATCCCCAGATTTCCACTCTGCGCGCCCGATGTCCTGGCCGAGCTCGTAGATTTTTGAGGGAAGGTTGCTACTTCTGCGCGAGACCCTCAATACGTCCACGGTGTTATTGCGACCAAGCATGTGTAGAATACTAGCCTTGATAGGTTTGTCCTTCTCATCGTGGCTGATGGTGACTTTGAACGACTTGGTCTCTCCCTCCAAGAGGGAGAGGGTGTCTTGTATCAGATTCGTTCTGACAGCGAGGCTCGGCTGTTGCGGGACCACGGTGACGGAAGGCAGAACCGGCTGTCCTCTTGAGACAGGCCTAATCGTTGTAGCTGTACCTGGCCTGGAAGAATCATTCGTCTTCTTGATCTTCGCAATATTGTGGCCCACCTCCTTCATCTTCTCCACCTCTTGAATTGTCGTTCGGCTGATGGAGACATCAAAATCCCTCTCGCGGCACTGGCGCACCTTGATGCGTAGCTTCACAAGATCGTGCACATCTGGTACGGTGGCAACGACCGGGACGCGCAGTGGCTGCACCGCGCATGGCGGTATTTGGTAGGTCAGATTAGGGGGACAAGAAATCTCGACATCTTTCGCAGACACCAGCTTGATGGATTCAATATCAAGAGGAAAGGCGAAGGGATTGCGCAGTGTTACGATGAACTCACTGGGCTCGCCCGCCACGAGTGGCACCACTGTCGAACCCTTGTTTTTGTCTCCAAAAGCTTGATGCTCGAACCTGGCGCTTGTTCTTTGTGCGTCGTCGGCATTTGTGTTTTTGCGGAGAGTCAAATCACGCCCTGCGCGCTCTGAATCATACTTGACGCTGTGCACAAGATGATCGTACCAGAAGATTGCCTCGGTCTGCTCCATACCAACCGCCTTCGCAGCTTCCAAAGAACGATGGATGTTTTGTACCAAACGATGCTGATCTTCTCTTGGCATGAGGCATCTGAAGCCTGGATCCGTCTCTTCGAGGGGCTCTTGTGGGGCAATAATGCTGAGGAATGATGAGGAAAAGTCCAATACTCCTTGAAGATCTGCCATAGCTTCACAGACATTGATACACCGTCGGAGAACCTCCGCCTTGAGCACAATGCTTCCGTAAGCCCGGAGGTTTTCTCCAACGCCATCGACCTTTGGCCCAAGTCGGCTTCTGGCGGGGACGCCGTATTCGCGTACGAATTGCTCCAGGAAGATGAAGACGGTTTCGCCGTATTTCCTGTCGGTTGGCTGGACTAGGCCGCCCGAAAGCATTCCTGCTGCAGGATGAATTCCCATTTCAGCAGCCCCTAGCTTCCGCGCTTGAAGCAGTGCTGGAACTAGGATGTCCATCAAGAGGGTAACGACGAAAGCCCTTTTCCTTGAAAGACCTAGTTTGGCCAAGCACCCAGCCGCTTCCGCATATACCGTGGCCCTCTCGGTGTCGGTGATGGTCGGTGATGAGGACACCGAATCGATGGCGTCCGAAAGTATGTTTGAAATGTAGACAATTCTGCTTGAACTTCCTTTTACCGGTGGCGAGTTGTTTTCAGACTGGCTCTCAACCTTCGCAAAGAATTCCTGGGGGGTGAAATTTTTGCCCGAGCGTTCTATAGCTGTGAGAAGGTTCGCCATTCGGATCTTGTTTTCCGCGTCGATCAAGGTGAGCAGGTGGCCGGAATCGCTCCTGAAAGAGAGCCTGTAAAAGCTCATAATTCGAGAAATCATCTCTGGGGCCCATTCAATGACATTTGCAAGAGTACCGGACACCGGCATCCCTTTTGTGCTGGGAGTGCAGGTGGTGGGTATCTGTGTAGCGGTGTTAATCACAGAGACTCTAAATTTCTAGGTGCGGCTTACCTCGAACTCTTGTTCCTGGCCGACAAGTATCACAGAGCAGATCAACATTTGCTCCAGAGCCTTCCCCATAACCAAATGTTCGTTGACATTTTCTGCCTTGAGATAAGTTTCATGAGCTCTTTTGAGGCCTTCAGCGACAAAGCCAGCCATCAAGCAAACTTGAGCATCAACTAGGTCGTGCCGGCAAGCGTTGCTGAGCCTTGCCTTTTCTTCCATACTGCCGGATCCGAAGCCTTGAATTGAAAAGCGCTGGAGGGCGCGAGGGCGTGAAGGTGCCGAATCAGTCGGAGTCGTGTCGCCAGATCTTCCGCTCGAAGGATCTTCGTTCGGGGAAAGTTCTGGTGGGGTAATAGCACGAGGGTGCTCGGTTGGAGGGCTCAGCCGCAAACCAAGGGAGCCCCGCCTCCCAGTCGCTTCCTGCTTCTGTAGCTGTTGGATCTGGACAGGCTGAGCGGGAGATCCAGTTCGGGTTGGACTGTTCTCTATCGACCCAAAGCCAAAAGAACTTTGGCGGACAAGAGAGAAAGGCGATTTGGGGGGCTGAGGGGACGAAGGGCCAGAAGCAATGCTAATCTCGGGCAGAGCTTGCAAAGATTTGGAGAGTCCCGTCATTTCGGCCAGTAGCAATGACGAGAGATCGCACATTACAGTCTTCATGGTTGTACTAGTGGATTCCGCTTGAGGCGGCACGAGCATCGTCTCTTCGGGCAGCCAAGGCGGCAGAGAAGGGAGACCACTGTCGAAAAGCAGCAGCTTGTGTACGATGGCGCGAGGGTACTCCTCACGCATGACATCAACGACTTCATTGAGTTCTTCTCGTTTCAAAGCAACATTAGTCTTGTCCTCAGCAGCGTTGGCAGTGTCGCTGTCCAAGGCCTCCTGATACTCCTCTCCATCAGCTACACCAAGGACCATGAGCGGCTCTCGGCATAGCTCGAAGGGGGAGAGGGAGATGTAGGAAGCTGGCGGCATGGATGTTGTGAAATAATACAAGACGGTGCCCTGGGGGTTGCGCAGGGGAGAGAACATGGCTTGGGCACACAATTAGCAAGATTGGCTCATGGTGCACTGCGGGGGCAGCGTACTTCTGTCGGGACGCGGGTCGGGAGTGACATCTCCAAGGCGGATGGAGGATTCAGGCTGCAGGCGCTCGACACAGGTCATGAATCGCGAGCGCTTGATCTTCCCCGCGGGGACCAGGAGCACCCGAATGCGCGCTGGCGCAATGGGCGAGAAAGGATCAACGGCCATGGTGACATCTGGTGTGGCTCGTGGCCGCCCCGGCGATGATAACTAGAGCAGCTCCGCGGCGGTCAGAACTCCAATGCGGTCACGTGGCGGAAAGCGGGCTGGTTGGGCAGAGGCGGGCGTCAGGCAGCGATCGCAGGCCTGCTGCACCGTCCTGCGTCCAGAGAAGGGCGGGCGAAATTGGCGGCGAGGGTGGCGGGCTCGGTGAAGCTTGAGGTTGCGCAGCATCAGGGAGCGCTGGATGGCCGAAAGGAGCGACGCAGCGGGGCCCCCGGGCGGGTCAGGGCACCGCGGTGGCGGGGCGGGCTTTCTTTTCGGCGGGCGGAATCGCAGCTTGGCCGCTGGCGGAGGTGCAGCCCTACCTGACTCGTGCGCCGCGCCGCTGCCCGCACCTCCACATGCACCAGCGCCTTTCCGGCATCAGCCTCAGTCTCTCCTCCCCGCCCCCTGTGCTTTGTCAGACCCTTCGTGTCACAGCGCTTGTCTGCGGCTCTTGGGGCGCAGGGCAAACGCTAGTATCCCGTGCTTCCATCACTTCCCTTCTCCTTCGACACCTGCCCATCGCCCACGCCACCGCTCCATCTCCTCTTTTTATATACCCGGCCGCCGCCCTGCGCACTGCGAGCTTCCCTCATGCACGCTACCGCCATCTCTTCCCCGCATCTCAACTAATACCGCAGGGCTGCCTGGGGACGCTGGCCGCTGCGGATCCTGAGACACGTCGCCAAATCGCCACCGCTGCCCAACCATGGCCGGTTCCATCAACTATGCTCGCATGCGCGAGCTGACTATGCAAGAGGGCCAAGATGATACCGTCACCGTCAACACCCGCGCTCTTATCGACAAGGTCTTGGCCCGGTACTCTGCCGAATTTACCACCTTGAGAGAGCTGGTCCAGAACGCCGCAGATGCCGGTGCCACCAAGGCCACCATCAGGTTGGAGACGGATCCATCCACGCGTGTGCCCTTGCCACAGACCCAGGATCCGTCCGTCGTGCTCAGACACGTCGTCAAGAACCACACCTTGAGGAGCCTCGACGTAGCTAATAACGGCAAGCCTTTTACCGATGCCGACTGGTCGCGTCTACGCTGTATCGCCGAGGGAAACCCTGACGAGACCAAGATCGGTGCTTTTGGTGTCGGCTTCTACTCGGTCTTCAGCGAATGTGACGAGCCTTTTGTGATATCTGGCAACAAGACCAGTAAGTTCCTATCGGACCGTTTGTATGCAGTGCCTTTGCTGACGCTTTGCAGTGGCCTTTTTCTGGAAGGGAAACACTCTCGCCGTCAAATCTTCAACTTTACCTCCTGAGCAGGCCTCGGACAGTACTCGATTCATCTTAGACTATCGCAAATCCTCTGACAAGAACGGAGATGTGACGCCTTCTCCGGTTCCTGACCTCTTTGAACTGTCCAAGTTCCTCACCACTAGTCTTACCTTTCTCGCATTACAGAGCATTGAATTATACGTTGATGATTTCAGAATACTGCAATTAACCAAGACAACATCTGCTGCTGCTCCAACTTCAATACCGAGCCATATCGGGAGGAAGTCCGAGAAAGGACTCATGGAGATCCGCGAAGTCATGCACCAGACGGCCAACATCAAGGCCGAGTGGACCAACGTGATAGCTTGGGACAGAAAAGATCATTCCCAGGAATCCGTAATTGAAGAGGCAGTGCCCGCCGTACCCAGTTTCAAGGGCTTTTTCGCGAGGTTCAACATCGGCACCGCGAGCAAGAGGGAACAGGAGCAAAAGGCAGCCAGAGAGAAGGCAGAGGCGGAGCAAAGAGCCGTCGCGGAAGATGTGGCTGGCATCTCGCAAGCAACCATTGCCTTGCGTATCAACACTGTCCATATAAACACAAAGGTTCCGAAGATCCTGTCCAGCGAGCTTCTTCGAGCAACCAAGAAACCGCCTCCTCAGCAGACTCGCTTAGCTATCTTGACTGCGGACCAGACTAGCCTGGAAACTTCAATAACGGACGCTTCCGGCCTCACCGTGGAGCGCTCTTCCGACCTCTTTGCCTCCGCTCTGCCAACGAAGAATGGACGTGTCTTCATCGGCTTCCCAACAGGTCAGACGACCGGCTACCAGTGCCATATCTTCGCACCTTCTCTGATTCCGACTGTCGAACGTGAGAGTATTGACCTGTCGAATCGTCACGTCTCAACGTGGAACGAGGCTATGCTCGAAATTGCCGGTATCGCTTGCCGGATGGCGTTTGACAGCGGCATGACTACCATCAAAGAAACCCTGTCGAAGGAGTTAGCATCCGCTGGGTCATCCAAACCTACGGCTGATCACATCTCAAAGATCATTCCTGATGCGTTGCGACTGTTGAAGCAATGGACCGCCCGAGAAGCTACACCATCTGGTGTGGTAGGAAGATGCGTTGAAGAAGGGTTCTGGAGGGCATCCAAAAAGACGGATATGCTCTCAACGAACGGCGTCCTGCCCTGTCAGAATGTGCGCGTGTCAATGCTGAAGCTGGGATTCCTTCAGGACCTTCCCATGGTTCCCGAACAGCTCATCGAAGAGACGAGAACTTTCGTCGAGAAAATGCTGAGTCGACGCATTCTGTACTACCTGACAGTAGAGGATATCGTCCAGCGCCTTGAGAACAAACCTCTGAGCGAGGAAGAAATGCGCGAGTTCCTCAAGTTCACTGCCCAAATGTCTAATTCCGATACAATCGACGCCAGCGACCTCAAGAAACTCTTCAATGCCGCGGTGTTGACCGATGGTTCGACTATTATCGCTCTTGGAAGCATCACCTTCTACTTGAATGCCGCCAAGTACCCTCCTGATCTTCCCTTTCCGGATTCTGTCATGCCGTTGAAGTACACAAAGGACTTCACCCGAGCACAACTCGAGGGTTTCGGATGGGAAGAACTCCCTGTGGAGGAATGGATACGCTATCTCTTGGAATTCAACCAGCGCAATGGCGGCAAATCACTCACCAAGGATGCCGAGTTTGCCACCTTAGTCCTCAAGGTGATATCTAAGCAGTGGGATCAACTCAGAGCGCACCAGCGAACCGCGGTGGTTGCGCTTCTCCAGCCCCACACTGTAATGCCTACAAAGAACGGCATGCAGACACCACAGCAGACATATCACCCCAACGTGAAGCTCTTTGAAGATCTTCCAAACCTCACTGTACCAGGCTTGAAACCAAAATTCCTCGAGGCACTGGGGCTTCGCCAGACCATTGACCTGGACTACGTCTTCACCCGACTGCTGGCTACTCCTAACAAATCCGCCGACGACAATCAGCCTAAGTGGAGTCACATGGATCTCATTGAATACTTGACGGATGTTCGGGACTCCATCCCCGCCAAGGATCGCACCGTTCTTGCCGAGAAGCAAATTTGGCCCGTGGAAGACTACGCTGGATTCCGGGGGGACGCGAAGCGGTCGTATAAACTGCAGCAGATCTATGAGCCAAGCAAGGACAACAAAGCACTCGGTCTTCCGGTCATCAAGTGGCGCGCAAATGCAGAGTATAAGTCTATGGACCCGAAGGCCAAGTTCCTTCGCGAGTTGGGTCTGCGAAAGAGCCCGAGCTGGACTGAGGTTATCGACATGGTTCTCGATTCAGCAAGGACAAATGATGCCCAGCAGTATGAGAAGGTTATGTATCACTTCTTGTCTAATCGCGCGATGTGGCAGAATATTCCGCCAGCCGCGCTAGCAGACAAGAAAATCCTACCTGTGGAGTCTTCTCCTTTCCCCTTCCTGGTCCGGCCATCGGAGTGCGTCACAAACTCCGATGCATCCCTTTTTGGGTACAATATTCTGCGCCGTGACATTCAGCCCCATGCAGCTGTCTTTGGTGTTTCTCGGGACCCTCCAATCGATGCTTGCGCCAGAAAATTGATCAGGTCTCCTCCAAGCAGCAAACAAGAAGCTGCTCTCTACTTCGGATACATGGCTGGGAGAATTGCCGACATTCAGAGTCAGCGCCACATTGCACAGGAGCTTGGCAGTTCTCCAATCGTCCCACTTCCTGGTCCGCAAGGCTCTGTAAAAGTCAGGCACATTCCACCGCAATCTTGTTTTGTCGGTGAGAGCAAGGAGTTTGGCAACATCCTGAACTTTGTGGACTTCGGAAGTATTGCAAACGCCTTCTTACGCACCGTCGGCGCCAAAGACCAACCTACCATTTTGGAGCTCGCCCGCATGGTCGTTGAAAACCCTACCAAGGTTTTACAGGAGCTTCAGGCGCCAAAGTATATGGACTTGCTTCGACAATTCGCCGTTGAGGAGAGGGAACTTAAGTCGGATAAGAGTGTTTGGGGTGCATTCAAGACCAGGCCAGTGTTGCTTGCTTTCAAGGATGAACAGCAAGCTGGCAAGGCAGCCGAGGAGAAGGAGAAGTCCCTACTTGACGGCGATGATGACGACATCGATGACCCTACCATTCAGCAGGTTCTCGTCAGCGCCACTGCCTCTCAGATTGTCATCCGAGACAATGTGCAGTATTATGGTGTGTTCCGGCACTCACTCCTAGTTGCTCCCGAGGATGAAGTTCTCGAACAGTTCTACATGCACCTTGGTGCCGAGAAGCTCAGCGATCGTGTCAACGTTGAGAAGATTGCCGGCAACCCCATCCCTGGTGGAGAGCACCAGGCAACCGCATTGAAGACGCTTCTCATAGAGCGAACGCCGATTTTCCTCGTGTCCTACAGCAAGGACCAAATATACCACGATACACGGTGGTTGGAATCAAATCTGGATGTGAAGCTTGTATCATCCCTTACGCATCGCCTTCAGTTGCCAGGACAGCGAGCTGTGTCGCTCAAGACCAGTGCTGGCCTTCTCAGAGTGAGGTCGAGGTTCCAGACGTCAACAATTCTTTACGTTCGTCAGGATTTCGACTTTTATGAAGTCAGCCGCGAGCTCGTTCCGCTACTGCTAAAGCGCCAAAACCCAAAGCATGAGGCTTTGATCCTGGAGACGATCTTGAGCAACAGCCTGCGTCGCTTACGAGACAAGGGCTATGATGTGCACCGCATTCTCGCCCGTAAAGAAAGACACAGAGCTCTGGAGCAGGCTCGGCTTGCCGAGGAGGAGAAGCAAAGAATTGCAGAGGAGGAAAGAATTGCAAACGCACCTCCGCCTTATTCCGAGCCAACATCAGCAAAGCAGCCCCTTCCTCCAGTGCAGCAACCGCCGCAAATTGAGGCAGCTGCCAATGCGGTGCCCCCGAAGACTCCAGAGAAGTCGATGCCGAGGATGCCTGGTGCCTTTGACTCACCTGAGCACGACGTACCGGACAACCAGGTCCAACGTCGCTCAAGTATCGAAGCGGCCTCAAACAACAACCGCCGCAGCAAGTTCATGTCGAACTTCACCAAAGCCTTCGAAAACCTAACTGCTGGCAACAACCGCTCCAGCATTTCGGCTCCAGGCGCCAGCAACACCACCAGCGCCGGCGGTGGTGGGCAGTCCCGACCCAGCGACCCGAACAACATGTCGAGCGACATCCGGGCCAATCTGGAGTCGGCGCTGCAGAAGTGCCGGGCGCACAACTCGCCACACGTACAGTCAGAGGCACGAACGCGCGACATCGACGAGGCACGCGGGTCGTACTGCGACAGCAGCACGAGCAAGGACCTGTCGCGCTGGATCCCGTCGCACCAGGGCACCGGCATTGCCGTCTACCTGGCCAACAACCCCGTCCGCCCCGTGCCCACTAGCGACCCGACCTTCCTCGCCGGCATCGATGCCTTCGCCAACCTTGTGCACCGCATCGGCGGCTCCGTCTTCGGCCTCGGCAACGCGCCCGGCGTGCTCAATATCTTCTACGAGGAGACGAGCAGCACCATCGCGTTCAACCAGGGCGGCGCGCTGTTCTTCAATTACCATTACTTCTTGACGCTGCACAATGCGGCCATGGACGCAAGCGAGGGAAAGAGGGATGCGCATATCTTCTGGTGGGAGGCGTTCTGTCATGAGATTGCGCACAATTTGTCTCAGGAGCATAGCGCGCAGCACGTCTTCTACGAGGGCAGCTTTGTGAAGGCGACGTTCGCCAGTATGTCAAGGTTGGTTGGGGGCATGTAGGTGAATTTTCTTTTTGATCATTACTAGAGAGCGCATGGTATGGTAGACTGTCCTCGATTTTCCCTGTTTAGATGTACTTTTTGTTCTTTGTCGCATCTGGTCTGCTGTTTCTTGCAAGAAGGGGGAGTGTAGATAGTAGAATAAGAACTGAGGCATTGCATCACGTGTACTCAAACTTGTAGATGAGTTAGGTAAAGAGCACGAAATAGACCATCTGCTAGAGTTGGCAGAACTGTTACGAGAAAAAAGACACTTCACTCCGTTATTTCCCGACACACCACGTTTCCTTTGTGCTTTGTTGTTTTTCCCAACCCGAAAACCGTCCACGCAAGCTTTTTCAGCCGCATGCAACATGGTCAGCTCTTTCCTCGTCCGAGATATCCAAAATGTAAGACACCGAGCAGGTGGTGGCTTTGTTGGACGAATGGGATGCGTCCGCTGAATGAGATTTCCAACACCGTTTCTCACCACGCACGTCCCTTCTCTCTTTCTCTCACAGACAAGCACTATACGGCTCTTTGAAGAGGCGGGCCAAGCGGCCCATCGATATAGTGTGGTCTGCTACAATCCCAGCTCGGCCGCATGCACGGCCATCAGTTTTGTTTGGCGTCTAGCTGATGAGTTTTGTGGCGGCATGAAGAACGGCGCTTTTGGGTGCTACGCGTATGGCAGCTGTAGGCCTAAGGTTCGAGTGACTCGGCCTGAAAAAAAAGTTTGACGTTTGAGAATCTGTTGGCTTTTCTCGGCAAGACGGACGGCCTGTTTTTGGCTTCGTTGCATAGCAGTGGCGCAAGCATGACAGGACGGAGTGACGTCGGGGGCGGGATGACGACGACGACGAAGAACGGCTGTTGGTTATGTGAGACTTGAAACTTGGGGGAAGGGATGGGGTGGAGGTGGATTGTGGTTGCCGTTCTTTGTCGTTGGCTGGCTGCTTAGGGAAAAGGGTGGGAAAGCGGGCGGATTGAGGAGATGGGTAGTAGAATGTGGTCATGAATAAGGCAAGCCGAGATGCTATTGGATCGTCTGGACAGCTTTAGTTGTATTATGTGGCTAGGTTGAAAAGAGGGATTAAACGTTCTAGCCAAGGTCTCATCTTGATCGCTCTATCGCGAGGCCGGGCCCAGTCGAAGAAAGTAAGTCTGGATTAATCCGAGAAAAGCATTTCCGGTAGTCTCTCACACAATCAGCGCATTCGACGGGGGCCTGGCCTTGATTTTGATTAAGCAAGTTGACAACACAAAGGACAACCCGCCGCTGACGCCGGTACACCTTGTTGGTTCTGCTCTCGACACGGCACCGCGGCAGCTGAGTGCTTGGCGATCTTCCTTTCTCAGCTTACTTCAGAACAGATTTCACCACAACCCCTATTAGAATCTAGCGTCTATCTTTGCGGTAATTCCAGTCAAACTTCTGAAACGGGCGCCCGGTATGTTGGCGCTTGTGCGACAAGAGGCGGCCCCGAACAGTTCCAGACTGCAGCAAGAGCTTCCGTACGAGCGGGAGTCGTGCAGGAAACATGCCCGTGCGTTGGGACCGGAGAGAGCGATGTAGAGGAGGGGCGATAATGCGCCCGGCGGCGCAGCGGATGGAATTCGTTATATTGAGCACTGTTAAAATTCCAATCCCGGATCGGCGCGCGTCGGACAGGGCAGATATTAGCGACTGTGGCTTGATGATCGCCGGTGCTTAAGATTTTACTTCTCGCTGCAGATATAGCGATTGGAGACAATCCTCGCTCGCGTAGATCAGCAATTAGAGAGCGATGCGATGCAGCGCGGAGGACAAGCGGCGGCGCTGCGGTAGCACCCGCGCCGCTGCATGTCTTTGCTGCAACTACTTGGTAATCGCCGTGGCCGTGAAACTAGCACAGGGTTATTTTTCGAATCAGTATCATCTCATGGTCGGATTTGGTGATTCAGAAAGCCGCAGGAATGTTGTCGTGGTGTCGCTCCGGCCGAAGCACCCGAAGCGTAGGCCATTCGGATGCAAGCCACGACGCATATTGTTCGCGAACGAGAGCACAAGGCAGCCGACACGGTGTTGGCAAGGCACATTACGGGCATGGCGATGGGTTAGGGGCAGCATCGGACAGAGGCAAGCGTCGGGGAGTGCTCGTGTCGCAAGTGTGTGCAACCTTGGATTCCCCTCTCCTTTCTGTTTCATCAGTGGTAGCGTTTCAGCGGCCAGACGTGAGGAATGCGGGGACGCGGCCGTTTCAGGGACGGATTCAGGCTCCGGCTGCTGCGAAGGGCGAGTCTTTGTGAGAGGTCAGTCTTGTTCTCTGGTGCCCGGTAAGGCCATGGGAGAGATCACGCGTTGTTCTGCGGCCCAAAGTGCCTTGCATATCTGCACGTCATGCTGACGCCGCGCATGAGCTTGTTACTGCCTGTCCGCTGCAGCGGATCACCGCAGAAAGTCCTCGAGCAGAGCAAATGTGCTGCATTCTGCCCGTTCCCCCAGTGACACGGCGAGCCGCGCATGCGCGCAACGGACGTCGCCCGCTGACTACGTCTCAATCTTCTAGCCGCGGGCGCGTACTGAAGGATTCAATGCAGTGGCGCAGTGACAGGTCGCAAGGTGGCCTCGGAAAGCAGCGCAGCGGACGGGGCAGGAATGGCGAGGACAGGGCACGGCCCTGGCCTGCACGCATAACGCGACCGTCCGAGACGAGGGAAACACGGAGTCCCGGGCTGAGGCCAATCAGGACCCGCGCGGGAGGGCCGTAGGGCAGCAGGCCCCGGCCGCTGATCATTGTAGCGGGAGCTGACGCTGGAGCCAGGCCTCGCGCGAGCCTGGCCCAAGACCTGTCCAAGCAACAAACGCCGCTGCCGCCGCCGCGAGCCTCAATCAAACAACTACGCTCCAGCCCATGCGATACAGCCTGGCGAGCGCGAGAGCGAGGTGGGCGGGCAAGCGTGGTTGCTGCTAAGGGGGATCCAGACATGCAGCGCATGCTCAAGCGCAGAGCCGACCCAAGCTGTCGGCGACGCGTGGACGTATAAACCAGCGGCTCTGCCAGAATTATTCGCGTGAGCCCAGCTCGTGTCGTCGCCGCTTTCCTGCTCTGCTGCGTTCGAGCCCCCGCGGACCGTCGCCCGCCCGCCGTTCCTTCCCGCTCTGCCCTCCGCCGCCGTCTGCACCCGCCCAAACAGGAAGGCACCCCAGCTAAGCGAGCGCTAGCGCGCCTGGCCGCCTATTTCTTCCTCAACTGCGCTTGCTCTTGCTCCTCTTCTTCCTCCTCATCCTTCTTTTACCCATCCACACTCCCTTGCAACTTCCGCTTTCTTCACTCAGTCGTTCCTTCCTTTGTGCGCCTCGGTCGTACACCCTTAGGTCCTCTCGCTGTGCTTGAGGCCGTCCACGTAAGTCTACAACACCACTGACCTCATCACTGACCTCACTCACCTCGTCCCACCTGTCCATCACCTTTTGCCTCACTCGCCGGCCTCCTGCTTCACTCCCACTGTCGTATATAAGTTGCTGCCTTCACTCTCTTTCCACCCCATCGGTCACCTCGTCCAAGCTCTTTCATCCCTTTACCTAACCTTCAGCCTTAGTCCTTCTCATTACATTCGACAAGTCGTCATGCGCTTCTCGGCTTTGATTGCCGGCGGCTTGGCTGCCCTGGCCACGGCGGCTCCGGTCATGGTCACCCGCACTGTTGTCAAGGTCGTCACCCACCATGGACCCAGGCCCACCGACTTCGTCAACAAGCACGTCGTGGAGTCTCCTCGTGTCGTCGTCATCACCAAGGCTGTTACCGTTACCGCCTCGCGCCCTCCCGTCGTCTTCCTCAGCACGGCCAAGCCTACTCTCCCGCTCCAGTCCAGGCCCCCCTCCATCCCTTCGACTGCCATCTCCTACCAGCGTGCTGGTGTCTTCAAGAAGGTCCAGCCCCCTGCCTACACGGCCCGTGCCAGTTCCGGTTCTAGCAGCAACGGTGTTGGCAGCGACTGCGGTGCTCTTCACCCTCAGGACCCCCAGCTCTGCCAAGATTCGCTGGATGCTCACAACCGTCACCGTCGCAACCACACCGTTCCCGAAATGAAGTGGTCCAAGGACTTGTTCCAGAGCGCCTTCTTCGTTGCCTCGCGCTGCAACTTCAGCCACCTCATGTAAGTGTGCCATCTTCCTCCTCTTAAAATGACTCAAGCTAAACAGAATCCAGGGACTACAACGGTGGAGGCTATGGCCAGAACCTTGAGATTGGCAGTCCTAGGGGCGAGATCCAGAGGGCCATCACCAATGGCTGGTACAACTCGGAGGTTGGCTACTGGCCCGACGAATACTATGGCCAGCCGACGCCCCCCGACATGATCGACCCCTCCAGCACGACTTGGGAGCGCTACGGTCACTTCACTCAAGTCATCTGGGCCGACTCGGACGAGGTCGGATGCGCCCAGGCTGAGTGCCCCAGGCTCGGATGCAGCCCCTCCATGGACGAGTGCCATGACGGCTACCTTCCCGACGGCAAGTACGGCCGTTACCTGACGGTCTGCAACTACAAGAGTGCCGGTTAGTCACCCGAGATTCCCGAACATGAAGCACCTACTGACACATGTGCCAGGCAACGTCAAGGGCGCCTTCGACAAGAACGTCATCCGCCCTCCCGTTGACGAAGAGACCTACACTGCCGTCTAAGTTTGTTGACCACCAGTACATTCCTTTACAGTACAGGAGTGAAGACAGTTCCCGGCGTACCCTTCTCTTTTCAATGGGGATACCTTATGGGAGGGTCAGTGCTATTTCAGCGTAGTGGTTTTCTTTCCTTCTTTTCTCTGTCAATTCTCAGATCCTCGGGCCTCTTTCTCATTTCACGAAGTCGGAATCGGGGCTTCTTGCAGTATCACAGATCAAGCAGGCTTCGAGAGTAGGCTCAGAGGGAGGCACCTTTACTTCATGGTACACACTTTCTTTCACAGCCGGTGGAGCGTGAGGGATTCTTTGGACAGAATCAGATATGAGAAATGACAGGATACCCGTCAAAGAGTGATTCTTTCGTTGAGTGACAATGGTGACGAAGTCGTGCAACATAGGCGATGACTTGAGGTTGGAATCGAATTCGTCGGTCTAATCTTAAGAGGCTTAGCGTGAATTGAGCCAGCCAATGGAAATGCTGGCATCACGCACACACCACCATGCCTTAACGACGCGTCCGCTTTCTCTTCCCGTCGCTTGCTGTCACACAGAAGTAAACAGGTTCATGCGCTCGATCATCTTGATATCATTCTTTAAAATCCTTATGTTTGTTGCTCGGCCGAGCAGCTCCGCATAATAGTGACCTTGAAACTTGCGTCTAATGACCCATGGTACTACAGCTGTACCATTTCTACTGACTCGGCTTTAGATCATGTAATACTTCGAACACAGCCTTGCGTTCATCGGCGCTATCTATCTACCTCTTTCGGTCCGAATTTTCCACGGGCTTCAGCAACAGACTAGAGCAATCTCTAACGGAGTTTACTTTATTCTGGACTACGGGCTGACCCGCGCGCCATGTTCCGCGTTTTCTTCCGGACCGTTTGACAGCACATGTTCATCTTGACTCCCTTGCGTCCGCCTTCTTCTAGCTTTCCGCGCACAAGGCAAACGGAGAGCGTCATTGGTATCACGAACTTCTGGCCCAGATCTTCATGACGCGGCCACGTGGAGTGGTTTCGTCTTACGGTCGGGTGCGGGGCGGATACAGCGTGAATCCTTCTACCGACTATGCGCGCCACGGCGCAGCAAGGGATGGGAACCAGGAGTGAGGACTAGTCGACGGTGGGATACACGTGGTTGCCTTGACCCGCAGCGCGATGAGCAGCATCGACCTTCGCGAACCGCAGCAAGCCGAGCAGTGCGAGGGAGTTCTTTGCTCGGCCTCTCCAAGCATCAACGGCGTCTGGTTGTGGAAGCTAAAGACTGATTCTGCGAATTTCTGAGCATCACTCGGAAGACTAAAACCCGATACTAGCGTTCGTGCTCTTTCTCATCTACAAGAAAGACTACGTTGAGGCGTTTGTCCTGAACTCTATTCCGCATGTTCATTATATGATTTGTTACTAGTAGATAGTTAGTTCGCACAGTCGGCTTATCACCAAATTATTTTACTCTCTACGCTTAAGTCCCAAGTGGAGGCGGGACGCCGGAGGCCCGCCTCTCTTCTGTTTCCGATATCGGATGAATATCTGGCATATGGCACATCCCCTTTCACCCTCTCGCACAAGACTTGGCTTGATCAACATGTTGCGTAGACTCCAAACACCGTTCATATGCATATCTGCTATAACCGGATATCAACAACACCGCCTCCTCGTATCCAACCAACAGGCGAAGAGAAGCAAAAGACACGTAATCATCATCATTATCCCCAATCATTCCCCTACAAAAACCAAGAATCGTCAAGCAGCCAGCCAGCCCAGCCTAACGCCGCACCTTTTTTGCCTCGTTCAGAACCGAAAAAAACCCGGCCGGACAAATCAATCCCCCCCCTCCCCTCCCCTTCCTTCCTACCTCTCACTAATCAGGACCGCCTTTCGTCAGTCTCGCGGGGCACATCAATACACGGTCTCCCCCTTAACATTAACGCCCAACCCCAGCCCCTCGCTCGCGGCGCTCAGCCTGGCGCACAAGCTCAAGAACACGACCGTCTCGGTGGCGGCGTAGTAGTTGAGCGTGTCGAGCAGGATGCGCAGGTGCTTGGTGAAGTTATCCTCGTACTTCTGGAGCAGGTCGATCATCTTGCCGAGCTTGGTCGGGTCGAAGGCGAAGGAGCGGGCGGACGAGCCCTTGTCGGTGCCGCCCGAGGCCGAGGGGTTGGCGTTGGTGGCGAGGTCGGCGTCGGCCGAGATGAGGTAGCGCGAGAGCGACGACGTGTAGTTGGCGAACATGGTGCAGGTGTTGAGGATCTTGGAGTTGATCTGGGCTGTCGGTTAGTCATTTGCTTTTAATCTTTTTTTTTATCTTGTGTTGTGGAGCTTACCTTGAGGAGCTTCGCGTTGGTGAGCATGCACTCCTTCAAGCACGTCGCCAAGAAATCAACGTGATCCTGCATCAACTCGTCCACGGTCCGCTTGACTTGGGGTCCTCCTCCGGCAGACGGGTCGGCGCCTCCGTCCACTGGTGGTGCTGTTACCATAGGGTCTATTGATTCCGTTGATTGAACGACCTCTGCGTTCTCTGCAGCGTCGCCCTTGCTGACGGCGTTGAGCCGCGACATCATGCTCTGCCAGTTCGGCTCAATGACTTCGGCAGTGCTATAGTACAGAAGCTGCTGGACGAAGACCAACATGCGCGCGCGCAGTGTCCACGCTTTCCGCTTCCACATCTCGATCTTCGGGTTCGATGACCGGTGTTTCCAGCTGCGGACCTTCGAGTGCTCTGACCAACTACCAACGAGCAGAGTCTCGAGATGACGTAGTGAAAGGAGGTAGCGGAAGAGAAGTTGGTATCGCGTCAGCGTGACACGGCTGACGACGAGGGAGAGGGGGAAGGGCATGGCGTAGTCGAGGACTAACGCATCGAAGCCAATGATGTCTTTGTCGTCGGTGATGGTTGCGCTTTGCTGTGCTGGGACGTAGTTTGAGAAGCTGCCTGTTGCGGCATCTTGGTCCAACCCAGTCACCGTAACGATCTTCATGAGCCAGTTGGTCAAACCGATCTCATTCATCTGGACTTTGACATCTTCCTTATAAGGATCTTCTGCTGCCACACTGCCAGGCTGGCGCAGAACAATATCCAGCAGTGATTGGAGTTTGCCGATGTTGACGGCTTTGGCCGGCTTCTTGAGCTCTGAAGTGCCAAGTTCGAGGAAATAAGAGAAGAAGTCGGATCGATCGAGGAAGAAGTAGTGTTTGAGAGAACGAAGGCGGGCGGGTAGTGCGTGCGTTGTAAGGAGCAGATGAAGAAGTGATGAATTTGCGTAGGCGTAGGCACTGTTAACGTTTTCAAGGAAGCGCGGGTCGTCGAAGGTGATTGGTACGTCTTGCACCCTTTTGCTAACATCAACACCGCCGCACTCTCGCACGACGTTCAGGTATTTGCCCGCGAGCAGGACCTTATCCTTTACGCCTTCCAGCTGTGGTGGGACAAGGTTGTCCCGGATTGTGTAGCGCTTCTCCCAGTACTCGTCTGTGTAGTCCTGATCAAGCCTCTCGCGCTTGATGCTCTTCTGTTCCTTGATGAGAAATTCAGCGTGAGGATCCTTGATTGATCCATGGTGTAGCCATTCGTTAAGCATTGTCATGTACGGACGACTCGCTTCGCGCAGCAACGTTGTGAGCAGTGTTCTTGCGGCCGGGTCGCCAGACATGGACGCCAAACGTTTTGATATTAAGCCCAGCACGCTTCCACCTTTGCACACCTTCTTGCTGCCTATTGAGCCTTGTGCGATGTTCCCTCCCTCTCGAAGAGATTCAAGAATATCTTCTAAATTCTCCGTCTCGTCGAGATCATCGTCGTTCTCATCATCAAGGAGAGCATTTGCCTTCAAGACCTCAACGCCCATGGTGTATAGCTGGTACAGCATATGGCTTGTTGGTTTGGTGTGCAGATTCAGTAGATGGAGAGTGAAAGTTGGGTTGGTGAGCATTTGGTGCTCCAGTTGGGCCATGAGTACCAAATAGTCTTTGAGGAGCTTCCGGACGACTGCACACAATGCGTGATTGACTGCGCCGTATTGTTCCCTACTTTGGACCTCGATGAAAGCCTCGAGAGCCGAGTAATGGGTTGCCATTTTTAGCATTGACGTTGTCAGGTCGCGCAAGCTAGGGTCCAACCCAGAAGCTACTCTGAACGAGGGGCCCATCAGACGGCTCTTTTCCTCCGTAGGAGTGTACGAAGCGGCATATCGGATATATTGCCCCTCAAAGCCCATGAAGACGAAGAGCAGGTCCTCTATTATAGCAGATTCTTGGGCATCGACGGGAAGCTCGGCCAGCGATTGCGGCTGCAGGTCAAGAGGAGCTAACAAGGCGAGTTGTGGAATGGATATGCGCGATGCGAGTGGTGCGGTAGTATGGGGGACGAGAGAAGCCTGCGGTTTCCATGGTTCTGTGAGAGAATCAGCAATTGCATGCATCAATGCGGCATAACATACCTCGTTCTTCCTTCTTAGGTTCGGCGGTGGTTGGAGTGCTGGGAGCGCTGACAGCGGTCTGCTTGCCATCCCTACTCCTGCGGGAGTTGGAGCGGCTCTCGGTGTGCCTGGCGGGACCGCGCTTCACGGTGACAGACTCGCGCGTGAGGACATTGTTGCGCTCGACGCGGCGTTCACCGGCCTTGCTGGTCGACTGCGAGCGCGAGTGGGAGTGCGAGTTGGAATGCGACTCTTGGGCAGTCGAGGCAACACGGGGGCGAGAGGAGCTGGGGACGCGTTCATGGCCGTAATATTTAGAGTTGGGGCGCGACGACGACATGGCGGTTGGTGGGGGAGCTCATGTGGCGTTGGACAAGAGAGCGACGCAATGTTTGTACACGAAGAGCTGCCGGGCAGTGATCGCGGGGAGCGCGTCGCCTAGCGCGCGTCGTCGTTGTGGCGCCTGTGGCCGTGCATCCAGCCCTACAGCTCGCCGACCGAGTCAAGCACCTCCCGCCTGCATGTGGGCGAACCGTCCGACCAGCGACCGCTATCCCATCGACTCTCGCTGAGATGATCTCGTCCTCCTTCCCTCCTCGATTCCGGCAATACCTGCACGCCGTGCCTGACGTCTGGGAGAGTACAGGATTCGTTTTCGGCCCGGGCCCACGAGGCGGTCAGCATTGGAGAGCCACTATCAGGCGAACGAAATGAGAGTGAGCACGCAGAGTGGGAGACCTAGTTGATTGTAGCGTCTTTCCCCTGCGCCTCGTCAAGCCTGACACTGTATGGTACCGTGCGTACCCTGTTTCGGACGCCAAATCATGTGCGTAAGGGCTCGCGGCGGGCAGAATCTGTCCGGGTCGAATGGAATTCCAGGCTAATAATTTATGCTTTTATGAGCCGTGAAGTGTCGAGCATGGAAGGTGTGGGGAACAGGAAGGCGACGGCATCGGACTGGAACGGGACCCTGATACCGGGGACAAGTCGGCTCCGCCTTCCAATCGCGCAGCCTCGGTCCATTGCGGCATGTGTTGCGCTCCCGCGAAGGCGACTGCGGAGAGACACGATCCACATCTTCCCCGGCGCCACGACACGTCCCCGACTACTTTCTCTGCCTTCGCATGTACGCGCTATTGCTACCCCACCCGCGACTTCAGTCCAGTGGTTCATGACCTCGCGCAACACCACAAGAGCTAAGCATTGGCGCTGATATGTCCGACTCTGTGGGTATGACGCACCGCGCATTCCCGTCCTTCTCCACCACGCGACCTCCCGCGGAGCTAACACAGCTCCTTGATACTCAGATAGAGTCTTCAGCCATGCCCTCAACACCGTCAACAAGATTCGGATCGGCTCCGAGAAGCCACCCTCGGCCATCCGCTTGAAGCTCTATGGCCTATACAAACAGAGCATGGGTATGATCCGATGGCCCGCACGCCTCAACAACATTTAACACGCTTTGCAGAGGGCGATGTCGACGGCATCATGGAGCGCCCGGAAGGCGATGACGAACAGACAAAGCGGTCGCAAGAGAAATGGTACACAGCCCGCCACAGTCCTCTCCGACATGTCATGATTTAACGCCTTCTCCACCAGGGATGCATGGAAACAGCAGAACGGCCTATCGCGAACCGAAGCTAAACGCCGCTACATTACCACCTTGATCGACACCATGCACAAGTACGCCTCGCCGAGCCCAGACGCACGGGAGCTGGTCGCTGAGCTGGAATTCGTCTGGGACCAAGTCAAGTCCAACGTACCCTCGTCATCTTCGTCATCGCCCCACGGACTAGGCATGCCCTCCTACCCCGCCCTTGGCTCATCCCGCGAGTCGCACGAGTACCCCCCGCCGCAAATACAGGCCTCGCAGATGCGCATCCTCACCCCTGCCGGCGCCGGCGAAGAAGAAGCTGGGGACGACAACGACGACGAATTCGTGGACGCGCAGGACTCGGGCTCCCACCACGGCGCCGACACGAACCCACGGCGGAATATCCGAGAGCGGCCCCCAGCGCGGGAACGGTCGGCGAGCGACAAGCAGTGGCGGCTCCGGGTGGAGCAGGCGTTGGTCAAGCTGACGGCCGAGGTGGCCGCCCTACGTGAGCAGCTCGAGTCGCGCCGGCTATTCCAGCACACGCGCCGCCGCCGCTTCCTCGCCTGGGTCGGCCGGTTCCTGTGGTTTATCGTTAAGCTTGTTGCCGCCGACATGGTCATCCTGGGCATAATACTGCTGTGGATGCGCCGCAAGAAGGACCGTCGTCTCGAGGGCGCCATCCGCGTGCTGTTGGGAGATGCCGTCGTGCAGATGCAGCGCGTCGGTAGCCAGCAGGTTGCCAATATTGGCAAAATCCAGTTGCCCAAGCTACCTGCCAAGCTGCCCATGACCAAGAGCTAGTCGAGGCCGTGGTTGAATACATATCGTCGCCGTCTTTGTAAATTGCCCCGAGCATGTTGGGGCTTGATACCACGCAGAATCGATCACGACCGTCACGAATCACGACAAGACGTGGTCGAGCCGATTGTAAATTCTGTCCTTTCTAATATTTCCTATTTTGTCGACCTTGCCTCCGCTATTTCTTGTCGACGTTCTGGGGCAGTTTGGGGGTTGAATTGATCAGAGAGACGTTGGCATAGGCAGATTCCCAGGACAGATATCTCTTTCGTGTACATTAGAATTGTACGAGATGAGCTCTTCCTCATTTGCGCCTTCTCTACCCTGTGTGACCCCCGTTAATATCACTGAAAAGGAGAAAGAACCACGATGGTGTGGTGACGACGCCAAGTTGCATTTGTGCCACAGTCACACTAAGTATTTGCGGCAATCCAGCCTTGATCTTATTCACAGCACAATTGGCATATCCGGGAGCAGTGGGGGCGGATGCCATGGAATCGGGTGGGCGTGCAAATATCCGTCAGACCGGAGGGCGCGATACTATCCTATCAAACTCTGGGAAGTGATGGCTACAGAAGCAAGCAAGCAAGATAAAGTACTCAAAGCTGACAATTATATTATGCCTATCAACAGATAGCGTAAACGGGAATCAAGAAATTTTGTTTGTCACGTATCAGGCGCTCAGATGGAAGCCTGTGCCGCTGCCCAAGCATCGTGATTCTTTTGGCTGGCGACCTTGCAACCGTAACCACACTCCGCCAGAACGGATTTTGACATCTCACTGTGCTTGTGAATCAAGTAACCGGAAGATACTGAAATGGGCAAAATTTTCCAGGGCAACTGCTCATGCTACTCTTAAATGGATGATACCTTGGGCAGGAAGGGTGGACTTCCCATGCTGCATAGAAGTATCATCCTCTCATACCGAATGGGTTGCACCTCACGCGATTCTCCCACGAGCGAAGCAGAGTAGACAGCTCAAAATGTCCATTTCGTGCTCCAGCAAACATCCTGTGCACCGCAGAAATCCTACCTTTCCTCAGAACTCAACGACGACCGCCACTATAAAGCTACTCTAACAACCTCCCAACCTTTCCCCCATGCATAACAGGCATCCACACATCCCCAATCACCCAAAAATGCACCACTCAATTACTACCCTCTTCTCCCTTCTACTCTCCTTCATCCCCCTTCTCGCACTCCTCCCAACCCTCACCACCGCCGTTCCCGCATTCGAGGCAGGCTGGCACATCCTCAACCTCACCCACATCCCCGTCAGGTCGACCGGGACCGACGTCTGCAATGGCAGCATAGGCTTCACACTGGCGAAAGGCAACAGGTTCGCCTCGCGTGTGTGCTCCCACACTTTCATCGCATCGACGGACGAGCAGGCCGCGGGCGGGCCATTCACGTGCAGTGACGACTGGCCGGATTTTACGTACTACTGGCGTGAGGATAATGGTGATGATGATGAGGAACAATCGACAGGAATTGCGGCAGCAACGGCAGAGAAGGGAAGTAATGTGGTGTTGGACATTTGGTTCGCAAATCTCGACTGTCGGTACGTTTAATCTTTCTCCCCTACCCTGACATTTCCCATCACCTCTCTCTTAGAGAAAGACAAAATGGAGCGGAGCTACTCCAGAAAGAGAAAACAATGGAAGGACCAAGCCTACAACGTCTATGTGACAATCAATTGGGAGTAACAAACATGATGAGCCAGACCCAACGGCGGCGCTGTGTCCGAATCGGGCAAGCTGACGCTGCCGCCGCCCACGACAACGGGCACCTTCGCCGCCGGCAGCCGCACGTGGAACGACGTCTACGTGGCAGCCGAGACGATTAGCTCGACAGCGTGGTTCCCCGGGCAGTACGAGGAGGTTTGTTTGAGCGGCTAGCCGAGTTTGGAAGCCGGTGATTCGGAAGAAGGGACAGCGACGACGACCGACAACAAGGGGGTTGAGGGAAGACTAGCTTGCTCGAATCGGATTTGGTTGATGTTGTGTCCTCTTCCTTGAAAGGGTCATCAGTTGACACGGTCTGGAAGCAGAAAGGGTTCCTCGTTGAGGTTGAGAAGGGGGAAGTTTGCTTAGGGTGCCGGCTTTGCGCTCAACTGTCCAATCTGATAGTCGGTCCAGGTGCCATTGATAGTTAACAGCTGGTTGGGAAAAGAAATGTGGCCAAGTATCCCAGCCTTTTGTACCATTTTTGTCCGCGGCGACTGTCTTGTCTCTGGGAAGAGAATTTGAAATTGCGTTCTTATTCCAACTTGTTTGTCTCGAGAGACGCAAATTATTTGAACTACCTGTAAACGTGTCATTTACAAATCCAAGGGGCTGATTTCATTTGCCACGAAGTCATCTCCTGTGTTACCCGATCATCGGCTGTCACAAGCGAAACCGAACTTACAATCCACTCTCGCAGCCGATGGCTAGCGTGGATTTGTTTTTTGCTCATGGCATGGGTAGCTGAAGTTTAATTCGACATTCTTGTCTGGACGATAGCTTCAACTACCCACACATGTTCATTTTTCTGAGGCAGAGCTGGGGCATAGTTACGCTATGTTCTGGAGCCCTGTCATTCTCCACGTTAGCCATCGGCTGCAGCATCTCTCTGTAGAGGGGAAAATATCCAGCAAATCCGCTTGGAATTAAGAAAATAAATCCAGATATCGAACCACAGATAACATGTTGACAACGCGGCAAAAAGATTTTCTTCAAGAAGAGTGGATCGTTTAATGATATATAACAGTGGAACCGCAAAAGAAAAATAGAAGACTAGTACAGATAGCTGGTATACTCCGGCCGTGACCATGTGTGTGTGAATGCAACAATCGGAATCACCCCCACAATGACGTGCACGCTCTCAACTTTTTCAGATAGTTCAAAAGGGTTATTTCGTTGACTCCCCACAGTTTCAACACCTCAATTCCTTCCCTTCCAGACTCCATGATCCCTCCTTGCCATTGCACACTATCCCCACTCTACGTAGCGCGCCCTAAAAAGACTCAGAAGAAAGATAGAAAGGAATCCGTCCATCTTACGCGTCCGTAACGCGCCACGTGCTGAACCACTTCAGATGGTTCCACTGCGCATTTGGTCCGACCATGCCGAAAGTGATGGCGCGGAAGTGGATGAAAAGTCCGAGGGTGATAGCGTAGAGGATGCTGTAGACGGCCCACTTGATCTGTGTGCGCGCGTTCCTGGTGAACCAATCGACCAGGAAAGAGAAGGAAAGGATAGCAAAGTAGAGGGCCGGGAAGTAATGGTGAACGTATGTGACACGAGCCATGGCAACGAATGGGAAGTAGTGGAGGAACCAGCCGATGATGGGGTAGATTCCCGCGTAGTGAATCTGGTCGATTTCCGCAGGCTTGAGCTCCACATATCCACGCTGCCAACGAATAAGGTACCAAGCGACGACGAGGCCGACACCGACGAGAGAGGCGGTGGAAGACCAGTAGACGAAGGGGTTGCCCAGGAGGAAGTATTTGACGGCTACGGATAAATGTCAGCAAAAATGAAACCAGAACGCAGTAAATTGACTTACTATCGTCACCCCAGCCGCACATGCGCAGACCGACGTGGAGAATGGGCCACTGCCAGGGCGCGGAGGCAAGATCGTCCTGCTTGTCCGGGTCAGGGACAAGGGCGTTGTTCGAGGTCATCATAGCAACGTTGAGATGAATGAAGTCACGGAAGAAAGGCGACTTGTAGGCACCGGGGTCACCAGCGGGAAGCCTGTCGTTCCAGTGGCTCTCGACGTTCCAGTGGGTGTACACGTCCCTGGGGTTGTTGGTCTTGGTGCAGGTAACCTCGATCTGCTTGAAACCCCACTGGGGAAGGTTGACATTGCCTGCGCGGAGATAGCAGCCAAGGTCGGGGTGCTTCAGACGGAAAGAAGTAGTCAAGGTCCTGATCTTGGAATAGTCGCGAGTGGCAGCGTCATTGACGACCTCGATTTGCCAGTGGTCCTTGGTATCGCCGATAGTCACGTTTCCGTAGGATGAGACTTCCCAGTCGGCCTTGGTGACAGGGGCAGCAATCTGGTGCGAGTGGAGGTTACGGCCAGTCTGGGCGTGGATCAAACGGATGATGCTACCGTCCTGGGGGAACCTCATGGGCTCTTCGCCAACGTTGTAGTCGGGCTCGAAGCGGTTAGGGTAAATGAACCAGTCGTTGTTAGCATCCTTGTGGTGGTAGCAGGTAACCTGCTGCTGCTGGGAACCCTCGGGGTAGGTCTGAACGTGCGAGTGGAGAAGGCCGCCGCCGTAGCCCATATTCTTAATGGTGGCGCGAGATCCGATAGCAAGCTCCAGAGGGCTGTCCTTTCCAACCTCGGTACCGCGAAGGTTGGCCTGGAAGAGAGAGCTCATCTGAGCGTCGCCGGGACCGCTGTTTTCCAGGATCAGGAAGTGGAGCCAGAAGGAAAACAGGTAAACCATCATGGGGATCATGATGAGCGCAAAGACACGGAAACCGAGGTGGGCAGCCAGCTCGACCTTGGGCATCCTAAGGTCTCCGAACTTGTTCCAGAGATCCTCGATAGTGTACAGACCAACCAGAGCGGTAGCGAAGAAACCAACCCACTTGACACTGCAGACGCAGCCAATGGAGACACCGCACAGCATAAGCCAGAGACCCCACTCGGGCGAGAAAGGATCATACTGGAGGCGGTGGAACTTGGCCCAGCAGAAGACGGTGGTGAAGGTAAAGAACAGAAGCATCGAGTCGAGAAGGATGAACCTGCTAATGGTCGCGAGCGAGTTGTCACACAGGACCATCAGCGCGGCCAGCCAGCACGCCGGCTTGCGGAAGTTCAGCTCCTTGGCCGTGTAGTATGCCAGGGGAACGCAGAGAGCACCGAAGGTCGAGTTGAAGGCACGCATGAAGGTGTAGTTGAGCTCCTCGGGGTAGACTTCGCCGGACTTGAACTCAAAGGATCCATTGTAACCAGCCAGGTAGCCCGAGAGGCCAACCAGCATCTTTCCGAGCGGCGGGTGGACATCGAAATAGAATTCGCGCTTGAGGTAGTGGGAGCCGAACTTGCCGAAGCTGTGCACCTATCGTCAGCAAGAGTGCTCATGATCCCATTGAGCGGCGGGCCGCGGGGTGGCGCTTACTGAGCTTCGTCCCAGGTGACGATGTTCGAGAGGCCGATCTTGTACATGCGCGTGAAGAAGGCAGCAGCGGTGAATAGAATGGGCGCCCAGATATATTCGTACTCGTCGATGGTGTCGAGGACGGATTTGGTCTGCTGATCAGCTCGTCGGTCCTGAGAGCCAAAGCTCCAAGTGGAGCTCTGTCCGTGGGAGCTTACCTTCTGCTTGGTCTTCTCTTCGGTCTGCGGACTGACGAAGGCAGGCTGGTCCTCGCCATTGGCGACGTTCCTCCGGCGCAGGGCGTCGGCCTGCTGGTCGGCGCCGGTGGCATAGCCTTGCGACGCCATGGTGTCAACGTCAACCCCTCAGGAAGCTCGCGGTGGAGCTGAGCTGAGAGCCGTGCGGGCGAGAGAGCTTGGAAAGCGATTCGGGGGGAAGGGTAACGACAAAAGGAAGTTGCAAAGGAGGGAAAGAAGAGCAAAGGCGCAGCGGGTGGAGGATGCGAAGCTCCAGCGGTGCTCGCCGTGATTCGCAAGCCAAGTTGAGCGGAGCAGGGGAAGCGTCGCTCGAAATAGCACGGGCAGGCCGTGGACTTTTCATACGCGGCCGGCGATCCTCGGTGCGGCAAGGGGGCGGATGCGCGTCGGCGCGGAGCTTGGTCAACGTGTCTTTTCCACCCACCTGCGCCCCCAAAAAACGAGCATCAGCGCCCTTCCGACGCGCATGCGCCACGCTGATTGGCTCTCGGCACGCAAGGTGCATGCCATCAATGGTCCTGCCAATGGCTAGATTTTGTATCCCTATGTCCCATATCTTCGACTGATGTACAAAAACCAACTGGAGGCTCCGGCGCCTGCGGGATGTGGCTCGAGCCACTGCAGAGCCGCATCTACTCCTCCGACTAGCTCGAGAAACATCCAACCATCTGAAACGAAAAAAACAAAAAGCGAAAAAAGAGCAAACGATTACCCGTCCGCCGCTGCGTCTTTGCCTGTCGTATGCCTTTTACATGCAAGGCTGTATGATGATCCCAGTGCGCCCGCATGAAAGTCTATCGTTGTGCGTGTGCAATCCGCATTCCGAACGAAACCTGCCTGCCCATCATTACACTCCATTCAATCCATCTAATCGTCATCCTGGTTAACACGTCTGTAACTGCCGCTCTGGCTGTCGCCCTCGCCGTTACCCTTGGAACGCTTGACCAAGTTAGAGATCCAGCCTCCAACGCCTTCGGACCGCTCGTCCGATTCGGGCTTCGAGTATTTGGGCTTGCCGCCCTCGACCGGTACCGACGGCGGGTTGATATCGAGGCCAGGAATGGCATTGTCCGCGCCAACGCCGCGGCGGATGTCCAGCGATGGCACTGGCGAGCCGTGGCCGCTGAAAAGCGATTCCGCCTCTGCGAGCGTAGCGGGCGTGGGCATCTGCGACGTGGCATCGCCGAAAATACTGTTCATATCCTCCAGACGGACATTGGCCGTCTCGGGGTAGATGAACCAAACTGTTGACTGTTAGAACCGGACTTTCGACAACAGGGCAGCTAAACTTACCAACAACGAAACTGACAGCGCAGAAAAAGGCATGCAGAAGGTACAAACGCCATTGAATCGCCTCCTGGAGGATCGGCGTCATCTCGCCAACCAGCCAGTTGAAAGCCCAGTTGGTAGCAGTGCTGAGAGACGCACCCTTGGCACGGATGCTGAGCGGCAGGATCTCGGGCGGGTAGAGCCAGGGGATAGGGCCCCAGGACGCTCCGAAGGCGCCGTTGTAAATCATGACGAAGATGACGACCAGGCGTGGCGTCCAATCCGGGATATCGAGGTAGATAAAATACGAAATGGCCGATAGAGAAATAATCATGAGGAAAGCGCCACCGAGCAGGATGGGACGGCGACCCCAGCTGTCGACCAGGTACCATGGGGGGATCGTGCAGGCAAGATAGCTCAGACCGTTGATACCAGTCATGAGAATGGCTGAGCGGCCAACCCAGCCGGCTTGCTCGAACACCAGCGGTGCGTAGTAGGAAATGACGTTGATGCCGTTGAGCTGCGCGAGAGCCTGCGCGGACATGGCGATGAAGACACGCTTGTTGTATCTCTTGAACATGTCGGTGTAGGAGCGCTCGCCTTCCTGACGCTGAAGCAGGACGTTCATCTTGATCTCGCGGTACTCGTCGCGGGCCTTGGGGTTGTGGATATCGCCCTTGCCATAGAGGTTGGCGATAACCACGATACCCTCCTCGTCGTGGTCATGGTCGAGAAGCCATCTATCGAAGATCAGCATGAATCATGAAAGATGAACCTTATCAAGAATTACCTGGGAGATTCGCAGATCACCAAGCTACCCAACGCAAGCAAGCTGCCCATGACGCACTGCATGAGCAAGGGAATACGCCAAGCCCAGTTGTTCGTGATGTAGCTGCAGAAGTAGTCGACCCAGACACTCGCGGCGTAACCGCAAATGTTTCCGGTGAACTCGACGCAAGCCAGCTTGCCGCGGTTGTGGGGCGGGGAGATCTCAGACTGATAGACGGGCACGATGGTGGACAGAGCACCAACACCCAGACCAGCAATGATCCTACCAACCATCATCATGGTCAAGTCATTGGCGCACGTCTGGAAAGCACCTCCCACCACGAATATCAGAGATCCGTATAGGATTGTACGCCGACGCCCGATCGCGTCTCCTATCCGTCCGACGGCTATCGAGGAGATGAAAGCGCCGACCTCGAGAATGGCCACCATCGTGCCGATCTGGGCACGCGTAGGCTGGTTGAACTGGTCTTTGAAATACGAACCCCTGCAGGAATCATCTGGCGTCAGTCGCGTTCGCGGGCGGCCGGTGGAAGCTGCAGAACATACGTGATGATGCCCGACATAACGCCTTGGTCGTAACCAAACAGAAAGACTCCTAATGACACAAATACACTAGTGAAGTAGCTGTTTATCCATCGTCAGCAGCGTTCCCAGCGATGCAGTCGATGGGATCTGTCCTTGAGGATACGTACATCAACTTCTTCCCGTGCAACCCGTGCATACGGGACGGCCCATCATTAGGGGCCATGATGGCAGCGAGCAACCTAGAGCGGCGTCAGTACTGCGGTCGGCGTGGTGGTGGCCGGCCAGGACGGCGATGCATCGTCGCACGTACCGTTCTCCGCGGGAAGCAAGCGGGCGGTGGATGTTGGGGATCTCTATGTCCTCCTTTCGAATGCGAGCGGGCTTTTCGCTGTCGTCGGCGTAGTGAACGTGGCGAGGGTGCCGGCGGTGCGGGACGGAAGAGGGTCCAAATTCCTGCGATTGGCGAAGCCGTGCCTGCAAGGGATCCTCCTCGCCGCCGAGCTGGTCGACGAGATCGCCTGTATCGCTCCACAGAGAGTCGAGGTCCGAGTGGTCGGAGTCGCTGTTGGAATGGCGGCGGCCACGCTTTTCGTCGGTGGAGGAACGTGACGACGAAAGCGTGTGGAGGGGGATGTTGGCGGGCCGGCGACTTGAGGAGGAAATCTTGACGAGGTTGGGCTGGGTTGGAGCAGCCCTCTCCACGATATCGGGTGTAGCAGGTCTAGGAGCGAGAAGGCCCGCTGACGTCTCGGGCACAGGGTCCGCAGGCGGCTGTTAGTCTGTACGGTGGAGCCAAGCAGGGCCAGTGGATCACGGGCATTGAAGAAAAACGAGCGAGTGCGTGGTCGGGTGCTGTACGAGTAGTGTGCTAGGCTGGCAAAGCAAGTTGGTCAACTGGAAAGAGCCGGAGCAGCTGCGAGCTGGGAGTGCAAGACCAGGGCATGTCTCCGGCCGCGAATAGCGGCGCAGGCCGGCGAGCTGGGGGCCTGCGGCGATCTCTATCAACGGCTAGAGCAGCATCATCGTACAGCGACAGACCGCCAAAGCGTGGACACGCCTGATTTGCCTGCCTGCGGTGGATCGCTTGCGCGACCTAAAATTTTCCACTCCAGGCCCTCTCTCTGCGCGCTGGCTAGAGCGCGATTGGGGCTGGGTGCGTTGCTGCGTCGCTGAATGCAGCGCCCTAAAGTGGGAACCTCTCTCCACGCCGCCGTCCGCAGCCGCGGCGCGGCACCAAGCAACCGTTTGGCTGCAGCGCGGCGCCCTCGTCAAGGGTCCTCCGATCGAACGTCACCAGGCACCGGATCCTCGTAGCTCACGGGTCATGTGGACCTGGAGAAGGCGCGCTCGTGAGCATTTCCCCAGGTCATCGCTAGCGGACTGTGGGGGAAGGACGACACCAAAAACTGGGCGCCTGATTAGTCAAGGCGGCTCACCAGCAGCCGGCGGGCAGCGAACCGCCAGCCGTCTCTCTGACCGGGCCTGTCGTGGCGAAAGTGGTGGAGCGGAATGGATCCCAGGGAGGCGCGCTTGCCCTCGCTGGCCCACATCGGCCTTCGTTCCTATACCGCCTTTTGTGATTGTATGCTTCGAAAACTGCCCACGGCGCGTCCGCCTGTGGCCAGCACCCGGCAAAACTCCTCCATCCGGCCGCTGTGAAGGATCTCTGCCTCATCATGCGCCGCCAATCGCCTCCCCCCACCGAGTAGTACCGCCCAGCGCATCTGCGCCTTTCATGCGCCCAGCCGACATTGCGCCTCCGTGTGTTTTGAAGTGATTGCGCCGGCGCAGCCTCATGCCAGTGCCTGCGTCAGGCGCTGCCGGTACCAAACTTCGCCCAGCCACTCAAAATGTCCGCTCGGTATAGAGTCTCCCGGCGCCGTCGATCGCTCCCTTTTCACATGCTGGAAACGGGCCTGGCAGCCTCCGTCTGCAAACAGCATGCAGGGTTCGAGGTGGCGCCCGACTCATGCGACCTGATATGAGCTCTGCAGCAACTGAGGTACATATAAGCTAATTGTAATTCCTTCTCCAACACCTGCCACTCCAACGAAAAGTTGGGTTCAGATGATTTCCTCCGATTTCATCTTCCGTGGCGCAATTGGCTAGCGCGTCTGACTGTTAAAGATGTCACTTGTGATATCATAGCAATCAGGAGGTTGACAGTTCAAGCCTGTCCGGGAGAGTTCTCTTTTTGCCTTTTTTTTTTTGTCCCCCCTGCCTCGGCACGAGTTTGATCATCGTCACACATCTTTTTTTCTTTTGGATGCAGAATATCCCGGCCACCATGCATCAGCGGTGTACCGGTTAGGAGCAAGCAGGGTGCGCGTCTCGCTCACATCAGCCACCGGCGTATCTCGCGTGGGACGGATCTGCTCAGCTGGTACCCTTAGGGGCTGAGACAGGAAATAAAATAAGAAGGCGTGGTCGATACCTTGCCGGTAGGGTGCATTCATGAGCGCAGATGACTGGCCTCGCCGCAGCCGCGCGTCTGCGCCCAGCCGTGATGAGGACTCGCTCTCTGCTGGTGAAAGTGCACCAAAGCGTCGCGGCGGGCAGCCTATCACGTAGGGGATGATGCGACTCTCCGCCGAGCACCGGCCACCAGCTGCACGGTCCGCATCGCATCATTGTTATCAGTGTGTCATTGTTGCAGCTAGCACCGCAGCCCAAAGGTGCGAAAAGGAGATGAGGAGGGTTGGAGATACTGGGCGAATGAGCGGCGCAAATATGAGCACGCGGGAGCCCACGTGGGAAAATCCCTGCCCAGCTCATGGAGTGGGAACAAAGGCACGGAGAGGATGTGAAAGAATTGCGAAGTAGAATCTACCTCATATTCGTCTGGTCTATATGATGTCCCTCTACAGTAAGAAGCACAGGAAGAAATAGGAAAGTGTGCAGCCAAACGCTGCCAGCTAAAACGTGTAGTATCGTCCAAAGTCTGACCAAGACAGATGCATCGTTTCGTGCTCATTCGAAGCCCGTCATGACTGGCCGCCTGCCACGGTCTTCCGGCCAAAACAACATGATATGTGCCTTTTTCCCATTGCCCATACAATTCTCTTGGTATCGCAAATACCCACAGACTGACCGAGATGACCGAGATGAGCCCCAAAAACGCCTGTGTCCGTCTAGTGCTTCGCCGTGACCTGGTCGCCAGTGAGCTTCTCGACAGCTTCCTTAGCCCTGTTGGAGAAGAGGTCAGCATGTATTGCCACTGTGGAGAAAGGTGTGGAGAGAGAACTGGGGGGAGTGGGATCACTTACACGTCACCCAAAGCAACCATGCAAACCGTCTGCCAAACGCCCAAACCAATCCTAGGAGTAACGCCCCTGTACAAACCCTTGATTCCGTTCTTCTGGTAGATGTACTTCGCCGCGCTGGCGACGTTCATTTTCTTCGGCCGGTTGGGGTCCTCGACCTTGCTCTGCAACTCGACGCGAATGACCTCGATCGGCTGGTTCCAGGCGGAGAGACCACCACCGAGGGTGGAGGCGATGATCTTCTCGAAGACGCTGAGCTTCTCGCCGCCTTCCTTGCCGGTGACCTTGCGGATTCCGGTTTCCGCAACTCGGGACAGACCGAAGCGAGAACCCCAGTTGGTGACCTGGCGGACGGCGACGGCGTTGACGCCCTTGTTGATGCCGCGGATACCCTCCTTGCGCCAGATCTCCATGAAAGTCTCCATCGTGCCCGGCGGCTTCGCGCCAGAGGCAGCGACCTTGTGCTTTGTGATCTCGACCGTCTTCATGCAGGTGCAGAAACCCATGGTGGCATAGGCCTGGGCGAGACCGCCGACCATGCCGCCAGTGATGCCACCGACGAAGGGGGAGGCGCCGAAGGAACGCGCGTGGTACTCAGCCTCGGAGGCGACGAAAAGGAGCACAGCTCCCTTCGTGGAGGCCTCAATCCAGGCCCAGGGGATCAGACCTTGGTAAACTGCGGGGAAATAGCGTCAGTACGGCTCTACTTTCCGTGTGCGTGTGTGACAACTTACAGCCAAGGACTCCACCACGAGCCCAGATCTTGCGGATGGCGCCACCGAAGCCTTCGCTGCGGTTAGCAGCCATGGTGGTCTTGACGACCTCCAAAGGCTGTACAGAAGGCGGTGCGTTAGCAACTGTGGGATCTCACAATGGCGCATTCTGAAAACGACTTACCTGGCCCAGCGTCGACACTTCGAACATGTTCAGACCCGAGCCAAGCAGCAAGTTGCTGAACTTGATCGGCTTCTTTTCGAGCTTCGGGGGCGCCTCGACGCCTGCCATGGTGGCTGCGGGAGTGGACATGATCTAGGTGCTTCGCGGTGGGGAGGGGGCCTGACCAAGGCAGTAGGGTGCTTCGTCGCAAAAGTAGTCTGGTATGCAGAGCAAAGGGAGGAAGGAGAAGAGGGTTTGAGTGGGCGGCGAGGAATGTATATGGGGGGCGGCGCACAGCTGGGCGCGCAGCGGGATGTCAGTCCGTGCTTGAGTAGCTTGCTAGTGGCCGAGAGCTGGGTGCACCCGCGGCGTCGGAGCGCTCCTGGATACTTTGCCGTTACGGGACAACAGTTGGGAAGAAAACCGGGACCGTGCAACGTGCTATTGCTGCGCGCTCTCACACGCCGCTGCTGTTGACAAGTTGCTTTCTTGGGGAGTCGGGGACTAACGGGACGCGCTGTGCATAGCCGCGGTTGCAGCTGCCCCGATTCGCCCTGCCTGTGACAGGCGCCCTAGGTCGTCGCTCGCATCAGGCACATGCTGAGTGAGCTGAGGCGGCATGGAATCCATTGCCGGTCGTATTGCTGAGCGCCGAAATCAATGAATACCGCACAGCGGAAGTCCGACCAGCGCGTCATCGGAGCTCGAGCGGCCCTGTTGTTGAGGCAGCGCAATGTCCGACGCCGACCCTGCGCACCCACACTCGGCTCCCCAGCGATCCTCTCCTCAGCAAACTTGCAGCGGTTCAACAACCGCGCCCCGTGCAGCCCCCCATCAGCCCCAACGTGCCGCCCCCCGGCCCTCACCGCTAGCCTATCTCTAGTTTTGCCGGCGCCTTCCCCCTCCCGCCGCCTCCTCCGCCGCCGACGGTGCCTGTAAGCTTGCCACTTCCGTTGCGCTGCGCATCCGATCTTATGTGAGGCTCAAGGTTTATTTTCGTTGACAAGACCAGGTGGCAGGGTCTGCAGGGCGAACCCAGGGAGCCCTGCGAGCTAGCGCCAGGCCCACACCGCGTCATCGTCGCGAACTCCTCATTTGCAAAAATTGCTCCAGAGCACTCTCAGGTCCCGTTTCAGGCTCAATGGACACGGAGCCCGCCGCGCGTGAATCGCAACACACTTGTCGTTTTGTCATGGGCGCATTGGGCCGCAGATACTCCATTCACCGTCACTGTGAGGCCGTGTGGCAGGGTAGCTGTTGTTACATTTCGTACATTTCAAATACTACGCATTGGGTAGACAATGCTTAGCGCCCACTCCAAACCCGTGAAAAAGTCCGTTATCCTAGTTAGGTACAATTTTCCCATCCATCTATGCTCTAAATCCCCCGAAAAGCGTTTACAGAGAAGCGCCAACCAGCTTGGCGTAGGCCTCGGTGCTGAAGGACTTAGGGCGCTCGATGGGCATGCCGACGGCGCGGTCGATGATGAGCTGGGGAAGGACACCGAGAGCGCGGGAGACACCGAAGAGGACGGTGTAGAAGTTCTGCTCGGTGAGGCCGTAGTACTGGAGGAGGACACCGGAGTGGGCGTCGACGTTGGGGTAGGGGTTCTTGGTCTTGCCGTGCTCGGTGAGGACACCAGGGGCGATCTTGTAGACCTGGGAGACGAGCTTGAACATGGGGTCGTCGGGCAGGTGCTTCTGGGCGAACTCGCGCTGAGAGACGTAGCGGGGGTCAGTCTTGCGGAGGACGGCGTGGCCGTAGCCGGGAACGACCTGGCCGGACTTGAGAGTGGACCACAGGTAGTCCTTGATGGACTCGTCGCTGAGGTCGTTGCCGACGGCGCTCTTCATCTTGGTGAGCCAGTTGAGCACCTCCTGGTTGGCCAGACCGTGGAGAGGACCGGCAAGACCGTTGAGACCAGCGGCCAGGGACAGGTAGGGGGAGCTGAGGGCGGAGCCAACAAGGTGGGTGGTGTGGGCGCTGACGTTGCCACCCTCGTGGTCGGAGTGGATGGTCAGGTAGAGCCTCATGAGCTCAACGAAGTCCTTGTTCTCAGCGAAGCCGAGCTGGTTGGCCAGGTTGTAGGAGTAGTCCTTGTCCTTCTGGACGGGAGCGACCTTGCCATCCTTGAAGACGTTGCGGTAGATGCGGGCGGCAATGGTGGGCAGCTTGGCGATGAGGTCCATGGAGTCCTCGAACGTGTGCTCCCAGTACTGGGCCTTGGGGATGCCGCGGGCGTAGGCCTTGGCGAAGGCAGACTGGTGCTCAAGAGCAGTGACGGCAAGAGAGAACTGAGCCATGGGGTGGAGGTCGTTGGGGCAGCGGTCAATGAGCTCCTCGACGAACTTGGGGATGTCGGAGCGGGCAGCCCACTCGGCAGAGAGGTCGCGGACCTGCTGCTCAGAGGGGACCTCGCCGGTCAGCAGAAGCCAGAAAAGACCTGTTCCCGTCAGCGCTTGTTTGTCCCCGTCTTGTCAAGCTCAACACATACCCTCGGGAAGAGGCTCCTCGCCGCCGGGAGCCTTGGGAAGGAGCTGCTGGCACTCGGGGATCTGGATATGGTGAGCAATTGATGACGCAAGTGGTACATCAGAGAACTTACGGTCTTGCCGCGGAAGCGGATACCCTCCTCAGAGTCGAGGACGGAGCCCTGGACGAAGCTGTCAGCATTGGGTGCTATCGAAGCGAGAGCTTGGTGTACTAACCTCCCAGACGAGGGCCTTGATGCCACGGGCACCACCGTAGACCTGGTCGAGGGTGACCTCGCCGAGGACCTTGCTGCCATACTCCCTGGTGTTGAGGTTAGCTAATGGCGGCCTGCTGCGGTGGCGGGATGGGATGCGCGCACTTCTTGAGCTTCTTGATCTTCTCCTGCTCCTGGGGAACCTTGGCGGCGAAGGTCTCCTTCAAGGACTGCAACAAGGCGTGTCAGCGCGAGGCGCGTTGAGCGGCGGCAGCGGTGGAAGCTTACGGAAGTCTTGCTGGAGTAGCAGCGCAGGCCGTTGAAGGCGACAGAGCGCGCGGGCGCCCTGGTAGAGGCGCGCAGAGCGGAAGAACCGAGGCGCAGAGCAGAAGCCATTGTGCAAGACGGAGATGGGGCGGGGGAAGAGGAGAGGAATTGATGGGGGAGTGGGTGGGATAAATAAATGGCGCGAAAGTTGGCGGGAAAGCTTTGAGGGCCAGCTGCCCGTTCTCCGGACCTCAGCGCGCCGATTGCGTCGGCCGTCCGGGTATCGCGTCTGTGCGCGCGGACCGCGTGCCTCGCTGCTGAGGTCTTGGCCCGAGCCTGCGCCGCGGCAGCGACTGTAAATGGCAGCGGCCGCACATCCCTCGTCATCGCCATTACTTACACCCGCAACACGCGCACTCGTCGCCTCGAGAAATAAGCACTGCTCCCGGCGCACGCTCAGCCCGTGGCACCCAGCTGGACGTGCTGCCTCCCGCCAGCGCCGCGACCCCCGTGACCGCCTTCCGCCTCTGGCTTGCCGGGCGCTGCGTTTCACGGCTTCCAAGCGCGAGTGCCAGATTGTCTCCTGAAGACGCAGTCACCACGCACCTCAGCTTCTACTCCGTATCCCAGCGCCGCCACCCGTAAGCTTTTGATCGTGTCAAGGAAGCGGCGAGCGCATCCGCTGTGGCCGTAGTCGCTGCGCCTCTCGCTCTCCACCTGCGTACCACCAAGTCTTCAGCTTGCGCCCTCGCAAAGCCCCATCTCACCCGCCGTCGCCTGGCTGCATCTGCTGCTTCCCGTCTGCTCTCTGCAGGTGTCGAGGTTGATTCAGTGACGTAGCGCCGCCGGCTCCGCTCCAGTACACTCAAGTATTCCGCAACCCTTGCTATACAACACGCGCAACTCGCGCACCCTCTGCTTGAGCTCGACCGTGGCGCCGTCGCGCCGGTAGAAGTAGTCATGTCGGCCATCGACGAGCTGAACACGTTGCTGCTGTCGCTGTCTGCGCTGAAGCCCCCAGGAGCCAACAAGTCGAAGATCACCGCCATTACCAACCTCTGCATCGCGAACGCAAACGTAGGCCGAGACCGCTCCCCCAGACAGACGTGGGCCTACTAACCTCTGGTCGCTGTAGCAATGCCCCCAGATCCTCCAGACGATCCGCGACCGTTTCAATACCTCTCCCAACACCCATAAGCTTGGCGTACTTTATGTGCTTGATGCCGTCGTGCGGCAGTGGGCGGACAAGGCCCGGCTGAACAAGGAAGATGCAGCATCTGCAGGCTCTGACGTTTCCAAGGCGCCGAACTCCATTGGAGTTGCCATTGCGACCCAGCTGCTCCCTCCGATGATGCACGACCTTATTCAGAACGCGCCAGAGGACCAGAAGGTACGCTTTGTCGAATCCGTGTGGCGCAGTATTTGTCTCCCGGATATGAGTTGTTTCGTCGTCGCGATTCGAGCAGTTTCAAACACGTACATGTGGCTGGTTTACTCACACGTTATTTTCTTTTCTAGGAGAGAATTGGCAAGATGATTGAAATCTGGGAACGCGGCAACACGTTTCCCCAGCAGATGCTCGCCGACTTCAAGCAGCGTTTAGGAGCCCGTAAGAATCTCCCCGGCTTGCAGGAACCGCACCATGAGGCGAAACAAGGGTCTGATATCTTCGTATCTGCAGCTGCGCCCCCAGCAACCGGAACTCCAACGGGTGCCACCTCTGACCCGACGGCTCAGCCGCATACAGCACCAGTAGCTTCAGCTCCGCCCTCTGGTACAGTCTCACTTCTTGCAAGCCTTGCAAATGTAGGAAAGCAGCAGACTGCCGCTCCGGCTCAAAATGTCCAATACCAAAACGGCACGCAATATGCCGCCCCTACTCAACCGCAGCAACAGAACGTAGGCACTTCTTTGACTGCTCCGCCCATGCCTCCATATGTACCCCAGCCGAACGGCCAAGGTAATGCCGCGCCTGCACCTGCTGCCGCACCGGCTCCCGCTGCGCCGGCCAATCCTCTGATGCCTCAGGCCTTCCAAAGTATGCCCGGCGGCAACGAGGCCTTCATGCAGTTCATAGGCTCTTTGGTTCAGCAAGGCTGGAGCCCGGAACAAATAGCTCAGGTCATTGCTGCCATGAGCGGTAGTGGTCAAGCTCTGCCCGGTATGCCAAGTATGCCGGCTGCCACTCAAGCTCCTCAGGCCCAGAACGCATTCGCACAAGCTGCGCCTAATGGTCAGGCCCAAGCTGCACAAGATTATAGGAGTAGAGATGATCCTCGCGACTTCGATCGCAACCGTGATCGCAGCCGCTCCCCAGATTCGAAGAATCGGCGCACGTCTCCGGTGAACCGCCGTGAGAGCCCGACGTATGGTGTTTACGACCCCTATACTGCACCCGGTGCTCCTGATGGGCCTGCTGGTGGACCTAGTGGCGGAAACGGTCAGCAGTCCAGTGAGCACGGTGGCAACCGTCGTGGTGGTAGGAAAAATAGGAGAAACCGTGATAAGCATCGCAACTCGCCCGCTGTTCAGCAACAACAACAGCAGCAGCAGCAGCAGCAGTCGCAGCAACAAAAAGGCACAAACACTAGGCCTAAGTACATCCAGCATGACCCCACTTTACCGAGGGGCAACATCAAGGTGCTTAGCCGTACTTTGTTCGTAGGAGGTGTCTCGTAAGTCACCCAGTCTACGTTCTATCTTGACGACCTGATGATCCCTAACTATGATTCAGGGCCACAGAGCAGGAGCTCCGGCAGATATTCAGCCGCTTTGGCGAGGTCCAGACCTGCATCGTCAATCCGGAAAAGCACCATGCCTTTGTCAAAATGGCTAACCGTACTGACTCTGTTCAAGCAAAACTTGGCATGGAGAAGGAGAAGAATCCACAGATTCTCAACAAGGCTCGTCAGGTCTGTTCACGATCCCATCGATTCAAAAAGTCTCTACTAACATAACCAAGACTCGTTGGGGTGTAGGCTTCGGTCCCCGCGAGTGCAGTGACTACAGCACTGGCATAAGTGTTATTCCCATTGAACGCCTGACGGAGGCCGATCGTAAGTGGGTCGTCACGTCCGAGTACGGTGGAACGGGTGGACGGGCTCTTGAAACTGGCCTCGTGATTGAAGAGCCGGACATCGAGATCGGAACCGGTGTCTCATCCAAAGGTATGTTCCTCACATCTTGAAAACCTGGGGAAATCAGTTAATGACGCAAGAGTCACAGCCATGAGTCGCCGCGTCGGCCCCGAGCCTACAGGTAAGCACGGTCACTTCCATGGCCGGCGCAACCATCACGGAGGTCACCATGGCGGCGGTTTCGACCCGAACGCGCCGCGCTTCCGCAAGCCCGATCCGCGCCCCGGTGGACCCCAGGGAGGGGAACCTCGGCCAGAGCCTCACACGATTGGCGTGCCCCCGGCCGTTCCGGGCTTCGGCTTCCAGCTGCCCGGTATGTGAGGTGGCTATAGCGTGCCGCTGACGAGTCACGTTCCTTGTGACGTTGCCCACCGTCCTGATCCAGACGTCTGGGACGGGTGGATGCTGCAGGTTTCCGCAATTCTCTGATACGTTCGGACTGCCATGCATGACGCTTTGCCTCCTGCTGGTTTTTCTCCACAGCTTCTTCGGCTTTCACCGTGCACACCGTGCTTTTATTACCAGGTTCTCAAATTCTGGTCTGATAGGTGGAGAGACTTGCTTTTTTTCTTTTCTGCTTTTGGTTCACCTGGTTCTATCCTAGCTTAAATATCGTTTCTGCGTGTAGTATATCAACCAAAAATTCCGGCGAGGGGCGGGGTGCAAGCAGCGGCTCTTCTTTTGCATCGACGGATGGCGGTTCTTTGCGTTTTCTTGGGTTGACCAGTAGTTTTTATTTTCTCTTGGTTCTGCATAGCTTGCGAGGTGATATTCCCTCTTATTCGGTCTTCCATTCAGGCAGCTAGGAGGGATCAAGGTAACGGTGCATCTGCTATCGGTTTCTATACCACTTCTGCTTCCGCATATTATGATTTTTTGCTTGGATGTGAAAATGGAGCAACCCTGTCAGAGTACGAATCGGCGTCACTATTCCCTCAACATGATATGATGTCTCGTTTTGGGTTCTTTCACTTATTGTGGTGGTGCTTTGTTCTTCTGTTTCCTTGGCATTCCTGCGAGCATTCTTTGATGAGGTCCCAGCGAGAAGGAGTGTGGTAATATTTTGTTATACTTTTTGTAACGGAGGTAATGCACAACCTACACGCAGCGCAACGCCATGAACGAGTTTCGAACTGCAATTTTTTCTATCATTATCCCTTGGTGGGTTCACGTTAATGGCAGGGCAGCCAGTCAACGCTCCAGGAGCATCGTCATGCACCACGAAAATGTTTGGGTGAGTCATTTCTCGGGTGTGTGGGCCCAAACCGAGATTGATGGTGCCCGCACCAACCACTCAGATTGAAGAACACGAAAACAAAAAGTGCAAAAAAAGAAAGCCAATATCTAGCTGCGAATGGTTTCGATCCATTGTCCTCCGGGTTATGAGCCCGGCGCTGTTAAGGTTGTTAGTGAATTTGTTTGGTTGTAGTTTGTGGATGAGAATTGCTTACCGCTTCCGCTGCGCCACGCAGCTTTCTTGATGGGCTTGATGAAGAGAAATAGTTGCCAATTTCAATTATGTACCTATTTTGCACACGAAGAAATCACCCACGTCTTGCGTCACCTGTTGGACTTTTCGTCCGAGGCATCCTTTTCAGCTTTTGGTCTCGTGGCTCTCCGGTCCTCCGACCTCGGGCTTGCTCGGCTTTGATTTTGCCGAATGCGGCGAAGTCGAGGCGGCTCGTTTGCTGCATCTAGCTGCATGACTAGCAAATCGCCTATGACGAAGGTCTGCTTACCGTTTGCATGTGAAAATTTATGTCGCACATGATCTTGTAAGCTTAACGTTCTCCAAACTTAATCCGAGGTGCCAAAAATCATGATAGCGAATTGGATTTGATCGAAGCAGTCGTAGACTTTGACATCGTAGATCAAAACAAAGATAGGAATCGCGATAGTGGTTAAAACGATCCGTGAGGTGCACGGCTATTTACGTGTGAACGTGAACATATCATTTCAAATACGCTCCTTGAAAAATAAGCTAGAGGCATTCGTACGCTTGTGGGGCCTCTGAGGAATCCGCTTCCCAATCGTCTCTCGTACATATAAACAATGGTGTGCCTGGCTGCCTTCCAGTGGAGCAGACCAATATTCATCCTGGTGGATGTTCGAAGCCGAAGCCCCGAGGTGTATTCCATAGGTGGTGTGACATGATGCCTGCAGCCCACTACTTATGCGAGGGCTGCACTGATGTTCTGTGCCACAGTGGAGGCCCTTTATTTCTTGATAGCCGCCCTCCTGGCCTTGACGGTCATGTCGTAGAGAGCATCCTTGAAAGCAAACAAGAACGCAGCCGTGATCACTGACTGAGTGACCTTAGGGCCAATACCTTTCACGACGTCAGTATATCTTCCTGCCGCATATCCGCTAGGAGTAGCTTACCTCCGTAAAGACCAGCCCATCCCTCCTCCTTGACGATGCGGCGGAAGCTCGTCATCATATCTTCCTTGGGACCATCCTTGCCGGCAACATGCATGCGGCTCTTCACGGTAATATACGGGTAGGTGATGGACGTAGCCAGGAGCTTACCCAGCGCACCCAGGTAGAACGAGTCCGTCGGAGTGACGCGCCGCCTCTTCTCCAAAACGTTCTTCAACTGCTCGAAAAATGTGTATTGCAGGATGGGGTTGATGACGAGGACGAGGGCGGGGACGACGCCGGCGAAGAGGCGCATGAAGCCTTCCTCCTTGATCATCGAGAGGAGGGTGCCGATGGTCGACGGGGCCTTGGCGGGCTTGCTGCCGGGCAGCTGCTCGTTGGACTCGGACTTGCGCGCCGTCATGCGCGTGTTGACGACCCAGATGGGGTTGGTGATGAGCACCGTGGCGCTGCCGGCGATGGCGCCCGCGATCATCGACTCGACGGTGGTGAGCTTCTTGGAGGCACGGCCGGCCTTGATGGCACCCTTCTCGAAGCCGGCGCGGGTCCATTCGTACCCTTTTTTCCTGTCAGCCTTTTTCCATCTCGGCCTGTCACATGTTACGCACAGTAGTAGTATACGAAGTTGGTGACGCTGATGCCGAACAGCGCCGACTCGAGACCGGCGTAGAGACCGCTAACACCCTCGCGCTGGATGATACGCTTGGCGGCATCGAGCGTCGATGACTGCGCCCGCTTCGACTCGACCTGGGCGCGAGTGGAGAGGGTGATGAGCGGGTAGCTGGCTTGTATCAGCGCTACGACGGCGGCGGGACTGCTGTCAAGGGAGCCTACGTCAGGGCCATGGAGAGCAGCCCTCCACCGGCACCGGCCAAGGCGTGAGCTACATTGTCGCTCTGCTGGGCGGCGCTGATGGTCGAAGGACCGGCGGCCTGGCTGTCGGACGTCTTCTTGAGGTCCTGAGCCTGTGCGGACATTTTGCGGGGAAAGGTGCGGGAGGGCGTAGGAAAGCTCGGGAAAGCGCTGTCGAAGCGGTCGTGGAAATACTCAATGGAGAGAAGAATTTGAGAAATGGCAGCCACGATAGAGTTCAAAGTCTGACGATAGCGCGGGTGTTCTGCGGATGGGAGACGAAAAAGGAGCGGAGCGTTATGATGGTCTTGGGCTCTTGAAGCTCCATCATGCACCCAGTCGGCTTTGCGTCCCTGCTCCAAACCTCGGCACTGGCGCAGACACATGGGACGGTCACGTGCAAGACGTTTGGCTGACTGCGGTTAGCGCCACGCGCGAGAGCGTTTCAGGTCATGGGGTGCCAAAAATATACCTGAAATTAGCGACAAACTCCCCTAAACTTCAGCGAGTCCACCAAAACGACCGCAAATTTAGGCACCAACACCCAACATAACCGCCTTTTTGCACCCGAAACCGCCCGCCACCAGCTGCACGCGTCACCGCCTGCCCCAAATCTCGACTCAAGCCGTGGGGCAAGGCTGCTCCACGCCCACGCGACTGCGCGCACGCCGCAGCGCTCGCGCGACGCGTGACGGCGCCCGTTCGCCTCCTGTCTGGGCATCCTACTCTGGGGCCCAGAAGACGACAAAAAGCGCTGGACGCCATTGGCGGCACTTATTCCGTGTCACCCGAAGTAGTAGCTGGACTACCGCTCTACGGAAACCATGGATTTCAACACTAACGGACCGCATCTTGCCCCGCACCCTCACCAGTACCCGCCGCAGCAGGGCTCTCCCAGTCCCGCCTATTCCCAGTATTCTACTGCCATAGACCCGCATCTGGCGTCTACCCCAGCAGCTCAACGCCATTTCCCTCATAATAACATGGCCGGCTCTTCTCCTGGGTTCAATGCCTCGCCGCGCTACAGCGCCTCGCCGGGCCACCAGCAGCAGTCAAACTTTGTTCCGTCTGATCGATCGCTGCCGGCGACAGACACCATCTCGGCCGATAATCTCGACGAGATCTATGCGGCTTTTATCCTGTACTGCAATCCCTACTTTCCTTCGAGTCATGACACAACCGAATTGAAGAAGATATTTAAGAAGCCGCCGATGAGCGATAACAAGACATTTGATCCGTATAATCTGTTCGAGCTCTTGAAGAAACTTGAAAAGGGTGAAATTAAAACTTGGATACAACTGGCTCTGGACCTGGGTGTCGAGCCTCCAGACATCGAAAAGGGCCAAAGTACGCAGAAGGTGCAACAATACGCCGTGAGATTGAAGGTGCGTTTGTCCAATGTTCATTTCCACTCCCAATGTTTTTTCCTATTCCCTTCCTTCTATCACCTATTCTGCTTCCGTTCCCCTCAAATCTCAAGGCTTTTCGGTCATTGTTTATCTTCTACCCGTGAGCCCACTAACCTGACACCAACTAGCGATGGATGCGTGCCATGCACATCGATGCATTTTTCGATTTCTTGCAAGGCAAGCCGCATTCGTACTACGCCAACATTCCTCCGTTAAATGAACCATTCCCTCCGGGTGGACGTGACGGTGTCCCACTGGAGGAAGATTTGGCGATCCGCGGCCTTGACCCTGCCTTCAAACCAAAGCGTGGTCGAAAGAAGGCAGACGAGTTGGAAGACGACGATCATGGCACCCCGCCGCCGAAGAGGCCTCACCTGGACACTTCATTCGCGTTCAACAGCGGCAACCATCCACCATCGGCGTATCCAAACAGCGCACTACCCATGAGCGCACACCCTGACAACTTTGTCGGCCATGACCCTTGGACAGCAGCCTCAATGGGAACACCTAACACTAACCAGAGGGGGCTAACTCCGAATTCTGCCCTGAATGCCGCCGGTGCACCCCACCTTCGTTGGCAGGTGAACAGCCACGAGAACCCCAGCACACCTCACCCTCTTTCTGCAGTCAGTCCGATGACAGAGCGACCTCCAGACTCTGCCTTTGATGAGCCACTGTCTGCAGTGACTCCTGGGTCCCGAAAACCCAGGCGTAGGCACGGGCCGGCGGTGTCATCTGCATGGCCGAGTAGCGGATCTGGCTCCAGTGGGAAGCTCCGTGGAAGACCACCACAGAACAGATCGGTTCGCGATGGACCTTACGTAACCTTCCCTGCGAATCCAAACACCAAAGAGCAACCGACCGTTGACCTCACTCGAACTACGCCGGATCCCACAACTGCGGGCGCCCAATTGCTGGATGCTGCACAGAGTCAAGGCCAGACTCAGGTTCATAGCCCATCTCCAGGTCCAACGCCTAGCCAGCAAGCCCGCTTTCCACCTACTCCGGCGTCAGCAACGCAGTCAGGACCATCCCCTGTACATAGTCGTGCAGGCCAACGCCTGTCCCTGCAGGTGCCACAGCACACTGGGGGGCCGGTCCATCTGGTCACGCCGACTGTACTAGTGAATGGCGAGTCGAACAGTCCGGACAAGCAACCAAGCTCGGCAGAGGCAGCCAGTGAGCTTCCTAAAGTCACTAGAGAGATGCTTAAGCGATTGCTTGCCGCTGATCTTCTCCGCGCCGATGTCAATGGTCGAAAACGCCTGCGCGGGCATGAGGCGAAAGACCTTGCTGATGCACTCCTGACACAGCTCAGTAGCCAGAACGAGCCAAGCGGCACGGGCGATGATGCGTCGAACCAAGGTCTTGCAAACTGGCTTGGATTTTCAACCCATCTTGGCTTAGGGCCGACACCGGTCCCAAGTGGCATCAAAAAGATTGATGTGCAAAAGTATCGGGTTAGCGATGACGGGTATGAGAGCCCTATCGATCCAGACGATGATAGTGCGCTAGCTCTAGGCGATGGTTCAAAGATCAAGGAGACTTTCGACGTCAGCTGGGCCCTCACGCTGGGTGGCTGTACAGGGAAGTTTGCCGTCAAAGGCTTGATGATTGAATCAAAGGGATGTGGAGAGAAGGAGGAGAAGGAGGGAGGAGAGGGGTTGCAGAGTAAGCAAAAGGAGAAGAGTCTCGAGGAGAGAGTCAAAGAACTGGAAGGCCAGTTGAAAGGCAAAGACAGAGAGGTGCAGCTATGGAGACAGCGAGTACTGGAAGCTGTTTTGTGAGTCTGTTGGAGAGCGGGTTTCCCATTTCTTCGTTTTTTCTTGACCCTTTACGGAGTAGGGCGGGAGCGTTCTTTGTTGTTTTGGATACCACTGAGTTTGTGTTTTAGTCTGTTCCCGTTGGAGAAGAGATTGACTGGAGTCCCTTGCGGCACAGCCGGCAAGGGCGGAGCCGGAGCCGGGTAATAATCTTCTATTTGTTTCTATCGGATCCATTTCGTGTTCAGGAGGTGAATCATTTTCCGGGTGTGTGAGAACTTGACAAACATCACCGGCCGAGACCTCTCGGCGGGACTAACAGCAGTGCATCCTTCAAGAAATGTCCGTCTACAGGCGGGAGACTAGTGTTGCTGTCAACGTTCCTGCAGCACTAGGTCAGCGCGACGGATCTGCAACGGGCCCTAACGACGGGGAGGTTCCGGCGAAACAGAATCTCGGGCGCTGCCACGAACAAGGGCGTGCTCAGCGTGAGCCTGCACCTTAGGCTCGCACTCGCGCCCCGTGCCTGGTGTTGTGAATCACGATGGGCCACGAAACTCGCTCCACACGTCGCACGGTCGTGGCTCGGTGGCATGCCTGAACTCTTCGATTGCGCTCCACGCACATCGGCGATCTGGTCGATTAGCGTCGCGGCCCGCCCTTCACTTACTCAGGAAATCGCATTGTCTAGAATTCCCATGCGCAGAATCGCACCCGTGGGCCTCCTCCAGCACCAACAATTACCCGCCGCCTAGCACGACTGAAACCTGCCCCCGAGGGCTGCGCGACGAAGACCCTTTTTTTCGCGTTTACACTATTGGCGATCGGCACAAGGTCCCGCTAGCCTTCCATTTCAAGCACTTCCCGCCTACTCTGCGTCCTCACGCCGCGCTGCTCTTTGTACCACCTCAGAACCTTGTCTGCACTCAGTTCCGGACGAATACCGTTGCGTTGCTGCGTTGTTAGCCACGGCCCAATCGAATCGAAGCACAGACCGCCCACCGAGCATACCCACCAGGAGCTGCGAACCATTTCCCAGCAGCGCGCGCGAGTGTTGCGAGACGCAATGCTGGCGTCGCTCGGGAGCAAGAGCGGCAGCAGAAGCAGCAGTAACTGCGGCTGCCAACCGCCGGCCGGAGGTAGCAACAGCAACAACAACAGCAGCAGCAGTAGCAGCGCCGGTGACGCCTCACGGCCCACCACGAGCGACCGCCCCGCGAGCGAACCGGCATGGTCAATCTTCGGCGTGCGGAGTAGTTCGCAGCACGTCCGCAACCCCCGCCAGCGTCACCACCACCACCAACACCACCACCATAATTTCCATGGCTTATATCAGGGTCCCGAGTCGGAACCGGAGGTGGGATTGCGCGACGGCGACATCCAGTTTGCCGGCGTCGCGCTCATCGATTTCCTGGACCTCGATGCTAGGCCCATCTTCGCCGTCGATCTGCTCGCCAACAAGTATACCTCGTCGGCCCCGGCCATGTCCCGCGCCGCCTCGTCGTCGTCCTCGTCGGTAACCTCGCACCCGTCGTCGTCGGTGTCAACACAGTCGCTGCCCATAATATACTATAACCAGGCGCTGCAGGATGCAGGCAACCTGCTGGAGATGGTCGAGGGCTCTGCGTCGAGCAGCCCGTACGGACAGCCCGCATGGGTTACCTACCCGGTCTTCAGGGCGTGGGTGCTCGATCTGTCGCGGAGCATGTTTGCGGCGAAAAAGGGCTCAATCGTGTACGGTGGGATGAGGTGGTCGGCGACAACGGTGCGCAGGCGCTGGAAAGTGCTGTCTGGCGAGGCTTACCGACATCGCGATCATCTGACCGGGTCATTTTCCAATATTCAGTTCTCCACGAAAGCAGTGGGAAAGGAACCGGAAAAGGTGCCTGAAGCGAAGTCGGAAGACGACTGGAGTGGAAAGTCAGGAGACTACTTGAGTGCGAAGTCGGCTGACAACTTAAATGAGACGTCGGGTGATTACTTGAGTGCAAAGCCGGAAATCTGCTTGAGCGAAATTCATGAGGAGGAAAACACAGCACCGGAAGAGTCTTGGCAGATGGAAGAGAAAACAGAATGGAGGAAAGAGGAGGAAGACGTTAAACTGAAGGAGTTTGGTGTGGGGAGAGCCGAGTCGGGAGCTGAGAGGTTCAGGAAGGGCTCGCTGAAAAACGAGAGGAGACACAGCTTACCACCCCCTGTCGAAGCGGTGCCCCTCACTCCTGGAACCAGTACTTATTACCGACAGAGCTCAATACCGGCCAATGTTCGATACGATTGGACATGCACACCGCCGCCTCCTAACCTCGCACCACACGTTCAACTAATCCGCGGGATAGACTGGGCCAACACCCCGCTTGGTCCAATCGATTCGTGGTCTCCTACCTTGAAGTTCATGTGCAACTTGATAATGGCATGCCCAAATCCAGCCATTGTCTTCTGGGGCCCGGAGCTGAACATGATCTACAACGAAGCGTACATTCCAATTGCCGGGGCAAAACATCCCTCGATGCTCGGCGTTCCGCCGTGGGTTGCCTTCCAAGAAGCCTGGGATGATTTTGAACCATTTTTGCGGAACTGTGAGGAGTCTGGATGTGGCGCCATGGTCGAGAACATGCTACTCTTCCTCAATCGCGGAGCTGGCCTCCAGGAGGAGTTTTATTGCTCGTTCAGTTTTACGCCCATTCTGGAGAACGACAAGATCGTAGGCTGGCACGAGGTCGTTTTTGAAACGACAAAACAGATGATCACCGAACGAAGGATATCAACATTGCTTACCCTCAGCGAGAAGCTTTCTACTTCGTTGACCCTCAAGAGCTTCTGGGAACAGACACTCGAGGGCCTGCAATCCAATTCACAAGACGTATGCTTCGCAGTGCTATACTCGGTAAGTGACTTAGCCGGGGAGAGCCATCTTGGACATCTTGGAGGCGCGGAACGATCCTCGTCGAGACGCTATGAGCTGGAAGGAAGCATTGGTGTTCCGGAAGGACATCCTGCTACATCAACTCGTCTTGATGTGGCATTGGGTCGGGACTGCTTCATGCGATACTTCCGTACCGCTGCAGAATCCAACGAGCCCCTTTTCCTCAGCATAAAGGATGGTACTTTGCCTGAGGCTTTGGTGCATGGAATCGAATCGAGAGCTTGGAATGAGCCTTGCGACTCTGTTGTTATATGTGCTATTCGCCCGACAACCGGTCACGCTTCCACTCGCGACACTGCTTTAGGCTTCCTGGTAATCGGTCTAAATCACCACAGACCCTATGACGACGAATACAAGACTTTTGTTCAACTGCTCAACCGTCAGTTCACGACTTATCTCGCTTCGGTACTGTTGCTAGAAGAAGAGACCAGACGAGGACGCACCGTCGCAGAACAAGCTGCCCTCGACCAGCAGAAAATAGAGGAGCAGTTGCAGCTCCGCACACGTGAACTGGAGCAGAGCGAGCTGCAACTCCAGCATTTCGCGGATGCCATACCTATTGGAATATTCATCCTCGAGTTTACCCCTGACAACATGGGCGGAAGCTACCGGTACCGGAACGAGAAATGGTTTGAGTTGATGGGTGACTCGCGCGAAAATATACCCAGCTGGAAAAGTCCTTTGTGGAAACAGATGCACCCGGAAGACCTTCCTGCTGTGCAGTTGTGCTGGAAAAAGCTCATGGAGGAGAAGACAGAACAGAGCTTCGAGTTCAGGATTCCACGACGGGGAGAGCCAACGTCACCCGTGGACGAGAACATGAAATCTACCTGGATTCTTTGTGTAAGCACTCCCCTGACTAACTCGAATCAACGGAACGACACTGACCCTACTTGTACAAAGCACGCCTTTTCGGTAGTGACGGACGACGGCTGGCTGCGGTCGATTGTCGGTTCGGTTACCGACATCACAACGATCAAGTGGGCGGAGGGTATTCAGAAACGAAAGATGGAGGATGCGATCGAGGCAAAGAGACAGCAAGAAAACTTCATTGATGTCACTTCGCATGAGATGCGCAATCCACTCAGCGCCATCATGATCTCGGGTGAGTCGAGCAGTTCGCTGTCTTCGGGCAGTCAGTCACCATTCGTTTGCTAATGAGCCTAGCGGATGATATCATCGCATCTTTGAAGGGCCTGAAGTCAAATTCGAAAGATTTTGAATCGGTCATCGAGAATAGCATTGACGCTGCAAATACGGTCTTGCATTGCGCTCAGCATCAGAAGAGAATTGGTAATATCTCCAATAGTTGAAAGACGGCAACTATTCATCTAACAGCTTATAGTTGACGATATCTTGACGATCAGCAAACTCGATTCTGGCCTTTTCTCTATAAACCCTATTGAGGTTCAACCGGTGGCTCTGATCAATGATCTATCCAAGATGTTCGCTGGTGAATACAATGCCGCTGGCATCACACAAACAACGGTCGTCGAAGATTCGTTCAAGACTTTGGGGGTCGACTGGGTTCTACTAGACTCAAGCCGGCTCACTCAAATTCTTATCAACCTTATCACTAACAGCATCAAGTTCACTCAATACCAGTCAACGCGCGAGATCAAAATTCGCATCGGAGCATCAAAAGAAAAACCAACAGTGAGTGCTGAAGGCATTCAGTATCTCGATTTCCGTATGAGCCGTGAGGACTTAACCCAGCGACGAGAGTGGGGGAACGGCGAGGAGCTCTACCTGCATTTCTCAGTCTCGGATACCGGATGCGGACTTACAGTGGATGAAAAGAAGCTTCTTTTCATGCGTTTCTCTCAAGCACCGCGTACCATGGTGCACTACGGAGGATCCGGGCTCGGCTTGTTTATATGTCGCGAACTCACGGAGCTCCAAGGTGGCTCGATAGGGGTCGATTCTGAGTCTGGAAAGGGCTCAACATTCGCATTCTACATCAAGACACGCCGGCTTATACCACGGGAAACCGAATTGCCGAGCCGACCAACACCTCAAGGGCCTGAATTGACGGCCTTGCAGCAGCTGCAGAACATCGAACAAACTTTCGAGCAACCTCTCTTGCCTCGCAAAGACCAATACGCGCCTAGCCCATACAGCAATCTACCAACACGGCCATCATCGCCAACGACAACCGTGACAACGACAAACACTACTACTTCCACACATTCGATACCGTCATCCGTGCCATTCGGCCCGCGTCCTCCTTTTGACTGTTTGATCGTCGAGGACAACAAGGTCAACCAATCGGTAATGAGCAAAGGGCTCGTCAAGCTTGGGCACACCGTGTTCGTGGCCAACCACGGCGCAGAGGCGCTCGAGTTCCTGCGCACGACGAAGCACTGGCGTGGGAATACGGGCGAGGCGCAAAACCTGTCCGTGGTGCTCATGGACATCGAGATGCCGGTCATGGACGGGTTGACGTGCGTGCGGGAGATCAGGAGGCTCGAGAGAGAGGGTTCGATCAATGGCCGCATCAAGGTTATTGCCATCACTGCAAATGCTCGAGTCGAGCAGGTCAACACGGCGATGCAGGCGGGTATGGATGACGTTGTGAGCAAACCCTTCAGGGTTGCGGAGCTGATTTCGAGCATTGAGAGGCTCGTGGATGCAAAGGAGCCTCGGGTGGAGACTGTGGAGGTTGAGGAAGCAGATTGAAAGGATGAGAAGAAGAACTCATCTTTTTATTCACTTCGGACGTTCGACAACTTCTCGGCATGGACTTTGTACGATTCTGCTGCACGGCACGGCACTTCAGACCACGATCCCCACACCAAGGAAGCACAACCGTTGCAGAAAATGGAGCCAGGCGACGGCTACCATACCATCCGTTCTCCGCGGAGGTTCTTGGCTACCTACAGATTTTAATACGATTTACACCGGAGTCTAGGAGATTATCGACTGGCAAGCATGGAGCATTCCTCCTACCTCTGGTCAGAAACCATGGGAACACCCGCAAATCGTTGCGGGATCAAGTAGATGATGCTTCCGGTGTGGGAGATTGGAGACGGCGTTAAAGGACTTCTTCCTTTCTAAATCATCAGGAAATTTTTCAATACCCCCCTGGGAACAGATTGAAATAAGAAGTAGGATAGGGCATCAAGGAAGAGAAAGATGAACGAAGGCCAGTGTATTACCATGTAAGCAATGATTCGACGCATAGCAGGGCTTTAGCGACCCAATGAGCTATGAATGCTCAGCAATCTGTAATGGCATTTGCGTGTTCTGGCAATTGACCAGTGGGGTGTCGTTGGAAATAGCAGTTCAAGCATCTGCATCCTTCCCAGCAACTTGACGTGTCGGGCACGTCTCCGAGTCGAGTAACACAACCAACGCATAGAACCGTCATCTGACCCTGATTGGGGAAGCAATATATTAAGCATGGCCTCGAGTTCAGATTCTTGACCATCGACATTTCTTTGCACTCGTCGGATCGACCTGTGACGTGCATCCTGTTTCCCCACAATGTGTCTCGGTCCATCCCCGTTGTGGATCCGGCCCGATGTCAGCGCCCCAATGCTGCGCGCATCACAGCTTTCAACCGTCGGCTCGTCGCATCAGATAATGTCTGGAGAAATGCAACACAGGGTGATCGAAGAAAACGATTCGATGGCGACGGCGACGCCAGCAGTCAGGAACAGGTTCGGAGGCGAAGACTGAGGCTGGACTAGTCTGGTGCGGCGCTGTTGCTAGGCGGGGCTTCCTGGCAAAAATTGGAGCTCTGATCGCACGTGGGAGCTCTGCGGACAGCTCACTCGCTCCCGCTCCTCCGTCAACCTTTCCCTCGCAACAATCTCTCCGTTCCAGCCCAAGATTCCTCCCGCCTTGCCCGTCCCGACCACCAGGCCGCATAGACACCGCCGAACCTGCGCACCAAAACACGCCGAGAGAAAACAGCAACCCGTCTTCCGTCTCTTTCCCACCCAATTGATCGTCGTCCCATTCCGCCAGGATGCGCTTTGGCCGCACGCTGCAGCGGTCCGTGTACCAGCCGTGGCGCGACAAGTACATCGACTACGACAAGCTCAAGCAGCTGCTGCGCGAGGGCGGCTCCGACCAGGGTAGCGACGAGGACTTCGACGACACTTGGACTGAGGAGGATGAGGGCCGCTTCGTCGAGGAGCTGGTCAACGTGCAGCTGGAGAAGGTGCACGACTTTCAGAACCAGAAATACCAGGACTTGCGCGACCGCACCTCGGAATGCGAACGCAAGCTGGAGCCCTTGACGCCGCCGGGCCACCAGGAGGCGGACGGTAGCGGTGGGAATGGCGAGGGTAGCAGCAATGATAATAACAACAATAGGCCCGATGTGCCCGAGGAGAAGCGCAAGCGGATTTTGCAGGAGGTGCTGAAGGAGCTGGATACCATCACCAAGGAAGTCAGCGAGCTTGAGCGCTACAGCCGCATCAACTACACCGGCTTCTTGAAGGCTGCCAAGAAGCACGACCGTAAGCGCGGCCACAGCTACCGCGTGAGGCCGCTCTTGCAGGTGCGCCTGGCCGCGTTACCATTCAACAAGGAGGACTACTCGCCGCTGCTGATCCGCCTGTCGGCCATGTACTCGTTCGTTCGCCAGAACCTTGAGGGCAAGGAGAAAAGGGAGCTGTCCTTTTCCGAGAACACCACCGGCGGCGAGTCCTTCACCTCGCACAAGTGTAGGGCGTCGTTGTCTTGTTTGAAATTGACTTCTGCTGACGTACGAGTGCAGTCTGGGTCCACCCCGAGAATTTGCTTGAGGTTAAGACCGTTATCCTTCGTCGGCTGCCTGTGCTCGTGTACAATCCTCAGACTTCCAAGGTTGCCGAGGGCACCCAACGTGATCCAACCATTACATCCATCTACTTTGATAACTACAAGTTTTCACTGTACACTGATAAGGTTGGACATGAGCCCGAAGCCTCGTCGCTGCGGCTGCGCTGGTACGGGCAGCTGGCGGAGAAGCCCGAGATTGTGCTTGAGAAGAAGACGATCAAGGATGGGGATGCTAGCGAGGAGCTGCGATTCCCAATCAAGGAGAAGTATATCGAGCAGTTTATTCGCGGAGAGTACAAGATGGAGAAGAGCATCGACAAGCTGAAGAGGACCGTTGGCGAGGATTCTCCGAAGGTCGAGGATCTTCAGAGGAGCGTTGACGCTATTCAGTCCTTCGTCCGGGAGCGCGAGCTTCAGCCTGTGCTGAGAGCAAACTACACTCGCACTGCCTTCCAGATTCCTGGAGACGACAGGGTCCGCATCTCCCTCGACACCAACCTTGCCCTCATCCGTGAGGATGCGATTGATCACGACCGTCCTTGCCGTGACCCGGATGACTGGCACAGGAGTGATATTGACAGCTCTCAAATGGAGTATCCCTTCAACGAGATACGCAAGGGCGAGATATCTCGTTTCCCGTTCGCCCTTCTGGAGATCAAGATCAAGGGCAAGAAGCAGTACGAGTGGGTCGAGGATTTGATGAACTCGCACCTTGTCAAGGAGGCACCCCGGTTCTCCAAGTTCGTGCACGGTGTTGCTCAGCTATTCGAGGATCAAGTCAACACCTTCCCCTTCTGGCTCAGCGAGCTCGAGACAGACATCCGCCGCGATCCCCACAAGGCCTTCGAGGAGGAGCAGGAGCGCAAGGCTAAAGCTGCTGAAGACGAGTTCGCCGTTGGCAGTCTATTTGGCACGCGCTCTAGCCCGGTGGCTTTCCGGGCATCCATGGCCTCTCCGGTGGGCTCTCCCTCTAATGCCGGCGCCATGAAGTTGAGCAAGTCGCCCAGGGCTACCGTTGCCGACACGCGCCGCGCCTCGCTGGCCGCGCAGACAGCGTCCGCAAAGCAGACGGGCACCGACAACGTCGCAGAGGAGCCAGACTCGGACTCGGACGGCCGACAAGCCGGTCCTTCGGGCGAGCGCAACATGACGTCGCCCGGCGGCGTGCGCTCGCTCTTCCCGTCCTTCTCGTACTCCAAGTACGCGCAACGCCACCGCGCTCGCCAACAGCAAGCGGTGTCGCTGCCGCCGGGCGTGCGGGACCCGGGCCCGCGGTGGATCAAAGACCAGGGACCGGTGCGCGTCGAGGCCAAGGTGTGGCTGGCCAACCAGCGCACCTTCATCAAGTGGCAGCACGTGTCGGTACTGCTGGCGACGCTGTCGCTCGGCCTGTTCAACGCTGCGGGCGAGGACAACAACGTCGCGCGCTCGCTGGCCGTCGTGTACACGTGCGTCGCGGCGTTTGCGGGCGTGTGGGGTTATGCCATGTACATGCATCGCGGCAAGCTGATCCGTGAGCGCAGTGGGAAGGACTTTGATAACGTGTTGGGGCCCATGGTCGTGTGTCTGGGATTGATTATTGCACTGTGCTGCAATTTTGGGTTCAGGGTGAGTTCTGTTTGCTTGATTTAATCTTTTCCTTTGCTGACTGAATGGGTTCCAGTATCATGCCATCACGAAAGAAAAGGAAAGAAGTGCGGATGGTGGCGGTGTGAATGCCACTGCGGCTGTCGTGGTGGAGGCTGTTGCGGGAATGCTTGGTACTGGAGAGCTGTAGAATTTCTTTTTTTCCCTCTCCGTACCCTTCCTTGTAAAAGACCGTTGTACCTGTACAAAATGTTTCCATTTTGTTGGTCCCTGAAAGACATGGTCGATTGCGGTGGGTGGTGTGATAAAAAAAAAGGTAGGCGTGGGAATGGTATGCATTGTTATTTTGCCGCTTCGTATGATATTGTCTGTATACGATCCTTATTGCTGTTAAATAATTTTTGGTGCTTTGATATATACAGGTTGGCGAAGGTGGGGTGGCTGCTGTATAATATATCGTTCTTTGTATCAATTGATAGTGTGGATGAAATTTCGTCTACTCCTTTTTCTGCTGAAGGCCCAGATAGTAACGCACATGGTAAAGTTCATTTGCCGTCATGTCCACCTGCCTCAGAACTCTACACCTGGATCAGATGAAAATGTGAGCATGAGACGGAAGTGGACAGGTAAAGCCAAACATTACATTACACGAGATTTTATTCTAAGATTCACACAGAAAATTCCCTGGACATAGAGTTCAAGCCTTTAACTAGATTACTCGTATAGATCTAATTTCTATACATACGTCTCGATATATTCTTTAATTACTTATACATTAGAGAAGTGTTTAACACCTCTTGCCAAAGATGTCTGAAAAAGTAACAAGTCCACGTTCCATCTGAATTACCAACATATAAACACGAGTTTCGGTCTCCTCTGTCCGAGTCCTCCTCGTTTCTTCTGCTGCTCATTTTATTATCCTGTTATTCTGGTTTCTTAGTGGTTGGGAACTAAAGCAAACTTTCCGAATTCAGAAAGTCTACAGTGCTTTATAGTAATCACTTAACGGCCGCCAAGCATGCTGCGAGTCTGATTGGACGAAACGAGCCGTGGTCGGACAATAAATCTGCCGTAGTCAAGGATGCTGCTACGTGACAGGCTGTCGGCAGTTGCATAAGGTAGGTCGTCAGGGTCCGGGGGATACGCGCGCGTGCACGCACGTGAAGACCCTTGCTGCAGATCATTTTTTAGCGCCGAACCCCCCGGCGGCACATCTGCCGCCGTCAGCACCGGCGTCATTGGCTGGACCAGACCCCTCGCCATTGCCCAAAACAGCCGTTCCATGCGTCATCCCGCTTTTGTCCATGTCGACTCCTCTCGCGAATTGACATCACCAACTAGGAGAATGCCATTCAAGTGCGTCATGCGACCATTTTGCGCATGCATGGCCACGAACCTGGAAACTGATAAACACTGGCGCGGGGATGCTTGAATTTGGTAAGATATTGTTGGACATTCAGGAAATGTCGTCCTCAGCGCTTATGCCTTCCCTCAGACAGTTCTCCTTTTCGCCGGTTTCTTGTAAAGCGCTTTCTCTTTCGCCACGTATTCCTCCTCGCACGTTGATATCCACGCGCCGTTTCCATCCCCCTCAGCGAAGACAACAAACAGCAACCAACACTTACCACCCTCCCTCCTCACGACGACCTCTCACTACCTCCACCATGAACACCCTCTGTACCACAATCGCCGAAAACATGGGCGGGCCAGCACACATACTCGCACCCGCAGACTCCCAATTCACGCTCTCCTCGGTACCCGATCTAACGGGCAAAGTGGCCGTCGTGACAGGCGGCAGCGAAGGCATCGGTTACGGGTGCACGCACACGCTCCTCTCGCACAACATCAGCAAACTATTCATAATATCACAATCGGCCGACATCGTAGCACACGCGCTAGCGGCGATACGGGACGAGCTGGGGCAGGAAGCGGCGGACCGCGTCGAGTGGATCCCCTGCGACCTGTCCGACTGGGACGCAGCAGCCGACACGGCTACACAAATCGCAGCGCGGACGGACCGGCTGGACATCCTCATCTGCAATGCAGCGCGCGGCATCATGACGGTACAGCGGGCGCCGCACAACGGCGTCGACCTGCACATGGCCGTCAACCACATGGGCCACAGCGTCATCACGTCGCACCTGCTGCCGCTGCTCAAGCGCACCGCCGCCGAGGGCCGCTTCGTGCGCGTCGTGCACCTGGCCAGCAACGCGCACGAGATGGCGCCGAAAGAAACGTCGTTCTCCTCTCCGGACGAGCTGAATACGGATTACGGCCCCAGCGCGCAGTACGGCCGCTCCAAGCTGGCCGCCATCCTGTACGCGCGCTACCTGGCCCAGCACCTGCGCCGCGAGCACCCCAACGTCCTCGTCAACGCCGCCCACCCGGGCGTCGTCGACACGCGCCAGACGACCGAGCACATCCACGAGGCTTACCCGCTCGGCGGCTATGGTGTTAGTGTCGCGGTCCACCCCTTCAAGAAGAGCGCCATGCAGGGCGCCGTGTCGACCATGTACGCCGCCACCGCTACGGAGAAGAGCGGCGAGTACGTGTGCCCGCCTGCCATTGTGGAGCCCGGCAGCGAGATGAGCAGGGATAAGGAGCTCGGCGAGCGGCTGATGCGCTTGACCCGCGAGCTGGTGGCTGAGAGGACGAGGAAGGCGAGTGTGGAGCAGGGGTGTCCGTTTAGGGATTATTAGGGGTGGGTGGGTTTGGTTGGTGATAAGCGTCTGGTTGTGGAGAAAAAAGAGTCGTTTTGGGTTTGTGTCTGTTTGTGGTGGAGCGAAGGCGGCGTGATGTGTCTTAACAGTTGGCGTTTGCGAGCGGGCATCGACTGAGATAGCGAGAGACGAGAGCGAATCAAACGCGTCGCGTACCTGTACTTGTACGTGTATCAGATCAGGAAGTCAGAACATGGTGGCATCATTCTAAGATCAGGCACTCACCACAGACCAGAAAGCTTAATTGGAGCTCTGCGCGCCGCATGGCCAGCACCCACTTTCCGACGCATGCTTGCATCACCTTATAACGAGTACAACTATTGGATGTGGCTGCATCGTTTCTGTAACACTTTAGCACGCAATGCAGGTGGTGTTCCAATAACAGCTCGAAAATGAACATTAGAAGAAAGTCGTAGGCTTTCTACGTATCCACAACCAAGCGCTTGCTCACCGACGCCCCTGAAGACAGTAACCGTACAACCCAAGAAAAAGTGGACCAACACCCTCCCCTCTATGAAGCATGCAGCGAACAGCAGATTTTTTGTAACCCTGTACAGGAGAGAACAGATGCTTCGTGGGAATTCGAAAAGCGCAACAACGAAAAGGGACGGGGGAATCATTATTTTTACTGAGGAACCTAGTGCTTCAGCTTGCCATCCCTGCGCTCCTGGTCCGCCTCAGCCTTGGCGGCAGCTTCGCGGGCCTTCATCTTGCGCTCCTCAGCCTCGACCATTTCTGTAACAGTGTCAGCACATCATGTCATGATGTCGGCCCATTTCGTTTGATACGTACCCCTCCACTGGTCTTCACCCGTGTAGCGCTCGTGGTGGATCTTCTTCTCGATGTAATGCGAGTGGGTGGGGTCGTTCGGGTCGAGGACCTTGACCGTCTCCCAGCGGCCCGCGCCCTTGTTGGCGTCGTTGGCCTCGAACGCAAAGCTGGCCAGCAGCACCGCGAGCGTTAGACCCTGAGCGTAGACACGAGCTTGCACCAACTTCTGCTGGCCCGACAGGTAGGGGTTGCGAGAGACGATGGCGAAGGAGCCGCCCATGGAAGCCAGCCACGCGGCGAAAACGATGGGGTAGCGGTGATCGGCAGCCCAGTCCTTGATTTTCTCGAACGACGTCTTGCCGGCCTCCAGCAGCTGCGCCTGGGCCTTCTCCTCCTCCTCGAGACGCTTCTTCTCCGGGTTGGTCTCAATGTCGTAGCGGCGCGAGGCGTGGTCGGCGGCAATGATACCTTTTCAAAACTCCGTTAGCCTCTTTTCACAGTGATTTATGACAGCGCATGTGCGATGGTTACGTACTGACGAAGGTACCGCCGGAGGTAACAAGGAAGGTCCGGAAAGGAATCGAGAGCTGGCGGAACATGGGGTATCTCCTCGAGGCGAACCAGACACCAGCACCGCTGATTGCCAGACCAGTCATGAGACCTACGGTGCCACCCTTGACCGTGGCGCTGTTGTTAAAGTCAGCACGCGAGCTCCGTGTCAGGCGATGGGTTTCTCGGTCGACGAGCGGGGTGCCATCGCGGCGAATTGTGCTGGAAAAACACTCACTTGTAGTGAGCCTGCTCCTCCTCCTTGGTAAGAATCTTCATGTTGACGGTGGATGCGACGGGGCGCGTAAAACGTGGGCAATGGGGTATCGAGCGGATTCAATCGTAGGCGCTTGGGCAACGGAGGGCTGCAGCAAGGCGATTGGCGCAGCTTTCGCAACGAAGTGGGCGATGGTAGAGATAGGGTGGATGGCGATGAATGTGGGAGAGAGAAAGGTTGGGGAGCGGCGGGAGAGTTTGGTTAATAAGTATGCATGACGTCGGCGAAAAGAGGGCTTGGGCGGTCGCGATCAGCAAAGCAACATAGGCCGCGCCGGCAGTGGGTGACGCCCACGCAAAAATCTCGGGCTCCACCGAACTTGCGCCGCACTGACGCGGATGGATTATATCACACCATGTCACGTCTGGTCGCCGTTGGTCCAGGGTCTCCCGCCGCCCGTCTCAGATCCCGCGCAGGCTATCTCCGGCGTCAAGCTTCCCCGTTTCTCCACTTTCTTCACGCCGTGCTCGACCGCAAGCGTAGCAGAACTGGCCATGGTCGTCCTATTCTGGCCTCGACATCTCGACAGCATCAGTCGCCGCCGTCAAAGGGGTGTTCCATGTTGCTGGCCTCGCGCGTCCCGAGTCTTCGCGACGGCTCCTTCAGCGTGGCCGAAAGTGCCGAAGATGCCGAATCGCCGATGCCGCGGGCCCAAGCTCGACGCCCTACGAGTCTCCCGCATTTGAGTTTCCAGATCCTGCCGAACAAGCCGCTTTTTACGGTAGAAACCGGGGAACCTGCTTCCGCCTTTGTCCACCCGCCGCTAGCAATCCTGGCTGCTGCTTATTTTTGCCTGCTGCTGATTCACTAGCTGGCGTCTGGAAGGGCGTCGATGCGCCTCCCACGGAAACGTCTCGCAATGACGGGGTCGCCGACCTTTTATACTCATCATCATTCCGGCCTATCGTCGTGGATCTACACTGGGCTCCACACATGCCTTATCATCAGCACCTCATTGCTTGACACCTGTTTACGGCTGATAGCGTCATCATCCCAGCTGCGGGTTCCCGACGATGAGTAATGAAGCCTCAGGCTCTTGTCCGCTCGAATTGGTCAAACGTAACGCGGCCGCTGCTAGTGTCATCATCCCAGCTGCAAGCTGCCGATGCTGAGTAATAGACGGAACCTTAGGCTCATCCGACCAATTGGTCAAGTGTAGTGCAGGCTCTGCACACATTTTTTGTGCTTACTAGAAGAACTCAAATGAGTTATTTTCGACAGTGACACTAGAAGAGATCTAGACTGCCACAGCGCTTACGCTATGCTAAAGTCACAAACGAAGAAGGAGGGAACACAGACTCGGGAAGAGTATCGCGACGTAACTGCACACAATCTCAGAAATGGCAGCTAACAGAGAATGAATAGGACAAATCTCAGACATGCAGAAAGGTTAGCGCGAATCGTTTTTCACTCATGTCATGGGTGGCTTGAGGCTGTCGTCCGGACGTAAATGTCGAATTGACAATCATACATTCATGTTCGGATGACGGCTTCTACTGCCCACCTAAGTCGAGTAATTCTGCGCGCGCGAGACTTCGGCCGCAACACCCTTCTGTAATTCTGCGTTCGAGAAGTAGTGATTTGCTGTTTTCCGCCCCCAACTTTTCTGCTAACCCCGCAGTTCCCATGACCCAACGAATTCCTCAAGAAAAGGACCCCAAAGTTCGCAAATCAAGCTCAAGCCCGTGTCAATACCATGTGTGTGCCTGAATATTGCGATGAGAAAACAATACCGGATCCAGCAGACGCAGATCCGGACGAAGATCTACTCCACCGCGGAGCGCTCGAGGAGATACACGTCCCACTATTCGGACCGGAAATGCCCGCTGTGCAAGCACCATTCTCACCTGACACTTCCCGACAATGGCAGGATACGCTGGGGACATACGGCGCACTGTCCTACGAAGACTCCAAAAGATGGACCCACAAGCTTTCCGAGCTACCTTGCATCAACCAACGATACTTCCATCCATGGTGCATCAAGCCGCCCCTGTGGATTTCCGACGTCTCCGCTACCACCGCCTGTCCTGGCGCGGCGATTCGGTTCTGCTTCAGCCAATACGCGCGCGGCATCCAACTTCGCGAGTGCAGAAATTCCGCATGCGTTGCCAGAAGAGAAGAGCTTGACGATGTCGTGCCTCAATGCGCGTGGGCCCGCTTCCGAGAATGGATCATCATGCTGCTCGGCTGCACACTGCACCTCAAGAACGGAGAGACTGACGTGAAGACGACTCCTTTCTGGGTATGCGAATTGCGGCTTGACAGGATCTTGCGGGATTTCGACAGAGGAAACAGCAGGCCGCTGGACCGGCCATGCGTGGACGTCATGGGTATCCGCAGCATCTTTGCTTGGGTGCTGTATACCCAGGTTGAAGGGCGATTTTGGGGCTTCATCCGGGATTCGACAAACCAGGACGAGCAGTCGCAATCAATGCAGGCTTTGTACCACGCTGCTGCGGTTGAAGCCGTGGACGAAGCGGTTGGTATGGGCATCTGTCCGTGGAGGTTGGAAAATGTCTCCAGGCTCAGCTTGAGAGGGGAGGTGGATCTGCCGCCCATCGTACAGATGGTCCGCCAAAAGGAACACTTGAAGATTGCTTTGGGAAGCGAAAAGCATGGAGAGTGTACAGCTGATTTCTGCAAAATAAGCAAGCTGGAGAGCACCGGTGTTCAGCAACTGCATATGTGCCGGGGTGCGTTGTGCGGCGAAACTATATTTTCCCAAGAGCAGCTGGTCGATGCCCTTAATACTGGGGCTCCTACTATTTGGTCAAGCGGACCGAGTTATCGTGCCACAGGTCACACCTCTTTGATTGACTCCGAGAAGATACAAGAATCTCCTTATGTAGCGATTTCCCACGTCTGGTCGGATGGAACAGGAGTCGGGTTGAAACCACCTGGTACCGTAAACAGCTGTCTCTTCGATTACTTTGCAGACATATCCGAGAAGCTTGGCTGCAAAGGTATCTGGTGGGACACGATAAGCATTCCGGAGGATTCCGATGCTCGGAAAAAAGCCATTCTCAGAATGAATTCTGAGTACGAGAATGCCGCGTTCACGGTCATCCATGATTCTGCCTTGGTAAATTTCGAATGGAGAGAGGACGGGAGTCCTTGCGTCGCGCTCTTTCTCTCGGACTGGTTCACTCGAGGCTGGACTGCGGTGGAGTTCTGCATATCACGGCGCGTCAAAGTTCTTTTCAAGGATCCGAGTTCTCCAAATGGACCACCTCTCATCAAGGACTTGGACAAGGATGTTTTACCTTCGGCAGAGCATCTTTGTCACCTCGGTGTCCGGAGTGCACAGCACATCATTGCGAAGTTCCGCGAATTCCGCCATGAAAATGAGAGACCAAACGGATCTACAAGACACCCCAGCAAAATACGCAGGAGCGCCCTCATAAATGACTTCAAAAATCTCACCGATGTCATAGCAACGCGAACAACATCTCGGAAGAAGGATGAGATGATCATCGCAGGCCTCCTGGGCCTCGAAGAGCTGGACAAGTCTTTGGACTCGGCTGCAATCACCAAACAGATCATTCAAAGATTCGCAGCGCACATTCCGACGTCGATTCTTTTCCACAAGGAACCAACCATTTGCTCGTCTGGTCCCTGGTCATGGTGTCCATCGTCGCTATATGACATCGTAGCTGTTGGACCGAAGAGACAGACGACGGCTTCAGATCCCCAGGCCCTGTCCCGCGGCGAGATTGTTCTTTACCTCCGACACCAGATTCTCGAGCGCGAAGACTGTGGCTTTGTCATTCCCCAAAGCGACAATGCCGAGGTCAGAGATTCAATCGTGGAGGCTCTCAAGCGATGGCAAAACTGCATATTACTTACGGACATAGGTGAAGCGGATAAAGTCTCACCACCGTCCTGCTTCTTGATCGCCTCCGTAATCAGCGCTTCCCCTAAATACATCATGGGGAGACAGAGAGGTGGGTTTGTCAAATGCAGGTTCATAGGCACAGTCACATTTCCGTTGGAAAGATTTAAGTGGACGAAAGGTGCTGATACCAGCAGATGGGGCCAGGCACTGCAATTCAGCTTTGGGTCAGATAATGGTCGGCCTGAACAAAATGCGAGGGCGCTTTTACAGCAATTCGACGAATGGTTTTGCAAGAATGCTTGAGTGCTTCCACAGCGCTGAAACAACGCCACAGACAGATCTGTACTTCATGAGAAGAGCCTCATATGACGTAGTTATTACTTGCCAGCTAAAAAAATTTTCCCCAAAATTGGCGGCCTCCTTATCCATCAAGGTATACTTGAGACTTTCTTCGTTGCCCTGAAAGCCGTATGGATGTTGTTTCTTGCGAATTGTATACAACCCCCCCCCCCCCCCCCCCCCCCC